TTTTCCATACCACTTATCTATGTAGGTACCTACCTAGGTAGTTATTTGAGGAAGGAGTTTGCGCTTTTCTATGTAGCGCTTAACTTCCATGTAGATATCTATTGTCTAGCTGGTGTAAGTAAGATGTTGACTAGCATAAAGTTCTTATCCATTCTCATGTTACATGCCATGTAAAATATTTGAGCTAGAGAGGCACCCAAACTGTCAATTAAATCGGACCTCCCCTCAAGGTCCAGTTCCAAGGGAATCAAATATTCTTTTTTTTTATTCTCTAACCCCGACCCAACCGTCTTCGCTGGTTTTGAGTTACGGCCTCCCACAGGAACCAAACGCTAGTATTTTTTATTCTCTTTCGTATCGTCCTCTCCTTGCTTCCTCTTCTGATAGCCTAGTTCTTTTATGTAAAATTTTTCTCTCGTTCGTAAATGGATACGATGCATCATTGTTAGGTAGTCTTAGGTAGGACAGCATGTGACTTAATCGCCTTACTATTAAGTTATGTGACTGCGTCAGAGGCGGGTCATGATATCGAACGGTCCGCTAAATAGCATACAAAAGTACCATGATGCAGGGAACGTAAACGTAACCTGGCGTGTTCGTAGCCGTATCTTGACCGACGAGCGGGTTCGCTTGTGAGAACTTGCAACGGTCGCAGACGAGAAAAAAAACTTGGCTAGACGTGGTGAAAAAATGACGGTTTTTAAGTCGGCTTATTCGAGAAAGCTTGCCTACCTACATATAGTAGGTACTCTAACCTTTTCGGAGTTTGAAGATAAGGACAAGGTCCTTCAATGTCGACAGCTAGCTACCTAGGTAGTTAGTCTCATCGCTCCGTGCATACACGTGTAGATCCCTGACCCAAACCCGCTTATCGGTATCTAGTTTGTCTTTTTATAGGTAGTAATTCATACGTAGGGTATTCGCGCTTTACGTATGTGGTTGACATGGGGGACGGAGACATCGTTTGACCATTTTTAACCATTTTCAGTAGGCGCACAGTATTCCGTGGGGTATCTTAAGTATCTTAATGGATAGGTAGCTAGTCCGATATGTGCGTGTCCGTAAAAATGCTTACCTAGTATTACAAGGTGCGTGATCTGCGTGGTTGGAGTTCATACGGAACAGTCCTAAAAAAACTCCGTAAACGGGGATCTTCTTTTGGTTTCTTGTCTAAGACGGGATTATTGGCGATGAGGATATGCTGCTACGCTCAAGGGGTCTGGGTCTGGTCTGGATCCGAAAAAAACCTAGGCATACCAATATACCTATTACGTCCGCGGACACCGCGCTGGCCATAGTCGTTGGGGTAGTTTTATGTTAGGTACCTATGTAAGTGGTCCCCATTCTCATCGCAGAACTTTCTTGGGTCGTTGTAAGGTCGGTCCGTAGTCCGACATAACTTGCGACAGATATTTGTGATTGATTAATGATAAATAAGTATCGGAAGCATTTGGGTGCTTGAGCACGTATCAGTTTGTCGGTCCCTCTGCGCACAGACAGAAGAGCAGTATCGCAAAAAGAGCGCGATAAATCATTAGAGCGGGACGTGAAGGGGATCAGAAAACTAGGGGTTTTTTTTTTTTTTTTTTTTAACAAGTTGCAGTATTGGCGGGCCAAGGTAATATGTGCTCAGGAAGCACCAGGATGATTTATCAGATCCTAGGTAGGGTGACCCAGTGAGTAGTATTATGGTATAGTACACCTCCGTCCACAAGACCGTACTCCACCAAGGGCTGACAAAGTTATGGGTTACTTACTGGCGTTGCATCCCTTGGTTGGTTATTGGAAGTGAAAAAAAGACACCCTAGCTGCAGCGAGGCGCCGGGCTTGAAGGTTGTACCTCGCACTTATTACCATGTATGTACGCATGTAAGTAATGAGCGAGGCAGAGAGTGTGGGAATAAGGGAATAAGAGGGGAGGGGGAGGGGCAAGTTAAGAGGGGTCTGGTCCATGACTGGAACTGGAACAAAAGGGTGGAATACGATGTATGAGTGATCAGCATTCAGTCAGTCGTCTTGCTCGGATTTGATCAAGGTTGTGATTCTGTCATGTGGCTAGTAAAAAAGCGAGTCAGTAGGGTATCAACTATGTAAAACTGGTCGGATATCTTGATTATTGATTCGTACTTCAGAATCAGGTTGTGGCCATACATCGGGATGGGCTTGACTACACTAAATATTATTTTACTTGCTTGTGCATTTGATTCGGCGACCAAGAGCGACGATTCTCTTTTTTATGTGTCCGATGTGCATGGAGGGGTTGGTTGTCCCACTCCCATACCTCAACACCGTATTATACGGGCCCCTGCAGCGCGGTGACATTCCGCCATTCGGTCAAGACATTACCCAAAAAGGAAGAAATGGCGCCGAAGTCACCCGAAAGCCAACTCTCATTGGTCCATACTACAGATTAAAGTTGCCGCTTATACGTGAAAAGAACGTTATCGCTAGAGAGAACATTGATGGGTTAAGAGATTCTAAAAAGGACAAGTCATGAACATAAGAGGAGATGAACAACTGGCATAATATCCCACTTAATGCGCTTCTCAACTAGTTAACAACCGAAATATCATAGCATGTTAAGTGATGTATGGTGGAATAGAGTCTTTTGTCATCATGACTGTTAATGACGGAAGTTCATTCAAATAAGCGAACGGATGGAACAATGAGGAACGGAATAATTAGGCCGATAAGATGTTTATTGCATATCGTAAATTCCTTATCGTTCCAGGTTGGATTCGTACAAATAACCGACTCGAATGTGAAACCATTTCTGAAAATTTACATACCTGTTAAACAGCAATCATCCTAGCACTTCACAGCCAACGTCGATAGTGCCCGAGCCGCCGAATCAATGCAACAAGGAGCACAGTTACACAATACATACATATATGGGTACTACACATGTCGACTTCGCCCTAGTTCATTTTCTTAAACGCCAAACAGCTAAGCTTAAAGGGCATATTCGACTCGGTGCCCGGACGCAAGCACCAGCTGACGGGCGTCTAAGCCTGCTTGAGAGAGTAAGCCAAGCCAGACCAGCCCAGCAAGTCAGCAAATTGGCCGGAAAGTCATGAACCGCCCATTTCCTTTCTGTCCCCTCAGCTTGGATGGTGTTATCTAAACACCTGCAATTGCCAATGGTTCCTTTTCGCAAACCTGGATACAAAGAAAACAAAAAGAAAAGAAGAAGAGAAAAGAGGCGAAAACAACTTCAGCAGACAATCGCCTAAATTTTTTTTTTTTTTTCTTCCCATCTCACAGCAAATGATTCCTGGGTCCACAACACCCAATAGTAAAATATCTAACGTACTTTAGGTACGTATGCACACACCGAGTACTGTATGCACAGTATAGCACACTACTTACATATCTTATACATATATCCCGGGGGCTCTGGCCAAGGGAACATGGGGTATATGTGTAAGTGTGTAAGTAAGTGAGTGTCTGATTCGGTTATTTTTGAACAGCCATCCATTCGACAAGAGAAAAACCTATGTGGACAATGGGATCCCTTGAATGATCGCACTCACACATGTTAGCTTATGCCTGGCCTGCCGGGTAGGTCATGGATGTAAGGTGGATAAGCCCTGCTAAGCACCTACCCACCTCCCACCTTATTTACCATTGGGCGCATTTAGACGGTTTTTCGTCGTATCATACAGTACGATGCACACTATGTATGGGCATGGGCGTCAAGAAGAAGAGCCCGCACTGCATGTGTGTGTATATATGTACTGTATATGTATGTGTGGGATGTGATGTAGGTAGGTCTAGTCTGGTATGGTATGTATTGATGTATGTATATGTATGTGTGTATGAAAGTAGGTAGGTACATATCACACATTCATTCATTCTCTCACTCACTCATACATCAATCTCCATACATCCATAACATTACATACGTACATACATACAAATACATACATATACGTACATCCACGTATGTATAGAGGTATTTGGCTGCTGCATCACACTTACTACCCGTTATACCTTCTTAATTCTTACCGTGAGTTCCTTCTCTTTTGTCTTGTATTTCCCTCCTGCCTTCCTACTCTTCCTTCCTTCCCTCTTCCTCCGCCCTTTTCCTTTTTCCGACCCTGCCTTCCAACTTCTCTCCCGGTATTAGATTGGTACAAATCAATCAATCAATCAATCAGGCAAGTCCGAATTAGGTGCCTCGGACGCTCGGTACTGAAGGGAATGAGGGAATGAGCATCTGGGCCAGAGCCAAAGCCAAAGCCTCCGCTTCTCCAACTCCAACTCTCCCTCAGTTTATTCTATCCCACCAAACCGGCGACATCATTTCCCCCCAGCGCCTCAACCACCTACCACCTACACCCTACATACCTCTCAACCTAAGAGTCATATTCTATTTCGGAACCTCCTAAAAAGGGACCTAAAACATTCTTTCCCTCGCAAACATTTCGATTTTCCAGTATCGTCAATCCCAAAGCGGTTAAACCAGTCTAATACTCTTTATCCTCAGTAGCCCGGCAATTAATTGGCTGGGTAGCAAGCGTTCAGAAGTGGAGAGGTAGACAAAAAGACAAAAAGGTACGGACACTGTTCACAAGTTGGAACCACTAAGTGAACCAACCACCAAGGTCGGACGGATTACCTAGGTGCCTAGGTAACCGTTCGACTTCACATTATTTTACAGACAGTGCCATTACCTGGTCCTGGTACTTGCCGATGTTTGTTTCGTCTTAACACGGCCCGTCTACCTCTATGGTCCGCACCCGAATATTTATTTCGAGACCACGAACCTATCCTAGACTCAACATCTTACCACCTTACAATCTTCTCCGGCAGTGCCTAAATCATTCGTAACTCTCGTCGACGTCATTCCCTCCATTCTCACCGCTAAATCCGATATTGCGATTCGTGACAAGTGGGCGGCAATTTGCGGTAGCCACGATCTCGTCTCTTTCGGTGTCTGGTGGGGTAAAGCCTCAGCATAGATAATAACGACGGCATTCGCCATTAAGCCTAGCACTCACCGGTGCCCTTCGCACACATACGCAGCAGCTGGTGGCGATCTACCTTGGGCATACTACATTTCATACTGGGTAGTTGCCTTGTACGAGGGAAAGAAAAATCAAGACAAATATTGAGGTCTGGGAACGGAAGTAACGGCTATCTCGTCGAGGCTGCCCCTCTTTAGAAAGGATAGTCATGGACCCCTCAGCTATGGATTTCACGATGCACGCGCCAGAGCATGGAGCTCACCCTTCGACATCAAACTTGGACCACGCAGCCCGCTCCGCTTGTCCAGCCTTGCGTGCCGCAGCAGAGAACGGGCAACCCTCGCACATGCTTCCGCGTCACAACTATCCTTTCGATCCGGTCCATAACAACTTTGCCTTTTGGCAACTGCCTCCGCCATATCATCATCCCCATACTCATCGATGGCCCGTAGAAGGGCATTCTTCCCAATTCCCCCCGCATATTGTCCCGCTTGGTCCAGGGCAAATTAGCCAACCGCATTACACGCCAAGCGGTCCGACAACTTACAACCCCCACCAATCCGCACTCCGAAACAGGGCCCCGATGCCGAGTTTGCAAAGAATTGGAGGTACTGCACCTATTCAACACACCCAAGGAAATCCCTCGACCTCTAATCAAGGTCAGGCACAGGGTGGAACTGCCAGTGGAACCGGAACTGGAGGGGCTGCGCATGGTGCAAGAGCAAACAATCTTTTACCCTCTATCAACACGGTCCCCCCTCCGGCTGCGTCTTCAAGTCAAAACCTTCCGCAACAAACATTTCCCCAAACAACACGACCAAGCCAACAGTCAATAAATCATAGCCCCCCTCCTCCATTTATTCCACGGGATAGTGGTGTACCATTATCATCCACAATGGCCGAGACAAGCTCATCTTCGGGCGCAAGAAACGAGGCGTCGTCCTCTTCATCAGGTATTTTATTTTCCCGTCGTCTAGATGTTTAATAATATTCAAAATGAGAAATACTGACTTTTTATCCTCTTCGCAGCTTCATCGTCACCTCCTCGCCGGTGGCCCCCTGCATCAAGAGCCGCGGAAAATCCCGGAGAGTCGGCTTCGGACCCCCGTCGTACTAATGCGAATCGAAACAGACGAGTTATTCACCGACTACCGTCATATGATGATACTTGGTCAAGCGACGAGGAATCAGATCCTGAAGCGATTACATTAGGCCTTTTGGAGGCCGCTGACGCTGCAGGTGCTGCTATGTACATCGGTCCTCTCGTTGGAGCTGCTGACGAGGATGACCGTATGAGGGCCCAGCAACTTGTAAGAGGCGCCGTTTCGGGCAAGAGGGTTGCTTCGAAAAAAGCCATTACATCACTCGAAAGTGTGACTATCTCAAGTCTTCCAGAGAACGAGCGAAGTAAGTGGAGCCGCGAATCATGATTATTATTCCTAGCTAACAGCTCATAGCCTGCGTGATTTGCTATAATGACTATGGAGTGCAGACACCCGAAGGCGCCAGCGAAACCCCGCTGCGATTGCCAAAGTGCAAACATGTCTTCGGCGACCATTGTATCAAGAAATGGTTTCAAGAGTCGGACAGTTGCCCCTATTGTAGAGATAAGGTCCCTTCGGAGCCCCATCGAACCGCAATGAATGCACACAACGTTTATCGTTTCATTCGCCAGCAACAACAGGTTTTGCAAATGCGACACGGACGAGACCACGAATCCGGTCGATCCGAGGGTGGAATGCCGGGTATTCAATCGCACTTCGCTAGGTAATTAATACTGCTCCCCTCCAATGCTGTGACACCCTGTACTGACTTGTGATATAGTAACCCATTCCCAGATATTGATTACAACGGACCAGGCGGCGCCGGTATTTCTAGAAGGATGGATTATAGTAGAAACATGGGTTGGCACCCTGCCGGAGAGCGTCACTCACCGCTTCCTTTTAACGATATCGGTGAGAGCCGACGAAGGACACGCCTTCGTCACGGTAGCCTGCGAGGATTCCCTCAGGCTCGACAACAACATTTTGGAGCACCCGCGCCGAACAATTCTTCTCAAGCTCAGGTTCGTACATATAACCGAGAACTATCTCTTCATCGGGTTACTTGAAATCTGGGAGACCCAGAAGTACTAACGTTCTGTAGCAACAGCAGCAGCAGCAGCAGCAGTACCCTTGGGTTGGAAGAACAAACCCTACTCATTCGCATGGTAGACAGAATTCCCTATCTTCACCAACCCCAAGTAATCGACCTACATTCGACGCCGGTGTTCCGTTTCCATTCCATCCACACATCGCAGGACCACCCGAGCCTTACGCAAACCCGTTGAACATGAACAATTCAACTGGCGGCTCCGAAGAATACAATCACTTGGCACTGCACCCGCACTTGCGTGATTTCGCTGCACCGTTGTCTCCCACGTTTGCTGGCCCAGAAGTTTATATGTCAAATGCCGATGAGTCATTGTATCCGGGAATGATCCCTCACCAGTTGTAGGGACAACGTGGTCAAGAGGAAAACCTAATCCCGACATCCTCGTACAGGTCGACCAGAAACGAAATTGAATCGAGCGTGGAACGACCTGAGTCTCGAGGTCAGACATCATCAAACAAACGACGGAAACACGACTAAAGTGCCGGCACAGACCACAAGTATTAAATGGATTTCATCAATTGCCGCTTGCGAGTGGACATTTCTTTTCTCCTTCGTGCATACGACGTTTTATGGAATTGGTCATTCGCATAGAGATTTGCATCGTTTTTCGTTTCGCGTACGGCATTTCGACGGTTCGGTACTATGCAAAGGCTGATTTGAGGCTGATATGGAGGCGGTCTTATTTTTTTCTTACTTTCACTTTCACTGCTGCTACTCAACTCAGCACACATCTTCGTTAGGCGTTAGTGGAGTTTTCCTTAAGGGATATGGCACAGGGCGGCAATTGTCACGCAACGCAACGATACGCAACGGGTTTCTTTCGCGATGATATCATACATTTCCTTTCCCAGTCGGTTCGGTTCGATTCGATCTCACTGGCATCATCCTTTGACGACAGCATGAAACTCTTTCTCTCTTCTCCTCGGTTCCTGTTTTTAGGAGACGGTTACTAGACTAGGCTGCTTTTCTCCCGCAAAAATTCGCACCTCATAGGGAATTTCTTCTTCAGTTCTCGGCCTCAGGGCAACAGACGATAGTTTATGGCTTTATTTTTTCTATTTCTTGATGAATGCACATAATTCCCCCCGAAACCAGAGCAAATGAATCAACCGATCAACTAAACTTCTTAGGTATTTTCTTCTCCCCTCCCCTAAGATGGAATTTGTGAGATGATATGGGAGGATTATACCTTTCTAATACAGATAGGCAAAGTAGGCTCTTTAATTGAGCGATGTGCTTTGAGATTGATGCCTGTTTTTATTCTTGCCGGTGATATCTGGTGATTTATTGCCCCCTTCTACGTTTCCGGTGCTATATATCGTGGTGAGACGAGAAGGGGGAAATAGTTATAGCTAGGTAGGTATATAAACAAATTGAGATACCTATGCTAAGAAACGTACGGCTCTACTTAGGATTCGTAGAATGAGATTTATAGCACGTAGGTATTTTGAGATTCAATGCCTCAAGTAAATTCGGTATGCCTTAGATTATACATGAGATAATGTTGTCGTCATTTCTTATTTGCTTTCACTATAATCCACATGTACCTAGGTAACCAATCATACTCAATAAGTTTACAAGTCAATAGACGCCCGCCAAATCGAATAATCCCAAGTACCTAACGCAAATCACATCATAGCTTCGCCTCCCGTCCTCCTTGCTTCCCCCTCTTCTCCTTTTCCTTCTTGACTAACGCCCAGGCGAACTCGCCTAACGGTTTCACAGCCGAAGCATGTCGTCGGGCATCAGCGCTACTAGCCTGGCGCTTAGCAACTCTTGCCGCGATACCTTGACATATAGCCGCGAGTCGGAAGACGCTGAACGCACTGGCCCAACCCACTTCCTCAGGCGTCGGGGTCCAGCCCGCGGCCGCGGCGTACCATTCCAGGACCTCAGCGGGCGTGGGAAGGCCCGGTGTGGCACCGGGGAGGAAGCCCGGATGTGAGACTGCTTTAATAGCCTCCAGACCCGTGGATTGGGATTCGTTCAGAGTCTGCGACATACTCGCACTATAAAATGGATGCATCAAATTCGCCAAATCACTCAACGGGTGCCCAATCGTACTCATTTCCCAATCCAATATCCCCGCAACGCGCGATTCCTCCGCGGCGAACACTACATTATCGATTTTATAATCGCCATGAACGAGCGTGACTCTATCTCTCGGTCTCAACCCCTCGTCTCTGAAAAACGTGACTAAGTCCTGCATATGCGGGATCTCACCTACCGGTTGCTGGGTCTCGATATCTTTGGTGTTAGCTTGTGCATCGCAGATCTGCTTCCACGTATTTAACTGTCTCGCGTAAAACCCCCCGCTTTTTCCAAACGTGGATAATCCGACGGCCTTCGGATCAACTGTATGCAAAGCAGCTATCGCCTCGACGGCTGCGCGCCAGAGAGCCTTGCGTTCGGAGGGCGATTTGGCTTCGGGGATGGCGGCGTCTTCGAATATGCGTCCTGCTACGAAAGACATTATATAAAAAGGTGTGCCTAGGACTTTGGCGTCTTCGCAGAGACAGTATGCGCGTGGGACTGGCACGTTGGTGGACTGGAGGGCGGCGATTACGCGGTGCTCGCGCTCGACTTTGTGGGCGGCTTGTGAGAGCAGCTTGCCGGCGGGTTTTTTGCGGAGGACATATTTGGAGCCGGTGGGATTAGAGGTTAGTTGGTAGGTTGGGTTGGATTGGCCGAAACCGAACTGAGGGAGCATGTTAGCTGTGGTATATAGCTAAAGTAAGAGGTAGATAGCTATGTGAATGGTATATATGGTATTGATATGTCGGTAATGGATTCTTGTCACGAACCTGCTTCACGTCCAACGGCACCTTGATCTCTGGCACATTTTCGGTGATGTAGCGCTCCAACGTCGCTATATCAATCGGATGTCTAACTTTTCCCGCCATGGTTTCGAAGTGTTCGCGCTTACGGATGGAGGTAGGTGTGGAAAAAGGGGGAAAATTCAATTCACTTAACAGAGCTCTATAGCTATCACCGCATGATCCAGCGACGTGATATAGCTAGAAACCAAAACCAAAACTAGAAATTCAACTTTAAGATCGCTTCCCCATCTCACATCTCACATCTCACAAATCTTATCGGTGTAGAGAGGCGAGTGAGAGGAAATAGGAGGAATTGTGAGCTTCGAATTGGAACAAAAAGAAAGAAAAGAATAAGCAAAAATAAAAGAATCGGCGATTTACTTGATGTCGCGGAAAAGAAGCCGAGGTAAGCTACAAACCCGGCAGGCGGTAACAGCGAGTCTCATTTAATTGGTCATTCCTATCGCCGAACCATGCGGGGGAGGGGTAGAAGTTACATTCAGGGACCCTAGTCTCGCGCCAAGGTCCTCGGTTTCCGTTAAGTCGGAACTAGGCGATCTCGTAGTGATGATATCATTGGTTCAACGGGCTAGATTTAGATGGTATAAGATTTACAGGCTTCTATTTTTATACAAATACGGTACTCGGAAGTATGTAAAGTCTAACCGTATATCAAGATACGTGAACGAATGTTCGCTTTTTAATATTTTGTGCGCCGGTGCCGTCATCCCAATTCTCATCCACATACTCCTTGATACCCTTATCTTGGATTTGCATCCCCGCTATCTTGAGCGCTGCTATGTTGTATCCCATCTCGTCCTTTTGCCTTTGCAGAGCCTTCCGCAAATTTGACCGAATCCCATCTAGCATAACTCGCATCGTCCTGCTAGCTACTATTTGGCGGTGGTGGGTCTTTAGCATGAAGAATAGGACTCGACATGTTAAAGGAATATTCATCGACCTCATGGCGAAGAGATTGAGGAAGGTGAAAAGTATAGGAACTGAAGCGAATGGGAGGACGAGCAGCGCATCGTTAAGCGCAGCGGCCGCTGGTCTCTGAAAGATCTTCATTACGTATTCTTCAGCACTGATTCCGCCATGCGCCATGAACATCGGATCGCGTTGAGGTGGCGCGATGTTCGGATTGGAAGCTTTGGCTTCTTCCCATTCCTTCATGACGTGCAAATCGGCCATGCCCAGCTCTAAGGCCTCTGCTATCCGTTCACCATGGTTCAATGTTTCTGAAGTCTGTTTCGTTGCAGCTCCGATTTCTCCATTTTCGTCTTCCGCATCAGCATCTTGTTCTAGAGAATGCGTCAATGTGCTTTCATATAATTCCTCGATCTCCTTTTCTCTTTCTTCCTCAAGGAATATTTGCTCATCTGTTTCTTCCCACACTCGGATACTCTTATCGTGACTAGCGCTGACGATGAAGGGGGGTTCACTGCTTTGACTAATCGCTAGAGCCCAGATTTCCCCGTGGTGACCATCAAGTCGCTGTATTTGCTCGAATTTGTCACCATCCCAATATTTGATTGTCCGGTCCTTGCTAGCGCTGAAAAAATGATGACCATTTCCTTCCCGGTTGTTTGGAAGAAATTTGACCTGAAGAATACTGTCCTGGTGTCCCAATAACGCTTTATGGCAGTCACCAAAGTCAAGACCCCATATCCTAATATTCTTATCCGCCGAACACGTAACTATCAACTTGCTGTCGTATGATATATCCATGTCTAACACGGGCAATTTGTGACCGTATAGATTGAGATATAGCTTGAGGGAATCCACGAAAAACACCTTCACGGTGCTATCTAGTAGTGCAACAGCCAATAACCTTGCATCTGGCGAGAACTTGAGACTTAGGATATCATCTGAGACTTTTAGTGTCCGTGAGTGTGCCAATTTTAAGCGCGAGGTCGTCCGAGTTGTTCCGAGGACTTCCTCTTGTACCACCTGGACCTTCCAGAATTTGGCTGATTTGTCGGCGCTCCCCGACACTATCGACCTGCCGTCCGGGTGAAGCTGCAACGACCAAATTGCTCCTTCGTGAGCACTGACGCTGTCGAGTAGGGTACCAGTGGCTAATTCGAATAATTCGATCTCGCCACCTTTCGTGCCAACAACGACGAGCTTATCTCCGGGCAAAAACGCACTGCATAATGCGTATCCACACTCTAAGGTCTTGCCGCACTTTTGTGTTAACATTGACCAAATCTTGAGGCTTCCATTGGATGCAGATGCAAGCCACTTATCGTCGGAACTCAGGGCTAAGGATCGGATATCCGCCCGGTGGCCAGGAATTTCGATTGATAGGGCTCTCTCGTAGTCGGGAACATCCTCTTCTTTTGATTTCTTGCTCTTTTCCTTTAGCGGCATATCAAACAATTCTAGTTGGTTATTGGTTGTGCCGACTAGCAATTGAAGCTTCTTCTTGACTCGCGTATCGGCCCAATCGACTGATTTCACTTTTCCACCCGTTCGAATGATTAAGTGTTGTGCAAAGGCATCGGTTATGTCGGCGCTACTAATGTCCCCATCCTGGTCATCGTCTCCATCCACTTCAGTGTCGCCATTTGCGTCGCCCTCTTTCTTTTGCTTGAGTTTTTCTCGTCTTCTTCTCTTCTTTCTCGCTATGCTCTTTTTAATCTCGGCCTCTGTTCGTATCCTCCATATTTCAACAGATTTCTCCGATCCATGTACAGCGAAGTAATCTCGGCGAGGATGGAAAATAACTTCCGTGGCTTTATCTTTTCCGTTTCGGAATAACGTCCCTCGGTCTCGTAGATATTGCATATTTGCAGGCATATCGACTTGTTGTCTTGAGGCAGCTAGTGAAGTAGCATCGAGGGCCCAGACCCTTAGTTCGCCAGCATTTCCTGCCGTTATGCAACCACTATAATCTGGAGAAACTCCGAGGGCCCAGCATTCACCGTTCGTTTGCGCGATATGTGTTTCGATGCAGTGCCTTGACTCCAGATCCCAGAGCTTAATTAGCGCATCCTTTCCGGTGGTAAGCAAGAAACCCTCAGATGAAGTGTCGCCTGCGCCATCGAGAACCATAGCCTCAGAGTCTTCTCCTTCTGCAACCTCCTCTTGCGGTTCTACAAACTGTAGACCCGTGATTTGGTCCTTGTGTCCTCGGAGTTTGAACTGCCCAACTTCTGCTACTAGATCCCAGACAATTACGTTGGTGTCTCTCGAGCCGCTCGCAAGTCTGACGCCGGATCGGTCGAACGCTAGGACAGTAATCGCCGAACGGTGCCCGTTGAAGGTGATAAAGGGACTCGGGTCCTTGCTTCGCCATATTCGAACACTACCATCTTCGTAGCCTGCAGCGAATAGATCCTCGTTGACCCTACTCTGCGCAATGGCAGTCACTTGGGCGGAACTCTTCTCGTCTCTCCATCTTTCGACTATATCACTGGTTTTTATATCCCAACATAATAACTCCGCGTTCGCGGCGACGACTGCTTGGCCGGAGCCCGTACTGGAGCGGCTTTGTTGGGTCCAGAGGATATTCGAGGTGCTGGAGATTACAAGACCGAACGATTTCGCATGCTCATACTTTCTATGATATGACTGTTATTAGCGCAATCTACATGCGAAACTAAATTAAGGAATTGGCACTCACAAGTATGATTTGACCATTGTTGCGATCGACTTGAATCTTTGGGGATTTCAATTTGTTCAACTCGAGAAATTCGGGTCCATAACTTTTTTTTCTTAGAAGAGTCGGCGATAAGAATTTCTTATTTCTTATCTTATCGGGTTGATAAATGAGCACGGACCTCTTCTCTCTACCTAGGTACGTAACTGCGTACCTAAGCATCTCGTGCCCCACCAAAGGCAGCATCGAAACTCACACCCATTAAACTCTCTCCATTTACATTCAAGTCCAGCTCCCTGTCAATACGCAAAGCACAGTCTCAAAGCAAGCATAATAGTCAATTCAAGTCAACATGCTGCTTTTAGACTACCAAAATGTCTTGATAGAGTCTATACTCAAGGAAAGACTCTATGGGTATGTCGAATAATGAGATTCTTGCATCTCACCTCCAAAAGATCACGAGCCTAATAATGCATTTAGAGCACCTCCCGCCACGATTGACCAGACCGTTTCCGACTTCGACGGCGTAACCTTCCACATTTCCACCCCCGAAGTGAAGACAAAGATCCTTGTCTCTATTCAAATTCGATGCTTTAAAGAACTTGTCCTATATGGTGCCGAACAAGTCCTCCAGCGCGAATACGGTCCCTATGTCGTTGCCCCTGAAATTGGCTATGATTTCTCAGTCCAGGTTGACTTAGAGAATCTACCGGATGACAAGGGTAATTATACAACATTTGCATCACGGTCCAATAACTATGGTATTAACAATCAATATAGAGGAACGAGATGAGCTGGTTAAGAAGATCTCCCTACTCAAGCGCAACGCAATGGCTTCGCCCTTCGAGCACGCCTACGCAGAACACTATAAGCTAAAGGAAGCCGCTTCGAAATACACATCGGAAGAGGCACCCCAAGGTGTACGAGAAGGCGGTGATGTTATGGCTATCCACTACCGTGACGAAGAGGCTATTTATGTCAAGGCGAGTCACGACCGTGTGACCGTCATCTTCAGCACCATCTTCCGAGAAGAAACAGACAGAGTGTTTGGAAAGGTCTTCATTCAAGAATTCGTCGATGCGCGAAGGAGAGCCATTCAAAACGCACCGCAAGTTCTCTTCAGAAATGACCCACCACTAGAATTACAAGGTGTTCCAGGTGTACAGGCCACCGCCAGCAATGAGGTTGGATATGTTACATTTGGTATGCTCTATATAATTCTATCTGGGAATATCGTGCTAATCTTGAAAGTTCTGTTCCCGCGACACTTGACACCCCAGCGAATGCCGGATGTCATCTCCCACATTCAGACCTTCCGAGACTACTTCCATTACCACATCAAGGCTTCCAAAGCATACATTCACTCCCGTATGAGAAGGAGAACAGCAGATTTCCTACAAGGTAAAATTTCACTTCTAATCCCAGTGAGGCATCATATTTATCACATCTACAGTACTCCGACGCGCCAGGCCAGAGAACGAAGAGAAGGAGCGAAAGACGGCAAGCGGAAGGACATTCAAAGTTCAGGCTTAGAAAGATTGTTTATAGGATCAGGGTTTTCGAAAACAATGTGGCGATACGAAAAGCCAATTCCCTGTATTAAAGTACCTAATAACGAATGACGCGACGACATACCCACACGTTGACAATTTATTCACTTCTGCGTATGTGTCACATCAAAATTTATGGAGGATTAATCAACCCATTCCAGAATACTATGAAATTGCAATACGAAATTCTGTTAAACAGGACGAGATAACATATCCCCCCTCACTTTACTGAAGCAAAGACGCCGACTCCCGAGTTGTCTGTAATCTTAGAGTGTCCAAGGCAAGAATCCGAAGATGGTATCATAGGAAGGGTTTTTCCCAGTCCGGATTCTCTAACCCCTCATTCATCACAACGGAAGATATGACCATTCCGGCCAAAAGGACGACCCAGACCCAGAGAAGGTCTAGAAAATTTACGCCGATCGGTTGCGGGTTCGGGTCTTGATACATCTCAAACATCGTGACTAGTTTATTTCATGGGTAGCAGGGAAATACAGGCTTCCAAAGATCTAGGGGTATTCGTTTTGCAAGTTGGTTGGAGTTGGGTTGGGTTGACTCATTCGTGTAAGTTGGCGAAAGTGGCTACTATATACATTTCGCGAATAGCTAACATGATATACAAGTCTTGTTATTTCATTATTCTTTTCTATAGCTTTATCTATCAGAAAACATACCAAAATCCAGCTTTGTTGTATGTTCGCAAAGACAAGGGGGCTATTGTGAGCTACTACATTCATCCATCCATCCAAAGCTATAGAGTGCTAACCTTTTCATTTACGAGAACTAAGGAGAGCTATTTTCCTTTACCAACCAAAATCATCTATCCGAAATAACGTATTGCGAAATGTTCGAGGTACAGATAGGTGAATTTACCCAGGTGAAATAGCAACTTGTACTGTCTTGGCCCTTATTCAAACGCCACACGTGACACCGAGAAACATCTAACGATTGAAGAGAATCCTAATTTGTAACTACAGCACACGTGAAGTACACGTGACTATGTGAAAGGAGTTGTATTAACGAGACTAGATGGCGCTAATGAGGCTTCGAATCCGCATCTAAATACCCAGATACCTATATATAAGTTTTACTAGGCAGGCTTTAGACGGCTTACCTGAAGTCTGAGATCATCATCAAATGCGCATCGTCTTCTTGTCTCTTCTTCGCTAAGAACGCCTTAACAGGATCAGGTTCATCCACCGACTCTACGGTAGCGATACTATTTAATTTGCCTTCAGCCTTGGGAATCACTACCTTCCTCGTCGAAACAAATGTGACCGCTGGTGATACATCCGATGTCTCTACTCCTGCCTCGTCGAGGTGTTTGGCGCATCTGCCATATATTCCCTCGATTTGTGTGCGCAGATCGCTCATCTTCGATTTCACAATGTCGAACTGCCGGTCGAGTTTCGACTTTCGGTCATGGCAATATGAACATAAGTGCGGCACTTTAACGTTCAGTCTCGGGTGTGTAGACGGTTCATTACACGGCGATTGCCGCAGACCCGCTTCATAGTCCATCTGCGCCTGGCAGAGGTTTATAGGTGTGAAACTCACAACGGAGTGATTGCACGAGTATATTGTCTTACGGAAAGAGCACATGGTATCGGCGCTAATGGGTGGATTTCTAAAGGCACGAAATCGACGAACGTTATGGAGATGACGGACGTATCTTTCTCATTGGTTAGTGGGGTAGCCGCCTTCTTATACAGAATGCGAGATGCGGGAAGTCGACGAACACTGACACATTTTTGGCAGATGGTTGGTCGTGTTATACCACGTACACCCATGTTGCATAACAATGTGGTTGTGCGTTGGACTTTCTTTGATGGTTGTTGGCTTCCTTTGTCCCCTTGTCTTATTCACTCAGGCTTTTGCTGTCAATGGGAACGCCTATCTCCGCATGACAATGCAGTTGTTTTTACCGAAATGTTCCATGATAGCTCCGATTGAAGTTTCTCACCTCGCTTTCTAGCTTGGTGCTCTTCGTGAGGCTCCGAAGAAGAGTTCGACATTTCATGTTACCCAGACCCAGCTCCTAGCCGCCGGATGCTTAGCATTGACCGCACATTCGATGTTTATGACTTTCCACGGGACGAATGGATATATCTCTGGCAAGTCCTCAATGCGAAGGTATCGTAACAATAAATAAAATATGATTAATCATGTAGGGTCATTTATTAGTTACCTAGGTATCTACGTATATTAAAAATCAAACTCCGTCTCGCGAGACAATGCATGCTATGATCGTGTACTAGTTACTACCTAGGTAGCCTTCAAAGTCTGTCTCCATCATTCAAGCCATAACTCCGACGATGATTCAGCCAAGGCCAAAATACCATACCAAGCCTCGCAAGATCTGACCCCATAATGTTCCATAGGTAATTCACACTCTAACTACTTCCCCCAGGAAATCCCTGATTGTTATTCCTCACAGAATCCCACATATCATCCACAAGCGCATCCTGATCATCCTCACTCGTATCACCAAAGTCCTGTCGGTACTCCAACTCCTCCAAATCCTCCCGAATCGGCACAACCTGCTCCGCGCGATATCCAGCCCGGCGCACAAAAGCGTATATCGTAGCCGGCGGGACCCAATACCGAATCCTGCGTAACGGACCCTCCCTCCTATTGCCCCCACGCGTCGAAACCCGGAACACGAAGCCAGCCTGTCGGTACCAGGGGTTCGCATGATTGTACGCTTCGTCCTTGAGCGCGTCGCTTACATCCTGTAACGTCTGCGGCCGCATCCGGGAGCGGGGGATCGTGAATTGGAAGATTGGACCCCGGTCCCAGGTCTGGCTTCGCTTGGCTAGGATCGGTCGGGTGTCGTTGAGCAGGATTGGGTACATGTCGAATTTGACCTTGGGTTGGTTTTTTAGGTTTAGGTGGCGCTTTACGATACCGCCTAGCACGCCGACTAGCGGTCGGAAGGTGCTGACTAGACGTGTTTGTAGGTCCTCGCGTGTGCGGAAGGTTAGGGCTTCGGGACGCTCGAAGAGGTCTACGGGTAGGATTGGCGTTAAGGCTCGTGGTGCGGCGGGCTCGGGGGGGAGTTGGTGGGGTGGTGTGCGCCGGCCCTCGGGTTCGGGCGTTTCGTAGACTTCGTAGGTGGGTCTGGCGAATGCTGGGCTTGGGACTGGGGCTGGGCGGAGTGGAACCCAAGATGCGTATGGCGAGTATCTTGAGTTTGGGTCAAAGGGGTTATCACGTCCTCTTGAAGGCTGAGGCGGATAGGCCATGGGAGGAAGTTCTTCAAAGGTCTCTTGGAAAGGAACACCGGGAGTAACGACGCGGTATAGGGGTGTGCGACGAGGAGTAGGAGGAGGACTCCTCTGATTTGAGTAGTATCGGGGTGGGTAGTAGCCGGTAGACTGCTCTGGGAAATATTGTTCTTGGGGTGGCCATGGGGCGGCACGCGGTCGGGGGCTGTAGGTAGGACGGGAGGCGGAAGTGTAGGGCTCCGGGGGAGGAGGTGCCATGGAAGGAAACGAGTAGCTAGTGCTGAAAGACGGTCGTCTTCGTCCACCAGAGTACCCAGAATCTACATAATGGAAATAATTGTTAGCTACTGCAATCTTAGTTCATGATAAAGATTAGAATGTATTACCTTGATTCGCAGGCCTCCCATACCTGTCTGTATAATTATTTCTCTGCATTTTTGTCTCGACGATTATTATTGATTCAGTCAAGTCAAACTTCATTACACACCCAAGTTCAGCAATATGCGGATCTTGGAGTCAATAATAAAATATCTTCTTTTTTTCTTTTCAACTCATAAAAATCCAGGGAAGGAGAAAGGAACCCTCCTAAGAGTGTTGGGTGGCCTTCGAGCTTTATAGGTGACCTTTGAAGTTAGTTAAGTTGCACATATCCATTGTCGTATAAAAACATTGCTAATGTCGAATTCATGAATCATTTCTGACAAGATCTTCGCACATGCATGATTGGGGTGAGCTTTTGTTAGAATACAATGGCAAAGAGCTACAAGTATTTGTGCAACGAGTACCTCGCCAACAATCGTGGGACCAAGGTTAGTCACAGTTTCTAGAAACTGCCCAGTAGAACGCATATATGAAGGCAATGAAGGTGAATGATTAGACGTGTACCCGCCTGTGTTAATGAGGTGGATTCTTTGAGACGAAAGAAGCTTGGGTAAATTCTTGGTCCTCCTCACCTTTGTTCCAGCCCAACAATACCCAAATACCTGCTTTATTCTAGCAGGTATTCCTCCCAACAATGGAACAATAGCAATTATCTACCCTATCTACTTGAAAACTATTTTCTGTCGGGGGCTGTAGTGATATTTGTAAGGCTCGGAGTAGAATATATATCTGCAAAACCGCATTCTGTAGACAATTAGGTATTAGAACGGTCGCATTATATCTTCCCAGACGATCATACGACACCACGGACAATTCTATTACCTACCCAACATGATATCAATGTGATATTGCATTTTCTTTCACGAGCTTAGGAATTTTAAATATGACTTGTCAACTCCATATCATGATGGCCGCAAGGTACAGTAATGATTTTACTTGGTATATGGCCATGACAACTCACCATGACTTCAATACGTAGGTACTATGGCCTTGTATATACGTGGCTTCCTACAACCAAACACCCTAATGTGTGTTAGAATCTTATAAAACGCTAGGTAACCCTTTACACCCTGTATATGACGTATATGCCCCCGATATGGAGCACCCGATAGCTATCTGATCACGTTTCCGGTATGGTTTTTTCCTTCGGCAACTCATCGGACATTATGATTAAGCTTATATGTCCTATTTGCGCTTGTTTCCCCCAAGAAATCAGTAACAAGGGCCGGATGGGCCATGGCTGAGTGGTGTCGTTGTCAGAACTGTCGGATTATACCTTCAATGTCGGATGTTGGACTAGCTATTAAAATAGCTCCTCAGTATGTCAAAGTAGCGTTTCCCAGGGCCGACACCCTCAGTTGGGAGGTTCGATTCCTTCTCCGGTCAACATTTTTATTCTTTTCTTTCTTCATGTTCATTATTTTTATTAAGGTTATGCTTGTAGTAATATAATATTCCACGATGGTTTGTCGGTGTTCCAGTAGGTATCAAGAACCAATCTCATTCTCTTACAATTTCTTGCCGCTTCAAGCCATATTAAAATAATTATTTAAGTCTATTATCATGAAATGAGAAGCACAATTCAATTAGTTCATATAATATTATCTATCAATTCCCTATACAGAAGTTGCGATGTTCGTATCTTTTAGTGGGCTTGAAAACCTCCTACGCAAGTGTGAAGCCATTCGTAGCGAGTTTTCCAACCGAACCCTCCTCGAATTACAAGTAACTAATAGTTACATGAATAAAATCCTTACAGGTCTAGAAAATTTGGGTTACGTTTATCTTGACATTGAAATGTTGTTTGAATACATCTTGGTTGGTTGTGCCGGTCGCAATTGAAATGTATGGCATCCCCAAAATCAATAGAGGTGAAATAGTAGACCAACAATATTTCGTTTCGATTAGAAATGCTGAGTGTGTCTTGGAGACTATAGGTCGTATTCACTTATAATCATATATATGTATAGCCTTGGGTGATACAATTGAATTTTTCCATACGTTATGCTATTTTTCGACAATTTCTTAAGGGGCTGATGTTCAAGCTCCATTCACCCCTATTTTTGTATGTGGGGCAGTGCAGTATACGCTGAAGTTTTCCGTCTTACAAGCGCAATTGCGATAGATATGAGGATTCAGGGAATATCTCGATTGATAGAACGTGAAACTCGGTCATTGATTTACAAATTGAATTTGTTTTAATTTAATTGTTCTCAAATTCGTGGAGTTATGCAATGGGGAAATTTGGTATGCGCAGCGTTGCGGGAAAGGGGGGATTGCGGAAGGTATTCTATACGGTTATAATTTCATCATGTATAGCATAAACATTGATATATTTATTCGAACCTTTGATCCTCGACCGTGGTAGAGTAAGAATAAGGTTATTGGATGTTGTTGCGGCTTTGTGGTTGGCTAGATATAGGTAGTTAGAGGAAGGTTATATTTCGGATGTTCGTAAGTAGGAGGTGATTGAAATACCAATTGAGGGCCGCTGTTTCCTTGTGTCGATGGCGCATCTTATGTTAGGATGCGCATGATGCGTAATCGTCGCATACTACATAATGTATCTATGGCTTTCTAGAAGTTGACAGTTGACAATTCCACCACCACCTCAAATACACAGTAATGAAATTTGTATGAGGCAGAATTAGAGTGTTATATTTCATGTGCTTTTGTTCACCCCTGAGATATATGCGTGAAACCTACGTGACAATTCTTTTTCTCTATCCAGATTATCCCTCTAGGGGATTCCTAGTGACAGAACGCTATGATGGATTCTATATACTATTGGATGTCTTAAAGGAAGATTTCGATAATTACTGACGGGGACGTGGTAGGTGCAAAATGGTAGACAGAAATATTGTCTGCCCTCCAGCAACCAAAGAAAGACTCATATGGAATAATAACTGTCTTTTTTTCAAGCCGACCCAATTAGATGGACGTACCCTTGGCGACTTGATGGCTAGAACAAACTACCATGAGGTGGTCATATGCTTGGAACGCTGATAATTGGCGTAATTTGATAGTAAGACCATCCAAAGCGAGTTTTTCGTAGGTCCTGGATTCGAGAAGGGGGGTGAGCGAATCCAGTACTGAGCTTTTTTTGGTCTTTTTTTCCTTCCCTTATGATCAAATTAATATTTTCAATCCGCAGTATTCCTTTTTCTTGATGCTGTTAATTTAAAATAAACCTTTCATTCGGTATGTCCTCGTAATTCGAAGTCCATGCAAGTCTGCTCGATGCATTCCGATCCCGCACATGCGGCACCTCCTTACCTATCCTCCTTAGTGTCTGCAACAACGATGAGTCCTCCTTATCAGACATAACGAATCCCGTATCTGCAGCAAGTAGACATTCCAAATCTGTCGTTGAATCGCCAAAATAAATCGCGGGTCTCCCCTCAAGCCCTTCATCCTCGAGCACTGCCTGCACAACATCCAACTTATCCTGTGAGTTCGTCATATTCCTTTGTTCCCTCACACCTCCCCTATTCAACACCAGCGGCCCAACAACCACTCCGTCACCTTCGCGCACTTCATTCGCGACAACCCTCACACCTTCCACCTCCCCAATCGCACCTTCAATAAACGCAGCACTCCAATTCACCGAAACAACTACAACCCTCCACCCCTGCTCTATCCTCTCCTTCACAAACGCCTCAAACCCCGGTCTAAGCTTCACAACCCCCTTCCTCACCAACTCCCTCCCCGCCTCACGGAACTTATCCCCACTAATCCCACGAAATAAACAAGAATCGTTCACCCTCCCAAGAGACCGCGTCTCTACATCCTTAGCCTCCCGCAAGAACTCTACTTCATGCTCGGGTAAACTGCGTCCCTCGGGTCCGGTATGGTACCCGTCGACGTGGGCGCTGTAATCGGCGATATATGCGCGGACTACGTTATCCCATTCTTGTTTTAAGTCCGCGCCTTCGGATGCTCTGACTTGGAGAGCGAAGTTGGCCAATTCGCCTACGGTGTCTTTGGCTGTGATTGTGCCGTCAAAGTCTAGGAAAATACTCATTTCGCTAGCTTATAAGTCGCATATTCTGGATGATGACAATGTAGGAAGAAGAGAAGTGGAATGGAATGGAGGTTAGCTTGTGCCTAGATTCGGAATAAAAGGAGGTTATGATTGGAGCCCGTGAAAATTGCGGGGAGAAAAGGATTGGCTACGGGATCACGGGTACGGATGATTTATTTAACTAAAAAGGGGGCTATGGTAGAAACTTGAATAAATTACCTATGATGTCACAGTATTTCGTAAGATTTTTTTGTTAGAGAAGTCTCTATTTCAATATTATGTAATTTGCTCAAGACCTTCCTGTATGTTCACCGAGATCTCGAAGCAGAAAATCCTTTGGGATGTAGCGCCACCGCTTGAGCTACATTCCTCGCAGCCTATAATAGCATTTTGCTTCGAAGAGCCTTTATCGCGCGAAAGAAAGCCATGCTAGCCTGGATTCGTCCAGACAATGGCTACTAAACCTCAGTCCTGGCTATTTGAGGCCGAGGGTATCATTTATGTTACAATGGGGTTTCCGCGCGCGCGAATATGATATAATCCTTAAAAGATACCGTAACTCCTTTTCCGTGTCCTGAAACCTCAAATCCAGCTCTCTACAGCGGACAAGTCCCTCGCAAACTAAGCCGGAATAACGTCCTCCATCTCTGCGTCGGATTCCGAATCATCTCCTTCAGGAGCAGCATCAGGTGCGACACCGTCAGCTCGAAGCATATTAAGAGCCGCCTTGTGATCCTGGTTAAGCTCCCATTGGTTGGCAAACGGTCCGGTCTTGTGTAGGATTGCGACTTCTTCGAGGTTCTCTCGCAGCCAAGCTTCGGGTTGTCGTAGTCGCGCTCGGAATGCTCGTAAGGACCAGTAGTTGTACTCCTCGAAGCACTGGAAGATCAAATCGCGTAGTTCGCCCTTCGGTAGTCGAGCTGCCTTCTCTTCCTTCTGCTTCTTGGCTCCCTTCTTGACCTCGGGGGCGGTTCGCTGAGAAATGTTAGACCACTAATAGAATTTGTGAATTTTAATGCAGATGATGCTTACCACAAAGTTGCTGAACCTGTCGCTGGTCGAGTGAGAGCCGGCCTGGATGACACCAGTTGGTCGGGAAGCGGATGTGAGGGTGGTGGTCGTCCTGGGTTTCATGGCATCGTTGTTCCTGATGCTCAACCAATGCTTAGTCTCAGGCGTCCAAGCAGGTTGGCAATTCAGCTCGTGGCGGAAGCGACCGGCAAGAATAGTTTTCTCTGTAACCGATCAGCAAACTTTGATAAAATATAGATATATATGCGAAAAGGCATCACTAACTGGGAATGGCCTTTCGGTAGTAGGGCTGGTATCGCTTGCGACCACGCTTGTTGTTATTGTTGTTCTCGCCCTCCTGCGTGTTCTGGGGACGCTCGGGCTTCGGGCGCAGGTATGAGGGGATATCGCTATTGGCTCCTTGTGCCTTTGTCTTATACCCGGGGAGATCTTGCTCGGTGAACAGGAAGGTGTTCGTCAGGTTCATATCCTTGACTTCGAGGTTGTACTCCTTGGGAATCTGCTGATGGGGAGCGAGCTTGTGGTCCAACAGGATTGCGATACGCGGCTGTGAAAAAGATTAGCTAAATCTCCGATAGGTTTCGCGACGGATGATGCGGAATCACCTTCGTTTCGCCCTTCGGACCGCTTTCAGTCCACTGGCGCAAAGTCCCGATTCTAATCTCGGCATCATCATCCATGCTCTCCCAGGCATCGTAGAGATACTTGGGAACGTGAGTGAGGTAAACGGCGTTATCGTTGACATCGTTTGGATCGTAGAATTCTAAGTCGCCAGCGTCCTCGTAGATGTCGTCCTCGGACATCGCAGCGGGAGATGGGCCGACATCAGGTTCAGGTTTGATGCCTAGCTCAGGCTTGATACCGGGCTCGGGTTTGACTCGAGGGGTAGCCATGTTGGTGGCTTTACCCAATAGCACGGCTGGGTATCTAAAAAGAAAATGGCTTCCTCGATTGGCGTTTGCGATAATCAAGGATGCTGCAGTTAAAAAAGAGTGGTGGATGTTGTGGAACGAATGGTTGAAGACTGAGCACGCGGCTCGTGTTAAGGATCAAAGAAATGATGTAAACGCTAGGTAAATCAGTAAGCTGCGAACAGCCCCCTGGAGTTCTTTAGCTGTGGGTACCTAGGTACCATTACTGGGGTAAGTTTGCACCTAGGAACTTAAATGCCTCTAGCTGAGCACAGCCAATTATGACAGGACGATAGCTGACTCATACGTGGACTACCTAAGGAATCCCCCACCTTCTGGGAAGGTACCTCTTACTTTACAGTGTATTTTTCCTCAAAATTGCCGGCACTCAATTCGACCCTCTAACTCATGCGGTGTATCCACCTCCTCACATCATTCACCTCACCATTCATTCCTACACATCCATCCGTCATTCATCCTTCATTCACCAAACATTCAACTCGGAAAGCATTGCGAAATTGCGCGAATGGTATCTTTCCTTTGAAGAAAATATCAATTAATGCTAGAAGGGTTTCATCCAAGGTTTGCCTTTCTCTTAAACATCATACACCTACATCCTATTCCCATAGGTCACCGTTTCGACTTTCTCTTCGGTTGAATGACGACATTTCCTATAACCGCGCGCCAGCTATCAGCGTCCCCATTCGCGTATTTTGAGTATCTCGCTGTTCGTCGCGGGCTTCGGCATTACACTGCGATTGATATAATTCTGGTTCTTGGCTCTCGCCTCTTTACCTGAAAACTGCGCTGCGCATCCATCTCTTTCGCACATTGCCACCCGGACCCCTCGCCGGTCTTCCTTTCTTCACCCTCCCACAAACATACCTCCCCGAAATTGACATGTCATTTTTTCCTCCTCATTTTCAGTAGCTTACATACTAGGGACTAGTCTTTACCATGTCGACATCCGAAGATCAAGAGCTGATGGCCAAGATCAGCAAGTTAGCTGGTGCGTGATAATCGTGGCGCTTTGTCACTTGCTCCGAACATTCTTTACTTATGTATGGCCAGGCCAAATAAATCGCCACAAAGCCCAACGCGGTGGTTTGAATTCGGGTATGAAATCCTCTTTTTCCTCTTTAATCATTTTTTGTGCAATTAGTAGCGATGCTTACGTACCAAGACCCTCACCACTCCTCCCGAGCTTCCTATCATCGCACTGCTCCCTATCCTCCTCGTGGAGGCTATCGTGGCGGACGCGGTAGAAACCTGCCGACATATCGCAATAAAACCCTAGTTCTCAATGGACAAACTCGACCTGCAACCGATGTCGACGAAAGTGCTACCGAGTCTGCTGACCCTACCACTCCGACCTGGGTCACTAAGACCGACCGTCATATGCAACTGATCAACACATCCGTATACGAGAAGGAAACCCAGCAGCGCACTAGTGCGATTGAGCAGACCCATCGTCAGAAGCAAATTCAGAGTAACAACCGCGAGAAGGCCATTTTCATGAATAGTATCTTGCAGAATGGCGCTAGTGGCAATCCATTTGGAGCTTCTAACCAAACTACGCAAGCTTCCCCATACGAGGTTTTGGTAGACGGTATTCGTTTCCATGTTGTGCAACTAGGTAGCAAGCTCGTCAAGGCGCCTGGTAAGTAGTTACACGTGTAGGTATAAGCGTCAGTGGCTAACCGATATATTAGGCGACGTAAACCCCCCTTCGGCTACCCCAAAGATGACATCTATCGGAGGCGTCAAGTTTCACCGTACTAAGCACGGCAACCTGGTGCGACACGGCATCGTGAAGGCCCAGCGGTATGTGATCGAGTGCATATCTGGATCTAGTGCTAACTTGAAGGCGACGGCAGATTCGCTGGTGGAATTAAGAAGGTCAACGAACAATGCAAGACCTTCTCATGGACCGGTATCGTCTTCCTTAAAATCTACGAAATCAAGCCCATCTCGCGACTCCTGGAGGACTGCGGTGTGGTAAGGCCCCCTGTTGACGTACTAACGCTTTCCTGTAGGATCATGCCCCAAGGGACCCGCATGCCGCTACATCCACGATGCTTCCAAGACGGCCATTTGCCGTGAATACCTCTTAAAGGGTAAATGTCTACAAGGTGACGATTGCGACCTTTCACATGACGTTACAGAAGAACGTACTCCCCTCTGCGTGCATTTCGCCAAGGGCAATTGCCACAACCCCTCGTGCTCGTATGTTCACGCCGAGCATTCCCCTTCAGACCCCGTATGCCGCTCTTTTGGAATTTATGGATACTGTGAGAAGGGAGCGCAATGCCCCGACCGCCACGTATTCGAGTGTCCTGACTTTAGCAACACCGGCGTTTGTAAAACCAAGGGTTGTAAGCGACCTCACATCGAAAGGGCCAGTGTCCTTCGAAAGGCTAGCAACCGTGTGTCTTCCGAAGAGATGGAGGATGTATCCAGTGACGAGGAGGATGCTGCAGCCGATAGCGACGATGTTGATTCTGACGAAGTCGAGGAGTTTGTCAAGAAAGATGATGACGATGATCTTGATTTCGTCCAACAGAAAGATTACATCGGCTTTTAATGATGAACACCCGCAGCTTCTTACTAACCATCTAGGATCCTACGAAGATGTTTGTCTCTTGGACAATACGTGTGGTGCTTAGGGCACTCACTATCCATGATTTATTAGATCTTGATTTCTGGTCCGTTTTCGGCCAGTATCTAGATGGTACATATCATCCCCGGTAGTTGGCGTTTGCAGGTTGCCTTAATCGTACAGAGGACCGTGATACCCCATTCCGCGATACGCCTCAATTTTAGGCGAATTTGCTAGAGTTAGGAAGATGACGATACCACGAGTGGACGAAGAAGATGAAGAAAAGAAATAATGAGAAAAAAACCAAAAATGAGACGAAGATAGATATTCACGATAGAGAATAAATAACGTATTGCATTACGATTGCCTTGGCTTCAGTGACGATGATAATGTTATATTAATTACCTAGGTAGTTATGAGCCGGTGAGTTGATGTATATTATATTCGGTGTAAGTTAACCCCCAATTCTCTTCATGTGCCTTATATAATGATGTATGTGTGAAGTATAAGAGGTTTATGTTTTAAGTATATGGTGAATAGTACATCAATCTAAGATAGGTAATATGATAGGTAACTAAATAAATGGAGGCGACCCTCCCTTCTATTCAATCCAACCATCCTGCGACCCGGAAAAGTCGTATGAAACAGGTACGAACCAATCTTGGCACACCGGCGCATCCCCCCCAACGTTGGAAGGAATGGGACAAAGACTTGTTTCTTATGTTACTCGAAGGGTCCAAAAGGACCAAAAGAGAATAAAAAGAATGAAGCCAAGGCAACGCAACACTCTGGTCTTATTCGTTCGAATCACACGCTTTGAATAAATCACACAGCCCCCCAATTCTTCACCAGGGAGATCAAGTTCGGCGCGTAAGCTGGGGCTGAAAATGAATGGGCTTGGACTAACTTGAATAATGAACAATCGCCTATTAAAAAGGGAACGAGAGGGGACATTCTCTGCTATTCATTGCTATAACTAATCCAATTCAATTCCATAATTATTCTTCTATATTTTGCCCCTTTTTTGTTACAATTGAGTCTTTTGTTGCACACCTATATCCAAATTAGAGAGAGATTAAGAGAAGAGAGGCGAATATTACGTTGGATTGATTGATTGACTGAGACTGACATCATGGGGCTACGCGATCTAATCAAGAAAAAGGACCACCTAGACGGCGGCGTCGATCGCGAAACCCTGGACCGACTCGCAGGTCCCGAATTCACCTTCATTCGATCCGATACACATACACAGGAAATCATTCATCCACCGAGCAATTACAACAATGATCACCAATACCTAACAGCCAAAGACGCGGCCGGATCCTCGTCTTCTTCGTCCTCTCGAGCGCGCCGCAGTCTCGACGTCTTCAGGCCCCGCTCGCGGGGTAGCAGTACCTCGTCCGTGCAAAGCGGTCTCGACGCCAAAGACAAAGAACATAGCGTCCACCGCCGACTCTCCCAACGCCTGCATCTATCCAAAGCGCCGTCCACGTCCGACTTCGTGCCCGAAGACCTGCCGCAGATCAACGTCCTCTCGGTCGAAGATGGTGGGGGTAAGGTAGAGAGAGGAGGGGGAGGTGCGGATAAAGACGCGTATGAACGCCAGTGGGAGAAGCGCGCGACGATCCTGGCCGAGGCGAACGAGAGGGGACAGCGGACCAGGTCGCCGAGTGTTGCAGGCGAGCAAGTCCAAGTCCAAGTCCAAGTGCCCGAGCTTCGCTTAAGCGGCGACGGGAGATACGGAGCACCAGGCGGAAACGGAAACGGAGCGAAGAAAACGGACGGCGTGGTATCTTCCAAGGTGATCGACGAGCAGATCCAGGAGGCTATCCGATTGCACGAGGAGGGGCAGCTCGATCAGTCTACTGTCCTGTTCGGTCGGTTGGCGGATCCTAGGGGCGCGAATAACCCCCTCAGCCAGGTGCTGTATGGCCTTGCTTTGAGGTAAGTGGGATTCTGTTTGTTTCGCTTGACTTGATCGGATATAACATCATAACATATCTACCCACTCGCATAACCTCCGTGGTTGGATCGCCACTGGTGTCGGATTTCTTGCTTTCTCCCTTGTGATTGCCATTGCTATTTATGGAAGCACGCAAGAATCTTCATCTTCCATCTTCATCGCACTGCATATTGCATTTGCATCGCATCGACATTGCGGCTTACACATGTCCATCTCCTTGGCGCATGGCCGCTTCTAGATCCTTTCAGGGGAGAATATCTTTCGCCTCATCGGAAAGTAGTCATGACGGAAAGGGAGAGAGATCAGGGGTCACAAGCTTCTAGATCGATATTTCATGTAGCTAGATGGGCGAATAGATGAATGGGTGGCAAAGTTGCCTGCACAGACAACATCGAATTCTGACTTCTATCCATACACATTACCTACATTACACTTCGCTTCAAGCCCAGACCACCACACACATACACCCGCTCCTACCCGAATACGAAGCACATCTTCAACATCCGAAAACCTAAAAATAAGCCCGTACATACATCCATTCATCCACACAATCCACGGAGATGAGAATTTCAAATCAAGAAACCTAGACTAACATCCGGGCCCACCTCTTCCCGAGGGGGCCCGATCAGGCACGGCTGGGGCTGCGAACCAGATCCCGAGCGGGCGGTGACGTACCTGTCGGCGGCGGCGTCCAACGCGGCGGCGGTCGAGAGCATGGCGCTGCAGGCGGGCCTCCAGAAGGGCGGCGCCGCCAAGGGCGAGCTCGTCCTGGCTATCTTCGAACTGGCCAATTGCTTCCGCCACGGCTGGGGCATCCCGCGCGATCCCGTCGCTGCTAAGCAGGTAAGTGGAGCATTATCTCTGATTCCTATTTTATGTTATTAATTAGGCGTTGATATTTTTTGTTTGCTTGCTTGAGGGAAGGGTGTTGGTGCTTGTATTACTGCAGTAGCGGCAGTGGGTTGAGTGGTTGATGATGAGACGGGAACGGGGCCGACGACGAGGAAGATGATGGACAGCTCACCTAGCGTCTTGAGCTAGGCTGCTAGAAGTCGTCGTCCTTTGTCGTCTTTTTTCTTGTTTAGGGAAAGGGGGAGTCCCGCAGTTTTTCTAAAGATGATATGATGGTATGATGATCAATATTTGGCTAATAAGTTACTTCGTCGGGCAGTATTACGAGACGGCCGCAAACCTTGGAGACACGGGTAAGTCAAGTGTGTATGGGTCCGGGACTTCACATCGGACTACAGGCCCATTTCTTCCGGATGCGTTGGGCCGAATTTGAAGATGCGATAGGCTAACGTACGGGGAAAATTTCCCCTTCGGTGTGTGCAGATGCGATGAATGAAGTCGGCTGGTGCTATCTTGAGGGTTTCGGGTGCAAGAAAGACAAGGTACGTCGGGCGCGAAGCCGAAAAGCACATGCTTCATCAGATTTTTTTTTTTTGTCTTTACGATACCTAAATCCTATCGATCTATTTCCCCTTATTCTCAATCTGTCACATATCACATCCAAATCCGGCGCCTCACGTCCCTGCCCAAAGCTCAACAACACATACACACATATACCCACACACACCTACACCGGCACGCGAGCGACAGCTAGCTAGCTCGATGATGACGATGAGGTGTCAGCCTCATGTGGCCTGCAAAAAAATGTGGCTTGTCGGAGAAGTTCAGCTCCGGCTCGCTTAGCCAAGCCTCCGGAGTTAGTTAGGTCCATGAAGGATGATGGTGTCTAGTCTAGTCTCCGACGGAAGAGAGCAGCCAGCCCTATTGCTGTTGGCTGCTCGTAAATCGTGATCACCTTCCCGTCTCCCGTTGGGCAGCAATGAGGCTTGTTGCTCGACAGCAAATCAGAACCACTCAACAAGACTTGAAACCGTTCCCCAAAAATACAATACATACCTAACCTAACCCGTCCCCTTTTCCTTACCTTGCCTTAGCCCACAATTCCTGTTCATCCATCCCTCCATATATTATATGCCTTAGCGGTGGGTCTAAGTGCAAGAATAGAAAGAGAGAAAGAGGAAAAACGGGAGCAATATCACATGAGACTAACCATATGCTTCCTCTATGTAGTTTGCCTCCGCAAGGTACTACCGACTGGCCGAGGAAAACGGCAATAAGACGCTAGGAAATAGTTGGTAAGTTGCATTCCTTCATTTTCATTTGTCCATCTGGTTTATTGTTTTCTGTTTCTGTGTTCTGGCTATATCACATCTATCGATCTTCGTAAGCTTTTCCCTCGTATGACGACCCCTTTTTGGTTTTGGGTCCTTTCTTGGCGAAGTCCTCGTCTCTCTTTCGCCCTTCCCACCCCGTGCGTCGGCGGCGCAGCAAGAAGCAGCAGCAGCAGCAGAGGGGACTAGCTTAGCTACCTAAGCTTGGCTATAGCTATGTGCTGCAGGACCCCCAGCCCGTTGCGGATAACTGGCTGTCAAAGTGGACGACAGGCTCTCCGTGCATCCGGGACCCATTGGAGGCTCGCTCGCCTTACTTTTTTAGAGGGTCTCTGTTCATTCAGTTTCTTCGATGATGGAGAATGAGTGAGCGAGATGGGTCTCCGATCGGGCCTGGAACAGGGATTCCTCTTACGTTCTCCTATTTTTTGCGTTGTTGTGGTTTGTTGTTATTGTTCCTTTTCGGCTTTCTCCAACAGAAAGGCGGCCGCGAGAACGGGCCTCGAGGGTTGGGGTCTAAACGAATCAGAGCCGCATCTTTCACCGAACCCGGGAAATGTCGCCCCTTGTTTCCCTTTTTCCCTCCCTCGCTTTGTTCCGCTTTGTTGTTGTTCATCCCGCGGGCTACTCTTTTTTTTCTCTACTCATTTCTCACTCGTTCGCCCATATCCAATGTAAATGCCTCAGTTACAGCGGAGCCCTCTGGCGCTTGTCTACTTATGCTTCTGTTTTTTTTTTCTGTCTACCTATCCATTTCCTCTGCCGAACTTCTCCGAATTTGGCATATACCTCTTTACTTATTGTTGTAACATCGTTTTACTGACCAATGACGCATCGCGCGCAGGATATGGAAGGACAAATACAATCCTACGAACTCCAAGAAGAAGTAAGCTATGCAGCATCCCCCACCTCCAAACGGAGAACGGCAATCATTACTACCATTTGTTCAATGTCAACGCCAATGGGACATCGTAGTCTTCCGTAAAACTCACGATGTCCCTACCTATTACAGCATCCTGGCGCGATTGATAGCATGGGGCACGGGATTCCCGCGACGAGGTGCCGAGAGAAGTGATCTTCTAGTTTTTGTTATGTAGGTAGATACTTAAACCTATGTATATAATATGTATGTACTCGCAAGCATGACGCTATAACGAGCCAATGAACATATTCGCAAATTGAATATGGCAATGGATGGTCTTTTGTTCCTTTTTTTATTCTTTCTTATTCGTGGGGTTCTAGATGGGGTCTTGCTATATAGTAGGTCGCAACTAAAGCGAGCTCTTGATGCGCATCATTCTGCATATGCATCGACGATTGTGGGGGAAATGCATGTTTTTTGGCCCCTTCGTGTGGTGTGTGTGTGTGTGCCGTCTTGTCTTGCCTTGGTACTATTGTCTTGGTCGAAAAACCGGAACAGGGAAGCAGGAATTAGGGGGTGGTGGGCGTGTAGAAAGGATAGGCAGATAGAACGGGCTCTTGCATATGGGCTGTAGAGGAAAATCCGCCTTGGCTTGCGGGTTTACCTGGATTTTCTATGGTAATTGTGCACTTTGGGGTACCTCAACAGGCGCCTCTCGCCTGTTTCAGTGGATTTGCCAATGAAATCCACCTGTTGTTGAGGAATTGGTGGGCTTGGTTGGCTAATCGATCGGCCTCCTATCTGGCGGTCAGTCAAGGCAGATTGAGTAAGAGGCTCTGGCTCTATCCCCTATTCCCATTCTTCCCCGGGTCCCGTGTGGAGTACGTGTGGATGAGCGAAGAAGATATGCGGCTGACTGATCCCACCCGTAATTTTTCATATATCTTAATATACCGGTATTAGGTATAGGGTCTTGGACTTTAGCTCTTTTCGAGTTGGAGAAACATAGGTAAAGTACAATCCCTACATATCTCCTACGTAACGACTATGGTACTTGAGCTCAAGAATATCTCGGCAGGTAGGCTACTACGAACTTACTTGCATAAATACAGTCAGCGTTGGCTGAGCTCCGATTCTTCATGGGAGCATCGTCCAGCATCCGATGTAATCCGTTGTCTCGCGAGAGGGCGCCTTCAGGTACTTGCTTAGTTGATCACCTCTCATTCCTGTATAACCCGAAGATCCTAAGCCCACAAGTGGTGTAACATGTCGCAGAAAACGGTTTATTCCTTCTTGCAAGATAGACACAGATACAGAGCCTTACGCTCTGGAGTTCTCAGTTATGAGGTTACATACCAAGCTACCGTAGCAGCCTTCTCACGATTACGGTTCCGGACCAGGTACCGTAGGTCCCGAATGGGGTGTAAGCAAATGTAAGCATGATGTATACAACATTGAACATTGATCATTGCCTCCTATGCTGAGGAACCCTCGTTCGACATTTCTCCGGTGGTCTCATGTCCTCTCCCTTCCTTTTGCGTCTCACAGCTCTCTGCTCCAACTTTCCGATCAGCCTCTTCCGCGCCGTCTGTTTCGTTGCTGCGCACGCCTATCAATTATAAATGTTACCCATTATCACAACCCATCACTTCTTTCATTTGCTTATCGCACCTCTCCGGTTGTCGCCGGTCGTCGCAAGCGGTAGATCAGATAACAGCAGGGGGTGAATCATTGATGATGTGAGTGGCTGCTGTCGATTACGAAACTTACCTTACCTACGGCTTGTGCGATGTTGCTATCCTATCTGCGGTGACCTTTTGGCGATCCCGTGGCACATAAATCCATGCGATCCACCGCGAATGTTTACTTACTCATCCACCAAGATGCCTTAGTCGTGAGATGTTTACGAATGTATTCATATAATTCTGTATCAGCTTTCGTCGGACAGCATAAATGAGAAAGACGATGATTAGCTCTGGAAAAAATAATTGATACACAAGTGACTGGTCAGCTATGACAATCGTAGAAAATGTAAATATAAAATACCACATGCGTACAAAACGAAACGTAACAAACTCTCATGCGTGGGAGTACATCCATCCATCATCTCCAAGTTTTTTAGAATAGGGGTACGGTGATATTTCGCTAAGGGGTAAGGCTATCATACGTACGATATCTACGGTCCCTCGGTTTCGCGTAAGCAAATAGAATAGCATAGGGAGTCAGATAGGTCAAAATCATTCAAGCTACCTATATTGACGTTACATGTATAGAGCTCTAGACCAAGAGCTCAAACTTACCTACACCAGTCATCGCGTCGCCGCCAATAGCTTCTCCAAGTAGTTTAATAACCGAGCTGTGCGTCCTGGGCCTCTCGTTCCAGACCCCCAATTTCATCAGAAAACGAAACGAGAAGATACAAATATTCAGGTACCGGTTTGCCCCGTCGTCTAATTTACCGTGGTACCAAGCAAAAGGGCGCAAAGATACGATACACCCCTAGAGAGCACAGACTTTTTTGAAATCCCCGTGGGGAAATAGAAATATCGTTAATTGCCGGGTATGACGAGGCCCAGAACCGGAATGACACGTACTACTGCGAAGTGGGCGATGGCATGATAGTAGTAACGATAGCAGTAGGACCTATTGCTAGAGAGCAAATGGGCAAACGACTGAAAAGTAGAGTAACGTAAAGCAGAGACTCCGGCTTGCCCTCCGTGGCTTTCCGATCTCCCGGCTGCCTGGTAGATGGCGATGGCGGCGTTGGACAAGAAGCTGTTTAGATGAATCGCTAGGAGGGAAAAAGCGTGGTAGGTTAGTTGCTTGTGGTGGTGGTTAGTCATGCCGACCCAGAATTTCGAGGCGAAACAAGACAAGGCACGTGCTTAGATGCTCACTTTGTGCCTAGTTTGTTCTCGTGTTCTGGTGTGTCTTTTGACGTAGGTTGGTGTCGCTCATGGACATGGCATTCTTGAAATGTAGGTATGGGCAAAATTATGGGATGGGGAGGTTGCCTTGATAGGCAATGTAGAGAGCCGCGGTCAACTTACCACCGAAGGCGGTGGCATATGAACGAGATGCGAACATCCGTCTTCCAATCTCACTTGTGATCTTACATAGACACACATAACCTACCCACCGTACCAAAGTCTCGAAGCACCCTCTCTAGCAAGAATAGGTATCAGGCTGGCCTATAGGGTTGGTAGGTAGAGGCATGCATAAGCGTACATGAACAAGTCTGCCTTGGCCTAGCACGGTTCGGTTTTTGGTTAGGTAAGGCACTGTACCGTCGGTAGGTAGGGAGCATAAAGCATGGAGGATGGAGCACAGAGAATGGGTAATGCACCTTACGTAGGTCTGGGGATGGGGTATGGCCAGCTGTCAACCACGAGATCAAGCAACCCCTCGTAGGCTACCCACCCCTTTCCTGCTTGGCCGGACCGCAGTCTGTCTCGCGTGAACACCACCAAATCCACCTGTGACGACTTGAATATGTATAATATGTACCTACTTTTGTTTCCACGCCGCATACCTACCTAACTTAACCTGCAGCATTCTCACAGTCCCGTGTTTGAAACAGCATGTGGGCTTGTCTGTGCCGATATATGTGAAGTGTGGAGATGATAACTATAATATGAGTGGATGAAATAGAAAAAATAAAATAAAGGAATAGAGGAATAAAAAAAAAAGAGTTCTGATGGTGGGTAAGGTCATGCTGCGCGCAATATTTCGGCGTTCGTCTTTTTTCTCACTAAATCAACTAAAACATACTAAAACATGCTACCCAATTAGGTACATACGGTACCTAACAGGCGCTATTTTTTTAGGTGCCTTATTTCGCAGGGTGAGACATACAGGCGCTTTGTAATACCTTATTACCCTTATTACTGTGCCGTATTTTTTCTTGTTACCACCTACCGATGCGGGTTCCTGTCTTGGATTATTTCATATATATGCGCCGTGACGGCCACTCCCAGTGGCCCCGAACCATAACACCATAACACGGCATACCTACCTAGGTACCTACCTACTTTTTTATCACTCACATATGTTACTTGAACGAATATGGTAATTACTTCGGAAATAGGGAAATAGAAGTAATGAATGGAGAGAAACGGAAGGGAGAAAACGTCCAAGTCGACGAACAAAGAAGAGGTCCGAGAAAAAGAATAGGAATACGCAATGCAGCAGTGCATGTGAGCTCTTGCTGCAGGCTTGGCGAGGGATGCTACCGTACCTATTTTCTATTTCCCCCATACTCGCCCACGAAAAAGATCGCTTCTAATAGGCACGTTGGGTTAGTACGTATTTACATACCTACATCGTATGGAATGATTGGTAGGTAATTCTTGATAGCTTACCTTAGTTCGCACCTATAGTACGAGTCGGTTCTCTAAGGTAAGAAAGTAAACCGGAATCGGGGATAATTAAGAGTGCGACAAATAACTTGTTACTGCTAATACCAACTATTCTCACGATTACTTCCGCTACGGCCGGGCCGGGACGCAAAACATGGGGGTTTCTTTCTTAGTCTAACATCTCAAGAGTCATCAATCCCTCAATCAATCTATTACTACCTAAAGAAGTGAATGCTTAGTTTACGGACTACTACTGTAACTATTGTAACTATTATGACTACTCGATGTACCATGTCACTACGTATAGATGTACTATGTAGGGGACCACCACTACATCAAAAAGACTACCCCGTATTAGATAAGAATGACACCGGCTAAGAGGAAAGAAAACAACCATATACGTGCTGCATATTATAAGAACTTGTTTTAATGGCCCGTTTAGGCAAGTGGAAGCACCCCATCTGATCTCACATTCTGACCTAATGTATCCGTATCGTGCATACGCCCGGCATAAGGTAGGGAACCTAGTACGTTAGTTATTTTATCAATTTATCATTTTTATCAATATTTTAGTAGTTTGTATTATTTTCAATCTACTTGTAACTAGGCTAAGAAGGAAGCGAGTGTTCTAGAAGAGTCATAAGAGTCACCAGAGGAAGAGAATAGTCAGGGAGATAGACAGACACGAGGTGGAACGGAATCAAGAGATTGGGAATCATTTTGCAGGTTCATATTAAATTTTGTTTGGTTTTGCTGGGGGTTTTTTCATGTTCATCTTGACGTTTCGCTACTAATAAACTGACTTTGGTTGAGCTTACAAGACGAACAACCGCAAATAGCGAGCTCTGCTGTTGTCGCGCTCTTCTCTGCCTTTGCCCTTTCTCTGTGCCTTGCTTGTCCCAATAAAAGGTGTGTGTGAGTATGAGTATGTAGTCGTTTCCCCTCCCTTTCAGCTAGCTAACTGTGTAAGCTGCTGTGTCTGTTCTCTTGCTGGCTTAGCCCATCCATCCCCTGTGTACTGTTTGTCCGTGACATGATCGTCGTCATTCTCGTATGATGAATCCAACATAAACCTGATGAAAAAAGAGGAAGAATAAACCCTGGCCATGAGTAGGCGCCATTTGTATCGATAAGAGGAAATAAGGGGGATATGATAGGTAGGGTAGTTAGGTGTAGGTAAAGGAAAAAGGGGGAGGGAGGGAAAGAATAACGTCTCGCTTCCGTTTGCTCTCGTCAGCTCACTCCCACACCAATCCTCTCATCCCTTGAATTTGAGTGACCAACTAGAACCAACCCATTATGTCGTGAGACATTATCCCGATCGTATTTCCCCTCAAAGAAACAAAAATAATAAGCCCGGCCACTCACACACGTACACAGACAGAAAACCCCGCCTTTTGTGCGATCCTATCTATAGGCGCTCAATTATGGCGGAGGAGATCCCGTAGTGCGGAGAGAAAGGTGACATGAAGAAGAGGTAAAAGTTGCGTGTCGCAAGGAAAGAAATAACGAGAAAAATGAACAAGTAGAAGCTGAACCAAGCATCCCGAATGATGATGAGGAGGAAAAAAGAAGCTGAGGAAAATAAAATAAAATAAAAAATAAGACGGCCTCCCTTGCAGGCCTCACAAGGCACTGCACCCACACCCCCCCCGGATCACCCCGAATTTCCCAATGAATTCCTAATGAGTTAAACGTTGTACAAGAAAAATCTCCCAAGTAAGTAGCCCAATCCCGAAACCAGGAAAACCTGTCCGCCAGGCCTGGGGGGCTGCTTTACATGCCAGAAATAATTCCCCACTACCGCCCCCTTTCCCTTTCCTACCCGGCCCCCCCAATAAAATGCCCGACCATTTTCGCCATGCAATAAACGTTGTGTGTTGGTTTCGTTGCCGATAACTGATTATATCGGACAACGGAAAGAGGATAAAAACTTCACTGGAGGTAGAAGTTCCTCGACGGAAAAAAAGCAAGATGAAAAAGCATTGAAATAATAAAATTCCAGGACAATAAACATCAAGCAAAAAAAGTAGTTAAAGCAAAAGCAATCAAGTAATGGTTTGGTTCCAAATAATGGGACAGACGAAGGTTAAATTAAATCAAGATGCTGGCTCGCTTGCTAAGTTTGGTCACAAAAAATGATTGAAGAATATTTCGATGATGAGATAAATGACATAGTAGATACTGATGATGATGATGATAATGACGATGATTGATGATGAGGCATGATAAAGTCGTAGTCGTTTCGGTTTGCGGCGTGAGCAGCGTCAGGTCTGTTGATAAATTTTGGCGCGGGAGCGCATTCGAACAAAAGTGTATGAACAAGTAGTAATAATAAAAAAGAATTCCAATAAATAAATCGAAGAAAGTTTCCAACACGATGAAATAATATCCCAAAAATTTGACGAAGAAATTGTAGTAGTAGTAGTAATGATCTGGATCTGGTTTATAAAAAATTCGTTCGTTCTTCGTTTCGTTAAACCAAAAATAATATTGGGTGAGGCTGGTTTGTTCTCGTTCTCGGTCTCGTTAAGTCATTAATAGATAGAAGGAAAGAAATCATGTATGTATGTTGAATGCGTATCATCGTCATGAGTTCATATCGTTTCCTCCAGCTGCTGTAGCGGCGGTAGAAGCCGTCGGGTGCTGAGGCCCACCGGCGTTATTGCACTCAGCAACCATCTTGGCGAAGTTTCGCACTACGTCGCCGGGGATCTGGTCCCATAGTAACGATCGCGTGTATACCTCGGCCGCGGATTGCTTCTCTTGGTTGCGCATAGTGTTTAGGGTCTCGGCGATGTTCCGACGCCCTTGACTTTGCGTCCGCGATGGTGGCGGTGATCGTAGGAAGTCTTGCGACGTTACACCGTTGTATTGCGCCGGTGTGAGCGAGAAGATCTGCTCATTCGTCTGCTCCTGCGTCGGCTGCGTGAGTGAGTCTGCTAGATCACCAAGCATAGACGGTGCGACACCATCCATACTGCCACCGGCCATCGGGACCGAAGCTGTCGAAGTCCAGTCCGCATTGCCGGATGGTTGGGGGCCAGCCGGTACGATGGCGCTTTCGGGTGTGTTGGCGACGCCTGCATCCTTGAAGATGTTGTTGAGAAGCGTCGCTGAGGCCTCGCGCACATCTTCCGACACGCGTGGGATGGTCGGAGAAGTAGACCTGTTGGACAGGACAAATGCGCCGACGAGGAAGAGCATGAAGAGGAGACCGCCTTGGGTGGTGGACTTGTCGACATCGGACGGAAGCGAGACTTCGGGCTTCTTCTGGGGAACAATCTGGAGCTCTTGTTTGACCTCGGGCTCCATCGGGAACTCGTTCATGAATCCCATGTTCTCCCATGAAGTGTCCATAGTCAAGGTGTCCATGTCGCTGAAGCCGTTGTTGTAACCCGTGTTGCTGGGCATGGCGGCGTGCTCTAGTCTTTGGACGTGGTCGGTGAGTACACTGATCTTCTTGCGCAGGTCGCCGGTCTCGATGGTGTGATTCCGGATCAACTCTTCCTTCTCTAAGGACAAGTTCTCAACGTGCGCTACCAGGAACTCCCGCTCTTGCCTCTCTCGTTCCAGCTTGAGAGAGAGATCATTCATTTCCTCTTCCATCTGGCTGATCATGCTGGTGTAGTGCTTCTTCTCATCCTCCAATCTCTCAGTGTGCATCTTTTTCCTTTGCCTCGAGTCAAGCGCCGCTTGCCTGTTACGTAGTAACCTCTTCTGTTGCTTCAGCTCCTTGATCTCCTGCTCGTCAGTAGTAGAGGCGATGAGTTGATCAATGTTGCCGAGGTTGCGCTCCGCCGGGATGTCGAATCTGGCGTTCTTCTTGCGGATGCCATCGCCGCGGCGCAATTCGTTGTGCGACCGAAGCGTCGGCGTGTCGGGCCGCATGCGCTTAACCAAAGAAGGGTTCTTTAAGTCCTGACCCATCCAATCCTTATCTTGTGTCGGGATGGAAGTGTTGTTAGGACCAACGGAGGCGAAGAGAGGTACTTGATGTGTGGGGTTGCTGAAGGGTGTTTGCATCTGGAGAGGTCGTTGTTGGAAGATGGACTGGTTGTTGTCGAAAGCAGTTTCGAGGCCGTCATATTGTAACGGCGTGCATGTCCCGGAGCCTTGACCCATAGACCATTGCTGATTTTGCGTACCGTATGTGGTTTGCGAGGGATCAGCTCTCGTAAACGGGTTGTTGCTGTTTTGTGGCTCTAAGAAAGGGTTATTTGACGGGACGGACTGCATGTCGACTGATTGCCAATCTCCAACTTCGGTCTTGGGCGAGAATATCGAGCCCGGCACAGCGAACGAATCTCTTCGGCTACCTGCCATGGGCGGCGACATGTCTAACCCCGAGTCGATTGCGCTGCTGTCTAGTATGTTTTCGTCGAGGATATTGCTGTCCTCTTCGTCAAAGTACTTCTGCGCATGATTTGTGTCGACAGATAAGTGATTCGGCCGGTAAAAGGCCTGCATCTGAAATGTTGAGACCATGACGGTCTAATGTGTGAATGTGTGTGGGTGTGGGTGGAGGATGTGGATGTCTTGGAAGAGGGATACGAGAGTTTTAAGAAACTCTTCGGGGATTGTGTACAAAATAGTCGTCGAAGAGGTCCGGTTTCTGGTTCTGCAGGGTTGTATTGTTAGTGTATCGAGCGGTGAACAAGAATAGATGGGACTAGTGTCGGTGTCCGATTCCTTTTTTTTTTTTCTTTTTTTCCTCTTTTATTCCAAATCGAGTCTTAACTATGGATAACACGGACCCAGTTTGAGACGATGATTAAGAGTATAAAGTATGTGTGAATGTATGAGAGTGAAGTGAGGAAAAAAGTGTGTGAGAGAGTGAGGTATGTGTGTTTGAGTTGTATGCAAGCTTAGGTAGGTATGGGTATGTATAAGGGTATGCGGGACGTTATGTGTAAGTTGCTATTGTGGGAAGACAATGGGAAGGAGGGGAATGTTGCAATGGTGAGTGAGAAGCGATAAGAGGTTGGTTGGTTTTTTGGAGAGGTGTGTGGTGGTCGTAGTGGTTGTAGTGGTAAGATGGGAGTAGGTAGTAGTATTGGTTATGGTAGTATTGTAGTGTTGATAGGTAGTGGCGGCGGGGTGAAGAACATGCAGGGTGGGAAAGATATGGAGAGCGTCGGCAACTTTTAATAAATAATAAAAACAATAAAAAAAAGAGGGAAACCAAAGGTGGGAGGGGAGGAATAATACCTGTGTTACTACACAAGAGCAAAGCAGAAAAAAAAAACAATTCAACTTACCAGCTTCTCTTCTTCGGCTAGAGTCTTTCGTAGGTGTGAGTCTGAAGTATGTCTCTTGTGTCTGTGTGTGTATAATGCCGTAGTATGAGTGTGTCGTACTAGGTAGTAAGGTAAGGTAAAAGTAGGTAAAGAGGTATGTTATGTTATCTTCGGCCTGGGTCCGTCTTACAAAGAATATGTATGTAAAACAGAGCGAATGTAAAGAAGGGGACGAGGTGGGTGTAATAGATGCTGCTGGGAATCGCGTGATTCACGATCTTAACAACAATCTGGATGTTTTTTCTTATAAGATATTTCCTTATGGTCGGGGGGGCGATATTGATGGGGGGTGGAGGAATGCCCGTCCTACTTAAAGCAGAGTGTGGTCAGGTTCTTTCTCAGAAGACGGGGGTGTCATTTTTCAAATGCTTTTAGTGGGGAAAATAAAAAAGAGATGCCCATGAGCCATGAGGACGTACTGCAAGGACTGCCAGGTGCTGGGACTGACGAACGAACGAAATCTACTCTTTGGGTTCGCGCGCTGCTATGCCCATGATGGTGTGGGAGGGAAGAGGGACGTGGGTATGGTCCCTGGTAGGTACAACCGTTACTGGTTACGGGGGGGTGTGTGTGGGCGATATGGATGCTGTTCCGGTTTACTGGTGATCCTCAGCCAAGAGACTACCTAGGTACTCTTCCCTTTTTCTCCACCGTTCAACTCGTTCCATTCGTTTAACTAGACCCCAAGTCCGTTTTACGCTCCCGAAAGATATTCCTGTGGAACAATACGTAAATTTCAAGTACATGAATACATCGAATACATAGTACTCTGATACTCAAGAAAAGAGAGAACATCGAAAGATAGCCCAGCTATACGGTTGGGTGGGTTTGTTTAGAACGGGGACGGGAAGGGCTTACAAGATCCCTGACTAACATAGAATAGTATAGCTGCCTCCAGCCACTAGGATACGTACCACCGGTCTTGCAGCTTAGGAAATCCTGTTACGGTAGAGCAGCGGATCACTGTAAGAAAATCAGTACAAGAACGCCCCCAGGTACTCCGATCACCCTTCCCCGACTGGATGGATCGAACAAATAGCATCGAGAATGGGCTTGTTTATGCTGACGGGATGGAGTTCGTCGAAGACCCAATGGCCTCTTAGTTAGAAAACGGAAATACTTTACATTTACCGTTTACGAACAAGCTAAAAAAGACTATAGGTCAGAAATGCTTAGCCTTGGAAGGTTGGGCATCAGTGACCTTGGGTGCAATCCAGATTGCTACCTAAAGTCCTGAACCCATGCACTCACGAGCGCCCATCTCTCACCCACTAACAACCTTTGGACAGCATCTTGGGCTTCCTATTGCTCAGCGGCCCATGGTGGGGTGATAGAATCAAAAATCTTTCTGCTAGGCATTCGCACTTACGAGTCCCATATCGGTCGATATGTACATATCTACCTAGCATTCAATAGACACTACTGCTTTTGACAGCGAAAGTCCCTTCCCGAGACGTATAGTATGTACATAGTAGTCGAAAAATATTCTTGGAGTAAGTAACTACTTGCGCCTAAGATTTCAATATGGGCGACGGGTAATGGGGGTGATGATGGGCGCTGTAAGATGACGAATGCACACCAACCTTGCGATACGGACGTATTTACAGGACCAAGCCCGTGCCATACAAAAGCGTGATGAGCTTCCCCGAGCTCCTACTGGAGACCTGTCAAAAGCTCCGGATACAGATGTTAGAGTCCGAATCAACCAGCTACAGTCACATGATATTATTAACCCATCCGGTCTCACTGGGTCCTGTTTGTTGCTGCTGCGCCTGAGCTTGAGACATAAACATAAAGATTGCAGCCCGATAGTTGTGCATCCCGAGGAGTTCTTACTGTCATAGTCATGACTTGGCCGCTTCTTGCGTCTCGAGGCGAAGCGCGAAGCAAACATATACTCACTCATTGACTGAACTGCGATGCGCTGCACTGCACTGACTACATACGCTATACTTAGAAACCGCGAAAAGGAAGCGATGCCGCGCCGTTCAATGACCTAGTTTGTTAGTAGATCACGAAGTAGTTACGAGCTACGGACCGCAGCCGATTTATTGCGCCAAGAGAAAAAAAAGAGGCCATTCTAAGATACTGTCTGTGTTTTCCGCACGCTTCCCTACACTCTCCCCTACGGTACCATGCTCAGATCTCGGAACGGGACGACGGGAGTAATCAAGTGTCACATTAAAAGCGAGACCGGGAGCCTGGGGCCGATCTTTTCTTCAAACCCATGCTTGGAAGCGACTCTGTTACCACCTCTCGGCATCTCGTCGGTTACCTGAATGGAGAAATTGATGTCCTCCGTTCGGCGATTGTTCAAAAATTGCAATCCTCCAAAACTTCCGCGGCCCCTTATGAGTCAGTCTGAAAAATAAATGAAGAAACGATTCAATCTAGTTTGACTTGGCTTGGTTCAATTCGCGAGATTCTTGCGGTGAAGACGATCTTTGTCAAATAACGTTAAAAATAGTCAAGAATAGTGAAGGGCTAGGAAGGAAACTTGAGCACAGACGATGGGTCCAACTGGTAAAATCCACGATTCCTCGTAACGGATTTGATACGATGGATCTTCATCCCCCTGCTGACGGGCGGGTCTTCCGGGGCTAGGGTCTAAGACGCTATTGAACATTCGGGAGGAGGAAGAAAAAAATATTAGCAATTTGGAAGAATCGTCTGGATATCGGATATCCCATCAAGTAACCAGGTAGTAAGTAGGTAGCTGGTGTGTGTATTGATCTTATTGTGGCCCTAGTAAGAACAGTGACGCGAATACACACCAACGATAACAACAATTATCAATCAAGATGTGCTCAGCCACTGCGTATCGTATATAGAGAAGAAGGAAGGGATAGAGCAGCCAACAAGAAAATCGTCCGCTTTCGAGAATGACGCACAGTTGTAGATCCCGACGAGTTTTAGTTAACGAACGCCTCGTGGAGGATTCGTTTGAAGATGTCTACAAAGAGGACCCATCACGGGAACGGTTAATCGGATGAAAAGCCAAGGGGGTCTGTTATAAGTAGATGATTTGAGAATGGTAGGCATGGCCGAACTTATCAAAACGCAGCCTGGCCCTGTCAGCAAAAGAAGAACCGTTACAGCTATTCCTGCGAGCTACTATGTATGACCTGGTTTTTGGTGATCATGAGCCCAGGAACGCTTGCAGCCACGACAGCCAACCGGGGAAATGATGAATAAACTTGGTCGTTGGCGACAACGCTATGTAAGACGGATTGACGCCTGAATGATACGAATTAAAGCTTGGTGGTGATCAGCTCTAATCGGTTCAATCCGAGAGACGAAGCGCGAAGGAGATGCTTCAAACGCACGTGCTTCCCATTGCTACTATTGCTACTACTGTTGCTACCGTTGCTAAGAAAAGTGTTCGCCCCGTGTGAGCGATTGGCTATGAATTATGCATCCTCTTGCAGGTCGGCTGAGAAGCCAGGCCACGCTTGGCGCGGGCGCGATTCTGCTTCCTACCCGCGATACGCTATATCGCAATATTGAGAGTCCAAACCCGGTTAAGCATGAATTGGATGCTTCTAGATCAAAACAAGAAGTGTAAGAGGGTAACTTTGGGCTTTTTCGTCTGTTTTTCCATGACGCACTAACGAGTTCACCACTGGGCGCGACGCGGTGTGGACGAAACAGGCCGATTTGGTTGGAGCGGAGCTCAATTAATCGTGCTACCTACACCGACTGTGGCTCCCTATTCCGATATACCGACCTAGATGTACTGGATGCAATGGATGGATGCTCTTCTGTTTTTTTTGTGCACTTGCCCAGAATGGAACAGCGTCTCGTTAGGCACGAACCGCACACCACATGCAGAGTTGTGACAACTAGCGGGCCGAGTTTTATGCGGCCAGTCGCACATAAGATTGATCACATCCCCTTCTGGTACGATCTGAAGAGAATGAGAGGACGGATTCGGGGCTGATGGAGAACACTAACTTCAACTGCCCTCGCCAGAGCCTGCCGAGTTGCAAGACATTGCGCCTGCTCGGGACTCCCAAGACAGAACAAGTATAGCTCGTAATCGGCGGTGAGTAGTATTTTGACCCTTTGGGCCAACCAGCTTTCAAACCATCGATCCTAGCATGGAGTACTACGACTGATAGTCAAATACGAAACCATCGTTTGTGCCCAAAGGGATAGGGAATCAGGGCGTGATGGAGACTTTTCCATGAAAATGTCGATTTTTTGAGATGATCACTAAGCCTGTCATGGTTGTTTATGGCAGCTCATGGTGGTTCGTGGAGTACCTATGTATCCTCCAAGACTCCAAGAGCTGCTCAATGCGACTGTGTATTTGTTCAATGTTGATGTGGACATCTTCGGAGGAAGAAAATGGGGCCCTTTGACCCTTTGCCTGCCTGCCTCGAGCTAGCGGCTTGTTTCTCGCGCCAGTTTCTGAGATCTGAAGTTTTCATCGGAGACCTGCAGCTCTCATCGCCAGTAAGGTACCGTCTGGCTCCACCGGCCACATGCGACATTACGTTCGACAATCTGCACCAAGGACCCCGATAATTGCAGCTTGCAACATGCCTAAAAGGGGGGGGGAAAGAATAATGAGTCACATTTACCTCAATTTGTTGTCACACAAAGCGATGTCGCCGTTTTGTTGCTGTCTTCGTTCAATTGTCATTTCATTCATTTTTTTTCTCTCTGCCAAACTGATTGAAGTTCCTGTTTGCTCTAAGAGAAAAAAGGTCAGGGTTAGTTAGGCTTTAGCCAACATGGCGGTGTAGCCACGAGCCCCCGAGAAACCTTGCGCGGCTTGTCGCCGGACCAGGGAGTTCTTTTGAAAATAATATACTCGGCATACGGTTGAATCCTTCCCATGAGTTTCAACCACTCATTTCGTCGGAACCTGAGCATTCTGAAACGTATTTCTCGCCCAACATGAGCACCTGAAATAGTGTTTTCTCCACCTCGCGTTACGTAGGGCAAAGTGGAGTTATGTTTGAGGCTGCGCGTCAAAGTAAATTTCAGAAATCGAACGATGTGCAGCAGGTGTCATTCAGTACCTTGCGTCAGCGTTATTTCGAGTAGTACAATGGTGGTAGCACCAAGTCGCAAGGAACCGCGAAGAAAGACGAGGATGCTCTAACAATGCTTTGCGACCTCGAGCTGAAAAATAGGGTCCGCGATGATGGCATTGTAACCAGCCGGAAGCGGTGAGTGGCTTCGTATCAGGATAATCCCATCTCCTCGGCACCGACCCGTTATTCCGTAGAATAGATGGCGTAAGCAATTTCGGGTCAATCGCTACAGCATTTTGGAGACGAATGGGACTAGAATTTTGGAAGCTGGACCACAGAATAGTCCCCAGTTCTACTCGGTACCAGAAGGCGCATTCCCTTAGGCTGTACGAACGATCTGAGCGACGATCATTTGAAGTCCCACAGCTTGGCTAAAAGGTTATCCTCAGCTCCAGACGTAGGATCCTGTGGTAGGAACACCCTCTTGGGAATCATGAACTCCACAACAGGAGCCTTTTTGACTTGCTTGGATAGTTCGGCATCGAGTAACTAGAAATTCGTAAGCACTTTGTGGACTTGATACACATACTGGGGAGTACAATTGACTTACGCTGCTATACGAATGATCCAAGAAATCCTCGATATTGTAGGACTGTTTAGTGAATTGCTCCGATATTATTTTCGCGATGGTCGCAACATTCGGGTGATAGTGCGACTGTAGCTGAACAATTTCCCATAGACAGCTATCAATCGCGCACGTCTCCATTGGATCCTCTTCGTCGGAAATGAAGGGGTCTTCCATCCCTTCATTTTCCAGGGTCTCCTTCTCTTTCGCGGTCCTTGGAACGCGATGCATCATGAAAGTGCAAAGCGGATGCTTTTTGAATAGATTATACATCCAAGGTATGACCACAACGATGGCGGCAGGGGGTGCATTGAGGCACAATCTTGCCATTCGCTTGATGAAACTTGCGACAAGGACAGCGGGAAGATGCGTCGAGGACAGGAACGTGTCCAACAATCGAAAGAACCGGGATCGGTGCTTTGAATGCAGAATATTCGCGTCTAATAACGAATACAATTTCCGATAAAAAGACGGATAGTCTAAATTGCGCTCTTGTATCAGATAAAAGACTCCTGATAAAGCCAAGAGCGAAGTCGCGCCTCCCGTGTTATACGAATCCGTCAAGAAGTCCATTAGAAGCTCCGGCTTCGTGAACCATGGGGCAATTGACTTGGTCATGATTTGAAGTAATTTCTTTCGCTGATCTCGATTGGGACCCAAACTGAGCAATGCTAACCACGCTTCTTGTGCCACTTTCTTCTGTTGATTGAGGGATGTGACGGGATGAGACTTCTTTTTCGGCGCATCGATATAATATTCGCCCATCTCTTCCGCAGAACTTGGAACGTCATCGAAAAAAGATAAAACGTCGAATACGTCATCGAAGAGGGTATCGTCAGAAGATATTGGAAGGTCCGCGGATAGAATATCTCTGCAAGCGAATTAGTATTTGAAGCGCATTTCGAATGGAAACAGATCACCTACTTCAACGCCTTGAAAGTATAGAACCGTACATCCGCATACTCTCCGAGAAACTTTTCGCAGAACTCTTGTCTCACGTCTTCAGATTCACTTTGAATAAGAGCCTCTACTACTTCTTTTAGGAAGCCCTTCGGGAAGTTGTATTCATCCTTCTCGTTCGAGTATTTCCCTTCGGCTTGTAAGACGCGCATAGCCAAAGTGAGTGCGGTCGGAGCTGAATCTTCTTGGCCCAATTCAGAAACAATGATTTGCTTGTAATCGCTGAGCTTTGCTTTAAGCCATTGGACAACTACGATATCCTTTTCCGACTGGCCGTCCCGTCTTGCTAGATTACCTGAAGCAAGAAGTCGCAAGAATACTCTGCATAAAGAAACCAATGCAAGCTGGGTAGATTCATCGTCGCTGTCTTTTCGCATAAGCTCGAGGAGGGTCGTTATGTTATTATAATTCTTCTTAGACTCGAGAATTGCATTTTCTAGTAGGAGAATCTCGGCTTGAGGATCGTGTTCATCATCGCTCTCTGCTTTGGCTCGTTTCGTAGCTTTTTCGGCGGTTTTCGATCGTTTCCTTTTTAAGGAGTCATTCCCAACAGTTCCCGGCATTTTCGTAAAGTAAGTTGAAGTCAAATGCCTGAGCGAATGTTGATGTAAAGTGGAATGTAAGAGAAGAGGAAAAAAAAAAACTTAGATTATTTCCAGCCTTGAGAAAAGTACAATGCAAGGCTGACCCGTGAACCAATTTTGAAGTGGAGAGCAACCGGCTAATCACGTGCCAGACTAGCCAATCACAATGGTGGATTGGAAGTTGCTAGGGTGCCAAGTTCAAGTTGCAAGTTCCGTTAAAACCTCATCGTCCTCAATTCCGAAGCTCCATTATACAAGCAATAATTAATTCTATCCCCCCTCACCCTCCGAAGCTTTTCTTTCTTGTTATCATCTCACAATGGCCTCCCGCTTGGCTGCTCGTGCCGTCGGTAAGTTTTACAATATCAATTGATTCATGTACCAGAACTCATTCCGAATTTTGTAGGGGCCGCCCGCCTACGACCGTCAATCGTTCCGCGATCTCTTCCCGCAGTCACCACTTCTCTAACCGCGAGTCGACCGGCCTCCAACGTCCCCGAGCCCAAGGCGAAGGCGCAATCCATCATCGACTCTCTACCGGGTAACTCCCTCATCTCCAAGACCGCCATCCTATCCTCCGCCGCCGGTCTATCCATCTATGCCATCAGCAACGAGTACTACGTCGTGAACGAGGAAACCGTCGTCGCCTTCTGTCTGCTCAGCGTCTGGGGCGCTTTGATCAAGTTCGGAGGGCCGCTATACCGAGAATGGGCCGAGGCGCAGAATGAGAAGATCAAGAACATCCTGAACTCGGCGCGTGCGGACCACACCCAGGCCGTCAAGAACCGCATCGAGAACGTCCAGCAGATGAGCGGCGTCGTCGACATCACCAAGGCCCTCTTCGAGGTCTCCAAGGAGACCGCCCAGCTCGAAGCCCAGGCTTACGAGCTCGAGCAGTCTACCGCTTTGGCCAACGAGGCTAAGACTGTGTTGGATTCGTGGGTGCGATACGAGGGACAGGTTAAGCAGCGCCAGCAAAGGGAACTAGCCGAGTCTATCATTGCCAAGGTAAAGAAGGAGCTTGAGAACCCTAAGGCTCTTCAGCAAATCCTACAACAGAGCATTGCCGACGTAGAGAGTAAGTTCCATTTCCCATTGCTTTAGGTTCAATTGCTATATACTAACTACTTTCTAGGAATTGTGTCCTCCAAGGCTCAATAGACAAGATCAGTTTAGACAGATACTCCATGGCGCAGATAAGATTTCCTTTGTGCCCCCTTACAATGTGTTTATAAACACCCTGTGCATTAGTCAACCAAAAAGAAACCTATCTTGAAAAGATTCCACCTCTCAACCTATTGTGATTAAAGCTACTCATGCGGTAATATCTATTTGTTTAGTGGTTTTCCGTAATGACGTGACGGCGAGGGTTGAAAATGCATGGGATACCAGGGTGTGGGGAGTAATTTTGATAGAATAATTGTCACTAAGAGCAACATAATGTCCATCATCGTCAGTTGTGTGGATAAAAGCTCAATATCTCCGTACCAAACCAACTCCAAGCCATTGATCCCCCTTATCGGATGGTATTCTATGAATTGCGTTCATCTACCTTTTCCATTCCACTTCTCAACAAGACCAATGGTCCATTCCCCGAGCTTCCGACCACCCTGCGGCAACAATTGATTGCTACTACGAAGAATATCAATGACCTTCTCGATTGCGTCGGTCGGCAGAGTGATATCTTGTACATCCGATGTCATAGAGTCTAGCAAAGTGTCTGCTTGACTTTGGCTAACCATCCGGTAGAAAACCTTCACTGCTTGGACGGGAGAGTTTGCTTCTTCGGTCGAGGAGAATGTGATGTTGTTATTAAAAACCCAGATATTTAATAAGGGTTTGGTTAAGCCGTTTGCTTCCGAGTCATCCTTAACTGGTTGGTCTTGGGATTTCATCGGTAGTATGATGGACTTTGAGCAACCCGAGCGGGCCATGGTAGCAAGTAACATAGCACTGATACAATGAGAAAGCCTTGGCGGCGTAGTGATCCCTTGAGCCTGTTCGTCGACTTGGATTTGCCATTTAAATAGGGAAATGGAAGCTTCTTGGTCATTGAGTACTCCTAGCTGGTTTTTACAAGAGCTGCAGAATATAGGTCGATCGTCGGTTTGAGCGGATTCTCCATTCTTGGATACAATCTCATGTTCTTCAGATTCCGACTTTAGATCTGACGATACGATTTTGGTGATCTACAAAAGCTTGCATTAGCAAAGCTTTCAAGAGGCAATTTCTGGAATTTATATTATGCTAGTGCTAGACTTAAATAACTATAATATGCAACAAATGTGCCTCTGAATAATCCAGAAATTTCCCACGTCCAAGGAAACCCATAGTGAAAAGCAGAGGATTCTTCCAATATGCGGTGTCAATCCCATAGCCTAAACCTAGGGTTCGACATCCGCATACCGAGAAAGAATATAGGTCAGTCTAGGGTATGAGTATCGGTGACCATACCATTGACGAGCTAGAAAAGCTGGTCTGGCCACCTTCTATATACCCATTTGTAACATTAATGAGATAAGACACTTACGGCTGATGTAGAAATATCCGTGCTGGATAGTAGAAAGGAAGTGAGATCGACAAACCCGACGTTTGTTTGAGCTGATATCTTGGAGCTCGCGCCATATCCTTTGGAAGTGAGATTATCGTCTTCGTGTCCATGGCTATGGTCGTGCGGCTTATGGCAATGCCAAAATTCCATCATCTCAGCCCAATTCTCACTTGGAAGATCCTTCCATACTTTAATCGTTCCAGACTGGACGATAGTGGTATGGCATGTTCTGCATGTGACGGGCGACTCTGGTTGAAGGTCGTTCGCAGACCACGGCACATTTTGTTCTTCTGTTATGGGTATTATAGGACGGTTTAAAGCCGTCGCGAGGGGTAACCGCCATGAGAGGCTTTGCGCCTTCAGATTCGGTATGGGAAGCTGCTTGTTTACAGCTACCCGTTCTGGGAGTCGAAGGGATCTCTCTAAGCCATCGTGATTGACAGTGAGTACCAGGCCATCGGACGAAACGGTGGCTCTAGTATCAGGCGAAATAGGAGTACTTAACGAACACCCGACGGAGACTTGCTTTATATTTGAGAGAAGTTCGGCATATATAATAACTGGGTGTGGTACACTCATGTTGCAAGGCTCCGGAAATTTGTTGAACGTGTTAAGAATCTTGGCGTGGTGCAAATATGTGTTATTTTGATAATGCACAGACCAAGGTGAACGGTATTTAGTTAAAGTGCATAGGCTAGCATCGCGATATCTCGGCATAAGATCGAAGCACCGCTTTCCGTACTGATTTTATACTCAGGCAAGCTCCATCTTGGGTATTTTTTATTCTATTATGCTCGCATTGAGTATTCGACGAATAGAATATATTAAACATTGTCTTTGCTGCAACTTAGTATCTAATGGGAAGAAATATGGTGGTACAATCGAACGAATCACGGTTACCGAATTCATAATTCGGTACTTCGCTTAATGCATACTTGCATACCTTGACTTACATAAATGGCATCTCCAGATCACACGGCACTACGTCACTTTCAACTACGCCACTTCAACTTCAAAAACTTCCAATTCATAGTCGTGATGCTCTAATCTGAAATTCAAAATGGCTTCAATGTTTTCCTATGTTCCTATTGTGAATCGATTCGTCTCTAATTCGAGTCAAACTCGAACCATCAACATCCCACCTGTTGAGGTTCACAATGTGGAGACGGCAGCTGAGAAACGGCCTAGAACACTGAAACATTTGTTGAGGGCAAACCATGTCAACCACTCTATTCTCTATCACGACTTGGAGTTTCATAATCACCTACCGCATATCCTAGGCTCTGCTTATCTCCTAGGAGCCGACGTGCCGCATTTGCACAAAATCTACGATGTAGAAGCCCAAGAGCTTGAGCCGTGGAAACCATCACCAGCCGAAATAGTCCAGGATGACTGGAGAGATTTCCTGGGAGATGCGAAGTATCAGCGTGCATATGTCGATTTCTTCGAGGATTCTTTGGCCTTGAGGCACAATTACCAATGGAAGGGGGTCGTGGAAGAATATTTATATGAGGGGCAAGAGCCTTTAGTGAACTGCCTATTTGGCGGTCGTATGTTTCCCATCATCCGAAAACACAGCCTCTGAATTAAGATGACTAACTAATTGTACTAGTCGGCCATCCTCTCATCCATCTCGCATATGCCTATGAGGTGGATAATCGTGAAGTTGCTATGGAGGCTCTTGGCATGACCGCCACTCAATATAACTTCCTGCATAAGTATATTGATGACTCTTCTTACACTAAGCCTTCTCCGATCAAGCCAGCTTCGCCATTGGAACTATTTATCAAACTACATGATGACAAACGTCTGGATGGATTGTTTGAGAATTCTGGACCCGAAAACATCGGCCCATTGCTTGAGAAGCAAGAAGACATCGTCATGGAATACTGGAACGCATGGACTCTCGAAAACCCAGAGAAAGATTTCGAGTTATCACAAGAGGCCGCGGTCGCCTTCTTAATTGCATCAGTACCTCCCGGAACCCATTCATATAATTTCTTCATTTGCCACGTGCTCACAACAAGCCACGCCGTTAGGATTATGCTTCCATTCATACCAGCAGAACACCGCATCAACCTTGTAAGACAATGGTGGTTGTTTGCTATTACTGTCTATGTCGCTGAACTCCGCCCGAAAATCGACCCCGATTACATCCCACCGGGTGACGGGAGCCAAAAGCAATGGGACTACGTAGTGGACAAGGCGCTGAATGGTGCTTATTCCACTGATGCTCATTACGTGAAAGGTGAATTCTTTTTCAAGCCCAGCTAAATTAAGCTAAATTATTCTTATACTAATTCGATATAGCCCTGCGTGCCATCAAGGAAGCGGCTATGACTTGGGGAGACGTTCACTCGCGCTACCTGGCTGCCGCCATACGATTCGCTGACGATTTCGAGGGTTGGACGTTTTCGTAATTTATAGCTCTCATTTCTGGTTTGGGTCATGATTACGGCGCAATAAGCTTGTACAAACTATGGGAAATATGGGATCAAATTGATATCTTGATTCATGATATGATATGGATGACTATATACTGACCACGATCGTTCCATTTCAAAAAGGTTCAGGACAAAATGGCTGACAGCAAAAGGAATTGAAAATTATCTAAGTTAGCACTATAATTTTAGCGTCTTAGTGAAGCTATGTAGATCCAACTCTAAAATAATAAGTTTATGTGCTTAGTGCTGATGCTCAGGGCATATGCAAGTTTAATTGGTTAGTCACATGATGTCGCATCCAAGTTACAGCGGGTTGGATCGCTAAAGAGACGCGCTACCGGGGCACTCGCGACGGAGGTTCCAGTGGGATGGTAATGACGGAAGGTACCTACCATTAGAAACCTAAATTTCAACTCTCAGCCGCTCTGCAGTTCGTAACTTTCGTCAACAACAAATGCTAACATTAAACTTAACTTAACTTGTTCGATAAACATCCGAAATCTTGAACTGATTTCGATTGGTCCAGAAAAATAGTTCTAATTTCCGACCGCTGGATCCGTTTCAAATGTGAACAATTACAAACTCACTAGCAGATGTCGTGCCTCCATTTCCTATCCAATCGTCATGGCGCCGCCCACCAAGCGTCGCCGACGAAATGTCGCTCACACATCGTCGGACGATGAACAGGAAACAGCAAAACCAAAGACCAACCTATTTTCAAATTACCTCTTCTCTTCACCCGAAAAACCGAGTGCTTCCGCCGCAGACCCCTCTCGGGCCACTCCCACCTCGCCGAGTCCTGTTCGAAAACCGTCTCGCCCACTAGCTTCTCAACCTTCCATTCCAGCTTCAAAGTCCCTCCAATCAAGTAAAAATGGACTTAAGAGCGCCAGTACAAGCCCAGAGAAACCGAAAACTCGGTCTTTCGCGAAGGGCAAGCGTGGTGAAAAAGAGAAGACGGCGGATCTGGTGACTATGTTTTCTCGACAGGCACAACGGGCCCCTACGGTGTCGCCGACTAAGAGAGACGACATCATTAGCGACCCGATATCCGACGATGACAATGTGGGGGAACATAGGGCTTCGAGTGCCAGCCAAGTTGGTCAGAATGCTCGTAAACGGTTCCGAGGGGCTACTCAGCAGAGTAGTAGTAGTTCGGCAATTATGTCGAGTCAGAAGTTTTTGAAGCCACCTCGGCCCCAACAAGACTCTAGCACGGGCGACGAACAACGGCCATGGTCTGAGCGATTCGGCCCGGTGAACCTGGAGGAGCTTGCGGTACATAAAAAGAAAGTCGCGGATGTCCGTCGGTGGCTTGAAGATGTCATGGCCGGTCGGATGCGACAACGGCTGCTTATTCTGAAGGGCGCTGCCGGGACGGGGAAGACTACTACAGTGCGGCTCCTTGCTAAGGATATGCACTGCGATCTTCTCGAGTGGCGGAACCCAGTTGGCTCTCTAGGCGCGACTCAAGGTATACAGTCAGCTTCAGCGCAGTTCGAAGAATTCATGGGAAGAGGAGGGAAATTTGGACAATTAGACACGGATCTTGACCCGACCCCTCCAAGTACCAGCAAGAGTAGTAATGATGATAATACGAGGAAGATCATCCTTATTGAGGAGTTTCCAAATACCTTCACTCGGTCATCGACATCTTTAACGGGTTTTCGAAGTACTATTTTACAGTACTTGGCCACGAATACGCCTTCCCTCGCTTCATTTGGTCGGCAGTCATCCGTAGACCCTATTACACCTATTGTTATGGTCATATCAGAGACACTCTTAACTACTACTTCGGCGTCTGCAGATAGTTTTACCGCTCACCGGTTATTAGGACCGGAAATCACGCGGCATCCCGGCTGCTGTGTTATTGAATTCAATGCTATTGCGCCCACTCTCCTTGCGGGCGCACTTGAATTAGTGGTTCAAAAAGAAGCCCGGAAATCTGGACGACGGCGGACACCGGGTCCACTTGTTCTTAAAAAGTTAGGCGAAATAGGAGATATAAGAAGTGCAATCTCTTCACTAGAGTTCCTGTGTCTTAAAGGCGATACGGATGCAGATTGGAGTTCTAAGGTCACATTCACAAAACCCAAGCGCGGAGCGAAAAATGAAGTATCCATGACGAAAGGTGAAATAGAAAGCCTGGAGCTTATTTCACAGCGAGAAGCCAGCTTAGGCATCTTCCACGCTGTTGGAAAAGTGGTTTACAATAAGCGAGACGAACGCCCGATGAGCCAGCAAACACCCGAAGGCCGTGCTGAAATGCTACCTGATTATATGAGTCATTACTCGAGGCCGAAACGGTCTGAAGTTTCCGTTGATAGCCTTATTGACGAGACTGGTACTGATACGCATACCTTCATCTCTGCCCTTCATGAGAATTATGTTTTGTCTTGCGAATCAAGTGGGCCCTCTGATCCGAACTCATCGCTCGACTACATTAACAATTGTATCGAGTACCTCTCAGAGAGCGATCTGCTTTCACCATCATGGGATGTCTTTTTCCGAGGGCGGGGGTCTAACACATCCTCGTTTTCGGGACGAGATTCAGCTAGTCACACATTAAGACAAGACGAAATCACTTTCCAAGTTGCGACGAGGGGCCTCTTGTTCTCTCTCCCGAACCCCGTAAAACGCATGGTAAAATCTTCTGGACGGGGTGGTGGCGATGCTTTCAAAATGTTCTATCCCACAAGTCTCAAGCTCTGGCGGGAAAAAGAGGAATTAGAAGGTGTTGTAGACCACTGGGCGTCGACGATCCTTAAAGGCGACGAAACTGGCCAGAATATCACACAAGGTGCTTCTGCGTTTAGAAGACCTAAACCAAATGCTAGTGGTTCAGAATGGCTAAGTAAAAGCCAGGCTTCTCAACGGAATAATAGTCAATATTCCCAATCCCAATCCAAGGGATTTACACAAAGCCAAAACCAAGACCAACCATCAACACCCCTTCTCTTTCTAGGTAGCTCAGCGCGCAACGAATTACTCCTAGAACGGCTCCCGTACATGGCACACATAGCGCGCGGGCGTAGAAGCGCCGTAGGTAATGTCCGGCTCAAGGAAATCGAACGCGTAACCTCATTCTCTGGGATTGGTGATGCGGCGGATGATGACGCCGTCGATGGAGATGATAACCTCGAGCAAGGTGGTGAGGCATGGGCTACGGATAAACCGACGGAGGAGTCCTCACCACGGAAGAAGAGAGGTGGGGGTGTGGGAATACGGCAGAGGAGCGATGCTTCTTCGGGTGTGCCGGCGGCTGCGGTGCAGAAGTTGGTGCTGAGTGATGATGATATCGAGGACTGAGGATTTACGGTCCTGAATTATGATATTTATCAAGCATACCTAACCTTATGGGAAAAGGGAGGAGAGGAAAGGAAGTAATATGTACAACATCACACAGATAATCCATCTAGCTCTTGCTCGCTCACTAGTTTGGTTTCCTGGCGGAGAACCACATATCCGAAAATAGAAATGCGGCTTTCATATCAAGGCCGGCAAAATCACTATTAGGTGGTACGAACGGATGGAAAGGCAGGTGGTTGGCGTTTTCATAGTATGTACTTATACTACGGGGAAAATTAGGTGTGGTACATAAGTAAGGTAGAGATTAGGGAATATAAGAAGGTGAATAAAAGTTACCTATTAATGAAGTATTTATGATTTTGTAGAATTGAGTGTTTTCGATGCTCGCTATGGTCTACTAGCGTAGCTTATAAAGGCCGACATGGACGACACATCCCAACCGTCGATATGCTAAAATCTAACAGCTTCGATGGTACTTAAACACTCAGTGAGTTCAGTAAGGAACTGGAGGGATAGGTAATTTGGTTCTTGTGCCCTAAATGCTCTCCTTGTATACGGAATTCACATTTCCTATTTCCTAGCTCAACTTGGTCATCTGAGGCTTACGTACCTCCATATTTCGTATTTCTTGGTGCGCCTAATGTTTGCGTTAAATGCTTACCGTAGACCACCTGCTATACTAGACTTTAAATGCTTTTTATAAGTAACGAAGTGACATCAAATAAATATTTACGTCATTAATATTCACGATGGTCAAGACGTTTATATCGATGGGTACGACAAAGTGGTATCATATTTATGTCCTATTCGACATAGTGCCGTGTTGAAAAAATGCAATGCGGATATCTTTTTATCCGTCACCTTTATCAGGCCGGTGACCCCGTGTGAGATGCCACTTTTTGGCGGTGCCTTTGCCTAAAACCAGGTATGTTGAAACCGTACGCCATGCTGCCATGCCCATTAAATTTTTCATGACATTTTCCGATGAGGGAACCTTATGTCTCTAGATATAACACACCCAACAACGCCGGTCGCAATGCAGAAAGAAGTTGATTCTTCCGCTACTTTAAAATCCTAGAAAATCTCCCCCAGCGGAAAACTATTATATTTTAGTACACCTAAAACTTGAGTTGCTTAGGTTGCTCCCAGGTGAACTCTTGGTTGGTACCAAAGTGGCCGAACTTGGCTGTTTGGTTGTAGATGGGTCGGGCTAGGTTAAGCTCCTTGGCGATAACACCGGGTCGAAGGTCGAAGTTAGCCTTGACGATTTCGACAAGTTCTTCGGCAGTCTTGTCAGAGGTACCGTAGGAGTCGACGTAGATGGAGCAGGGCTCGGCTACACCAATGGCGTAACTGAGTTGGACTAGCGCTCGCTTAGCGAGGCCAGCGGCGACAAGGGACTTAGCAACCCATCGGGCGAGGTAGGCAGCAGATCGGTCGACCTTGGAGAAGTCCTTTCCGGAGAAAGCACCGCCACCGTGAGCACCCCAACCACCGTAGGTGTCGACGATGATCTTTCGGCCAGTGACACCGGCATCACCCTGGGGACCACCAATGATGAAAAGACCACTGGGTTGGAGCTATTAATGGCAATTAGTATTTCGAAGACAAGGAGTAATCATTTTGACTGATCGGGGCACTTACGTGAAGAATAGTTTGATCATCAATGTACTCCTTGGGAATGACGGAGTCGATGATCTTAGACTTCAGCTCCTTTCGGACCTGTTCAGTGGTAACCTCACCGCTGTGTTGAGCAGAGATGACGACAGTGTGGACTCTTAGGGGAACGACGGCACCACCATCGTGCTTGTACTCCATAGTGATTTGGGTCTTGGTGTCAGGTCGTAGCCACGGGATGGTACCGTTTCGTCGGGCATCCGACATGGCCTTGTTAAGCTTGTGGGCGAGAAGATGGGATAAGGGGTGGAGTTCTGGGGTTTCGTTGGTAGCATAACCAAACATAAGACCCTGGTCACCGGCACCCAATTCCTCAAGAGCCTTCTCGTAGTGAAGACCCTGAGCGATATCGGCTGATTGTTGCTCAATGGCAACCATAACGTTGCAGGTCTTGTAGTCGAAACCCTTCTCCGAGGAGTCGTATCCGATGTCCTTGATGGCATTTCGGATGACGGATTGGTAGTCAATAACAGCCTTGGTGGTAATCTCACCGAAGACCATGATCATACCGGTCTTGGTGGCAGACTCGCAAGCAACCTTGGAGAGGGGGTCTTGGGCGAGGCAGGCATCGAGGATAGCATCCGAGACCTGATCGCAGATCTTGTCGGGGTGACCTTCACCGACGGATTCGGACTAGGAAGCATTGTTAATAAAGAAGGATCTTTCGAGTATGAGATATATAATTGCCAACTTACAGTGAAGAGGAAAGCCCCGGGGTTCCGAGGGGTGCTCAAGGAGCTAGCAATTCCGTTGCTGGCAGGCATTGTGGATGATGATAAGGGAAATGGAGGAAGAAATCTAGTAAATACGGTGGTAGTACTTTCTAGTAACAATCTCTAACCGCAAGGGAAAAGCAAGGACCAAGAGTGTCTCCTAAAGGATAAAAAGAAGGTAGGATGGGAGAGGGGGGAATGCGAGGTTTATGAATGAGAAGGAAGAGGAAGAAGAGTGGAAGCGGGAGATTTTCCTTTGGGTTTTTTAATTGGAAGAGGGAAAAAATAAAAACGGAGGGGCAGGAACTAGCAACTTCAAATAACCCCCCGAATGGCGCAATTTCCGTTGTACAATATGCCGACCTAAGCTAAGAAGTAGTCACTACTTAACCTAACGCTAGTTAAGTAGCTACCTTGTCTATCTTCTTTTTATTCTGTCAGTACGTCCGTCCCTTCTGTCCCTGAACTGCGGATTATAAGGTTACGTGGGTCGTGGAGTTCTGGACTGATTGTTGGAGCACAGGTACATCGAGTACATCCATCCATTAGAGCCCGTGAGGTGGGGCAACAAACCTAAAGGAATTTTTTCTCAAAAGAAGGCAAGAGGGGCGCCGATACAGCGACACAGCAGGAAGGCTCGGAGTAACTCTACCTAATTTGATATTCCAGCTCATATAAAGTAACTCCATACGGTTAGTCATATTACATAATTCATGAGTAAACTGACTTATGAAAGGCAAGAACTGGCTACATCAAGGACGCGTGCTTATGACAGTGGCTTCTGTAAGTGTGTTGATTTGCATAAGGAAGTACCTATAACTACTCCATAGTCCCTTAAAGGACTCCGAGCATACTGGATATTAATGACCGTTACCCCGAGCTGTCGGCCGATTATTGGATGGCTTTGTTGTACAGTACATCTGATTAAAGCTCTGGAGTATAAGATTGCGTGCTACCACTTGCCTTCTCGCAATCCTGTCAGCAAAAGTACTTTGAATTTCACCTTAACATATGCCACGTACTACCATTTATATATGTGTACTTCGGATACTATTTGAACCTCATCATATTTTGCGGTGTAGGACAGGTCAAGAAATACCTATCAAATGGTAGCAGCCCTTTTTCCGGTCTCCGGTTTGCTTACCATACCTAGGTATTTTCTTGCCCACACCCATGGACAATGCAGATGCACCACGCGGGGCAGTTCCATCAATTGAAGCTCAAACCTCCTTGGATCGACCAATACCACGATCCATACAATATTATCCCTGACTGGTATGACGACCCCTCTTGACAACGTGCACTAGAGGCATAAAATAACAGGGACATAACTTCGGCATCTATCCCTTTAGTCTCCAAGTTATCCTCATAGGAAAAGAGTCTATCCGAGTTGTATGTGTTAAGTAGGTGTTGATGCCAGACTCAGCGGATGTTGCGGTTATCATATATAACAAGTCAACCCGAGGAGTTGTTTATCCAATTACTCCCTTGCCGGTTAGAATAACAGGTTGTCTATTAAAGGATCTTGGGTTCCTTTCGCTCTTATCTCCCTCACCTTTATAACAAAGTCCGGGACCGGTGACCCACAAACACAGGCAAAGCACAGGCTTACACAACCACCTTGTAAGCGGTACCTAGTCACGGCTCTAGGTGGAAGATTTTGCCGGAATTTCCACTAGCGGCGCGGCCCTTGATATACATACACAGCTCTAAGTCCATCAAGGTGGTGAGAAAAGTGACATTAGATGACTTAGTAACGAATATTGAACCAATCAACTAAATATTGGCCGAAGTCAACTGGATTAGGTATAAAGTTATTCATCTCACAACTTAAATATACCTAGGTATAAACCTTAGGTGCTTCAGTGCACAGAAGTATCTACAGTAGATAACTCCGATAAGAAATTGCCCCACACACAGACCCTTTGTACCTTTATGTACTGTAGCGGTTACTTCCAAGGTTCTGTATTGCTTAACCCCTCCATTCGTTCAGTTCCCCTCCATCGGCGTAAAAAAATCCTCGAGCGGCTGAATAGTAACATGAACCATTTACAACCATCTTTCAACCGCGTCGCATCACGTCATAAGGCTGAACCTTTACTAGCTACCCTTTTCAGCCTGTAAACTCGATTGGATATTCTTGGCGATTTAAAGATACCCAACACTCTTCTACTATTTCTAGTGAGGGGACCTGACGATCATTCACCATGAGCAAGTTCGGGGTTATGGTGATGGGCCCAGCCGGTGCTGGCAAGGTATGCGATATCTCTTTTTGCGCTACCCTCTACCTTTACATCACCAATAGTACCAGAGCTACTATATGATCTGCCGTGGAGGATGTTCTTGGGGTGAACTTTCTGACTGATTTGTACAGTCCACATTCTGCGCCGCTCTCATAACCCACCTACAACTAAACCGCCGATCCTGCTTCTACGTCAACCTCGATCCCGCCGCCGAGACATTCGAGCACACACCAGACCTTGACATCAAGAACCTAATATCCCTCGAAGATGTAATGGATGAAATGGGTCTCGGTCCAAACGGTGGTCTAATTTACTGCTTCGAGTTCCTAATGGAAAACCTCGATTTCCTAACGGAAGCACTAGACTCTCTAACTGAAGAGTACCTAATTATCTTCGATATGCCGGGCCAAATCGAACTCTACACCCACGTACCCATCTTACCAGCACTTGTTCGATTCCTAACGCGATCCGGTTCCCTCGATATCCGACTCTGCGCTGCTTATCTTCTAGAGGCTACTTTTGTAGTGGACCGAGCCAAGTATTTCGCCGGGACTTTGAGTGCGATGAGTGCCATGATAATGTTAGAGGTACCTCATCTGAACATTCTATCTAAGATGGATCTTGTCAAAGATCAAGTCCGAAAGAGAGACCTTAAGCGATTTATTACTCCTGATTCTGGTCTACTTGACGATGATCCGGCTGAAATTGCGCGACGAAAGGCAGAAGGCGAGACGGGAGAAGATGACGAGTCGGTAGATCCTCAAGACAAGGATGCTCTCATGCGAGGTACTGGGTTCCGACAACTGAACAGAGCTGTGGCGAATTTGATCGAGAACTTCAGTATGGTCAGCTACCTAAAGCTGGACGTACAAGACGAGGATAGCGTCGGGGCGATTCTTAGCTATATCGACGACTGCATCCAATACCATGAGGCACAAGAACCCAAGGAACTAAAGGATGATGAGTTTGAAGATAATGATGGTATGGACGGCTGATACACATGTCACATCAACGAACTATATCTACGGATGGTTATAGGAGATGGTTAATACGGCCGGAAAAGGTTAGGAGAACATATGATTGCATAGCGTCGGCGCACAGGTTTAGGCACGTCACCAAGATACCAAAAATCAAGGCAAAATTTGGCACATCATTCTGGTATTCATTCTCTATAAAAGAACATTTCCTTAAGTCATGATCCATCCATTTCCCAAACGAAAAACCCATGGACATTCATTAAACGACGATTGACCTCTTATTCGTCCCAAGCCGTGTCGTACCGTGCCGTGCTCCCTTTCTTATCCCCTTCCAAAAGAAAATCCCTTTTTTGCAAAGAATCATAATCCGTGGATACTACCCTAATCCCCATGCCGGTGAATATGTCCATGTCCAACAAAACATCTTCGTTCTCTTCCTCTTCTCATCATCACGGTCGTCAAAGAATGAATGAATTAAGGTAACGTAATCACCACCCCGAATTCCTCGACCTAAACCCACTCGACGGCATCCTCTGACCCCCAGCATTCACACCCGCACCCGCAGCTCCTCCCATCGTGCCACCCTGACGCGTCTGCGCCTCAAACTTCTGATACTCAACCCACCAAATATCCTTCACAACCGCAACGTACCCCGCGATCTTACTAACCACAACCACCAAATCCCGCACCGTAGCCTCAGGTCCACGTCTCCAGACCACAGCTACTAAGGCGAAGACTAGTGCCCAACCTAGGAGGCGGAAGGCTAGACGCGTGACGTACATCATGGTCCGATGGATCCAGGATACGATTTGGAGAGCTAGGACTATGGCTGCTAGGACTACACCTAGGATTACGAGATCCGGGGAATCGTGGAGAGCTTGTAGGAGACGCGCGAAGAGAGGTGCTAGGAGGGGCGAGAGGAAGGCTGTGATCTTTGATGCGAAAGAGGCGGTCTGCTGGTATAGTGCCGGAAGTAATGATTGCGGGTCTTGGATGTGGGCGCGTAGGAGCTCGATGGTTTGTTCGGGGAGGATGCCTGGTGGATGGGGATGTGGGTTAGTATTCTTTCTTGCTTTATTTGTAACGGGCGGTGAAGAATAGTAGGAAGGAAGATGAGGATTATAGGATGATGCTGGGAAATGAAATGAAACGCGAAATATAATACGCGTGGTCGTGGATGGGATGATGTGGTGGTTGAACGTACCTTGTAAGGCGTCTAGAATGACGGAATCGCCTCGGTCCATGGCTGCGCTTGTGCTTGTCTTATCTTTTGACTTCGCTGATACGATCGAGAAGTATCGTCGTTATTTTCGTCGCCGATACAGGAAATAGATATCGGTCACCGCTAGATGTTAATGGCGATGGTTTATTTTCTTCTTCGGTCAAAGCCCGCAAATTAAATTGATTAAGGACTTTTTCGCCGATAGCGCCAAGAACGAGGATGAAAGGGTGACGAAGGTAAAAAGAAGCTTGTGATGGATGCGGTTGCTTCGTCGAGATGAGTGAGCTAGATTGAAAAAAGACACATGGGATGGGATTAGAAATCGCCGAATCGTGGGATGGGAAAGGATAAACTGACGGTCGGTCAGAGGGTTCGGCGACGGTGTGATTAATTTTTTTTTTTATTGACAAGTTGTTCGGAATTGATTTTCACGCGACAAGGCCGTGAATGGTAAGGCAGGTGGTATGGCAAATGGTAGAGCGGTGATGACGATAAAGTGGTTATACCTGAATATAACGGCTTTTGATTGGTCAAACAGTGGAGGGGTCCCTCTTCTCGGCATCAAATCTAATTGGTTCCTAACGTCTTTAGGATATGGCCTGTGCGCTAGCGGTCTGGAGTTGCTTCTTTTTAGGGGGTCTCGACTTCTAAACTCCACCACTGTCCACCTACACAAATAAACTACTCTTTATCAAATCAGACAGTTCTTTCAATGAAATCGAGAAATCTAAAACAGTTTATTCCTTGATTTCGAGGAAATACTACAATATAAACCAAGAACAATAACAGTTGGTCACTAACTACCCCTAGGCATTCGTTCACCATCACAATCACAAGTAAATACGGTAACACGTTGACAAGGGGCGGTAAGGGACCCTGTAGATCCCACGTCGAGACCCTGAACTGTCCGATCCACTTTGGAGCTCTTTTTTATCTAGCCTCCCTTGAATATCGAGCCACGAAAAAGCAGATTTCATGGTTGTTAGTTTATTCAACTCCTTTACGATACATTGTTAGAATATTTCCAACCCCTTGAATTCCTTGCTTCATACCGTTCTAAAGTGATAGACTAACGAGTCTAGGGTAGAAATGGGCTTGGGCTATTCATGCTGTATATGGAGAGGCAAGCTGAGTCTGACCACTTTCACAATCCGTGAAACTCTCAAACTCCACCGCCATCCGCAACGAGAAGGAGTATGCCGGTTAGCGTTTCCGTGGCCTGCTCGTGTCGTGGCACTCTTTCCCACGTGGCTGGATCCTCTAGATCTTGACCCACTGACATCCGGGTCTTTTCTCATGTAAGCCTTCTCGTGATCTCCTATGCTCAAGGGCTTTGGGAGACTGTCGTGTCCCAAGCTAAGTAAGATTCTTATTTAGAAGAGCTCATTTTGGCAATTAGGATTTCTAACGTCCAATCTTTATATAAGGGGCCAATGAACTTGTGTTGGGTACGTATTCTAAGTTTAGTATATGCTAATGGTTTAGAGCTGATAGAGTGGTGTTTACTGGTTTTGGAGTACAGACCAATAATAGGTACTTATGCCTAAGATCCAATATCCTGGATCCTCCCAGTGAATAGAACTCTGGCATCAGGAGATGTCGTCTTAACTGTAAGAGTGTATCTGCTAGAATCGATAATATGATTCAAAGGCAGATTCTCCCCAGGTAATAGCTAGGCGACTTGGTATATGAAATGTCTTTTATATTAAGTTCTAGTCTCCGTTCCTTACTCGTAGATGTCTTCGTCAAGAATGCCTCAATATACCGAATTATCCCCTTATTTCGATTACATATTCGCAAAACACTCGACATAAGCCTCGCCATTAGTTAGACTCTACTCAGTACTCCCACCATCACATCGACCCCCTCAAAGGTTCAAGTCCCCCTCACCAACCCAATGCGAGCCGCCGGCACATCTATATCCACCCGCCTGTGGAATCCACTCATACCCAACAGGACATCTTCCCATCCGCATAAGCATCTTCTGAGCCTTCTTCTCCCTCTTCATCTTCTCTTCCTTTTGTTTGCGCTTGATTTCCGCGAGTTCACGTTCGATACGCGCTTTCTCTAATTTCCGTAATTCTTCCCGCCGCGCTGCTTCGTCTTTCTGTCGTTGAACCGCTTCCTCCTGCTCGCGGACTTTGCGCGCGAGTTCCTCAGCTTGACGTTGCGATTCGATGAGTTCGCGCTGGCGCTGGGCGGCAGCGAGTTTGTCGCGTTCAAGTTGTTCCCAGACTGCGTCGGAAACACCGGCGTCGCGGACGGCAACCGGTGGGTTCTCGGGTGATCCGCCCGATTCATCGCCGTCTTTATCGGTTTTAGTTTCGACCTTCTCTTTGGGTTTAGACTTTGGTTCCTCATCCTGAGTTTGGTCTGTGTTGATCGACGTAGAGAACTTGGGTTGGGGCGGCGGTTGGAAGAACTGCTCTTGTTGAGTCGGTGGCGACGAGAATGTAAGGGGGTCCAAGTTGTCGGCTGCAGCACCTCGTGCCGTTCGTTCGTCAATCATTTTTTGAACCACACCTATCACTATATCCTCGGGTACCGTTCCGTTCGGGTCAGGGTCCTTCGATTTCATTATCTTAGAAAAGATAGATTTCGCAAGTGTTTGTACGTCACGAGCATTACCCCATGATTTGGTCCGACTTAGTATCCCAAATTGACTTAGAAGTTTGCTGTCTAAAGTTGGTGACGCTCCTAGGTCCTTTGTATCCAGTTTTCTTTTCTGTAGTTCTTGTAGAAGGAGGCCTCGACAATGACGGGCTGGAAGGTTGCCGAAGGATATCGTCTCTGGGAATCTACTGGTCAGACCGGGGTTTTGGTTCATAAGACGATTGATGTCGTCGTCATAGCCAGCGAGTACTGTAATGTTCAAATTAGCAAATTATGTCTTGGGAAAAAAAAAAAAGCGCCTCGAAACTCTGGGATTTGTCAAATGACGTCGTGCTGCTATCCCTGATTGTTTGATATCTCACTTAAGATATAGGGAAAGCGGAATGTTGGGTCAAGGAGGGATGTACTTACTAACTACAAGCTTGTTATGATAGCGTTCTTTGGTGAGGCAGTCGACAATCTCATCCATTGCCTCCTTAGCAAAGTGCCCCCCAGAAAGCCTGTATGCCTCGTCGACAAAAAGAACCCGCCCAAGGGCTTCATCAAACTTCTTTTGGACCTTAGGACCAGTCTGTCCTACGTACTGACCGATCAAATCAGTTGCAGAACAGTCAATTACTTTTGCTTCGGCGAGGAATCCCATATCGTAATAAATTTTGCCCATCTTTCTCGCCGTCGTGGTCTTGCCGGTTCCTAGTAAATAGCACATTAGATCAAGCTCTATATCATTATATCAGAAACACCTACCTGGCGGTCCGCGGAAAAGGAACCCGAATGGAATCTGCGAGACTGGGTCCATTTCTCTAGCTTTCATATTCTGGGCAACTTGTTGATAGCCCTCCAGTTGCTCCACGATATCGTCACATCCTATAACGTCCTTAAACAGCATGCGAATATTCGTTCCAGCACGTTCACCTCTGTCAAAGTCGGGATCGATATCCTCGGGAGCCAGTACATCGACATTCTTGGCTCCGGGAAACTTCAGCGATATTCGTTGTTGTTGACGCTCTTTAGCCTGGTCTAGGATGATATCCACTTCACCCGCGTTGCCAAAGTTAGGTCTATTTCGCGCGCGCCGCAGAACATCCATAACAACCCTCTTGGTAGCTTCATCTGCCTTGAAGCCTTGCTGCCTCAGCTTAAGATCCAAGATTTTTCTAAGTTCATCGTCGGTAAAATCTTCGAAGACAAAGCCTGATGCAATCGGAAACCGTCTTGCTAATCCTGGGTTAACCTTCTGGAACATGTCTTCCATTTGCTGTCTGTAACCTAGTAGCAAGACGCATCTATCCTCAGTAGCAGTGCTCTGAACCTCGGCAACGATAGTGTCGATAACGGCAGTTTTGTATGGATCACTAGCACCCCCAGTGTCTGATAATCCACTTGCAAGCGAGTAAGCTTCGTCGATGATAAGGACCTTCCCTTTAGTTGACTCGAGGATGGCCTTGGTGTTTTTCTCGGATTGCCCAAGGGCACCACCAACGAAGTCAGCCGGGTTTTTAATAACAACTTCGCCATTAGATAAAAGCCCCAGCGCTTTCAGAATTTTGCCGTAGAGTTTCGCAACGGACGTTTTGCCAGTTCCCGGGCTTCCAATGAATACCTTATTTAGGGAGCAGTCGACCAAAGGCTTTTCCTTCATCTCGCGTTTATAGTTGGCTTGGAGACGATCCACAAGTACTGATACCGACTGCTTGACAGACTTCAAACCAATCAACTCTTGCAGTTTCTGCCAATCCTTGTTATTGGAGAATTCCTTGCTGGGTTCAGGTCCTACAAGGTCGATTTTCTTGAGTAGAAAGTCGTCTGGCACAAGCCCATTTCGTCGCTCTAGGTGGAGGCGGTTGGCCTGTCCTCCAAATAGTCTTGATAGCACATTCTCGACTTCGCGAGCATTGCCGAATCCCTCTCTTCCCCGACCGCGGCCGATTCGGCGCGCCACAATCCGCATGTAAAGTCCTTCGGGTCCGTCCTCGATCTTCATAGGCTGGTTGAATTTCTTCTTCCCCAATTTGTAGTTGAGAATTTTCAGAAGCTCGTGGTCTTCGTAGTCCTGGAAGTCCATTTGAATGGGTATGCGGCTAGGAATACCTGGGTTATGAGCAAAGAAGGCCTCCATCTGTTTTCGATAACCGGCGAAAACGAAGACAACCTTGCCTGTGAGATTCTCAATCTCTGCAAGAAGGAAGTCGAGGACCTGTGCCCCTCCGAAAGAGCTACCAGACACAATTTGGTACGCCTCATCTAGGAAGAAAACCCCGCCACCCTTTTCGAGGATTTTGTCGATCATTGCTTTACAGCCCTGTATACCGTCATTGGCTAGCCGAGAGCCCGTAGTCTCTTCGAAATGTTCGCCAGGGATCGCTCCGACGGAAGATAGAAACTTCGCGTAAAGTCTGGCGACCGTTGTTTTCCCTGTATAAATATTAGTACCCTGACTGCCCGATTTATCATAAGAAGGTTCTTACCAGTCCCGGGGTTGCCGAGTAAAGCGGCTCCAAGTCTCTCATCCTTGGTGTCCGCCCCTTGGCGAAGGAAAGTATCAATCTTCGCCTTGATTGTTAGGAACTCTTTCTTCACGCTTTCTAACCCAATCATCTTGAATAGAGAGTCAAGTGCCTCGTTAGAGACATTCTCGAAATCCTTTTGATGTTTCCAATCTGCTTCAGCAGATGACGGCCCCGTAGAAGTAGGCATCTGATTGTTTTCATGGCTCGCCTCGGACATATCATCGTCGCCGTCCGCTTCTGATGTTGGCGTGTTTTCTGTTGGAGGCTGACTGGGGACATCGGTAGGGGAGGAAACGTCGCGATGATCATTCTTATTTTGACTCTTTCTGGGCTCAACTTCATTGTTCTTCGTGATTGGCTGTGGTATGGGCTTAGCACTTCTCTTGGGTTGGATAGGGTTATCAACAGGTTTCCGTGCTTGCTCCACTAGCTGAGCAAGCTCGACACGATGCCTCTCAAGAGTCTGTTGTCTTGTTCTCTCTTCTTTGGCTTCCTGGATAGTTTTCCTTTGCGCGGCGATGCCATCCTGAATAGCTCTCAATTGCTTCGCGTATGCCTGTTGCTTTGCCTGTCGATCAAGATCGAGTTCTTTATCCCTGCGAGCTATCCTTTCCTTCTCTAACTTCTCGCGCCAGCAGACTTGGCAAGTAGGCGGTGTCTTGTCTGAACACCGCCATTGAAGCTTGTGATCCTTGGGACAGACATCTTTTAGAACTTGGCTGCAAGGCATTTTTGAGTGGTCAACTCGCAAATGGCATCGCATCGGACAGGTATGCTTGCCACATGATAGCGGCTCGTTGCATGGCAACTCACATCCTCCGTCAGGACAGTGCTGATCAAAGTCTTCCGGGGAACGAGCTATAAATGTAGTCTTGGGGTGCTTTTCGCATCTAAGCGGGAATCCATCGTAGATTTTCCCATCGGCTTTCAAGTGATCAAAGAGCCGTGTCCATTCGTCCCTGCCTTTTCTAGCATTCATGAATGTATTGGCGTTGCCGATCATGATCAGCGCGTCTCTAGCTCTAGAAACTAACACATTTAACCGTTCCGGAGCAGCCATGAATCCAATATCACCATCCTCATTGCTGCGAGTCAATGAGACAATAACGACGTCACTCTCCTCGCCTTGATAGTTGTCAATGGTGGACAGGCGAATCGGCTTCTTATTTACTTTCGCACTCGCTTTTGGCAGAATTCCGGCTTGAACCAGATCGTGGGAGTCGATATCGCTGAGTATTGGATCATGGTCCTTACGAAGTTTATTTCGAAGCAACGATAGCTGACCCTATGGTATGTCGGTAGCTAGTTGGTGCATGGATCGGGGGGTAGACTTACGAGATATGGTGTCAGTATAACTAGATGGTCGGTCTTATAATTCTGTTGACCCAAGTAGCGAACACATTTCAAAACCATTTCCGCCTCGAAGACATTCTGTTTGCTTGACTTTGCGCCTTGATCAAGTTTGTCAACAAGGACGTTACTTTTCGCTTCGAGTTGATCATGATTGACAAATATGACGCTATCTTGGAATCCCATGAGTGGTGGCCGATTCTGCGTACCATTAGCGTCTTTCAGGGAAGGGTAGTTGTGTTTGATCAGAGCTGAGATCTCGGGCCTCATTCTATGTTGGTTCAACAAAGTACAATGAGGTCGTCCCTGGAGTATAAGCCTTTCGAATAGAGATCGATTAAGGTCATAACCGTGACCAGCTTCTACGGTAAGTCGATAGTTTTTCACCTTCGGCCGAAGCTGCTTGTGATCTCCAATCTGGATGAGCTGTTTCGTACTTGGACCCATGGCGGCGAGAATATCTAAAAACTGGACTTAGTAATCATCACAGGGTTAAAACTAGCGGGATAATCTATGCTTCTCATCGTGTTTCGTGTGGTTATAACTTGTAGGGTCTATAGACTGGGAAAGAGATGAAAACGAGAAATGAATGGGATTGGCGTAGACATACGACTTTCTAAGATTTCTCCCGCCTCCTCAACGATGATGATACCGGGTGTAGCTTTTCGGATTTCCTGGGCGTACATCGAAGCTCCAGTGGTAGTGCAAGCGATAACGCGCTTGGTTTGAAGGATTTTCTCATCGTGTTGCTTTCGAAGGCTCTGAAGCATCTCCTGAATTTTGTTGAACTCTGCGACTCGTTTTGTGAGAGCGGCAATCCTTTCCTGTCGAATCTCTCCCCTCCACCGTTGGACCTTCGCCCATCTGTCTGCTTTCGCCATGTCCCATATCGTCTTGAATGAAGTCTCGGAGTTTTCATTAACAAACGGGCCAGGTTTCTTGCCACTCGCCCAACGTTTGAAGAGATAATCTGGCTGCATCGTGGTACCCCTTGGCCCGACGCGTACTTCGCCATCGTCCGCTTCCGGCAGCGCAAGTGCATCGTAGAAGCGGCCATCCGTTTCGGAAAACTCGAGGTATTCGAGCAGTTGGGAAAATGGTATCCTGTCCTGTAGGTAATTATCGAAATCCCGTTCAATGCTCTCAGCAAGAGAATCTAGGTTTGCTTTATGTGAGTCTATCAGTTCATATCGCGTCCTTGACGTCCGGAAATTGCCATGCCGCTGATTTTTCAAGAGAAGAGGCTCAGTCCTGTTAGTGCATTTTGATCCCAACCGAACGATAACATCCTCGCTGATACCAATGTCCAGCAAATCTTCTAGGAACTGGTCCAATGCATGATTAGTGTATGACAAAACAAGTAATTCCTCGTCTGTATGGTCAAGCAGTATTTTAGCTAGGATAGCTCCAACCAGGGATTTTCCGGTTCCTATACTATGGCTTAGGATATGGATTTAGAGGTTGGGTCTGGCGATCACATACCTGGTGGGCCTTGTATCTGGCATGTCTGATATTTCAACCCATATACAAGGGCCTCAATTTGTGAAGGGTCTAATTTGATCTCTTTCGCTATATTCAATAAGCCCTGTAGCCTAGAGTCTGTGGCCAAAGGCCTTTCAAGAGCTTCAATCATCTGAACAGGTTGGATGGTAGACTCATGTGGATCCTGCGAGCGAGCCAGAATATCGTGGTCGAGCTCAATGTCTATTTTCTGCTGCAATTCCCGCAATATCGGCTCGTATGCGAAAATAGGAGTAGAAACAAGCAAAAAATCAACCGGGCCTTCTTGAAGTGCGGAGAAAACTTCCCCCATGGTATCTGCACTGGTAAGTTGTATACACAAATGAGGAAGATGGAGTGCAAGATGGTCCTCTTTCCTGTCGACTGTAGCGAATGCTAGGAGGGTCTCGTTCTTCATTAGACATCCAAAGCTTTGATGCCTTAAGAATCCCGGCGTCCTGGTCAGCTCATTCTTCCTCTGCTCAACAGATGCGTGCGGCATTTCCAGGATGTCGTATGAACATTTGAGCACCAGGGTAAAGGGACGGTGATCTTTCATCGATTGCTTGTCGATTGAATCCAGAGTAAGATGTCTAATGATCATGTTTTTCCAACTTGGCTTTCGATTTCCACCTTGCATGACTTTCAGGTCCTCGCGCATTTCAGCAAGCATATCTTCCCTAAGAAGGCGAAATTGATTGTCGAGATGGCTATATGCACGATCCACACTGTCTACCTCAAATGCTGCCGCAGCCTGCATGAAGAAGGCCCTTTCAGCAGACTGTAGCTCGGAGCGTGTAGGAAGGATCGATATGTCGTGGTAGTTCACCAGGTCATTGTCATGCCGACCTCCTGGGCTGAATTCACTGATATGGTCGGTATTCGTCCTAGACTGAGAATTTAGAACCAACGCTCGAATCTTTTGGAACAAGGCTTTAGCAGTCGAAGACCCCGAATCCTCCAGAGTATCATCCTCCAAAAGCGACTTTGCGGTTTCCCGGTAGGCTAATGACTGCGACGGGGGCAGTATTATTAATTGTAGCAGCAACCAGGAAAAGCCGTCGACTGCTTGGGGTTCGAGTCTTTTGTATTTGATCTGTTGAATGAAGTTTTCCCAGAATTTGGGTGGGTCAACCATGACCAAGAGAATCTGATTTAGTAGTTCTCGGTCGCCACCCATCCTCAGATCAGGGTCTGCGAGGAACTTCAGAAGGTTTGAGACAGATGTATTTGTGAGTTGCATTGAAACGCCGAAGATGAGTGATTTGTGGAGGGCATCCTGGCCGCTCTTCGAAGTAGCCAATCTCTCAATACAATCGGGCTTATCATTTCTATTAACAATGGATTCGAGGAATCTCCGGGCATCTTCAATCTTTCCGATCTTCGATTTCCCCTCAAGAATGCCATAGAAGAATCTGTCGAGCATTCGCGACCGAAAATCTTCTTGAGACGACATTGTCGTTACTGTCTGTCGTTTGAGCGACGTTCAATGGGAACAAATTTAGCAGAATAAATTGTATCAAAGGTCAACAATGGACATAAATATGATGTGGATCTGGAAGAGTCTGATTAGGTACTTAGGTAGGTAATAGAGGTCGATATATGGCAAGGCAGTGTTTCTCGTGGCTCCTCTCGAGTTTTGGAGTAAACAGTGTGGGCGGTCGGGGTCCCGCGTTATCTCCTAATATCCCAGCCAATCTATTTCCAACACGCTGATGCGTGTGTACTCGAGTGCGTATACCACAGCCTGACCTGCGGCCGCCCTCTTAGGGACGGACACTTGGACTTGACGCCTAAATATGTTGTGTTACAAAGCCAGTCGGCAACAATGATAACTTTTGGGGGGGGTCTCTTTGTCGGATGTAATTGGGTGATGGTCAACAGTGCGACGGAAAGCTGCATATTATCGACCGTAAGAAATGGCGTGCTTGTAGCCAACGGATACTGTGTTACTGATATATGACAGAAACATAATGCCTTTTCTTCCACGTCAAGATCAAACACGAAACCAAACGGAATCAACCCCTTCGCTTCTGGTCATTAATCCACATTTGACATTCTTGCAAGGATTACCTACTCAAAAGACAATGTATCGTGGAAGAGGCTCAAGTTCATCTCGGGGTTCATGGCGTGGTGGTGGCTTGGGTGGTCTGAGCAGAGGCGGTCGCGGCTCATCGTCTGATAATTGGCGAAAACGAAATTCCGGTAATGATAGTACAGACCGCACTCCTCGAGCCGATTTCAACGACCCTCCTCGAGGTCGCCTTATCACGGAGATAACTCTAGATGGAACTTCGACTCACGACATCCAAATGCAGGATGCGAGGATCCGCGAATGCAGATATATAGCCTCATACTCCCTGGTAGATTCGCAGCGGTCCGAAATCATCATTCCAGGTATCAACTCATGATTAATACCCATTTACATGTACTAAGATAGCAGTTAGGACAACCGGCAACTTGGAAGCCGCCCCAGTTGCCCGCTCAACTCCCGGGTGATCATGGTGACTATCTTCGAGATCAGAATGGAGCTCGGTTTCCCGATCGTCCTATGCAACCGTCTGTTCAGTCTCTTTTTGCTTTGAATAAGGAATTTGACCCATCCAATGTTGATGTAATGGGTTGTGCTAGCTCATTGGGAGACATTCTTCGCTTTGTACGGTCAGTTGAGGCATCGTTCAGATTTGACGTTGAAATAATTGGAAACACATTGTTTCTTGCCCGCAACTGTCGGGACGAGGTCATCCCTGACGTTCGTGGATTTGGCCATTCATTTCTTGATAACTTCACTTCTTACCAATTTGGAACAGAGGAAACTAAGTCTCACCAACGGATCGTATCCTATACCTTCGGCGGACTAAGATGTCTTGTTCGTTTTGAGTGTGACGGTCATTTTGACACTGCCGCTAAGTCAATCGAACCGGATATCTCGGACCTTTCACAAACAAAATTGTCCGATCCAATTCCTTCTAAGCCCGCTGGGATAGCCATACCTCAAGATTCAATTCTCGAAATCAAGACAAGATCACAAGCCGGTGCCCCCATTGATATGAGCGAACACCTTCCCAGGTTGTGGCTTCGACAAATCCCCAATCTCATTGCCGCGTACCATACGCGAGGCAATTTCGAAGATGTCCAAGAGAAGCACGTGGCAGAAGACTTAGTCAACTGGGAAATCAAACACTGCCGCGAACTCCGCAAATTCGCCGCAGTCCTGCACCAACTAATCGTCGAAGTCAAACGGTCAAGTCATCTAAAACTAGAGCTCTGCCGAACCGGCTCTGGGCCACTAGAATTGAGAGAACAAGGCGGGAAGGCTCGGGAAGTACTCCCCGCTGATTGGAAATACTTGTGGGCCAGGCAGCATCCGGGGTGGAAGACCACCGGTGGCCGTTTGATTGATGAAGACGATGACGACGATGATGATAGTTATCCTAGAGTCACACCCCGCAAGGATGAGGACAGCGAATCAGAAGACTCTGATGATAACTTCTCGTTGGATTACACGGCCTGCGATGCGCTGTGCGGGTACTGTGGTCATTGTGCCTAAGGACAGCAACGTTGGTGGCGGGTGACACCGTGAATTTTGTTTGCACTCGTGTGCCTGCATGATGAATGTCAATTGGGGAATGATTAGGATAGAAGTCAAACGATGAAGACCCCTGAAATAGTAACCAATCGGTAGCCTACCGTCGTTAGTACGGAACTTGAGAGGTAGTGGAAGTGGGTAATTGATGATGTTTTTCTTAGGTTAACCCTCAACGGTCCCAGCCGCCAATTTTTTATCTTCACAGTAGATCACACGGTGCTTCTTCTTAGAGTTCACACAGTCAGCTCATAACTTAACCGGGTTCAGGCTTTATAGCGCGTCTTCAGCGCCGTAATAGCAACTACGTTCGGCGACATGGTTAGGGCCAGCGGTGCACTCGTAGAACCCGCACTAAGAAGAATTATCAATGATCATTTATTACCAAACAACACTTCAATTATACCTAATGGAACGACATCATATGCTTCCCTATCAAAGTCTATAAAAGTCTCCTAGCTACATAACTAACCCTCAGAAAACCAACCTCCTGGAACCAAAGCAAAGGCATTGAAGAAAGGCTAGACGATCCTGTATGTAAGTCATGCATATCGTGCGTGTAAGCTCAAGACAACCAGCGCGCCCTTAGAATGGGAATGTTGCAATGAAGAAGGCGGGAAAGAAAGGGATAACCCCGGATTCCCAAAACGACGATAATAGCTTGTCAATCTTTATCAATCTCCATCCCTATCTATCTGTACGATTTCGTGCATCTTCCCAGCCTCCCTCCCCAACGCTAGCCGACTAGCTTGCGGCAACTATCGTAGGATGTTGACCAGTAATACGGCCCAGCCTCGATGCAAAGAGGAAGACCCTGAAGATCGTAAGCGAGCGATTGCTGGGTGCTCCCGACTTCATCTTATTAGCTCAATTGTTGAACATGGGACTTCCTGGGATCTTAACGGGAACTTATAGATTATAAAAACAAGGCTGATATTCTACTTCTTAGAAATCTATTGAGGCTGGTAAAGCCGTTATTGTTACATTCCTGGATACCTAGTAACTGTCTTGAATGCGTAACTACCTACCGGTAGTCAATCCCAGGGATACTGAATTCTGGGCAATTTGATGCGAGGGAGAATATGCGCAGCATCACTTAATTCGCTGTCTCAGATTGGCAAGAGTTGCTAGTACACAATGAAGATTCTGCGTTACGAAGTCACAATGTCGAGGAACGCGCAAGAAGCAATAGTAATGTTCAACGGGTGTTGATATTCATAGTGTAAAGCAGCAATTACCACCGAGCCTCAACTATCAAGCGCAAATTCGCGCGATATGGGATATCATATACAGAAACCCGTCCCCTTTGCAAGCGCCTAATCCGACCTTTCCTATCGTACCATGCCATCCGCCTTCGCCCCAGTAATATCCATACGAAAAAAAGTACATCTAGAACTCGAGTCCTGAGGTTCTAACAGAATAATAGATAGTAGAGAAATAGAAAAGTAAATGATAGACAGGTAAATTGTAATAGCACGTAGACTTCACCTCCAGGTGCTGTGGATCTTGCTTCGTCGTGTTCTTGACGATTTGAGGCCGACGTCCCCGTTTACCATCAGGCTCCTCCACCTTCGCCCGATGCTACTCCTGTCTTTCCCTAGACTCCGGGCACAGTCTTGCCAATCCGTCTTAGAGAGCTTGAGTTTCTCTAGGACTAGCTCGACTAGTATCCGGTCATCCTCTTTGCTCCACCGTTCGCCGTCAGCTTCTATCTCCACTTCCGTGCCTTCCGCTGTACTCTCTTCCCCATTTGTGTTTTGTAAATTGTGATAGTCTGTTCGTTCTAGACCTAGAGGAATTACTTCCGGCGCGATTCGCGCGCGCTTGGGTGTGCTAGGTCGGAATGGTGATTCTTCGGTCTCCTGACTGTTTTCCGAAGAACCGATCTCAAGGTCGCTATCGATGTCGTCATCACGTCCCATATCGTCCTCTACGGCGCGACGTCGCTTATTTACGCCGCGAGGAGGCGCTGCAGACCGCTTAACGACCTTCTTGCGTGGGAGGACGTCTCCATTGGCCTCAGACTTGCGCGATCGCAGGCGCAATTTTAGAGGTGGAAGTGAGGTATGGGTCATTGGTGGTGTAGGTAGCGAGTCTCGTTGCGCGTCGGCATATTGGGGCTCGGGTGTCGCGGGGGAGGATGTAAGCATAGATTGGAGCGTGCGACACGAGCTGAATATGTTTCCGAATGTGCTGCTGTGCGCGCTGCTGGGAGGGCTGGCGGGAGGCGACGCGAATAGAGCGGATTGTAGCCTGGTAACAGGCGGATGCGACGAGTCGCAGGAAAGCGCCGAAGGCATTAACATCTCGGGCGCTTTCCTTAGGAATTTGTTTATGTTGGTTGCTTTTGTTATGCGATAATGCGCTATGGTGTTTGGTCGAGGTGAAGGTTGTAGGATTGAGAGATTTCGAATGCGACGCGCGCGACAGCTCTTTTAGAGTGTAGTAATGCGCAAATAGTTTGATACGTTGTTTATTGCGATTTTGAATGTTTCTATGCGAATATGTTTTTGCGATAGTATATTTTGTAGGAGTTGACAGAAAGTTGTAATGCGACGGAGGTGTGGACGATCAACGGTTGCTGGGAGGATGGAAAGGTGTAAGTGGTGTATGTAGGTGGGAAAGTGGGAGCTACGAGTGGAAGTAGACGGGAGCGGGAGGGCTGGAATAATGGAATAATGCGCCTAATAAGACCAGCAAGGAAAAGAGCAAATCCCCCAGGAACCACCTAAACTAAACCGCCTGACAGGGTTGTACCAGTGGGCCACATGATGGATACGTACCCTTTTACAGTTTAGTATTGAAGGTGTAGGGTCCCAATAGTGGATCGCCCAGGGCATCGACCGCCATCGATTTACAAGGGAGTTACAAGGGAGTTTTAGGTACTTAGATGACGAACCAGGGGGGCATTTCCTTTCAAAGGGTAGAGCCGAGCACTTACATAGCAGTATAGTACATCCACCACACCGTTCGAGATTTCTAACACAACCCTTACACCGTGATTCTCAATTCTCACCGTTAAAATGGGGGTCTTATCCCTGTTATGAATAATCGGGTATTCAAGTACCATATCTAAATCAGTGCCGCTTTAATCTTGTATTATGTCTATTCATTTGTATAATTCTTGCATTGGAATTACTTTACGTACCTAACCCACATGCACCTTTAAATCTTCAACCGTAAACCTCAACGTTAGGAGGGGTAATCCATAGCCTACCTACACCAAAAATATTATTTTCAGCAAGCACAACCGACATTATTAGCAACTCTACCCAACATTCAACCTCTCACCCAGCTGCAAAAACAAGTAAAGTATACATAGGTAGTGCCTAAGTAGCAAAAAGCGAAGTTGTCCTGGGTGAGGCTCGAACTCACGACCTTTGGATAGCCCAATCTAGGAATGGATCATATGAATATGAGACCAACGCTCTGACCAACTGAGCCACCAAGACATTGTTTTTCGAAGCCGATGAATTAATGGTATATGATGTCGATTACATTGTGGTAATTCGGTGGTCAATTTGGAAGAATTTGTCAATTAGTTTGGGTCTAAAGTGCTAGGCTATAGTGATCATTGACCAATGCTAAACGATTGTGGAGCTAAACCTAAATGTTTTAAGTACCATAGAGATATACTGGACTGAGTCAGTATCTATTCGAAGCCTAACCGTCAGAAGATAATTGTACAGACGAATTAATGCTATGTAGTGAGCTTCCAATTAAAACGAAACATGCATAATTGAGTATGACCTAATTTCTACTTGACAGAGAGATCAATGGACTTTTCTATGAGGCCCAGGAAAAGTTATTAACCGTTTAGTGATAATAATTCCGTTTTGCACTCCGTTTGTTGCTCACCAGCATATTTGCATAAAGTACGATTCTAGCTATGAATTAGAACAGCGAGAGCGCTAAGCCCAATATACCATGCGCTATAGCTATGATGTACATGTCTGTACCGCTAGCGTAGGGAAGGTGGACTAAGCCCACTACTCCACTACCCTTCAGAGCCTATCTACATAGTCTTGTAACTTTCGTCGATAACAGGAATAGTCTTTTGCTATAGTCCCATTCCAAGATCCTTTTTGGATTTGGTGTGGACGACTATGTTGTAATATCTAGCTACTATAAGCGTTGAAAGCTGCCCTAGGTTTGACTCTGTAACCGCCCTTTGCGCTTGCATTTCAAAGGGCGTCTTTTTCGAGTCACAGAATATACTATGTGCTTAAGGTACCTAGTGCCCAAGGCAGGCAGTAGTCGAGCGACCACGGGTGTCAGTTTAGCGTAAACGTCTATGCGGTGAAACCCATGATGGGTACATTCGTTATCCATCAGTTATCCATCAAGGTAAAATCGTGGCAGCCGGGTCCGCAGGAGCCATTTTATGAACAGAATGACTCAAGACACCAATTCCTGTCAGCTTACGATGAAGACCAAGTGATTTTCGAACTGTATTTCGTCAGTAGTAGTCATCCTTCAGCCTAGGTATCATCATAGGGCAATCCAACAGCAGGATTTGAATCAAGATCCTATGTAGGCTAGGTATGTTCTCGATTTCGACAAGCTTCCGTCGATCCTTACGCAAGTGCATAACAAAGTCATTGATGAGGATGGGCTGCTATGTAGTAAAGTATTCCCTACCTTCGTCTCATCAAGTCACAATGGAAACAACCCCGAGACCTCAGACCACTTAGGCCATCCACACCACCATCACAATCACCCCTCCTTCTTGTCTGCCCTTGCATATTGATAATGCATGCAAGGCGATGGACATTGAAGAAAACGAGTCGTGGCGTAATTGATGATGATGTCTTCATTAGGAGGCAGCCTCTCCAAAATCATGTTTCTCCCTTCTCACCTTTGAAAGACGAAATTACATAAATGGATAAAGCATTGACACAAAGTCTCGTAAGATCAACTGAACTCAAACATCCGGAGTACCTAGGTATGTGCTCATGACCTCTTACTAGGTAGTTGATAGTAATTGCTACTATAATTTAGTAGATAACCCCGCCTGCAAGTCATTTGCAAAGACAGAACCTGGAAGAGTGGACGGGAAACATGCAGATAACGCTGCAAGTGATTGGCCATTTTCGGTAACTTCGCATGAGTTCTGCATGCACTTTAACGAAGAATTCCCCGGTTGGTTTCAACCGGTATTTAGGACGATCAATGGACATGTCCCTCGTTATCGTTCTTCGGCGGATCAATTAATCGGTGTGCACAATGGAGAGTGGGCGAGAGCTTGGAAATTAGGTGGAGGAGGGGGAGGAGGAGAGAGGGGCGGAATTTTGATGGGGACGCGAAAGACGCGACTAGACGCGACTTTAACGCGTAAAGACCCCTACCTAGGTACTCGCGTTTAATTAGATTCCAATCGATTATCCAATCAATATCCCTGTACCTAGAGCCATGTTCGTCATAAACCCTCTGATTGGTGCGACCCTCCGTTGCAGTTTTCTGGTTCGCAACCTCTTCCGATCTCTTAACCTTTGCTTTTTAATTTTTTTCCCTCATAGCCTGCAGCCTGCTTAGCTTATACACTCTCTCATACATTCAGACGATGCAGAATTCGGCGGTCTAGTCATAAATCATAAGTGGCTTGTCAGATATCCGTACGCTCATATCTCACGAGGGTTGCATTCGCATCGCACGTGTTCTTTTCTTTAACCACTTTGAGTAATACCAATTAATGAGATGCTGACCAACCCCTCTGCTTCTAATCAGTCGAATTGACATGGAATTTTATCCCAAGTTATGATAAGATGGTGAATGCGCGTCTGTCCTTCTCTTTGGTTATGCCTTCATTTCCAGGCCCTGTATGGGCGCCTAGCTACAGAAAGCGAGGCTTAGTAGAGGCGAAAAAAGAACCAAACCCCTAATCCGCCAGCCTACATATGTGGCAGAAGGAAAATGAGACCGTGCTGTTAGTATAAGCCTTCAACTGCGTCAACCATTGGCCAAGAAAGTCCGATTAGTAACACAGCATCATACTATGCTCGATCAGCATTCACACCATATCGCGCATGAATCTCAGATCGAAGTTCAAATCGCTTCGCTTGCAACTCTATCAGAAGAATTCTAGACGAAACACAACTCTTCAATATTTTATTTTGCAAGTTCAATCGAAATCGAATGTTCAAAGTTAGGCAGGTGGTGCACCTTATTGTATTTACCTAGGTAGATTATATCGTGACTACGTTTCCCGTCCCGTCCCGTCCCGTCACCTCACTCTAAAAGTAGCGTACTCCTCATATTCTTCGGGATTAGACTAACGTCGATCACAGTCGTATAATGAATAATACTTGCATATCTCGATCCTTGATTGATTTAGTCTGAAAATGTTTCCTATGACCTCCAATTGGATGTTGGCTGCGTATGTACATACAAATCTGTACGCCTTCATATCATAGATTCTACTTGATCGGAAAGATCTATATCTACAATTTGAAGCCACATTGAAGGCTTCAACGTCGATTTAAGTTTAGGTGGCCGATCGTGCAAATACAGAAAATTTCTATGCATCGGTATGCACATACTTAGGTGGTTTGAGTAACCGCCATGAGTTGTTACACCAACCAATCCTACCTTCATGTGGCTTCACTCTGCATAAGGAGGCGCCATAATATGATGTCCGCGGCGGCCAACGCGTATCATGTTTATCTCTCTAATTTCCCGCGTTGATTTTGCTTTTATCTTTGCCACCCTCGCAAGTGTAATTTGAACTCGATCTCTCGCTTCAGTCTATCACTCCTGTCACTTCCATCTGATCTCTCATTTCACCATGTTAAACGCATAACAACACTCTCACCGACACTAATACCAATATCGTCTCGTATACGTGAAAGAAGGGGGAAAGTTCGAGCCATGGGGATTCTACAGCTATCAGTTGAACTCCTAACCCTTATTGCCGATGACCTGGACGACACGGATCTTGTACGACTTCAAGTATGTTGCCGTGGCCTCTACGTGATCCTTAATCCGGCTTTCTACCGTAAAAGGCGTAATAAACTCAGTACCCTTCGTCTTGCCTTTCGGCGAGGAAACGTGTCTATGGCTAAAAAGCTACTTGCGGCCGGTGCGAATCCAAATCGAAATATAGCCCATTGCCCGATACTAGAGAATAATCTACGCCACCGGTATAATAGACATCATCTTGAGCATATGAATGCACAGCAACTGGTCGAGGACATAGAGCGATCTAACAAGAGAAGAAAACCCAAAGATTGATTAGAGTTAATAGACTTTACACTTTCGAATCTAAACACGCCATTGCATTAGGCCGCCGCTGAAGGTTGGGTTGAAATGCTCTTAATACTGCTAGAGCACGGAGCAAATATTAACGCTCTCTCGCGGAGATTCTATGCATGTGAATACGAATCCGGTGATACCCTAGGCGCACCATGGTGGACACCTCTCCATACAGCCATAGTATGTCTATATACGAAGTCTCTGCTACATTATATGTATTCGATCGCTAATCTTTGCTATCAGTGTCAGGGGCATGAATCGTTAGCTGCCCTCCTAGTGGTCAAAGGCGCGTCACTTCAAGTTGCAGCGAGGGCACTAGGTTCTTCGGACAAATATGTATCAGCTTTGCATATATCAAGCCAGGTTGGGAATATCAGACTTTCCAAGTTCATCATAAAACGGTACCGATGTTCAATCGATATCGAAGACCACAACGGCATGACACCAGTAGCTTGGGCTTATGAAGCACACCAGATGGGAATGGTCGAGTGGCTCGTCAAAGGAGGGGCAAATGTTAATGCCAAACTTGTGAGCGACCGTTCGTTACTATTGGACGCATGCGCACAGGGGCGTTTGGCTCATGCTCTCCTTCTGCTTGATTTGGGTGCCGGCCCTCTATGTTCCTTCGACGATATCAATCCATTACACTATTGCTGTGATAAGGACATAGCAATGAAGACGGACGGGGAAGCTGCTATCGAGCCTTACGAGATCAATAACCTAATGCCGCTTGCGAAACGCCTCGTAGAAGCTGGGGTAGATGTCAATGCGGAAAGGGGGCCATATGGGGAAACCCCTCTAGCAATAGCGGCGGCTCGGTGCTCATTTCTCCTCGTAGAATACTTGCTTGAGTCCGGAGCAAAGGCCGAGACTAGGGATCAAAATTACAGGACTCCGCTCATGCACACATTTACCCTTTACAATCATAAATCAGAATATTGGCTCCCAACAGCGAAATACCTCCTCGAACACGGTGCGTCAGCAAACACCGTAGATATCTGGGGCGAGACGCCTTTAGAGATGTTATGCGGTTGCAGGCCGGAGCATCCTGATAAATTTGCATTGATAAAGCTACTCATAGATCATGGTTCGCCTATAAACGCCACCCGCAATCCCGAGAGATCTTTCATATATTCGATGTTCATGCAAGAGGAACTGGAGATTGCCGACTTTTTCCACAGATTTGGCACGAGGCACCCATCGAGAACGGAAATAGCCTCAATGGTGACCGAAGCGATTCGAGCTGATGACCCCGAAGCGTTTCGATTTATCCTCCGTTTTCAGAGTGCTCCAAAGATAATAGGTCACAAAACTCGACTTTTCAGAGCATTGGAATTAAATAAACACGGAATAGCTGATCTCATCTTTGACGTTGGCGCACCGTGGACCTATGCCACTAAGACTGGCTGGTCTTGTCTACTACATGCGTGCAGGGGCGGCAACTTTGGCGTGATTCAGAGGCTGTTACAAGCGGGTGCTGATCCGAACTGCGCAAATCGTGAAGGGGACACCCCGCTCTACTTCGCCGCTCGACTCGCGAATACAGACGTCCTCGAAACTCTGCTGCAATACGGGGCTGATCCCTTCTACCCAATAGCAATGAAAGGCACCGGTCCTTTTAATGGGTTTCAAGAGCTGGTTAATAAAAGACGACTCGCCCTTATCATTTCGGTTCTAAGTCGTTGGCTCTTCGCCAGAGCCTCGCGGGAAGCACAAGGACAAGCTCTCTATGTAATCTGCGATCGCGTACCAGATTCGTTGCCAATTCTTAACAACCTCATGAGATGGGGAGTCGGCCCGAACATTCCCATCTCCTTCCCGAAAAAGGGGTGCATGTCGGCTCTCTCTCTTGTTGCCAATAAGGGCTGTCAGGAAGCTGTCGATCTGCTGCAGTTGTATGACGCTGTCTGGTGATGTATAGGTGTATCTAGTTAACCGTGAGGTTATATCACACGTGGAAGAACGTACGCGGATGTTTCACTTTTTTGTATTTTGGGTTGTTATTTCTCCTTGCTGTCACTTGGGAGGGGAAAAGGAACGGGTGCGAACGACGGGGTTTGAGCTCGGGATCCTCAACAACTCGGAGCTTCTAGGCTATCTAAAAATTGGTTGGCATTTTAAAGGTTTGGAATGGGTTATGACTTGAATGATAGGGATCGGCTGGTCCTGTCTCTAACTTCTACATGATGTATGTTATATGAGGTCTTCACATTGAGTTACTTTTTATCTAGCAGAGTATTCCCCCACCTTGTTTACGTCTTTTATACGGCGGATCTAATTGCCAACCGCCCTCACTGATCATGGGCATTTTACTGCTACGTATCGTCACACAAGTACTAGAATTGCTTCATATTCCTAAACGACGAACTAATTTTCCCGCAGCCTACCCACAACCATCCAGACCCAGCCTTTTTTTTTCTTCAATCATCTATTTCTCCAAATACGCCTTCCACCCCACCTCCTGCAACTTTGCAGCCTTGACTTCAACTTCATCACTCATCTGCTGCATATATTCCGCCATGGCCTGTCTATACTTCGCATCCCCGGTACCTAAGATACGCACAGCTAACATAGCAGCATTGGTAGAGTTATTAATACCGACGGTAGCTACGGGACACCCGCGCGGCATCTGCACGATGCTTAATAAACTGTCGTTGCCGTCGAGATGCGTGGCTTTGACAGGTACGCCAATGACCGGGATAGGCGTCTCAGATGCGAGCATACCCGGGAGCGCGGCTGCACCGCCGGCTGCTGCGATTAAGACGCGGATGCCTCGGTCAGCAGCGGATTTGGCGAGTTCGCTCATTCGGTGCGGGGTTCGGTGGGCGGAGGTTATGGTGAAGTCGTAGGGTACGTGGAAGCGTTCTAGGATCTCGAAAGCGCCGCGTAGGACGGGGAGATCCGAGTCAGAGCCCATGGTTACTACTACGAGGGGTTGCGTGGTGTTGCGGGAAGAGGATGGGGCAGTGGATGGTTGAGAGGGGGCGGCGGTAGGAGCAGTGGGACGCAATTGAGTAGCTTTTGCGTTGAGGCGCTCTTGGCGGATGGAATCGACCTCTTTGGTTAAGGGAGCTGCTAATTGTTCGAGGTTTGTATTGGGGGAATAAGAGGTTACGGTGATGTGTCCAATCTTACGGCCGGGTTTGGATGATTTGCCGTATAAGTGTAGGAATATGTCCATCTCATCGTCGTAAAGTGAATTAGTTAGATCGACTAGTGAATGATGAGATTCTTCCTGGGCACCTCCTAAGATGTTGAGCATTATTGCGCTTGAGATTCTTGGGAGTAATTTGAGAGACGGTGGGACGATATCCAATATAGCATGTAGCTGTGCTTTGTATTGCGACATAGCTGGTATGGCCTCAATTGTGTAGTGACCTGAGTTATGCCTGTGGTTGAAACATTAGTTATGTTCCCAGTAAAGGGCAATTAGATGACAAGCGAACACTTACGGCCTCGGGGCGACCTCATTAACCACTAGGTCGCCATTTTCTAGAAGGAACATCTCCACAGCGAAAACACCCCTGCCTTTCAGTGTCCGGATAACACCAGCGGCCACCTCTCTCGCGGCGTTGCATATATCAGTCGGTACTTGCCGTGGGGGGTAGAAGACTTTTGTACATATACTGTCCTCATGGATCGTCTCCACTGCTGGGTAAGAATAGACGTTTGTCAATTGGCCCTCATCATTTTCTGTTCTTAGCACCATGACGGCCAATTCCTTAACAAATAGCTGAAACTTTTCAGCATAAAGAGAAAGCTTCCCCATGACGTTAACGGCCTCTTCAAAGTCGTCAGGACTGTCGACCTTGAAGTTTCCACGACCATCATAAGATCCCTTTCGAGCTTTGAGCATAAATGGGAAGCCAAAGGCTTGCGCAGCCTCTTGTAATGAATCCCTCATAGACGAACCAGTTTCAACCTTTATTTGAGGCGCAATTGGTATGTTGGACTTCTGAAAATGCTCCTTTTGAAGGTACTTGTCCTGGATTAAGCGAAGAGTCTCCCATGATGGGTGCACGGGAACCTTTTTCCTTTGGCCATTCACTTCAACACCGACTGTCGCAATCTCCTCCAATACCTCGGTGTTAATATGTTCAATCTCAACTGTGAGCACATCACATCTTTTAGCGAGTTCGCGAATCTTGTCGGGATCTTGGAATGAGCCCTCGACGTGCTTATCATTCTGGTTGATCTGCCGCACGGGACAATCCACAGCATCTAGTACCACAAGCTCGATACCAAGCAATGCGGCTTGCTCCTGAAGCATTCGCCCCAGCTGTCCACCACCCAATATCCCAATAACCGGTTTCTTCGCCATCTCGCAAGGCTATGAAGTACGAAATCCAGAGAAGTATGACGAAATGAGTGATATTCGTTTGTATAAAATAAAAAAGTTGTCGCGTTTTCACTCTACTGAAAACTAAAATAGTGGACCTTCCCCTCAATTGACATCACACAACTGGCTAGAATTTATATGGGAGAGCACAAGCCACATGCGTCATATCCTTTTATCGGTACATTCAATGTTAGTCCTTCATACATCCAACAGAAAACCCAGAAATTATCACGAACTCTAGAGTTGATAATAAGGATGAGGTAGAGTACCTAGATGGAAGTCGTATCATATTATCATTCTAACGAACCAGGTTTCTACAGTATTTAGGGTATCTATAGTTGCAAGAGATTAATTCGGGCGTATCCGGTATTGGCGAAGAATACCACGCCTCAGCATCAAGGCCGCTTCGGAAAGCTTCAATCCAGGAAACAACATCGCATAGCAATATAGCTATCCTCCAGTCGATTTGGACTCTTAATGAAGAGCTATCTCACGTCTAGGCACAGCAGTGTCTCCAGAGAGTGCATCCCATTTCACTTCCGTGTATTGACTGCCTATTAAGCGACAATGCTCATAGTCGACAATCTTGTCAGCAGACCCTAAGGTATCGAAAATTATAGCATCATCGGGCTTAACATCTCGTATAACGAAGTGCGCATTGGCATCCCAATTATGTTTCCGATCCAAAAACATATCGCGGGCTCGTTTATGATGCGGGCGGGTGTCCTGGTTGCAATTATGACGGTAACCTTTATCGTAGAAGTAGGACTCCTGCGCTCTGATAATACTATCCCCTACCACTACATTTCCGCCGACAATAGTGATAGAGTCATTGCTTAGAATAGCAAGTCGGAAATATGAGTCAATATAGAACTTATCGGATTCGTACGCAAGTTGTAAACTGCTCCAATTCCAATCATTTCGATATTTGTCCCAATCAATCGGCTCTGGGCTATCTTGATTGGGATTTTGATTGGGATTTTTGAGGTCTTGAGTGAATTGAACCCATTTCGCTGTCATCCACTCTTTTGATAGGGGCTCAAGTCCTGAACCAGCGGCCGCGTGGAGCTTCTTGTATTCTGATGGAGCTGGGAGGATGCCGCCGAGAAATCGGACATTTAGTGAATTACTCGCAGAGAAGAAGACTAGTGTTTGTTCAGATAATCGAAGCCGATCGGATTTACTTTTTTTGATCTCCTCGTATTCGCGGTGGACAAGACCCGGTGAGATGCTGACACCCCAATCTGGCACCCACCACGGAAGAATCGATCTAAGAGGAGATTTCAACTTGCCAGATAACGCTCGTTGAAGCCCACCATTCTTTAGAACATAACGACCGGCCTCAATGAACGCTTCTCTTATCGTCTTATTATAATCAATCTTAACGAATTCTTCAACCTCTCGATGATCGGAGTGAAGACCCATATTCGCCCAAATCATGTCTCTCGGATCTGTCGCTTGGGCACCTTGTCGGTACTCAAGAATCTTCCATAGACAGCGGTCATCAGGATCATCGGTATTCTGAAGGTGAAGCGCATCGCGAACTTGATTCATCCGCGCCAGCACATTTTCTGTCCCAATAGGCGTCTTATACATGGGGAGAATAAAGCTGCAGAGATCCGCCCACCTCACTCTCAAACTCCCACATTGAACCCAAGGATCCCTCGAAAGCACCAACTCTTGAAATGTCCAGACTCGATGAAACCAAGGCTTTTCTAGCAGATATCTTGCTACATCATCAGCCTTACTAGTGGCATTGTTCGACGACAGATTCTCGGAAAACAACCGCTGCGGTACTTGTCCGAGAAGAAACTCCGTCTCCGCGCTCTGTTGCCCGAGATATATTATCGTGCTACTAGCGCTGGAGTACAGATGTCTCATAAACGCGACCTGCTGATTTCGCTCTGGGATGTTGAGTTGGTCAATGCATAAAGCGTCAATCCATACTTGATGGACCGCCGTAGGGTGGCGGAGGTCCCTCAATGCAGCACCAAGATTGGCGGTAATTCCAACTTCATGAGATTCAAGTAGAATCCTCTCTGCTGGCGTTGAGTTGCCCCATACATATGATAAAGCCGTATAACGATTGGTAAAGTAATTATTGGGAAGCACGATGTGTTCAAATGAACCTCGAAGAATAGCGTCTCGATTACGGGCGGGTTCTAGGTACAGTAGCCTAATTTCTCCAGGCTCTTTTAGCGGGTGATAACTATATGGCGCCGGCATCTTTTAGCTATCCTCCTAGCGTAAAGGTGGCTAAATAGCGCTATAATTAATTTTGTGTCACACTTTACGTTCTGTAGGAGCGGCGGGAGAAGGGTGATAAATATAACAATAACGGGGCTTGATAGAATGAACTCGTTAATCCAATAATATCATATGGATATTGTGCTTAAAGCTATGTTTTTTCACTTTAAGCCATATTATAATCGTTATAATGGTGCTTCCCATAATATCCTTTATATTGGGTCTCGATGAAAGATGATTCTAGGCCTCTATTGCTTAATCTTGTGCCGTGTATGGCATTGCGACGTGTCTCAAATCGCCCAATGGATAGGAAATGATAGAATGCAGGCCTGTGGTGAGGCTTGTTTGTGTTTGTAGGGAAAAGTAACTAACGGTTGCTGCATGTATTCATTCCTGCAAATACTCTTTGACTATATTAGACACCATTGGTGAAATAAAAAAGGTCGGACGCCGGCAGCTTTGGGGCAAGCAGAAAGCGGCGTTGAGTATGTGTTGCGTTTGCCTGGTAGCCTGTCCGACACTGACCCCTCATATAAATTGAAGTCAAGCAATCCAAACTCTTGGTTGAACACCAGTACCAATATAATCGCAATAAAACACATGGCAATACGAGCCGTTAGATTTCCAAAGTAAGGAAACTTAGAAAATACCTGTACACTTGTGCAGTTCTTGGTTTGGCATCAACCACTGCGGTCATCTTCACTACAAGACAGTAATCATACTGGACGATATGGCAAGCATCAATTCGCTCAAACAGGCTCTTAAGGAAAAAGCTATGGAGACGGCTTCATCCTGGAGGCAACCGTTATCTGACGCACAATACGACGCGGGTTTCAAGATTCTATTGAAAGGCTCAGGATGGGCAACTTACCAAGATTTTATCATTCCCCAACTATCTCAACTATTAACTCCTCTCTTCAACCTGCGTACTGGTATTTCGGTGTTAGAAATTGGCCCTGGTTCGAAGAGCGTACTTGGATATCTACCCGGCCACCTGAGACGGGCAATCAGCGAATACGTTGCGTTTGAACCAAACGGCACGTTCGCGACGGCCTTGGAAGAATGGCTTGGACCTCACACAGAGATAGAGCTTCCACTACCGCGCCTAGAAAGCCCTGCCGAAATTCACCGAGAACCGTTTATTTTAGATATGGGTGCCGATACCAGTGGCAACGATAAGAAATATGATGTCGTACTTTTCTGCCACAGCATGTACGGCATGAAACCCCAACACGAATACATTGAACAGGCGCTGAAAATGCTCGTCGAGCAGCCAGAGGGTGGAATGGTAATAGTTTTCCAACGCGAGGGGACCTTGGACCTCGACGAGTTGGTGTGTCATCGAGCGGCTTCTTTCCCTACGGGAACGGTTAGCGTGGCGGATGACGATGAGACAATTGATCATTTTGCTGCTTTTTTTGCGGGCTCTTCTATACAAGATATTCACGCTGATCAAGCTCTCTTAATCGAGTGGCGCAAGGTATGTCGCGATTTAGGCAGTCACGAGCAAGCCCACGCGAACCATCTCCTATTCAGCTCGCCTGACGTAATGGTGGCCTTTACTCAACACGCCACGGCATTGAATGAACTGATAGAGGTTGTGCCGGAGAAGTGGGGTAGGACAGTTAAAAATCGGGAGGCCAACCTTCACTGTCCTGCCTCGATTATACGACCTACGGAGATTCTACATTTCCAGCACTGCGTCCGATGGGCTGTGAAGCACAGAGTTGGTCTGACCGTTATAGGAGGTGGACACAGTGGCCACTGTCTCTGGCCCGGCACGATAGCGATTGACATGAGCGCCTTTGACCAAGTACATGTTATTGCGGCCGACGGAGAAGAGGAAGGACATGTAACTTCCAATTACCTAATCGTCGCTGAATCCGGTTGCACGACGGGAGACATCATCCGTAAGACTATGGAAGTTGGTCTGACGGTGCCTCTTGGGGCTCGTCCAAGTGTGGGTGCGGGATTATGGTTACAAGGCGGAATTGGGCACCTGAGTCGGCAATACGGACTGGCATGCGATTCTATCATCGGCGTCGTCATGGTAAACGTTGATTCTGGCCAATTGCTCTATGCAGGTGACGTACCATCGCAGCACCAGCGTGGCGCTGTGCGCGCAGAAAACGAAACCGAATTGTTATGGGCAATAAAAGGTGCCGGCACCAACTTTGGAATCGTTGTTAGCGTGACATTCAAATCCTACAGAGCCCCAGCCTATGTGGTTCGAAACTGGGGTTTCTCGCTGAGCGATAAATATGAAGCGCGGCGTAGGTTTAACCAATTTGATAAACTCGTTAGTAGAGAACTCCCACGAAACTGTTCGGTAGACGCATATATGTATGGGGATGGCGGCCAGCTACATTTTGGTATAACTACGATCGAATCTTGGGTAACTACTCTTCCTGTCGAGGGAATGACTCCCGACGAGGCTGTCGATACAGTTTTGGGGAAGTGGGACAGCGAAAAGTGTGTAGATGGCGTTGGTTTGTTCGAGACGGAGATGTACATATCTGCTATGCATGGTGGGCATGGTGGTGGCAAGACTTCCTCTTTTAAGCGATGTCTATTTTTTAATAGCATCCAGACAACGAACATTGACGACATATTCATACTGGCCGTTGAAACTCGTCCGACACCTCTTTGCTACCTGCATTTCTTACCAGGTGGCGGAGCAGTGCGCGATGCTAAGGACGATGCCACTGCTTTCGGATGCCGAGACTGGGACTTTGCCTGTGTAATAACCGGAGTCTGGCCCCGCGATCGAGATGAAACCGAAACCGCCCGAGCCGCCGTGCAGTGGGTTTACAAGACCGCCGGGGACTTGCTACCTTTCAGCATCGGAGTTTACGGCGCTGACCTTGGACCCGACCCCCGAGATGCCACTTTTGCTACTAAAGCATTCTGGTGTAACCTACCACGCATAGCCGATCTTAAAAGCAAACTGGATCCGTTCAATGTGCTAGCATACGCCTGCCCGGTCCAATATCCGCCGATAGACCCGCTACTCGTCATACTTGTTACAGGCGAAAGTTGTGTGGGTAAGGATTATTGCGCAGAAATTTGGGCCTCTATGTTCGCCAACCTCCGTGTACCACCTAAGAGAGCGTATACGGCTAGAATCAGCGACGTGACTAAGCGAGAATACGCCACAAAGACCGGCGCCGATTTCAGTCGCCTGCTTGTAGATCGCGCCTATAAGGAAGAACACCGACCAGCATTGGGGGTGTTTTTCCAGGAGCAGGTGCAAAAGCGGCGTTGTCTGCCGGAAAAACATTTCCTGGATGTGGTGCGTACCGCCGGCTTATTGGATGTGCTACTAATCACCGGGATGAGAGAGGAGGCTCCCGTTGCAACTTTTTCGTATTTGGTGCCGGGTACAAAGTTAGTCGAAATCCGTGTAGAAACTAGCGATAAAACACGGCGTCTTCGCGGGGGAGGTCAAGGCGATGGTAGTGAAAAGGCCTTGGACTACCGTCCTGATTTCATTTTCAATAATGACACAACCGGAAACGAGGGAGTTGAACAGTTCTTCAAGAAGTATATGGCTCCTCTCGTCGATGTAGACTTGCTTGATCTAGCCGATATGGTGCTCAAGGTGCCGGATTTTCCTCAACCGGGTACCTGGTTTCGCCATGTGCTCAACATCTCGCAGTCTTCTGGGCTGAATCTGTGCACGTCTCTACTTGAAACTCAATTTACCGGCAATTGGGTCGATGTTGCTGCGATAGTGAGTTGCGAGGCAGGCGGCTTTCTCTTTGCTGCGCCATTGTCTATACAAGTTGATGTGCGCATGACTCTCATCCGCGACGCTGGGAAGTTGCCCCCTCCTGTTATATCCGTCGCCAAGTGCCCATCTTATGTGTCGGCTTCTTCAGCATCCAACCAGCCGAACAAGAGGATCGAAATGCGGCCGGACCTCATCACGAAAGATGCACCAGTGGTGGTGGTAGACGATGTGCTCTCGTCGGGGGAGACGATTTACGCGATGCTACAGCTATTAAAGAAGGCTGGCGTCAGTCCCGGGAATGTTACTGTTATGGTGGTAGCTGAATTCCCAGCTCATTGCGCCCGGGCGATGCTACGACAACGTGGATTTGGACGAGTCAAGATTCAGAGTCTGTTCGCCTATCCTGGTAAATAAGAAGGTGAAAAGAAGGAAAAGTCTACATTTCTAATTTATGATGGGGACGGATTTAGAGTTTCTACCCCGTGACGAAATGAGAAGAAATAAGAATGGAGCAGACACCCCCACCCTAGTAGAATCAAGAACACATTCATTTAACCATCTATGAAGATAAAACATGTAAACGTAATCTCTCTTTGAAATGCATTGTTTTGGATATATCCATAAGTGTCTTACCCAAGCCATTTCTATTTATTATATAATCCAAGTTCTTCGATGATGATATCGGCGGCTTTCTCCCCAATGACTAAGGCTGTATGATTAGTATTTGCTGCGACATTTTTCGGTACGATGCTGAGGTCCGCAACTTTTAAGTTCCTGAATCCATGAACGTTCAAGTTTTGATCTACAACCCCATATTGATCGATCGGCGCCATTTTACAAGTCCCTAACGAGTGCCAGCAGGTGCCCACCTTGTCACGCGCCCACTCGTCAATGATGGCATCGTCCTCAGCCGAATATTCGATATCCTTTTCATCGGTCAGCGGCCCATCCATTTCCGAATCAATCAACGCCGCCTTGGACTCTGCTGAAAATGGAGGGTGATGACCGGGAAGTTCTCCTCGGAACACGTTCATACGGCGAGCTGCTTCGCGCTGCTTCTTATATACCCATCTATGCATTTTAAGATCGATCCCTTTCTCGTCAGAGAAAAAGCCTGCTTCGAAATCTATCGGATCGTTTAAATCGGGACCCGTTATATGGACATGACCTCTTGCGTGTGGGTAGACAGTGAACGTTGAAATACCGTAGTACTGTCCAGGGGGAATTCCGATCGGGTCTCCAGGATAGCTAACCTCATTAGCGACTCGATTCTTGAACACCTCACAACAGACCTTACCCATTCACTAGTGACATCATCATAAGGGGCTTATTCGGGTTATCTCTAAATTCTTCATTCCAGACTTCCTGAAATTCAGGGCTTAGGACGGCAATGTCCTTCGCGGTAGGCCTTATCTTGCAAGTGACGTCCTGCGCGTTCCAACCAAGCATCTTGTGATTAGTTTTGATGAGCTCCGCGACGCCCATACGTCCAAACAAAACCCCATCGATCGTGTCTTCGGGAGTAAGGCTGGACTTATAAGCGTACATCATTAATTGGTGATCTTCGTATCCGCGACCGACTCCAGGAACATTCGCAATCACCGAAACACCAGCACGCCCTAAAACCTCTGGATCACCAACACCGGACCTCTCGAGTATGGCGGGGGTCCCAAAAGCTCCACAAGAAATTACAACCGTTTTGGTAGCTTTGATGGTTCGGTCTGTGCCTCCTTCTGACCTATAAACCACACCACTAGCTTTCTCACCTTCGAACAAAACGCGCACTACTCGAGACTTGACGACTACGTAGAGGTTTGGATGATGACCGTCCTGGAGAAGGGGACGCAAATATCGCGACGCAGTATCCTGACGTTTTCCATCGGGGGACATAAATCGAACTGCACGTTGGACCCCGTTGCAAGCATCCAGGCTTCCCAGATCTTCGATTTCTGGCCACCCCACTTTATTCATGGCGGAAATGAAGTCATTCTGGGACCTTGTACCACAATACGTGCCGGTAGACACATGTATCGGACCACTGGATCCATGGACATCCATTGAACCAGGGCCATGGTATGTTTCCAACTAAAAGAAAGTTAGAATCAGGGCTTCATATGCATCTATGAGCTGCCTCGCATATCACGAATTCTAGGCTAGGTTATACCTTCTTGATGAGTGGTAGGAGTTCATCAGCAGACCAGCCCGGAGTCTTCCACGAGTCCCAATCAGAACGTTGCGCGCGACTGTACATCATCATATTGACAGCTGAGCCACCACCAAGCACATTAGCAGCAGGTATTACGATTGGGCGTTTTCTGTTCCCAGACTCCTTGCCCTCGTAGAAAGTCATCGTCGGAGAGCCTGGTGCTAGATTCCCTAAGAGCAATGCGGGGTAGTCAACTATTGGCAAACCAGCGCCATCAATTCCCGATTCGACGACCAGTATCGAGAGATTAGGGTCTGCTTCAGCCAACCTCGAGGCCACGATGCACCCAGCGGTGCCACCTTTGCACATTGTCAGTTATTACTAGAATTTTGAGCACGCGAACGTTGCTCACCTCCCGCGACGATGACATCTACCGATTCAATACTACTCGGAAGCTCGTTGTATAGGCCCATTGTGAACGCCGATCCTCGTGTGTAAGATTCCGATACTAGATATTCGGAAAAACCAACAGAAGTGAGCGCTCTACGTTGATAAGCCTAACCAACTCCCAGCTTCTTTTATGGTTACATATTGTCGCATGTTTTCTCTCTCGCCCCGGCGTTAAATATACCAACCAACCAACCACCTCCCGTATCCGTATGCGCAGACTGTTACAATGAATAAATATATCTGCTGTACTCCCAACCGCATATCAAAATGCTACCATCCACTTCCCAGAAAGGCGTTAATGCTGACAGGTATCCAGTTACCGGGCAAATCAAGAGCTAACTGCGGAAACTAGTCGAAACTAGGGAACCAACATCTTATACATTTAGATGCATTAAGTCAATTTAACCGTTAAGTATCTAGCGGCAGTGAACAATCTGGTAGGCAGCTTAAACGTTGTTTACATAAACGATTCATCTCACACTCTTGGCCAGCTCTCGTCGCATTATAGCTTCTCACCGCCTCATACATGCATTTCATTCGAAGAACCGTTACACGCTCCCTTCCGCGGCTTCCGCAACCTGTCCACTCCCAAACACTCATTTTCCGCCGCTTTTCTACCAAAATGGGAGCTCCGGTTATCCTATGCGGTAAGACGGAGGAGATCGGGCGGGGTGTCGTCGCGGGACTGAAGCCCGAGTACGAAGGTCCGTTAGTAGCTTCATATCCAACCCTTACTTCCTATCCCCGATTGTCTTATAATCAATCAGTAGTTAATGTACGTTCGTATAGTAATACACTTTGTCATGAGTCCTGAGAGCGGGGCAGCCCAAATCCCCGCTATACTCAAGGGCGACCAGTCACCAGCCGCGGACTCTGCACTCGGTAGTAAAGACTACTCAAAACCGCCAATTGCTATTATTCTCGGCGGAGCATTCAATGATGCCGGGACGGAGTTGATGATGAAGGCGGCGACGGGGATTAAGCCGATACCCTGGCTCCGACCGGATTTATCAAAACCTGCCCCGCCGCTCGGCCCGGAGTATGGTAAGGCTATGGTCGCGCGGGTCAAGGATGTCTCTTATCATTGGTTGAAGTATTCATCAATACTTGAAATGCCTTTATTGTCTAAGTCAATATGGAACCCGTTGATAGGCAAGATTATGAAACAAATACATGAATTATCCCACAATCACCCCTTAACTGTTATGCAACCCATCCACCAACGTCGCCTTCACACCCTCCCCATTCACTCCATTTGCATTCCCATTGCCATTCCCAACAACAGGAATCTCATGCGTAGCCGCCTTCGGCTTTTCCTCCTCCGCCAACGCCAACTTCGGCTGTCGATGCAATTTCCTCAGGGGTTGACTCCCCGTCTTCGCAGTAGCCAACGTCCTCCCAAGCCGAGTATCCGATCTTCCATCATCGAAAGAGCGGATATAGTATCCTAAATCAGACGTGGGATCCCACTCGGTCTGCGATACACCATCGCCTAGCCAGGAGAACCGGTTTCCTTTATACACGAACTCCCAATCTTCAACGCGGGGTTCGCGGACCGCTTCTAGGTAGTGCAGTGTGGAGCCGGGCCAGGTGGTGGGGATGCGTCCGCCTACGGAGTGGTTGTTATGCGAGTTTCGGCACCGGTCGGTCCATACCAGACGCTCCATTGCGGATGCTACGTGCGCTTTGAAATCCTCGCAGGCGCGGCGCTTGGGGGAGAAACTGTGGATGCTGGGTTCGGTTTGGTACCGGTCGATGAATGAGCATATGTAATCGGCTTGCGCCTCGATGGCGATTAGGGTTGGTCCGTTGGATACGGGTGTGTAGGGCCCGAGGAAGGTGAGGGTGTTTGGGTATTCGGATATTCCGACGCCCATGTATCCCATAATCGACTCCCGCCATTCGTCCTGCAGGTTGTGGTTTTTGAAGAGGATGGGGTAGTTCGGGACGTAGGAGGTGTTGAAACCTGTTGCGCAGATTATGACGTCTCCGTTGTGCGATTGCCCGTCTGCGCTTATGCAACCGGTTTCGGTGAAGGATGTTACGCCGGAGTAGATTACGTCGATGTTGTCTTTCTTCAGGGTCTAGAAGGTTCGTGTGAGTCCTATCCTATGCTGATTGTGGGGCTATGAGAATCTTACTGTTAGGTATTTGTATCCTGATGGGATTACACGCTTACACCCGACGGCAAAGTCGGGAATGAGTTTTCGCTCCATTTCTTCATCTTGGAGGAGCTTCCTCGTTGTATTTGTGAGTAAGGTTTTACATTGTTCTTGTAGGATGGTGTCTTTCATATACATGGCTTCACGAATCGTCAGTCCCGGGCTCAGTGTGGTAAGTTGTTCATGTCGCACTCACTGAATATGCTGTTCATCGTCCTCTCATTATCTTGGCGCATTTGCAAAACTGACTTCGGGTCGCTGACAAACTTTTCAATTTGTTCAGGACTGTACTTCCCACTCTCAGAGCTGATATCCGGCAATACCCAAACGGGCGATCTAATAAAGATTTTCGCGCGATTGACTATCGGCTGGATTGTCGGTAGTATCTGCACGGCCGAAGAACCAGCGCCGACGAGAAGAACATTCTTGCCTTCTAGAGACACACTCTCATCATAATCTGCGCTATGAAGCTTGGTTCCCTTGTATTTCTCAAGGCCAGGAATTCGAGGCCATGCCGGCTTATTCAGATAGCCTGTGGCATGAATCAAGATGTGACACCAATCATGGACAACCTTTCCGGTTGTGGTGTCTTCAACATCTACTTCCCATTGACCTTCACTCTCATCCCATCGGGTTTCTTTCACAAGATGGGATGTTTTGATGAATGGCTCTAATCCATACTTGGATACGAAGCCTTGGAAATAACTCCTAATCTCCTTTGAACCAGCATAGACAGATGAGAAGTCCGGCTTCGGCTCAAATGAGTATGTGTAGTTATGTGAGGGAACATCACATGCACACCCCGGATATCTGTTTTCATACCATGTTCCACTGATTTCGGGATTTTTGTCATAGATCTATGCGTGTGTTAGTTATCGACATTGGTGTTTGAGGGCGATCACTATACCGTCAAGGAGTAGTTCTTAAAAGATCGCTTTAGCTTATAAGCCAATAGGATACCAGAAGCTCCAGCGCCGACGCAAATAACCTTTACAAAACGTTCATTGTAAATGGCGTTCTCTCTTGGGGGATCCATCGCGCCAAGGATTTTACGAAATAATTCGTTAATTACAATAAGGTAGTATGGCAAAGACTCAACAACACAAGAGAGTCTAGGGCAAAACTCCACGTATTTTCACAGTTCTAGGTGCCTTAGGTAATTATTGGGAATTTGATTTTCATAGGCATGGAAATTGGCTTAGGCAACTGCTATTCATGGAGGCTCGCGAGAAATTACCTAATGCATAATGAAACCGATTTACTCCCGCAAGGCTGATTTCAAGCTGAACTGCCGCGGTGCTAAATGCCTAGATAAGTAATCCAGTATGTCAATTACGTGGAGAGCTCGGATAGAGGGTCCTGGTTTAGTTTACGATGTTCTATAAATATGCACATTTAGTGGATAAGGTAAGCTACTTTAGCTCCCTTGGCTACGCAACAGTTCGTTCTAATAATAGTTAAGCTTATAACCTGCTCGTAATATAGGGCTACCTAAGTAGCCATTTTTTTAGGGCATTCGGAATTACGAAAGTACATGTCATATTTCTTCCAGTTTTTTTATCATAAAGTCCTAGGAATTAATTTATATGCTTCATTTAATTCGCAACTTGATTAGGTGATGATCAGTGACTAAGTGGTTTTCTCCGCTTTACTGCGCCGTGGCTTACCGTGGAGAAATGTAACGGAAGTTTCGCTTTGGCGAGGTTCTGGATTGACATATGATGTAGTATGGTATGATGATGTAGCGCTAGAGATCGTCAGACAGGAAACATAATTCCTCCTTATCCGGTGATTACGTAGGTACTGCCCAGGTAAGCCGCGAAGGGTCGGACGGATTATCACGTATCTGCGAAAGGACCTATTGTACTTAGGTAGCCCAACCTAAACGCCGTCTCGGCTTCTCTTAGCAACAAGGGTAAGCTTCCTGCCAATGCACAATCGATCGTGTAGCTCTTTGCGAATCACATGCGCTGCCACGGTAATAACGCCGTAATTCCTCCCGTACTCTGTTTCAAATAGCGGACCTTACCAAATCGCTCAATCGACAGCGATTTTATTCCTGATCAGCGAATCGGCAACTAGGACCAAAAGGGAACGTTAACTTCCGATGTTATATCTTAGTAATTTCTCCACATTGAAGTCCTTTCGCTGAAGGAATTCGAACATCAAATGCCAATTCATTCTACACGTGTTGTGACCGCAGAATTTAGGGGTACATAAGAATAGCATGGATAGGTAACAAGAAGCTACCTACCAAAGGTAGATAATTTTCGCGACATTACAAGAAGTTGGTAATCCATCAAGTTTGTGACGTGCTTGAGTCCTGAGATAACGGTTAGATTAACCCGCACTTAAAACAGTCTTTTGGGGAACAATCCAAGCTGCTAACTGTGCCACATATGTAACGGGTTAAACACTATGTTCCTTCGTGGGGTTAATTCTTCTACCCGCCGTAACGAAGTAGAAATTCTAACCAATCAGGAAAGACCTGGCCAATTTAATGCCCCCAATCCCTAACCCGTAGCCGGTTTTCGAGAACTATCAGGAATAAAACTCAATCTACTATAGACATCGCGATATCGAGTATAGTTCTTGGCGTCTTTATTGTCCGCAACTAACTAATTCTTAACGCTAGTTAGTCCGGACTACTGCAGCATAACCAAACCAATCAACGTTAGGCATTTCGTAGTTACCTCTAACACGTGTTGCCGTATTATTTTCTTCCTCTTGAATACAGGACTTCAATATCCTAATTGCGCATCTTGGCCCTCGCAATACCTATCTACGTATGGAAGGTGAAGGTGAATTTAATTCGATTGGATAATACCCGCGCGTTCCTTGCGTCGGTTGGATTGCATCGAAGGGCGTTGTACTGTTGTAACCTCGAAATGCAGGTTGTAGACCTAGACGGATCGATGAAATTCAAGATCGTGTAGCAATAACCCCGCAGGAATCGATCCCATGCATCACAAGAAACGTGAGAGGATTGCATTGTAGGTTAGGTACCCAATACTACGGTATTTTTCGGTAACACTGCAGACACCACAGCTGTATGCACGTGGAGGGATTCGATATGTGCGACCGTTACAATGGCTAATGTTTCGAAATGACTAATGATTACAGGGCTGTATAGCTGTTTCAATCATGAATTTCACGGAATATTTAGAAATTACTTTTAATAGTTCAAGAATTTGGTATAATTGAATAATTCATGTAATTGTGCTATATGTACAACTATGAAGAGTACTATCTGCACATTCTGGTATCATAATAATCTGCTAGAAAATCCGTCGCGTATGTCCATCCATATTGATGTAATCCCTCGGCCGAGTGGCAAAAAAATAAAATAGAAAGAAGCGCGCGCTCCAAAAAAAGAAACACCCCAAACCGGGGCCAACAGGGGTATCCTTGAGCGCTGTATCCACAAAGTAAACTACACGTACACGACCGTTACAAGGGTCCACCGTCCCCTCATCATCGCCTTACCGGCCTACACGTCCACATACGGATAGGTCGGGGTTTTTAGTAAAGTGCTAAAAGGCCTTTACGTCAGCTAGTGTTTTCCTTGATAGGTAGGGAGTTATCGTCATATCCTGGTCGTCGTTAAATAAAAAATAATAATAAAAAAAAGATAAGAAAATGGTAAAAGGATTGGTTGAAGTAGAATCGTGCGTCTTAGCACGGTAAGTCGGATGAATGAATAGAGACATCACCAAAGACTTTTTTGCGATGTCTGTCGAAGTTTCTTTTCTTGCGGGTTGATGTACGAGACAACCCTTAACGCGCCGCCAGCTTGGACAGAGCAAGCGACGTAGGTATGTAGGCCTCTGCTAGTGGCCATGGAGTCATCGGTGCTAGGGTCCTATAGTTAGCGTGGGGTCCGAAAGACCGGCATTCCAAGCCATGGGATGTAAGCACTTACAAGATAGTGTTCAGGGCATTTCCATAAGCGGCCGACACGGGCGAGATTGCTCTCTCACCCCCTGCTAGTTCGCTCTTCTGGTCCTGCAGCTTCTCCCTTCTCTGGCTGTCCATGAATTGGCTCACAGACCGCGCTACTTGGGCGTCGCTGCGCGCGTAATGCCGCACCGGTATGTAGATCTTGGCCTTGGGCGATTGGCCCCCAAGGCGGAACTCGACGTTGTAGAGTATTCCAGAGGTTCTGTGGTCTGCTTGTCCTATGGCCGTGTCCTCGGGTTTGCCTTCCTGATCGAATAAGGAGTTCCACAGGCGGCGGAGTTGACTAAGGCCAGCATCCATGTCATCGCCTGTAACGCGGCCCCCAAGAGTCATAGTCTCCCGAACGGATCGAAAGTCGGTCTGGCGGTTGCGGAAATAAATCTTGAGACGCGATTTGGCAGAGTCGATCATGTCAATGGCGAGCATGTCTAGTTCTAGCGGTAAACCTCCCTTTTGTTCATGCTCGTTTACGAACTCGGCAAACTGGTTGAAGGCGCCGAGTTTCTCAGGGGTGCATGACGGAGCAGAGGCGATCGCCTCGGAGATTACTTGTAGGTTGGTCTGGTTCATAGTTCGTGCTCTGTAGCCGGGGAAGAAGTATGCCTTGCTCTGGATCTCCTTCTCACCCAAGTCGAAGGCCCAAAAGACCCTTGACGGGTGACCCTCAACTGAGTTGCGGTCTGCCTTATCGCTAAAGAAGCCTTCGAAGTGGTCGAACCAGCTCATGTCGGTATCCGGTAGAGCTTTCAATATCAAATGCTTGAAGTCTTCTGCAGCATACTCATTGCATAGGTCGTAAGGGCTTCCGGCGTCTAGGCCAATGGGCTCGATGGAAAAACGAATAGTAGGCTTCTCAACACCCGTGTGCCAGTCCCAGCTCAGTTCGATAGGATTGTTATCGTCGGTCATAAAACTCTTCCATCGCCGGGCACCTGGCTCGTTAGCCGTGCCGAGGTTGCTGGCGATTTCCCTTGCGAAGAACTGAAGGATGTTGACTTGAGCAGCATGTGTGTAGCCAGCATTTTGTAAGAGTACGGCTAGCGCGTGGCCAGACTTCTCCCACCAGTACCTCTCATGGCGGTCGATTCGGTTTTGAATCGCAGAAGTGACTTGTTGAAAGGCTGTCTTAGGCTCCTCTGGGAAGAGGAACTTTGTGTTGTAGAATAACGACTCTAATATGAGCTTCAAGGATACTGGTACTAGAGATGCTGGTAGGATAGGGGGGTAGCAGGTGACCCCTAGGTCTCTTCTCGAGCGTAATACCTTCGACATTGTTATTTGATGTGTGTGTGTATGTTGTAGTGTTCTACCTTGGAGAGCTAGGTAGGTGTACGAGGGGGGGAAGTCTTAGGGTGATAAATTTTATATATGAGTATTCATGTAGTAGATGTATCACTAGCCGGACTTCGGCTTCTAAAAGAGTGAATGGGGAACTAGGGGTGGCTTAAAGAGCCCAACAGAAAGGTTACGTCAAGAGGGTTACATACATGCACAAGTTGTTTTCAAATGCCACGGACGGTCGTATAGTCGATTTCGGACAAAGTGCCTGGGCCCCCGTATATAAAGCTGGGGACAATTTTTGGTTATGGTTGGCCGGAATCATTCGGCCCTGCGCTTGTTGACGGTGGCTCAGCTACCTCCGCCATGAGTCGGCGAGGTGTGATAGCCAGCATCCCCAGTACTTAGTTACTTAGTTGCCTATCATAACGTCAGCAATTGTGGAAGGATTCCGTGGTCTGAAGGATCCATATTAATTACCGTCTAGCCATCGGCAGTGATCTCCATCAGGATCATTTAAGTCCTACCATGCCCCGCAAATCTGCCAAGGTGCGCGTTTCGACACATTCAGTAACGCATTAATTACCTGCCCTAGTTGACTAATCAGGTAGTTTACATAATTCATAAGTGTTTCATAGCCCCTTAACTTCCTTGGGTAGCGGCCTCTTGCTCCGGCTTAGGTTGCTTCGTGGCAGTCCTAGGAATGACGACTTTTTTCGCTTCCTTGTCGACACCGAGCCACAGAAGATCGGGTCTGCTGTAATGCCCAACGGTATCCAGAAATCCTTTGACAGCCACCACCTTAGTGAGGTCTAAGTCTCCGTACACGATACCTTCGGTATCAGCTTTTTCATCAGCAAGCGGCTTTGTCAGGAGTCTCCCGTCAGGACCAATAATGCAGCTGTGACCGCCGCCGGGCTCTCTGCACGACAGACCACTCCGAGTACCCAACAAATCGATTCCATTCTGAGTGCATACCGCCGTGGAGTGCAGAACATATGTGCCACTTTCAATTGCATAGGTCTGCGACAGATTCTGACATCCATCGGCCGTCATGCTCCACAGACCTGGATGGTCAACACCAGTTGTCGGGTCTACAGGAGGCCACATGGAAATGTGAATCACTTCACCCTGCGTGATGCTTTGGTACTTGAGGAGCGGCTGCGTATGTTCCCAGCAGGCGAATACCCCGACCTTGATCTTGCCAATTGGGTCACCGAAGTCGAGTTCGGCCACGTTTGTTAAATCGTCTCCAGATCCATCACCGAAGATGGTGCGCTCCATATGCGTCGGCTTGATCTTGCGCCTGTGTAACACCAGGTCACCCTGCGGCGAGATAATAGCCTGCGCGATGTAGACGCTGCTCGAAGGGCTCCTCTCTGAAAACCCAAGTACGACGGCAATGGAGTGCTTTTTCGCTGTCGCTTTGATTTGCTCCATTTCATCTGACTCTATAGCTAATGAGTTATAGATGTACCTAGTCTGGAGCTCAGGGTCCACGGGTCGAGCCCTATCAATACGGTATGTATGTTAGCAGAGCTTGTTACTTATTTCAGGAGCAGGATTGACTACGAACCATATCCACGCGGGATATCCAGGGATCCAAGCCTCTGCGAAGGCGACTATCTTGGCACCATTTCCCGCAGCCTCTTCGACGAGATCGCACGCTTTTCGGACCGACTCCGCAAGGTCAAGCCAGATGGGCTCAGCCTGTGTAACAGCAACTCGAATAGTGGCCATGTTATCGGCAGATGAGAGTAGCCCGAAATCTTGTTCGCAGAAACTGAGAAAACGAGGAATATGAGTTTTACAAATAAACCGAGATATCCATGCTTTATGTTGGTTCTCAACCTGCAGCGCACGTGGAACTTGTTGGTTCAGGTTTCCTTCGAACCGCAACCAACGCACGGTACAGGCTTAGGTCAAGCTCCATTATGTCTCTGGAGGATTGCAACGTTTAAGGGTGCACCCATTCAATTCGACCAATTGTAATACGGCGTATATGTCATTCGAAACCAGGTTGAACTCTCCTAAAAACGTATTATCGTGTATTTTCTTACCTCACTTTTTAATAGCACGTGCAGTAGTCAAATTGAAAGTTATAAATATTATCTTAGGGCGCCGAGGGCAACCCCCTGTATGATATTAGGAAGCTTCAATCGAATGTCGCTACTTTCGCACGCTAAAACTTAGTGGTTGCGAAGTTATCCAAGGTTGAATGAGCAGAGATATGGATAGGATGAATGGTATGATTCTTTTGATCCTTCTGAATATTTTGTAGAAACACAGGTATTCATTGTATATTTTGTAATATGTGCTGGCAGACAAGGTCTCTTCATAAAAGACAGGCGTTTGGTAGAAGGAGGAAGAGGAAGAATGGGAGGAGCCTAAATGGGCAGAACATTTAACAGTGTGTGGTCAGGTCATGTGACATGGTGGTCATATTCGTACCAACAATACCAACAATACCAACAATACGGGCTGCTGTACCTGTTCCAATTTTTTATGTTAGCCTTTCTTTCGAGAAAAAGACCTTTCATTTTGGAATCATTCGATCTTAGCATTACAGTCAACCCCAAGCTATCTTCAGCTTCCATATTAGACCCTCCATCAAGGAGAAGCTTGATCATCCCATCATCCCTTGTATATACCGAAGTTTGCGATAGGGTATCGTCACCCTTATCACGAACCTTTGTATTTGCTCTTTAGTCAAAGAGAAACTTCATTGTCTCAAGTTGGCCTTCGTTGGTCTCATTGCATTGTTATTTTCCTAAACCCGTCTCCCGCAGTTATACACCAGACCGGTTCATTAGTAAAGCATGTATTCTCTTAATTTAACTAATAAATTTGCAAAGTTTGCTTAGAGGACCCTTAAGAATATGGCAGATAACCTCTGGTGAATATAGACACGGAACAGTCGACTCGATACAAGTACGGCGAAATCCGGTTAACACGGCTCAATTTTTACGCACCTTTACTCCTTAAAAGGTTGAATTTCCAGCGTATGGACTATCAGTGTGCGGCATACCTCGCCCAGCCCCACGCCCCTATCCTATTCGTCGTAGGCGCTGCGTTAGGTGCTCAACAGGGCGAAGAAATTAGCCACTATCGGCAATAGGACTTCAGTCTAGTGTAACAATAATCGGATGTACCTACGCCATTTTACAAGGCCTATGTACCATATTTACTTTCATCGTGACGAAGAAGTGAAAATTTGCAATCCAGGATCGATTACGACTACAAGAAGAGGGACGGACGAAACTCCTGTGATACCTCATGTACCTACATAGTTAATTTGTATGGTGAAAATACGCGTGCATAAAATTATCGCAAGAGTAAAGAATTAATGCGAATTCGGTGGCATTACCTCTACTTTTACCATTGCGACCATCACTAAGTAATAGCAGTTGCTAAGGACCTGTGAATAGGTACCCATCAAAATAAGGAAAACTTGAAATGTGGATGGCTACACCACTTTATACCGATATGATATAAAGTGCTCAACCCCCCCCCCCCCCCCCCCCAGGCGTAAGTACTGGTACTGGCACTGTCAAAACACACATCAACCTGTAAAGATGGGGCAGTCAACTGCAGTGGACGGCTAGGGTGAATGATAAGACATTACTTTCCACGCGATATACAACCTCTGCCCTATACCCCTTTCCTATTGGAAGAACGGAAGCTGACCGCCTGTTGCTGCATGCTTTTTGAAGCAGGCTAGGAGTGAGTCAAAGCATATATCGTGTCAGCGTGGCGTTCTTGAAGAGAACCCCCGCACATGAGAACCAAAGCCTACCTAAACTTAGGTACCTAAGTAGGTCTGCTATAGGGGCCATAAGTACCCCCCGCGAGAGCTCTATAGGCCATCCATAGGTGCCTAGCTTTGGACTGACGCGCATCTATCAACGGAAGATACGCGGCGCCCCGGTCCCCCGATGCCTCACGGATATCCGGATGTATAGAAAAAGTACTTGGATTAAGCTAACCTCTAGGTCAAGTACATATAACTATCTACCTTTTACTATTGTCGTAATTCTTGCCCTTTTCTGGTTTTTCTGTTTTTCTCTTTTTCTGTCAATAGATTTGCTCATTACCGTCTTCCTTTCATTCCATCTCTTTCGTTTCTATTACCCTCGAATTAGCAAGTCGGATTCATTTGCTTTAATATAAGTGCTTGAGTAATTAGAAGCAGAAATCAATTTGTTATTCGAATTGTTGATCATTCGTAGCATTCCTAGCATTCGAGACTTCGTAGGTTAATCTCCCATATTCTTTTCACCACGATTCATTCGCACATCTCCTTGGATCTGATTAGATGTAAAACATACTGTCCCGCAATCGGGGATGGATTGTTACGGGGACCTGCGAAGTTGTGCCAATTGCGCCAGGTGCAGCGGCGCTTCCCGCTGTTGACGGTGCTGTGGAATTGCCTGGGGTTTCAAATTCGTCCTTTAGGTAGCGTCTCGATCGCTCGCACAAAATGTCGGCATAATAGGCGGGTGTGCAATAGCTTACAGCCTTGGTCGCGCGACCAAAAACATAGCTCATGCTTTGAGTGAGCTCTTGTAGCTCGTCAGAAATATTCTTCCCGGGAGTTTTAGATTTGTTGCCGTATCTTTGTCTGAAAATTTCGTCTATTAGAACGAAATAGTGGGCTGGTCGCGCAGTTCCCTTGATTGCCGCGTGCGCCTGGAGGAAAAAGTCCCAGCTACGAGCCTCGGTAACGCCACGGTCAACCACTGTTCCTGAACGTGCATTGCCTGACCGATCTGCATCGCTCGCCTTCGTGGGGTAAAAACGGGTATGGTGACGTTTGCCGACCACGATTAGGGTAATGCGCGGGAGACCCTTTTTCTGATCTGGGGCTGAGTAGACCTCCTGACAGGCTTCACGGAGTAACGGAAGTTCATCATCGAGGACCGTCTTGTACTGGCCTTCTGACACACCATCGCGATACACGAGGATATTCTCAGGATACGCATCATGCTTTCCCTTTGTCCTCCAAAGGTTGAGACGCGATTTGAGCATATCTTTCATGTTGGTTACCATCTCTTGGCGAGCTTTCTGGATGCTGAGGATACCTGGCCATTGGCCAAGCCGATTATCAACACTTGCTACCATACCCGCAACACTGCGCGCATGTGCGCTCGAACCTGGGGACGGATGAGTTACGTCAATTCCGACAACCATAGTCTTATTTTCAGAAATAATACCCAAGTTCAAGGGGTCGATGAAGTGGTTGTTGCCACCAAGCTTGAGGTTCACTTTCAAAGCCTCATTTGTGAGATATTGATCTTGGCCCTGGGCTTTGGTGATCTTGCTGCCCACACTGCAAACTGTATGGATGCCGTATTTCACGTCTGCGAGTTGCTTAATGCGGTCGTATAGTGGTGTTTGGTTCGACGGAACAATAACAAGCACCAGCTGCAACTCCATTCCAGCCAAACGTTGTATGACCTCTTCTAGTTTGGGGTCATCGTTATCACTTAGCTGTACTAACTGCGCCTGCCTGGCAGCACCCATCTGGATTCCTGTCTGTTGCATGACGGTGGAGAAGGTTTTCATGATGCCAAGGACACCGTTTTGATCGAGTCTTGTGGCATTGTAATACATATTTTGGGGCATTCCGAGGTATAGACAGGTCCATGCCCCCAAAATCGTGCTGCTTGAAAATTGTGATCTTGGGCCGTCGCGAGGGGCCATGTTCCAGCTCCCGTTGTCTACCCGTGCCTTCTGGTTCTGCCTGTACATAACATTGGGACTGGGAAGGACACGGGATTGGACGGTAATGAGCTGGGTGGATACTGTGATGCCAAATTGTCCCTATAAAATTTAATCTAATTAGCTTATAAGTCATAGTCGGCAATATAGGTGGACTCTTACCAGTCGCGGATTTACATCAGGAGCCAATCCGGCGGTCTGCCTTCCCTTATTCATGATAGAAGTCGCGTTATCAGAGGGCGGGCGAACCGCGAACTTAATCATACTGCTCGTCTGATCGGGGTCAAGCTTCGCTTTGGCGGGTTGACCTGGTAAAACCTTGCAGACCTGGGCCGGCAAGTACGAAGGATTCTCCCTGTTACCAACATTTACGACGGGCATTCGAGGGTTTGTAATAGTGATCTTATGTACTGCAAAAAATTTAGTCATTAATTAAACCTTTCCCTATTAAGCCTCGGTGATCTTACCTTGATAGAAGTGATCATATACAGAGATGTAACGTCCACCAGAAGTGGCTGGCTTCTGGGCCCCCTTTCCACCCTTCTTCCTTCCGGGTGTAGAAGCAGGAGAGTTCTTCGGGGACAACTTATCGTCAAGCCAAAATTCCACATCTTTTGCCCCAGCACCAAACGCCCTCACACGAGGTGGATGTTCAGAATTATAGCCATCGTTCCCATTGGCAAGGCCAAAGATGGTCTTGGCTCGTAGTATTACCTTTCCGGACTTGTTCTTCCTTTTCGGCAGATGTTTGGTCTCAACTCTTACTTTCTTTAGGAACCCCTCTAATTTATAGAGAGTCGCCGCATTATAACGACTGATCATCTCCTCAAGCTCCCATGGCTGGTAAAAGGCACCATGAGCGACGTTAACATTAACAAGTACTCGAGCTGTTGCCGCACGGACACTAGCGAAGAACCCGCGCATAGCGATGAGACACTTGCCAAGATCATAGGTGTCTGAATTGTTGCCCATGGTGAAGGTCTTCGATGCGCCGATAGTAGCGAGATTTCCGGCCGACTTGGCGAAATGGTTCAGGAAGATATTGAAGCCCTGGATCATCGGCAACTTCTCATCGTACCGAGCCGAGAAGTTTGTCGAATTGAGGTAATTAGATAGTGCGGAAACATCAAGAAGATTAGTAAATTTGAGGGTGACAGTGGTTTTACGAGCACCCTCACGGGGCTCATCTTCATCTTCCGCCTTGTAGGTAATTGAGAACTCTTTATTCTCAAATTTCTTTCGCGAGATAAGTGTCGACTTAAAGTCCGTGACGACGTCGGCTTGAAGAGGCGCTAGGTCAGGAGACTCGAGTAACAGACGAATAATCTGCACTCTCTTTTTACCTGTAGCTTCAGGCTTAACCTCTACCTCGTATCTGTAGAGAACTAGCTTGGACGGAAGTGTCAAAGCAAAGTAATTTGCCCAAAGTGTGACGGGTGCTCCCTTGGTGCCATAACTAGGACGAGCAGGGAATCTTTCTTCAAGATTGAGGTTCGCGATATTGGCGGACCCCTTACTTGCCTGGATTGCGTTCTCGACCATCGTAACATTAGAATTGGGAGCTGGAGCTCCACCCGCAGGGCTATATCAAACTTGTCAGCGGTACTGATGTAGGGATGATAGATGTGGAAGCTCACGTGAAAATTTGGGCAGGCTGATTAAAACCACCGCGGCCACCTCGACCGCCGCCGCCTCTGTAGCCGCCTCCGCCTCCGCGTTGTCCTCCTCCACGCTGGCCGCCACCCCGGCCGCCGCGAAACGGGTTATCTCGGTCATATTGACCCCCGCCGCCGTATTGGCTGCCACCACCACCACCTCCTCCTGTTCCCCGATTGTTCCAAGCAGACATAATGAGGGATGGTCTACTTGGCTAGCTTGAGACGTTGAAGAATAAAAGTGAATACAAGAAGGGACGGAAAAGGAGAATTGGGTTGAGGATGAGAAGAGAAGAGAAAAGAGAGAGAAGATGGAAAAATTTTGCTTAGGGTTAAAGTATTAAGTATAGTTTAGGCAGGCTACGAATCGGAAGGAGGTACGGCGTATTTGTAAGGTGTGATGGAGGGGTTCAAACAACAAAGGTTGGTAGGTACTTGGTATCTTCGTTATTTCCGTACTGTGAAATGCGCCAAACCACCAAAGTAAATCAGTGGGCGTACCTACTAGTATATGTAGCAGGGTTTAATTGATATCTATAACGTGAATTGAACGGGAATCAACTATGATCTTAAATTATGAGAAAGCAACATTCCTGGTTACAATACTGAGATGCCCTCTTAAGTACTTGGCAAAAGAGATAAAGTGGATTAAGAAACTTGGATTACTTGAATTGATTAATGAAGCGGGCTAATCATCTGGTTAGCATCTTGTACTACAGATGAGAGCAGCGGTTTCCGAGAATTTGCGTTTACAGGCTCGTCAGGGTAATGACGTGTCACATTAGGTTGGCTGTCAACCAACTAAACCTTCTGTACCTGTACATGAGCGTATTCGTATTAGTGTGACCGATTTAGGCTTTATTTTTCTTTTTTATATCTCAATTGGAACCGGCGTCAGCTGTTCTACCAGCCTGGCCCACATAGCAGTACTCTCCGGATCCGCCGTACCTTTCGTCAAAGTCGTCCGGTTGCCGATAACTATTAGTCCGGCTCGGGCCCGGGTCAATGCGACGTTCATCCGACGTAGGTCTTTCAGGAATCCGATCTCTTGACGTTCGTTGCATCGAACGGATACGAATACAACTATGTCAGCTTCGCGGCCTTGAAATCCATCGATGCTCGAAACCTCAACATCACCAACTACATTAGATAGTAGTCTCTTCAATAGCTCTACTTGTCGCGAATATGGCGTGAGTACCGCGATAGACTGCTTGCCCGCAATCATTGGTGCTGGATTGGCTGGTTTGTCTCCCTTGTCTGCCTCCGTACATAGCAGTTTGCATATGTGAGCGCAGAGCTTTGCCTGGCCTTGGTTAACTTTTGATTTATTACCCAAGTCTTCCCTGATTGCACATTCTACGAACACCATTCTTGCTCTCTCAGTCGCTGATGCTGCCTGGAGTCCACTCCCAATTGACGAGACGTGGGAGGGCCACGGGAATGCCGAATTAAAAAGTGGTCTTGAATCGGGTCGGATTCCGGTCTGGAGCTTGTGATCATAAAACTCTTTTGATGTAAACTCGCAGATTAACTCATGCATACGATATTGTGTATCCAGCATCAATTTGGTTACTGGGTGAGAATTGTTTTCCGCTATCGGATGATCAAGCTGATTGTCTTGCGACAAATCTGGTTGTTTGTAGAGCCGTTCGAAGAGCGATACGTCAAATTCAACCAAAGCCGCGTTGGGTTGAACTGTCGGGCGAAGTTGGACATGGTCTCCTACTAGGATAGCTCTCTCGCAACCCTTCACCAGCGGAACTAAAGACGCGGGCTCGGTTTGCTGTGATGCCTCATCGATGATAACCGTATCGAAATCTTGCGAGCGAAGAAGGCCAAGTCCCGAGCCAATGCAAGTGGTGAAGATTATTTGGCAGTTCTTAATCCTCTTTTTAGCCTGATCGTGTGCAATTCGACTGGTGTTGATATCTTGACCTGCCATTGCGTCGCACGTATACTTTCTCAAGTCCTCCGCTACTTTGCGAACCTGCACATGGTTAGTATTGAGCGACCCTTGAAAAATTAGTTTCCACTTACTTCAGTTGACACTCGAAGTGGGGAGAGACGCGGCATAGATATGTTTTCGGGACCCAGGCGCGTAATATATCTCCGCATAACGTTATCCACAGCATTGTGAGTAGGTGCCGTCACTAAGATCCTTGCTTCTATGAAGGCTTTCTGGAATTCCCGTATCATCTCCACGATAGTTTCTGTCTTGCCCGTTCCTGGAGGCCCCCATAAGCAGATAAGTGGGGATTTCAGAACTGCTTTGACGGCTGCGTTCTGACTGGCGTTCAGGTTTTCCCTAGGTTCAAAGACCAGTCGCTCTCCATCCGGATCTAGAAATATATCTGGCATTGGTAGCCCTAGGATCTGCTCTCGAATCCTGCATTTCCCGGGTTCTGTCGCGAAAGTGCGAACGGCATCGAACATGGTTCTGCTGGTCACGAAAGGGCCACAGTTCTGGATCCTCCACGAGCAACGTTCAAAATATGGAGGTAATGGGTGGAAACATTGGATACGTGCAAGAACTTGTTCGGATCGTACGACAAGCCCATCGATAGAATAATTTTTTCCTACCACGTCATTCTCTGGCGGGCTAGCTGTGGTCAAACGCACATGTGCCGATGTTTCTGGTGTTCCACCTGGTGCATCAATTCTGAACGGTATCTCGACGATGTTGCCGTCCGACTGTTGGCCTTCCTTCTGCTCTTGGGGCAATTTCAATTCGAGCAGACCTTCTCTGGCTTTATGCTCTTCACTTGCTTCCCCGATATGATCGATCGCGATACCTATGAGATTTCGCACGAAGTGATGAATGACTGCTGGTCGGCCTGAGAGGATTCGGCTGCTCTCACGTTCAAGGGACCCGAGAAGAAGATCCAAAGCAATTTCTGATGATCGTACCGAAAGAGATATGAGTTGCACAACATCGGCGAACTCATCCTTCCCCAAGAATTGGATTGTAGATAGGAAGGATTGGAAAGGTGTCACGATGAGTTCTTGCGCATCATTGGCATACAGGACGTAAGCACGTAGGATAGTTATGCTATGAGATTCAAGTAGCGTTGATAACTCATGCCAAGACGTGTCGCTGGTTTCCTTCGGAGGGAAACTGACCGCTAAAAATGGAGCGCGTTTGAGAAATTCTAGCATTGCTTGAAGGACATCATGCCATTGTACCTGGTCGAATTGATCTTCCCCAATAATTCTGAGCAGGTATTCGAAGCATTGAAAAAGTAATCCTTTCTGATCCCGTTCGAATAGCCAGGAGAAAAGATGTTCATATTCTTCAGTCGTTTCCATATCCATAAGGACGGAAAAATCTTGCTGTTTCGCAATCCGAGGTATATATTCGGGTTCTGCCATCCAATCTACATCCTTGACACTAGGGATTGTGTATTCTTTTGCGGTCTGCTCGAAAAGAGGCAACCTTTCCTCCGTGTCAATGTACTCTAGCCAGAGGTCGAGCCTATTCATAGAATCGGTGTCGCGATTGCTAATGATATATATTTCCTGGAAATTTTTAGTTCCCGTCGTAATCTCCCGAGGTAGAAAACTTACTGCCGCAGAAATCCCATTCCGATTCACTCGTCCAACATGCTTCTGCATTCCTCTACTGAACTTGTCTAGTGCGATGCTTGCTCTGCAATCAAAGTTGACCCCACTGTCTACTGTTGCCTGTCGCTGTCGTCTCCGATCTCCTTTATTTGTCGTGTTTCGATACTCACTATCGTCGGACGGGCCGCGACCGATGAAGATCCACGTGTTTCCACGCTGACCTTCGAAAAGTTGAAAGGCGTTTTCATCGCAATAGAGGCGGTAATTCTTTTTCGTGGGAAGAGTTAGTCGGCTCTGTGTTTCGGCTCCTTGGGAATGCGGAAATGCAAGAAGGCGTACGTGGTCATCCACGAGGCAGTCTTGTGATTTCTCAACCCTCTGCGGAACGTATATTCCTACCGTCAATCGTTCATCAACTCGAAAGAGAATTAGTTTACGATGGTATAATTCAAGAGTTTTGGTTGCTGTATCGAGGAATGTGGCTAGCCGATCGCATTCTGAAGAGAAGTAACGTTTCCATCTAATCCTTGGGTGATTGAGTCCGAACCTCTGTAACTCATGCTCATTTACAAGGCTTGATGAACAAAGTGCGTTCATGATTAGACTTGGCACATCTCTTGTTGGAGGAAGCTGACCAAGCACCCATGCTTTTTCTTCGTATGCTAGGACATTGAAGTCAAAGAAGTCTAGGAAATCCTCAAGTGGAGCGTCGTTCTTCCTACACCATTTGAAGGTGAGCCTGATCAGCTCAAATTCAGACATAGCAATGTTATCCCGAGCTAATAAGAGTTCAACCACCTCGAATGGTAAGCCATTCCAGTCTCTAGTGAGGCTCTCATTTCTTTCTATTGACTGCTTTGCTGCGTTATGCAGTTCATCAAGGATAAAAGGGGGGGTATCCGGGCCAACCGGTGGGCTGTTCATCAGTTTTGGTGGGATTTTGATACGATTCCCATCAACACATTGGGAAAATAACCGGTTAAGCTCTTGGCATTCGGCACACATGGGACCCCGAACTCTCGCCCAATCGAGGTATAGATTCTTAACGCGGCCTAAAGAGGTGTTTGTGTATCCAGCGAAGTAGACTAATCGATCATCGTCCGTGATAGGATTGAATCTGAGAGGCTCACGAGCCCCTGGGTATTGTGCTGACTGTGCGATTTTGGACGGAATGAGTTCGCTGTCCCAGCAAACGAAAAAGGTATCACCGTCAAGGTCACCACCCGACATCATATCGGCTGCGGGCCGTCTGCCCTGCGTTGGAAAGACGATGCAATCCACCAAGTGAGCCAATTCAAGCTTTTCTACAACCTTGAACTTCTGCAAATCCCCAGGGTGTAAACAAGGATTTCTTGTCACTAAGACTTCTGTGCTTTTGAGGGCACGGGGTTGCCCATCGCCATCCGTAGTAACTTTGACTGCGCATTCGCCCTCTTTCAAGACACCCCAAGCATCGCAAACGCCAAACAACAGCCTCGACTGTGGCACGAGAATTCTGCACTTCTGTTCTTCCCTCTTGTTGAGCATCTTATCAAATTCGGAGTTAACAAGAGCATTGACCCTCGGTCGAATCGAGTCAAGTGATTCCATTACGACTTTTTCGGCGAGGTCAGGCATATTCACGTATGACAGAAAGCGGAAGGCCGCCCGCTCATCCCTGGTAGCAGTCGCGAGAAATTCAAAGTGCTGTTCCTGTTTCTTCAATAGAACGGACTGTGGAATTCCTAGACTGTGTAGCAGAATAACGACCTCATCATTCAGAAAGCCAAATGTGTAAGGCTAATTGTTATCGAATATAATTAGAACCAGATCATAAAACTGGGGAGAGGGCACTAATACCTTCGAGTACTCGACTACAGAAAAAGAGTAGTCATCGCCTCCACTGAATTTCTTCATTGATTTTCTCAACTTCAATAAAATGGGCTCTTTTTTCAAACGCGGATCTAACGTGACAACGCCCTTGTAGCCACGGTATCTGATCTGGAGGACGGAGGGGGTATATCGACGGTCCCGGAACACAATCTTAAGCTTTCGAGAGAGCTCCTGCGCTAGACGTGGAGAAATCAGACCGCAACCATCTGTGAAAACGTAGTCCATCGTCTCAATATCGGCAATATCTTCGCATCGATCTGGCTTTACGGTGTCTGCTACGTGAGCAGTGGAAAAGAGAAGACCAATTCGTTTTGCCTTCTTAGCGACAGTCTTCATCTTGGCGAAGTCACCAAGAGCTTCGACCTTACGCGTGACCTCCTCCTTGGGGGCTGCATAAAGGAAGCACGTTCGCGATTTCAATTGACTATTACTATGACCGTAGAAGTTGTAGTGAACCCCCTGCAAGGAGATTCCGGATCTAAGTAGTCGGATAACATAGTCGGTGCATTCTCTTGGGGTTGTCGGTCGCAAGGCGCCTTCAGTAGTAGATACATTGCTAACAGGACGGAAATTTGCTAGGGAAACAACCATAAAACGATCAAGAGGATCACTTCTAAGTGCTCGATTCACATTGATGTGTTCCAACTTGAGCACCATATGCTGTTCGGATCCCTTCGTAACCAATGTGACGACTTTTACGAATTGTCTCTGATTGAGCTTGTCTGCGTTTGGCAAATTCGGAACATTGAATTGCCATTCCCGGTCATCTAGCCTGACTATATCCTGTAAAAGGTGGGTGTATGTATTCAATTTATCTTTCTTGCTTGACATCCTCGCTGTAAGTCGAAGATGACTGCATCTAGAAGTGGTTTGCGATTCTTAGTGTGCACGTGTGAGCAGATATTAGGACAGGGTGGAGAAGTAAGTGTAAGCACACATGTAGCGCTAGGAATATTGAAGGTTGTCGAGTTACTGGTGATAGATGTAGCAGGTACGAGACAGGACAGGGCAATTGCCCATAAAGCCCAATACCTTAATTGTGAGGGGCAGGCAGGCAGGCAGGCAGTACGCGCTTTCCACAAGGCAGCTGCGCATGCTTCAAATCTAATAATTGGTCCGGTCTGCTGGCTGCTTGTTACCTGTCACTTTTTTAGGGTACTGTGTGATCACACTGTTACACAACAGCCAAAGTACCTAAATCAATTGATGAGCTGGACGTATAGACGCGAATACCCCGACTTTCACGTTCATAACTTACCTACATGGCTGTGTTTCTCCTGACTCATTGGAGGAGGATATCATCTACACCATGGCAATCAATACCCAAAAGACCAATATTTACATTGTGGGCGCACAATGCACAGGGAAGACCACACTCGTAAACGCCCTTCGAGATCATTTTACCAAGACTTCCCCTCAGAAAAAAGACGCTCCGGGAGTCATCTTGGAAGTAGCACGATCGGTCCTTCGGAAACATCAGTTTACTTCAGATGATGTTGTTACTCCTGAGCGAAGCTTGGCTCTTCAGGGGCTAATATTGAAGGCTCAAGCAGAAGCCGAACGAGCAATACACCAAGAGGAAGGATGGTTCATCTCAGATAGATCTGGGATGGATCCGATTGTGTATGCGAAAAGATACGTCGGTCAAGAGGCGTTCACGAATCTGATGCAGACACCAGAGTGGAAGGAATTGAAAGAGAGAATGAGCAAGTCGCTCATCATCGTCTGCGAACCATGTCCCGCATGGCTTAAAGATGATGGTGTGAGACTAATGCCGAAGGACATTGAGGATTGGACTTATTTCCACGACATATTCTGCGAGTCCCTAGACGAAATGGGATTGCAATATGAAAATTTGCCTGCGAGGATGAATGACACTGAGGATCGGACTCGATTTGTCATCACAAAATGGGAGGAGGCTGGGAATAATCAACGCTAGACATTTCCTTCTAATTAAAGCATGGGACTCGATGTGATAAGACATGCATATGATGCAATACTGGAGACCGTCACCCGATGTTTACCCGTCGCCGATGTTAGACCGGCGGAGCTACCCCATTTAGAATGCACCCTTCTCATCTTTAGCATCACCAGAATCACCACATCTATAACAACATACACATCGACTTGCAGAAGAATCGCAGTAGTCCTTTCAGCCCTGCAGGGTGGAACCATATCCCGGTCCATGATCCGTCCAATCGGGCTCACGGTACACCATACAGAGAGCTCTTTCATATGAAGTTTCGAAAGGGTTCAAGGTGTTGGTGCCGTCTCATATCGCAACCCCACCCGCCGCTAGCAAACCCTCCAGCTCTTTGCGTCCTTCTTTATGAGTTATTCTCCGCATTCTCCGGTCATCGCAGTGGAGCAACTAACGGAAGGCCTTTTTGCGCTGTCCATGGATTGCTATGATTGGCGGATAAGACCCTTGGTGCTCTTCCCGAAAGACTCTTGGAACACGAATGGGGGGATACCGCACCACCGTAGGCCGGTTCGCCCCATGGGGCCTAGCCACACACCGATACGATCGTGAACTGCGTTCTTGAGCGTCATTTTGGTAAGATAAGTGTACCTTGAGCATCATATTCCTTTAGACTTTGGTGTAATACAGGGTTTCCCACCACTTTCAATTAATAATCCTATTGACTATCGCCTCCTCCACCCGCTCACGTCTCATTTTCTGCACAATTTAAGTCTAGAAAATTTTATTTCTTAATCCAAGTTATTTTCGTTCATAGGATCGCAACTTTTTATTCAAGTTTCTATCTAGAGAATGAGATAAGTATCCAAAATGGAATCATCAATTTTTGCGACGCTCGTCCAAGTCGAGTCTAACTCGAGATCTCACGAACATTCCCTTCCAGCAGCGCCTCAGAAAGCTGTATCTAGGACTTATCCTGCCGTTCCTCAACAAGACCCACTTGAACTGGAGTCTCTCCGATACCCTCGCAATGACACCAACCCTTCTAGTCCCCTCAGTACATCCAACCCTGCTACTCCTCGAGAGGAGAGGGACCTTGAGATGAGCGTCCCGGGTACTCCAGCTGAGCCCGCCGACGCCATTGACGCTCTCCCAACCCTCAATGACCCGCCCAAGAACAAGTTCCGACTTATGTCATGTTGTTTCCAGAACTTCTTGGGTGGTTTGATTGACGCAGCTCCCGGTGCCCTAATTCCTTATATGGAAACGTAAGTGATCCTTCTCGACTTACGAATCTTATGAAGGTAGGTGAAGACTAATTGAAGTGATCTTGTAGTTATTATGGTATCGGGTACGCCGAAGTATCTCTTATCTTCATCGGAAACGCCCTGGGATTCATCATGGCGGCGCCATTCGTCGACCAAATCCGCCAGCGCCTAGGACGAGCCAAAACCATCGCATTGTCGCAGCTCTGCGTGGCTATCGGTTTCATTCCTTTCATCTGCGCAGCGCCATTCCCCTCTGTGGTCATCGCTTACTTCTTCATTGGCTTCGGTCTCGCTCTTCAACTAGCTATCGCCAATGTTTTCTGCGCCAACCTACGTAACAACACGACGATGCTCGGTGCTATGCATGGTAGTTACGGAGTCGGCGGCACAATTGGCCCACTCGTCGCGACGTCCATCGCTTCGAGCGGTGCCATATGGAGCCGATACTATTTAATAACACTCGGCCTCGCCCTCTTCAACGCCTGCTTCTCCCTCTGGTCTTTCTGGGGTTACGAGAAAGAGCTTCGCGGCGGTAACGAATCGAACGTTCTCTCCGAAACAAGCTCCCGCGGTGCTGACCAGATGTCCATGATGCTCCTCGCTTTCAAGTCCAAGGTCGTCATCCTAGGTGCTATCTTCATCTTCGCTTACCAGGGAGCCGAAGTATCCATCTCCGGTTGGGTTATCTCATTCTTGATCGCTACGCGAAATGGTAATCCCTCGGCTGTCGGTTACGTGACCTCGGGTTTCTGGGCTGGTATTACGCTAGGTCGATTCGCGCTTTCGCCTATCGGCGCTAAGATTGGCGAGAAGAGTTTCGTGTATATTCTCGTAGCTGGCGCTGCTATCTTCCAATTGCTGGTCTGGCTAGTTCCTAACATTATTGGTGAAGCTGTTTCGCTAGCCATTGTTGGATTATTACTTGGGCCTGTCTACCCCTGCGCCGCCGTTGTTTTTACACGCAACCTTTCTCGTCGCGAACAAGTCAGCGGTATGGGAATTATCAGCGCTTTTGGTAGTTCTGGTGGTGCTGTCGCTCCGTTTACTACTGGTCTTTTGGCTCAGGCGGCTGGTACCTTCGTCCTGCATCCAATTGCTATCGGTTTATTCGCGGTCATGTGCTTGTGCTGGTTGGGGCAGCCTAGTATTAGGAAGAGGACGGAGTAAGCCGGAGATTTATACGGGCTTGGTTTATGATAGTGAGCGGGTGTGTGGTAGGTTTCGGTGGGGGATATGTGGAGGTAGTCGTGGGATCTCATTTAAACAACCAAAGGTGTCTTGGGGCGTATCTCCAGTGATACACAGGTCATGGGAACCCCGCGAAAGTACTGGATTTGTTAAAAAAATGAAGGAAATATTTTGATTTATGTCCCACTTCAAAATCCACTGGTTTCAATTTACTCATTTAAAGCCTTACGGTGAATAATTGCGAAATTCTATTGAGCTATGCGCACTGCTAGTGAGTCGCCGATCCTTGATAGGATCAAGGCCATCCTCAATGCCAAACGAAAAATATTCCCCGTCTACCTTTCTATCCGTCCGTCTAAAGTAATATCTGCCTCCCCAGGACCGGAAATATGTTTATGATTTGTTGTTTAGACAGTAGAGATATAGCAATTGGCTGCTAACGTGCGTTAGGCACGAGATTAGCTACAAGAAATGCCTCTTATCTAGACCGAAAAGATGCATCAATCTACAGTCTTCCCTTTGCCGCCTCCTTGACGCTGATCTTGCCATCAACGACGTCGGCAACAATCTTGTGAATGTCGGAGAAGTCATTGAAAGTGACAAACGGCACCTTCTCATTCTCACAGTAGGTGACAAGATCTAATTGATTCATTAGTATTTCATGATAATTGAAAAATTAAAAGGGGAGTGTACCTCGGCCAGCCTTGGCAAATAGCAAATCGGTCTCCTTTGCAGCAGATAGGTCTGATACACCGTCACCGGCATAGAACATGATAGGCCGGTCTGGTAGAGCGGCGTAGGGCTTGATTTCGAGAGACTTGTCGTGTCCGAAGTCACTATTTTTAGGTAATAAAACATGTATTAGCTATCGACTTCTACATTATTACAGTCTACCTAGCTCATATCTTATATACATCCCACATTGGTACATACGAGTACATATACTTAGGGGATAAAGGTTTAACAAGCAAAGGAAAATAAGTGACTCACCTGTCATCGTGGAACTTGATATCCCATCCGTTCTCCTCGTTGATGCTCTTACCAGGGCGAGCCTGGACGTCATTGCTGATGATTTGCATGTGCTGAACGGCGTCCTCACCAACGAGGTGACCAAGCAGAGCACGGATGATAGGCTGCATACCACCGCTAAGAACAACGACAGGCACGTTGTTCTGGAGAGTCCATTGGAAGAACTCGGCGAACCGAGGGTCAAGCTGGACGTTCTTGAGCAACGTAGCAATGCATTGGTCGTAAGGTGTCTTAACGCTGTCCATCATCTCTTGGAAGCTGTCGCGGAAAGATCGTCGCCCATAAAGTACATCCTCGTTGCCCTTCTTCCGTAATTCTACACCGAAACCGAGATTGTCCGTCATGAAGTCGTTACTATCTTGCAACGTGATGGTACCGTCAAAGTCGGTGAAGAAGATGGCCTTTGGCTGCGTACGCAGCGCGGGTAAAGTCCCATTAGTACCGTTCTGTTGGGCCATGTTGTCTGTCGTGATTGAATATCTGAGCTTGGCGGTTGAGGTAGTGGAGACGAATTGGTGGTGATTGAGGGCTGTAATTCTTTTCGGGGTGTATATATCCCCTGATATAAAAAAAGGTGAGTCAGATACAAGATTCTGAGGGACTTTGCTCTAATTTCTGATTTCTAAAGGTAGTAAAGAAGGAGTGACGTCACACAATAAACGAGTGTTTCTTAAGAGTTTCTGTATCGAGACGCTCCTGCGTTATCTCGCGTTCTAGCAAACCTAAAAAGTCACGATTTGGGCCAGAGGGAAGTGAGGGATGACGAGATTAGTTGATGAGATGAGCGAAATAAAGTTTCTCTCAGATTTCTCAGGGTCTCGGTCCACGCGCCAATGCCAACACCGATACCAAACACATGTATCAAACTAGAGCGATCCGCGGGGTTCTTTCCCTTATGCCCCTCTGCCCCTCCATCTTAATTTTTCACGATCGGCGATGCTTTTCTGCCAAAATGGAAACCTCCCCACTGAGGCTTATTAGTGCATCTTGGCAGGGCCCCCTTATCTTCCAATCTTCACTTTCTAATCTTTCCAGCTCAGCATTCCCAGCATTCGCACTTATGTTCCGATAGGGCGGTGACCGGATATTCTTCGGTGGCATTTTTTAATTCTTTCCCGGTCCGACTACAACGAGCGTCATAATCCTTACTTCAATCTACCGGGGTAAGGAAGTTTATCGTGTCTTACTTCTAATTCCCGTACAGATCACGCAGCAGGAAATAATAGCCGCACCAAGAGGAAGGGTTCACCCAACCCTTCCCCCCTTTCTCTATCCGACTCTAATGTCGACTTCTCGGGCTTTGATGCCCATATTCGGGTCTAGTTGCCGTATTTTCGATCAATTGGTACCTCAATTGGCATCTCAATCGACCAGGAAGTTCATCTCTAGCCGACCATCCATCCCGATATGCCCGAGCTGCCGACATAGCTATTCTCCCATCTTGAGTCGACGACAACTCCAATTTTCCTCCTCTTCTTCGTCATCCTCCAATTCAACTCCTCCAAAACCTCCTAATAACAATGATGCCCAAAGCAATTCTCCCGCCGGGCACCACAACCCCACCCCACCATTCCCTCCTCCACCCTTCCCAGAAACGCCGCAATCAGAACCCTCAAAACCACCAACCCCACAGCAACAACAGCACCAGCAATCAGCTCCTCCACCTCCAGAATATGAACCCGAACCCGAGCCCGAACCTCAGAAACCCGCCGACCCTAACCTCCCATCAACGCAAAACTCCCGCCGCTCCTCCCTCAACCGCCAGCTCAGCGCATTCATGGACCGCGCACAAACTACTCTCTTCGCCGCCTCCCAACGCATCAACGACCTAACAGGCTACTCCGGCATCGAAACCCTAAAATCCCAAATCAGCACCCTCGAAGCCGACCTAGCCTCCGCCCAAGCCTCCCTGCACGCCGCGCGCGGCGCCTACAAGCACGCAGTCGCCGAACGCGCATCCACGCAACGCGAAGTAACCGCCCTCCTAGCACGTCAAAAAACCTGGTCTCCAGCCGATTTCGAACGATTTACCGCGTTATACCGTCAAGACTACGAACTCGAAGCCGCGGTCGCCTCGCGCGCCTCCGAGCTCGAGGAAGCGGAACATACTGTGGAGAGACTAGGACGGGAGCTTAGCGCGGGGATATTGTCGCGGTATCATGAGGAGCAGATTTGGAGCGATAAGATTCGGCGCATGAGTACGTGGGGTACGTGGGGTTTGATGAGTGTTAACGTGCTGCTTTTCTTGGTTTTCCAGTTTGGCGCTGAGCCCTGGAGGCGGAAAAGATTGGTTAAGGGGTTCGAGGAGAAGGTGCGCGAGGCGTTGGAAGAGGAGCGGAGGTTAGATGAGAAGGAGCGGGAAGTGGAGAGGGAGAGGAGGAGAGTTGAAGAGTTGAACGCTGCTGCGACCGCCGCGGCGGAAGCGCCCGTTGCGATTAAGGTTGCCGAACCGGAGCCGAAGCCGACTGAGGCGGAACTAACCCACGACCTAATAACAATAGAGAAACCCTGGCCCCCGAGGATAAACATATCATGGCAAGATATCCGAGAAACACTATTCGATCCTAATTGGTGGAAAGCATTATTCATCGACCTATCAAGTGATAGGAGGATCGCCATCCGAATGAGAGACGTTTCGCTAATAGCCCTCGAAGGCGCCGCAGCCGGTGCGGCAATCGTCAGTACTATACTTTCAGCTGTCTTATTTATTCGAAGAGTATAAAATAGACCGTGCGTCAAGAATTTTGTACTTTATCAACTACAACCACACCACCTACCTACCTATCTTCAACTGTACAAAATTTGTTTACGATACCCAAGAAAAACTCCCCCAGACTATCTTACTATGTATGTAAATCCATTTGTACATATAAACATATTCAAAAGAAGGGTGATTGTTGCATTATCGGCTAGGTTAGGGTAGTCTAATATAAAAAAAGGGCGTGGGCAAATAGATAGGTACTCAAATGCCTGGATATAACTTTTTCTTTCACGACAACATATAACCTTGCATCGTCAGTAACTGCCACTCCACGACTAACAACAACAAATTCTAAAAAGCACGTATGCTTTGGGGGGAATCAACAACTTATCCTCTCTTTCTTTTGTAAGTGAAAGCTTCGCCCAGCGAATGACATTCTCACGAAACGCCTAATTGTTTCCGCGGCTCGATCGAGAGAGGTTACCTAGGGTATACTGCTCGCTGCCTTGAGTAATATCAAACTAGCAACATTTTGTGTATCAATGCGCCTTGAATTAGCATATTGCTTCGTCCCGCTCGTCCCCTCCTAATTCATACTTCCTATAGAGCTCCAAGAGCGCTCAACAAAAAAAAGATCGTATTACCCCCCACGCATGTGCGCCGTGCTCTGTTCAGCACATCCTCGAGTTCCAGTGTACTCTCCTAATCAAAGTCCGCCGTGTATGAGAATCCACGGAATTCTTCTTGCATGGCTTGCGAAAGCACTAGGACGATTAGGTTAGCAAGGTTCAAATCTTCACAATGAATAGAGACGGATATATCCTTACCTGACTGCACCGGTGTCAGTACTGGTGTGACGCTGGTAAACTCGGAATCGAAGTTACTGGTATCGGTAGCACTCTTTATCGTAGGCACGAATGGGGGCGGAATGCGCTTGTGATAAATATCATCCCACACAATGTTCTTAAAAAAGGGCTGACTCATGACCTCTTGAGCATCAGTCGGCCCACTTCCTAATCTTTGCTCGGGGTCCCTCGTAAGAAGCTTTTGTAAGATTGAGACCGATTCCCTAGGCATGTGGATAGGATAGAGTGGCTCATCTGCAAGGACCGCCTCGTAAATTTCTTCTTCGTCTTCACCTCGGAAGGGAGATTGTTGCAAAAGCATCTGATATATCAAGACGCCAAATGCCCACCAATCCACCGCTCGGCCATATTTCTTGTCCATCAAAATCTAAGACGAAGTTAGACACTCAATTGGGCCGGATTATGAGTGGGGATGAGACACATACCTCAGGAGCCATGAATTCAGGCGTACCACAGAAGGTGCTGGTTGTGGAGCCATACCACATATCCTCCTTACACAAACCGTAATCAGCAATCTTGATATGACCATCAAGAGCGAGAAGAATGTTGTCAAGCTTAAGATCACGGTAGATAACACCGTTCTCATGGAAGTACTTAAGAGCTAAGCAAACTTCAGCAGCATAAAACCTATTAGGGTTGTCAGTGAACATTCCGTAATGATATTGCGTGTTGCGACTTACTGTGCACGCTTTGTGCTAAATGCGCTGCGCTGAATATGAAGCATCAAATCGCCACCACTAATGTACTCCATGACAAAATACACTCTCGTTTCGGTTTGGAAACAGGCATGCAGATTGGTTAGGAACGGATGACGCTCCCGATTCGCAATTAAAAAGACCCTCTTCTCAGATCGGATACTTTCAACTTCGTCGTGCTCGATAATGAACTCCTTCTTGAGAACCTTGATAGCGTAAAGTCGTCGTGTCTTCTTCGTCTCAGCCAACATGACTTTACCAAAATTACCCTTTCCAAGAACGGACAAGAAATTGAAATGATCCAAGCCAATTCGCTGTCCTGTTCCTGGATCTGTAGCCAGGGGTAAAGGTTTCCTCGAAGGGGGTGGTAACGTAGCACTGGATGTTAGCGAAGGGGTCTCCTGGACTGGCTGTGGCTTCGCAATTGGTGCAACAGGAGGGTACATTTGTTGTTGCAATTGCGGCGCTGGTGACTGTGCTTGTTGTACAGGGCGCTGCTGCTGCTGCTGTATTTGTGGTTGACTAGGAGGATAGTTGCTGATATTAGCATACGCCGCCGGATTGTATTTAGGCTGCGAAGGAATATTATATCCTTGATTAGCAGCATACGGGTCTTCCTGAGCGTCCATAGATCCACCATAGCCTCCTACCCTACCCGAAGAGTAATCCGGAATCTGTCCCGGACGGCCAGATTGGGATGCCATAGTGCCACTCATGGCAGCAGTAGCGGCAGCAGCGGCAGCGCTAGAGCCTGATGAAGTACGATCGGGATGGACCGGTCTTGATGGTGATGTCTGGCTAGCATACATAGCCTTGGCAGCATCGGTTGCCTCCTGAGAAGCTACACTGGGCTGGTAAGATGGCGCCCCATAGGGCGACATAGGTCCTGATGAGGTGCTCGAAGGGCTCATCTTGCCTGCTCTCAACGTCTTCTCGCTCAATGAAGTCGCTTTTTGCTGTCGTTGTTTTTGAGATCTGATGCCCTCGAGGATTTGGTTTGCAACGGCCATACTCATACCACAGAAATCGGGAACGAGATGGACACATTGAGCGTGAGCCGTAAGTCCACATTCTGTAGAGAAGTCAGTTGTGCCTAAAAATACAAGGGAATTCAGGGGTGGTACCGGTACACTTTCTACAATTCTTCTTGCCAAAAGGCAGGATATAACCACAGTGGCAGCACCAATTAGCAGTAACATTGGCGAACGGCGCGAATCTGTGGGGGATGCGGTGGCTGATTTTCTCCTCATCCGGATCAGTTTCGGCGTTACTTTTACTGATGCACTTCGTAACCACACTGGAATAGCATTTCGTATGGCAAGTATACTTGCAGTCCTCGCACTGCATACCAGCGGAGTACTTGAGGAAGTCACCGCAAAGGGCGCAACGCATGATGTTGTAAAATTGGTGTTGTACGAACTTGTGTCCGTACATCTCGTGCACCTCCTCCTTGCGTTGACGGATGGCACCCTTTCGCCCAAGACCCAAATCCACAGGTCTGCGGTCCTTATTCTGCTTGATGAAGTTCATGTTTAAGTGGATGGAGCCAGTGGGTTCTAGGTTAAACCACGCATCGATCGGTTGAGATGTAACTTGAGGTACCGCTTGAGGTCCGAACGGTTGGTTTGGACCTGCGGAGAGGCCGGGGGAAGTAGGACCGGCGCCGCCAGGCGATTGTTGCGGATCCATTGGGAATTGAGGCGGCGGTGCACCGGCTCCTCCCATTCTGTCAGCGGATACCCAGCCGGAGTTGGTTATTTCCGCCTCGATCCTCTTTCGTCGCATCTCTTCGACGATGTCTGATATTCGTACCCACAGCATAGCGATAGGCAGAGCATGCTCACCCGGCTTATCATACACTGTGAGCTCGATTTCGTTCGCCTTGTCTACATCGATGTTGTGGTATTCGGCTTCCCACCGGTCGTTACGTGAGACCCTCGTTCGTGCGACAACGTTATCCTCGACTTTGACAGCAACGAAGGTCTCCGGACCTCGCGAGAATCGTCCGGTACTCGCATGGTCAACATCCCTTACTTGAACAACCCGAATCGAAAGCTGCCCAGTAAGCGGTTTACGCAGATTGGGCGTATTTATGCTATCATCTGCGGGGCCGATTCGTAAGCATAGAGAAAATAGCACATATTCAAGAAGTAGGGTAACATACCATCGGGCGAATCCGCCGAGTCCAAGTCGTCGATATGCAGTTCCTCGTACCGCTTGAGTGCCTGCTTCAAGAGGTGGATTTTCTGCTTACTCTCGACTTTCTTGGCGGCGGCGTCCGCTTTGCTTTTGCGGTCGCCTTCCATGCCGTAGAGCTGAACCATTTTTTCTATCCCTTTCAGATATTGTTCTTCGACGTTCAACTTGAACTGGATTTGGGAGAGCATGAGTTGGATTCGTGGACCGAGGTATGGGGTATCATATGTTATCAGGTCTAAAATAAACAAAATTATTAGCATAACTGATTTTCGAGATAGGAGGCAGCAGCAGCACTATAATCGCTAGCTAGAGGGTCGTTTGTACGTAAAGGTGTAACATACCTAGCTTGGTAAAGTTCGGTCTCTGTTTCGGAACCGACGAAGTTGGTCCTGGGGGCGGATATGGATGTCGCGGGGGCATCAAATCGCCATGGCCGCCAATTTGACTGTATTGTTGTGAGCCATACGAGCCTCCGTCGCCCGAATAGCCGCCAGCATCCTTAGGCGGAGGCGGCGGTGGTCCTTCACGACCACTGAGCGGATCGAGACTACCATGCATAGGACCTACGGAGGAGCTCGAGCCTAGGTTCAGATTATCTATGCCCGATCCTAGACGCTTCATCTGCAAATCACGGAGCTTGTCCTCAAAAAATTGGAGGTTTCGACGCCCCTCGCGCATTTGACTATCCAGACGGGATCGGACATCGTCGTTGTTGGTCTGCTGTCGCATAGAATTGGCAGCGTTGATGAGGGCCTTCTCGCGCTCGATCTTTTTGTAGATGTTGGCCAAAGCATCTTCGTCGTTCATGTTGGGCGGTGGTTGCGCGTCGTCACGCGCGGGACCGGTATTCGGAACTGTTTTGTGTGGTTGTTGATATTGTTGTGGGCAAGCGAATGAAGAAGAGGGACTTGGTAGAAAATGCGGGTGACCCGAGATAAAGCTATCTCTCTCTCCCGCACAACCAAACTACCACTACTATTAACTAGGTACTAACCACTACTGTGAGGACACACTCCCGCACACACACACAACAACAAACCCGTGGCACTAGCGGACTGTGGCCAGATAACCCCGAAGCCAAGAAGCGCAGTTGTCGGATTGGCGAGTTGTCCGAGGAGCGGGATAGGTTTGGTGGGAGCAAAAGGAAAGGCAAGGAAAAAAAGAGGGTTAAGAAAATTGGTAATGCGATGTCGTCAGTGTCAAGAAAATGCGGTACAAGGACGAAGCACGCTAAGTACGAGTTTGTCGCTGTCAATGGCGGGGTTTTGTGTCTCGCATGCGGCGGGCGCAAGGTGGTGGTGGTCCGTGTCGGGTCCCACTGTGGGATATGGGATAACCTGATGGCTCCCTCACTTCTTTCCCGATATGTTAAAAACTTATTACTAGGCACTAGTTATAATAGGTACCTACCTATTATTATTATGATGGTGATTCTTTCTTTCGGTTGAGGGAAAGAGGCTTGGATGCAATTTATGCAACGTTTATCCTAGTAACCTTAAATAACGTATGATTATGATTACTTCTCATTTTCAACACTTGAAAAAAGAGAAGGCGTTAGTCACAGCCAAGAAAAAAAAGGGAAGAAGCTATCATAGAAAAAAAGCTAAAAAGGAGGTTAGGTACATACAGGTGGGTAGGGCAGGCAGTGTAGAAAGCAGGTATACATAAAGCATGAAATCGGCAGATAACTGTTTCGTAGCGTGTCGGTGTCAGCCGTTTAATATGTGTGTCATCATCGGTTTACCAGGTAACCCCAAGGCAATACGGGCGAGTTAGGTTTTGTTAAAAATTATATTAGGTATGATAAAGAAACACAAAAGCCAGCCACAATGATAAGGACCAATCCTCACATCCATTGGTTTACTACGTGTCTAGGCCTGTATTTAAACACCAAACATATCAAATAGGACTCTACCCAGAATGACCCGAGGTAAGAAACGAAGTATACAAACCCAGTCAACAGATCGCGGGAACATGGCAGCATGGCAGCATGGCAGCATGGCAACCTCAGATGGATCAGATGATGTGAGATCGATCGATTCAAAAGAATCCGCGTTCCATTGAGGTTGGAACCTAATGAGCGGTATTTTTCATGTTTATGTTTTTGTTGCTTTTTTCTTCTTATTCGACAGCACGCATACGCATGGCAGATGTAGGTGATAAGCTAAGGTGGGAAGCTCGAATAGCAGCAATATTGCACAATATAGGAAAAGATCTTCTCATATTATGTGTACCAAGGTACGCATTAAATGCAGGCTGAAGATCGGAGTCGCGGCTCGCATCTATGCCCCCTACTCGTAGGTACCTTACGTAGGTACAAAGAACTATATTAACTGTTGATATTGTGTATTTCTTGCCCTACCAAGCGGGGTCGCTAGGTACCTTGGGTTAGGTAGAGATTCAACAATTCGGGCACATAAATCATCTATTGGTTAGACGTTACGAAAACGAAGAAACTTTGCTCTATTTGTCAACTAAGAAAATGGATTTGCGAGCCCCTGGAAACTTCGAAACGTCAGCCAGTAGTATTAATTTATTATTGTATTAAAGCTTGAGGTTATTTTCAAGGAGTGACCCGTCAGTCAAGGTTGGTTCAAAGGCGGGGAAGGAAAGTGAATATAATACATAACCCCACACTATATCACATCACATCACTTATCAAACTGTCAGAATTAGAAATATATTGCGATTATTATGTTATACACTGTCGCATCAATCAAAGATATAGACAAATTGCATACGTAATAGTGTATCTGATTCATTATTATCGGTTCTGTAAGAAGAAAGGTCCAAAGTCTTCAGTTATACCTAGAAATAACCTTTAATGCCCAAGACCATCCATTAACCTAATATTTTTCATTTTTCCGCAGTTTAAACCTCGCGTATGAATGACGAATAATTCGGGGTATCAACAACGTCAACCATCACCATTAAGCGCCTTAAAAATGGCCACATCCACATCAATGACATCCTCTCCAGCACGATCTCATCTCGTTCAGCCAAGAAATCAAGCGATATATGCCAAACCCCTGATACGTTGCAAAAACGCTAAACACAAATGCTTGTCCCATTATTTTTAAATCATACAGCCTGGCCAGCTGCTGCCGGCGTAGATACGGTCTTCTCGTGATCAGATCCCGAGGCGGATTGCTGCGCAGGATGAGTTGGGGGCTGGTATGCTTGCGACATCGGTGGCGGCGCATAGAATCCAGCTAGAGGTTGAAAGTTCTGTCCTGCCGCAGCCGGGTTCAGGGTCTTCGGCTCCGTCGCACCAGGGGCGCCGGGTGCGCTAGGCGCCCCAGCATATCGTACTTGCTCAGGTGCAACGGGCATAGGATACGGGTAATAAGGCGCAGCGCCGGGTACTTGGGCGGGAGGGTAGTACATGGCTCCGTTAGGCGGTACTGGGGGCAAGACGACTCCAGCAGGCTTCAGTAAGTTGCGCTTGTGGGTGTCGATACATGCCAGGACGAAAAGGACGAAGTGGGTGATTGTGATCATGCAGAAGAACGCGATTACGGACTGAGTGAGTGGCAAGTACGTGTTGTTCATGTACTCGGTATCTCGGTAGCCGTAACTGTCGCAATAGTTATAGTAGTAGCGGCTATCGCTGTCATAGTCGGCGCACTCCCTGATCATTGATCGCGTACTGATGGATATCCCAACCGCGAAGAAAACACCGAATACGCAAGCGATCCAGAAACATAGGTGCAGGCCGACGTGAGCACCTGGATGTATACCTCGTTTGACATTCTTCCGCGCACGGACGGCGTAAGTGATGAGCTCGGCGCCGTTCCACAGGATAGAGGCAATGCTGATTGGAAGGCCGAATAATGCGTAACCTTCTCCGTCGCCTCCTTCAGGAAGGAGAGCGCACGAGAGAGCCATAATTACGATAGCGAAAACGAGCGTCAAAATTGTGAGCACGAGCTTGGTGACTGTCCAAGGCTTGGAATACGGGGGAAGGACTCGAACTTGAGCGTAAGGGTAAGGTTGAGGGTGCTGATACGGATAAGGCGCATACGGTGCTTGATACTGCGGGTATGGTTGTGGTAACGGTTGTTGACGTATAGGCGAGGGCGTTTGGACATTTTTTGCTGCGTTCCCCTCTTGACCCTGAGCGGTTGTCAAAGCTGGGGCATTCTCGCGGTTGGCCGACGTCGAAGAGCTCACAGTTGAGATCTCATGCCCCTCCCTCGTCTCGGTTGTTTCATTGACTGCCATCTTTGTGGTGATTGTGATGTATGATGACTAATCGAGGTGTACAGGTCCCTTTCTCTATTCCTTTGAATGGAGCAATGATACAAAACAACACTGTAATAATTAAAAAGTATTATATCGAAGAAAAAGCGAATGACTGGAATAATATTGTATTCCGAAATAGAGGAAACGAAGGTTAGTGCGATGGAAAAACGCAGGAAAATATCGACGGGAAACAGAAGGAAAAATCCTGGCGAGCTGTTGCCTGGATTTTGAGAAAATAAACGAAAGCCAAGCTTTCAATTGATCCTTGTCATGCCTGGCATAGCCCCTTCCGTACGCCCCAAATCGCCTTACCCGCCGCCAGCCAAATTTGCCATTAGTGTACAACCTAATGTCCATAAACTCTACTAACGGCGACGCTAGATATCAGTACCGACTTTTCTTTGTCTTTTTTTCTCTTTAGACTCTTCCAGCGATTCTTACAACCTACTTAGACTACTATGTGTAACAACTGACCGCGATCCATCTCGTGATCGCGAACCGCTAGCGGCTCTAAATTAAGCGACATCGTGTTGGCAAAACCCGTCATTTTCAGCCTTGGCGGGCGTTCTAGCCCCCAAAAGGGGTAGGAGTATTCTAGATCGGTCCGAGCTAATATTAAAGGAAATGCAATTCTGGGTCGATGAAGTATACAATAAACTAGATTAAAAAAGTCTCTTACAAAAAAGTCTCTTACAATAGCGGAGCGTTACAAGAATATCGCTAGGCATTGAAGCCACGACAGAGATCTACGCCGAGGTACTATTGTCTGTTGTATTATCCACATGATCTGCAATACCAAGTATAGTATACACCTGGGAACCATACGTTTCTTATAAGTTAGGGTGATAACAAGTTTCAATGCAGTGTTTCATGAAACTATTCTTCAGCCTCTAAATTTAGTAGCGTCCTAAGCAAAACATGCGCGACAGGTATAGGTTGATAACACCTATTAGTGGCTGAATCTGCTATTCTTCCCCTAAAGCGTTCTCTTCCAGTGATTGGGGCCAACTTTGGTCTGGGATAGATTAATAGCGAGGTACCTACCCCGACCACCATCACATAGCCTCTTACAACACTAAATATTACCTTTTTGACTCTTGTAATATCTTATAACCTATTTCGGCTCTATCTAAGTCATATCGCGAGACACGAAGAAACGGATCATAATCGTACTTCAAGAGAATCACAGATTTCCTTATGATCATTGGATCGCGAAATATATCCCAGTACTATATAAAAGCAGGGTCTTATTGTAGTGAATGATCTTCTAACTTGTCCTGAATGACTCAAGCACCTCGCGATGGAGAAAATACTGACGATTCTGAACAAAGCCGAATTGAAACTAGCAATTCGTATCCATCACCCAAAAGAGTATCTTTTCGTTTTCCTCTGACTCTTGACTTATCATAAGCTCGTGATAGACGTTAAGCCTCTATGGGGTACCTTCGTCAGCAACCGAAGTAGTATAAGCTGACAAGCTGGAAAACAGAGATATCTACGTCTGTTCATACCCACTCTAGAACGTTGAGTCAGACCTTTCATTCATGATCATAACTTCCGTAAGATTTTTTCAATCATGAAGAACTAAACCAATATACGTTAATAATATCTAAACGACTTTCCAATGTTAAACTTCCAATATTGACGGCATCAGGCTCGTTGAAGGGAGTGAGAGATCCCCACAATATGTATGTAAAATAGGTATGATTATATAAGATACGCTCCAAACGAAAAAAGTCTACTAGTGCAGTCTTACTTTCGACGCACCCTTACGGGTGCAGCGCTTTAATTTACAGATGGTGCATTGATTCGTAAATACATCCGATACCATACATTTTGTATGGGCTTCTTATGTACTGTGGCGCGATTCCTGGTTAAATCAATATTTGAATTTGGGTCAGGTACATGTAATTGTATGAAATTTCAGTGTGTTCCGGAAGTACCTCGGTAATTGTTAATTACTGAACCATTTGTAAATTAAAGCGCTGCACCCTCTAGGAGGGTGCAGGGCGAAAGTGAGCCTGCACCAGTATATATACAGTATTAATCACATGATCCACTGCCTCCAGATCCAACCTAGGCAATCGAAAAGATCACCGCAACATCTTCTAACTCGCCATCTTCTCTATCCAATTTGTATAATTGCAGAAAAATAGTAATATATAAAATATTGGGGAAATTTTTGATCTGTATCAAAATATTTGAACCCAAGATCAAATAAGTTTAGTGCTTCCTGGCCAACTTTGACCACTTTCGAATCCGCGGACCGAAAAAGTACAAAACATAGACCAGTGCGACAAGGCCAAATGAGATGAACCCCAAGGTCGCCATAGCCCACTTGGCGCCTAAATTGTTAAACATCACGATACCTAAATTACCGACATCAGAATTAACTCAAGGTGATACTTTTAGTGAGAATTACTCACCAATATGACAACAAGCTGCTGCGATTAGAAAAGATGGTATCAAAAACGCGGCGATCGCCGACGCAGCAACGTTGGTGTACGAATCAGCGATGTAATTGAGCATACTTAACCACAGCAGCGGGTCACAGAAGCCCAATAAACCGCCAGCAACGATAGGAGACCAGAATGATACGCTTCCATCGCATGTGAAAGCGAACCAGAGGAGGGATATCGGAAAGCCCCACACGAACAGTAAGGACGTTAGGAATCTTGCTTCCGGGCGACCAACGCCGCCGTTTCTCTTGCGGTCGCGCGTATACAACCATGTCTGTACTGGCACGAATAGGAACATAATAGTGACACTGACGACGAAATTGAGGTATGTCAGGTCGGCGCTCATATATCTAGGCCGATCAGTACGAGCGCTTTTCTTCCAGAGATGGGCAACACTCACGATAGACCGTTATTAACGACGAATACGTCGAATACACCATCCAAATACAAGAATAGGAGACCATAAGCAAATCCGTTATAAATGCCCAAGAAAGTGACGATGGGTTCAGTTAGCATGATGCGGAACGCCATTGACGTCACGAATCGTATTTCTCGGAGAACATCCACACGTTCCGACATGACAACAATCTCGTTCGGGTCCGAAGATTTATGTTTTCTTGCCGCATCGCTAATGACAACTCGTGGTAATGTTTCCGGGACGAAGCACATGATAATAGCAAAGGCACCACCGATAATAACGCTTCCTAAGGTTAGAATTGGATCCTCGCGACTCACCCAGACCAGGGCCGAACAAAGTATTGGGATCGAAACTCACTTGATCCAGAATATCCATGGCAATCCCAGCTTTTCGTTCTCAGCAATCAATTCTCCGATCGGTGATCCTATGCTCGGACCGTAATTTGCAGACATCACGAATAAGGCCATGGGTTGACCCGCTCCATCCATATCACCGAACAGATCCGCTATCGTGCCAGCCACATTGGAGAGAGCTGTGCTGCCAGCTGCCCCGCAGAGGAACTGGAAAATGATCAGCATGGGCAAATTGCGCGCCAGCGCAGTTCCAATATTCAAGATCGCATAAACTCCAATAGATGCCACATAAATCCATTTTCGTCCTCCAATATCTCTAGATAAGAATCGCTTAGTTTCGAAGGGAACAGTCATCAGCTTCGTTCAACCAGGAAGTACCTACGATAGAGGGCCTAGAAAAGCCGGACCAACCGCCGTTCCCACGATAAACATGCTTTGGCCAAGAGCCACGACTTGGGTCGATCCGCCATATTTCTCTTGGACGAGGAACTCAGCGCTAACATAAGTCGTGGTTGTGAGAGTGATAAAGGTTTGAAGAGAACAGTAAATGACGACGATAATCCATTTTTTCACTGGACTCCAGTGAATCGGGTGAGACGCGCTACTGAACTCGACTCTCTGGAGTACAGATAGAGCGGCATCCGCCCCCGTGCCGGGGACATCCGTAGTCAGTTGCTGGGCCTTCTCTTCCATAATCAATAAAAATACAGCGCAGAAATCATTTCACATTTGCACATGGAGAGTTTTTAATTGCTAGTAAATTTGAGGCTGATGCTATGCGCTAGATTACGTACATATAGCTACGCTAGCATCGGGGACTCCCAGGGGCGGGTGCAGATAACCTGCAAATTCTAGTGGCTTATTTAGAATAATCCTACTTCGTGGAGGCGAGATAAGTACCTACCTAAGGTAGTGGGAATATCTCGTGGGTCGATGAGATATCCCTTTGTCCACCGGAACGGGTCCAATCAGAGGCCATATACGCTTATCAGTATGCTGGATCTCCCTGAAAATTGCTAGGGAGATTGGGTGGGGGCATCTTCGGAGTCCGGATCAAGCCATAAAATGACGTTCATTCTAGCAGAACTAGGCAGATCATTCGTGGTCTAAGAGCTAGTCTACCAGGATTTCGGACTTGTTCTTATCATTCGGCTTGTTCGGCTATGCTGACTCAAATTCAACAAGTTAATATCCAACTATACTTCTACCTAGAAGTTCAGGAATACACCTCGGGCTACTTGTATTGCCCCAAGTGCCTAGGTACCTAGGTAGGTACTGCGCCCGATATCATGATTGCATTATCAAACTAATTCTTAAATAAGACCAACATAAGACCCCTAGATAAATTCGAACCTGGCATACTTATCTGGAAAAATTCCAATTAGACGCGTCCAAGACATGTTCCCTTTCTCTAATTTTATTCTGTTAGAATAATCAGGGTCGAACATAGGCGAAGTTAATTCTTTGCAATGCAGAAATTCAGTTCCACTTGTAAAGTTCGAACTTCCAAGGTTCTGAATCGAACCATACCTGGCACCCCCGCGAAGATCTAGGCTAACGAGCCCACGTCCACCTAAATGAGTCTCGACTTCAACCATGATCAACCCACTAAGCAGCATGTTCCATATGCTGAGGGGTCTATCGATAGACAAACCGTCTTCTGATTTGTGACGGAAGGCAGTGTTATAGGGCCCACGAGTGTTAAGTATAGAAGCGGACTCATTCTGTAGCAGTTTGGTTAAGACGAGTTGCTCATCGATTCCGGTGATGGATGAGAGCTCGGAGACACTCCTGCATAACACGCGCCCATGGAGGAAATCGTTCCATGGCCAATCTTTAACGCGATAATTCTTGGCAATGAGAAGCAAAAAGGCAGCAAGAGCCCAGCAGTATGTTGTAATGTTGAATGGGTCCACCCCGGAAATGCGCTGCCCAATTGTTACCCCTGCCACCACGCTCCCAACAACAAGCAGTCCACAGAGAGACATGAGAATGCAGACATAAACTTTACATTTCACCATTACTCCTTTTTCCTCGAATACCCATGCTTCCATCTTCTGAGTGATATTGCGTTCCGCGAGGTGTTCTCGTGGAATACGTGATCCATTCCAATCATCACTATCGTGGCCAAACCGGCTAACATGTTCGGAGTGTGGGAGGTTATGATCTTCTGTGGTTAAACAGAGGAATTCCACGGCTCGGTGGCGCGTCATTGAACTGTGCCGGCCTCCAACAAGAATTTTAGTGGATAAAATCATCCCAAGGACGGCTTCTATGTTGAAGATAACCTTTGGGCTCGTCATAATTAATGGGATCATGATTGTGATGATATGTCTGATTGTCATGGGCGCGGCTATTCCGTTAAAGCTACCACGATGACTCCATAAGATCTGTGTGTCGAATGATGGATCGTCGAAGTGCCGATCGTTCATGGGGGCCCTATCACGGACCCCATTAACAGTCCTAGTGAGTATGTGGAATAAGTAGTTGATATAATAAATTCTCGAATCGTAGGAAGCACCCATGATGTCACTATTTTGATCTCGATAGATGCCTATGTAACATTGGTCAACCTTGGTTTCGTAGAGTGTTGAATATATTCGATACGACGTGTCGTTAGTTCTCTGGAGTGTATTGTTTCTTCGTAGTGGATTAATCAGAGAGCGGAACACCTGGAAAATCCCAGCACGATATTTTGCGCACTGTAGGGAGTACAGCCCCCCGGCATCGGCCGCGTTTTGCAAATACCTCAGTGGCTTTAGAATCGAGTCGTCAAGAAATCCCGAATCGGGACCTTCGCTGTTGTGGTCCTCCTTTCCTCGGGGGCCATTAGGATCAGAAGGGGGGTTGTAGCCGTTGTCAATGGACATTTGCGAGTATTCCCGTAGCTTTTCTGATACAATTTTTAGCTTGATCGTAATCTTAGCTAAATGTATAAGAATTTCAATGCGTAATGAGTCCGCATCTATCGCATAGTATAACACACGCGCTATGATATTGGTACAATACTCTACGAAGTTGAAGAAGTCTTCCCGAGCTAAGTCCGGCACTAAATTCTCGTTACTTTCATTTTCACATTGTTCAAGGACTTTGCGACTCGACTTCAAGGTACGGGGATTGTGTAGGCTAGGGTTGTGCCTGGCTAGGGCACTTTCGCCATCGTGCAATGCGATATGCATAGCATACCATACTTGATCTACTAAGGTAGCGAGGCTCTGGTATGATGCCTTTGTGTGAGAATTGAAATTGCCGGAACCAACAAACTGTAGCGGAGCATCGGTAACAACAGCATCGTACAGCCTCTTAGCTTCCCTTTCCCAGAGTTCATTCTGGATATGCGTGCTTATTCCGTACTCGGTGGTGTCTTCGAAGGTAGTAAACCCGGTATCCGGTACATGCCTTAGTATGTGACAGCATTCGTGTGTGTGCACCGCCTCTAGCAGGCGCCGCCCCCCCCAATCGACAATAGGAACCGTTTCAAGAAGTCTTTCCATTGAGGAAACGTTTTTCTGGCTCAGTTCACTTTTATGCCTGAAATGCGCCGAAGGCCTGGGTAGTTGGCAAAACAATAGGACCTACCAAAAACAAAATATAGGACGAAAAATCGTGCAGATGTTAACGAGAGCGCGCCAACTAATTTATATAGCTGATCCCCAAACGGCGGCTGGACTTTAGGTAGCTTTCCATACATAGGTAGACTCAGCAGTGTTGCAATTGCAACACGCTTACGCATACTATTGGCACTGTGATGGGGGTGTGTTGGCAACACAGCCTCCACCGGTAGGGTTGATATTTAACTGTCATAAGGTGGCTCCCCATTAGGGCGTAAGTTGCGGCTCTATTACGGAAGAAATACGCAATGACCATCAATCGTAGTTATTTCATATGAAACCTGGGTGCTTAAAGGTCGTTGGAATAAGCTCTACCAGTACCGAGGATTGTACTTTATAATAAGGTCGAGAGCGTGGAGCTATTACGTACCACTAATAAGCATCTTTGATGGTGCTTCTTGTAATGATTGGGCAAGGGGCATAGGGCTAGCTGAAACTAGAAGCGACAAACTCCAAGACAGGTAAAGGTTATTTTCCCAGGATAATAAAGGTAAATTCTACAGTTCCTAGATACCTACCTATACATAATTCACATAAATATCCATGTTCTAAGCGACTAAGGCTCGAGAGTACGAATATGCTAGGGGTAAATTCGTATCAAAACCTAACTAACAATGCAATGAATATAGTAATAGATATCGAGGAACTCCGGGTCCACTAGATAGCGTGGAAATGCATTTACCCCAGTCAATACTGTCCTTTTTCAACGCCAAGCTTGCTAAAAGTTCTGCTTATGAATGAATTACGGTAATCCCAGCTGCCTTACAGCATGGCTAACCGCCTCACCAGCTGCTTCGGTGGTCTCTCCGTGGCCAGCAGCCTCGTGTGGGTTTGGGAAATAGAAAGCTGCGACAGCGATAGCGATATAAACGATGACGCACAGAAAACCTTCCAAGTAGTCACTCTTCTGGTCCCTGAGGAAGTTGCCGACTGTGATGATAGAGAGGATCAACATGACGATGTCGAAGATCTCAAAGTTTAGATCCATCGGATAGTGGTAACCCCATCCCACAAGGATCACCAATGGTGCATTGAGCATAGCAGTTTGGATGGTGGCGCCGATGCAGTGAGATAAAGCAAAGTTGATCTGGTTATCCCAGGCTTCGTCAATAGCCGTCAGGTGTTCGGCTGCCTTCTCAACCAGAGGAACCAAAATCAAACCCATGAAAGGATCGGAAACGTGGTGTTGCTCCACTATAGGCGTAATTTCCCAAACCAATGCAATAGCACAGAAAGTAACAAGAGTAACAGATGCGGCCAGTGCGATGATACACTCCGTCAGTGTCAACTTGGCCTTCGCTCGATCTTTGTGGCCATCGGCATCTCGTTTTTCGTCGTGCTCGAAGACAGCGTCGTAAATACCGTGATGCGTATGCATCTGGAAGAAAAGAAAGACACCGTAGGCGATGAGCAGAAGAATTGCGATGATGCGAGATATAGTCAGCACTCTAGACTCAATTTCTTCTGTAGTAAGATTGAATCCTGAGCTTACGACTGAGCGTTCGAAGACCGTAGGAATCGCCAGGCCGAGTCCGCTAAGAAATGTTAACACTTTACAAATTGCTAAGAGAAAAGGGGAGGCAGAAGGAAATGTGGTTGGGGGTGGGGACTTACGCTATCAGCAGGAGATTCGAACCAACTTCGCTGACGGCCCCGTGGAAAGTGGCTTCTTCTCGCCGTAGCCCAGCTGCAAAGAAACAAAGTCCCAAGCATAGTAACATATTAGCCAAGATAGAACCGAGGATCGCGGCCTGGACGACATAGTATTGGTTTTGCCGGAGCAGAATCATAAATAAAATAATCTCGACAATCGACGCGATGGTAGTCTCTGTCAGAACACCAAGCATGTGAGGCATCTTCCTTGCTAATTCTTGACCTGCAAAACCAATGAGGTTTGCACAGGGTACCATGGCGACGTATGCGAAACTAAACTTGAGGACCGGATGTTCATGTTCATAAATATAGTGGAGAGCAATGGCGACGGGTACGAATGGCCAGAGGATATTGACGGCTTTCGATACTCGACTGCTTGAACGCCAGATGATAGCTAAGAATTGAATGGGGTGAAATCCGCTTCGTCCAGATTCTCCGGCCGATTTCACTCGTATAAGTCCTCTTCTCCCGGCACCGGTGCCGTGAACAATCTCCTGTCGAGTTTTAGGAAGTGCTGGTTCGCGTTCGCTGGCGTGAGATGGTCGCGTGGGCCTTTCGTGATCCCCGGGGACGCTATTGTTAAGCGTCGCCATTGCGGAATTCTCAAACCGCCTTCAACTCGGTATCGTGAAAAGAACTGCAGGAGAACTAGAAAACAACCAAAGAGCGAGAATTAAAATGAAAAGAATGTTAGGTTCCAGCTAGAATATCAATTCACCATCCTCCAAAGCACACAGGATTGAAAGAGACGAGATACAGCGAATTGGGGAGAGCTTTTGAATAAATTGATCTACTACCGCCCGCTGTGGGTCGACGCTTCTCAGGATTCACCCACTTGGCGCTTCTGCGCTGTCATCGCCAAGACAAGATAAAAACAAGAAGTAATATTACGGCTTATTCCCTTCCAATGGGATGGTTCTTAATGGATATACGATATTGATATGTCTGGATAGTGAATGTATCGGCTTCCACCATATCACAGTTGATACGATGATTTCCGAATCTGAATTACTTATAAACGAAGTCAGAAACTCTCAGATTTGATAACCTGAAGATGTTCGTGCCCCTAAATGCCCCCAGCAGATGCTTATGCAGCCCACCGATTCAATGGTAATCTCCCGCCTTAGGACTTTGCTTCAGCGGGTACGTCACTTTGCTTGTCGCAGCATGTAGACCGTTTCCATCTAATCCCTGTTCCCCGTAGGGACAGGCGGCCTCAGTTCTTATCAGCGCTTTTTGTGACGATCCCTTCGCTTTCTCTCGTAACACTCCCGGCGCCGTACTTCGAGCCTCCAATAAAAGTTACCTGGGTGATCAAAGAAGACAATTAGAGACATATACGAGGTCAGTATTTAATTGAGCTGTTAGTTGCAAGAAGATAATCACCAAGTTTATGTGATACGGACCCCATCCTCATGATCAACGTGGGCCAATGATCAAATAGCGCCAAGCTCTCACAGATCATGGTAGGTACAAACAAGCCTTTAAACAGTGACGGACACCGCTAAAACACCGCTCAAACGTCCTGAATCTTGGCCAAGGAAAACTCTTTCAAATTCACTACAGGTTGTGACTGCTACTTTCCCATCCAACCCGGAGCATCCTTCAACATTCGAATTACAACGACATCATGCTCATGCAGCAATATTTATTATTGCAATGGTCTCCATCAATCGGCCTCCACGATGGTATTGTCGAAACTGAGGACTCTTTTAAGACCGATCGACTTGGTGATCCCAATGGTGGGTCGGCCTAATAACATGATACCCTAGCTGCATCAAGCAAATTAGAACATCAGCAGTAGCCTATTTTTTGCTTTCGGTGTATGTATGTAGGGTCCGAATCGTGGAGAAATAGAGGGCGATACAGCGGTATTATCCGCTCTTTAGTCAGACGCTTTAGTCAATCGTTTGGGGGGTAGGCAAGCTACGGGTAACTGTCGGGGTACCTATTCTCGATTCTTAGTTCTGCTTCCCACTATCAAACTCGTACATTATTATTATATATTCGATCCCTCAGTCGATTCAACGGAGTCCAACGGTTGCTGCCTCGGTCGCCATGTCCCACTTCTCTTCAAGATCCTCCATAGCCCTTTCAAGTGATTCGGCTCTTTTCTTCTCTCGTTGTATTGCATGTACATGAAATGCAGATACAAAAAATAGCCGCAGAACAGCATAATTGCCAGGACGGCCATGGTGACGGCCATGGTAATTTTGACTGAGTATGCCAACTTTGCTGTCCAAACTACTATTTGAAGTATTACCGATAGAGCAACCACGGCCCATATGCCAATGGGGACGTTGGCCATGAAGGAACTAAACCATTCTATGACAGACCATACTCTCCGCTGGTTGAAGGTGATCAAGATGAAAGGGACGGACAATCCAGCGGAAATGCTGACTGCAGCTACTCGTCAGCATCATGATCGAGATCGCACGCGGGCTCTCGTGATTTCCCACTCACTCATATACTTGAGAACATAACCTAGTTCAAGGCTTCCTGCATCATCTTTTGGAAACACATCAATGTTGATGGCGAAGAAAGCCGCCATGAACGAAAGTGGGAGCTGGTTCAAGGCAATCAGTGAGTCAGCGTCACACCAATCTTGGTGGCTGCTTAGAGGGGTTCACTCACGAAAAGAATCGTCACCACTGTGAACAACATTAGTGTTCTTCCCTGCTTGGCGGTTTCTTCCGCCTGCTCCGCTTGTTTTTGCGCATAGTGAATGCTATTTTCAGCCTGTCTCCGAGCTGATATGGCCTCTGAAATACTTGCATCCTTTTGTTTGAGGTCAAGCAAAGTGATTAACTGTCGAATTCGCCAAGAATTTTATTAGAACGTTTTCTTTCAGGTCATCAAAAGTTCAATCTCAACTTTGCTGCTTACCATTTTACTAGTCCTATCCGCAATGGTTTCCATCTTATTGATGCGATATATATGGCTTTCGAGGACTCGATTCTGTTCCCAGGTTGGAAGCCTACCATCTGAGTAGTGGGGGCGAGTCGATTCGGGGGCAGCGGTGTTGAAAGCTTCCTCTAGGTCCCCCAATACCTTTTTCTGGTCTTCCAATACCATCTTTAAGATATTCAATTCGTCGCGAATATCTTCTGCCTCGACCAATATCCCCGTCTCTACGATTAAGTCTGACTGATGTGAATCACTCTCGGGATTGAGCCTCTCCGCGACAGCAGTCCGAAATGACTCAAGCTGCTGGGCCGCGAGGTCCGCCTATATTATACGTCAACTCACTACGTACTTTTACGCCAGCCAATGGGGCTGCAATTCGCTTACAACTCTACCAAGAGACTTCTCAAAAAAGTCGAAGAACTGAAAGTCACTAGATACTTTATTGGGATCGAAAACATCGGCACAGACTTTCGTGATCAATCCCGCCATTTCATAAACCGACGTAATCGGCGCTCTTTGGGTAATGCGAAGATGCCCTGAGACGGCTCTATGAACGTCGAGGTGGTTATCTTCCAGCAGAGGCGGAAACTCGTGTGCATCCTCCGGTTGCATGCCATTATTATCGGTATTCCTAACCAGTGCAGAAGGTTCCGACCAAGATTCCCATCGCAGTGGAACACAGCTAATAATTGTGTCTACAGAGAATCAGCAAGTATCCATTTACTCAATATTTTAACCAACCTCCGTTGATAACCCACAGCCAGAGCTGGTCTACCATGAATAACTTTGGTACTTCTTGGTCAGCAGTGAAACGTGACACAACTTGGTCGTTGTTCCTAGGGTGAGCGATATCCAAATGAGTATAAAAGTATTGATCAAGAGTCCGTCTCAGCTGCAAAGGAAAACCGCTATCGAGAAACTCGGGATTCAGATAACCCCGAATAAGGTATTGGTGGAGGTTTTCTCGGTTCGATGGTGGATTTCCAGGGTGTGTTTGAGTCTTGCCTATCCATGACAGAATCCCGCGAGGTGGGCGTGGCGCGTTGTTTCCGTGCTCCCTTCGCTCATTCGGCACCGGTGCACGCCTCCTTGGGGGGCCCGGAGGAGGAGGAGGAGGAGGAGGTGGTGGTGGTGGTGGTGGTGGTTCATTCGACAGGTTCCGTACGGCATCCGACATTGAATGTATGCCACCCTTCGTTTCGAAATGGAGGAATGGCATCTATGAATGTTGAGTGAGCGCTGGAGAAATATATCTTTAGAATATTGACGTACAAATGAAGCGAATTGGTAAGTTGCTCCCTCCGTATCCCCGTATAACTTTTTCTATCGTAACGCATTAGGACGCATCGTCGTAACGTGACCACACCCGTGCCTAAGTAAGAACGAACGAACCTCTAACGTGTGGCAACCGGGGCGTTTTGAAGGATAATATGCACTCCCGAAAGAATGAGTGCCCCCTTGGAGGCACTTCAATTCGAGTTTAGACTTCTCATCTTCGGAGAAAAGAGACGGTTGTCTGCCGGTCTCTGCTAAATGTCTTTGTAGGAGTATCTAATGTCGACAGAAGTCCAGTGATAAGCGAGATCATCCTATAAAAACATCTATAAACGAACACTGACGTGTAACACAACCTACCTCAACCCACTCAATCTATATGAAGCCGTTAGTTGACAAGTGTGGTGATTTCCGCGGAAGGTTAAGAGAAACTTACATTGTTCGCCGGTAAATGATACCACCGGAATCTTGGTGGCTCGTTGGAAAGACTCCGCGGCGTCGCGTCTTCCATTAAAGCCTTAGGTCCCAATCCATACAAAAGTTCGTAAACGGAAGATGAGATTTCGACTCTCTTTTCATATTCGCCAATAAAGAAATCCGTCACATTGGCTTGGAATCCGCGACAGGCTGCCATTTCGTCGGGTTCGTCGATAGGGGCACCAGGAAGGTCTACGACAGCCGGAGCCACAAGCTGTTTCTCCCTTATAGGATCCCTTAGAGACGGGCCTTGGATAAATAGGGTATTGTCTAGAAGCCTCTCTATTTCCTCAGACCCACGAGCAAGATGCATCGCTGATACGCCATTATTGCTCTTAATGGCAGTATTGGCACCGTTTTCCAAAAGGAGCTTGACCATCGGAATATTCCTGCGTTCGACTGCCACCATCAAAGGTGTATATGAAGTAGTCGGATTTTTCGTGTCTACACCCGCACCCCATTGTAACAAGACTTTTGCTGTCTCAACGTCGTCCCTTTCAATGGCCGTATGCAGGAGCGAAGGGTTGGTTTCGCTAACTGCCGATCTGGAGTTCTCATGTAATTGTAAAATGAGCTCCGTAGTTTCATAAGACCCCGACTCAACCGCAAGCTGAAGACTTGACTTGCCATCAGCAGCTTGACCTTCAACCGTAGCACCATTTTGAAGCAGGACACGCGAGATATTAAAATGACCATTCCGGATTGCTATTCGCAACAACCCAAACCCTTGGGCAGACTGTATCTTCTCTCTTGTGTCTGCATATTCAAGCAACGAGAGAAAAACAGGTTCGTCGCCATTAGCCACGGCCGAGAATAGGGGGTCGCTGAATCCTGGGGTCGTGCCGTGGTTCTGTGCGAACGGCGCATCACCCTCCATCGGGATCTATTCAGCCTCCCGCGTTATCGTCAGAGGGGTGATAAAGCGGCTCATTTATTCAAACACTCATTCGGCATCGAGGAATTTACGGTCAAGTTTTCGTGGAAGAGTGTAGTTACAGACCCGCCGTCTTAGGGTTGCCCAATCACACACTCAGCTCAGCCTAATACTACCCTAGTATTACATGCATACCTACCTAGGATGCTGTCAAATATAACCCCTCATCGTATGAATAATCGCGCTATAATTAGATATAAACCCCTAACCTACTACCAAAAAATAGATATCTATTTGGAAACCTACCTCCTAGGTAAATCTTGAGATACGGAAGTAGATATCTCCCGTATGAATCCCAAGAAAAATGGCTCGTGGGTCTTGGTCAATATCTATTGCTTTTTTTGGTTTCCACCATATTTTGATGTTCTTAAACGTGTGCGCGATTGTTGTCTGGTGTTTGTGGAATCCTACCCCCTTTCGTAGTGTTGATAACCTTTACTAATATTGTGCTTAAGCGATTCTCCTTGCTGGCTGTTCTTCTTCCAATGGGCTGCGAAATGTTTACCTTATCTCGCTCTCATATAAATCCAAAGGCACGGCTCCATTAACCGACCCTCTTCAAGTCAACCCAAGCATAAGCGACACGTTTTCCAGTGCTCTTAGCCACAGCAACAGTACCATCCAGCAGATCAACATATCTCATATGAGTATATGTATCCAACTCCTGTCGGACGCGTGGATCTGTGGCTCTAATGCACAAGATCTTGTGAATGATATCAAAGGCGACCCCCAATCTGATCCATTTAACTTAGTCTGGGTGGCGGACAAGTTTCAGAGTGAAAGTACCTTCTACCCTTTGTAGTAAGTATGGCCTTGGCTTGCCCCGAACGTAATTGACATAAATACATGTTATCCTTCTAACATTCCACTAGCTTTATCGCGATAGTATTTACTTTTGTCTCCATCTTCTTGTTGGCAACATTCCCAGGATGGACCGAAGAGGAAGATTCTGACGGCTCAGATCGGGAAATAAAGCCGTTCCCATCTCGACCAGTATCGTATGCCGCATTGGCCCTGTCGACTATAGCTGCGCTTTTCTCCTTCATATCGGTTTTTTGGCAACATATCGCTAGTGCTTGCGCGTTGACGTTATTCGAAGCTTTGACTTATGACACGGTTGAAGTTCATGTTGGTCCGGCGGCTATGGTATGTGGTTGGTTCGGATTTGGCGTGATATGTATTACATCACTCGGATTGTATATGCTGATCGCGTCAATCAAAATATTAACCGAACTCATTGATTGATATATGGCTCAAAAGATGAATCATCTTGATCTGTGGATTCTGGTACCTCATACAAGATTCAACATACCCTAGGTACCCAAGTAGGTATAAATCCATACGATTTATACAAATACCTAGGTATCCTACAATTTAAATCTTTCACTGTATTTTCGTGTCGGACTCATCACTTGATACACCCTGGAAGTGACCCTAATTTCTCACTCAGCGCGTTCGAGTCGTTAAGATATCGCCCGCGTTTTCCTAAATATCATCCGGGAGACGCTGCGCTATTGTCGTGCTATTAAATGGCTCTCTTTTAGACGGGCGCATATTATTTAAAAAGAGAATTATGCTTACCTAGGTGTAGTTCTGAGGTTAGTACAGCGTGCCAATATATTAGTAGGTTGCAGGTTCGTGCTCCAACTGGGCCAGGAGTTAGATAGGGCCGCCTTTCGCGCTTTCGGCGGCGACGATGATGCACTTTACTCGGGCCATCGTGTCGCTTTATTAGTCCTTCGGTTTGACATGATACTAGCCGCAAAAAAGGTTCATTACACATGGGAGAACTTCCTAGTTTATGCGAAGCTCTATCCCTCATGATGTAGTAAGGTGTCTACGATTGAAAAAGCGTTTTAGGGTCCGTAGGGGAGAAACTACAGGCACTTAGGGCCTTGTAAGGCTTTTGCCCTAGGGGGCTGACACGAGTGCGGGGGTTAATCTTAAGATGACAAGGTGACGTACAGCACATCTAAGTACTGACTAACAATGCTATAACTTCGTATGGCGTCTTCAGGCTGCTGAGCTTACCTACCTAAAGTACCTAGGGTACAGATGAATGGAAAAGTAGAGGGGGTCCGACACCCAAGCTTCAGGGCTTTTATTCAACCATAGGTACTTTAGCATCTCCTACAAGTGCTTAGGGTGCTACATACATGCTACGACATAGCGCTGTACCTAGGTAGTAGTGCTATATTATTCCAACGCACCGCAACCTACCTCCTAGAGTCCCAAAGAATTCGCACATTGTTAGCATCCCAAGGCTATGATTATGATACCCAGCTCTAAGTCTCTATACAACTAGCATAACCTAATTCATACCATAAGTAAAAGGGCTCAAAGATAATCACATGTGGGTTAAGACCGAGGCCATTGTAGGAGAAAAGCGATGAAAACGCCACCTCTCTTTAGTTACCCTAACCCTAACCCCAAATCGATAGCAGGAAATATCTTAGGGTTACAAAAGAATTACCCCAATTCAGACTTCTGTACCCCTTTTCTACAACAGCAACCTTATCAAAGCCCACTATGGCTCGAAGACGATGTGCTACAACGACGATCGTCCGGCTCCTAAAATTATCCCTCACAGTATCTATGGCTCTCCTTTCTGAATCTTGTTCGAAGCTGCGTAGCAAGCCCAATGGTGGCCGGGTCGAGAACTAGGGTGAGCCAACGTTGTAGGCGGTATGGCATATCAAGTTTCTGCGATGAATCCAAGTAGACAAGGTTTTCTTCGCGGAGGTAGCTGATCGGCCAAAAAACGCGGATCCCTGATTGAGATAATGTCGACGTCGTTGCTCGTAAGACTAACGCCTGTGGGTGGAGTTGTACTGTCCATTCAGTAAGCGCATCGTAACAAGTTGGTGCGTAAAATTTCCACATAACCCATTCGGGACTCTATACATAAGTAGGCTCACGGAAGTCCATAGCCATCCTCCTTCGGCTCTATCGTTTACACGCTAATATAATGCAGAGTCCTTTCAACTAGAAACAGTTGCACGATAGTAAGGCTAATTAAAGCGATCCTTAGGATTGTGAAGAAAAGTAATTTAGCGGAGAATACTCATATTAGTGTTTGTGCAATTCGTCGTCTAAATCATGACACACTAGTTAGTCTGGATGTAACCCGAAATGTGTGTCAAATTCGGTATGTTCAACAATACCTTTTTGCCAAGAGCCTTCGGTTTTCTGATACAAGGTAGCCAAGGTCAAGAGGTGTTCGAAAGGATGAAGATCCTCTATTCAAAGAGTCTTGGCATAACCCAACTGAAAAGGACATTCAGCCAAAGAGAAGGAACGGCTCAGAATACCTCCCTTATCGGGTTTTGCCCCTTTGCTATATGTAAGGCCATAGTGGTTCTCTCGAAATGATTCAAGGAGTATAGTAATTCGCAGAGCAAAGATAGTGCTAAAAGTTAGTGCAATAGCATGGTTTTCCGGATGAGGTCGTTGAGTTCTCACCCAAGCCGCATTTAAGATGATTTATGCAAGGAGAAAAAGTCGGTATGGTTGATGCTGAAGGCCTTATACTGCAGTGAGCCCTGTCAGAGATAATTACGAGGGCTGAATGCGCTAGCTACCAAGGTGAGTCGATCATTGCGAGAAGAATCGATAGCCCAGAGTAAAACAAGAGCTAATTGGAGCAAGCGGGACGGGATGTAAGCAACGTTGGGATCGTATCAATCAGATACGTTCATGTAACGGTTGAAACCAGATTACATCCAAGAAAGGATTGGAACTTACAAACTTCGTTACGCGAATAGTAGTTCCATCGATACATCTATCCTTATGCCACAGCACTATAACTCAGAAGGGTGTAGTTAAAAGAAAAATATAATAGATGGGATAATGGAAAAAAATAGGTCTTAAAAGAGTAGGTAGTGTAAAATCGAAAGGGTTCGCGCATTGCGAGTTAGTAACTTGCACTGGTCCAAATTGGTTGCCTTACATGTACCTATCTAATCATCGCGCGACAGAAGTAAAACTAAGTCTAAACCAAACAGTCACGACCTCATGTTAAGAGCGTTGGGCATATGTCACGAGAGGTGGAAATTATATATCACCAGGACGAAAACGAGTCGCTATGATACTAGAGAGTGCTGGGAATCGCCAAACTCACAGAACCCTATGAGATCGTGACTCTTTTCCTATTCCATTTGGCTCTAAAAAGCTGCATAGAGAATAGTACCTGGGTACTTACCTTATATAGGTACCTAGGCAGGTAACTCAGTAAGATATTGGGGGCTTGCAAACGCCCCCAAATCGCTTAGGTAGGCGAATCCACTCGCTATATTCCACCGAGGTGTCGCGCAGAGCCGTCCAACGATAAGAACATCGTTTTTGAGGACACACAAGGAATGATTGACCAAATTTCCGCATTGCTAAGAATCCAAGAAAATATATGAGGACTAGGTGGAATATCCCTCATGATTGACCAAGCGGTCGGATCGTCTTATCCCCGTAGCAGCCATAAGATACCTAGTACCCTTTCAGTACTATTGTGTCAAGTATACAGAGTTCTCAATTCTGAGTAGGCGTTCTAGTAGTGGACTAGAGAATATATGGGTGCCTAGGTAACCATTATTATAGCATAAAAAGAGTGGAAACCATTTGCTTTATGGCGCTGGAGAAGATAGGCAATTATCAGCTCCAGCGGTATATGGCCTATAGTTCCAAGGTTATCGGTTCAATGGAAGCATTATATCTCGGTTGGCTGCTGGTTAATTTTTTTTTTTTGGCTTCTCCTCGCAGCATTGTACCTTACCCAAGCTAATTTCAAAATTCTCCCATGCATCTACGTGAACTCTTTACTTACCAGAGCCTGTGACGGGTCAGAACCTAACAAGCTATACAACCCATTTTAGTTTACTCTCTATATCACACTATAAATCTTTATGGATAGATACCTAGGTCCTCACCGCCTCTATAATTTCTTTTTCGCGAAAACTGCAGTACACGAGTATCCTGCAGCTTAACGCCCGGTTTGGCGGAACCATACGCACCCAGGTGGGCACATAGCTTTGGTAGGATTAGGGGGCTTGTCATAAAGGTTTCGACTTGAAGAAACTGCTCGTCACAGATCTGTTCACTAGATACTTACTTGACACACAGAATGTAACTTTTCGATTCTTTGAAGAATTTTCTAAGTTACAATGAAGAAGAGCCTAATATCCATACTAGATACTATGTGAGACAGTATTGTCTTACAAAATAACCAATAGGTGTCGGAAACCACACGCCTAGCTTGTTTTGGCGGGTGGAAGATAGGGATAAGTGCGGCTGAGCTAGGTACCAACTAGCCTATGGTTAAACCTCGAAACTCGCTATAGTAGTATCCAGGGGACAAAATGGGGCAAACAGAACGTTGACTTAGTGGCGAGACTCGCTGCTTATGTCTCAAAATACTAGGCTAAGAGTTTCATTTCGTTTCTTTGAGCCAACTGACTTCCATAGAAACGTGCCAACTAACTAAATATCCCTCTATGGGGGTTTAGCCGAAAAGGGTAAAACATTGGAATCTCTCAAACTTCTACAATCCTTGGCATCGTCACCCCCATATTTTGCTCGGTTATCAACCGAAATACCGTAGTATTCTAGAACCGCGCCTCCTAACAATAAAGCTTATTGTCAGTAAAACTAGGGAGACCATTGGTTCCTTCGCCCTCAGCGCAAAGTGACCCTAGTAACTACCTAGGTAACGACCTCGCGCTAATGAAACTTCACTACAACGACAGCTTAAGGAGCTAGAATGGGCCTCCTATCGTATTAGTATAACCCCGTACGACGCTATGGAGTTACCCCGTTTATTATCACACTATGAGTCCGAGTGTTATGTCACAACCTTAGCAAGTGAGTGGTTTGGCTTGGGATTATTTTATATAAAAGGTAGTTTGTTTTCTAGTTCTAGATTTTTGTTCTTCAGCTGCGCTACCATCTTCAATTCAACCACCTACTAGTCTATTTCTTCCAGTGCTGGTCACATTTCGACACCGTATAATTCGTCTCTTCAACCTCAACACTTCCAGCCCTTAGTACTTCCTAAGAATACCTTTTCAACATGCTTTCCAACAACGTCGTCATTCTACTTGTGGGCCTTCTTGCTGGCACCACTGTTGCCGGTAAGTATTTCTTACACACTCTCGAGATGATGCAATTTGCTGATACTTTGTAACAGCGCCCGTAACGGCACGTCAAGCTTCGGGTACAGCCTGTAGCGATGGAAGGCAGGATGGAAAGTGCCGGGATGATGGCTTCTGCAACCTAGACCTAGGTGGCGGCAACTTCCTACCCAAGAAAGTCGCCGGACAATGCGGTGAAGCAGCGGACAACGGTGCTGGCTTAAGCTTCGGAAACGCTGCTACTGGTGGCAACGGTAACGCCGGTAACACTGGCAACACTAACACTGGTAACGCCAACACCGGTAACACCGACACTGCTACAAGCAGCGGTGCTTCAGTAGCCGGCACAGCTTGCACTGATGGAAGGGATGATGGTATCTGCCGAGACGATGGTCTCTGCAACTTCGACATTGGTGGTGGTAACAACATCCCCACACTTATCGAGGGACAGTGCGGTCAGTAAGCGGCGGTGGAGAGGTTGGAGCTCGTTTAAGAGCAGGACCATATTGAGAAGATAGACCTGCCAGCAGGATTTGAATATACGGTGTCATACATCTGTTTTGTCTTTGTGATACCTCAAATTGAATCGCGGATAGTGGTAGGATTAGGGTTGGGGTTATGCTACTCATACTCGAAGCAGGGATAAGTACCACATTAAATGAGTAAATGTGGGCTTGATCACTACGGGTATCTTAAATATAAACATTTAAAGCGTTCTTATTGTATTTAGTCTTTGTTTAAGAGGGAATTGGAGATATGAGCCTTGTATTTAGTCAATTAAAAAGTTGTCTGGGTTAGGGTTAGGGTTAGCTTATGACTTAGCTACCCCCGCCCATCGCCCCTTCCAACTTTAGCCCTTACCTCATCGTCACTACCCAATATGGGTAAAAGTGAACCGGATGAGCTTACGGGGCCCGGCCGATTTAGCTTCCTATTTGGGTTCTATCGTCTCCCCTTATTCGATAGAATGCGCTATTGCCCTCCGAGATCCCAGATTTACCGGAACTCTATTTAACAACAGTAAATGCTACCGCATTGCTGTCAATCGGGGAGAGATTTCGATTTCTAACCCACTTATCATCCGCTATTTACCTTTTTTGGTGGAGATTTCGGTATCATTTCCCTGGAGGGGCGGCTTCGACTTTTCCTTTAATCGCTTTTAAGGGGAAATGGTGTCTACAGTCACCTCCAATGTCAAAGACAACTGGAGTAAAAGGAAAACTTCAGGGGTATGCGTTATCATTGACACAAAAAATTCGAGCGAGGACTATTATACATCTCAGCAAGTCTGAACGGTACATAACGTATTATTAACTCCTGCCACCTGACGATCGGCAATAATTCAGTCGGCCTTCAAATTACACTCAAGTCGCAACATTCCAAAGTCATCCTACTGACTTAGTAGAAAAGCTCAATGGCATCGAGGATCTAGATGACAGTTAGTAAAAACCCAGTCGCTTTACTTCGTAATAGTAAACACTTACCACATTGGGACTGAGGTAATCAGAACCACTGCTTCCTGAGATAACAGTAATAGTAACCGTGTTATCCCCACTCACGAGCGTGCCACTCGGGATGGTGCACTCATAGATATCGCCATATCCGCGGTACGCGCCTCGCGTCACTCCTCGGCTGTCAATCGTCGTCGGGGCGCTGGGCGCGTCGCAACTATAATCGTTGACGCTAGCCTGCGGTCGGCCACCGGCGTAGGACAAAGCAGTCGCGATTCGGATCGTTGCTTCGCTACTGATAGCGCTGTCCAGCGAGAACGAAATGACTTGCCCGTTGTTGACATCGGTGAAGATGGCCATGGGCAAAGCGGACGCATCGGTCGAGGCTACGGTGCCCGGGTTCCAATCCGACATGCGGCTGTCGGAGGGGTGCATGCGCAATTGATTTTCAGCATTGAGGAAGCCGGTGGGCTGGCCGTCGTAGTCGCCGAGTTGGAAAACGGTGGTACGGTCATCGACTAGGGCAGCAGCAGTAGCCGCAATGTCGGCTGTCGCGGTCGCACCCGCAGTTACATCGACGGTGGCCGTCGCGGCGAGAAACTCGTCTTGGTACAGCGCCATGGTGTACGTGCCAGCCACGAGAGCCGGGGAGGTGAATTCTCGAGACGATTCGGTGTAGACCCAACCCTGGTAGTCGTCGTTGTACCAGTGTACTACGGTGGGGAAGTCAGTCGACATACCCGAAGCAGTGCCCTTGACGTATCCACGGCCAGAGGCCCCAGTATATCCAGTCAGATCCAAGTCGTCGAAAAATGAAACATCGTAGTCGCTGGTCTTAGGGACGCCACTGCGCGAGAAGCTGAAGACATAGGGTCCGTTGAATCCCTGTCGGTAGCTTTCCGTCTGTACGTGGTTCGAGTTCATGTAGTAAGTTACCGAGTGGTAGTCACCGCCATAGTTGAGGTCAATGTCACGGTGGAATGGGCCACCTGAGCTCTTTTCGGTTGCTTGGCTGTTGGGGCGGACTATTGAAAAAGTTAGCGACTTTCACCAAGGACAGAAAGCCCGCGAATTGAGCCACGCCTCGAACGTATAAGTCTTTTGAGCAGACAATCCCGCCAATAGACTCAGTACCCGAGATTGATTAAGGGGAAATAATTTAGGGTTGCGCACCGAAGCATGCGTGGATTGAAGCGTCGGTAGTCGTCGCGCAGTAGACATCGTCGTCAATGACACGCTCCGATGAGTAAAACTATTCTTACAATTAACACCTAATATTTTCTACCTAGATTGAAGAATTTTACCTTGCTGCGCGTTTCGCCATCAACGAGAAAGACGTCGGAACCTTCAACAGCAGTGCCGTCGGCTGTGTATGAAACGTTGCCGTTGGGATACGCTTCAGTCAACCCGGTTAGACGGAAAATGTAACGCAATTCTCCAACTGACGGCTCAGACGCGGTATAGGTGGCCATGTAGATCGAGCTGGATCCATCAGCGAACACTAGGTATTGTGTGAGGTCAAAGTCGTCGCTACTCGCAACGCAAGAGACCACCACATAGTCGCCTATTAATAACTTGTAAGTAAAACCCGCATGGACGCAAAAAACGTATGAATTTCAATTCTTACCACTAGTAGTGTAAGAGACAGTCGCGGTACCCAATCCGGAAGCAATATTACTGGAACTGCCACTATAAATGTATTCGGTACCGTAGAAGTTTAACGACGTGACGTCGCAGCTTGAACGACTGACTGCTGCGGTGAAGCCATAGCTGTTCCCGGTATCGATGGTGTAGGAATCGTCGGAGGTAGTGACAGAAATGCCTAAAACAGGCACAACGCACGCTGAAAGAGCCGCAAGGAAATTAAACGAGTGCATCTTGACGGGTACTCAACGCGCTAATGGCCTTGGCTTGCTTCCGATAGCGTCGGTAGATGGTGATCTAGACGATTGATATAGTATGACATCTACACCCATGTCAGTTGCCTCAGGGGTACTCGGGGCATTGTTATGGCGAGCATACAACTGCAAGAAATCCGGTTGACACAAAGGCCAAGAGTTATGGTCCAATTAGATGAAACCCTACCATGAATTTGAGCCCCTTTAACAGACCTATGTAATTTCCTCCACACTGACATTCGTCAGATATTACGTAGTGTTGTTGGTATAAGGTCGTGTGCTGAGCCTACAACTCGTTGCGCGGCCCCCATTAACAGAAACGGATTATCCGCCCTAAAGGAATCATGATGGGATACCTTTTTCCACCACTCACAATTGCTTTTCCATCGCTATGTAGCAATGAGTGATCAACGAATTACTATGCGCGCCGGTTTTGTGGACCACGCGTAGCATTGAGAATGCCTCTTTAGGATTCTGAAACCTCGAGCTTTGAGGCTTATTCACCACGATGGCACGACTCGTATGCTAACAGCGGGAGCTTTTGCGCCTACGACTGCATCTCTCCACACATTAATAGCGCCTCCAGCGCCTCGTAGCCCATCTAATCTCCTGCTCTACTGGACAATGCTACAGTACGTACATATATTGTAGACCACCTGGGCATCGCCTAGCTGGGTCTCGAAGGTCATATTCCGTATATGGTAATTGAGGTTTCTCGGATAGAGTTTTGTTATGACAATATGCTTTATCAGACACGAATCTGAATAAGTGTCTCGCTTACCTCACACTAGGACTCAATAGAGAAAATTACAGTATGATATTCGCATAATATAAAACTGCATTCCTTCTTTTTTCGGTACAGGCGCTCACTTCCTCTGGCATACTAGCAATTGTGAATTTGAGAGCTAGGCTGAGCACCTAAGTAAGTATTTGGCTGCTTAGAAAAAAAGGTAGTTGCAAGGAAAATATTTAGCAAGCATAACGCGAGCTCATGGGGTCGGGTTATTTAATATGCTGTATTATAGGTACTCAGGTACCTGCTAGGTAAGACCCAGACCCCGCATTCCGAGCTCATACAAAAGCGCACCACATCGTCACCCTAAAGTTTTAGTCTTACAAATATATTTATGGTATACTAAGACAACTCCTTAGTACCTTTATTGTCTAATGTACTACTAATATGATGGTCTAGTTAACCCCGCGGTGTGTTCAACGATCAACATGACCTCCAGGGCTATCCCTAGGTATTACTGCTATATCGTTATCTTAAAATTAGCAGTGTTTTCCTTTTATATTCTATTGTATACTTTGGCGTTCCTGTAAGCGGGTCACCGAAGTTTTAAGGCAGCGACAAATGAGTTTCGTTCAAAAAAGAGAGGATTCAATATCCACCTACACCATAACAACGATCAAAACATCAGTCATTTCTTTCGTAAACGGACCTTGGGCCCAACGATTGTCCATGTCAATATCATCAAACTCCTTCGCTATCCCATGCCATGCAATTCAAACGTTTTCTCATGCGCTCTCACCCTAATTTCCAATCACAAGATCAAAGGGGCCTATTATTACATAAGCGCATCTTAATTATTGCCCGACTCGATCTCCTCGTCAGCCTGCAACATCTCTGTTGCCTCTTTCCAGCCCTTCTCGAGGGACAACCAGCTGCCAACAATCGCAAAAAACAGACTCACTGCCGTCATCGCATTGGTAACCCGGTAGCCTGAAGGCCAAAGAGGATAGAGAAATAGAGACACGAGGGATAGCACAACTGAAAACTCAAGCAGGAGGTAATAAGGAGATACTACTCGCTGTCGAAATGGCACTGAGCGGTCCTTTGCTGACATAAACCCGAATAGCAATGGAGACAAGAGAGATGCGGAAATTTGAGCGATCATTATCGCATAGGTATCGTCATGAGGCGAAGGAAGGACACCATTTGCTCTAGTGGGTGCCCCGTAGATAGAGTATCCAGTTGCAATACCCAGGGAGTAGTTGAAAGAGGCAACGATGAAACGAATCGTCATTTTGCCATCTAAGGATGAGTATAGATTTGCACCCAAGGCGATGACATTTTGCAGAAGATGCCTGATCGGAATAATGGAAATATGTTGACTGATTGGTAGTTGCGACGTATTTTCCGCAGTTGACGAATAATGAGGGGTCGCTTCAATTCCAGGGCACCCATCAGTTGGAGTAGGGCGAATGAGCTCTAGTTGGTTGGGTTGGGGGTATAACTCATTAGTGCGAGTAGTTTGATTGCCTCGTTCATTAGGGGTATGTCCAGGGATGTTACTCGAATCCGATTGGCAAAGAGGACTATAGTGAGAAGCTCCCAAGATAAATGGATTGACACCTCTTGATGCAGCTTCGTCAGATGGGAAAGTCCAACTTCGGCTTGGACTTGCGTCATTCTCTTCAAAGGGTGTGCCATCAGTAAACTGTGTTCCTATGCCGTGAAACTCATGCGGCATTCGGGGAATATTGTCATGGTGGGGGTCAGCGGATGGCATTGTGGTAGATCTTTGGAAGTAAAAGGGTGAATAAAAAGGCCTTACTATCTGCCATTTATGCACACCACCTACCATAAGACTACTCGGGTGGTTCGCGGACATTCAGACCGTACATACAGTGCTAGAATATGTATATGGGGACTGTATAGGTACTTGACACTTTGGGCGCCTTTCTAATGTGGTTTGCGAACCACATGCGGCTTAAAACACAATAAAATAGCAAGTAAATCCCGCAAGACACTCCTTCCAAACTACTAATACAAGCAATTAATCCAAGACTCGCGAACCAAATATATATTAGACGGCCTCGTAAAACCCATAATAAGAAAAGCATCGATATCTATTAATTTACTTACCATTTCATCATCCCAATGCAAGTTGTGAAAATTTCCATCCTCCCTCCTAGAAACTGATCAGCATCATTTAGGTGTTCCTCGCCTTGCCTTTTTTGCGTGCCATGCCACCAAAAATCCTTCGTTGCAATTTCTCATCTACAAGGAAATAGCAATTTGAACCATTTTAATGGTCTAGCTCGTAAGAAGGATAAGTTTCGATATACTAGGGAGCACCACAAAAAAGTTCAACGTGAGAGAAGGCAGCCAGCACGCCACTAATTGTACGCATAGCAGAGTCTCTTTAGCAATTAGCCGTCCGCTTCTAGCGCAACAGCGTCGTCGTTTTCTCCACGCATGACTGGCCTCGTGACTGAGGCCAGCTCAACGTCGTCAACCCACGGCGTCGCCGTTTTCTTCCTGCTATTCTCCCAAGACTGCCAGCCACCAAGGACGGTGAACACCGTGCTCACTATCGCGGCCAAGTCAACGGCCCAGTAGCCCGACGGCCAAAATGAATACAAGAGGAGAGACACGAATGACATAAAGACGCCAATCACTCATAAGATCAAGTGGCAGGATGCCATCTTTCGTCGAAGTGAAGCCGAGTTTTCCTTGGTCGGCACGATGTCAAAGAACACGGTAAACATAGATACGGCCACCTGAGCAACCGTGATTGGGTAGGCGTCGCCTTGAATTGCTGGTAGGGCATCGTTAGGTCTTTTTGGCGCTACGACGACCGAAAGTGTAGCAATACCCATGAGATAGCAGAAGATAATGACGGCGAAGCGGATCATCTATTTAACCCCTAATAATTGGCAGTCCCTCTCTGATATCTGACAGATAAGGACGAACCTGGTGTATGGTCTCCTCATCGACGTCTGCGGTGGCCGTATGTGCCCCTTCGAATCCGCGAGGGCTTATAAGCGAGCTATGGTTCATGTCTTCTGGCTGGTTTGACTGATTGTTGGGAGCGTCAATGCCAATGACAGGGCCCGTTGGCTTAGAATAGAAACGCCTGACGATACTACTAGGATAGCCAATAGTTTGACTGGGGACATCCTGCTGTAGGGTTCCTAAAGCTATGTTAGACGGGAGAATGTTGAGCAATGGAAGAGCTATAACTCTGGCGGTGGTGTATACGATTATCCTCATCTTCCATATTAACGGGTTCGCCCTATAGCTCGGCCAAGGTACTTTCTAATACTGTCTCTCTAGAACTTTAATGAGGTCCTATGGTTGGCGAATCTCTCAAGATGTGGAAGTCTAGCTCGACTAGAATCGCTACCGAGTGTAAATATCGGCGAATTTGTGTCAGCTGGTCTTACTTGCATTATTATAACAAGAAAACTACTCGTTATCATCGCAGCTTGCCTTCTTTTCATTTACGAAGGACGCCCGGCCGCTTCTTCGCTTTTACCTCCTCCTCTTCCCCCCGCCCCCACTTTCGTCATCACCTTTCCTCTTCCGTCCTTCCCTCCTCCAATACTCCTGTTTCTCACGACGTTCACGTGCCTGCTTCTTTTCCTCCCCCTCCTCGACCCGCTTCCGATGCTCAACACGCTTTTCTTCTTTCTTAGCACGTCTCCTCTCAGCCGCATCCTTGCGGATAGTCGTAAGCTTTTGCAGTAGGTCGCGCGCGCGCCGTTCCTCCCCACCTAATACTACCGCACGTTTTTGTAAGTATGTCTTACGTCGTTGGGGTTTCATTTGTACAATTTGTGACTTAAACGGAAGTTCCGCGGCAAGTGCTCTTGGGACCTTTAGTGGGTTAAAGTGTCGAGTCGCCCGCTCTACGGGCTTATACCGACTATTGCGATCCTGAGGCGTCGGAATATTCTGGTCTCGCCGTACCTCGCCCGTTAGCCTCATGGGCTTCCAATCGCCGAGAAGGTTGGTAACGGGGTTATAGAAGCGGTGTGGCTTGATAGGATACCACGCCCGAAGGAATACTAGATCACTAATTAAAATTTTATCCTCAAAGGTAGCACGGAAGTGTCCGTCTGGTTTGGACAAGGCTCTCTTGATCTGACCGCGGATGCCGGACACGGTTTTAATCGCAGCACCTTCAAACTTGGCGATCTCAAGTGAGCTATTGAACATGTCCTTGATGAATGCTGTGTTTTTGAAGATTTTGTACGGCGCTCCAGTAAGTTTGAGTTTCTTGACGATTTCTGTGGATTCATCCACCGAGAGAACCGTACCGGTAGCAGCGATCCGGAAGCCTGGATTGGCGGAGGAAAATGATTGGAAGCATACAAATCCCGTGTTTGGTGCGATGAGTGGTCCGTGGAATGTACCAAAGCAATGCATGTGCTCTGGTGTATATTTCAACATGCGATTCCTCGTCCGCGAATCCGAGATGCTGTAAATCGGGAGCGATTGAAACCTTCTCCACCCGAGCGAAAAGATAAGGGGGTCGTTCGTTTTGAGGATCTTCTTATGCCATCGGTGTCGCTTGATACGGACTTGGACATATCCAAACCTGTCTTCTGTCGCAAGCACACCGCCGACTATAATAGGTATCCGTGCATTGAAGTTTGTGACAAACTCTGCTGGGACCTTCTCAATCACGATTTTGGCATACCTTCCAGCCTTAAAACCTTCGACTGCGGCTCTTTGCCTCTCATCCAAAGCTTCAAACTCAGCATTATTTATGTCGAGTTGTTTTTGAATGAGGGCCTTCTGTGCATCGTACCAATCGTCTTCACCAAACTCTTCTTCCTCACCACCCTCGCGTCGGGCTATAGCCTTGTCATTCTGGAAGCCTTCACGGTCTTCCTCTTCGAATCGAAGCTTTAACTCCTCTTTTCTCCGGGCATTTCTTTCACGTTCTGCTTCTAAGCTTTCTGTGGGTTCGAGCTCATGCTCAGCCTTGTGTTGTTCACCTGTTTCAAGGTCCTCGAATTCGCCATCTCCCTCGTCATCTTCATCATCTTCGTCTTCATCAAATCCATCGAAGCCATCTTCGTCATCATTATCTCCGCCCAAAGTGGCTGTTGTGAATCGTTGACGAAGTTGTTCAATATTGTCGTCTAGTGACCATTTCGTTGCCAATTGGTCGTAATCGTAGATAGGGACGGAACGGTCTTCCGAGGCCGCATCTTCGTCATGCTTTGCCTTTTTGAAGAAATCCTCATCCTCGGAGTCTTCGATGTCCTCTTCCGAGTCTTCAGCTTCAACTTCACCTTTCCATCTCTGCAGTACTTCGTCAGCCGTTAAGGCTTCGTCGTACATTAGACGCGCCAAATCTGCTGTTCTGTAAGATGGTCGACCGCCATGAAGCATTTGCGCTTTTCCGGCTAAGTTATCTTTCCACCTAAGAGCAGACTCTTCTTCGTCGTCGTATTCGTCCCCTTCATCGTCCTCGGAGTCATTGTCCTCATCAATTTCATCACCTGATATAGAGCCCAGGTCCGAGTCACTGTCGGCGAAAGCGATGTCCTCTTCGGCACCATTTTTGTCCGACTCTTTGAACATTTTTCCCAGCTTCTTTTCATTAAATTCGGGTTCTTCGTCAGAGTTGAATTCATCCTCTCCGCTGACGAAGCCTTCATCGTCGGGGACCTCATCTTCGTCTTCGTCCCTTTCAGCGAACCTCACAGATCGCTGATTCTTTCTTCCAGTATCTTCTTCCTCGGGGATGTTTGTTATCTTATCGTCATCTCGAAAGAGTTGTAGACCGTCTTCTGTTTCACCTAACAGTCGTCTTTCTCCTTGAAGTCCAATAATAAGCTCTTCACCCTCACCACGCTCCACATCTTCGGCATCCTTGTCAAAATTGAAGCCCTTGTCTCTAGTGATCCAGATAGCATCACCATCAATTTTCAGGCCACTCCGATCTGACATAGGAGCGTGTAGTTTCTTTTCCTTTTCGTCTAATCGCCTTCTGCCGGTCTTGCCAGTAGCTTTTGCAATGGCTTGTTCCATTGCTGGCGTCGGACATGGATCAGGTAACGCCTCAATACTCGATATTGTGAAATCGCCAAGACCGGGAATATGAACACGTTGATTATGACCCGAAAAATTAGTTCCTCGAAGATAACCTGAGAGCGCAATCGAACGATCGCACTTATCGTCCTCTTCAATCTGAGTAGGATGCGTAACATCTCGAAAGCTGTCAATAATCGTGTAAGGGTGTGTATTTCTCCATACTAACGGCCGGGGGTTCTTCATGACGGAGAGGAAACGAGAAAGGTTGTGGATTTCGCGATCCGGATAACGACCATTGATGACACCGGAAAGGTAGAATAGGTGCGCGCCTTGGTATAGCTCACTCCATAATCTGTGTTTTAATCTCTTTTTCGCATCCTTCAAAGCTTGTGGTTTTCGGAACAAGTCTAGATGGGTCAGAACGCCGAACACGTTGCCGGGCATACCCGTTGCAGCCAGGATGTTTAGGAACTCCATAGTTTCCATTTCAAAACCATAGTTTCCGTCGATCATCAACAGGACAATATCAGCAACCTTGGCCAAGTCCACCATGGCCTCAAGTTCGTTCGGGCATTCGAGAAACGTCAACCGTTGTTTCTTCGATGTGACCACGGTGATGGGCCCCTGAGGGTCCGTAATTGTCTCTTTCGCATATCTTCGGATAAGCGACTTTAACAATGTCGTCTTTCCAACACCAGGCGGTCCAACAATCGTTACTAATCTCGGTGGAGGTTCGTCTGGTAATCGATCGACGAGGGGAACATGAAGTCGCTTTTCTTTAATCTAAAAACAGCCATATTAACATACAAGGTGATACCGCGCATTCAGAGGTTTCACTTACATCGTGCGACCTAGCAGCAGCGCGTTGAAGCTTCCCGGGCCTAGAAAAAGCAAAGGCCTTTGGATTGCGATCTGAACTTGTCAGCAATTGAAAAAACAATATCCGTGAAAATTGTACTAACCTCCAGTCTGCTGCTTCTTCTCTTTTGACTTGCGATGAGGCTTATGCGTTTGTGCCTCCATGGTTGCGACTTCGCAATGTCAATCGCAACACTTAATTCATCGATGTTGAGAATGGATCTTTGGCTTTGACTAAAGGCAAGAAAAAAAAAGATTGGAACCCCTAGAAGATCTTATCGATAACGATAATCTATGCACTGTGGGACCCAAGGTGGATTAAGTGGGGTCTTTAGAGGCTACTAGCGGCTTTACGTTCTCTGCGTAGAGTTCAGTATGGACGCCGAGGTCCATATCGTTAGAAATGATCACGCATACTACCCATTTCGTGGTGCAATGGTAGGAATACCATTTCATATTGATGTACCTGGGAATATTGAGTCAAATTGTACAATTGATATCGTTAATATTCAATTTATTTGCGTACCTGGGCAGTTACTCCTTAGGATGAAAGTACACCACATACGTAAACCGCCGTGTGACTCAAAACCGGTTGTAAGTCCTAAGATACGTATGCTTAATATTTGGGTCTGATCTTTTGATGTCCCCTAAGACGCTAAATGGTAGTCGCAAGCGGGAAGTTTGTCTTAAGTTCGGCCTATGATGACGTATTCACCCTCCCACCAGTCGAAAGCCTACGCGGGACCGTTGGCCCATCCCACCTTCCTTACGGCGATACCAAGAACCTTTATGATACGTAGCTCAGGCTTGTTTTTAAGTATTACATTAGCCAGGCCAGCCGCTCTAAATAAATAAAGTAGCTAGGCATGCGCTTCTTTCTTACTTCTACTTCCCAAGCCCAACATTTTATCTCGCAACTCTTATTCTTCTCCTCTTCCTCGTGTAACCTTACGCCTAAAGACATCTATAGACCACCAACTAGACTTTTATTTCATACAACTGCATTTACCAAAATGCCTACCTACATTGTAACTATATACCTCCCCACGGCATCATAGATGACGAGTCGCTTGGATGGTGTTGCTCACTGCCTAATAGGTTACCTGCAAGGCGTCTGCTAGCGACGAGGAAGTGGCCGCAGCAAAGAAGCATGCTGAGGAGCAGGGTGGTAAGATCGGCCATGAATACAAGCTTATCAAGGGCTTCTCGTGTGTAACCCCTTGTCCATTTTCTATACTCTTGCATTTCTTGTTATATGTTGACATGTAATTTAACTAGGGTCACGTTTCCTAATGACGCCGTAACGACATTGGAATCCCACGAGCATGTTCAAGCGGTTGAGTTGGACCAGGAGGTGAAAACTCAATAATTGACTCGAGGACGCGATGAGGGGCAATTAGGCACTGCAAAGGTCACTTGAATGATATGATACGATACGAGGGGTCGGGCTATGGAGCCACGGGTACCACCTAAGGATAGACCAGAAAGCTTGACTGGACTTGGCTTATGCAGCTCTTAAGAATAGTAGATGGATATTTCTTAAATCTATTACCTAAACGATCCAGATCTCATATTTATAATTGAAATGCGAAGTTTTACGATTTCATTTTGTATGTTTGCTTTATACAATCACCTTATACATTTCATTAATGACGACTACCTAGGTAGGTACATATGGGCAGGTAGGAGTACTAGTAGGTACCTCCAGGGCTGTCTACTTTGGCATTTAGCTTCAAAGCAAGCCTGAAGAGTCCCCTAAAACGGCCAAGGCAAGATCGGCAAAATATAAAAGGATAGATACGATCCCTTATCAATCCAATTTTGCTCACTGACGTCGTTATGTTTCCGGGGTTTGTTAGCTCGTGACTCTTCCCGACACAATCAAAATCCCGACTATATCCATTTTCCCTTATACATATATCCTTGCTTTGATGACTCCAACCAGGTCCAACATATTATAACACACCTAAACTATACATACGTATTTCTTTCTTCCTCTCTCTTCCCCTTCTACTCACCGCTATACATAAAACCACACAATGCCGCCATGAGTAGATTATTTAGGCCGTTGCGGTGCTTGCACGCGCCCAATGCCTCGATTATAAGACGCAATGGGTTGAGATCGTGTTACTATTCGTCACATGCTACAACCACAGAGAGCCCCTCGTCAACCACATCACCGTCGGAACAGAAATGGTCCCATCCGCCTAGTACCGCGACGGTAACCGACGACGAGATTGCTGACCTCACCAATAAACATCAGCATCCATTGAGCCTTGCTGACCTGGTTAGGTATGTTAACTAATATTATCATCACGACCCTGGCGATAAAGGAGTATCTATATACCATATAGAAAGAAAGAGTCAATATATAAGCTGCATGTAACTAATACACTGTAACAACAGACATGGCCGACCTCCCCTTTCCGCAGAGGCCCTCTATTCCTCCGCCAACTTCACCCTCTCACTCCTCCCAATCCGACTAGCCCACCGGATCCAAGCACTACGCAACCTCCCCTTCATCGTAGTCTCAAACCCGAACATTTCCAAGATCTACCACAACTACCTACACTCCCTCTCCACCCTCCTCCCGTGGAAACACCGCACAATCGCCAACCTTGACGCCGAAATCCGGTTCACCTCCGTCCTAGCAGAACTCGTGCACACGCACCAAGACACGATCCCAATCCTAGCCAAAGGCTTCCTAGAATGCCGGCGCTACATCTCGCCACAAGAAGTAACCCACTTCCTAGACACCCACCTCCGAACCCGCATCGGCACACGTCTAATCGCCGAGCAACACATAGCACTACACTACAGCAGCCTCCCACACTTCGACCCCTCCGCCTCCCCAACGCCCTGTCCCGAACACCCATCCTACATCGGCGTAATCGACACCGCGCTCTCCCCCTCCGCAGTCGTAGACTCATGCGCCGGCTTCGTAGCCGATATCTGCGAATTAAAATACGGGGTTCGCCCACACTGGATCATAGACGGTGAACCAGACACCACATTCGCCTTCGTACCCATGCATTTAGAATACATCGTAACCGAGCTTCTAAAAAACGCATTCCGAGCCACCGTCGAAAACGGGCGGAATCGTGAACCGGTCGTTATAACCATAGCCCCGGAACCACCGGATGCAGGACCGCCGAGAGTTACGCTGGACCCGCCGGCGGGGGATAAAGGCGCGTTTAAGAGCGATGCGATTAAACCCCTCGATGACAATGCACCGGGGGTAACGATTCGGATTCGGGATCGTGGGGGCGGGATTGCGCCGGAAGTATTGCCGAATATTTGGAGTTATAGCTTTACTACATTCAGCGAGGAGGAAGATATCCCGACGAACGGTGGTGGAGGAAATGGTGCTAGCGGTGGGGGTACGGATGCGCTGAATGTTATATCGGCAGCGGGCGGTGGTGGAAGTTCGATTGCGGGCTTGGGGTATGGATTACCGCTTAGTCGCGCCTATGCTGAGTATTTCGGCGGTGGAATCGCGGTGCAGAGTTTATATGGCTGGGGTACGGATGTGTATCTCCGGCTCAAGGGCGTGGGTAAGATTGATGATGCGATAGTTGGGTGAGCTTATGTCCATGATGTCTGCGTAACCTGGCGTGGAATAGGAGAGTCTAGCATGTGTTCTTACCTAGGTATCAACAGTGATTTTTTATGATAACGAAAGCTGGGCGTGCATATGCATGGATAGGTAAACGCATGATTCGATGGCTGTATATAGGAAAGGTTTTATATATCAAATTACTTCTACTCCATGTGCTTCTGCATATTAGTGAGGAACGATATCGTTGATGCTGAGCTGTTCAGAGAGGTTAAAGATAACGAAATGTACATATAAATACACGCCTCTAAGAGGAAACATTACCAGACATAAACGAAGCGAGCACATTTTATAGCGCGTATCTTATTCGTATACGAAGCTTAATTATTAATTTTAATTTTTGGTATTAGTACCTAGTAGTAACGCTCACAATCCATAGTAAAGAAAGAGCCGTAAGTGATGTATATGCGACGGTATGCAAGTGACGTTGTAAATAAGATATCCGAGAACCACCATATCCTATATCCAAGATAGATAACATTTAAACGGAAAGGGAAAAAAAGCAAAATACGGTTGCATAACCTCGAACCCGGCCATATTATACCAACACCATGACTAAAACATGATGGTTTTCTTTTGTACCTAGAGGCTATTATGGTTCGTCTGTTCAAAAACGCCAACTTGGATAAGATTCTTTTTTAGATAAATCCAGACCCTCCCTAAAACCCGCCAGCATCATATCAAACATGATCAACCTGAGTTGCTTGCTATATTTACACCTTTATTAGCCCACGTATTTTCCTGTTTAGCCGGTTGTAGATGGCAAAGATGACGTGACTACATATTAGCCAATTCGTTGTCGATTTGACGATCTAGGAATGACTTCCTTTCGCCTGACAACTCTGTTTGCAACCGTTGTTCGACCAGGGCGCGCACTTGTTTCTTAGTTACTGTGTCAAGGTCGACTTCTCGGAGTACGGATTGAATTGCCTCGATGATCATGCCGTCATCGGGTCCTAGGTGCCCCCGTTGGAAGTCGAAAGAGGTTGTGGACTGGTGGCCTTGACCTAGAGGTGGTCGGGCGCCACCACCATAACCAAGAGTCATATTGGAAACGCGATGCATATCATGTGGTGAATTATTAGATACAGCACGAAGGTTGGTCATGCTTGGTCTATGAATGGGTGAATCTTGGTAAGGCGATTGCATGCGCTGAATGTCTCCGAACGAAGCGGTGGATTGCCGGTGGATTGGGTTGTCGGTGTATGGACCATAGGTAGACTGACGGGACATGTTCTGGAAGGGAGCAGGGGATTGAGGTGGCATGAATCCACCACGACCTTGAAGGCCGGTAAGGACGGAAGGTTGTCGGACTGAAGAGTAGACCGACTTCATGTCGTCCATCTCGTATGTGTCATCGTATACATCATGAATTTTCTCGCTTTGAAGTCCGCGACGTCCAGGCAGATTGTTCATTGTAGCATAATCATCCCAACGTTGTAGGGGAATGGATCGTGGGTCGAAACCCTCGTCATCCACTGCAACAACTTGCTTACTACCCTTTTCACCGATAACGATACGTGTGTTACCCCAGGTAAAGTTGTCTTGGTTCCAGAACGAGTAGATGGGAAGAATAAAGGAGTAAACAGGGAAGGCGATGAGGTAGATAATCATCCATCCGACGTGTTGCCATTGGCGCTTGAGAATGAAAATTAGAGCCTGGAGACCATAAACTGCAGCTATCATAGCAATAGAAACGACTGGGAGCGGGCCAGTGTGAGAGGCAATTCGGTAAATCAGGTAACCCAAGTAAACGCAAGTGGCCGGAAGGATGACCGTTCCAGTAAGATCAATGAAAACGATGAAACGCATTGAGAAACAACAAAAACCGCACATGTCCTTGAGCATAATCAACTCAGCTAAATTGTGAAGAGTTGAGTTGATCCACCGACGTCGCTGAGAAAGAAGCACACTCCATTTCTCAGGAGCAGCGGTTTGGCAGTATGCGTCAGGAATAAACTTGTACGACATGCGAGGGAAATGTTTCGTCATCAAGGTAGTGAGATATCGATCCTCACCAAGGGCTAGAAGGTTCTTCTTGTGGAGAGTGTCGACGTTGCAAATACTGTACTCCCTAATGACGTCGTCGGAAATAATCAAAGGCTTGCCTCTATCCGCAGTGCGCAATCGGTACATTGAGAAACTGCATGACATGGTTAGCTAAAATGGTCAGGGTCGCGATGTAAAGAGCAAACTTACCATCCAGGGAGACAAGTAACACTGCCGAAAAGGGATTCAAAAGCCTTCGCCAAGTGGTGAGAGATGTAGTACTCGTAGACTTGGATCATACTCCACCAAGACCGTTCTTCATTCTGTAGACCCGTCTCACCGCAGATACCGGCGATCTTCGAGTTGTTGGCACAAGCAGCAACAAGACGGTTAAGAGAATCCTCTCGGACGCAAGTATCGGCATCGATCATCAAAAGGTATTCGTAAAGTTCAGGGTCGACACCAATAATGTTATTGATTTGATGGAACATCTCGAGTTCAAGGGGATTCATCGGAGAACGGTGGTGAACGCGGTTCAAGAAACTCATTGCCAAAATCTGTGAGTCACGCTTACCACGGTTACCAGGCTTAGCCTTAGACTGCTCAGATTCCTTGCCCACTTTGACCACAACGATGTAAGGAACGACATTGCCCTCATACTCATAGAGACCGGAATAGACCTTGCCGTAGTTAAGTTGCTCACTACCGGTACCAACAGACTTGAAAGGCAAGGCCGGAGGATCAACTTTAGGATCAACTCCAAGGATATCCAAAACAATCTTTGGGGTAGGTCGGTCATTGCCTTCACCGACGATGACACCGTCACAGATAACACAGATAAGCTTCCTCTTATTGTCATACTGCAGTGCTGTAAGAGAATCCAATGCCTTCCGCAAAGAATCTTCTCCTTCGGTATACGCTGGGACTTGGCAGATAACGAACTTATCCTGAGGAGCGGGACGCCGTTTAGAGCCAAATTGCAGGGCTGAAAGGAACTTGATGAGAATAACTGCGCAGATGACAATGGCGAAGGCGAGGAGGATATAGTTGTTGGCTTGGCATCTAGCTGACTGCCGGAAGTCGGGAATACCGACGTAAAATGTCTCCTTGATACAGTTGAGACTGTTCAATTTCAAAGCGAGGGCAGTTTTGTTTCCTTGAGCGGAGGAAATTTGATTATTCCAAGTACTGGTGACATCACCTCCTGGGTTGTCCTTAATCGCATCAATCATATCAGTATCCAAGAAATTGTACTGAGCAAGGTTCTTGTAGTAGTCAATGGTAGTGAAGTAGTCCGTAAGATCATAAATATTATCTTCATAAGTAACCCACATGTGGTTGTTGTTTTTACCATCGTCTCGCACATTGTTCAGATCCCAGACCAAGTCTCCGTGGTAGTATTCCTTGATCTTTGGCTGGAAGGTATCCCTGTACCAGGTAGCACTTCTTAGCTTGGATGATTGATCAGCTTGGAAGTATCCGGAAGTATGTATACCCTGCGGCAGCGTAGGAGTGTCGTTCTTCTGTAGTTGTATGGTTTCGGGGACACCCAAGCCAGGGCAGGTGAGCGGAAGAGGAGCCACAAAGTACTCATCCAAGTTCATGCCGGCAAATTGTTGCATGAGATCATTGGTCGTCTCAATGTTGGTGTCACTGTGTTGCAGCCGCCAGAAGTTCGTGATATCGTAGACTCTTCCGTGGATACTGACCCAGAAATCATCGGCGCCTTCATGATAGCTAACTTCACTTTGAAGCCATGCCTTATCGAAATTGGGACAGATAAGTGTGCCCAAGGCGACAATCCAGAATACAATGAAAGCGTTGAGTAAGAAGATGATGAAGACCAGGACAAATTTCTCTCTCCAAGCCATGCGAACATCGGGTCGCTTCATTCGTCCAACGTATCGGAGCAAGAAAGAAGGAATCCAGAAGGTCAAAGCCCAGACAAAGCCGACCCAAATACGACGAGTGAGGGTAGTATCACTTGTCTCAACATGCTTCCCCTGTGCATCCATTGGGTCAAGACTGTTGATGATTTCGCCATCGGCATTATAGAATACTTGGTCACGGTGCTGATCACCCTTGCTGCCCAGACCGTAGTCACCGGTGGTAACATTACGCATAGCAGAGGGCACGACTGAAGGAGCCCTCATCTGACTTTGAGCAAACGTGAGCTGGCTCTGATTGCGCTGGTGGTTCATCATAAGTTGATCTCGGCTGCCGTCAGAGTGATGGTCAGGAATCTGGGGAGGGAAGAACCCGCTCCCATTGGAGAAACCTGTTTCGAGGCCAGGGGTATTGAATGGATTTACAATATTCCCCATAGGCATATTGTCTTGGGGCGGCTTCAGGTCGAGCATGCTCTCAGCTTCCCACCAAGCAGTCTCTCGCATCCAAACCCTCTCCTTGCCTATAACAACTTCGCCGTTACTCCATCCTCTCTCAAGAATCCAAGTCTCGATACCATCCCGGCCTTCCCTGCAACCCAGGGGACTGAAACGTTGGGTAAATTCATCCAAGTCAAAATCCGCCGTGAAATCCAGATTCTTGTTGCGGCGATTAGCCCATTCAGGTAATCTCCAAGCACGGAGTTGGCGAGATACTGTGCCAGCTGACCAAGCAGATGTGATCGAAGGTAGAGCTGCTAGACTGGCTGGTGTCTCATCGGTCGGATGAAGTGATAGATGGTACCACACACGGCTGGCACTTAAAACTGCGGGGAGATCCATTCGTGCATTTTGGCCTAGATTGATACCTCGACCTGGGACGGGGAAAAGGAGCTTCTTCAGGAAGCCATCATCGTCGCCAGCAAAGCCGGCCTTTTCGAGAATTTCTTCCCGCTTTTCAAGTTCGTGCTGCCTTGCTCGTGCTACCGGGCCGTTCATGATGCCTAGATCTGGTGCAACATCGGCAACGCTGTTTTGCATTTCTCGAAGAACTGAACTCCCCACACCCATAGCATTAACTCCGTCCTCTTTCATTTCAGCGTTGATACCCAATGAGTCGTCGAAGATGCCACGCATCGCGATAGCTTTCCCAAGGTTCGCATCCGGGATTTCGACAACAGTAATACAAACGGTATCACCGTTATCTTCAGCCGATGGTGGTGAGTTACGCCCGTCAAGCGATTCTTGGCCATCACGAATGCGAGACATCTGCAGCGCAATGGTCTCATTTGCCTTCGTAACTACCCAATCCACTAACGCCTCATACAGTCCACCAACTAGAGTTCGTCTATCATCCGTCGAGCATTGTCTTGCAAGAACTTCGGGGTCAAGACCAAGCAGCCCGCCGACATCCTCGCAAACGTCATCAAGAACATCGTCATCGACATTATAGTCCAAGGTATTACCAAGCTTGAGAAGGCCAGCGAGAGTCGAGATGAAATTTCGGTGAGCTGCGCCCTTAATTCCAATTTCTTTAAGGGCAGTTCGGAAATCATCGGCAGCAGCCGCATCATCAGCTGTGGGGAGATATGAGGGTGGGCTGTAAGTGCCGGATTTGGCTAGCAATGCATAGGTCGAGGCTGATTTAAGACCCAAAAACTCACGTTCGGCGGGCGTCGAGGCGGATGTTAATAGGTAGTAAAAGACGTCGAACGCACGATAGCCAGCCTCGGCAGGTATATCGAGTAGCCCCTTGACGGTGTCGATACCACCTTGTGACAGCGCTAAACTAGCGGCAGTCAAGTTCCCTGACAGATTCAGAGTGAGGGTCACTCCAAGAGCAGATTGCCGCGGCGTCGATGGGTTGTATGGCGTTACACATCGGATGAATGGCTTTATGACTTCGAGGGCAGTGAATAAAGACGAGGGGACGGCCAAGGGTAAGGACGATAGAAACGGGTTTAATAGTGAAGGTGTTGATTGATGGAGACATCTGAAATACCAATAAGCAACAATATAAACACACCAACATTATCAAGGCGAATACATACCCTAAGATGATGCAGCCATCTTCTGCCCGGCGCCTGGCATGTTCCCAAGCTCGAGCGGCCAAAGCAGAGTCTACGGTTCCTCCCGTCCTACCATCCGGCCCCATTTGGGTTGCGGTAAGCCATGTGTTAACCACGAGGCTTGTGCCTGCGTCTAGTCGATAAGGTTGAGACGATAGGTAGATGTTGTGAATATCGTTTAAGAGGGTAGTCGTCGAAACTTGAGAAGATTGTTGTCCAGCACCTCGGGGACCTCCCATTGAATCGGAAGCCACCGAGTACATGGACATTCTGGCTTGGTGATTAGCCATCGTGGACTCGCTTGAATCGCGATGTCCTGCCGGACAACCACGACAATCCTACGCCCTAACTTCACTACAAAATCGACAAGCACAGACGACAACGGCGGTGGACTAGAATCGATTAAGGTTATTCAGGCTAGTTGAATAAGCCAAGACACCGAATCTTTATGATATTATTAACGGGTTCGACGGGGAAATAGCGAATGTGTGTCGAATAAGTGACGAGTAAAGGTCCGTGATAATTGAGTTTCGAGGGGGTTTGATCGAGTGAAGGGGGTTCGCTGGGCAACAAATCGTGAATAGCGAATGGCACGAATCACTTCCCACTACAACCAAATCCTATAAAACAATTACAAGAGCGATAGTAATTATTAGAAACGATAGAATTATCGTGTCACCAGAGCGAGTGAAGTGACAGACAAGAAAGCAAAAATGGCAGTAAGAGAAGAAACGACAACAACGAGTTGATGCTTGCAACGGAGACGGAAGACAGTGAGACAGGAAGGCACTGTGGGATAATGCTCCCCTATGATGAAAAAAAGGGCTAAGAAGGGCTAGGGAATTGACATATGGTGAGATCGGGGCATCCGTAAAAGAAGGTACCAAAGATACAAAGCACAGTGCGACGGGATGTCTTGGCCTATATCTTAGAATAGTCTAGCGCGTATCTAATTTTTCCTCCCCCTGGGGAGGCTCTTAGAAGGAAGAAGGTGGACCGATCGGGTATACGAAGTACTTTGTAGATTTAGAAAGTTGGTACCTGTATTAGTACCTTTAGCACCTACGCTAACATCGCTAACATATTACTAGAGGCGTATGGTGCGGAAAGTGATAGTGTGCCCCCCTTTTAGCCCTTTAGCATTGAAGCCAGTGAGGTGCATTGATCCTTCTCTTTTTTTCGCTGACCCTCACAGCTGGGAAATCCCCTGGTCCCTCTCTGCAGACGCTCTAACTCCCAAAAGTGCTCTAGATCAGCACCAACACAAGGATACTATCAGGGAATTCACAGGTGATCATTGACCGATCAGTGATCGCTAAACTTGCTGATCGAGTGCGGACATACAGAGATTTGTATGTTTCTAGCTAAGGCAGCGGGCAACAGTACCACATATTAGCTACCATAAAGAGTAAAGAAAAAGTACAAAAACCGCAAGGAGCTGCTATGCAGGTTCGGAACGAAATTGACGTGGCGGCAACGAACAAATCGCATTGCATATAATTCGTTGGTTGTTTATCGCATGACGGATTGGCATGGGATGATTCGAGTTTAACACGACTAGCCCTGGGAAGCCTAGGAAGCCCGCGCGCGCGTGGTAACCGGTTGGACGGGTTGGTCAGAAGAGAGAGAAAAAAGGAGCGGGGACCAAGAAATACGAAGCGGCCAAATCGGAATAGGAACGACAAGAAATTCGACAGGTCGATAGCCTTCTCGAACCTGTTCGCACCACTTTTTTTTTGTTATGATTTTTATTTATTTTTATTTTATTCTTGTTCCCATCCAATCCCATCAATTCGCCACAGCCACTTGCATATGCATACATATAATACGCCATCATCAATACGAGCACAACCATTTTAGGGGGGTGATATTTTTCAAGGCAGCCGAGTCTCATATCTCAGGTTTCAACTTGGAAAGTCTTGTGAACAAAGAATTCCACTGCTACGCTACCCACTTTGAACGTATACATTTAATCAAGATTTAAAGATCAACGGCCTCGTTGACGGGTACAACGGTGGACAAGTTGACGGATGCTAGTTCAGACCGGCTTCGCGAATAACCTTAATATCGTACCCGACACAGGAAGAAAAAAAAGCTTGCTCGCGGCAATTGTCTTTTGAGTAACTCTATTCGTCTCATCTTGCGTCGCCTATGGAATGTCAGTCACCGACAGACTCAAATTAAGCAAACCATCCCGCAGCTTCACACCGCGGAAGTCCACCTAAGTCCAGCAAATGCCATGCCACAATACGGTTTCGCTGCACCTCTCGGTCTGATCTTCTTCCCCTCTTGCGATCTCGGGAATAGTAACATGCAATAGGCAATTCACATCTATAGTACCATGTTTAGTTTAGTTAGGTATATTGGGCGTTTACTATTGTCAGCAATTGAACTTTGTAACTGAATTTTAGCAGCTAAAAGATCAGCTCGTCGTATTCTCAACTAAACACATCATTACGAGAATTCTTCATCTAGGGGCTTATACAGCTTATAAAGCAATCTCTATTAGCAGAAATAGTGATGATAGCTGCTCCCCAGAAATTGTTGGTGAATGCAGCAAGCCATTTTTCCTGACCGAACGGCAAATGCCCTCCAATGGGACCTAAAGCTCTAGGTACATATTGCGTATGTGACCATGCAGGGAGTACTTAGTTGAGTATCCGTCTCGTCGTGTCCGAGTCATAGCAACAGATCAGGCCTATCAGAGCCGACTCTTTAGTGTATCTAAACAGTGGCGTCATTTTTCGCTCGATTTGGTTGGATTCGAGCTGGAGCTTGTCTCAGACATACCGCGGAGGATGAATATGTAGTGCAAATTGCTGCTGTTTTTTTTTTTTTTTTCTGGGATTGCTGACATGCCAACCCGCCTGCATAATATTAAAAAGCGCGAAGTAAACAAAGGTCATTCTTACTGTAGACCACTGTATGTACTTTTTACTGATGTTTCTTTTCCCCCGGTCTTGGTCAAAAATGGTCAGCGTGTAAGTCAAACATCCACGATCTTCAGGTGACTAAATATGGATGCTCAAATTTCATAAATAAATCGCTGTTGAGGTCATTCTATCTTGGCTGAATAGATTGGATTGGATTTGAAATACTACATATGGTAGCACATCAGCTTTGCCGGCTACTTAACCCCTGAAAATGATGTTGTCATGTTTCCCGGGGGTTCTAAAGGAGATCATTAGCGTTTAGGCTTTTATTAATGCAAAATTTATGCCCCCTTGTCCACTACACGTTGGCTCCATACAAGAACCAGGTATGGGTCAGATTCTTTAGATCTTACAATATTGTTTGGAAAGGGAGACAAGTTGGTACCTTTTATACAAATTCATATGCATCGTTGATTGAAGTTTATGAAAATGGTTACAGGGAAACCGAAGCAAAGACCAAAAGATGTCCGTGATGTTCTAACCTACACTTTAAATATAAAGGTAGAGCCCTACCTAAGAGAACAGTCGAGACCAGCGGAGGCCATCCTCGTCTCACATCTACCAAATGCATGTGTCCAAGAAAATTCCGGGCGGTTCGATCAATGTTCGTGAGACCAACTACAGTAGTGTAATGCTGCTAATGTTATTAGCGCGAGATATAGTCGCACTGTGCATTATACGGGGTACTTTCACTTTCCAAGTTCGCCTGTATATGCCGTTCCGCGGCTGCTACTAGTACTGGAAGGTAAGCCTTAAGGAAAGTGGTGTCGGCGGGTCACAGCGCACCCTCCCTCCCCCAAATCCAAGACTTCGTATGATGTGAACCTGCGCCTCGGGAATCCCTGTCATCCCTGCAAGACTCGTACTAGAGGGTACCTGAGGAGTGGGTAATCATACACTGTATAGAAAAAAAGTATTGAGTATTGCATGTACCTTGGTATTTGTACAAAAATAAACTGCCCAAGGGCAAACCCGCCTTGAATTCAAGTCTATGTCTCCTTTCATCTGAACCGTCGTCCACCCAAGAAGCAACATTTTGGGGAGAGCCTCACACATTTTGGCTTTTCTCCTGTTCCGTTTGTTTCTATTTTTCATTTTTAATACTACACTCGTTTCTGTATGCTAACCATACACTCGCTACGCGTAATAATTGCTTGCTGTCGGGGATAATAATTCGAACCCTCTTGATCCAGTGAACCAAAAGAACCAACGGGATCGGGAGACAGCCCCCTTCACTCGTTGCTGCAAAAGTTTTTGCCAACTTTTACCCCCGAATTCGATCTTGCGAGTTTAGTTTAAGCATTCTTCAAGCGTCAGAACGACGCCAAGCATCTTCTTCTGAGTCGTCAGTCCATTGATAGGCGCCAGCTTTTGGCCCTTGATCCCAAGATGACCTTCAACCTCCCGCCGATGGGTGGTAGCGGAGGTGCTCATACGCAACCTTCGTTGCCATCCCTCCCTGCCCATCTCCAGTCCGACACTCATTTGACCGCACATTTAGCTAGTCGTTTCCATGTAAATATTCCGACGGCTCGTTTATCCTCACATGCCCTTATCTCTCTTAACACATACACCTCGTCGACGAAAGGCCTCGATGGCGGAAAGGAAGGGAGCGCCATGGCCGGCGCCGAAGATATGGCCGACAGAGCTTTCCTTAGATTGGGACATCGCACTGAAAACCAGGCCGTCCTATTCTTGTACGTGACCAAGATTGAACCAAGAAGTGACAGCTCCTAGGCGTAAAACTAACAGTAAACTCACAGGGGTGAATCCGGCTCTGGTAAAACCACAATTCGATCCCATCTTTTGACTTCGCTATTGAACAAGTCCTCGACGCCGTTGTCTAACAAGATCTCTCTCGCTGCCTATGTTTTTGACACACTCACTACGACGAAGACAGCAACAACGCCGACAGCATCTAAAGCCGGTCTCTTTTACGAGCTCCAATACGATACCGCATCGACGACTAACCCGTTACTAATTGGTGGAAAGTTGCTAGACCACCGTTTGGAGCGAAGCAGAATTACCGAAATTCCGACGGGAGAGCGCAATTTCCATGTTCTCTACTACCTCTTGGCCGGAACCAGCGAAGCTGAAAAAACACATCTTGGTATCGACACTCCCCGAGATGCTGCCGGACAGAAGCGATGGAAGTACCTTGGTCACCCCACACAACTCAAGGTTGGTATCAACGATGCCGAAGGATTTCAACTGTTCAAAACAGCTCTTCGAAAGCTAGAGTTCCCAAGAAGTGAGATCGCCGAGGTCTGTCAAATATTAGCTTGTATTTTGCATATTGGACAGCTTGAGTTTGAGACTACCGCGAGTACCACCGCTACGGCAGATGACAGTGGTGGTTTCTCGCACGAAGGTGGACAGAACATCACAGCCGCACGAAACAAGGATGTATTGGGAATTATCGCTGCTTTCCTCGGTGTCAGCGCGCCGGACCTCCAGAATACCATGGGATATAAGACCAAGATGATTCATCGAGAACGCGTGACGGTTATGTTAGACCCGAAAGGCGCTCGTGCCAATGCCGATGAGCTAGCTCGAACGTTATACTCTCTCTTAGTTGCGTATGTCATCGAAAATATCAACCAGAAAATATGCGCTCCCGAAGAGTCGATCGCGAATACCGTCAGCATCATCGATTTCCCCGGGTTTTCCCAGCAATCTTCTACAGGGTCCGCGCTTGATCAACTTCTCAACAATGCCGCAGTCGAATCTCTCTATAATTTAACGCTTCAGAACTTCTTCGACCGCAAGGCCGACATGTTAGATACCGAAGAGGTTACGGTTCCAGCAACAAGCTATTTCGATAATTCGGATGCTGTCAAAGGATTGCTGAAGCCCGGCAATGGCTTACTTAGTATTTTGGATGACCAAACTCGCCGACATCGTACCGACATGCAACTTCTGGAGAGTTTAAGGAAGCGATTTGAGGGCAAGAACCCAGCGATTAACGTAGGTTCCGCGACGGCCAGATTACCTGGAAGCAATTTCTTGTCAGAGAACACGGCAGCAACCTTCACGGTCAAGCACTTTGCCGGTGAAGTTGACTACCCCATCAAGGGACTCGTCGAGGAAAATGGCGAGGTCATTTCTAGCGACGTTATGAACTTGATCAAGTCTAGCAAGAGTGAATTTGTCGCCCGCCTTTTCGGTCAAGAGGCCCTTCAGACTGTTATGCACCCTCAGGAGAGAACTACTGTTATGCAAGCATCCGTCAGCTCCAAGCCCATGCGGGCACCCAGTGTCATGTCAAGGAAAACAACACGAACAATGGGATCGCGCCGACCACGCAAGCAGGAATCCGTCGACGATTTTGCCAGCGAAGCGGGAGATTTCAGGGGAGACAGCAAATCGAGAGGCGAATCCAGGAAACCGAGCATCCACTCCGAGCAAGGAGCGTCTGGTCAATTCTTATCTTCTCTGGAAAACGTAAAGCAAGCCATCACAGCTCCAAATACCAACACATACTTCGTATTTTGTCTCAAGCCAAACGATAGACGAATTGCGAATCAATTTGATAGCAAATGTGTCCGTACCCAGGTACAGACATTTGGTATTGCGGAAATCAGCCAACGACTAAGATCAGCCGACTTCAGTTTATTCCTACCCTTTGGTGAATTCCTTGGTCTTACCGACGCCGAGACGATTCTCGTCGGAAGTGAGCGAGAGAAGGCTGAAGCAGTCGCTCAAAACAAACAGTGGCCCAACAATGAGGTGCAAATCGGCTCCACCGGTATATTCCTTAGCGAGCGCTGCTGGATGGAGATTTCACAGTTAGCGGATGGCGCTTCTGCATCCCATCGGTTCGCGTCCGAAGCTGGTGACGGATTAAGTCCCGGTGACATTCCTTTTGGGGCTTCAAAAGAGCGGTTGGTTTCAAATGGTAACACACCACAATACAGTGACAAGCCCCGAAACGGTTACTTCGGCAGTAACGATGTCGATGCCCGTTCCGATGCTGGTGTCTCGGCATTTGGTGCTGGCGATATGTTCAAGAACCTCGACACCAGAGAACAGATGGCTGAGCGAGGAAACGAGAAATCGCTCGTTGAAGTCGAAGAGTACAAGGACAGCCCAAGTCGAAAGCGATGGGTCTTCATTGTATATTTCATGACCTGGTTTATCCCCGATTTCTTGGTCCGTTGGATGGGACGAATGCCCCGTAAGGACGTTCGGATGGCCTGGCGTGAAAAGGTCGCGATCAACATGATGATTTGGCTCAGTTGTCTCATCGCCGCATTTTTTATTATCGCCTTCCCTCAGCTCATTTGCCCCAAGCAATATGTGTTCAGTTCTGAAGAACTTTCTCAGTACAATGGAAAGGATGGGAACCAAGCCTACGCAGCGATTCGTGGTCAAGTCTTCGATATCGGCAGCTACGCCCCATCTCATTACCCGCCTTACCTCGCTACCAAGTCAATAACGCAGTATGGTGGTCTAGATATTACCTCGTTATTCCCAGTCCAGGTATCGGCTCTCTGCCGAGGCAAGGACGGCACTGTCAACCCCGCTGTCACACTGGACTACAAGTCAACAAACATCACGGGTTCAGCCAATGTTGTCAACAGCCAGGATCTCAACGCTCATTACCACGATTTCCGCTCCTTCACTTCTCTGCCCCAGCCATTCTGGTTCTATGAGAAGATGCAAATGCTGAAGTCTTGGAAGAAAGGCACCATTGGTTACTCTCCAGAATACGTGGCCACTCTTGGAACTAAGCAAAATTCTATTGCTATTCTCAATAGTCGTGTATATGACCTAACGAAGTATCTCCTTGGCGGTCGACACGTCCAAGTCAAGGAAGGCGAAGACGAACCAACTGATCCCGATATCATTAATTTCATGGATGATCTTGTTGTGGACCTCTTCCAGCAGAAAGCAGGTTCTGACGTAACCAAGCTTTGGAACGCCCTTGACATAGACTCCGGTATGCGTGAGCGCATGCAACTGTGTCTAGACAATCTTTTCTACGTCGGTGATGTTGACACGCGAAACTCAACCAAGTGCCAGTTTGCTCAATACCTCATTCTCGCCGTTTCGATTTTACTATGTGCCATCATCGGATTCAAGTTCTTTGCTGCCCTTCAATTCGGAGGTAAGAACATTCCAGAGAATTTGGACAAATTCGTCATGTGTCAAATCCCCGCCTATACCGAAGACGAGGATTCTTTACGTCGTGCTATCGACTCAGCCGCCCGTATGCGATACGACGACAAGCGCAAACTACTCGTCATTATTTGTGACGGTATGATTATCGGTCAAGGTAACGACAGGCCCACTCCGCGCATCGTTCTCGATATTCTTGGTGTATCCGAGACGGTAGACCCCGAACCTCTAAGCTTCGAATCTCTCGGCGAAGGTCTTAAGCAACACAACATGGGTAAAGTCTACTCCGGTCTTTATGAAGTCCAAGGTCACATCGTCCCCTTCTTGGTCGTCGTTAAAGTTGGCAAACCGTCCGAAGTATCCCGCCCCGGAAACCGTGGTAAGCGAGATTCGCAAATGATCATGATGCGCTTCCTCAACCGTGTTCATTACAACATCGCCATGAGTCCACTAGAACTAGAGATGTATCACCAGATTCGGAATATCATTGGTGTAAATCCTACGTTCTACGAGTTCATGCTTCAGATCGATGCCGATACGGTCGTCGCACCCGACTCAGCTACTCGCATGGTTTCCTCGTTCCTTGATGATACACGGTTGATTGCTGTCTGTGGTGAAACAGCCCTTACCAACGCCAAGTCTTCCTTCATTACCATGATTCAGGTGTACGAGTACTATATTTCACACAACTTGGTCAAAGCCTTCGAGAGTTTGTTCGGTAGCGTTACCTGTTTGCCTGGTTGTTTCTCCATGTATCGCATCCGCGCGGCTGAGACAGGCAAACCCCTCTTTGTCAGCCGTGAAGTCGTGGAAAGCTATTCGACAATTCGTGTTGATACCTTGCATATGAAGAACTTGCTGCACTTGGGTGAGGATCGTTATTTGACAACCCTACTCCTCAAGTTCCATTCCAAGTACAAGACAAAGTATATCTTCAGTGCTCACGCATGGACCATCGCGCCCGACTCCTGGGCGGTTTTCCTCTCGCAGCGTCGTCGTTGGATTAACTCTACGGTACACAACTTGGTCGAACTTATTCCTATGGCTCAACTTTGCGGTTTCTGCTGCTTCAGTATGCGATTTATCGTCTTCGTTGATTTGCTATCGACCATTGTCCAACCTGTCGTCATTGCTTACATTGTATATCTCATCGTGATGGTAGCCACTTCCAACTCCGTCATCCCGTTGACAGCTTTCGTCATGCTTGGCGCCATCTACGGTCTTCAAGCCATCATTTTCATCTTACGTCGCAAGTGGGAAATGATCGGATGGATGCTTATGTATATCGTAGCTGTTCCTGTCTTCTCATTCGGGTTGCCTCTATATGCTTTCTGGCACATGGACGACTTCAACTGGGGTAACACACGTGTCGTCGCTGGAGAGAAGGGCAAGAAAGTCGTGGTTACAGATGAAGGTAAATTCGACCCTACTTCGATCCCGCGCAAGAAGTGGGAAGAATACCAAGCCGAGTTATGGGACGCACAAACCAGCCGAGGAGATGATACTCGGTCTGAGGTCAGTGGTTTCAGTTACGCTACCAAACCTGGTATGGGCGTAGGCGTTCACGAATACTACCCATCGCGACCTGGGTCAACGACCGGCATGATCCCACCACCATACGACCAAAAGAACGCAGCCCACCTTAGTCGAATGTCGTTTGCTCCGACTGAGAACCGAATGAGCCAGTTTGGTGGCTCGCAGTTCTTTGGCAACCAAATGCATGAAGTGGAAATGTCCAATCTCGCGGGCATGCCAAGCGATGATGCATTATTAGCAGAAATACGCGAGATATTACGTACAGCAGATCTAATGACTGTAACTAAGAAAGGTATTAAGCAAGAATTGGAGAGGCGCTTTGGTGTTCCCCTTGATTCCAAGCGCTTGTATATCAACAGCGGTATGTGTCCCTCTTTCCTCTCATATTGTACAATTATATACTAACAAAATCATTAGCAACCGAAGCATTATTGTCTGGTCAGTTATAGACACAGACTACCTTTCTTACCACACTACCGTCTATCTACATTGTCATATTTCTGCATATACTTAGACGGCCATGTTTTCATTAGGTTATCTATATAATATTGCATTTTAAATATCGTAAGGGAGGGGCAACTCGCCAGCAGGCCAGATTCCGGGTCGGACAGGGTATCAAATCATCGGAGGTATGGAGTCAAAATTTATTAAAAAGCGGAAAGCAATGTCAGCCATCTTGGACAAACAACGAATGAACAAGAAGAAGCTAAAGCGATGCTGCTGGGTTCGACGCATACGCGAAGTAATAATGGAAATAATATTGGTTTACAACTCGTCTATATGTCATTTTGAATCGATTCGTAGCGAAATGGAGTATTGAAATTTTTAAATACATAACTAATTAAATTTGTCTTCTTCACTTCCTTTATATGTGTTTCGTCAAGATTAAATGCACCTAGAAGATAACATAGATATATAACATTATTGCCCGTTAAGTAGTCACTGCCCTAATGACAGGTCAGTTGTGGACAAAGATATTATCACGCCGATTAGCCCCATCCTCGCGATCTTAAGCACGAATCACATCCATACTCTGAGTAAATACCTATTATTATTTTCGTTTATAAGATGCCTACAGATGAGACATTAAAGGTACCTATACGTAACTTACAAAAGAATACTAAGTGGACACCTGGTCAAGGACTCTCGTCTTCCTAGAAATCATCTCGATAAAAGATTAAGCCAAGTATACCTAAGCCGTCATCTAGACGTATGTTAAGGGGATATGTCTTAGAGCTCACCTACAGTAAACCTACACTAATATAGAACCACCTACATCACGACGCAGCAGTTAGTATACTCTGTTCGTATTAGTATTGAACATGTGTATGGCGTTTCCATAAATCAAATACAAGCAATTTGCCTGATAAACCCCTATTCCCATACGCAAGGCCTTTATGATGGTCTCTATAATAGCAGTTGCGTAATCGTCGTCGAATATGGTCCAGATTAATAGTATATATGCGCAATAAGAACAATTGCTTTGCTAATATTTTTGCCTCGTTATTAAGCGACTCTTCATCTGGCATGACCATAAGGTGATTTTTGTGGTTCGGTCGCTTTTCATATACGAATCTCGACATCTGGTTGCATTTAGTATGTAAGCATGTCGTTCTCTGATTTCCTACATCTGATGAAATACCCATATAAAGGGTGACACGTGCGTAGTATTATATGAACTTTTGGATTCTGATATATCTCCATATTTTCCCCATCAACGTTACCTTCTTATACCTTCGTTAGGTCCATCTCGATTCTTAAAGCGGGTTTCTAACCTCGTTTGTATGTGATGCATTAATCCTTTTTATTAGTCACCAGATTTTTAGGTATTAATCTTGTGAAGATTCATCTTGTTGGCTAGGCTGGACGATTCTATTCTTATGCAGGTGGGCCGTAATATGTATATTCTGCAGGCTTATAGCTGTAGCATGCCAATAGTGTTAGTTACTTTGATCAATAAAATTGGTTTCCGAGATCTCGTCGGCCGAGTACAACACTCCTATGCATTCGGCTAGGGGTCGGTTAATTGGAATGATTTGAACTGTCATGTTTAGTGGAACCGAGTTACATTCCGATCAGAGTTAAGGAAAAGATCCATGTCTTGGACCAGATTCATGATGTGAGATTGCGTGGACGTCGTATTCATCACGATGGATTGGTATAGACGCATAAGAGAAGGGGGCAAGGAAGCATATGTGATGGAGGGTAGTAAGTGGGCTAAAGCTTCTGGAGGCTCTTCGAAACTGACTAATAAGAGTTAAGAGTTCTTCTATGGGGTTCGAAGAATCTCACTCAGCATGAAAAATACCTATGTTTGACGAAAGCTGATTGGTTGCGTTGTAGGACTGCCCCAACGCGCGCATTTCGAAATAGGTGGTGGTAATTAAAGTGGTGAATAGTTGCTGTAGAGAAGTTTAGGGGATTAAGATGCCCAAGTATGCTGTAGATATAGCAAGAGAATAAAAGTTAGGTATCGGTTTTAACGGCTAGCTTGAACGTTATAGGTCTTTGTTAGGGACTGATGGCTCCAGCCCTACGTGCTAAATAAGGCCTCAGCTAAGAGATCTCATTTAGGTGGGGGCGCGACTTTTCGAAGCAGCTCTGCGAATAAAAAGTCGTTGCAGGGAAGTTTATAGCTGGGGCCTAGGCTCTGCTAGCGGGACGGGACTCCTTCTTAATAAAGTGGATACCCGCTATGACCTATTCAGTACGACAAGGTTCTCTAAGGTCAGCGGAAAGAAGGAAAAGCGATGATGTAGTGGTTTCGGCGCCTGATTACATATGTACCTTCCTGTATGCAGTAGAAATACGATTGCCATTTCCAGCACCTTGCACTATACTACCGCTATACTACCGCCGTACTACTGCGCTGTACTATACGGATACTACCACCTAAACCATCTTTCTTACTCTCTCTACCTACCTACATTAAAAATCTACCAACCATCATCATCCCTTCACCACACCCTTCACTATCCCTCGCATTCACGGATCTCCTACCCGCCCTCGCCCACCCCGTTGTTCCTATTGCATGTGCCTGTGTTACATCCCAAAGGTAGACAGCAACTGATTCCATCTTATCATTCGTCACTTTTCCTTCCTCTACACCATTATTTTCGCCGAATTTTCTTGTTCGCCCATTTCACACACCACACCCTCGTTTTTTACTCTGCCTTGACGACATACTCTAGCCGACACCCAACTGCGGCGTTTTTTCTCCCACCCGTCTTACAGTCTTTACCACTTCACGACAACCACATTGCGACGGCCTAGCAGCATTCATCCCAAGTCACCACGGGCCATACTACCTCAAGATGTAAGTAAGCTCGCGCACTCCTCATACCCCAAGTATGCTCGTCATATCGTAGCTTGGTTAACCACCACCACTATAGGCATATTACCGTGAACGTCAACAACCCGGAAGTGGAGGCTTCAGAGCTTCAGCTCATAAACCTCGATGTCCCTCCCGACATGACCCTCGCCGACTTACGGAGTTCGATCGAAGCCGAAGGAATACCCTCCCCATCGCAGAACATCTACCATAATGGCCAGCTTGTCACCGATAACTCTAAGACGTTGCAAGAACTAAATATTTCCGATGGAGATATGCTGGCATTACACGTGCGGGATATGCGGGGGAACACTGGCGTTGCGCCTGCTCACCGGGAGCCACAGAGACGACAGGGTGCTGCTCTGTCCCAAGACCCGGAACTCATACGTTTGCAAGTACTTGGTGATGCTCGGTTGAGGGGCGAGTTGGAACGAGCGAACCCCCACCTGGCCGCCGCCCTCGAGAACCCTCAGCGGTTCGCACAAATCTTCCGCCAGAGTGCGGACCAGCAGGAGGAGGCACGCCGAGCCCGGATGCGAGAGATTGAGGCCCTTAATAATGACGAGTTCAATCCCGAATCCCAGGCTAAGATCGAAGACATGATTCGCCAACAAGGTGTTATGGAAAACCTCCAAAATGCTATGGAGTACAACCCCGAATGTAGGTCAAGGCTGTCATCTGGATGATTTGTATATCCGTTACTGACACGTTGTTCAGCTTTCGGCCGCGTCCACCTACTATACGTTGATGTTAAGGTTAACGGCGTGAAGGTCAAAGCTCTAGTCGACTCTGGTGCTCAGGCCACGATCATGTCCCCATCTTGCGCCGAAGCATGTAATATCATGCGTCTTGTTGATCGACGCTTCGCTGGTGTAGCTCGTGGAGTAGGAACTGCTAACATCATAGGTCGCGTTCACTACACTATGCTACAGCTGGGTACGAAGCATCTTGCCGCTGCGTTCACAGTCATGGAGGGAAAGTCGGTCGACCTGTTGATTGGTCTTGACATTCTAAAAGGTCACCAGGCAGTCATTGACCTGGCACAAAACAAGCTTATTATCCAAGGCGAGGTGGTCAATTTCCTCGGCGAATCGGACATTCCTAAAGAGACCGAAGAGGCGGTCAACCAAGAACCGACCGTTCAAGGACCGGGTGGCACCACTATTGGTGCCCGATCGGGAGCCGTCACTGGCCCTCGAGTCTCAGCAGCAGGGCCCTCCGGCGCAGGTCCTTCTTCACCTATCGCGTCTCGACCCGCCGCTCCTCCCGCCCGTCCGCCTCAACCGCAACAAGCTCCTCAGCCTCAAGTCCAACCCCAAAGAACTTTCCCCGAAAACGACATCAACACCTTGGTGTCTCTAGGCTGGGACCGACAGGCAGCGATCAATGCTTTAGAAGCCACAGGCGGCAACGTCGAGTTCGCCGCCTCTCTCCTCTTCAATAACTAGTCTAGTCTAGCGATGACAATACATAATTAATGCACGACAGCATACGTAGCGCGATAAATACAATACAATACGGCGACGCGATATTTGGCTTGGGGCTTTAATATAGGACTCGATATAGCAAGTAGACTGGCGAATTCACGGATCAACTGGGAGGCAACGTTAATTGCATGTGACCAGGGGGTCAATAGAGAAAGGTCGTCGTCTGATTTGACACGTTCGCCGAATCTGAACAATAAAAAATTATCTGAGGCACAAACACAAACACACCCCTTAATTAAGTCATTTACAGATTAGAAGATATTTACGGGTTTGCTGATATATGTAGGTACCTAGCTATAGTATGATATGTGGCTGTGGGTATGGATGCAGGTGCGGATGTGGATGTGTATGGATTACAGACAGTCAGATAGCTTGCTTGGCCTTATCGCAGCTTATAGACACAGGGCTTCAGAACAGAGCTCTCATCCAACGTACCCTGATCTTCCTTCTCCGTTTCCACGAACTTGATACCCGTTTTCTTTGCACCGGCACCACCACGACCAGATTCTTTTTGGGCGATGGCGCCTTTTCCAACTGTCGGCGAAGCCGCTTTGATGAAATGCATTTTAACGAACATCTTGTTCTTCAAGTCCACTGCCCCTTGCAGAACGAACCCCCTCTTTCGTAGAGCCTCCACAAATGCTGTGACGTCGGTTTCTTCCCTCTTGTCATCCGCACCATCAACTTCCACAGCTAGCGCTGTTTCGTCCTCTGGACCCTCTGGACCATCCGTTTCCTTGCTCTTCCCCTTCTTTCCCTGCACCTTTCTTCGATTCCCCACGCTATGACTCACGGGCACTCCGTTCTTTCCACCCTTGCCCCCTTTGCCACCGCCCCCAACTTGTCCGAACCGACTCTTGATCTCCGCGACCCAGAGCTCGCTGCGCCAATGCAGGATTCGATAAGCTTCTTCGACAAAGTCGAGCCAGTTTGTGCCCATGAGCGCAAGGCAGAAGACGACGATATCCACGGCACCGTCGGCGAGGGGCAGATTCGCAATATCGGCGCGAGTGACTAGTGGGCTAGGACTCTGTAGGTCGTAGCTGAGGACCTCGAGGCGGAGTTTCTTTTTCTCGGATTGTAGGGCCGTGGCGAGTTTAGCATCGCCGCAGCCTAGGTCGGCAATTGTGCAGGTTCCGTTCGTGCGTGGGAGAGACGTGACTTCACCTGGTGCGGCGGAGTGTTGGCCGTGCTTGGACCTAGGTGGCGCCTTCTGCTGCCCTCGTACCTTGATATCCCGGACGTACCCATCGACTGGGTTCTCAGGCCAGACATCGACTTGGCGGCGGAATCCTTCGTGGTACTCCTGGAACATCTCGGGTGAGTCCTCGAATAGCTTGAACATTTCTTCCGAGGGTTTGGTGTAGAGTGTTTCATTGAGGTGACGGAATCGCGCGGAAACCAGTTTTTCTCTCATCGCGGCTTGTAAGGGTGTTAATTTAGGTGTTGTGGCGGGAGCAGAGACTTGGTCAGATTGGACCGCTGTCTTCTCCCCTGCTGTGTTACCCTCGCCATTCTCTTTTCGATCCTTGGGCTTTCTCTTCTTGTTCTTCTTTGCCTCCTTGGGCGTGGCATTAGAAGGTTCTTGCTCTGGCGCAGGTTTGCTGGCGCCATTGGCAACTCCATCCTTCTCCGCATTTTCCTGAGCTGCTTCCCTCTCTCGTAATTTCTTTAGTTTCTTCTTCTCCTTAAGGGTCATTTTCTTTGGGCGCTCTCCAGATTGACCTTCAGGCTTACCGCCATCTTTGTCGGATTTAGCCTTCTTCCCTGATCTTCCTTCGATGACTTGCTCCCAGAGGTCCGCAACATTTGATGTTGTCACATTGTTCCCCGCTGATGAAGGCCTCTTGCGCTTCTTTGAATTAGATTCATCTGCTGTTGCTTTTTGAGTTGCTGCGGTCTCTGATTTGAGGTTATCCGCTGATACAGCCCAACCTGGTACCGCAAACATCTTCAATCAAACGGGGCAGGTTCCTCAAGCCCTGGTTAAATATTTGATTATTGGGTATGATTAGTCAAGAGAGTGGTCAGTGAAAAATTCAATCAAAGTCGAGAGTTGGAAGAATAAGATGAGTTCGTCGTTGAAACTTTTTTGCAGGGATTATAGGTGCAACAATGTAATAGTGGGGACGAAAGTACCGGGGTCTGTACACAATTCAGCCCCACAATGCAACCGAAGAAAAAGCTAGGAGTCACGTGCAAGAAAGTAATCTGACCTAGGAAACTCTATACTTTGGAGACTACCTAGGTACCGCCAATCTAATCTTATATCATACGAGAGAAGGTTTAGTTCGAAGTAATTATTTTAATTCTTCTAATGGATGCATTTGTAGTTCGAAGTTTGCTTTTTAGGAAGGGACTTTGCCTTTTATATAATTTATGCGGGGATTTCACCTCAGTTCGGATTAATTTGTTAAGGAATAAATTAAATAATATCAATTCACGTTCCTTACATCTATCCTCTTGGGAATAGCTTCGTCTAACACGAACTAGTACTAATGAAGTTATCAAACACCCCGCATTCGTTCTGTATTCCATCGTATTTTTCTACGGCAAACCCTCGACATAGCCTTCGACCATTTCAACATCCGACGAACTCGAGAGTCTAACCAAATGTTAGTACTGCTAATAATTTTACATCCGCATAGGCCAAACCCCACATGAGGCTACAAAGTGAGTGAGACGTTTGGGTTGTCGAATGGGATGACAAGCAATACATACTATACTGTTCTGATACCTCCTAATACGGCCGGCGGTGTCTCCGACAAGGGAAGACTGCTTAGGTGATTACCTTTACGTACGATCGGTTGTCGTACAGCGGCTGGCCAACATGCAAGCAGGCCTTCTGGCATTCAGTGTCGGTTGATCAAGACTATCAATCGATGATGTGTGGACGGCGATATCTCTGTCCTTGCAGTTACTCATCGCTGCAGTGTGACATGGGAATTCTACAGTGTCTCTTCAGTTTGCACCCACTTCCAGCCATAGGGTTCGCCTCTCTACCTGTCTCACCATACTAAACTGCCATGTACCCTTAGCCTCAACGGCTAAGTTGCTAGCCACGATCGCAATAAATCGAATCGACAGATATGGTTCCCATTGACTAGCACCTTAGCACCGTTTTCTGCATCTTCGCGGGGTCACGGGATTAAGCATCGCATGTCCTGCATTACGAGACACTGTCTCTATGTTGTGGCCATCAGGCCACGGGCTCTTCCTGCTGTATGCGTATTGTACAGACCACCATCGTGGCCGCGGTTAACTCCTCAATGCTGCATGAGCAGCTCTACCATACTTTTTTTTTTTTTGCGTCAACGGGAAAGGCTTAAGACTCACACTTCCGAGACACACGGGTAAGTGTCCACACCCATTCTTCATTCTACTTCCTTGCCTTCCTGTCTACTCACCCACCTACCCACTTACCTACCTAACTCGACCTCGGTATTTTTGGGTTGGGTTTCATTGAAGAAACCATGACAAGGCTTGGCTACGTTGAATTGACGACGTTGTGCCATGTGTTATGCGAAGCCGTGGAATGAAACACGAATAGGCAGCTGCAAATCACCAATCCTTTCAGTAAAGAAAAAGCAAATTATATATTGCTTACATGAGGTATGTACAGAATCAAGTTTCTTAACCAGCAAACTCTCCAGTCGGCGTTTCTTCCGGTCCTGCTTGAAGATCCTATCTGCCTCGAGCCTCGCGATAAACGAGTCCGAGACGTTTGTTTAGCTGGCCGCACAAGAAGCAACCGAGCTTACTGCTTGTTATGTGTGTCTGGAAATGCGACTTGATGGCCAGCCAACCGAACGCGGCCAGTACGTAGGACAATTTGTCGTTGATGCAAAGGATGCGCGTTTTCGGTGGCACAAGTGGACAGTGTGAACAATTGGCTCTCCCCGAGGCCTACTGAGGAATCTCTCAGGTTGCAGGGAATGGACCACCCCCCAGCTGCGTGCGCATCATCAGATGTCGCACTTCGATCTACCGCAACTTGAACGACTCTGGTTGTATGCAGCATATGGGACTGACTTGGCTTACCTGGTTCACCTTCACGGCTGCTCTCACAGTACATGCGTCCAAATTCAATATAATACAGGAATACGGCATAGCGTATAGTTACTATACTAAATACGGTACTTTGATTTCTTGCGCCTTTTCCATTTTCATCCCATACAAAATCTCCCCTCGCCTAACACCATAACCTTTTAACCCTGGAAATCATACTTCGTACATCGACCAAAATATTAGCGATATTTACTCTTCCGAATATCCGATAACCCCTGGCTCGAAAGAAAGGCCTTTTTAGCTCGTTTGTCACTGGTATGTGTCTTTGCAATTCGATCATTGTGCGGGATCTTCCTTGTCAGCTTTGCAGTAACGGCTCTCGCTTTCACCGCTAGCCCCTAACTGGTCACCATTGACAGTACCCGAACCCCTATCGCTTTTCTCAGATCGGCGCATGCCGGGCGGCTTTCAAGGTCTAGGGGAGGGACCTATTGCTGAAGCCAGGTCTGGATTTCTCCACCTTAGGAGCTAGACTAGCACAACAAAACCAATAAGACAGGATTAAAGGATCGCCCAACCTGACAAGTTTGCCTAGCCTCGCCGAGATCTTAAAATCATCCACTGTGGGCATACCCTTGCCGGTGCTCGACAAATTGCCCTCTTATTGGTAACAACCAGCTGAACCCCACCAATTCTACCCTGCGTCCCGCGTTAGCAACGTTCCGTGCGTATGTGCAACAGTCTACATTTGTACATATTACATCCGCTGAATTGACTCCCCCCCTAGGTCTAGAAGCTGCCATCTTCAGTTCATAATTCCCACGTCGCACTGCGTCTTACTCCTAGAAGATTGACTGCTCCAATTACCCACGCCAGGAAGCATCTCCCAGTCCTCCTCTGTTGCACGGTGTGTTTCACGGAACGTTATAAGCTATATGGAAACGGGTCGTGTCATTTACCTCTTCGTGTGTGCTTACAATACTCCCCGTCTTGTCTTGAACGCCCTATCCTACCGGCCAGTCGGAACTTTGGAAATCACCATACTGTAATTCGCTCCTCGATCTCAATTCTTAGGTAAACAGGACGTCAGAGGCAACCATAGCTGCCGTCCCCCTTGAAGGTCTGTTTTTCATCGGATTAAGAGAGCTACCCCTAGCATGTTGTTGGGCTCCATTCTGTAGTCGCCATTTACCTAGCCCCAAATCGGGCCCGTCGTCTGAATACCATGTAACAATTCGATATTCCTCAACGGTTAAACCGCGATATAAACAATCCACCTTCATTAACCGGGTTAGGCGGTAATCGCGATCTATTGAGATGGAGTCCACAGATGAGAGTCCTAGGGATGTTGCCGCGGAGCCTCAGGCCCTCCAGCCTGAAGCTCCAGAGGAAGGAGATGGCGAGAATTCGGCGCCGAAGAAACCTGCTGTTCGGAAGCGTACAAAAACAGGCTGTCTTAGTGCGTAGAAACCCTCGAATCTTTGGATTTGTCCAATACCCTGGGCTGTAATAACTGACTATTCCTGAAGCTTGTCGAAAGCGTCGAATAAAATGTGACGAGGGAAGGCCGACTTGTAATAACTGCTTGAAATCGAAGCGCGTGTGTGAGGGGTATAACCAACGAGTTATTTTCAAGAGTCCTATCGGGTTTCCAAATTCTCCCTTTGGGCCGCTACCTTTCCCAGCACCATCTCCTCAGGCGTTGGTGAGGGAACAGTTATCAGCAGCACAGAAGTCTTCATCACAGTCTTTACCAATAATCGCCCCTAAACCACCCTCTGAAGGATATCACCAACTGTCAGGAGCTCACTTTAACAATGCCTATCCTGATCAGGCTGGACAAATGGCATCGGTTGCGATGAATTTTGATCCAAACGGATTCGGATCCCAAAATGCGCCATCAAAATATACCTTCTTTCCACCCACAACCGTTGATGCATTCTCGCAGCATCAATGGAGACAAGGCCAGCCCGAAAACTTCGGCCAATTTCCGCCAATTGCCCACGAGAATCTTATTCAGAATATCTCTCCTGTCCCATCGCTGCCACAACAGCAGCAGCAACAACAACAACAAGAGTATGAACAACCGATTTATCCTCAACTAGATAAAGGGAAATCCCGTGCCGAACCTGAAGAGCCTATTGAAGTTGTGGCTTCAGGACCCGAGGAATGGGAATACCCTGTATCTGATGACGAATCAATGGCGGAGTCAGACGACATGCCCATTAGTGAACAGCAAGTTTCTCTCGACTTAAACAAGCTAGGAGTTGTCGGATCCCGGAGAGTTGAGCAACCATATGACATGTCCGGAACCCAGACGAGAACGTTCGCCGCTTTTGCTTCCGATGACCTTCTTGCAACGTATGAACCCTCGCCTAACAATTCACCCCTGAACGATAGGAAAACAGCAGCGGTATTCTGGCATTTCGTACACGTAACCGGCCCTAGCATATCATTATACGAACGACATCCCGTTGATACCACGCCCTTTTTGCAAGAACAGCCCATGCCGCAAAGTCGCCAACACATTTGGACACGTAAGTCGACTGCTTCCCATACGCCTGCTACTTTTGCTGATATGCTTAGACACTTTTCCAATCTTGGCCTTCACACATCCGGCTCTTCTTCAAGCCATACTCGCGATTGCAAGTTTGCAAATTTCAAAACTCCAAATGGTACCCCCAACTGCGTCTCTGAAGCACTATCACCTAGCTTTGAGAAGGATTGCACGGAATGTTAGCCGGCCAAATCGGCGGGCCCAACCAGCGAACCTAGCGGCGACATTAGTATTATCATTCTATGAGGTGTGGAATTCAGATCATGACAAGTGGAGTAGACATCTATTAGGAGCACGTTTGATCATAAAAGAAATCCCGTATGCCGAGATGACCCGCAATATGATGAGATTCAAGCTTCGAGAAAGATCTCAAGAACCTCCGGTAGACGTCTTTGGAATGTTCACAACGTACGACAATGGACCTCTACACAATGACTGGGACCTTATCAACGTGCCATTATTGAGTGCAATTACTGGCAGGGAAATATCATACGATGAGTTAGGGATGCTTCCCGAAGAGCACAGCGCATACCGCACTTCGAGAAATACATATACTGAAAAGGACAAGGAAAGATACCAGCAATTGAGTGATCTTTTCTGGTGGTATTGCAAGATGGATGTTTACCAGAGTATTCTGGGCGGCACTCGATTATTGTAAGTTCACTTTGTGTTGTACTCCCTTCAAGATATGTCCGTACTGACTAGTCAAGTTTGGAGTATAATGCATGGACTCAATGTCCACCGAGAGCACCAATGGGACGCCTCGATGCTATGTACGTTATCTGCTCTATTCATCCCAAGGAAACGCTAATATATGTTAGATTCGGCACGTATGACCATCTAGTGCTCTTGCTTGGCCGTGTAGCGAATTTTACATCGAAAGACTTGACCCGTAAACGAGAAACATTCAAACCGAACGGGCCCGGCCGTGGAGGTTCACCAGGCATGTTCCCAGGAATGGTACCTCGTCATCCCGAGAGGGTTACGGTACCGATGGGATTCACCCCGCCGAGGGAAACGTCGCCGCCGAGCGATGCTGCCGAGAATGTCGATTTTGACACTAGGACTGCCGAAGCCTATCGGGAGTGGGAAGAGATAAAGAAGGCATTTGAGACGTTCAAGGACCATTTTGGTCCCGAATTCGAGCAGCTCGGGGCTGATATCTACCCAGCTAAGCCAACACCTTTCGGCTTCCCTGCCCTCTATCGGACGTACTCCATTGCAGGTATCTGGATGAATTACTATATGGGTCTGATTGTGCTCCATCGAGCACATCCTACGATGCCGCCGGTCGCTATGGTGGCTGCGGGCATCTCGGCGCGCGAAACAGCCCCTTACTGCATGGAGGTTGGTAGGATTGCTGCCGGGTTGGAGGAAAACATCGAAAAGCTCGACAATGTGAGCACGCTCATGGCTGCCGCATTGATCGAATGTTGCTTCCCTCTATTTGTAGCTGGGATCCAGGTATGTAACTTCTCGAGCGGACTCTCTTCTGCTTTTCAAGCCTATCGTTTTTAATATCTGGACCGGTTAACAATCCCTCCACAGTACCGCGACGATAACCAACGTCAATGGTTGATCCGACGCCTTCATGATATCGCGCGGCTCACAGGATGGCAGTCGGCACGGCAGATCGCCGTTGGATGTGAGTCGGCGTGGACGAAAGCGTGGCAACTCGGAAGAGGGCCCGAATACAAACGGGCTTTCGACCTCAATATTGACCCACCTGGATCCGTCTGGGTTAACGCGCGCCGTATAGACAAGCGTATCCAAGAGATCGACGGCAGCGACGATGCTACTAAGATCGTCCTTGCGAAGGGCGAGAAGGCCTCATATGCTATGGGTTTGCTAGCTGTCGAGCATGATCTTGAGAGGCTTGATTTAGATACAAGTGAGAGAGATCGGCGGTAAATGAGTGTTGGAAATGAATACATATTGCCAATAGTTTGAGCTTGAGTAGCACAGATGGGGGAATTTTTCTAAGGCAGAGCAGAGAAGGGAGCAGGTGGGAGGAATATACGATGTAGGAATACTTGCTGGAACCTAACTCCACGGTTACAATCTACGGACTAGACATGAGCACTCGGAGTCGGCGTTGAAATAAAACCAGGCGCGATGGATACCTCGTGCAAAAAGGGCGAAAATGGACTGAGGAAACTCGGGATTTGAATAGCACTTATTCGTACAAAAATAGTACATTAGATTCGACGAATACTCGTAATAACTACCACTTGCTTGCTGGCTCAACTTGATGTGAAGTTCATAAGGGTGGATTTTTCTCTTGTTCTACCCCTTTTGTCTAATTGTGCTCTGCTACCGTACCCGGAACATACACGACATAAGGAAAACCTTCGTAATAGGATGGGTTAATTCACTGGTTCCATCGCTTAATTCGCCGGTAGTCTCTCCACGACCTGTGCCATCTCCTCGTCTGTGTATATCCTGAAGCCTCGCTCCTTTGTTACACTCGCTAGCTGCACGTTCTTGGAGTCGAGCTTCTCTTCCATTACTTGCTTCAATGTCTTCAGAACTAGCGTCTCGGCGTCTGCGATCGTAAGGGACTATTCATTCGTAGAAAATTAGCAGTTGTCCCCAGTCAAGTATTCTCCGTAATGTGTCGTGGGGCGTATAAATACCTTGTGATACTCATTCTGCAACTCCGCCTGAGCACCCTCACTTCCAGATCCAATCGCCTTAGCATCATAACGGTAGAACGTTCCCGAAGGCTCCGCATGGTAGAGCTGGGGGCCATCCTCATCGTATCCAGCGATCAACAAAGCAACGCCGAAAGGACGACTCATGATGCTCTCCTCGCCATCAGCGCTCTCGCCGAAACGTAACGCTAAATCGCAAATCGCCTGCGTGCAGCTCTCCACACGTAGGTCTTCGTTGAAGTTGAAGGCGTGGCTTTGACACTCGACGCGCGCGTGCTCGACCATGCTTCGCGCGTCGGCTTGGAGGCCTGACATGGCGCACCCGATGTGGCGATCGATTTCGACGATTTTCTCGACGGAGGATGTCTCGAGGAGGGTGGATGTTACGCGTTTTTCGACGCCGAGGACTACGCCTTCGGATGTGGCGACGCCGATGGCGGTGGAGCCTAGTTTGATGGCTTCGAGGGAGTATTCGACTTGGAAGAGTCGGCCTTCGGGGGAGAAGGTGCTAGATGTAGGGTTAGTATGTTATGTTGATGGGGTGGAATGAAGGAGGGATTGGGGGAGGGTGGGCGTACTTGATACCCCGATCTGGTTGTTCATGTTAGCTAGCTGTAAATGTAGAGCTTCGAGATAGTGGTACAGTAGAGGAGGGGGAGAGGGGAGGGTTCTTACCGTATTCAGATCTTGCCATAAACATCTTGACGGTGTTTGAGGGGGAATTTTTTTATGAAAAGTGTTATTGATTCGTTCGTCCGGGAGAATTACGTCGTTAGAGAGAATGGTGGTCGGAATTGAAGAGTGGGAAGGCTGAATGTGTGAATGATTGTATACGAAGCTTGGGAAGCTCAAGGCTGCTACACCGTTTACGAAGCTCAGGTGGATGCTTGCACTAACCGGGGATGGTTGACGTTTATCGATAAAACTCAAATGGGATTATATATCTAAGGCGGATTACATAATATACAGGTGTTTTGATATGTGCTTACCTAATCTATTGATTATGATTTCATAACTTTATCCCCAACTGCCCCAATTCCGTCTTGCAATCCTCGGCCCTTTACATCCGCAACGATATCAATGCTATCGACCACTTCACGTATAGGGCGGCGATATAATGGGACATATCTACTCACGTAGGTAGGCATGAAAGAAATCAGAATCGGACAAGAATGTCGCCTTGGAACTTAGTCGGAATGAGCCCGAAAAATAAAACAATAGCAATGAATGGAAAAAGACGTAGGTGAACAATTCCATTCAAATAGATACTTCTTCAAAGAAAAGAAGTCCCTTTCAACTAACAATAGCCCCGTTATATAATAATATCAACGCACGTAGTTACTCACTCTTGGTATCTGATAAACCTTTAGAATTCAGAAGCATCATTCACCATACATGGACCCATCGCCACAATATTCGTAGAACTCCGAAGGTACACGTCTATATTCGCCTTGTAACCCATGGAGCCCTTGCCGAGACAGCTTGGAAAGAGGTATTTCGTAATCTACGATACCGTTTTCCACATTGCAAATGACACCTTTTCCGGCTACCAAAGGCGGCTGGTAATAATTGACTCTATTCGAAGACGTGAATTCTATGTCTTAGCACCGGCTTTTGCATTTCCCAAGGGGAAACTAGACGCCATTTATAGAATTCTGAATCGGTTATACCATCGTCTCACAACCAGGCCTGTGTATATTCGTATCGATGAACGTGGCCTTGTAAGAGCTGTAATATCACACACAGCAAAATTGCAGTTGGCCAGGAAGCAGAGTGCAATGCCATCGCTCGCCGATATACCAAGGCCACTCTTTTCTATAGGTTGTCACAAAGAGAGCTCTCATTGTCACAACGCAGACTTCATCGAACGAGGTCGCATCAACCCTAGGACTGACATAGTGACAATAGGCCAAGAAAATTACCGCTATGCCGTAAAATATATCTTCAATCGGGAACAGCGAAGAAGGGTTTGGAACGAATTGAAGATGATGCAGTCTATCAAGCGATACCCACATATACTCTCACATGTTCATGCTGTAAAACACAATCGCGATTATGATCATATCCTTGGTATAGCAACTAGATATATCCAAGAGGGTAATCTTGAGCAGTGTAGAAGACGATCACCTCGGTTCTTCTTCAAATTGAAGTATCTCAAACAACTTACACAGACTATAGACTATCTCCATCTCAATCTAGGTATGATTCCACCCATAGACTAAAACGATGTTTGTAGTTCCGACGACTAACCTGATCATAGGCATAACTCACGGCGATATCAAGCTAAGGAGGATACTGTTCGATGATGTACCTGACAACATGGTACTCTGTGGCTTTGACTACTCCTCACGAATCTCGAGGCTTGGTATAATCAACGACATGCGGATGCTAGTTTGGGCCATGTATGAGTTGGTCACACAGGACGTATGGCTCAGAGGTGGTCGTAGAATCGCCCCAGACACACATTTAATAACGAGTAAAGAAGATTGGGAAATAGCCGGAACACTAATGTGTAATGTCGGGTTTCTTCGACGGTTTCTTCAGGATTGGATTAACAGGCGTAATGAAGATCTGGATGCCCAGCCAACGAATCCAGTTGATATAGATTGGGATCCATTGAATCCACCTTTGGATCCAGCGATGGTAAGAAGCCCCATATCCGGGGCAGTCAAAGTGAATTGGGAGAGACCGGCATAAGTTTGTTTAAAAAAAAAATTTTAAAAAAAAAGAGAGAGAGAGAGAGAGAGAGAGAGAGAGAAAAGTGTAGATATTTATGAAGGTAATGAAAATCGGATGATGGCGTTAATGAAATATGTGGTATATATTTATAAGTTAATCCCCGTTAGCTTGAATAAATGTATTAAACGCGCTCAATATACTTATCGATAGTGAGCTGTCTATCGATACGGACGGCGTCCAATCCCAAACACCGTATGGCGTATTTACCTACCTAGGAACTTACGTACAGAACCCTCCCACTTACATATGTGAAGCTCGCCGTGACGACTTGATTAAAATACGATATAGCGTCAAGCCAACACTCATGATACCGCAATGCGAAATATACCCGATGTCGCCGTTCAGTGACAATGTCTTCCAGAGCCTCCAATTATTCAGAGAGGCGCACCAACGGCACCAACGATAATGACAGCAACACGCGACCCCGCGGTGCCGCCGCGTCTTCTGCTTCTGCTCACACTGCGAGACCTTCCCAGCATCAACATGATCAACGAAGTACCCGCTCACCCCAGGCTTCCCATACAAACCCCGCCCATAAGCGGACGGCATCGGGAAACCCACGACCCGCTAGTAGGAGTACTGAAGAACGAAGAACCGAGCGCGTAACCGTAACCACTAAGGAGAAATTGATTTCAAGAACAAGAAGTCCCGAAAGAAGATCCAAAGATGCGCCTCCACCAGAGAAATGGAAGTCGAAAGAGACGGCCAAGCCCCGCCCACCAGAGCCGAAACCCAAGGACTCGAAGTCGGAAGCGCCAGCTAGTAAGTCTAAACAGCATCGTGTCTCACTCTAGGGAAACAAGGGCATAGGCTGACCTACTTAAAGCGATATGGGATCCCGTAGCTACTTTAACACCCCACACAACCGCGCCTCTTGCGATTCGTATATCAATACCGCCCTCGGCATCAGAAGCACCACTTTCGATGCAGCCACAACCTCTGCATGAACTCTCTTTGGAAGCTCAAGAGGCCGCCATAATTGAGGATCTACTATTTGTGTTGATGGGCTACGAGGGACAGTATATTCGTTACGCCTATTCCTATGACCCTACCGAAGAAAGAGACCGACTATCTGGACCCGAGTTTAAGATATTGCCTGGTCTGGATTCTAGCCTTCAGAACTTGACATTGCCGATGTTAAAAATAGCAACTCACTATTCGGCGCTCGAGATGTTTGTTGATGTACAAAGTAGAGAAGAGTTTGGAGCTGTCAATCACGCCCTATGCGCTGCCATTAGGAAGCTCTTACATGATTACCTAGAAATGGTCGCCCAGCTAGAGGCTCAATTTCTAACAAGTGATACCTTCACCTTACAGCTACTGAACGTGCATACGCTTTCTACCAGCAAGATGATGCACCAACTCTATTCACTAGCACATGAATTCCTGAAGAAAAACGCTCTTCTGGATGACGAGAGCGAGGAAGACTCGGAACCCGAAAACTACGATGACATAATAGAGAATCTGAAGTTGGGTGGTGACCTTGTACCGGGGAACATGACAGGAAAGAAAATCTGCAAAGGCGGCATAGTAATAGGACTAATCACTAAGAGGCTGGATACCATGGGTGGTGATCCCGCTGCGAGATCATTGCTTACTTCCTTACTGCGCGATGCTAGTCGGCCTTATATGGGCATGTTGAATGAATGGCTTCACCATGGTGAAATCAAAGATCCACATTCCGAATTTCTAATCAAAGAACAAAAAAGTATCAGACGCGACCGATTAGAGGAGGACTATACTGATGACTACTGGGAGAGAAGATATACCATTCGAGAGCACGATATACCCCCTCAGTTGCAAGGCGTAAAGGACAAGGTGCTTCTAGCGGGGAAATATCTCAATGTCGTACGGGAATGTGGAGGGGTCGATGTTAGTAATGTGGCCCAGGACGTTCCCGAATCATTTGACGATCAACGATTCCTCGATAATGTCAACAGCGCATATGCCCACGCGAACGAATCACTTATGAAATTGCTCCTAACGACACACGCTCTCCCCGCTAGGCTACGTTCGCTAAAGCACTACTTTTTTCTCGATCCGTCCGATTATTTTACTTACTTCATGGAATTGAGTGCATCGGAACTACGAAAGCCGGTGAAATCTGTTAATATCGTTAAGCTGCAGTCGCTCCTCGATCTTGTTCTACGGCAGCCAGGAAGCATAGTATCTATGGACCCGTTCAAAGAGGACGTTCATATTGAAATGAACGAAATTGGCCTCATAAGCATGTTACAGCGTGTTGTCAATATCACAGGTATTGAGCAAGGTGAAGCGCTCCAGCCTCCCACCAACCAGCCCATCGAAAGCGACAAAAACGCCGTCGGTTTCACCTCTTTACAGCTAGACTATACGGTACCGTTTCCTGTATCATTAGTAATCAGCCGGAAGACGGTATGGCGGTACCAAGCACTGTTTCGTTATCTCCTATCGCTGCGATATTTGGAGTCTCAATTATCAACCACTTGGCAAACGCACAACACCGGCGTGGTTTGGTGCCATAAGTCATCAGCAAGACGTCTCGAGATCTGGAAAAGGCGAGTATGGACTCTGAGGGCTCGAATGGTGGTTTTCGTCCAACAACTGCTCTATTTTTGCACCCTGGAAGTTATTGAGCCCAATTGGCAATCTCTGATGTCAAGACTCAGAGCCAAGGACGGAAGTTTGGATGGATCAGGCAAGCCGGATCGGACCGTGGATGAGTTGATGCAGGATCATGTGGATTTTTTGGACACCTGCCTGAAGGGTTGCATGCTAACCAACGGCAAACTAATTCGAGTAAGTGGCTTGGAATTATTGCGGTTACCGCGTCAATACTAACCTATATCACAGATCCATTCAAAATTAATGCAAACCTGTACTGTCTTCGCAGCCCATATGAATTGGCTGTCGCGTGAGCTAGAAAAGTCCGATCCAGACTTGATCGGTCCCATAAAACCGCCGAACATGACAGATAAGGAATGGAAACGATTTCAAACGGTTAAATCGCAAAAGCCGTCGCATGGTGACGCTGGCGCAAACAGCACTCTACAGGACGAAGAAACCCGCATCAATAATCTTTTTGATATCATCAAAAACTGGGAGAAGAACTTTAGCCGGCATCTGCAAATTTTGCTAGATGCCCTCAATCATTACGCAGCAACGGAGACAGTGGTTCTCCTAAGCTTGTGCGCCAGATTGGCGACTGCTAACCAGGGAACCGAATTCGCGGGTCCCCGTAGTGAGGAGGACGTTGCCGCGTAAGAATTCCCACGTCGGTTATGAAGTCTGCGACATGATACCTCGACGGGAATGAAGGGTAGTAAGGAGTTTAGTTCAAGTCCCACGAAATGAAAGGCGTTAGGGCGACATGAAAAGTTAGTTGGTAATTGGAAGAATTATCAGCTACGCTGTGAAGAGATACCTTGAAATATGCATTATCGATACCTACTCTAAATATAGCTATTGCTTAGTTCCCGTTTCCGCTATGACTAGTGAGATCAGACCTATTCGTGAAAATCGCCCACCGTTACTGTTTCTCTTCTACTGCTTATTTCTCCTGGACTATCGTGATCGGGGACATAAGACGGCCTCCGAAAACTCACCGCTTCAAGGTCCACTCCAAAACAGACCGACTTCATAAGGATCACCACTCTCACTTGGATAAAGATGTTGGGAACTAGGGTGAGCGAGTGAAACTCGGGTTTCTATAGAGTGATGAGTTATGGTAGTCTAAGTATGCAAACTTTTATATGTCGAGAGGCCCCATGCATACGAGGGCCCTCATTCGTTAATATAGTACAGCGTAAGTACCTTACCTAAGTAGATATCTCAGCGCATTCCTTTTTGAGGTGTGCTGGATAAATCGCGGTTTGACTTAACTAGTTAGCTAGCTGGTCCCCGTGACCTCCTTCACAATCTGCGCCAGCTGCGCCTTCTTAACATCTTTACCCTCCAGCGGACCACCAGGCGCTAGGAGTTTCTTCATCACATCTCCCATCTTCGGCTTTCCTGCCCCGAGGGTAGGTTCGCTAGTCAGAGCCGTAACTACGCCTGCGACTATAGTGCGCAATTGATCCGGGGATAATTCCTCAACGCCGCTTTCCGCGATGTAGGAGTCGAAAATGGAAATTTGTTGCTGCTCTTTGTCGACTAGGTCTTGTCGCCCCGCGGCTTGGAACTCGGAGGCGGCGTCGGAGGAGGCCCGGGATGTGCGCCGGAGGAGGGCGACTAGTTGCGCGTCGGTGGTTATCGGGTTCGAGGTTTTGGAGAGGTTTTGCGTGGACGCTAGGATGGAGCGGATTGCGGTTAGACGGGGGGCGTCTTTTGCGCGCACTGAGAGGGCGAATTGTTAGAAGGATTATGCAGTGCGGGAACACCCGAGCAAGTGACGTATAGTTTGGGTATTCGATAAGAGTGACGTACTGGCCGTCTTGAGGTCGCCTTTCAGCTTCTGCAGTAACGGCGGTGGCAGCGCATCCTCGCCCGAGTAGAATCGTGTGCCCATACCACCGTATCCGTAGCTCAATGGCAAAGGTGTTTGTGACGTAAAGCGTGGCCGTAGAAACAGCCGGCTGGAGGATCGTAAGGCCGCCATAGTTGGGCAGTATTATTCTGGGGTGAAAGTAGTAGGAAAGAATTGATCGTCGGATTGTTCGTTCTACACTAGGTGTATGTTTGGGTTCGGGTAGAAATTCAGGGGAGCTGGTCCGAAGGGAGCGCCAATCGAACTTGCTTTTTGGTACGGTGAAACTTCCGGCGAGGGGGGCCAAGCTTCCTATCGACCCATTGTCCAAGTTTCGGTGCAGGTTGGCCGGGGTCAATCTCGGATCGGTGAGGTTAAGTGTCTGGTACTTGGATATCACGATCGTCACGGCGTGGTGTGGGCTGTGGGTGGTTGTGGATGGCTGTGGAGGTTAGAAAGGGTAGAGAAGCTGGTAGCTGGAACAAAAAGCTGAAGCTGAGGAACTGGAACTAGAAAAGCTGGAGAATTGTTTAAAGTTTAGAGTTTTAGGGGCCGACCCCATTGGTTCAACGTCATTTGGTGCGACTAGAGTCTCACTATAATAATAATATGCCGGTAAGCCATGGTAAAACATTTAAATAAGGGCGTTACTAACTAACCCCATACAGCTTACCTACAGCGCCTACCTGGTACACTCATAACTCTCCTCAGTCCTTCCCTCTTATTAAAACCATACCTAGTAAATATTGAAACTTAAATAAACCCCAGATGCCTGCAACACTTACATAGTCTTACATAGTACCTAGGTATATATACCTAATACTTCTAAAAAAGAACCTATTTTGTACATAGCGCATCATCGTAATCCATGCCTTTTCCTACTTATAACATGTGCTCTTATGATCGACGGTCGGGTTAATTTGAAGGCGTTTAGGCACAACATTGACTTTCTGAAAGCTCTCGTCACCGTTTCAAGGAGATATTACATGCATCACATTAGATAGTAAAGGATCTGATAAATGTCACCTGACGGGTAATGGCAGCGAGATGGTCTATCGCGTAGCATGGGTCGGGATGGACCTCTACATCCGCGGCAAGGGGCCCGCCCACTACCATCTCGTAGCTTGCTATGGTATGGGTACAGCCCAACGCGGCTTTCTCCTTTGGCCGCCACCCCATTTGTTACACAGTCACATATCAATCACAAGGGAACGGGAAGCGCTGGGGTGGGAAGACACGGGAAGAAGGAAAACTTGTAATGGGGGTAACACAAAGGAGGTTACCTGTCGAATAACCCAATCTTAAGTCAGACAGGATGAATCTTTTTCGGCGACTGGCCCGGCTAGGGGTTTTTTATAAAAAATCCCACGTTCAAAATCTTGTCCTCTTACCTACTATGTACTCCGCCGTTGTAACGTCGTGGGAGAGGAACAAGTCATGCCCCGTAGTTTCTTCCCCCAACCCGAGTTAAGAAGTTGGCACAAAGCCGGGGAAAGGTAGGTAGGGTAACGCTCTAGCAAGTCTAGAACACGGCATTTAAGAAAAAAAAATTGGGAAAGGAATTTAGAAACAAAATAGGACCGGGGGTTAAGTATTGGCCCACTGGATAGGTTGGTCCGCCCACGACCAGGACAGCACGGTAACGCGGGATGGGGATGGGTTGTGAAGGGTGGGTGGAAGAAAGTTGGAAAAAAAGAGAAGGCCGTCCGTGACAGCGGCTCTAGCCGCCCGTACTTACAGAGCATTTGAGTTCAAACGGGGCCATGTTTCTCGCTGCTGGCCAGTAAGATTAGCACATTTAAATGTGCTACGTATCCTATGTGTCTTAATGTATCGTTTGGATGTACCTTCCTTATACCCATTCACCCTAGAGTTACCTAGAGTTACGTAGGGACGCAACTTGTATAGAGTTGGGCAGGAGGTACCCATAGGGTATTGTGCGCGCGATTGGGTCGTGACAGGGCAGGACACACACACACCTTCTACTCACACGCTCACCCACATGCGGAAACCAGGAAACCACGAACCCAACTAGCTGGACCCGAGACTCTGGTAGAAGGAGCAAAAGGGAACCCATGATTTGCTACTTCCCTTTTGGCTGCCAAACCTTAAGCTGACCTCACTTCTTTCCGTTTCAAAAGTGTCCAAAGTTTCCAAAGTTTCCAATATCTCCCCAAATCCCAAAATCTCTCCCCATATCTCCACCAAGCCCCTCTCCCTTTCCCTCTCCATCTCCGTCTTCGCCCTCGGCCACCGATATATCACATGCCCTTTCTCTGAACCGAAATTCAAAGCAAACGTAAACATCTTTCTATGACAATTCCGGGACTCTATAAAATGCTCTTCTCTCCATATCATGCGGATTGCCGGGCGTACAGAACGCCAAAACGAGATGCCCCCGGCCCCCTGCCGAAAGGAACACGGAAAAGGGAAAAAGGGACCAACGCCACCTGACCTCCACACAAGAATACCCCCCCCCACCACACCTCTAGGTTAGACGAACAGCCGAGCGACACGATCTTGACCCGATCAACATGATCTGCCTCTACCCTCACCCGTCATGCCTTGTCCCCCAATGCGGCAAGGTTCCCCTCCCGTAATAGCCGTTCAAATAGCTACCCGATAGCTTCAACGCCTCGGTTTTCTACCGACGCAAACGTAACTTGAAGAGCTACTCGTCAACATTCTGTCAAATTACACATTTAGGTGCTCGATGTAGGACGACTTACATTCGGAAATATGGCTATCATTTTACAATACAACTCATCAGCATTCCTCAACGTCCACATTAAGGATTCGAGGTTATGGGTGCTCTGCAAAGGCCTTACCTTGAGCGCAGGATTACTAGCCTCTGCTCTTGCCTGCGCTACTAAAACGTGGAACTCTGTAATCGTCATGCTGCTAAGTATCAGCAGTGCAGCCTTAGGAATAAAGTCGAAATTCCCCAATAGACCAATACCGAACATACCCAAGTAATTCTGTGAACGGATACAGAGCTAAGGACCCGAGAAGCAGTCGTACGTTCTCTTGGTTGGCGACGCCGATGTCAAACTCCCTTTGATCTATGCACAACGTCAGAATCAATCACCTTCAGAAGAATACCTAAAAATCCATACTATCGGACCAGCCGCACATCGGAAGAGGTATCACTATTTAAAAATATATCAGCAAACGTTGCATGTCCGAGTTAAGGGTTAAATCGCGATTCAGGGGCTCGTTCCCAGTATAAGCCACCATGCACGACTTCCTAGGCGGTATAAGGCAAGGGACGAATGAACCCTGAAGGACGTACTTCGCTCTTCAACATCGGTAAACCCAGCATGCCTCATCCAATGCCCGAGTCGCCGCGGCGCTTCGGGATTTTTGGTCTGAGACATTGCTCGAAGATATTTATCTGACCACTGGCGAAGCGCGTGACCTGTCAGAAACTCCGTCATGAGTATAATCACCTCCTGCTTCAAGTTTTGTTGCGAGCTCACTATCTGTCAATGTGCCGTTGTCGGACTGCGCATTGAAGTCCATTTCAACCATTTGGCACCACCCGCCGCCTCGCAGGCAACGTAAAATGTCGCGCATATATCCGTGCCATCGATTACGTTCGATACCTCCTGCGACTAGTCGGCTGTTCACGAGGTCGAAGTGGTTGGAGTGGAATTGGAGCCTGGGGGAAGAAAAACTGAGCTTTCTGTTCCGATGGCCGAAAAGTTTCGTTGCTTACGGCATATTAAGGTTGTCGACATTCAAATATAGGTTTTCAACACTATCCTCTGGGTTATAGTGATGGGGGCTCACGTCGATGCCGATGACCTAAAAGCACCTATGTTAGCTACTTGGGGTCTCAAAAAAAGTGCAAAAATCCTCCTGCATGCTAACTACTCGCGCCGAGCTCACCAAATCCGTTGTCTTGCGGTCAAGCTACGCTTGCTACTGTTGTATTCTAGCTCCAACTCGCGGCCGGGGGCATACAGCCTAGACGGTATTGGCCCGTCGCAGCGCGGAGGAACGCAGAGCAGTTTTCCGCCTGAAGACACAAGGACTGGAAAAGAAGCTTCTGAAATATTTCCCCTTAGGCGGCAAGGAATTGCAAAGAGCAATCGATCCAGGAGACTAAGCTATACGTGCCTCACATCTGGGATTTTCCCAAGCCACTTGAAAAGCCCACAGTCCCGTCCCAAAACCGCAGTCGAGTACTCGTCTTAGCGATCCCATGGGCGGAAAGATAGACCTTCCATCAAATGTCCTGGACAAGACATCATGCTGAATGCGCAAGCGAAGGGTTTCATCCTACGATAGGTGCGTCGACATCAGTTTGTGGACTGGAATCGAAAAAAGGGAGTTCTTTTTTTTGCGGTTGCAGACCTCGTCGACCGGTACAAAATAAATCCTGCGCTCCACAGCGAGGCGCTGAAATGTTCGGTTGTGGTGGGTGATCGTTTCGCGTACTTCGTCGGTGATTTCTTCGGTATCGGCATGCCTGTCAGCGTTTTAGTGAGCAAAAGGCTCTTGCTGATGATAAGGGTGCATTATATATACCCAGTCATTTTATAGTATCGCAAATGGTGTTTGAGAAGTCCAGGGAGAATATCTAGATGAGGGTTACCGACAGTCTGGTTCAGCTAACTCGCTAGTTTGCTATACGGTTGAGGCAACGTGTGGCACGGGCAAACAAGTATAGCCTTCCGAATGACGGCCTTTTAACCAGTCCGGCTATCTCGGTTTTGGGCTTCCAACGCCGTCAACGCCCACCTCCTCCTCGACGAGGAGGCCGTCTGGTCTGCCCTCCCCTAGGTACATGGGACCGTTAGTGGCAAGTGGTATATTGCAAAAATAATAAAGCTGTTTAGGCGTGTGTGGAGCCATAGCCCGGTCGAAGCAACCACATTGGTCACACGTCCACATCTTGCACCCCACGAGCTGCTGTTCGCCGATCCTAGGTACTACGGTTACTCCCTACGTATGCATCAGACCTTCCTGATCAAATCCGCTCAGCTATAGATCATTGAAGCATAAGGGCAGGCATATGAGGTCCATCGACCCGTACCCTTTCTGTTGGTCCATGGCCTAATGTACCCGCACTAGTTCCCGTCTCTGCTTTTGCATTATCCATCGGATTGAAGGGACGTTGCTGCCCAAGCCTGCTTCTATCTTGCTATGCTTGGCATATATTCCGCCCAATAACTCTTCGATTTGGGTGCTGCGGAGGGTTCACATTGCATTGAATGACATATAGCGCAGAAAGGTCTTATATCTGGCTAGGTGGGATTAAGCAGCCACGTATGAGACTCAACCGTATGCTTGTGATTGATCGTACTGGCTCGGCAGTCTCTCGGTACTCTAGCTACCTTTCTTTAAAGTTGCCTACAGTTTACTGTACTGTGCCTCGTGTTGCCCTCAGCAATATACGGTCAGTTGATGCGGCCATGACCAAGGGTTTGGAACAGTGGACACCGCAGCCGCGTTCAGCGCGGAGAAGTACAGACCAGACAAACTTCAGGGATCTGACAAGCAGTGGTAAGAGATGACGATGAACTAAGCGCCTTGTCTCTCGAGGAGCAGGAATTATTACCCTCTAAACCCTTTTAGTTTGGTTTTAGACAAGGCCGGTGGAAATCTGCACAGCAATAGCAGCAGCAAATGATCAAGGGATACCAAACACCGGCTCATACACCGGCTGTGGCTTTTATTTCCATGTGCCCCTATACCAGAGTACTTACGAAGGATGACAGCCACACACCAACCAACGGGTACTCCCAGGGACCTGTTGGCCTTGGCTGCCTCTTGGGATTTCCAAATCCTTCGCTGCCGCTACATATCCTAGAACGCTAAGACTCTCAAGACCCCTGACGACACCACGGACGGGGGACACGAAAGTCTTTGGTAAGCATGGCAGATGCAGCCTGACTCAGAAGGAAGATATTACTTGCCGATGACTTTTAATCTACGGGATTGTGGATGTGGATGTGGTCAAGTCACGGAACGAATTTCACGTACATAGCGGGCCACCATGACGACAGGGATGGAGAATCTCTCTCGAATGGTCGCCCGGTTGCAGTAACTTGTTCGCAAAGCGACTAGACCGGATCGACTGCGTCCACCTACCTAGTATTAGTACATATGCACGAGAGGAGCAGACTCACCCGGGTCTTGGGACGACAAGATTGGGGTCGACGATCATGGTGCCTACTATTACTTCCAACTTCTTAATGTGCGACCACCTGGACGGTGAAGAGAGATTACGGGATTACCTTATTTTAGTATGGCTTCCTCACACCGCCACTGTGGTCTGATGGGAAAAAAGCTAAGTTTAACAACTCGCCTAAGAATCAACAGCAACGGTTTGCTTCACCGTTTTAATGGCTTGTTTTACCTATTTGAAATCCGTCCGAGTATGACGATGACTGCACAACATCTCCGGGACCGCCCTGGCATGTTTATTATGTCTTGCACCCTGGATTAATGGACTAAAAGGACACATAGACTACAAAAAGATCAAAACAAGCGGGCCGTCGCAGTGGAGATAGCCCTTAGAAGGATAACGCTAGGAATTGGGGGGTGGCGGCGATCTCCAAGTGGCCGGTACGGCGGTACCAGTACGTTTTCAGACTGATGAGTACCGTAGCGTTACGGGGCCTTTTTTTTTTATCGACAGAAGGGTTTCCCATCGGCGGGACGAAAGGAAGGTACTATACCGTTACTGGTTCACTGCCTCGACGCCCGGAGTTTTCTCCTGGGAAGCATAACGACGTTTCCAGCCTGAGCTTCCGACTTCCCTACTGGCTTATACACAAACCTTTTTTTTTTTCAGGTTGTAAAAGGATTGCATATGAGAGCCGAACTGGTGAGGTCGATGTCCACGTTACTAATAAAAACTCCTTGTCACGACGAGCGGGATAGGTCCATTTGTTGTTCGACGCTAGCTCATTTACCCCTGGTCTACAGACAGGATTATGGTCGGGACAGGCCCACACACGGTTAAAGCCTTTGGGTGGTCCTCTTATACATCCAGTACTACACACGCACGCAATTTTTCCTGCCGCTGGGATAGCACCCGCCCCTCTGGATCACACTCTCTTATGCTCTGCGACGGGTCTTCTGGTCGGTCACGGTTGAACTCGGCTTTTCCGGGCCTTCGGCTCGAGTGATCTCGCCTTTTGCAATCAGCGATCTCGATTTTACTAGCCTCGCCGAACTATCTGGACGTACGGTAATCAGATACGCATATAACAAATCTTCACCGTCGTCATTACCCATTTATTACCATCGCAATTATGTGTCTTACGCTCTTTAAAGGTAGTGAGCCATGCATTAGCGTGTACCAGAGTATCGGGTCAGACACTACAGGCGTGATTGTATCAGGATCTAAAAGAGAAAAGAGCGGAAAAAAAGCGCCGGTCTCAAACGATTAATTTGGCCCAGCCTCACCCTCCGCCGCGAGGGTTACCAATAGTAACCCTTGCATTGATTTCCTGACCTTGCAAATCTAGCCGCCTTGGGTAGACCATGGTTGCGATCCTCATAGTCGGTAGAAGGGGAATAAATACATAATAGCTCTCGTAAGCCAACGATTTCTCTACCGACTGGCACTGTACCATACCAATGCGCAACAGAATTTTTTATTAATCACGTGGGAAATGGTGGGCTACGGGAAGCGTGGAATGGGTATCGTTTTGTATTACCAGCCCGAGCGACTGGTTCTATTTCCCGGAGTAGCATGGATGGCTTACCAGCGCTAGGGGTGACTGGAGGGGTCGGTTAGAAATCAAGGGTGCGACCCTGCGGGAAGGTGTCAGTAAAAGGTATGTACAATGTACTGTTGTTGGTTTGGGAACATTTTGCGGCTAGATTGGTTTGCAGGTTCACGGTTCCTTGCGCCAGCTTTGATTGGGCCAGGGCACCCCAGGGTCAGTTTTTCGCAAAGCCAAGACCGTTGTTTTTGCGAATTCCCAGAGTGCGGCACACCGGTTGCTAGGCCCCCTCGATCCTTTCGGGTGCGGCAGCATGCAGACGCGAGGCGAAGGTGCCTTACCGCGTACGCGGGAACGCCTTATACGTCTGTTGCGACTTTACAGTCAATGCTCTGCTGGATATGGCTAACTGTACACCCGGCTCTTACCCAGCAGCTTGGTACGGCGATCTCTATGGATCGCTCGACGACATCCGCGGCTGGTCCTGTTCAGGATTGTTTCGCCCGTTGCCCGGTTGGCTGGTACATCCCCCCACGGAGAAGCGAAGCAAGGCCCAATTACTAACGAGGTATGTACTCTCTACAAGTGTCTACATTAATAGAATATTCATCTATAATGTAAGTCCCTCCTTAATATGGCTGTATAGTTCCGAATTCTTTCGTCCTCGTCACCGCCTTTTTTCAGCGACAGTGACGTATTTTCGAGGCCTTCCTTTTATGACACGATACCTATTATCTGCCGACGAACACTGCCACCCCCAGCTGGGCGGACTATACGACGTGCCATGCAGGCTAGACATACATGTATGGAAGGAGGATATTGGTATAAGTAAGACACCGGGATTTGGTACGCGAGTCAGGTAGGTCGACGTTGAAACCGACGGGTACGAATCACATACCATGACCTAGTTGAAAATCGTATAGGTCCGGGTACGTCAGTAGGGTAACAAGACAGCGTAGCAGTACCAGCCAGGCGATGTAAACAACAAGAACTGTACGCGCACACATACTACAAACACTTACCATCCATTCGATTCCATCATCATCCCATCCTGCAGCCATGAGCTGTTCTTTAAGCCCCCAAATCCGAGAACGAAGACGCGCCATTACCATTTTTTTTCCAAATTTATTTCTGATACATCAAAAAATGTTACCTGTTATTACTTGCTTCCTGCCGCTTGCTGATTGCTGATGAAGCTCTGTTAGTTGGCTGTACCCCGCCCTCATTTTCTCGTCTTTTCCTTCCTCCCTCCCTTCGCCTACTCTTTCTCTCTCGGTGTGTCAAGGAGGCTTTACTGGAGCAGGAGCTTGTCAGCCGGCCGTTTTATTTGCGTTGTCTGACGTAGGCAAGGTAGGCAGGCTGGGCTGGGCTGGGCTGGGCTGGGCGAGCTGGTTGGCACATGGAGAGCCATGCGTTATGTAGGCTATCATGTATGGAGGAGAATTAAGGGGGGGTTAGGGGTAAGGGAGAGAAAAAGGGCCATATGTAGGTAGATTATTAGGTATATGTATATTTGTATACTTCAGGTAGGTATATATGTGTAGGCATATCGATATGTATAACTATTGGATACCTAGAGAGATGGTTGATTGTAAATAGGTATCAGCTTTTAGCTATCGTCCTATGAGATGGGCGTGTGTGATACCCTGGATATGTGCGGCAGGGCATGGCGAGACAAGGGTCTAAGGGTTGTTCCAAGCCCCCCCAAGTGTGGCCCCGCGGCGCGTCCTTCGGGCAGACCCCCAATCCCCAATCGCGGGCCGCCCGCGGGCCTTCAGTCGCGGAATTGCTGCGTCTATGATACGGTACGTGTGTGATATGTTAGTGTACATAACCTTAGCTTACCTAGGTACTGTTACTGTTGAATATGGGTGTGGTATAGGGTACTAGATACTAAAGTAAGTAAGAGTGAGTTAAGTGTGGTAAAGGTGCAAGTGTGTGTGGGTTCAACGTGGTTTTCTCTATGGTCTGCTTTTTTTTCTTGGTAGGCTAGCTGGGGGAGGGTACCCATCCGTTTTGGATATGGTACGCAGGGGAGGAAGAGGGAGGAGGGGAAATAAAATAAGAAAATAAGAAATACTATATGTACAAGGGGTATTAGAGTGGAAGGGGAAAGGAAAGGAAAAAAAAAAGAGGGAATTATGATCTGTCACATATCACATTTCTTTTTCTTTTCTAATTGCCTGCATTTTCCCACACTTTTAGTGCTCTTCTTCCCTGAACCCGGCACGCTTCCTTCCCTTTCTGCTGGAACCGCTTGTCTCAACGTTCATCGTCATCAGTAAGTTCGAATATGTATGTATATTATTCTTAGTATAGTAGTTATGGAGAAGTTGAGAATCTACCTAGATATGCATGCTATCTCTTCGTTTTCTATCTCCCCGGTTTTATTTAATATAATTAATTTTTTTCTGCGATGGCTTGTGACTTTCCTATTACGTTCTTACTAAGCTTGAAGATCTTTCTTTTTTTCTATTCTCTTCTAACTGCTTTTTCTTTTCGGTCTCGTGTGATTGGGGTGAAAATCACCACTAACTCGAGGTACCTAGATAGGTATAGGACATGTACCGAGGTAGATAGATGAGACATACAGCATATATATTGGAATATTGGAACTAGGGAAAAGTCGGTAGGTATTTATGGTAGATAGAGAATAGTTACTCCATACAGCCACCATGTGGAGAGAGCAAGGGATGTATGGAAGAGAAGGGAGAAACAGTTAAAAAAAAAAACACCTCGGTTTTTCTAAATACCATTGGTTCCCGATGCGTAGTCTACGTAGGAGCATAAAATACAACCCGCTCCAACACTCGGCAACGTGACTTGGGGTCGCAATTCATGCTTGATTTCGTTACGAGGAACTGACGACATTTCGATAATTGTTGACCGATTCCGCGAAATAATTCCCTTTATTGTTTATTTATTTTGATTTTCTTTTGTTACTATTGGTTTTGTTGTCGCTGCTATCATAGTGGATATTATTATTTTCCCCATCTCACTTTCGCAAAATTAAGTAGTGTAATAAAATAGTAGTAAGAAGTATAAGCAGAAAGCTATAGAGTAATTTCATCATCTAATACACCCTAGAAACTTCATGCTACGCTAGGCTCGGTTCCGTTCCGTCGTGCCGGTTCGCACGTATAATCCCCATGTATATATCGCACCCCATGTCCAAAGTAAGCAAATCCCAATTTATCTACAGACATAAGTGCTTAACAGCCACGTAAGTGTAATACCAACATAATTATTTTGTTCTTGTTTTACAAACTTTGCCATGCTATGTTGTTGCTCTATCGTATTGTATCGTCTTGTACCCAGGCTTTGCGCGCCCTCTAATCCATACAGGTCATGCGATTCCATGTGTCCGTGCCCATGCCTTTCTTCTATCCACTGCGCGTGCTCTTTCCTTTCCTGTCCGTTGTAGAGCCACCGGGGGCTAGAATATAATGAAGTCTTACAGTCAGTGAGTCGGAGTGGCACCATATCCGTACAACCCAATTTCCAAATCCTCACTTCTCTTGGCTCTTGTCTCTGTGCTTAGCACCAAGTAAACACGGGGTTCCTAGCCTTGACGGTTTCGAGGCGCTCCACAATCACTTTCCTCCTGTTGCCGTCCATTGTCTCTGCCGCAGCATATCCTAGGTCCCCTTCTATATCATCGTCATCCTCATCGTATACATTTCCATTGCTATATAGTTTCGTGGCAATAGAGGCTCCGTTTCGAGGTGTGCTTGCAGCTGTCGCAAACGAATGCCCACGCTCCCTACGCGGTGCATATGCATTCATCTGCGTGCGAGGTGGTCCCTGATAGCTTGACCTCGGTGGGCGCGAGAGCTTTGGACGTGTAGCTGCGGGTGATCCCGTCGTCGAGAGCGCATCGAACGGATTCTGTGCAATTCCATTGGGCGTGAAATCGGCTGAAGCCGGTTCGGTCCGATCCGGCGATTGCTCGTGTGAGCTTGCAAGCTCGAAGCGCCCAGGATTTGGTAAGGGGCTCGAGAGTCCAAGTAGATCGTCTACCAGGTGAGTGGGCGCCGAGGAATTGGCCGCGCCAATGTCCATCTCCTCTTCAATTGCCCTGTGGAACTCAGGCTCAGCTTTACGACGCATCTCCGAGGAAGCGGCGCGCATGGGCACTGCAACGGGAACTTCCACAAGGTCATCCCAGACGCACACCCTCGCTCGTCGAGTCAGCTCAAGCGGGCCATGGTCCGGGGTCTTTAATGTTTCAACCACGTTCCAAGCCTGACCCTTCATAACAGCCATTTGGCGGGAAAACATCTTCTCTTGGAAATCCGGGTCGATTTGGAAGACCTTGCGCAGCTCGAGCGAAGTTTGGCTCCACCATTGTGTAGAAGTGAGCAGAGGGAGGAAATGATCTCGGGTTTTCTGCGAAAAAGGACGTCCAATGAGGTCAACTGGGAGGAATAACCAACCGAACGGAAAACTTTACATAATTAGTTTAGCTTGCTGGGGAATAGGGGCGTTGGGTCGGGATATAATTACCTTCGCCATGCATCGGGATGTTTCCATGGCCATGACAAAGAGTTATCGATTGCTCCAAGTGACATTTTGGGATCCGGTACTTTGCTCGTCCTAGCCGCGTTCATGGGTTTTTGAGCCTTATAAGGATTGGGACTCCTAGACTTGTTCCTCGCTGGCAAATCCACCCGCCTTACTGGTTGTTCCTCTTCTTCTGGGATCTCCATGTTGAGTTGTGGAGGATCAGAGGCGATTGACACTGCCTGGGTGTTCCAGTCGACTTTTACCATCCAATTATCAAGACCTCTGTCCGTATTTCGCATAATGTAATCCAAAATAACCAGCTTCTCAAGCTCCTCGCGGAAGGCCTGTTTTAAGGATTCGGTCCACATAAAATTATCCGGTCCGAGAGGTGGTTGCTCTGCTGCGCCATTTTCGTCGTCGCTCTCGCTGTCATCGTCCCGAGCGGCTCTACTAGATGGACGGCAGTTATCCGCCCATCTTCTCCGCCTATGCCGGTGGGTATCGTTCGAACGAAGGCTAGACCAGTATTGATCCGGCCAAGGGTGTTCTCTTAAAAACACATTGGCGTCTTTAAACCCCTTAAGAAAGACTTGAAAACTCCCTGGCTTAGCCGGAAGGGGTTTTCTCTTCCTGTAAAAACTCCGTCGGTCCCAATAAGGATAGTGGAATGATTTCGATGATAAGTAAACAACGTCCGTATAGGGAACTATGTGGGTGCGGAGTTGACAATCAAGGACGTAGGCCGCCGCTTCGCTCACGTACGAGAGGTTAGGAATTAAACTAAAAATGGGTTAAGAACTTGCGCGATTTCCCTACTTAGACGAATACTCACCATGCTCGACCGAAGCAGCAGGGAAATAGATTTCTGTGAATCCATTTATTCCACTTGGGATTCCCTGCTGCGTATGGTTCTTCGTCTTTCGGTTTAAATACACCAACAATTTTGCCATCGGTGTTTCGTGCGAAATAGCTTCCAGAGCTTCCTTGCGTAATCATGCTCGGATGCATGCCTTGGTCAATAGCATCACGCACGCTTTCTACTATGGCTTCGAACTCGTCTTTGGACATGGCAGGTTCTGGCATAGCGGCTAGAGTCTCTGAAGTCGCGGGCCGCACACCCTCCGGAGGTTGGAAAACGCTGTAATGAATTTCTAGACGTTCCTCCTCGCCTGGACCACCCCTTCCTTTTCCCCTTTTGAATTTCGATGCGATTTCGTCAGCCCATCGTTCCAAACGCGCATTGATAGCTTTTAGATCAACACCGGAATTGCTTCGAACTCGCTTTGGACGATATCTGGACTTTTGGACGGGTTTCGGGGAGGTCATGCCCGAATGGGGGCGTGGTTGCGTGGCGGGTGCATATCGTGGAGCGGATTGTGGTTGGAGAGAGGCAGAGCTCTGTGCCAAGACATCGTCGTCCGATTCATCGCTGAATTGGTCGGCTTGAGCCAGACGTTCGTAACCGGTGGTAGCTGGTCGATTTCGAGGCATGCTGGCAATAATGGAGAGGTAAAAAGGTTGATGTTGATGAAGTAACTTAGGAAGAATTATCGCATTCTCCCATGATATCCGGTGCTAGCTCTAACAATGCTTGATCCTGCCCCTGTCTCGTGTTTAATGAATAGCCAATGCCTTAGTGTCACCTAGGTAGTGATTTTCCAACCGGTCGATCAAAGAATGGAAATACGAGTTAAAGTAAAGAGGGACTATGAAAAAAAGAACGCCAACAGCAACACCAACATCAGATGTTTTGAAGCACAATATGGGAAGAAATGGTGATAGATTTGTTGGGTGTATGTCGATGTTGAAACACGTCACGGTTCAATTAATTAGGTGGTGGTATTTTCTAGGAACAGTACATTACTAACGCAAGATTGGATGGATGGATTCAATGTTCTAGGTCTGCAACATGTAGGGTCCTCCCATGGTAGCGGCCCCACATAACATGCATATACGTTTATTGGATGGAAGGGTCAAAAGATCCACTAATTCGATTGCGTTGGTGCTTAGTCATAATTTGGAGTAGTCAAAACTCAATATCGTCATAAGTAACATAACCAATTCATAGTTTAGAAGCGGCATCCATTCTTCTAAGTTCCAAGATCCACTACATAACGTTGTAGATAAAACTAAATCGAGCCCATGAACTATTTTATGAACCACTGCAAGTAAAATTCAACTGGAGCACTCCACTTCATCAACACTCCAATGAAAAATGTCGAGATTATATCGAAATTCCTACGTCGTTGAACACCCCTTTCGGGTACCTAGACTACTGGGTCCTAGGGTCCTAGTGTAAGCCTAAATACACCGACCCCGCCCTATCGGAGGCTTCCGCTACTGGTAGATGGCCACATCCAAGACACGCCGTCTCACGAACCACCCAAGGTATGGAGCAAAGTTTGGATTCCATACCAGTTCATGAAAGAAACAAAGATAAAATAATGCATATATGTTCCCCAAAATAATACCTCATAAGAGCAACCCTACAGCGCGGTCTTCGCGGTAGTAACCCTCGAATTAAATAAATTCGACTCGGCGAGATCATCACTAATCGCTCCAATGAGATTTTCATCACGCGATCCCCTACATGATCCTAATCCATCCCCATTTCAATAGGCTGAGCTACCCGAGTCATCTGCAGCTAGAGTTGTACCGTATAGCTCTTGCACTGGTTGAACCATCTGAGCATCGTACTCGACATAGTCTCTGCATACTTAGGTAGTCTGAACCTGGAAAACTCTCGATTCCAAGCCAACATACCATCGCTCCTCGTTAGTCTCAACGAGAGGGAGACAAGTTCCAACTTATGTGCCCACCTCTACCTTAGAGACACACTTTCTCTTCCTTCGACACAAGGTTTACGTCAGTTGCGCTAGGTGATTAACCAATCGTATCGAACCCGTCCGTCGTGAGATGCTCCAATCCAAGACGGTCTGATATGAAGATCCCGGGGGTGAACGTCGATCCCAACCCTACCATCGGGCTACTCTTAGCTTAGACGGGCAGGTTGTCTTTTTTTTTCCAACCCGTGGGGTTCCTGGGGAATTTCTCTTGGCTTCTTATGCTGATGTGATCCGAGCTTACCTACCAGGATCGTCTCTCATCCAAAGATTTATTTCTCCCTAATTCCTCTCTGCCCACCGCTCCTTGCATTCTCTCTAGACTCTGAACGCTTGGTCACCTTATTTAAGGTAACGAATCGGTTTATATATCACTTAGGTAGTTACCCAATCTGTTTTACGATACCAACTGCTTTGGCGTCAAACGTTCCAATCATCTGTCTCTTACCTACTATTTGTCGTTTGTTAATAACGACAAACGGCAATACCAAATCATTTTAGACGGAGCAGGGCCCAAACCAACCCAATTCACTGGACAATTATATCCCGCTTCGTAATGGCAGCCCAAGCAATGGCAAACGAGGGTTTCATTGATATTACTATTACGACCTTCTCATCACCCGAGCCTGACAACCAACGAGGACGGAAACGACGGCGCAGTCCACTAGGAACTTTGGAGGTTACGGCAACTCGCATGCCTTCGACGGAATCTGCTACTTTCCGTGGCCGGTGCAGACACAGATCATCCTCAAGGCTAGACGTTTCCCGAAACACGTCACGGCTTAGGGGTGGTTCCCTGTCTCCAACACGCAGAAAACTCATTCGTGTTGTGCAGTTGAATCGTCATCGAAGCCAATCACCATCCAGATCCCGTTCCCCAAACACTCAAGAGTCATCGAAGCGAAGACGGCAAAGGACACAGAGCCGAAGCCGAGCCCATGAAGGCGAAACAAAGAAAATCGGCGAACATATTGCGACATCCTTCCTCCGCCACGAGATCGTAATAAGGAATGACAGTCCATCCCAGAAGTCTAAGCAAGATGGATGACATTACTGGAACCCGAAAGTTAGGCTCTCAGAGAGTGCAAATCCGGCGATGTCACTTCCGCCTGCAAAGCGTAGCACAGAAAGAGAAATGACGTCGCGTCGGATTACAACGATTGAGACCTGTACAACAAAAATGTCGCTATCTGACTTACAAATCTTGTCTCGAGGAAATGACCTATTGTTGGCATTGTGCTGTTACGAATATAAGTGGATTAGTTGTTCTTGGATAAATGGAAACATGTACCGTTTGCTGGAAAAATCATTTCGACGCATCAAGGTTGCTTTCAGGGTTGGAAGGACGAGTACAACAAAGGAAAATAAAAGGGGTTTGCATGTCGAGGAAATTATATTTTTAGTCGTAGCAACAATAAAAAATGGCAATAGGATGAAAAACATTCATGGACTTATGATAGCCAGTTATGCCTCTTATTAATGTTGTTTGTCAAGGACGTCGGGACTTTTTGGTACAGGTCTGGGGCAATAGGGTCGGACTTGGATTGGATGCTAAGGTCCGTGGACCCCACGCCGACGATGCCTGCATCTGCATCAGCTTAATGGGTCTATCAGATCTGCGGGGCACGTGGCCATGGGGAGCACAGAAGCTAAGAAGGGAGGGAAGGTTGAGGTGGCCTTCAGCTGGTCAGCAGACCAATCAAGCATTTTTCACTATCAATTCTGATTTGCGACGCATCAGGCAGTGAGAGAGTAACTTCGGTCGTAGCTGCAGCATAAAAGTGTATTGGGGGTATCGGCGGGGTGTTAAAATTGAGGAAGCTACACCTATCGGCTGCTAACCCTTGTTCATTCCCACACTTTAGTAGTTGCGGATTCGTACCGCAGGTACCGCGTCATAATAAATAAACAAGAAGGATACATGCGCGATACTTCCGATACTTCTGATTCCCGTTTGATACCTTCTCACGTCAACATGAGAAAGCGTCCCGAAGTGTTCCTAGTCAATAGCGACCGACCAACCAAACCCGATTATTTGTGAATTTTCAGAAGCTTGACTGTCACATCCCTCGCAACCATCTCACCCTACAACCCTACACGGCACCTAACATTGTCCTCGTGACGGCGTCGACGACTGAGATTTTTTTGTTGTCGTCTTTATTTTTCCCATTCGATCCTAATAAAAACTCCATGCCTTAGGCCGACCAATCTTCACCCGCCTAAATAAAGCTTGATTCCCCATTCAACACGCCTACCTAAAATCTGTTGTGTACCTCTCCTTCGCCTCGCCTCGCCGCCCACCCAGTTAACGGTTTCTTTCACCTATTCTCTCATTCGTCTTTCAGGTAGCCTCGCCGATGCCCCCTTCTCTCGGCGCATACAATACTTCCCGGCGCACTCTTCTTCTTTGTCATGAGTCCGTAGTTTTTACAGTGGGCACCTCGAAAACCGACATCACAACGCCATCAAACCGCCGACAATTCTGCATGCAGCCGCGCCTTGTCCGCGGTGATAGCCCACGAGGGTAAACAACATGGCATCAAACAACAGCGCACAGGGTAATAACCCTTTTACTTGTCCTCCACCTTCGAATACTTCTACTTCGCCAGAAACAGCAGAGTACATAGAAGATGGAATTCACAACCACCCTCTATACCCACCTCAACAACCCGCATACACAGAGCACTCACATAATGATATTAACGATGCTAACCCTATTCTCCTCGAACAAGCCTCCATTCAACCTGGACCGAGATTCAATCTGAACCCAGCGATTCTGCTCAATCCCAAAGGCTACGGAGCCTCGACGCCCACCCCCAGACAAGATGCTGCTAGCAGACCTTTCAATAACGCGAGCAACTCAGCCGACATCGAGTTTCAGTTCACTACTCCTCAGGACAATTTTACCACCACTCCTCAACCTGCCTATACCAATGGCCAGTTTATGCCACAGCCTAACAACTTCGCCGAGATGATCGATCGCACAAATAACGTCGAGCAGCGTATGTTTGTGCCCCAATCGAAACGCCGAAAAGTCGAGGCTGAAGATAGTATCGACCCGATGCGCGCACTCATGGGTGGAAGCCACGGAGGTAGTGGGGAACTCGGGCAATATGTTCAAGAGAAACGACGAGACGGTTCTAATCAGCCAAATGGACCCAAGCAAGTCGAGGCTATAGATCTCACCGACGCTGGTAAGTTAGCTAGGCAACAGAATTGGAAGGCTGAACTGGATATTTTGCTAACATTTCGATAGCGGATGAAAGTGACCTCGTGTCGATGCAGGATTTCAGAGATGAGGAGGTCTGTTATGGTATGATCCAGAACGCGAAACTAAATTGTCACATTGTTCCGAGCCCTAAGCCTGGTGCTATCTCGCTTATGCCGACTTATTGGCCTCAAGTCAAAATCGTACTTAGAAGGAAGATTGGCGAGTCTTCTAATATCATTCACGCATGTGACCATACCCGTCGAATAGTTGGAGCCGTCGACCCAGAGACATCATCCGGTCTCGCAACACTACTAGATTCCCGTCTACAACTAAGGACCGACTGCAGAATACCTTCACGGCCGAAGGTACCAGGAGAAGAATCGGGAAGGCCAACGTCTACACGTTATACGCTGGACCTCATGCTTTACGGCCCACGTAAGAGTAGCAAGCCCGTTGCGAAACATCTCTCCCAGAGAAACATCTGGCTTCGCAACCCTCCAAGAGTCGATAATGGTATAAAATACGAGAATCCACAGCTTGTAGAGGGTCCCAGGCCACCGCCTGCCGTTAAGGAACAACCTAGGATGGTTCCTACAACCGTGCCTTCTCAGACGATGCGTAGTGTCGAAGAAATTCGATCAGAGGTCATGGGAGTTTTCGACTCGCTCACAAAGAATGAGGAACTTCCCGAGATGGAGCCTTGTTCTCTAGTACAGACAGAACTACTGAAACATCAGAAACAGGGACTCTACTTCATGACAAACAAAGAACAACCACGTCAGTTTGACAACGAGGGTAAAATTGCTGATTCTTTCTGGCAACTCCGTCTGGTTAATGGCCAGAATGCATACTACAACGTAATCACAGGACACACAGCGCGTGGTCCCCCTCCCGAGACATATGGTGGTATTCTTGCGGATATGATGGGTCTAGGGAAGACTTTGAGCATCTTGTCTCTTGTCGCCGGTTCGCTCGACGAAGCTGAAAAGTGGTCAAAACTCTTGCCCGTGCAACCACAGGCACCTCCGCCGTCAAAGAAGAAAGCCAGTTCTTCAGGACAATTTGACGTACCCGCGCCGCAGCCGCTTGCTTTGACCCCTTTGAAGCAGAACGGCAAAGCGACACTATTGATATGCCCTCTCAGCACAATTACAAACTGGGAAGAACAAATCAAGGCCCACATCAAACCCGGCGGCTTGAAATACTACATTTATCATGGATCTAACCGCATCAAGGATCCCAAGAAACTCGCTATGTTCGATATCGTTTTGACCACCTATGGATCCGTTGCTAGCGAGGTAGCATCCCGCAACAAGGGTAAAATCGGACCATATCCCCTTGAAGAGGTAGGGTGGTTTCGCGTAGTACTTGACGAGGCTCATATGATACGAGAGCAATCTACTCTACAGTTCAAGGCTATCTGTCGCCTTCAAGCATGCCGCCGTTGGGCTGTGACCGGTACTCCCGTTCAGAATAAACTAGACGATCTTGCAGCACTGCTAGCCTTCCTTCGTCTCAAGCCTTTTGACGAAAAGAGCAAGTTCACGCAGTACATTACAGCTCCATTCAAGGTTTGTGATCCCGAAATCGTGCCTAAGCTCCGAATTCTGGTGGACAGTATTACTCTCAGGCGCCTGAAGGATAAAATCGATCTGCCACCAAGGACGGATGAAATTGTACGGCTTGAATTTTCTCCTGCTGAGCGTAAACTCTACGACTTGTTTGAGAAGAACGCGCAAGATAAGGTTAAGGTCCTGTCGGCAGGCAGGGAGAAGATGATCGGTGGCAAAACGTACATCCACATTCTTCAGTCTATTCTCAGGCTTCGTCTCATCTCCGCGCACGGTAAGGATCTCCTTAGTGATGATGATCTAGAGGTCGTACAAGGTATGACCCAAGAATCTGCTATCGACCTTGATAGTGACGAGGACGATGAGAAATCAATACTGGCAGATTCCAGGGCTTACGAGGCTTTCGAGTTGATGCAGGAAACTAACAATGATTTGTGCATTTCCTGCCAACGTAAGATCGGTTCAAATGACAATACGGATATCAATTCGGAACGCGAAGAAGATACACTAGGCTATATGACGGCTTGCTTTCATCTTCTTTGTACCGGCTGCATTGATCCTTGGAAAACCGAAGCAGGCAACCAAGGCTCAGGTACATGTCCCTACTGCAGAGAATATGTCCGCTTCACCTGCAACGAGATTCGCAAGAGCAAGGTCGAGGTTGAACACGAGGGACACAATCAGTCACATAAGCACGAGAATAAAATTCGAACAAAGGAGACTTATACCGGATACTCAGGCCCTCACACCAAAACCCGTGCCCTTGTTGACGACCTCTTAAAGGCAAAGGCAGACAGTGAAGCTCAGCCCGATGAACCCCCGTTCAAATCAGTCGTTTTTTCAGCCTGGACGTCCCATCTTGACCTTATCCAAATCGCCTTGGATAGTGCTGGCATTCGATACACCCGCCTTGACGGCAAGATGAGTCGAACGGCACGAACTGCCGCTATGGATGCTTTTCGCGAAGACAGATCCGTACACGTCATATTAGTGTCGATTATGGCTGGAGGTTTAGGGTTGAACCTCACATCGGGAAATTACGTTTATGTAATGGAACCTCAGTATAACCCAGCAGCAGAAGCACAAGCTGTCGACCGTGTGCACCGACTTGGGCAGAAGAGACCCGTACGTACCGTTAGATACATCATGCAAAATAGCATCGAAGAAAAGATGCTCGATCTTCAAGAGAAAAAGAAGAAGCTTGCAAGTCTCAGCATGGACCGAAACCGAGTTATGGACAAGGCAGAGGCAGCAAAACAAAAGCTGATGGATCTTCGCAGTCTCTTCAAATAGGCTATTCTTTTTTCACGCTATGCCTTATAATTTATGCCCTTTTAATTATCTAGGGGATATGTAACGGCGTTTTTTATTTGTTGGCAAGGGGTGGAAGGAAGGGCATCATGAAATGCATTTACGAGGCGTTCTGGCTGCGTTTGGCCGTTTTGAAGGCCTTCCTGCTGGCGAGTAGGACAATGACGTTAGCATTCTTTTTTTCCCAAGCGCATTCTGTTGGACGGACAGACGAACACCCGCATACGAATAAGCAAACTCGAAGATGAAAGAAAAAAAAAGAAAAAGAAAACAATTCTCTCACGAGATAACACGACACGTTGAATGACGTTGGATTCGATTTGGGAACGAATGAAAGGGGAGCCCTGGCCTATGGGGAAGACAATTCGCATCGGCTTCGTGCCACGGCTACGTTGATACGATACAACACTTTATTCACTTCTTCCTTAGCTTTTACGGGTTGTCGGGCTTTTAATACTGGATGTTTGATACCAAAAGACTCCGCGGTCATTGACCAAAGGGGGGGCGGAAGTCGGACGGACTTCCGAGATAGACGAATGAGTTAATGATTCAATGAACGAAGGAACGAAATTTGTGTGACTAGTGGTGCTTTATTGATGTGTTCTTGATGTGTATTTGATGACTTGGTATACCTGCGTGTATGTTTGCTGCCTGAGATGATTGCCCTTACTTACTTTAGTAGACGGGATATCATACCTGTCTGGGAAATGCTAGGTAGCAAGGTTATGGCTCTTGCGTTGTCAGAGAATCGGAATCGTAGTGTTCATTACATAAGCCAAGTATATTCAACTATATCGTGATGTCATATCGTCGTAGTGATCGATACATCGTAGATACCTAGGTACTAACTTAACCAGACCCATCCTTCTCCTTTGCTTCGACTTACTTGTGGGCTCGTATACGGAGATATAGTATACACCCATTGGTATAGCTTTCAACAGGTCCCAACATATACCTAGTATGCCGTGCTATCATCAACAATATGCATATGCAAGAAGTATGTCGCTGGTGGCTGGCCCATCCGTTGGGAATAAACAAAATGCACCTAATTGTCAGGTATCTTGGAACTAGACCGATCAAGCCCATTTTGACGTAATATAGTATCGTCCATATCTATGTGGCTTGCTAGGTAGGGGCAGACTCGTCGGAAAAGTCGTTGCTGAGGGGTAAACCAACCGGGGTATTTGTGATGGAGTATAGCGTGAGGGTTGAGTATACCGAGGTATGGTATGGCAACTTCGTATTATTCAGTATAAGTGTCTAGGTAGGCATGTGAATGAGGACCATCTGTCCTACCTCACCCAGGTAGGCATTCGAGAAGAGATCAATCAGTTGAATAACCCAACTTAAGACAGGAAATCAAAAGACGTTGCTAAGAAAAGATAACCCACCAAGAAATATCTACAGGTGTCGTCTTACCTACTACCTTCTAGTGACTCGTCAATATTGAATGAAAGGGCGGTAGGACTGGACACGCCTGTTTTCTGGGCTTCGCAGTACAACCTCGTGTTTCCGTATATTATTCACAACTCAATAGTATTGATCACTTCACATATTACAGATGAACTAAAGCAAAGTGTTTGAAAATGTATCAATCTAGCATTTCATTTCTACTTGAGTAGATAAGTTCTTTTTCTCGTTACCCAGTCCAAGCTTCGGGAACGTTCATTCTCATAAAGTGATACGCCAACGCCCACCGAATTGCATATAAAGTAATGCGAACGAACCCTTTCACCAATCATTCCTAGTAAACTCCGGAGGACGAGTTGCCTCAACATGCTGTAGTTGTGCTCGCCGGCTTCTTATGTACAGAACCTTTTTTTCTTCGAGTGAATCATTATCAGACCACAGGGTTAGTGACCCCGTGGCTGCTCGTCATTAATTCCCATGCATTACGGTACTCATATCTGAGACCAATGGGAAGACTATGGCGTTTCCCGATGCCTCACAACCCAATTCCTTCCAGCTCGGCCAGAAGATACTATCTCGATTCTGAGAAGCGCACTTATGCCGCGTTAGCACTAGCGAGAGGCTTCGCGATTCTCGTGACCTGATCACCAGCGCGAACAATTCGTTGACCAGAAGAGTCGGTGACATAGGCGCCATCCTTCTCCTCCATGTGAGAGCGCTTCCAGATTTCGACTTCGCAACCACCTCGGAGAACACCGACACGCATGGTTGACAACAAGTTGTGGGCGGCGTTAGAGTGTTCGTAAACACCACCGTTGAAGATAGCGGTGGCGTCCTTTCCAATAGCCGAGGAGATCAAAGCCTTGCCACCGGGGTGGTCCTTGATGAAGTCAGTCACATCGTGGATAACACCGGCGATGGCGACAAGACCCTTGCCGTTCTTCGACTCAGAAACGTAGTCATCCCAGTCAATGACGGGTAGTTGTTCAAGAGGAATACCCCAGTCGAGCTTGGCTCGCTTCTGGTCAATCTTCTTCTGTAGCTGCTGGATACGGCCCTTCTCGATTTCGTTCTGGCGGAATTGCTTGAGATCGTAGGCGAGGCCGAGCTTCTTCCAGGTCCAGATAGTCCACTTGGTAGGGTCGTACTGCCACCATTGAATGGCGTTGCGGTAGTCCGAGGGGAATTCGTGGTGGAAGTTGTGGTATCCCTCACCAAGGGTAACGAGAGCAGTGATGACGTGGTCACGAGGAGAGTTGCGGTCATCGAAGGGCTGGTCACCGAGCCAGTGGGCAAGAGAGTTGACACAGAAGGTGGCTTGCTGAACGAAGCAAATTCGGAGGATACCAGCGTAGACGAATCCGCCCCACCAGTCACCCCAACCAAGACCGCAAACCATAGTAGGAACGATGAGAGCCATGGTAATGACACTCTTGATGAAGTTCCTGTGCTGCCAAACAACAACGGGGTCGTCGTTCAGATCCGAGATGTCGGTTCGGCCGATACGCTTAGGGTTCTGCTTCATTACCATCCAACCAATGTGAGAGTACAAAAGACCCTTGCGAACGGAGTACGGGTCCTTCTCGGTGTCGGTGTAACGGTGGTGAGCACGGTGGTCTCTCGACCACCATCTAATAGAACCCTCAACAGCAGCAGCTCCCATAGCAGCCAGGTAGATCTTGACGGGGAGCGAGGCCTTGTAAGAGCTGTGAGCCCAAAGTCGGTGGTATCCTATCCGAAATGTTAGTCCGCTGGTGGTTAATTGGGTCCTGGAATTCCAAACGTACCGGCTGTGATACCGAGACCGGCATTGAAGTAGTAGAATACAGCGAAGAGTGCGGTCTTGAAGTGAAGGGGAACCCAATATGTGCTGACCATTCCAATAAGAGGGACAATGATAATGAAGGTAGTGTTAAGCCAGTTAACATGTTTGTACCAGTTGCCCCAGGTAATAGGGAATTCAGTGATATGAGGTTTCTTCAAGTCGTACTTAGTCGACCGTAAGGGTTTGTAGTCCTTGGTGCCATCGGGGAAGGCCGAGGCGGCGACAGGCCCGGAGCTCGTCGATTCGGAAGCCATGCTGAGCGTTGTATGCAAACCAGTGACAACAATGGATTTAGTCGAGGTGTATTAAAACCAGCAAGGGCCTTCAGGACTGATGAAAGGCTCTTGGGGTTGGTTGGTTGGTTTGGCGCACGGCGAGGTTGAAGACAAGGAAAGGGAAGGAGAAGAGGGAAGCAAACGTGGTAGCTTTTAAGGAGATATAATTATTATATTTGGCGGGAGGAGTGAGAAGAAAAAAAGCCAGGCATGGAACTAAAGGCAAGGTACCATGCAGTACATGTAGTACATGTGGGTATGGGGGACGATTGGGTGGGACAGTAAACCCTGTGTCCCTGCGGTCGGGTGGCGGGAAGGTATACTGAACGTATCGAGTCCCGGTCAGACCACAGTCTAGATGGCCGGCCGATTAACCACGTTGGTACCTAGGAGGAACTTTGCCTCCCAACCCGACCCGAGAATCTGTATGCCAGAAGTATCTTCAAACTTAAAGCGGTGTGATTTATGATTAGTTGGTGGGAAAGTTTCTTTAGCCCCGGAAGGTACTTGTTGACGGACGAGATTCGACTAGAACGTCTGATAGTGAGTCGATTCTATTCCCAACCGTTGTTTAACGCTCCCCTTTTCTAATATTTTATTGCATTTTGGGAGAAGAAAATAGAAAATACAATCACTATTTTCTCAAGGAACAAAGCACGGCGGAAACCGGCAAGTAGGAGCCGAGGATGACAAAAAGTGACGATCGAGGTACGCGGTTAAGTGACTGAAAGCAATCCTTCTTGATATGATAGGCCCAATAGGGAAATTGCTGGGGTTTATGGTGGGAAGGGTAAGAAGTTGTTTCAATTTGAAAAGTTGACACTGGTGCACTTGTGCGGGGGAGAGGCAAAAAATTCTTTTCTTTTTTTTTCTTTTCTCTGTTAGGAATGCAGTGTGTCCTTTCCAAGTAAGGTACCTGACAGTGGCTGCCTAAGCAAATACCTAGGTAGCAAGCAGTTTCCTTCCGTGCCTCCTTTGATGTCTGAAATTTGTTGAATTGTTGGGGAAGTTCCCATAGTGGCGGTTTCGAAGCCGCAAGTACGATGGACCAATAAAAACGCCGGAAAATTCAAGGGTCTTTCCGTTTTAGGTATTATTAAACAGGCCATCATTCTTTACCAGGGTATCGGAAGTACCTGATCTGCAACAAAACGGGCTATCCTGTTCTCCTACTATCTTACTGTCGCGCTCACTCCACCATCGTTGAAGTCTTTTTAATTGAAAAGCAGACAGACCTTTCGATCCTTCAACATGCAGGACCTGCATATGTAATTACAACATCAAGGCGGACATCCTCGCATTCGGATCTAGCCTCGGCACTCGCTGGGACATCTCGGTCGCCACAACTAAATATGCTGTAAGCTTACATCCAATGTATATACATGCAAATAGGTACGCGTTGACCAGCAGGCTAAGTAATTGGTATAGGTGTAAAAGTTAGGTATGTCAGAGGATATATCAAGCGAGAAATAATTTTTCATTTGCCCTTACATGCGTCGATAGTTGCGTGTGGTGGCACAAACCAACCACACGTCTTTGACGTAAGCTCTTCGCTCTTCAGCCCCTTTCTGTAAGGCTACGCCAACTAGTCCCACTCGTTCATACGGGATGACACCCTTCATACCATAGCTCGGACATCGCATTAGGATCAATATTGAATCCTATAATTACAAGCCGAAGCAACATTTCCCGGTAAAGAATCGGAAAGGAATCCATACCCAACCCGAACCCTTATCAAAATCTACATATTCCGAATTCCGCTTTGCAATGTACCTAAGTACCCTCGCTTTCATCCCCACATTAGCATTTCTCCCCCCTACCTCCCCCAACAAACAAAAAGGACACACAATCACGCCTATCATTGGTCCGAAGGTGGGGCTCCGGGGGGGAGGAAGATTTTGAAACCGCCCTATGATCTGTTAAAAGATGGTCATAGCGCTCCACATCTTCTAGAACAACCTTAAACTTGGCTATTGAAGAGCCTGATTGGATAACTACTAGAAAACGCCACTCCCGCGCTATGCGCCCCATTCGAAAGGTTCGATATTGGTGCTAAGCCTCTTTACCTAGATTTACACGCTACTTTGACAGCTTGATAGTTGTGGCTAGTCGGTGGCTAGATAACATCATAGCTTCGATGTCAGATAACGTCGCCGAACTTTATGTCGAGGCCTCATGTCGGTGGCTAAGTAGGTCGGTATTCTTCAATAAGCAGCCACAGTAAGACTTCTTACTAAACATCCCGTCTTGCATCACACCTCCGTCGGCGTATAGTAATCCTTCAAGTCACGAGAGAAACAATCGAACGAATACTTTACCAGTTCCCCAATTAAGAGCTTCACTTTTGTTAAGTGTGAACAGAGACAATCTCAAGTAGAAGTAAGTACTTAGCGAGAAGATACAGAGATTCGGAACGCTTAGGCGCCTCGTGGCACACTTCCATATGCATGTGCCAGCCACAACAGAACCAAACTGAGCCATGCATAACCCAACAAGACATCAATGCGTTCCCTGAGTATACAAGGTGAACCCGTTGGTGTCCTCCTATCCAAACCCACTTGCTCTCCTGACAGAAAAAATAACCACGTGTCTCACCCCTAACCCTCACTTACGTCCCGCATTATACATGACGTGTGGTAAGAATATCTCAGCCAGCCAGGTGCCGGATAATGGTATAAAAGTCGTCATCGGTCGACTTTTGCAAAACCATTTGTTGAGGCCCCTTCTCGTCCCACCGTCAGACCATCCCCGTGCGCTATCGACCGATCGTTCTCATTACCTAGGCGGTATGTAAAATTGCACTTGCATATTCAACGAGACGCGGGACGGGACAACGTTGAGGATATCTAGGTAGATTCCAATTATCCTCTTTGGGTATCAAAAGTGCCAACTTCATCAAACGAATGGCTCACCTGTTGGCCAGAATAGGTGATAATACGACACAGTGGGACAGCAAGTACCAGCATATCTCAATACACATCCGGATAAGTCATTACCAAACCTCTATTTTTCAAATATCACTCCAGAACTAAAAACCAGCAACCCCTATCAATCCACCATCGTCCTCATGATCCATCATTTTATCTCATACATTAAATATCGTTATTTGAATGAACAAAACAAAAACAATGGTAACGATGCTTCTATGATACACCAATTTTTGCCCAATTCGCCGTCAGTGATTGATGGAAGAAAGATAACGTAGGTAGGTAGGGTAGATTTCCTGCTCCTTCTCCTAATAGATATCATGATATCAGAATAATTCCCCAAGGTAGATAACGTTAACCCAAAATTTTGCATATGCATTATTAACTCCATGCGCCGTTGCTGTGTGTGTATGTGTATGTACATCAACAGCCACTTGGCGAATGTGTGTACACATCCCAACCATAACTTTCTCAGGCTTTAAGATATCATGTCACATTCGTTGCCATGGCTGGCGTTGAAAGTCCCAGATCTTCATCTGTAAAGGACATTCGATAATGTTCCTGTTTCCCATATCCATCTCCGATGCCTTTGAGCTCAGCCGGTAGGTCGTTGGGTTGCGACTCGGCTGTCCCAGGCGACGGTGCTTCTGTTGATCGCATTGGTATGTCTTCTCTTCTGTCGTGTGTGTAATGATTGAATGGCTCGCTCCCTCCATCTCCAAATCCTCCTTCATCTCCATTGACAACTGGCTGAATGACGGTTCCATTTTGAAGGGGTGCCGAAGCTACGGCAGTGTCTACGTCTGCCGCCTCGCCTGGCTGTGCCGCTTCGGCCAGTTCTGATAATTTGTTTCTAAACTCCGGTTGCAAACTTCCTTGAGGTTGCCCTTCACCCAGCGTGGATGTCGCAGTGGGACCTTTGATAGGTGTAACCACTGCTGTGATATCATTGGGTAAAGACAAGCCCTTCTCAAATTCATCGTCGGCCTTGCTAGACGCATCGCTAGCGCTGGGTGCTGACGTGGCCCCTTCTGCCTGATTTTCACCATCAGTTGTTGGAGCCTCTTTTGCCTCCAGTTGATCCAACTCTTTCTGTACTTTCGCAACTATCTCTTCGGCTGCTTGTGCCCTCCGAGGCGTCTCAGCTTTCTCATCCTCCAAATCAATATCGTCAGACAAGTCTATAACTTCGTTAAGTGGCAATTCAAGTCCTTCAACATACGGAGGTCCCACATCATCGGACCACACATCGCCCGGACCAACGTACGGAGGCCCAACATCATTGGGCCACATTTCGTGCTGCCCCATGTACGGTGGGCCATACATGTCGTGATTGCTCGGTAGTGATCTAGGCGGAGACCGTCCCCTCGATGGGTAGTAGTACGGATCGTCGGAGAAGGCAGGTGACGCGTTATGCGTGTTGTCGAATGGAGCATATGGCCAAGCGTTCCTGGGCTGAACCGTTTTGACTTGCGGGTAACCGTTTTGTTGACAGCTGTCAACCATGTATTCCCGTCGGGAGAATTCGTCTTCCACGGAAATCGATGGTATATCGTGCCTATCATAGTCGTCGTCGTACGCGGGTTGGGGGAAATACCTAAGTAGTACGGTAGCCTGAAGTCGGACACGTGGATCCTCGTGCAAGCAGTGTTCCACTATCGTGCGATACCAGCCTGGGACTTCGATCTCGGGCTCTAAACGTAGCGGACGACGGTGAGCCTCTGGCTCGTCCTCCAACGTCGCGAGCGCCCACAATACCATTCCAAGCTGGTAGAGATCGGATTTTACACCGATGTACATCGATATCCGCTGGTTACTGTCGATAAGTGGAGTTGCCTCCGGAGGCTCCCACCCCACCGGGCAGCCTCGTCTGTTAATGTCTATAATTTTCGCATTGTCCTCATAATCGATGACAATGTTAGATAGCGTAAGATCACCCTGTACGAACCCGGCTTCATGAACGTCTGACAGGCCTTGGACAATCTGCCTCGCCCACTTCTCTCGAATAGACCAAGGCAAAGGATGACCCTCTTCTTGCGTATCATAAATCACGTCGATTAGAGCGCCTTTCTCGGCGTAGTTGATGAGCAGTCCTTTTACAGAATCATTCTCATCGACCACCACACCATAGAACTCGATGACGTTTCGGGAAAACTGTAGGGAGTTAAGAGCATTGACTTCGTAGAGGAACTCATCCACTGTGTCAGGCCCTGGAATTTCCTTTTTGATAAGCGTCTGATTACCAACACGGACCTTGTAAACAAAGCCCGACATGTGAGCATCAAATACAAGATCCCTCTCTTTGATACGATGGCATTTCAAATGCTGAATCATACGAACGGTAGGATAGTTTATGATCTCCTACGAGGAACAAAGCAATTAGCAGCAGGTTGGTACTTCAAAAATTGAACAACATACGTTTATATCTTCCACCACATGCACGTGCAGTCTTCCATCGGTCGTCTGCAATTTGAGGTTGGTGACAGTGGAGTAGAACTGGATATCTTGAAGACTTTCGCGTATAGCCTCATAAATCTTCGCACTTTTTTCTCTTTGGAATTTGATCCCAAGGAGATCCTTCTCTAGCGAGTCATCGGGGGCATTTCGGTAATCCAGAGAGATAGTTACCCGTCTCCATACATATTCATCCTCGCGATAGGTAACGAAAAACTTCTCCCTCTTGGACTTATCTCGGAAATGCATACTTAAGTTTAGGATCCATTTTCTTTCCAACTCGTCGTTAATCATTGCATCATACTGTGACGTCGTGGTAGATTGGACATCAATAGGTGACACGGGCGACAATGCTTCGGTATGGCTAGGCACTGGTTCGAGTGAGGCACGCTGTTCGGTATCCGGATTGGCGGCTGTGGGTTCGGCATCTTCGAGGCTTAAGAATTGTTTCTCGTCGAGCGGGCTTTGAGGGGCCGATGTCACATGTTGAGTGACTACGGCAGGGGGGCTTAGGGGAGGCTGCGTATCGTCGAGGAAGTCGGGCGCACTCGCACGCGGAAGAGGTTGGCTCACACGGGAGGTGCTGCGTTGGGTACGCACTCGTCTGTCGACAGAGACAGCCCTGCGTTCTGCTGACGTCGGCTCTACAGCCTCGAGCTTCTCTCTCACTTCGGACTGCTGCCTTTTGAACGTCTTGGCGCGGGGCAACCCCGGAACGACTTTTCTGGAAACCCTCCGGATTATGCCTGAGCCGGGCGAAGAAGAGTCAAGAGATGTCCTAGGTTCTTGGATGTGTGGTATCGAGGACGATAGGTTGTTGTCCTTACCGAGAAAGCGTTTCCAAATCCCAGCTATTCTACTGTGGTCCGGTGGCGGCGGCGGAGGGGGGTCACGCAACGGCACATCTGCCGGTGCTGCCATGGCGGCGGGATTTAAGCAAAGAAAGCGAGCACTATCGTTCAAACTTCATATGGAACTGGTTCTATTCCGCACGGTCTTCGGTATATTCAGGGAAAAATGAGGGAAAATGAGACCGCCCTCGGATGAGACGAAGAGCTGCAATGGGTCCCGCGTTTGATATTGGCGGGGCAGACCGGACAGCAAGAATGTGCCACGAATTATCGTGGCAATTGAGGCTCTAAAGTTGAAAGTGCTGCTAATTTCTAACCGACCAAGTCGGAATTATGGTTGTACTCAAGTTTGGAACAAGGACAACTGGGAATTGTCTGATGGCGGAAGAGAATACAAGAGGTAAAACGTGGCGGGTCTTGACCAGGCAGCCGACGTCGTAGCTATGCGAGATATAATAACGTATACTGGAGGGGAATGGTCATGACGGCTCTTTGCTGCAGGCAGACCCAACGCTCGAGGATTAAGTGGAAGGAAGGGAAGCTTAGCAACGAGGCTGTCGACAGCTTATTGGCAATTGACGATGATGGTGGCTCAGATATGCCGACATGGGCAAAGCGGGTAGGTAAGGTAGGTAGTTGGTATGTAGGTATGTAGCGTGTATATGCTTGTGGTGTAAATGCGATATGCGGATGTATGTTGCGCGCGTTCTGTTCTCCTTGTACCTCTAGCTCTTTTTTTTCTTCTTCCCTTAGTTTTTTTATTATTATTTCATTAAGAGCTAGGTATGATTGATTATATTCCCTCTGCGCCTAGCTGCGACCTATCCGCAGTGGCAGACGGGATGCAGGAGATATGCAAGCAGAAGGTATCCTAGGGAATTGGCACTCCGCTTTCGGGGTGTAGGACGATATAGCCATTTGAGAAGAGGAGACAATTCACTGGTCGCAAGAAATGGGAGGAAGGCAAAAAAGTTGTGAAAGTGAGCGAATATAGAAATTGGAGGCGGACCGAGTTCTACGACAAGAGGGACATCGAGGTCGTACCTGCTCCCGTATACAGTAAAGTACAGTTGTACAGGCAAGACCAGGCAAGACTAGGCCTTCCCGCGGTGGACAACGCAGCACAGACATTAGCAGGTACAAGTCTCGACTACCTTCTTACTACTTCATCTGCCCATACCGTAAATGCGCTAGTGCCTCTTCTAGCGAGTTCCCCTTTGGCTATAGGCCGGGGTAGTATCGGGCTAGGGGTCTGTTTGGTTTAGCTTGGCTTTTCGATGATCTCGCGGGGCTGTACGTTCGCTTGTCTCGAATACAAGGATACGTACAGATTGAATTTAATATGTATACAAGTTAATAATTTTTTAATATTTCTCATATTCTATAGTGATTTCATTTGTTCTCAATTTCTTCCTTTTCTATTCCATACGTTCCAATTCGTCTTCTTCCTATCAATTGTGGGCGAATGGACTCAAAACTCATCCAATGCTCTTTCAATGGCCGACACAAGCATTTTAAACATATACCAATACACGCAGTCCATCAGGTCTAAGTAGTCTGGTAATATGCAAGGTTGTTGCTCCTGTGGAGCCTACAATTGATATTATTTTTTTTTCTCCCCCTCTATCTTCCCTCACCCCTCCAAAAACCCAGCCATTCCCGTCATGGTCCCCCTTCCGCCTTGGTGGGGGGTTCGCTGCTGGTTGATTAAACCCAAGTCGGGAAATTCAGGATGATTCATTGATGTGTTGTACAAAGATACTAGTGGTTGATCCTCAAATGAGGGGTGTATGGGTCGAATTCTTGAAATAAGGGAATTGAGAGATCGAATAGCGGGAAGAACATAGTCAAATTTGACCTTCCCTCGTGACGATTATACACGTACACAACTTCACAGCCAATTCTCTATTGACTATTAAGTATATGATACATAGGTATAAATATGAATTGATACCCAAGCAAGCCTCTTGGACTACATCTTATTTAGCTTGCTAGGTACGTAGGTGGTTTACTTCAATGAAACTGACAAAGTATTAAGTATCCATGTCTCTACTGACTATATAACGAATACATAAAACATATCCTTCTAGGATTGGCGAGTCACCGACTGCATAAGCTCAGATATCTCAAGGTATGACTTCACTCACACGTGGATCCCTTAAGGATGAAATCCCTCCCATCTGCAAACGCTCACTCACACCGCTATCCCCTTATGTTCACCGACTTTACATACACGAACTGCTCTTTACTTCTATCAGAGTTTGACAGAAGACTATTTTTACCCGTATAGTACATCTTAGGTAAAGTGTAAAAACGAAGTCTACGAGTTAGGTAGTTGATATTCAAGGATCTTCCAAGTTCTTCACGTTGACAAGTCACCAAATAAGAATAGCACCAACCCCCTCGACATTTGCCTTAGCCGCGAGTCCGGGCCGAGACTAGTTGCAGTAGTTATGCATTGTCTGCTTGTTGACATTGTCATGTGCACGAAGCTGCGAAGTAAAGGGTACAATGCCCTTCTTTTCTCAGCTAGGACTATGGATTACCTACATATACATACATATGTAAACATACGTCAAACCCTACATCGTGGGAGACATACCAGAATGATGGGTTCGTACAGAGATTAAAGAGCAGAAAAAAAATAATTACGTGTGAAATAAGCGAACCCTGAAGAGAGACGAACCGGTTCATCCAAATTACCATTACATGTCCTAGGTAAGCCTGTATATGACTGACTTATATAAGCCGGAGGTCTTTGAAATGAAGGTTGAAAATTTTTCAGATTTTTTTTTTTCTTCTTCCCTCTTCTATACCCATGTCAATGGAACGGTGATAGGGAGTGACTGATGTGTTGTCTACCTAGGTAGAAGGGAAATAGAAATGTCGTCAGCCTACGCTAGATCCTAGTTTAGGGCTGTCCCAAGCCAAGATCCCGCTTCGATCTAGCCCGCGAATTCCTTAATAGGCCATTGATATACATTGATAGGCGCTATAGCTAGGCCTTATAATTAGGCCTAGGGACTCACCCGTTGCCAATTCTTCCCCTCTACTACGTACAACTCCTTTCCGGATGCTACCCAATCTAAGACCCGCGCTATTTGTAGTCCGTTGGCACCACGCGACTTATCCCAAATACTATAGACTAGACCTCTTTTTCTTCTAACTGCCACTATCGTCACCGGGAAAGGGGGGTGGATGATGGGATGGGATGAATTGGGCAGCGATGCGTGTGGTAGCTCGCCCGGTAACTCCTACAAAGCCCCGGGCTTATGTAGGTTAGAGACAACAACGACGACAACATAAGAACAACACATTGAAAGTAAAACAAGACAGGCAACAGAAAAGCGAGGCTACCTTGCTGCTTGCTGATGACAACTGGCCATCAATGCTGGCCCCGTCCCATCGTGGGGTTCCTACACCACCACCAACCATATGTATTTCTTCCTCCCTGCATGGATGGAGATGGACGGACCTGTAAGATCTGCCTCTCCCGCTGCGGCCACTCCAATTCCCCAATATCAGTGGTGCGCGCGACCAAAGTCGAGCACCGAGCCGCTCATTACTTTCGGGACCTTACTGATCATGATGCATCTTCTACCCTCCCATCACCTATATGTCTCACAAGTTAGGAAATCTCTCATATTCTACCATTCCCATCGTCGATTGTTATTTGAGGGGCTACGCACATCACCAACCATGACATATTTTCTAGAAAAGAAGGAGGGAGGAAGAAGAAAAGAAGAAAATGATCTACGAGCCCCTACTGCATGCTTACCATCACTCAGTACACGTCTCTCCAATGCCACACCATACCAAGCTTCTTCCACGCTCACGATATTCAATCGGGACCGCGTGGGAATGCCATGGAAAGATCGTGGCCATCTTGCCCTGCATTGGTTCCCGTGGCTGATTCCTCTTTTTCGACTCTTTTTCGCCTTGCCTCCAACAAAAGTCCGTAACTTGTACCTACATTGCCTATCCCCAATCTACCCACCCACCCATCAATTATCAATTACTCCAAGTCATACCTACATAGTAGATACTTCATTCTTAGCTTACCTATCTAGCTACTTACTTATCTAGCCATCAACTCACGCGCCCAGCTCCCTTCCCTAGTCCCTACCTAGGTAGTCTAGTCTTTAGTTAAGGAGTAAAGCAAGGTAAGGTTAGGTAAGTAAGGTAATGGAGGTTCGGGTCGGGCTTTTAGGCACGTAATCACGCCGTACCTATGTAGTCAATCAATGATCTCACATCCTACGTATCCACGCCAACCCGCCCGCCCGTCCGTCCGCCTAACCCACGCGACCGAGCGATAACATAAATCCCTAATACTTAACGCATCTATCTACCTGCGTAGGCAGTAAGCAATAGTTTCCGACAGACCCCATGACGCCCCAAACACCAACCACAAACCACCGAACCCAGCGCCAGGAATTGACTTCTTACAGTGGCTCCCAAGCCCCAATCCCTTTTCTAGCTGAAGCACCACCTAATCAATCAAATCGCGGGGCGCGTAACCCACGTACAGCGTAGAATCATTCGGTTCTGAATCCGACGACCTGCATCAAAAGACGGCAGACTATTTACCAATGCGCCGTGAATTATCCTATACATACATATACATACCCACATGCTTGCTGACAGAATTAGATTGATTGCCTATCCACGCTCTCAACGCCATTTGCAAAAAAATACCCTAGGTAATAGGACATCTACCATCCAAGGTCGGCGTAACACAGCATATGTACTCGACTTTCCTCGGCATGACACATTACAATCACCCATCACTCATCACATACATATCTCGAATCTCTCCTTCGTGTATCATTAACACGTTGACACGTATCGTATCGTTTCGCTGTGATAGATAGAATTTTTTCTCATGTCTACCTAGCGCTTAGAAGATTTTTTTCTTACCCGCTTGTCCTTCTCCCCTTTCTTTTCGCTATGTACTAGAGGTAGGTAGGAGAAAAAAAGGGAGGGTCCGGGTCGGCGTGGCATACCATACATACAGTACAGTACCATGCGATGCAATGCCATGCTATCCATGGGATGACACCCTCCGCCCGCCACCTGCCCACGTTTCCCACTATACGTACAAGAAAGCGAAGGTACATTACCCACCTACATACATACCATACATATGTATGCATGTAGGTATGTAAGTGAACAAAGGGTGGATATGTAGGTAATTTGGTAGATCGTATGTTACAAAAAAATGTGAGGAGTGAGGAGGAGGATTTTTGGAAGTAAGTAGTACATTGGTGATGTGTGGTTGGGTAGCTCTGAGCCGTTTCGTCGAGTCATTTGTGTATTGCCGCCTGAACGCCTGGTCTGATGGGTCCCCTCTCCAATCCCGCAGATGCATTACTGTAAAGTCTATAAAATAATATCCATGTATGCACGTTCGACGCTGGGGTGGGCTGTGGTGGAAGTGTAACCTGTCAACTTCCTCTACTATCTCCGCCTCGTTACCTATTCGTCCTTGTCCTTGTCCTTTTCCTTGTCGTCATGCTCCTTTTTCCACTCGCAGATCTTGCATCGATTCGCCTGCTCCCGGTCCAAGTTGGGGAAAACGAGGTCGAAAACCTCGCCGTACCAACTGGCTGGATGGCCCTCGATACCCTCCTTAATGTTCTGCATGATAATGTTAGCTCGAACCATTGTATTGGACTATTGCTGCTGGTAAGCATAGGGGTACCCACCTCTGGTAATTCTAACCAGTCGGACATATTGTCCTCAGGGAAGATGATCATCTTACAACCAGCCCGCCTTGCTGCCACCGTCTTCTCCCGCAGGCCCCCTATCCTGAGCACCTTACCGGTAAGTGTAAGTTCTCCCGTCATGGCGATTGTGGGGTCAACTGGAGAATCCAACGCCAATGATAAGAACGAAGTCGCCATAGTTATGCCAGCTGATGGACCATCCTTCTGTACCGCCCCTTCTGGCACGTGCAGATGAATTTTCGCCTTGTCGAAGAAGTGGTTATCAGTAAACTCCTTTGCCATGTAGGCTTTGGCAAAAGAGTAGGCGATGGCAGATGACTCTTTCATCACCGTCTTAAGGTTACCTGTTATCTCCAGGCTTGGGCGGGTGCTGGGCCTTAATGCCGATTGGAGGATGGATTCTATGTACATTGCGGAACCACCGAGTTGGGTCCATGCAAGACCCATCGCGACACCAGGTGGTGTCACATCATATAGACGGTCGGAAGTAAAAATTGGGGGACCGACGTAGTCCTTCAGGTTTTCCTTGTTGATCTCAACATGAACTGAATCAGGCACCTTTAAGGGTACACGCGGCTTTTCTGTAGTTTCTTTTTCGGATGCCTCGGGAGAGGTAGGATCGTGGTTTTCTTTCTCTTTTTCCTTCTCCTTCTCCGACTCTTCTAAGGCAGCCTTGCCGTCGTCTGTCAGAGCCGCAGACTCTGGTAAGACGTCCTCTCCGAGTTCCTGAACGATCTTTAGAGCCGATTTACGGTAGACCTTCTCAATCTGTTTCTTCAGATTTCGAACACCCGACTCGCGACAGTACGACTTAATTAACTCATCGATCGCCTCGTCCGTTAAAGAAACATCTGCATCCTTCAATCCAGCTAGTTCTTTGGCGGCGGGACCGAGGTATTTATCCGCAATTGCTCTCTTCTCGTCCGAAACGTATCCAGAAAGTCTGATAACTTCCATACGGTCTAAGAGTGGTCTCGGGATGGTGTCTGTCATATTTGCTGTACATACAAACAAGACTTTAGAGAGGTCGACGGGAACATCCATATAGTGGTCTAGGAAAGAGCTGTTCTGCTCAGGGTCAAGCAACTCTAGGAGAGCTGATGAAGGGTCGCCTTGATAGCCCCGGCCAATCTTGTCAACTTCATCAATCAATATCAGAGGGTTTTCCGTCTGGCACTTCTTCAAAGCTTGAATGACTCGTCCGGGAAGAGCACCGACATACGTTCGTCGGTGACCCTTAATTTCAGCCACGTCCGTAAGACCACCCACACTGAATCTGTAGTATTGCCGATTGAGAGCACGAGCAATTGATTTGCCTATACTCGTTTTGCCAACTCCCGGAGGTCCGACGAAGCACAAAATCTTGCCTTCCACAGTACCGCGGAGTTTGCCGACTGCAATGAACTCCAAAATGCGATCCTTGACATCTTTCAGTCCATAGTGATCTTCATCTAGAACATGCATCGCATTTTGAATTCCAAAGTTTTCGGCGCTTCGTTGTCCCCAGGGAATCTGTGTCAACCAATCTAGATAGTTTCTCGTGACGTTAAACTCCGAAGCGGCGGGTTCAAGATGAGCGAGCTTGTTAATCTCGTCATCAAACACCTTCCGAACACCTTCGGGCATTGCTAACTTATCGGCCTTCTCCTTAAACTTCTCGACCAGCTTGTCCTTACCATCAGACTCAATGCCTAGTTCGCGCCGAATACCCTTCATTTGTTCCATCAACCAGTATTCTCGTTGTCGTTTCGTAATCTTCTGCTCTACATCCTTGGTGATCTTAGATTGTAATTGCGCGTTCATAAGTTCCTTCTTTAAGACAACTAAAGCCTTTTGCATGCGTTCCTCGACGTTCAAGCTAGCCAAAACTTCTTGTAATTCTGCAGGCTCACCGGCAGATACCGCTGCAGCGAAATCCGCTAGTTTTGCTGGCTCCGCCATAACATTTCCAGTCGATTGACTCATAGAGAAAGTCGATATTTGATCTCTAAATAAGCTATTCATAGAGGCGACTTCCTTAAACACATTGACGATTTCGTTCGTCACTGCTCGAATAACAGGACTCTTAGGATCAAATGGTTCTTCCGATAAGTTCTCAGTGTTAACGAGACTGACCGGGTATTTCCTTAAGAATGATGTCGGCTCGTACTTTTCGGCCGCGGAATCAGACTTTGAAGCTACGGCGCTCTCCTCGAAGCTTGCGACTACATCGCCCTTCTTTTCTTGTTGGCCCTCCTCTTCCGGCTTAGGTGGTATAGGTTCGGGTACTGGTTCCGTCTCGGCGTCCGACTTTTTAGATTCGTTGGTGGTAGGAGGTATTAAAGTGGATAGTTTTATGCGACGATGAGGATACAGAATAGCCGTAAGACTATTTTGCTCTCCATGCACCGGGAACGCGCTAGTGACCTGTGCAAAGACACCAGTGTCGTAGACATCAGCCGGGTCCCTGATTATGTCCTCGTCTGCATTCTCGTCCTTGAACAAGAATGCGCCGACATATGGTTGTCCTCTCTTAATCATTTCCATTATAGCCGCAGAGACATTGGGGTCTTTGATGGTAATTGCCTTGTAGAAACCAGGGAATAGAGGTCGCTTCGCTATAGGTATCGCCATAACCTGGGGGTATACGTCGGGGACAACGGGTTTTTGCAGTGCCTTGTCGGCTCCTGACTTTCGACCTCCTCGTCGGCCACCGTCTCCAGGCGCATCATTTCCAGACCCGGACGATGCACCTCCCGCCGCACTGCTTCCCTTCCCATCTTGCGGTTCCCCTTGGCCTTGGTTCTTGCCGGAGTCTGCGCTAGAGCCTTTTTCTTCGCTCACTTCCTCTTTTGTTTCTTCTGACTTTTTTTCAAGGTTTGCTTTTTGCTCCTCCTCTGACAACGGCTCAACGGACCCGTTGAAGAAGTCATTATCCTTCTTGTCTTTCCTCCTTGTAGTCGAGGTGGAAAAGCTTGTTCTTAATAGGACATTGGGTCCTGTAGGTATAGTTGGTCTTGAGCACGCGATCGCATTTTCGGTCGAACGGGTAGGAGTATATATGAAATAATGACGTGTGGGGAAACGAGGTTGAAGTCTAGAGGCAAAGGTTGAAGGTCCTCTCACGACTACTTGCCGCGATAGGCGTTGTCGACACAGCATTGTCGAGTACTTTTTCGTAGGAAAATTTCGTCGAGGGCGGTGATAATGGTGGTGTAACCGGAGGGAGGACCGGAGCACTAGGAACAAAACGAAATCCCCAACCACAAAAAAGTTGCCGGAAGTGAAGGAAGGATGATGATTAAACAATAGAAGGTACGGCGATAGGCCTTAAGGGAAAAGAAAGCCCATTTGCCTCGCTCAGAAGTTCAAGAGCTTGAATTGTCGCCTTAGTAATTGAATTTGGGATTTAGAAAAAGAAGCTCGGACGTATTTCGACCTATTTCAACATAATACATCATCGCCTCCTCCTAGCTGCTTCCTTCCCGCCATGCCCCCCCTAGCCACTTACAACGCCGGAGATAAAAAACCGGACCGACCGTTAAGCGTTAGTGGCTACCCTATTGAATTACTCAGCTGTACATTGTACATATACGCCTAATTATTACATAAACCATTCTCTTAGAAGGTAGTTGATACCCACTATAAAATGGAGTCTCCTGCTACCCATGTAACTAGATCTAATATTGTTATGTGTGCATCTTAAGAATTTAGAAATTTCTAGAAGAAAAGGAAAATGCTTGCTAATTGAAAATATTTGGATGTATGGAGGTGGCGGGCAAATGCGTTGTTTAATTGTCTAGGCGGTAGAGGAAAAAGTCATTATATGCGTGCTGGCCTGTTGTGCCATATTGGTACCCCCTCAGGTTAGCAACAGCTCATATCAAACGGGTATTACCTACGTTTATTCTAGATAATAAACAGGGCGGCAGAAGTCAGAATACAACAATATTGAGCAAGTCCAAAGTTTAAAGTAGCATTAGGTGTATGCTAAATACCATCATGAACATGTCAAGTTAAGAGATGTGAATAGCATCATGTATCACAAGCTTATATAATAAAACAGTACTCTGGAACCACAGACACGCAAGATCAACGATATTACAAGTAAAACGTAGTTACCAGTGCAAATTATCAATTAGTTATTAGAGGGGATATGTCTATGGCGCTTCTTGTGAGAAGAATGCAACACCCAAGCTAAATATGCTGTGGTCCGTACGCCTGTAGCCATTAATGCACTCGCGCCTCCAAAAATTCGCCTCAATGTCCTAGCCCGTCCACGCCATGCGATAAAAAGCAACCCTGGGCGCCTCGCTATGCTGATTTTGCGATCGGGATCGTAGTCCTTGGTGCGTAGAAAACCTACTAGCATCAACACCATAAACTCCTATGATCGCGTGGTATCATTTTGTATCATCATTACCTCCCCCACGTACGGAAAAAAACACCGTTGAAATCATTCATAATTCCTTGAAATCACCCCGCTATACCCCGAAGGAAGTTATAGCATGATCTTCGTTGGTAGATACCCCTTTTCGATGCATCGAACACACTCTCACGCTGGTCCTCTTCAGCGAGATCGCGGTCATAGGCTTCCTTCTCTTTGCGCATTCTCTCCAAAACGATAGCCTCATCTTTCTCGGCAACTTTCGCCATTGCCTTCGAGATAGAATCGTTAAGTTTGCGGAGGGTTTCTCTCGGATCAACCTTTGGTTCTGCAGGCTCGTAACGATGGTGGCATTCAAGACACTCAATCTCGGCTTTCAACGCGTTGGGTCCGGTTTTGCATTTCCACCAACCACCATGTTCTCTCTGATGGGCATGGCGCCACTTGGGATCAGGATGGTGCCAATTCAAGTCCCAGTTCGGTTTCTTCGTGGCTGCTTCCCGTTCGTCCTTTCTTCGAGCCGCGTTCTCAAGGTTGCCGAGGAGCGTGAGTAGTGCTTTCCATCGGCTTTCGACGTCCTTTCCTTCTAGTTGCATTTTCAGGAGTGGGAACCAGTCGGGTATATTAAGCTTATTAGAGGTATTTGATGGGGCTGTAGATGGTGATAGTGTATTTGAAGTACGAACTTGTGGCTCAGACAAAGAGGTTGGCTTGCTTGTGTTCGGCGAAGGTGGAACGAGTGTGTCCAGAGATCCAAGATGTTCAAGGCCACTAGCCACAGCCTGGTCAAAAGGTATCGTGGTTAGTTTGAGTGGGGTGCCGTGGAAATACAGGCGGTTGTCTTTTGGAAGGCTAGGATTGGAAGATGAGGAACCATCTGAACCTAACAGTCGCTCGGTTTTGGACATCTCACGTGGAGATGGCTGTGGCTGATGCACCATCTCCAGAACGCGACGACGGGCTGACGCATGGGCCTCGAAGCTGCGAACGTCCACAAAATTGGCGTAAGCATCTAGGACTTCGGCAGAGAGCGTTTTCTCCCTCTGAATGCAAGTCTTATAATGAGACGATATTTGATTCTCGATTTCTATTATTTTCTTATCGGCGAACCGGCGAGTTCGGTCATCTGGGGCTTGACGAAATAGCGTTCGATATATCTCTAGTTGGCGTGGTAAATTGAGGTCGTGCTTTGTGTTGCGGAGCGCAATTATTTCTTCATTCGTCTTCTTCATCCACTCTTTGAGGAGGGTGAATTGTTTGCTGTAGTTATCCGTGCATTTCTCGGGAACCGTTAGGCCCTTTCGGGGCGATGTCGTAGATCTTCCCGATTCAAACGGTGGCGAAGCGCAAAGGGGGTATGCGTCCCAGTGGTCTAAATTCGTGGGTGAGGAAGGGGAGGTTAGGGGGATGACTTGCGAAGGGATATTCAGGAAGCCCGTCGGCGTGGTTGGCGTGGCGGGTTGAGAGATGGGTGCAACGTTATCGCGCGCCGGAACGCAATTGATTTCGTTGGTATTTTCACCCAATTTCATAGTAAATTGCAGGGCTAATCTATGTTGCCCATGTTGATTGGGTTTTGCTTTATTGGGGGCTTCCTTCAGATCCTGGGGTTGATCGTTGGTAAATTGAATTAGACACGTGCCTTCAGGCCAGAGTGAGCGTGAAGGCCTCGAGGTTGAAGGAACGAGTGACGGAACAGCAAGTTCATCGTCTAGCGGAGGAAGGTTAGGAGGGAAATGAGCAGGTTTATGAATGTGGGTTTGAAGGATAGCCTGAAGGCCGAGATTTCCTTGGATGGCCATGATGCCTGTCGATGTGTCGATGTTGAAAATTACTATTAAGGATGGCGCGGAAGAGAGGTGAAGAGAAGATGACGTCCGCAAAATGAGTGTAAAATGTGTGCTCGAAAAAATAACAAATCGCAAAGTATGGTGATTTTGTAAAACTGCAAAAACCACTTCATCGAACAGCACAGTTCGAAGAGTGTTTCGTTCTGGTGCGCAGTACGATGTTCGTGTGAACAACACGGTACAAAATGACTGGTAAAACTACGTCAAAAACACGATTAGTAAAACAAATTACTACTACAGTTAGACTGTGTAGAAGAATGGACGATAGATGGATATCTACCGAATATACTATGGGAGAAGACGAAAAGGGTAGAGGTGTAGAGGTGTAAAATAATAGAGTAGGGAGGAGGATATGGGAAGTACCTAAGTTAACCAGGCCCAGAAACTCGATGAGCCCACAAATATTAGAAGTCAAAAAGGTGCGGCAGTAATCAAATTTGGAAGTTGCCCATCGAAGTCGCGTAGTCAATTAATCGTTTTGGTGCAGAAGTATTTCTGATAGGTTCGTACCGGCAAGTTCACACTGACAGGGGGCCTACAGTGACTTTTTCTCGCAACTGCATGGCCTGTTCTCTCTCTTGTGCCGAATTTTGCTGTTGTTCCTTCCTCCTTCGATCAGCGTCAATACTAGTAAAACGACCGCGAGCACCGTGCCGAAGTTTCGTTATCATATCTGTTGCTTTTCCCTTCGTGATATCAGTGACTTTTAATTTTTCCTTTTCCCCTCGTAGCTTGTTTAAAAAATTCAACTGGCCGTTGGTGGGCGGGCCACTTCGCCAACGTTGGTATCTCGAGATAAGGGGGCGGGGGTACTTTTCGGATGCGTACTTGTCGCACCCATGTACGGCGTCAATAAAAGAAGTTGCTTTCAGTAGCCGTCGAGGTGCAGCATATGGTGATTTAGATACACCTGAAGGAAGAGCGCGAATTTCCCATGCGGCAAACTTTTTTTCGTTATCATCTGTTGTATCCTCCTTTTCCAATCTAATATAAGTTCCGTGAGGTCCCGATAATATCCATTTGCTTGGACCTACTTGCACCCATGCATTTTGACTGATTGATCGAATATGCTTATCGCCAGATGTGTCCGCAATTAAATCGAAAACCGAATCGTACTCGACAAAAGTAATGTTATGAGCCTTTTTATGCTCCCCGCCGCCGTCTCCAGTGGTCCCGGGACCACCCTCTTGCTTCGTCGTCTTCAGGCGTCGCATCTCGTCCACGGATGCCTCCTTAACAACTTCGGATGGGTCGAGCCCAAATAGAGTAGGAGTCGTCACTATACCAGTACTCAAACTTGATACCATATCGATGATATGACAATCCTCCTTGTCTGGATGAAGCCGCATGCCTCTTCCTATCATCTGTACCAACAAATTACGAGAACGAGTTGGCCGTGCCAAGATAATGCAATCGATATTAGGAATGTCAGTCCCTTCGGTGAAAACGCCGCAATTTATTAGCACCGGGAATTCCTGGCGTCTGAAGGCATCTATCCTTTCGCTTCTTTCGACCTTTGGTGTTTCTCCCATCACAAATCTGGCATCAATGCCGTGTTGTCGAAAGGTATCGGTCAACCCAGAAACATGTGCAAGATCTACACAGAAAACCAATGTTGATTTCCTCTCGGAAGCTTTTGCAAGCCAGCTGCGGACGGTAATCTCGTTCACCTGCTTAGTGTTGACCGCCCTGGACAAATCGCCGGGTTGAAAATCACCATTATTGCCACTCTTGACCTTGGAGATATCGGCAGTTGACTCTACTGTGGTGAATATAACATCCGATAACCACCTATCTCCTATCATGTCGACATAGTCCTTATGATAGACTATCTCGTCGATTGCAGCACCCAGTCGAAGTCCGTCGGTCCTAGAGAAGGTTGCAGAAACACCGACAAGCGCCGGCGAGTCGTCCCTCTTTTTATCGAGGCCGAAATGTTCTAGGACATTCAGGTACCCAGGAGCAACGATGTGATGAGCCTCATCAACTAATATTAGCTTAAACCATCTGGGATTAAACTTGTCGAGACGGTCTCCAGAATTGATGCTCTGTATGCTCGCAATAGTAATGTCTGCAGTCCCCGAGGAATGCATATTTCCCATCTCTATCTCAACTGACTTATTCGGGTAAGCAGTAGTACAATGCCTGGCTGCCTGTTCCACAAGCTCTCGCCTATGGGCGAGAATCAACGTCTGACGAGCTTCATCTGAATTGGATTTGATCCGATCAATCAACTGGGTGAAAATGACGGTCTTTCCAGAACCTGTAGCCAGCGATATGCCTAATCTTTTGTGGCCGTATTTCAGAGAGCTGAGAACAGACTGGATACACTCTTCTTGGTAGTCACGAAGACGGATGCCTTGGAATGGATTGGCGAGATTGGCCACATAAGAAACAACCGAAGTAGAAAAACTCTTCCGTCGGTGCCCTGCTATTAGCAAGCGTGGTATTAGTCTCGCCGAACGTAGCCATCTTGTAAAAAGAGGCGGCATGGCGCGTTTATACGACCATAGATGTCGAGACAAGATTTGCGGCTCGTGCTGAACTTTCCAATTAAAAAAGTTTTTATATGGTTCGAAGCACCGAGTATCGAATTATGCAAGTTATATTAATATCGACATATAAGATGTGAAAACGCGCGAACGTAGAGGTGAATGTATAAAACCCTTTTTTTCTTCTTTTTTCTTGTTATAAATTATGATTAATGAAGCTATTATGGCGGCACACCGTCGTGAATGACTCGTATTATTTATGTACTGTATTGAATCGTGGTAAATGTTTGTATGTTCACATCTGCGTTTATATACGGAGTAGTAGTGTACTGAGGCGCTACGTATTTAGACGAAATTTCTCCATTAATACTGTGAAGCATCGAGGGAAGAGCCATAGTCTCTTATATCCCCCATTCCTTCTTTTTTCGACAGCCAACGCATAATTCATAAACAATGAGCTCATAGGCCTAATAGCGTGGGACTAAAACCGGCCCAAGGCTTTTCACAACACATCAAACCTCGGAGCCACATAATATTCCACCCAACTAAATTAAGGAAAGGAACATTTTATTCCCGCTTCCAATAACCACGGATAGTTGCATATACATCTCTATACGACTTACACCACCAACCTATCTCTGAGTCAGAATTTTAGGGGTAAAGGGGCATTAACTAAGCAAAACCATGAACGTGGAAGACGACGAGAACAGCAAATCCAACGGGGACCGCCCAACCCCCTCAAAAACCACACACCCTCCCACCACCACCAATACACCACGTAAGCGGCGCCGCCGCAGCGCCACAAGCGCCCCGCCCTTAAAGCGGCAAAAAGGCGTTTTCAACCCGCGGTACCTGACCCTGCTTAACGAAGACATATCCGACTTTGTCAGTGCCCAGGATCCCGGTACTGACGATGCGACTCTTACGCCCACACAGCTCGGCGCTGTATCCTGGAATACAGCTGAGAAACAAGCGTTCTTTACTGCGTTAGGGAGGACAGGCGTTGATGACTTACCCGGTATTTCGACACGGATCAGCAATGCAGTAACGGGTAACGGTAACACCGGAGTTAAAAGCGAACTCGAAGTCCGGCAGTATGTCCATTTACTAGGGGAAGCGGACCGTGCCCGCCGCGCTGATGCGAGTAAAGCACACCGTGTACCTCTCCCCTCATCTATCCCGGCGGCTGCTGAGATTAGCGCCCCGCTATGTGCGGCGCTTGAATCTGCCGCGGATTCTCTTGCGCTGAGACAGGAGAACCATGAAGCGAATGTCGAGCAACGGCGATGGGGTGAGGGACGGTGGTTAGTTACGCCGGAGGTGGCGGGGTTGTATGAGTGGCAGGTACGGTGGGAACGACAGCGACATCAAAGTCCCGCTAGTACCAACGCAGCAGGGTGTGACGAAGGCGATGACTCGTCCCCGTTACCACCGTTCGCGGAGCTTTTCATACCGCGGAATTGGCTGCACCTCTCCGAGCGCATATTCATGAACTCATCCGTTGTGCCCGATGGCAACTGGCGTTGTGTATCGGAGGAAGAACCATCAATTCGTGCTACGGCGCTTGCGGATTTTCATTCCCTGGCTGTGAGCGTGACAAAGCGGCTTATATCAGCTACTTTATATGTGGCGAGCTCACGGGTACGCGCGAAGCGTACTGGAGACAAACGGGGTCGCATCAGTGCCTTGGTCAAAGCCAAAGATGTCCATGCTGCGGTAGCATCATCAGGGATGCGTGAAAATAGCCGCAAGTTTTGGGCGCAGGCTGCGCGGAGGTTAAGGTTGGATGTTTATGATGATTCAGATGACTTGGATTCAGATGAGGATTTGGAAAAAGGAGAAGGCCTGGTTACAGCGGATGACGAAGACTTATCAGAAGAAGAGGATGAGGATGCGGGTATTAATATTCCTGAGGATGTTAATGATGACGACTACCAAGAAGACCCCGGCTCCGATGAGGAGGGAGACCAAGACAAAAATCACGGAAGCCCAAATGACGACCTCTCTGAAGACGAATTTGACATACTCTCCTACGATGACGTTGAAGCCGCCCTCGGCTTCCTAGTCACAAACCACCAACCCGAAAATTCCTCTCCGGAAACCGATTTAGTCGAACTACCCAGCTCTTTCTCTGATTCCGACCTTGAGTCTCTGCCAGAAGACTCCGACCTCGAAGATGAGGGTCAAATCCAATCTAAATCCTCACCTGAAAACGAAGACCCAATCGACGTGGAACTTGCAGCAGCTGTAGATTTGGACCTCAACGAAGCCCTCACATATTCCGCACTTGACCATCCAGGTACCACTGACTTCGCCAAAGTCCTCCGGCGCCGACTTCTTGCTGAGCATCGCCTCTGGGACGAAGCCGAACGTGCCGATGCACAAGTTAGTGCAAGTGAGCAAGCGCGATTATGGAGTCTACTCCAAGGAGAAGAAATGGAAGAAAAGGGAGTTAGGATAGGGTCAGAGGAGGAAGAGAAACCTAGCAGGAGGAAATTGGGCGTGATAGATTTAGGAGGTGGAAATTGGCGGGATCGTACGGAGTATTATGGTGAATGGGAAGTCGACGGGGATCAAAGTTTGAATGATCGCGTTGGCTAAAAATGCACTTTTAGGCATAAATCTACGCGCAATATTACAATGGCCACAATAAACATAATCTGCAAATTAAGAAAGCTTTTCCATTTCTCACGGATGTGTCCTATTTATGGGTAGTACTAGTACTGGTGGTAGTAGTGGTTTTTGTATGGTAATACACTGCCTTTTTCGTACAAGACACTATTGGTTACCCACCCTCCTCGCCTCTGGTAATCAGGTAGAAGAAATAAAGCACGAACCCCTTCTGAAATTGACAAGAAAAAATGAACCTCGTTTCCCGTGACGCCCACTAGAAATACCTAGGTAGCAGATTTGCACATAAAGCCAAATCAAATAGCCCCTTTAGAATGCCTGATTCGCCATGGAGGTAGAAACCCAACCCTACTTCCCTCTCGTTCGTAAAAACCGAATAACCTAAAACTAGGCCTCGTAGCTCTTGATGTTGCCATCACTACCGAGTGGTTGTACTGAGTTTAATGATGGCGCAGATGTGAATGTCAAGCCGGTACCATCAGGTCTGACATCACCACCGTTGACGGCGGCCGTTTTCAGGCCTGCTTGGGTTTCCCTAACTCTCTTCTTGAATGCGAGTCTGTCTAGGAAGAGTTGTTGCCTGCCCCTCTCCAGTTCGCGTCGTTCTGCCTGTAGGATACCTTCCATTTCATCGAAGTACTTTAACTTCAGCTCCATCTTTTGTAGTGTGACGTTCACAGCTGCTGAAAGAAGTCTGGACATCTCTCGCTCTTCATGAGAAGCCAAACCACCAGCACGAGCGCCCATAGCGGCGAGTGGTATGCTAGCCAAGTTGGATGCGGTTGTACCAGTATTCTCTTGGCGGACGTCAATATCCATTGAGTCACCCTCCTTCTCCTTGCCCTTTCCGTTGACCTTCGGCACGTCGCCGCCCTCAATTTTGTTTCGCAGTCCCTGTTGAAGCTCTTCCGTCGCCTTCTTCGCGGCCGCGGCTGTCGTCTTAGGGTCTGTGAGGCTAGCAAGGAATCCGATAACGGACATAACCGGGTTGTCAGCTTGGCTAAAGGGGAGATGTCCACCATGCTTCCCTAGCATAGCTAGACCCGTGGGGGCGTGGATAGGTGCCTCTGTCTCGAGATACTTGTCCTCGATATCTAGCTGAAGGAACTGTAGAACACATTCCTCTCTAGTTCGTGTACCAACATGCTCAGCAATCTCGGCCCAATCGTCATCGTATCTTTCTAATGCCTCAAGAAGTCGAAGGATTTCAGCATCCGTCCACGGAGCATCACGATCGAGAACTGTCGAGTAGGTCTTGTTCTCCATTTTGACGAATTGGGTGTTGGTTTGGTTGTTGGGTATTCGGCCTTCCAAGTAGCAACTCGGGCAGACGTCATACTTCGTCTTATTAGGAGAGTTAGCTTCAGGAAGGTGGTAGTAAACTCTAGTGCAGTCAACACCGCAGTTCTGACAGTGAACCTTAACAATAGGTTTAGTCAGATTCTCATCAGCGGCCGGAGATGTCGTGCCGTTGGTGGCCGCAGCCTCGCCATTTGTCTTGTTCTCGGACTTGTTGATTTTTGCTCCTTTCGCGTTAGCCTCGTAGATGTTGCGGCCAATTTCTAGATTTCGTTCACCAGCAGCCGTCGCAGCAGCATTGGCCTTCTGGTCTGTATCCTGGCTCTTTTTGCCTTCAAGGATAATTGGATCGGCCGAAGGTTGCCAGGGTTGAAGTCCACGAGGGGTATCAACGATGACCTGGAAATGGCCTGTGAATGGCGGGCCGACTTGAGACGGCCGAAGGTCAGTGTCGACCTGTAATATGTTAGCTAATCGTTCTAGTCATCGTAGTCACACAATCTTCACCTGATAGTTGATCAGTCCCCATTGCTCTAGAAAAGCATGTACGCGCATGATAGCACAGACATCGCCGGCCAGGTTTCGTCGGCACGCAGTTACGGTTAGGTATTCGATGGGGTTCAAGCGGTAGGTGTTGATCATGAAATCGCGATAATCCTTGTAGACGGCCGGGGTTTTAGATCGGTTGCGGCTGTTGAAGAATTCTGGTAGGGCTTTTCGTTCAATGTTGTGAACCGCATTCATGTCGAACCAGGAGCTATAACTCGGAAGAACAATGGCGTGTGTCTGAGAAATGAGGTGTTCGCGCGCGGCGTTTTCGATGCTTTCCTTAGATTTGGCCTCCTGAGCACCACCATCAGCGCCGGTAGTCGCTTCATCGCCATCCTTATCCTGGGGTCGTCCGTCCTGGGTCTCGGGTCGAGCTTCACCCATCTCCTCATCGTCCTTAGCTAGGGTAGTTTCAGCAGGCGGCGCAGGAGGGGCATCAAGTGGGTTATCTGAAGTACCAGCAGGTGCAGGAGTAGTGCTATCTTGCTTAATAACAGGATCGGCGGATTGGGGTTCGGACATCTGTATATCTATCCGGCGCATTAGCATAGTTCACCTACAAGGCTCTAACACGGACGTCTAGAGCCGCCGTTTAAATTACCTTCAGACGCTTGAGGCGCACTCGATGTGTCGGTCTGTAGAGGTGGTTGCGCTAGAATGGGGTTACTACTAGGAGTAGCAGCATTGGCTGGTGAGCCGTAGTTGGCGTTTTCGCCGTCCATGTTGAAGGCAAAATGTAAAATTCCAGTCGTCGGCGATTGAAGGATCCTCGGAATATTCTTATGGGGATTGTATCGTTATTGGAAAATTGGTCGCGCGAAACGTCGGAAATATCGAGATAATATTCGCGACGAATTATTAACGAGTGGTAGAAAGGAAATGGAAGGAAAACGCCGTCTCCGAATTGTGGAAAGGTTGATGGATCTCAATTCATTGGATGCGTCGATGCGATGAGCTCGGGTCGACCGCGTGTTTGGAGAAATAATTTGGCGCGACTGAGAAAGGAACTGAAATGGGTCTGGTCACAGCTGGAAGAGATTGGTGGATGTTGGTCAGTGCACTTTGAGTGGTCAGTGCGTTGTTGCTGCCAAGTCCGAGACATCATGTGACTTGAGCTTATCTAACACGATGCAGCATACATACGTACACTGAGTCCCGCTTTTATTATACATGTACTCCAGTCGTGAACTTTCCTAACAAACCGTAATCGGCTCCGATTTCTTGGTACTAGGGAAGGTACTAACTTCGGTGTGGGCCGCGAACAACCGAACTCATGACGAAGGGAATTGAACGAACTCGGCTTCTTAAAGACTAACACCCGTAGTAGGTTGCTCTATTTCCCGCCGCATGAAGTTATTAACTTCCCAATCACCACACAACAATGCTATTCTCCACAGCGACGAGGGCAGCCCTCCGAAGCGTTGGTAGTTTACCACGCTCTACTTCAGCATTTTCAAGTCCTTTTAGCAGTCCGTCAGCTCTCCGACGATTACTATCCTCCTTGGCGATCCTAGAACAACGCGATGGGAAACTCAACCACGGTTCCCTAAGCGCAATTACAGCCGCGAAAAAGCTTGGGGGTTCTGTACACGGATTTGTCGCTGGAAGCAGTATTAAACCCGTTGCAGAGGAGGCAGCAAAAGTTGAAGGTGTTGAGAAGATAATCGCGGTAGACAATGCTGCCTATGACAAGGTACGGAAGGATTGGCTCACCTAAACAATTGCAATTGGGTATGAAGTTTTCTAACTGACACCTATCCAATCATAGGGTCTCCCCGAGAACTATGCGCCATTGCTGGTAGAGAATATCAAGAAGGGAGGCTACACACATATTATTGCCGGTCACACTGCATTTGGCAAGAGCCTACTACCCCGTGTCGCCGCGCTACTCGACTCCCAACAAATATCAGACATTACAGCGATTGAGAACGAGAACATTTTTGTACGCCCGATATACGCCGGCAACGCCATTGCCACCGTCGAGTCCTCCGACCCGATCAAAGTTATAACTATCCGCGGTACAGCTTTCCCCGCCGCCGAGGCGCAAGGAGGTTCCGCGGCTATAGAAGATGGTGTAGATCCTAACGTGGAAATATCTGTGGAATGGGTATCTGAAGACCTAGCAAAATCGGACCGACCGGACCTGGCGACCGCTGGAAAGGTTGTGTCTGGAGGTAGGGGTCTAAAGTCTAAGGAGGACTTCGACAAGATTATGCTACCCCTCGCAGATTCGCTAGGTGCAGCTGTTGGAGCTTCTCGTGCCGCAGTTGACAGCGGATACGCCGACAATAGTTTACAAGTTGGCCAAACTGGTAAAGTGGTCGCTCCTCAATTATACTTGGCTGTTGGTATTTCTGGCGCAATCCAACATTTAGCAGGTATGAAGGATAGCAAGGTAATTGCGGCTATTAACAAAGATGGCGAGGCACCCATATTCCAAGTAGCTGATGTGGGTTTAGTCGGAGATTTGTTCGACAAGGTGCCTGAGCTAACAGAGAAGTTGAAGAGCTCGTAGATATATACAAGTATATTTTATGATGTTACAATAATCCGCGAGGGTATCTTACTTTTCAATTCAACTTCCAGCAGCAATCAGCATTTCTGTTGTGCTCGTGAACTTTTCCCTTTCTTTTCCAACCAATAGACCCCGCTCCCTTTCCGCCTTGTCTATCTTTCGCCAATCCTCCCACTGGATAACCCTGCATTTTCCACGTTCTACCCCTGCCCTTAAGGCATCCCAACCAGAATTGTTTTCTGCTTGTAAGAACGGCGCGCCGGAGTTCCAGTCGGAGGCAATTGCGTCACCTGTAGAAAATGCATCTTCCATAGTCGACGCAATGACACCCGTTGGGCCTCTCTTGACCCAGCCTGCACAGTACACTCCCGGTAAATGCGATTCTTGGTGTTGGGTATTACTTTCATCGGATTTAATTCGTGATACCCGACCTAATCCGTCGTTCTCAATGACTCCTTTCCTATCATTAAACGAAATACCCACCTCGTCGAATCCAGGCAATGCAACAGACTTATAGCCGATAGACCGAAACGCCACGGAAGAAGGTATTGTTAGTTTCTCAGCAGTACCGGTGACACTCGAAGATGGGTCGAACGGCGACGCCAATGAGGTTCGCTCGAAGACCGTGCTCTCAATACCCCCACCAGATCGACCTAGGAATTCGAGTGGTGATAAACAAAAATCTAAAGACCATGACTTGGCAGCTTCATCGATTCGAGTTGCAGAACCCTTCACCATAATGTCCATGAGCCTTCGTCGAGCTCGAGGCAGTTTTGAAATCTCATCGGGAATAAGTGACATATCAATATCATGAAAGCCGACGTCGCGGAGTTTCATCAACTCTCGGACTTCTTTAATCGTAAATGCCGCCTAGAAAAAAGTCAGGTATCGGTTATTTTCATTGGTGGAGGATAAACTCACCTGCATCGGACCTCTTCTCCCCACAATGTGCACTCGTTTCACACGACTCTTCAATAGAGTCTCGATAGCTGCTTCAGTGATGTCTGACTTCCGTAGCACATCCACGTTTTCTAGGAGCATTCTAGCGACATCAAGGGCGACATTTCCTTGGCCAATAATGACGGCTTCATCCCCATTGGTAAGATCCGGAGCAAGATCCGCATACTCTGGCAGTCCATTATACCAACCTACGAATTCTCGAGCCGAATAAATACCTTTCAACTCGGATTCTCCGGGGATCCCAAGACGCTTATCCTCCGAAGCGCCATAAGCAAATACGATGGCGTCGTAGTGGCGCATCATTGACGCTAGTGGAATTGTACACGCATCAAAATGAGCACCCGCATTGCCGATAGAGACATTTCCGATGAATGTGAAGTCCGGTGAACTAGCAACTTCTTCGAATTTATCTTGGCAATTCTATATCATGGAATTAATAATAGTTTCCATATAGGTATGCGATAGTAAAAATTTGTATAATTTGGATCATACTTTAACCTCGGGATGATCCGGTGCAACCCCAAATCTCACAAGACCATATGGCACAGGCAATGCCTCAAACATATCAACTTTCGTCTTCGGGATCTTAGACATAACTCGATATGCGGTATAAAAGCCGGCCGGGCCGGAGCCGACTATAGCCATTCTAAAAGGTCTGTCATGTCGAGTTGATGTTGAATATCGAGATACTCTTGTGGCGAGGGGCGAGGTAGCTTTACGCCGACACGATGTGCAAAGCCATGACTTTGCAACAGAATTCATAGTTCCTTTCCATCAAACATAAATACGAGGGAAATGAGAAATCAATAATTGTTATCGCATTTTTGAAGATTATGTACAAAATGATGAGCTGAAGCAGCGGTATCTCAAAATGACGTCGGATTGAAAATGTGGATTTATCGTCTCGGTCTTCCGAAGTCCGACATCGCCGTCCCGGTCGTCATACATGGGTTAATCAATCGACTCCAGGCGCCAATCTTCAATCTCTCTTCTACAAAAAGCATCGTACATAAACTCATCTACGAAATGAGATATTCTAGGCAACCAGATTTATCGTTTATTCAGCCAATCTAAATTGTCTTTTAAAAGTAGTATGGAGCGTTGCTCGGGAAGAAGCTGTGCTGAAACTGTGACGGTAGGACATGTAAGTGGGCAAAATGGGTCAATTAATTCTGACGCCTGTTGCCGTGGTAACGGGCAGCAGTACACATATCCCCATACAATGTACACACATCCCACCCTCTTCTTATCCCCCACTATGGCGCTCCCGCCTTTTTTCGCATAAGTCATAAGACCACACATTCCAACCACAATTCGTCGATCCAATCCGCCCCTCCATATTGTGAATGTGTCTTAGCCTTGCCGAAGCAAGGCCTTCGTAGATATGGGCGCTCACCAACCTTACATGTACGACTCCGACAGGCGAGATTCGACATTGCCTGAAAAGCCATTCGATCCTAAAGCCATAACTAGAGCAAGCTGGGAACCACAACCTAAGAAACCAAAGCAAAAAGGACCCTTCTTGGCCTTCAACCGACATCCCGAGTAAGTCTTAGGCGCATGTCTCATACAAACGCATGAGCTTCATAGCTAACCAATACGACAAAGTGCGCATGAAGTACCAACAGGCCGAACTTCACAGTTCCGGCTTATGAGCAGTACGACAAAATGGTGGATCAAGTTCATGCGATATGTCCAATTATTCATCCGAGTATTCCAGATGATCGCAGGCGGTGGATTACTCACCCTCATGATCATAATCACCAATGTTGATCCCCTCACTGCCTGGGTTATGCGAATTACTCCCGGTGTTGTAGCTATCAGCTGTGTCTATGCTATTTGGCATTATATCAGACCCGCAAACTCGCGACCTCCCGCTTCTTCAGCAGCGTACCAACTATTCGCCGGCGTTATGGACCTGGCCGTTGTACCGCTGTATGCTTTCGGCGTCATCTCTGTTAATAATCATGGTAGCGAGTGGAAACTTCTGTTCACGTCGACCTGGCAGCTTAAGGATGCTTTGGTGCAGACCGAATATTACATGCTCATCACCGCCGCTGGGCTACACGTAGTCTCGCTTTGCATCTCGATCTGGCTAGGCCTCATGTTCCGTCGCATCGCCAGCATGCCGCCCGATATGAACCCGCTTGAGGACCACTTGACCTCTCGCGTCAAACAGCGCCAACACAAGCGCAACAAGTCCTCCGTGGCCACTAGCTACACTGCCATTTCGGACGTTTCATCAAAGCGTCTTTCGACTCCTCTAGAGGATTACTGCAGCTCGGGAGCCGCTTACGAGGACCTATCCCGACCACCCAGTATCCCATTCATGCACACACGCACCGGGTCCCGAGACTCATTCGCCTCCTCGAAGCGTGACTCTCGTTCCGATCTCCCAAGTAGACAGTACCAGATCACACCAGGCAACTCTCCTCGCAATAGTGTCGCAGGTTCCCTCGCCGACCTAAATCGTCTATCTACCTCACGCCTCCCACAACCGCAACGCGCAACATACACCGAAGTCCCGCTCCACGAAACCAACGCCTCCCCAACATCCTCCCGGCCCAGCACCGCCACCATAGCCGCCCCAGCGCATATGCAACCCACCAACGCATCCCCAACCCGCATAGCGCGGTTCACCGAAGCATGGTACGCCTCCGAATCCCTAATCAACCGAACCCAAGAACGTCAACGCGCCCTCAACGCCGCCGAACGACGGCAATCGCGTCCGCAATCCCAATACGAAGCACTATCCCAACGATACAATTTCGAAGATGAGGATTCTGACTCCGACCGTGAGAACCGCGGTATTATACGCCCGGACTCGGACGATGAGGAGGAGGGGGATAATGTGCAGAGTAGTCCGATTAATGTAACCGCGCATTTACACCCGAATCCGTTGAGGTTGAATCCGATTCCGATGTCGAATGGAGGTGCGAATGGAAGTACGAGTGATATTGCGAGTCGCCAGAAGACGCCCTTCCGACCACCCCCACCGGGTCGTGATTCAGCGGGTTCAGCCTTGTCGGAAGTCAATCTTAACTCCCGTCGCGTAAGCGGAAGCCAGGATATCGTGGATGAGAAACCAGCGCCCGGCGCTACATCATTCTGGCGTCGCAGCACAATTGGAAGGAGTAAACGCGGTAGTGGGAGTGGAAATGCGGCGACGGCACGGAATCGGGATTCCTCGATTCAACCTGATGGTGATTTCTACGCTAAGCCGTATGGTGAGTTGAAACCTGCTACGCCGCCGATTATGTTGGATGCGAAGAAGGGAAGTGCGGGACGCCAGGTGTCGTCCGGTAATGATTATGGGGATTTGGGGAGTGCGAATGCCAGTGCGGGGGCTTGGAGGAGTAGAAATGTTAGTGGCAAGGTTGCGGAGGAGGGGTTGGCTGGGAAGAGATACTCTCGGTATAGTATTTTGAACGATGATTGAGAGGTTTGAGGCAGGATAGGAAGGGTTGGAGGTTTGGACTGATTGGTTGATTGGTTGAGATATCCACGATACTTGGGAGTTAAGCTTTGCGTCTTGATTTTGAGGGAGGAAGTGATGGATGGAGTTCATGACTCGATCGACCGATGTGTGATAATGATTCACGGATGTAATACTAGAAACAAAGGGGAATAGGAATTGGAATTGGAACTGGATAGGTCAGGATTCTGGTCTGAATGAAATAATACTTAAGCTCTATGTATTTTATGGTCTTTTATGTGAAGTGATGCTAGTGAATGACTTTTGGATGATATCCGGGTTGGTTGTTGATAACACCAAGGCTACTATGTGGGTAGACAGAAATTATTTAATTTTTCTCATTATTTGCCCACGAAGGCTTCGTAAACTCTACTTAAGATGTCCAGTCTAAATAAAGGGTATTCATATCCATGAGGATCAATAACAGGCCCGATCACCACATGCCGAATAATGTACATAACACGGTCAAATTTCTGTTGCGTCCGGGTCGCCGGCTAGAAACACGCACATTTGCACGCATCATTCCATACCACCTCTCTCCTTAACAAACTTCCCCCAATCTGTCATCTCCCTCTCCCCTCCAAATCCATCGCCTTCTCTCCACCCACTCTCTTCCCACGCGCCTAGACCACATAGATGGCGCATAGTCGGGCGACCATGGGGGCAATTCCACGGTTTATCCAGCTCACCCATATGACGGACGAGCTTTTCCATCTGCTTCGTTGTCAAAGGCTTCCCAATCATGACACTACTTCGGCATGCGCGTATAGCGAACATATTGCGGACCTTGGACGGCCGGGGGATTGCACTTCGCGATTTGGATTCCGATTGGTGGTCCGTTAGGATTGAAATCAGTTCCTCGAGATCCGTCAACGAGAAAGTTGTCTCTCGACTTAATGGTAGACTGAGTAATTGGCACCGGGACCCCACCGGCTCGTCGCCGCTCTCGTCCATGTTGACAATAAACCCATTCGCCTCTAGCGCTTCAAGGTTTTCCCTTATCACCTCTTCCTCAAGAGCTGTAAGTTCTAGCGTCTTGGGCTGAACGAGTCTCTGAGATTGCACAACTGTATTAGCTTGTAGCCGTTCAAAGTTATACTTCTCATCCGTAGCGTGTTGGTCGATGATAAAAAGCTCATCATCTCTATCAACTTTGTCCGGAGTGCCATCAGTATCTGCCTTGGCTGGGCGAACTGCTATGATAAAGCCAAGGTTAAACTGCCCTATAATCTTCATCTTTCCAAAATCAGATTTCGAGATTGTCAGAGACAGCTTTTCTTCGGCGTCATCCGCATCGAGTTTATCCGTGACAGGCTTGGACCCGGTTTCCAAGGATGCATCGTTGAGTTGGTTCTGGTATATCGCTAAAACATCTCGTATATGCTTCTCATTCGTGCGTAGGGTCTGTGACAATGAAAGGGTTGAATCTTTCTTTTTCGAACCGCCTTTTATAAAGCTTTGAGTCCGTTTCTCAGCCTCCTCGGAGATGGTTTTTGTCGGATCCTCCTTGATTTCTTCCGACGCCTCCTCTTCAAGTTGATTATCTGGGTTATCTTCGCCAGCTGGCCGGGTTGGGGACTGTGGCGCATCGCCTTGCATTTGATCATCTACATCAGTAGGTTCCGGTGATTGGTTTTCACAAGCATCATCCCCTGCAGCGCTTTCTGTAGGCCTTTTGTCAGGTACGAATTCCTCGTCCTTATTATCTTGCTCGTTACCCTCCTCGTCGCCAACATCATCACCATCATTGTTACTGTCGTCGTCATCGTCTCCTACAAACAATTGTTCGCTAGCAGCATCAGATTCATCTGAGGCATCTTTCGCCTTTAAGTTAGCCCTGATATTTGCTAATTCGGACTTCTTTGATTGCGACTGTGCTCCAAACATTTGGGTCAAACGACCGCTAAACGTAGGTATCGTGATCGACTCTTTCACTGCTCGTTGCCTCGTCCGCGGCTCTTGCGTTTTATTGTCTGCTATTCGTTGTCTCTTCGAAGGAGAGCCAATAATGCTAGTGACAGTGTGGCCGCCTACCGTTATAGTAGCAACTTCCGGTGTTGAACGCTTTAAAGCCGACGATGAGCTCCTAGTGGTTTTCATATCTGACATGCGGGATGAAGTAGTTACGGACGGTATAGGTGGTTCAATTGTCTCTCGGGTATCCACCGGCGGGCTACTATTACGTTTGTCCGCTTTCTGCTTGCTTAATTCGGCCAAACGCGCACGGAAATCTATTTCTTCGCCGGACGATTCGACTGGTAGAGCGGGGGGCGGCGGTTCATCCCGAGTAACCTCTGAATCGTCTTCTCTATCCTTTTCTGTATATTTCCGTGCGAATTCGGAGAACATTTCGCCCTTCGATTTGGAAGTTTGTAGCGTCGTGTTATTCGAACCTTTAGTCGTTGTTGATATAGTATCAGTACGTAGATCTGATTTTCCTTCGATCCATCGGCTAATTAAATTAATGCCCTGGCCGTCGCGAGCCAATGTATTCGACGATGTCGAGCTATCTGGGAGGGATTCACTAGTAGACTGACCACCTTCGTCTTCGTCGTCTCTCGTGCTGTTATCTGGGTCTACGGAGGCAGAAGGCTGACTCTGCTCATTTTCCATGGGCGTCGAGCGCTTCGGTCGCTCAGAATTGACAGTACTTTGACTACTAAATGATGGTTTCTTGAAAGGGGTCGACTTTGGGTTTGATAATTGAGATGTGGGTAAAGCGTAGTCTTGCGATTCAAACAAGGCGACGAGAGACTCTCTAAGATTATCGAGCATCCGAGATTGATCATGCAAGAGAATTGTCCGCTTATCAGGACTAACATTGACATCATATAGATGGGTGTCCAGTTGGATATCAGCGAAAATGAACGGAGATTGAGAAGCATTATACGATTTGTAGACCTCATTAAATACTTTGGCGAACTGCGGTAGGCCACAAGGACGGCCGTTTACGAAGAACATCTGCCTATCGGGAGTTTGACGGCCTTCTCCATGAGCAGGGCGGGATACATGTCCTCTGATATGGATTTCTTGAACATTATTGTCGGCTTGCCCAGTCCATTTTTGTCCAGGTGTGGTGGTAGGCTCTAGCTCGAGCTTTAGGTCTAAGGGGATAAGGACGGCGAGAGTTTTGGCGCCGAATACGTTGACAATGTTTTCTCGGGTCGTCTGGTTTCCTTTGGTTGAAAATAATACCATCCGCTTGCCCTTATTAGGTTGCTGGGACACGGAAAACTTGAGACCAGTCTGAATACAGGCGTATTGGTTGAGTACACCGATGACTCGATTCCATTCTCTTTTGATATTTCGTTCCAGTTCGCGTCGTCGGACAGGCAGATTATGGAAGAGCCCCTCGACTGCCACTGTTGTACCTTTCTGGGCTGCTACGACGCTAGTGCTGCGAAGCTTTCCTGAAGTTTCGAATTCTAGCTTAGACCCTTTTGGTGCGTCTGATGCGAGGCATGTGGTTATGGTAAATCTTGACAAGGCGCAAAGAGATGATAATGCTTCTCCTCGAAAACCAAATGTCTGAAGAGAAGAAAGATCTGCATAGGTGGATAACTTAGAGGTATAGTGCTTTAGTGCTATCGTCTCATAATTCTGTTTCGATATGCCCGAACCATTGTCCTGAACTTCTATGGAATCTAGACCTTGGTTTTTGAAGCGAACCTCTTCATAGGTTTCATATTAGTACATTCGAGTAATATGGAGAAAGGGGGAATAAACTGGAGAATACAAACCAATGTTTGTGGCACCGGCATCCAGACTATTTTCCACCAATTCTTTCACGACGGAGCATAGGTCGACGATGACCTGACCAGATTGAATTTGATGGATCTTCAGATTGACTTAGCACTGATGTTAAAATATTGAAAATCTTAAGGTGAGTACTCACAGTCCGAGCTTCAATAGCCTTGATGGTCGCCATCGTTAGGCCGGGGTGAGACCATCCAGCTCACGAATAATGAACGGTGTTTGGGATGGGATGTATGATGCGGGATCCCTCTCTTTTTTTCTTTTTTTTTCTCCAGAGGTTCTGTTAGAAACTGGCTAAACTTCACATTATCATATTAAATCATCGATCGATCCGCGACTGCCCCTTGTATCCCGCCGGTGACGTCGGTAAGAATATATTACTAACCTATTCAGCCTTGTCGCGTGATGTTTTAAATTAAAATGCACAAACGCGCGTCGAGCTTAAAGATACTAGATACGTACCTAGGTACTAAACGTGGCGCGCGATGTAGAAATGGCGGTGCAAAGTGGGGCTTTGACAAGTGGCCGTCACCTGCAAAACTACCGAGATTGGAATTGGACCTTTGATGTGGATCTCGCGCATACTGAGACGGATCCAACAGGCAATGGATATTATGGAATTGTGGATTTCTCTGATTGCATTTACTGTACCCGGTATGTAAAGCGATCCTTGAGAAAATTAAGATGTTTCGTGTGCACGCAAAAGAAATCCTCCTTAGTTACAAGCCAATAGATGGCCATTGGCGGACTGGAAGGAAGGAATTGAAGCTTGCAGTTAAGGTGACGCAAGGGGAATTCTTCGGAGTAAGATTATTCCACTGCATTTACTTCGATGTTGCTTAACCCCCCGGACCCGGCATGAGAAGGTTGAGGTGGAGTCCGTCCCGCCCGGCTGTCAATTTAAGCATTTAAGTTCCTCACGCCAAGGGAAACCTATCGAGATTCAACATTTAAAAAAAAAACACTACCATAAATCCTTCTGATCACGGAACTTTGCTGAACGTTCGCAGGAAATAAAAAGTAATATGGGACTACTTGCAAGGACAACAAACCCGTTACTTCGGGGATCATCACATTGCCTGCAGCCTACAGCAACGTACCCTACACACATACCTCACATGAAATCTTCCCGGAGCTCGGCAGAACCAAGACCAGAAAAGACCAAAAAAGAATTGCTTGGCAAGCTTATTCATTGCACCATTTCTTGGCTACATGATCCTAAAAAAGTTGAAGTCGATAACGGAAAGCTCGGAACACAAAGCCAAACCAGCTCGATATATCCTTGCTTTCACATTCAACCTCATCCCTAGTCTTTCCCAAGTCGATCCAATGCGGGAAAACATGGTTTGTATGACGTTTTTGGGTCCCGCCCACCACCGAGCCCGCAAGCCCAATGTTTGGAGCTACAGAGCAACAAGAAGTCAATTGGTTCTTTTACATAACTATCAACCTAAAAAGGCAGTTCGACCGTTCTCTACAAGGCAAACATCTTGCTTCGTACTAGAAGAATTTGGGACAGGTTGGTATTCATGACACCTAGGCACGGAGCGTTGGAAAAAATGTGTGGGACCGCACTGCACATACCCAGCCATCGGAAAGTTGCGTTTGCGTTACCTGGAGAACAGATGCACAAGATGTACAAGGGATCGAAAGAAATTTCCCCTTCCACGACATCCTCTCCCCGTATCCAACGTCCAACATAAAGAAACGAAGGTGGAGCCATTTTTTGGCCACAACTACTTTATATCCATGAATATTGGTAAATTTATTGGTATAACTAAAAGTATTATATACTGAAAAGTTGTATTCTTCATAAGACCAAGTCAGCTCTTGTCGCATGTAACGTCCGTTACGGCAGTTTATCAAACACGAGCTCCACCGTCGTATTTCGCAGCGCATAAACCAATATTGGTGGCGGTCGAAATGGCCACGAGATTCACGGAGCCACAATAACACCTCCATTCGAGATCCCGATACAATCCATCTTTTTGGGTACGGCACAGCCCCTTGCTTGCATCAGCCATTGAAAAAGATCTACGAAAAAAACCAGGAGATTTCTACATAATACTTAGGTATATACGGGTATTAAATCTACACTTCTTGCCGCACAGTTGCTACATACCGTACAATATGTACCTCGTCTTAGGCTGTAAAACACAACGTGAGACTCTGGCTCGCTGATCGCCAAGCCAGGCATGCGTGTACCTTGTCTCGTCTATCCCCCGCAGACACACGGTACTTTAATGTGTTGATCAAGATAGTTATAGTATCTAGTACAACACATCATAATTTCTGATTTGACGTTTCTTATTCATAACAATACATAAAAGATGACTGGTATTACATGTCATAGGTAATAGGGAGAAGCTATACCGCCCATACGCGGGAAGGGCCCAAAAGTTAACAACAAGTTTAGAAAGAATGAAACCTCGCAAATAGCATCCTTTGCTTTCGAAGCAATGCGTCTTGATGCTACGCTAATACGCTACTCTTTTGTTGATGCATGCAGCTGTATTTGATCTACGGCACGTTTTAGCGCTCTGATAGTATCACTATATCATTTATACCTAAGCAGGTTTAGTCAAGTCGGTAGCTGAAGCTTGGTAATTGAACACGATACATGCGATACATGCAGTATGCACGCCAAGCTAAAGAAGCTAACGTCATTTATGGTGACATTTTGCTGGACAAGAAGTTGGAAAGAGCCAGGAGTTGGCCCGTGTAGACCCGCTTTGAGTTTCTTGTCCGATAAGGATGACCAGGATAGAACGGATCCACGCGGGCTAGATGGTACTTGATGTAACTAAGTTCCTCCGGTACCTCATCTTAAAAGAGTTTGCGGGATGGACAAAAAAATAGCGGAAGGCTAGCACGTAACTGGGCCCATTATATGCGGTATATGTACTTAGCTTTCCCCTAACTGCTCCCCAAAACCTAGCGCTAAGGCGCTAGAAACCAGCACTCTACAGGATTGGAAGCATTGCCAAATCGCATCCCGATTCTCCTCGAGACATCCCGCGCCCGTAATTCCACCCATTCCCGTCCTCTCCCTTCAAGCTGCTCAACTCCAAAAAAAACATCACTTGCAACACCACACATCCTTTTATACTCCACCCACCACCGGGATAAATTCAATATTGGTGGCTTAGGGTCCGACGTTCGTTTTCGAAATATTTTGCAAGTTGATAAATCACAAAAACCATATGCAGACGACTCGAGTTTCCGAGTACCTACGAACTCCTTCTCTCCTTAATACGATCGACGGTCCCTCGAAATTCCTACCAACCTAGGTAGCTAGAAATTTACCGTTGCGCAAGTCGTGCCCGTGTCTCGAATTGGGTTGTACGTCTCTCGTCAGCTCTAAACCGAATTCCACCGAAAAGGGAAAATTTCCAAGACGTTTCGCAGTGTATGACCAACGCCAAACCGACCCTAGTAAATTGTTAAAAGACCAACGACCGTCGCATTGTCGAGCTTATTGGGACTACATCCTCGTGATATAAGAGGTCTCTTACGAGAGCCTCTTCTTCCTCATGCAGAGGCGATCATCGGGGTCGTCCGATGACAGCGCCGATGTCCCTGTCAAGACCTCGCGCCCTCAGAGAAAGACGAGGCTGAACGACCCAAATTCCTCTCTCCGACGTTCCCACGATATTCGCCAATCTGAGCGCACACATAATTCTGGCACGAGATCATCGTCGGCGAGGAGCCGGAGGCCTAGTAGTAATATCAATTGGAGACTTTCTCATAGTCGGGATGGGTCTACCGACAAAGCCGCCGCAGCCTCGCATCTTGCGCCACCCACATTATCGCCAGACTACCCGAGCATGGAGGGAGAGAAGACCGTATCTTCAAGGCGTAGGGCCCACCAGCCACGACTCCGGACTCCTTGGGTGATGTCTCTTTTAACGTTGTTTACAAGTATTGCTGGCATTGCCCTCATGGTTACAGTACTGTACTCTTCCGTTACCTTACACTGCGACCCCAAAGGATGTCGCATGTCCTGGATGAGCCCGTCATACGCCAAATTTAACGATTTCGATACCGAGCACACGCGCTTTGCGACCAAGTATTCATTATATTTATATCGGGAACAGGGGTTTGATAGTGGACCTAAGGTAGGGGAAATGTCGTGATTAGTATTTTCGAGTTTCTGGTACTAACTCAACATATAGATAAAGGGTATACCGGTGCTATTTATACCTGGAAATGCTGGTAGCTATAAACAAGTTAGATCCATTGCTTCCGAATCAGCCAGGTATTTTCATGATGTCGTGCAACACGATGCGGCGGCTTTAAACGCGGGTGCTCGGAGTTTAGATTTCTTTACAGTCGATTTCAACGAAGATTTTACTGCTTTTCACGGCCAGACGATGCTCGACCAAGCCGAGTATATTAACGAAGCAATTCGATACATCCTCTCCCTGTACCTGGACCCCAAGATTTCGGAGCGTGACCCAAGCCTCCCAGATCCATCTTCGGTTATCATATTAGGACATTCCATGGGTGGAGTCGTGGCCCGGACAATGTTCATAATGCCAAATTATCAAACCGACTCTGTCAACACAATTATCACCATGTCGGCTCCTCACGCTCGGCCGCCTGTCACGTTTGATCCTCAAATTGTTAATATCTATAACGATATAAACAACTATTGGAGACATGCCTATTCGAAACGGTCATCCGCCGAAAATGCTCTGGGCCAGGTTACTCTCGTATCCATCGCTAGTGGTGGTTTGGATACTGTGGTCCCGTCGGATTATGCTGGGTTAGAATCTATTGTGCCTGAAACTCATGGTTTCACCGCTTTCACATCTACAATTCCAACTGTTTGGACAAGTATGGATCATCAGGCAATTACTTGGTGCGATCAGTTCCGAAAGGTTATTGTGCGTGCGCTGTACGACGTGGTCGATAATCGCGGAAGATCGCAGACGAAATCGCGGACAGACAGGATGAGAGCCTTCAAAAAGAGATTTTTGACAGGGTTGGAAAGCTTTGTCGAGAAAACTTTACCGGAAACAGCGCCATCCACATTACTTACTCTAGATGATGAATCAACCGCTATTCTTCCTCCAGAGGAGCGCCTTGTTCTCCGTAGCTTAGGTTCGGGCAGGATGTCCAAGGCACACCTTATGCAAGTCCCATCGAAGGAGTTCGTAGAGGGAAAGAAGTTCACTTTGCTTTCGGACAGCAAAGTAGATCGACCAGGTGAAGACGGAAATCTTGAGCTCCTATTTTGCAATTTCTACTCTTCTCAAGTTGGACAGACCAATCCCCCATTTTCGGCAAATATTGATATATCCGGCGATACCGGCGAAACCACCAAGTTTGCCTGCAAAAACCCCGCGCCCGACGTTGTTTCTCTGCCAGCTTCTACTCGTTTCACGAAGAACCCTTTTTTCAAAGAGGACGAATGGCAAAATCCGCCATTTTCATACCTTGAGTATAATATTGAGGATATTTCGGAATTCGACTTTGTTGCGGTTATTGACAAGACGGCTATTCCAACAGCTGGGTGGGTAGTCGCTGAATTTAGTGACAAGGCCGATGCTCAGTTTACTCGAAATATCAGCCTCAGACGTTTACTTAGCTTCGGCTTGTCTCTTCATCTCCCATCGAAACGACCAATGGTTACTGAAGTGAAGCTTCCCTCTGTTCAAAGCAGCTTGTTAGCATACAACCTCAACATTGAAGGTCAGAAATGCAACGAGCGAGAAGAGCTATTTACACCGCTTGTGCGACAGTATCTTTCTGAGCCTTACGAGTCAAAATACTTTGTGAATGCTCATGAGGTAGAAATTAGTCTTCATGGTGTCTCACCCTATGTACCCCCGCCTATCAAATCCAGAGAATTCGATGACGGCCTTAGCCTTCAATTCTGGACGGATCCGACCTGCGATTCAAGTGTTTCCATTCACATTACAGTCGATACCTTAGGCAGTCTTGGGAAGCTTTATATGCGTTACCGTACGATATTTGCGTCCTTCCCTTTGCTTATCGTGGCGCTTGTGTTACGAAAGCAATTCCAGGTTTATGACAGCACCGGAGTTTTTATTCCCTTCTCCGAGAGCTTAGATTCCTGTCTCAGACGATCATTACCAATGCTTCTCTTATCCATGACCCTCCTGTCACTTTCAATGGGCCAGTCCAACTCAGCTGGTTCGAAAGGTGTGTGGTTTTGGCAAAATAGTACGGCCGCCATTGACTTCGCGCAAAATGATTTGTTGGTAGGAACTTCAGATCCATTCTTCTGGTTTCTGATCCCCTTGATCGGCGTCATTTGTGTTGGAGTGTGTATAGGTCTCCATTACACAGCGCTAGTTCTTACCTGGCTACTCAGTATCATTTACAGCTGGATTTCCGCCCGACCGGCTATTCAGCAGCAAGAGAAAAAACGAGCTTTATCACCAGCATTCGCACCTTCCTCGCCACGGAGGCGATTAATCACCGCCGTAGTTCTCCTTTTACTTGTTTCAACCTTCATCCCATACCAGTTTGCGTATGTGGTCGCATGCCTAGTACAACTCAGCACAGCCGTTCGAGCTCAACGATCTGCCCGCGAAACTACATCCCTAGCGAGCACCAATTTCAGCAATTATGCCCATTCCATTTTCTTATTGATGTTATGGATCCTGCCGATCAACTTGCCAACTTTGGTCGTCTGGGTACGCAATTTGGCTGTACATTGGTTTACAGCATTCTCGTCTCACCACAACGTATTGTCGATTTTGCCGTTCATCCTCTTGGTTGAAACCCTTACTGCCGGCAAGATGATACCGCCACTGACAAATCGGCTTCGACATTTAACAAATGTCATATTCTTCGGCATAGCCATTTACGCCGCTATTTATGGAGTATCGTATGCCTACATGCTTCATTACCTGGTGAATATTGTTGCAATTTGGCTCGTGGCAATTCATTCGACGTCCGACTCGTGGTCCCTTTCCGGGATAAGTTCTATGTTTGATGGCGAGCCAGCCGAAGACCATAAGCAAGGCAAAAATCCTTGATTATTGGCCGAGCTTTTTTATTCGCTTTACGTTGTAGATAGGCCTTGAGCGTCCTTGAAGGGATTTAGTTATACCCCGATCTCCATTTTAACGAGTCATCCGACCACATACAAACACAAACCGGCGACGTGGCTCTCATTAGAGCCCACCGTTCTTCGAAGTATATACACTCCAATTGTTCGTGCCGACGATATTGAACGTCTGCCAACCGCTTATCAGCATTCTCCGATATGAGAAAATGTCACCAATCGGCCCATAACTCGTTGACAACGATTCCTTTCTCCCTTTTTCATTGCGATCGGATTTTTGCATCCCTTCTTTACGGCTCTACATTTGCATTATGGTTTGGAGTTTGGTATTAATGGTGGTCTGGCTAGTCGCAAACAGCAGGTCGTCTGGATTTTTAGCATTCAAAGCTTGTGATGCTGCTTAGGATTCGTTGAGCACTTTATTTCGAATAACTTGCCTTCGAGTCGGCTATGCAACTGTATCCGAACTTCTTGTATAAAATTTATGTTTTTTCTTACTTATTCCCAGCTCTTGGCTCCCTAGATCAAAATTGGGGCCGCGGGCTTCTTCCCCATTCTTCCCTCTTAAAGGTCGGTCGATTGGTCGGTCGGAATACAACGGCAAGGGTTGGTTATAGATACGGCTTTCTTTCAAGATCGGCCTATGGTTGACTACCAACTATCCACCTTACGTCTCACAGACGTACAACCTAATTATAATTTTAAACAGAAGGGAAAGGAGAATCCAGAATTCACTGGGGTAACTGGCGAAGGAGGGAGTTTGGGCTGATGGGGTGCGGATGGGTATGGAAGGGTGGACCAAAGGGAAGTAATAACGGATTCAGTTCCTGAGAAAGAGGAACAACCGAATGGGTGCGGTTTGGCTTTGGCTGGCTAGATCACATTGCGTAGATGACGCCATCCATCTTCGCCTTGCGCTGCGGGAATAGCCCGAGTTCCAATGAATAAATACCTATGTTCGAATATTTTAAATCTGCTTCGTTTTCTGTGATTTTATATTGAACATCACAAAAGTACACGTATGCTACACGTCACGACGTAATATTTCGACTCATACTACACTCCATAAACTCTTGCGCGCCATCTGGGCGTTTAGAATCTCAAACGTAGCTCAGACATTACACAAATCTTGATTTCGACGGTCAGATTCATACCAAAGTCTATTTCCTCAATCTATCTATATAGGCACGTACCATACCCTCCTCTATATAACCTGATCCCTAACCCAAAAGATTTAACAAAATAACGCCACCGAGATCAGGTAATGGTATGTATGTAAAGTTATGTCCGTGCCTGCAGATTTCCGAATAAATCTCTTACCCCAAACCCGTTGTGAGATAATTAGGTAGCCTGCCCCTCCCACCTTACATACTCTTTACACATATACATGTTATAATATGGTATTGTATAGTATAGTATGATACTAGTATATCGCTTCATGTTACTCCCTTGCAATGCTCTTCCCAGCGGACTCCGCGAGTCTAGCTCGTCGCTGGTGCCAGATAACCCAGAGGGTTACCACAAAACCAAGACCACATGCACCGAGGGTAACAAAGTATGCGGCGCGGTAGCACTCAAGTCCATCGTCGCAGGACCTAGTCCCATCGCTCTCAACGACGGAATGTCCGTCGAACACGGTTCCGTAGAATAGGTTGAAGATGTTGCTACTGATAACGGGTGAAAGAGTCATGAAGCCCCAGTTCTGCGATAAGCCGTGGATACCGAAGGACTCGGCGACAATGGACGGGAATACGCCAAACAGGAAACCATAGCCAAGACCGCTAAAACCGGATACGAAGCCGAGGAGGTGAGGGTTGGTCATGTTGAGGGCGCAGAGCTGGGCGATGGAGAAAATACCCGAGGCGATTACGAGGCACCACACGCGACTCGCGTGTAAGACCTTAACGAGGAAGTCAGATCCCACACCGCTGAGTAGGCGGCCAGAGAAGCTACCGATAGACAGGATGGACACGTGTAGCTGCTGGCGCAGGACGAGTGTCTTGTCGTCGATAGAATCGTCATAGTGCTTCCAGAGCGCCGTGACGTCGTTTCCAATATTACTAACACACAAGCACACACGTATCAGCCATATACATACCAACCATATACGAAATGGGAGAATACTCACTTGATAGTCATGAGGCCGATACCGGAGAGGATGCCCATGATGGTAAACAGCTGCCAGAACTCGATATTCTTCAGAAGGTTGAAGCCACGAATATCTACACGGTGAGAACGATCCATATCAACACTGCTCTGCACTAAGACTTCACCTGGCAGGGAGGAGGACAAGGTAGACTGGGACAGGAGCGAAGACGTCTCATCGGCACCGTCCCGGGTGCCTGACGCCGCATCCTCGGCGTCTGCCTCAACCGCTGGGCTGTGTCCTTTGGAATTCGGGGATTTTCGAGTATCTCCCGCCTCGTCCTCTCGCTTTGAGGTTTCTGGGGTGGTTTTATTGGATTTTGTGGTGATGGTATTATTGTTGGTGTCAGTAATGTTGGGCGACATACCAGGTTCAGATGGGTTCCCGCGGCCTTTTGATTCGGCCGACGTGGTGCGGTGTAACTCTCGAGAGTCTGTGATACCTGGCTCTGCGTCAGGCACCGCATGGTATGGCGAATGTGGTGGAAGCACACGCAGGAAAAAGAATCCGATAAAAGTCAATCCGAAAGTGCCGTATGCAAGCAACATCAAGAATTTGCTAGGGCTGCCGGGGAATAATACGGAGCCGATAAGGGAAAAGAAGAACGCGCTTAGACCAAAGGCGGCGAGAGGGAATGCGGTCGCGGTGCCGCGATGGTGTGGCCAGTTTAAAGCCGAAGTCTTCACGGCGGCGGCAAATGCCATACAACCGCCGAGGCCGGTTAGATACGACACAAAACACATCCAAGCGACGGATCCATGGCCAGCATCGTATGCTTGATGAAGCGGAACGTAACCTAGGCCGAGTAGAAAAGCTCCCACCATAACGGCAGGCCGAGGTCCTTTACTATCGACGAATAAACCTACGGGTACTCCCATGGAATACATGCCCAAGTTACCCGCCATTCCGATTAAGTTGCTCTCTGTAGCAGACAAGAGTAACTTGTCCGCAAATTGGGGAGCCCATGCTGAATAGACATACTAGCTCAGGCTATCAGATGTCTTGTCGAAGATGTATTAATAATGAAATAGGTAAGTGGAGTTCCTTACATTTGTACCACAAGCTAGAGAGATGATAGTCGCGGCAACGCTCGACACGATGCGAGCATTGTAGACTTGATCCGACAGCGTCATTTTTAAACAGGGAGGTAAATGAATTTGATTAGTTGTTAAGGTATCATGTCTCTTTCCCCAACTTGGGGTTCAACAAAAGGAACGAGAAAGAAAAGAGAAGCGAAGCGAAGCGAAGAATGAAAGATGAGGCTATGAGCGGCGATAAGTTATGAGCGAGATAGGGAGAGATAGAGGTATATCAAAGTAGATGCTGACAAAATCGGAGGTTACGATATGAGACGGTAAGCCGTACGAGGACGGAAAAAACAAACGGACTACGTCGTTAATATGTCGTACTTTGCATGCCGAACATAAAGATTGGGAACGAATGGAGTATGAAAAGGTAATCGAGTGCGGTCGTCGGTCAAGAGTAGGAAGAATTGATAGGTGAGACTAAAGTTAGTGGAGGGTTGGCGCTGAGCTTTGCTGAGCTGGCTGAGGTGTCGCGGTGTCGCAGTGTCGCAATAACCCCGTGGACGCTTCCAGCCTGGCCAGGCCAAAAGGTTGCGTGCTTATCTGTCTTATCTCGCTTCAGCCCCTGCCGATTCGGGTCATAAAACGGATCGACTATCCTCATTTGAGTTAGTGCGGTCCGGCATATCGGCATGCTGGAGATCTTTGGGATTAAAATAATCCACATTCATACGTCTCTGTATACTCTATCCGCTTTATGCAGTGCTTATTTATGCACGCATCTTGACCGCCTTGTAGCCCTACACAACCTAACTTCTCTAATTAGGTACTAACATTTACTTTCATCATTTATGTCTCTTAGATTGAATAACAAGAAGTCCTCGATGATCTATTATGTAGGTAAAAGTCCTAGATCAACTCGCAATTCAATGCCTAAGGCATTCAAATAGGTAAGTTCCTAAGGACTCAACACGTTGGGGGCGACCTATAAAACTCACACTCTCTACTCACCGTTTCCTCTTCTCTACTCACCACAGCTCAGCCATCATTATGTTAAGACCGTGTAATATTTCCTATAGGCCTAACCAAACAAACCCTCTATCACTTATCATATACTTCACAGTACCAACAAATCGAATATAAACAGTCTCTCGACAACATGCCTTCATTTGCGGAACTTCCAGCAGAGGTACGTCTTAAGATCTGGAACCACGCATTGCGCCTGGAAGCGTGCGAGCGCTTCATCAGGATTTCGGAAGATTGGGGTGCTACACTTCACTTATGGCCTCTCAAACAATACGTCAGCCCCTTACTTTCCACCAGCTACGAGAGTCGTCACGCAGCTAAGGCGTTCTACGACATTCAGTTGGAACTTCGAGAACGTATACAACTCCCGGAAAGAATAGAATCCCCTATAACTGGCACGGTATATGCTAGTTCGCGATGGGATACCTTCCTATTGCCTTGGGGTCTAGGTCGCGCGAGTCAAATTGTAGACGAAACACCTCACTACAGGACAGAGGATATAAACCCTACAGTGGCCGCAAAGATTCGGAATATCGCTATCACCCCACCTAACCACAATTATGTCGGACCAGATGAGCCTCATTTAGAAGTCCCGAGAAAGTGTACCCCCTGTGTCAAGGCGCGTTTCTGGAAAGCAAATATTCTTCCGAATATAACTAATTATTTAAATGTGCGATTGACGGATGATGAAGCAAGGGAATTTGCATACGACTTAATTACTACCGGTGGAAGAGGCTCCTACAAATTTGAGCAATGGGTCGTGTACCTTCCTTGGGATTGTCAAGATCACCCACCCTTGAACGCTCCACCGACCCAGCGAGACAAACAAACGATATCTACGAAGGTCGAGATTTAAATTGAGAACATTTGATGAAAATTTCAATATACCAGATTGCATTTCCCCTCTTCTTATAGTTATCATCGCACCGCTAAACTCGATATGAAGTAGAATATCGACTACGATGCGATGAACTCATAACAGCCAGATACCGCCGCCTATCTCGTTCATACATCACAAAAACAATAAAACCTACCTCATGCTACCATTCGAACCCGAAGTTAAGGAATTGATAGATGAGACAGCGTACCTTTACTAGTAGTAGCTAATACATATACCGAAGCACTTAGCGACTTTCGATATATCTATGCGTGATAGCTACCATTACGCGCACTTGATGTACTTGTTGTTACACGCAACAGCGAGTCAAGATCAATTATAATGAAAGAAATATTTGGGAATTTGTAATCGTATCATGTGCCATACGTAGTTATTCAAGGACGGCCCTAAGACGGATACGTGACTTCGGCTTGCCCAGTTCCGTACGCGGTGATTTGACCCCCGAGTATCCTTTTTGGTAAATTGAAATGACGAATAGAAACCACCATTGCTCGAGATTCCAGCTGGCCATTATTTTTAGGAGAGAAAAGACAGATCCCACCGGTCGGATTTCTGGAGCACGTTCTCGCTTCTGTTCCCCAGACTGTACCTTGGACCCGACAGTAGCGTTGCATCTCGTGCAATTTGTAATTATTGGTGTAGAAGACTGCGATACATAAAGACGCGCGGTCGTCACTAACTCTAACGATGGTTTCTTACTATCCTTGATCGCTAAAACGTCGTAGGTTTGCTTTACCACTTGGGTTTCATAACGCAGCCGTACACCTGCTGTAATATCCTTGTCACGATGCCAGTCTCTACGGCTTCCCTCCTCACGTTGCTCGGTGCCTTCGTCACCACAACGCTGGGCCACGGTTACGTCACCGGCTACGTAGCAGACGGCGTCCAAAAGCCAGGTTTCCTATTGCAATACTACTACGACAAGAAGAACGGCGGCACCGTCCCCCCTCTCGCCGCCTGGTACGCAGAGAACCTCGACAGCGGTTTCGTGGCCCCGGATGCTTACCAAACATCCGACATCAACTGCCACAAGAACTCCGCCCCGGGTTCAGAAACGACGGAGATCAAGGCCGGCGCTACGGTGACGTTCCAATGGGGTACAGCGGCAGGAGGCGCATGGCCACACCCGTACGGACCGATCATTGATTACATCGCGCCCTGCGACGGGGACTGCAGCAAAGCCGACAAGACGAAGTTGAAGTGGGTTAAGATCCAAGCGAGCGGTATCGATTCCTCGCAGCAATGGGCAAGCGCCAAACTCATCGCCAACAACAACACATGGACGACTACAATTCCCAAGTCAATCGCGCCGGGTAACTACGTTCTGCGACATGAAATCATCGCGCTTCACGGCGCGAGCTCGTTAAATGGTGCTCAGAACTATCCCCAGTGCTTCAATATCAAGATCACGGGCTCTGGTACCGCGAAGCCGAGTGGGGCGTTGGGAACGGCGTTGTATAAGAACACGGATGCTGGTATTCATTTCAACCCGTATGCGACGATTACGGACTACCCCATGCCTGGTCCGGCGCTGTTCTCTGGTTGAAGAGGGTACTGGAATTAATTGAATAGAAACTCCTGTGATAAGGAAAGGGAATTTAGGAAGAGAATTGCATAGTAGGAATATTAAGCGACATATGAATGGATTTTTATGAGACAAACTTTGCAGTCTCGACCTGTGTTATCGTTCAGCTCACCTCCCAGTCGAGTCGTCTTAGGACATTAAGTGAAGAAACATGTCTGCATGTATAAAATGCACTAAATTTTACCTGGTTGACTAACCTAAAAGGGAATGGTATATTTGCATAAAAATGAACAAGTCTGATTGGCTGCGAAATATGCCCTCATAGACCTGGGATAAAAGACAAATCCATTGTATCATTCATTGTGTGATACAAAATAAAGATGAAAGAACGACTCGAGATGAATGTGTTTAAGTAGTTGCTCCTTACTACAATAGAAGTTACGCTATATATAGACTTTACTATTCCTGCGTGTGTCGCCTGACCACTACGTAATGCAAATGCCAAGAATGGACTAGGTCCGTGCATAACCTCACGTCTGGTCGCAATCGTCACGCCAACTCCAACTCGGCGGCAACACTCTCAACACATCACCACCTATTCTTCATCTTCTTCTCAACCACCTTCTATTAATCTTCAACGCAGCGCGGGAAAGAAAGGATCCAAATCCAATCCTAAGACGCACCACCCAACATGGGAGCGCTCTTATCTATTCCCATGCTGGCATTACCCAGCGCTGGCACGGTATGTTCCCAGCCTCATCACTTTTTTGAGCGCATCGTCAACTAACAACCCAACAGCTGATGTCTTTCGCTGCTAGCTGCTGTGGTGCAGCTACATGCTCCATGGTATGCAGTGCTTGTGGTAAATGCGGCAACAGGTAAGATACACCAATTCTATCATTCCCTACTATCGTCGGCGCAAGAAATGATCTAACTTAGGATTCAAGTGTTGCTACTCGTATCGCCTACGCCCTCCTACTCCTCGTCAACTCGATTCTCTCCTGGATAATGCTCACGCCCTGGGCTATCGAAAAACTACAACATCTGATGTTAGACTACGTCAAGATTAATTGCCCCAATGGTCAATGTTATGGGTGGTTAGCTGTACACCGAATCAATTTCGCCCTCGGTCTCTTCCACCTCATCTTCGCTGGTCTTTTATTCGGTGTCGCGTCCTCGAAGAACCCACGAGCATCTCTACAAAATGGTTTCTGGGGTCCCAAGATCATCGCATGGCTCGCCTTCATCGTGATGTCCTTCCTAATTCCCGATGCCTTTTTCCAAGTCTACGGAAACTACATCGCCTTCATTGGTGCCATGCTCTTCCTTATTCTCGGTCTCATCCTTCTCGTCGATCTCGCACATAATTGGGCCGAGTACTGCCTCGAGCAAATCGAAAACACCGATTCGCGGATCTGGAGGGGTGTACTTATCGGTTCGACCTTGGGCATGTACTTCGCTTCCTTAGCCATGACGATTGTACAATACATCTTCTTCGCCGGAAGTGGCTGTTCCATGAACCAAGCAGCCATCACTATTAACCTACTCTTCTGGGTTGTTATTTCCTTTGTTTCCGTACATCCCACGATCCAAGAATACAACCCGAAGGCCGGACTGGCGCAGGCCGCTATGGTCGCGGTATACTGCACTTACCTCACCATGTCCGCCGTATCCATGGAACCCGACGACAAGCAATGCAACCCGCTCGTCCGCGCGCAAGGAACACGCACAACATCCGTTGTCATCGGCGCCATCGTCACCATGTTAACAGTCGCATACACCACCACCCGCGCCGCAACGCAAAGCCTCGGTCTAGGTAACAACCGCGGCGGCATCCGCCTCGCCGACGAAGACGAACATGACCTCGTGACGCAACAACCCGGGCGCCGGGAAATGCGTGCTGAAGTCTTGCGGCGAGCTGTCGAGGAAGGTAGTCTACCCGCCGATGCCTTACTCTCCGATGATGATGACGAGGATGATGATAAGGGGAAGACGCCACATGATGATGAGAGGAGTAACACGCAGTACAACTACTCCGTTTTCCACATCATTTTCTTCCTTGCTACGTGTTGGGTTGGCACGCTGCTTACGGGTACCGTCGAAGGGTTGGATAATCTCCCCGAAGGTGATAATTTCGCGACGGTGGGACGGACGTATTGGGCTAGTTGGGTTAAGATTGTGAGTGCGTGGATTTGTTATAGTATGTACATTTGGACGTTGGTGGCGCCGATTTTGCTGCCCGATCGGTTTGAGTGAGCTTAAGTGGTGGTAAAGGGGGTAGTATAGTTAAATAAGGGTGGCTAGAATGCCTTTTGCGCGGCGTTAATTGAATACTCGTTAAATTTGTCGTGGCTATGGGTTTTGATTTGTTTTGAGTGTTATGTGAGTTCCTATATGCTTCTGCTTAGAATATCGAATAATGACCACTCTACTATGATCGTCAAGCTTAGTGGTGAGAGAAGACGGTTCCTTTGTTACTTTACGATATAGGTCATTTATGATAGTTTCTTACGCGTGTGTATGTGCCATGTGTAATATTCCTGGTGTTTTTGAAGGGATCGCTCTTTGTCTCTTTGATTGAACGGTATTCCTCATAGTGTTTACGCCTTTTCGTCCTTCAGTCCACTTTTCAATACTTAAATACGCTATTTGTCTAGTGGGCGTTCCTATGGTAATGAAAATTGGGAAGGGAAGCTAGCGAAAACTCGGGCATACTATTTCATCTCCCAGTGCACATCAACTTGGGCTGTGAAGGAGTTATCATGTAGGTTCCACAGAATCGTAACGTATTATGCCTCGGAAACAAATCTAGCCATTGCCGGCAGAAGTCTGTGATACCGTACGCTGGAGATGGCGATGGAAGCGGAAAGGGTAGACAATATAATATTATAATCTTGAGCTACCAAGAAAAGGCTGCCGAGATACTAGCACTTGCGTAAGTACACTATCGGGAAGGAACACAAATGAGCGTCCAACGTGGTCATGTGCGACCACCCCCCAGCGTGAGCCAAGAACCGAAGAGCCTCATCGGCGTTGTAATTAAGGGCGAGGCACTGGACCGTTTGCCACCGGTCTAGTGTAACTCGACCGCGACGCACAGTTGATCAACACACAACCCGCCTCAACTACTCAATCATTCACTGGCTAGCATACGCAGGGCTATTGCAAGCGCGCCTATGATCGATTGATTATTAGCAGCTGGAGTTGAACAGCGTGTGGTCCACGACAGGGGGTCCAGCTTCATATATAGATAGATAGGTAGGTAGGTAGGTACAAGGCCAGCTCACAAACAAGCCCAAATGCGACCTGTCAGTTCTGCAAGGCCTAAGTAGTGGTAGCTCTGAGACACCATTTAATCAACTTGACGGGGGCTGCTTATCTTAGGCACGTAAGGAAAGAAGTGCAGGGTCGACAGAAAATAAAAAAATACACCGCGACACATCCGCTCGTTCATTGGACTTCAGCGCGAGGCGGACACGGGAAGGTACTTCGACTGTCGGTGAAGATCTTCCCGCCTCTTTTCATCGAGAGGAAAATGAGAATCTCTTATTAATATCAATGCAGGTGATAGATTTCCATACATAAGAGCGAAGATCGAAAAAAACACCAGTGACAAAGGTATGACGTTGCGTAGGGGAAGCGACATGAATCACCCCATATGCTACACCGTATTGTTGTTGTGCTGGCTTGAAGCGAAGTAGTTAGAAAACTCGGGGGATTCCAATCAACGCTCGCTGGTATTTACCCCGGTCTGGTTTGTTTGCTCATCGTCGTACGCAGTAAACAAGCGGTAGTCGAAACAAAGTAATTTGCACCAGCCTCGGCCCCCGTATATTGCCAAGATGAGAAACCCGGTCCCCATTTCGCGTGCCACGGCTGCAAATCTCTACAGACCGTCGTGGAAAATGTCACATCGAAGCGGAAGAGGCCTCCTAAAACGATTACTAAGTAAATTTCCATCGAGAAAAAAAATAGATTAAGCGATCGGATGCGGCGGGCCCTAACAACTGGAGATCGTGAAGGGGGTTGACGTAGGTGTAAATTCTCCAGCCAAGAAAATAGTCTCCTAAGCCGTAAGAAACAAGCACACACCCCAAAGAGCCACTTCGAAGAAACTCCAATCGCGGCGCGGGCCTAAAAATGCCGAAGAATTTGTTATGGCCCCGGACCTTGCTCCTTAGGTATGGACGGTGGGTGAAGTGTGTGGGTGTGGGAGAGCTTCCGCGACGGCATCGACGGGTACTCGCATGAAATGAGATGCGGTGGCTGCTCACCTGACATATCCCCATGGGTTCTATGCCGCTGGGGGATTTGCTTGGTGGCGCCCCTTTCTTCCCACAACGAGCTTAGCTACTCTGATGATCTTTTCTTTCTTTTTTTCCCGTGTTTCCCGCTAAGCTGGCCCCATGGGCGGAGACCGGTGTCTTTCGAAAAGTAAACCCCTTCAGCTTCTTCCCCTCCATCTCCTCCACACCGGTTGAGATTGAAACAAACATAGCATCTATCAACCGCATGAAAAGAAGCGGGGGATAAGCAATAGTGTTAGTCAAATCGAAGATACGAGGAATAAAAGTTTCGATGGGAAAATGTGATAGCTTTGATGCGCTGTTCTCCGTGAGGCCTTACCGTAAAAACCAATAATATTCGCTGTATATTCGGCGCGTGATTATTGGACGAGGCGTACCATGCAAGCCACAGTCGCACATCCCAAATCGATAATGAAGCCGAAGCAGTTCCACGAGTTTAGGTTTACCTGAAGTGTAACCGAAGACAGTATGCTCGACCTATAGAGCAGCTCGAAAGAGCAAACGTTGACTCACCCCCGTTTAATCGTGTACTCCGGAGAGTTTAGCGTATGCCATGTGCAGCTGCTCTCATGAAGACACCATGATGATGAACATCCTGCAGTAAGCATAGCACGGTGTTATCTACTGTCCTCGAAGACCAATGGTAGATCGTCTTTTAGAAATCCCCTGTTGACATCGGAATCGGGAGTGATAGAGTATACCCCGAATGCCATGTATGAGATCGGAGATGATGTGATGGGTATATGAAGTGATCCGGCGAAAGATAAGGATCTTGCCAATTCGTCTATATAAGACACGAGATCTGAACATGTCAAAGGGTATGGAAATGAAGATAGTAGGGTCGTTTAGTCAGTTTTGATATTCTATTTTCTTTTCCCCTAATAATTTTTGCCCGCCGTTTTATCTTGTCACAAGCCATATTGGCCAATACAAAACCAACTTTTATAATTAAATCGAGATCCTTCGCCATGCCGCATAGTATTCACGAGACCGACAAGGACACCACTTGGTTCGTTGAATTGATAGAGATTCCGTGATGAATAGTATGATGCTAAGATGTTGATGTATATAGCGGTCATGATGCTCAAGCCGGTAGTGTTTCTGCGCAAACGAATGCCTCAACTCCGGCGAAGTATACTCAGACGACTATGTTGGATCGTTGGGCAAAGGAGACCACGCGCACGGAACTTCCTTTTACGGAAGTGACTCAGCAGCCTGATATTGAGTATGTATCCTTCCTCCCCAATTAGACGTGACCAATGTGCTAAATATGAGCCTAGATTCTCTGCGAAGCGTTGAAGCATCCATTGACTCATGGCCAAGATTTGAGTTGTTGTACATGTACTTGGGACGAAGTCGCCTGCACAGGGGGCAAGCGTATCACCGTGTCCAATGTAAAATGCTTGGGTGGAGCAATAGCTAATTAATGGAATCTTTCCTATTCTGATGGAACATGGTTTTTTTCTGTGGTGTTACGCAGCGACCTGTATTTCACCCCGAAACACGGAGGACGTCTGCAGGATCTCAAGATAATGTAGTCTCTGTCGACGTATCGTTGCTCGAATTTGTGCCTACGGCTTGTGCCGCATTTCCTACACCGTCAAGTGTGATTGTCACGGCGCCGGCTTGTACGAGCTATTTGAATTAGTACTAAGACATTAATGGACTGACTTATGCCGTGGCACTTACTGCACGCGAGAGGTCGTCGATAAGGTCATTGACATCTTCGATGCCAACACAGAGTCGAATGATATCTTCGGGCATCTGCCGCTCCTCCCTTGTCTTTGCATCTATACTGGCGTGGCTCATACGGCACGGCATGCTGATTAAGCTGTTGACACACCCAAAGCTTACACTAATTCCAAACAACTTTGCAGCTTCAACGATCCTTTCGGACAGGGTAATGTCACCGGTTTCGAATGACAGGACACCGCCTGCACCCCGTGCCATAGTCCAGTGAAGGTCATATTGCGGGTGAGATTTCAGACCAGGGTAACGTACACGGAAACCATGAGACTCTAAGAATTCGGCAATTACTTGTGCGTTTGCCTGTTGTTTCTCCATGCGAATTGCTAGCGTTTTGACTCCCCTCATAAGAAGGAATGAGTCATTTGGCGCAAGACCACAGCCAGTCGCGTTGATGGTGAAATACATTTTATCACCCAGAGAGCTGTCATTACATGCGATTATGCCCGCCATAATATCATGGTGACCGGATAGATACTTAGTACCCGACTCGTAGACAATGTCTGCGCCAAGTTCGAGAGGGTTGCAGAGCATAGGGGATAACATGGTGTTGTCGACAACGACAAGGGCCTTCGAGTTGGCATCGTGAACCGATTTCGCAATGGAAGGGATGTCGACAATCTTAATTAAGGGATTGGTCGGCGTCTCTAGGAGAACCATGGCAGTCTTGTCTGAGATGACCTCTCGTACCCTGTCGACTTCTGTTGTATCTACATGGTGTACGATAATGCCTTGGTTTGTTGATAAATATGTAAGTAGCCGGTTGGTACCTCCATAAAGGTCATCGCCTGTGATCACTTCATCCCCAGGCCGTAAGAGTCTAGTAATAACATCTAAGGCACCCATGCCGGAACCAACCGCAAGGGCTCGGTTGGCATTCATGATCTTGGCCATGTGGCGTTCTAAATGCGTCCGGGTTGGGTTACCCGACCTGGTGTAATCGTACTCATTACCACCGCTGGAGGATGTTTGCTTGAATGTAGCGGATTGATAGATCGGGATACTTGAAGCACCATATTGATCCTTCGTCTCGGTATAAACCAATTCGGTAGCTAACGCATAGCGACGTCGGCCATTAGCCGGACTCGAGGGCGCGGGTGATGGGGGTAGATTGTGGCCGTCGTAGTCGACCTTGGAGAGGGCCTTGTTAGGAGCTTTGGAGTCCATGACTAAACCGGGTGAAACCGATAGCTCCGAAGTAATCGAGCTCCTTATACTTCGGATTGAACTACTTTTTGTATACCAAGAAGGCTCGTGCGAATTAAGTAGCGTGGCAAGGACTCTTTGAACCACTTGTGGTCTATGGAGGAGACGTATGAGGCAATTAGGTGAAATTTTGAAGGTGAGAAAATATGAAGCTTCGATTTTGTGCTGACGGGTATAAAGTTATGGAATGCAGGATGGACGTAGGATTGGAAGGCAGAGGATGTAGAATGTTGTATGTAAAATGCCGTGATTGCTACTCCGAGGATGGTACGAATGATTCAAGTGGGCGGTGTGGGGTGCAACTCCCCTGCAGCGTCCGGTTATCGGGTGGTAGAATCAAAATCTGGGGAAGACACGGGTGTCGCTGGAGATGACGTGATTGCAAAAGTCTAACAAAGCATACGATGTGACGGGAGAGTTTATGTGCCAAGGACCCACAGGGCTGATATTTATCCAATGAGATTATCAAGAGGTTGGGGCAGTCGGAGAATCTCAGGTACGCGAGACCTTAAACATCGGTACATTTAAGAAATAGAATTTGGAAAGGTGCTGCGTATTAGAGTTGCTTAAGAAATTTTGACGGTCTTTGAAAACTCAACATCTTCTATCTACTTAGTTACAAGTGTCTGGTAAGAGAAAGCACATGGCGTATCAGTAGTTGGTTCCACGATACTCCATAAAGAGGCTGAGAATATCTATCCACGTGGCGTGATACCGCTTCCCCATTACGTACGGCTAGAACACGCCGAGATGATCCATGGTACCTGAATACGTACCGGCAAAATGGCTGATATGTATGGATCTGTCTCTTCTAATATTGGAAGACTTGCCTTCACCAATGTGGCCCAAAAACAACGCACGAAGTCATGTTATATAAGTCGGGTTTAAATCGGACTGTGTACATCCCATTGGAAAATGTACGCAACTATATCCTACGTAACTACTAACAAGGGCTAAAATCCGGAACGCAGAATGCCTTTCGACAGGTTTCGTAAGAACAGGGTGATATCTGGTATCATTATACAGAGTGAAGTCTCTCCAATCCAAAATCTAATGCTAATTGCAAGACCCAACCGGCAATTGCTAGATCCCCCAAAGCATCGTAACATGAACGCCTTAGTCCCAGTCCGTTTCGATCCCTCATATTATATTCATGATAACACAATTCATGCGGACGCTTCTGTGGCCTTTGCGCCTGTCGTGGACGTCTCGACCGTGTACGCATCATCGTCAACATCTTCATACTCGTCACTTGACGACTTCTGTTGCGAAGGGGGACTCTTCATGAGAATTTGTCCGCCACCCTTTCGTCCGAAGAAATCTTCTGTGCGTATTCCTCGCACTTTTGATGGGTCAATGGCAGACATAGAGCTTCCACTTGCTCTGTGTTCTCGGATATATTCTCGTACGGGGGCCATAGCAGCGTCACGGCATGCTTCCTTAATATCACTACCCGACATCCCTGCCGTCACCTTCGCGATGTATTCAACATTGAAATTGTTAGGGTCGGTCTTTGTATCCTTAAGAATAAGCTGAAGTATTCGTAATCGCTGGTTCTTGTCGGGTAATGATACAGGGAATTTCTTGGGCATTCTGCGTAAAATGGCTTCATCAATATCGTGAATACGGTTTGTAGCTCCGAGCACAACAATTCTTGCGGGAAGACCTTGGGTATTTGAGGAGGTCAAACCGTCCCACAATGTCATAAACCTAATCATTATTAGTATTGCCATAGCATCGTATCATGTTGGTGGGAGATCCATACTCTGCTTTAACCATGCCGCTAGCTTCGTGTTCGCCACTTCTCCTAGTACCTAATACGGCGTCTATTTCATCTATGAAGATAATGGCAGGTTGAAGTTTGCGCGCAAGCGAAAATACAGCCCGCACGAGCTTATTCGAATCTCCGTACCACTTCTCGGTCAATGTTGAAATATGAAGGTTGATGAAGGAAGCACCACTTTCGTGTGCGACAGCTTTTGCTAGCATGGTCTTGCCGCATCCGGGAGGTCCATAAAGTAATACACCGGATGGTGCTGATAATAACGGGGCGGCATGTGAGTAGAGGTGTGGCATTGTTAATGGATATATGACTGATTCTTTAACTTCTTCGATGATATCCTCCAATCCACCAATATCTATCATCCACATTAGAAATATAACGCGAATAATTTTCGTAAAAGGAAATACCGACCATCAAATCCGACGGGTATATCTTCGGGAGCAACGACTTCTAGCGCAACAAGGTTTTCATATTCGTTGAGAACTAGATCCTCGATCCGAGGACCTCGCCTTGTGCTACTACTTATATCCGTCTCATTACCCTCTTCATAGTCTCTGGATTTTTGTAATCTCGAAAGGTTCGCTTTTGCTTTGATTCGTGCTTGTTCGCGTTTATCTTTATCCGGGTCGGCGAGAGTTCCCTGAAGGGATTGTATGACGTTTCGGGTAAGGAACCAAGCTGCTCCGGCCTGCCCAATGATGTTAACAAGGCTATTTCGTTTGTCTCATGTAGGTAGGTAGGGTAAGTCCTAATTACGTACAGTGCCCAATATCAAGAGTACATCCCAAACATAGTCGCTGCCATTTCGTCTTCGGTCAACCATGGCGAGAGACTGCTTAATCCCACTGGAAATCATTTGATATGCCTCCCAGATCGGCTGGGAGAAAAAAAGCAGAAAATGATGGGATGGGGAGGTTGTGAGTTGTAAAATACGCCACAATAACAGGGCGCCTGTACCTAGGTAGTGTCTCGTCCCGATTCAGGATTAAATTCTAGATTGTCAAGGGTGACCCGGTCCAAGGCACCTACGCCACATACGACCTGATGTGGCTATCGATTTTTAGCGCACACCCCTGGGTCTTATTAGTATTACGTGTACCTAAGTCTATGTACCTGGCTTGTGCCTAGGTACAGCGCTAAATATCTCCACAAATCACCAGAACGATGTATAATTCGCAACAACCCCTGTAAGGTTTTTTTGTTTACTTAGGCCCCCTCAACAACAATCTTGATTGGCGACCATCGCATCCCGCCATTATCATAACCATTACAGCCTACGATACACCGATACACCGATACACATCTTCATCATCTCCTTGTCGCGTGATTTCTAAAACCAGAAAGGAATTATATAAAATTCCAATTACTACAATTGCATTATAGCAGTATTCCGCTTACATATAATTGGCACCAGCCAATATCTCACGCGGGTTTCGAAGACGCGCCTTGAATAATCCTATTTTGTCGCGTTCGATGTCAAAGGCGAGGGGTGTTGCATTGCTCGGGTTAGTGGATTCGGACGACGAGGTGGTGGACGTGTTGGCCGAAGACACGGTAGTTGGTGCGAAAATGGCACCGGCTAAGAAAACCCGCGCAGCTGCGAATAAAACTACGAAATCAACACAGAACGCGGCGAGTCGGACGGGTGGGAAATCGACAGCCGCTGCAACTAAAGGACCCGGACGAAAGGCCTTAGCAGACAAGCAAACAAATGTTCAAGAGAAGCCTACACGAGGCAAGGGAAACAAACGACCAGCTACAGAAGAGGCCGAAGAAGATGAGGAAGAAGACGAGATCTCGATAACTAGTGATACGAAGCCCAAAGGTGGAAGAGGACGCCCTAGAGCTGCTAAGGTTCAAAAGATATCTGAAGAGGAAGAGCCATCGATTACGGATCAATCAGAGACTGCGGCCCGACCGGCTACGAAAAGAGGACGTAAGCCGAGAACGAAGGTTGATGAGGCGCCTGCAGAGCCTGAAATACCCGAAACACAACCGGTCGAGAAGGAAATTCCAGAAACGCAAGCTATCGAGATAACGGAGCTTAGCATTGAAGAATATGAACAGATAGGCGACTTACCTTCTTACAACCGTGCAAGATCGTCATCCGTCCAACGTCTTCAGCCTCATGGCCTTTTTAGTGCGACTCGAAGGACGGTTCCAGCATCTGATTCCGAGCTACATGAACCGTTGATGAGGAGGAAAGTAGGCGACCTGACCAGGAAATATGAGAGCTTGGAAGCGAAATACCGTGATCTACGGGAAATTGGTGTTAAGGAAGCGGAACGCAATTTTGATCGACTTAAGAAACAGACTGAAGAGAAAGCCAATAGTAGGTTATGAAAATGATTTCTATTATTTCATCAAGTACTAATATTTTCTAGCTACGAATGAGCTCATTGCTACCTTGAAGGCACAATTGTCTACCCAGACCGAGTTGGCCAAGGAGTCACAACGACTTAAACAACAATTGGAGGCTAGCCAAGCTAAAGTTGACGAGCTTCAAGATAAGGTGAACGACACCAATGCGTCTTTGGTAGGAGCAAAGACGGAGATCAAGACACTAAACACGAAACTAAGTGCTGCTCGATCCGCTGAGACAGCAAACCCGAAGATTCCGGGTAGCGCTATCAAGGGATCGAATGCGAATAAGGGGCTCCTCGCTAATGCCGAGGCCGCTGCGCAGACGGCACAGATGAAGGAGGTTCTATACGGCGATTTGACTGGCCTGATTGTCCGGGGCGTCAAGCGAGAACAGAACGGCGCGGATACTTACGATTGCATCCAAACAGGCAGAAATGGGAGTAAGTTTCTTCTGATCCATTTATATAATATAACAATAGGCTAACCGTGACTCTAGCTCTCCACTTCAAGCTGGGTGTGGGTGGTGATGAGTTGATGGAAAACGACGAACCTCAATTCATCTACATGCCCCAACTAGACCCAAGCCGCGATCAAGATTTGATCGATATGTTACCTGATTACCTTGTGGAGGAGATAACTTTCCCCCAATCACACGCTGCGAGATTTTACTCGAGGGTCATGAGATCTTTGACTGAACGACCAGAGTGAACGTTGAACGTTGACGCGGAAGATAATGAATTTATTCTTTCTACTCGTTTACCCATATGAAGATCGGATGGGTGGAAAACGAATTATTGTATATACTTTTGATACCACAATATTATTACGCATTACTGAAGAACTACAAAATAAAAATACAGTGTATGTCAATGGAGGATACTGTCTCTTTGATCTGTCTCGGCTCGGTACATCGGCCCCGCCCCGTGGCACCGGAACCACCAATCCGGTATGGTGTGGTACATCGGTAGGTACCTGACGTAGCCAGCCCTGTAATGGTCAATAATCCCTGCAAGCGCCAACGCGATTCCCAATTTCCCATACCTTAGCTGCTTAGCTGCTCACGAACGAACTCTCTGAACACCTTGACGGCAACAACGAAAAGTGGTTTGCAATCTGTCAATCTCAACTTCAAACAGTCTTTTCTAATGCGCTTCGCGAAACAATTCTAAGTCCCATATTGGACAAGAGCCCATGGCTTGTATACCGGGATCTCGCGCGCTTATTTATCCATTTCTCACATCTAATTCATATAGTTCCAGGTCGGGCTGACGCATAATTTCTTGTAAAATCTCGAATCGATTTTTTTCTTGGCGAAGCCTTTCCCACTCCTTTAACAACCTCCGCCTTTTCCGCTTCGTGACGCGATTTGCCCAGAACCGTGTACAGCCATGGCGGGCACAAGCCAATTTAAGTTCCTGGTTATAGCCATGGTATTTCACTTGATCTACATATACTCCATCTTCGATGTCTATTTCGTCAGTCCCATCGTTAGTGGGATGCAATTGTTCCAAGTAGAGCGACCATCAGGAGTAAAAGCGCCTGCAGATCGACTCGTTCTCTATGTTGGTGTGTACCATTCTTTGCGAAGTGCGATGCTAGGATCCTGTCGCTAATAGTCCACCTACCAGGCGACGGATTGCGCGCAGACAAGGCGTTCCAATCTTTCCCCGAGCCTTACCCCGAAACCGAGGCCGACGAGATCCCAAGACCACTTGCGCCTTACCTACGTTCCCGAGTACTAGAACATGGCACATTTGGTGTGTCGCATACGAGAGTGCCCACCGAATCTCGACCTGGCCACGTCGCATTAATAGCAGGACTTTATGAGGATGTCTCCGCTGTTGCGACCGGCTGGAAACTCAACCCAGTCAACTTCGACAGCGTCTTCAATAGGAGCGCGCACACATGGAGCTGGGGTAGTCCCGATATTCTTCCCATGTTCGAATATGGTGCGACTCCCGGTAGGATAGATACCGATTGTTACGATGCCGAGTTTGAAGACTTTTCAAAGGATGCGCTTGAGCTGGATATCTACGTATTTGATCATGTGAAGGAGTTCTTTGCCGCCGCAGAAAAGAATAAGACTTTAAACGATGCCCTTAGACAAGACAAGGTCGTCTTCTTCCTCCACCTTCTGGGAATTGATACTACCGGACATTCATACCGACCGTACTCCAAGGAGTATCTACACAATATCAAAGTTGTTGATGAGGGCGTCAAGGAAATCACCGAACTGATCCAAAAGTTCTATAATGATGATAGAACGGCTTTCGTTTTCACGGCGGACCATGGTATGAGCGACTGGGGAAGCCACGGAGATGGACACCCAGATAATACCAGGACACCCTTAATTGCATGGGGATCAGGCCTTGCGAAACCAGTTGTATATCCAGGTGCTATTGCTCCTGGCCACGATAAATACTCGTTGGATTGGGACCTAAATGAAGTTAAGAGAAATGACGTCCAGCAAGCCGATGTCGCAGCTTTGATGGCTTACTTGATCGGAGCTGAGTTTCCAGCCAACTCAGTGGGTGAAATACCACTTCCATACCTCTCCGCGAGCATCAAAGAAAAGGCCGAGGCCTCGTTGGTGAATGCCCAAGAAATTCTCGAGATGTATAAAGTCAAGGAGAATGGCAAGAAGACATCAGAGATAAGGTATCGGCCTTTCAAACCCTTGAGTGAAGGAAGTGGCTCAACGCCTGAGGATCGAGTGTCGTCTATCAGAGCCTTAATTAACAGTGGCAATTACGAAGAAGCTATCGAAGAGTCCGCGGCGTTGATGAAGATCGGGCTTGAAGGGATGCGCTATCTACAAACTTATGATTGGCTATTTTTGAGAGCTCTCATTACCATTGGTTATCTTGGGTGGATGGCATATGCCCTGACAACCGTTCTGGACCTACACGTACTTCAAGGATCGACTCAAGCCTCAAGGAATCTAGGTGGCACCGTTTTCTTCTCTTCGGTCCTTGTTATCCTATATGCATCCTTTCTTGTATCTCGATCGCCTATTACGTATTACGCATACGCATTCTTCCCTGTTTTCTTTTGGGAGGAAGTTTTCGCCCGCAGGGATAGTTTAATCGAGGGAAGAAAAGCTCTATTCGGACACATCAAAACGGGAGCCAACGTGGTGACGTTAGGACTCAATTTCATAATTTATGTTGGCATCATCGAGTCATTGGTAATTATTCCCCTCAACACCCAACGCCAAGGGTCTCTTCATGCTAACGACGTAGGCATTTGGATATATCCATCGAGAAGTCTTCACCGTACTATTTATCATCGGAGGACTCTACCCGTTAACGATAGGAATATCTTTCCTTCAGAAGCATATTGCTCTGTCCGCGACTTGGTTCATATCTTGCCTTTTGATGAGCATCTTTACTTTATTACCGGCAATGAAGGTTGAAAATATCCCACTTACGTAGGTAAACCCCGATCGTTATATTACAGGACTTACTAATACTCCGTAGCATGCTTGGCGGTGTACTGATGGTCGCGGTTGGTGTTTTATACCTCATCTTCGAAGAGAAGCTCTTGATCGATATCTCAGATACGAAAAAGCAAAGTACAGCAAAGACAAATAACGACATTTCAAGAACAGTAATCGGTGTTCAGGTAAGTACTTCGTTGGCGTTAACAGCCTCAGGCTAACTTCCGGTAGATTGGCCTGATTCTTCTAGCTATGTATGTAACGCGAGATAGCGCTCTCTCGTTACAAGCAAAGCAGGGTTTACCGCGTGGGAATCGAGCCGTCGCATGGCTTGTTTTGATTGTATCATTTTTGATGCCACTAGCCCACCGACTTCAACCAAACAACCACTATCTCCATAGATTATTGGTTATTTTCTTAACATGTGCGCCAACCTTCGTCATGCTCACCATATCGTATGAGGGTCTATTTTACTTTGCTTTTAGCCTGTTACTACTCACCTGGGTCCGAATAGAGCATCACGGGTATAATTTCGTACAGTCGACGAAGAAGGCTTCAGGCGAAGAGAAAAGCACGACCAAGGTAGAAGCCCAGACGACCGTATCCGAGTTCCGACCGTTGGCTCTGTCAGATGCCCGCATAGCCTTATTCTTCTTTGTTTTGCTACAATCGGCCTTCTTCAGCACCGGCAATATCGCATCCATCTCTTCGTTTAGTCTGGAGAGTGTTAACAGGTTAATGCCTGTATTTGACCCCTTTTCGCAAGGAGCTCTACTAATTCTCAAAATTATGATACCGTTTGTGCTCATATCAGCGAACCTAGGCATTCTGAACAAAAGAATTGGAGTAGCGCCATCGGCCCTCTTTATGCTTGCAATGGCTCTAAGCGATATCCTTACTCTTTACTTCTTCTGGGTAGTAAAAGATGAGGGTTCGTGGCTTGAGATCGGGTCAACAATCACCCACTTTGCTATAGCTAGTCTACTATGCGTCTTTGTTGCCGGACTCGAAGGCGTAAGCACATTGTTCATCGTCGGAATCGAGGTGAATAATTCACACGAATTGAAGGCCACAAGCAATGGAAAGGCACTAGATGCGCCACCAAAGACAGAAGTGACCAATGGGGAGACCAAGCATCAAGATCCAGCGCCTATATCAGATGAGAAATAGGCATCCTAATTTACGCGGAAGTATATACCAGAACATATACATGTATACATAATTACACCACTAGACGAATAGCGGGTTCTACTCTGCCTTTGTAGATGTAACTGTGACCTGCATAACGACGCAATATGCGCATCCACGTATACTGACCCGTTAATTCCCCTGAATTTGAGAAATACCTCGGTAACTTTTTGGCGTCTCAACTGGATGGACTTCTCTCCACATTGAGAGTAGTGTTACGGTGGAATGTCAAGTCCAAATACGACCGTGATCTTTCATGTGCAAATTATTGTCAACATACAGATAGCAATTCCCAACTGAGCATCGATTACTCTGGTCGATTTATGAGATGATCTATCAAAACAAAGTACTACGCCAGCGGCCCGTGTTCAAAGAAGTTAAGACCCTAGATCCCGATTAGCTTCTAGAACTTCTTAGTCTAAAGACATGGATGGGATCCATTTTAAGACTCCCTTAATACATTATACAGACCATTCTACTGGTATTTATTAATCAGCATAGGACGTAAAAATTACATGTGATTGACGTTGTTGTCATAATCATACAACATCATCAGGGCTGAAGTAGAACATGCAGATGGACTTAGCCCACATAACGAAAACGAGTCTAGTGTTACAAACCTGAAAATTAATAGTGGTTAAAGGAGGTTATGAAAAGGGAAATCTACGAGACGCCCCCGGATTTCGAGATTTAGCGACGGAGAACAAGACCAAAACTGGTTGGTCGCCGACCGTTTATTAGGAGCGACAGGGATAGGGGACTCGATCGAGTACAACAGACTACTGTACGTAGCTGTGTAGGCGCTGACTTGGATATCCCACTTCTTCACATGTCAAACAATGTCCCGTATAGTATGGTGGTACAGAGCTTGCTTCTTGAAGCTTGGGAGTTTCGCTCTGTATTCGAGTTGAATAGTCGTACATCTCGAGTCTGCATTGCATAATTGTCTTCTGACCGGTTCCAAGTACGCGAGTATGAGGCAAACAATCTGCAGGATATTGTCAAGTGACAATTCCTTCGCTTTATGTAGACTAGGGAAGAATACATTAATACGTTTGGTAATATTGTTTTTAAAAAGCAAAATGTCTTGATAGAGACCGGGATGGGAATGTAGCCGGATCGGGAAGTGCCGCGTCTTTAACACTCTACCACCGAAAGTGATACATAGCGAAGAAGAAAAGAGAAGATGGGATCGGAACATATAATCACATAGAATCTTGTATTTAGAATTTAGCTCATTGACTAGATGAGTAGTTTCCTTCTTGTGGAACTTAGTTTATTCCTATACCATCAAATGTAGCACGAAGGGGACAAACGGCGCTAAAGTGTAATATCCGCTTAGAAAGTACCGCACAGTTCGATTTCCTATGCAAGGTACGACACTCGGTATGGATAAGGTACATCATCCATCATGTACTTGACAGTTTCTCCATTATGTACCGGCAGCTACGGGGGTTCCATCAGTGTAATAAACTCTTAACATTCGCAGTAGGAGGCAAAAGAAGTAGGAAGCTTCGGCTTTATATTTGTGGAAGCTGTTACCAGGAACATTGAAATCTAAAAAAGAACAATCTGGCGTGAGCGCGGGTTGTTTTTTTTATTTTTATTTTATTTTCTTTCGTTTTCGTCTAGTTTTTCTCAAAATCGAAATCCGCTTGAACATCCCGCATCGCATTCGCATCTCACATTCTTCGTCAGCGCATCGCCTTTATTTGTGGTCCCCTCCCAAGCTTCTTTAATCGACTCCTAAAATTTTCCCACGTGCGCAAAAGGGGACTCGTGTAGTAGCAAACCGTCTAAACAATCCTACCTAGCAAGACATAGCAGACATATAGTATTCCTATCGATGCGCTCCCTCGTCCGGCAGCGAGCGATAGGGAAGTTGACGCGAGATCTGTGCTCACCGACGACCTTCTCCAACGTTCGATAACGAGAGATTGATCAACCTTTCGGAACCCCACCGCTTCTACTCTAACCGTTGTATCCAACCACCCATATCACCCACAGCTTGCATTTCGAAACCTCAATGGACGTCGCGATGAATCCTGGTAGCGGTGAGGCGGCAGGTCAACAGCAGCAACAACTACAGCAGCCGCCGCATTCTGCGAATTCACCTGCACTCTCTACACCACCTTCCAATAGCCACAATACGCCACCGGGGCCGACGACGTCAACGCAAAATGCGCAAGGTCAAATGAGTTTTCGGAGGTTCGTAGGGTCTCCCCCATACAGCATAATGTCTTTGATCATATACGCCACGAGTTGCTCGTGACCAATTAGCTGACCGTGCGCAAATATTTATCAGACAGCGGGCTTCGAGAGCATGCGAGGTGCGTATTGTTTTCTTTCTTCTTACTCGTTCGGTTTTTAAATTGTTGGTGGTCGTCTGTGCCATTTTATCTATTTCAAGCTATCCGAGCTACCTATCTGGGGCTCGAGGTGGGATTATCTCAAACGTGCCGAGGCATCTCAAGAATGCGCTCCATCTTCTTGCATCACCAACTAACATCCCGCCTATCAAACAGACATGCCACGCTCGAAAGGTACAATAAACCTTCCTTTCCAATCAACCGATCCAAACAATTAAATGCGACCGCAAAAACGATATATTAGCACGAAGACGATGCTTACAAAATAACAGGTGCGATGCGATGCTGCGAGTCTAGGCGTTCCATGCACGAATTGCGTCGCCTTTCAGATCGAATGCAAGATCCCACAAGCCAAGAGGAAGAAAACTCAGGCGAATACAACAAAAGATTCAGACAGGTGTGTGCTTAACCCTGTTCTACTGGTAGGGTAATAGAACATCCATAAGATTGACTGGCTTTTCTTAAGCGAACGTGGAGATGCCGTCGAGGAGCCTTCTCCGAAGCCGCCCAGCGCCGGTTCGTCCACGACGTTCCCAGCACGACCTGCTGTGTACCACTCCTCGGAGGGTGTACCAACCACGACCCTCACGGAAGCTCAAGCTAGGAAAGAGGAGGCCGACAATGATACATTCGTTAATTTGGTTATGAAACCGAAATTCACAAGAGCTCCCATCACTGAAGCGGGCAGGGTAGCGTTTCTAGGGGAATCATCGAATCTAACTCTACTAGTCCACGATCGCCAAGGAGCCTCTGATGTCGTGCATTATCCACTGCCTGAGAATATACGTGGATCGAGAGCCCGCTTGACGGAGTTAGACAACATCGAGATCGATATACTCCATAAACGCGGAGCTTTCCTACTACCACCGAGATCTCTTTGCGACGAGCTTATTGAATCTTACTTCAAATGGGTACATCCTATTGTGCCTGTTATAAATAAGACTCGTTTTATGCGACAGTACCGAGACCCCAAGAACCCACCATCATTGCTTCTTTTGCAAGCTGTTTTACTTGCTGGATCGCGAGTATGTAACAACCCACAGCTCATGGATGCGAACGGTTCGACCACTCCAGCCGCATTGACGTTTTACAAACGAGCAAAGGCCCTGTACGATGCTAATTACGAGGATGATCGTGTGACCATCGTCCAAGCGCTGCTTCTTATGGGCTGGTATTGGGAGGGTCCCGAAGACGTTACGAAGAATGTTTTCTACTGGAGCAGAGTCGCCACCATTGTCGCGCAAGGATCCGGAATGCATAGGAGCGTGGAAGCGTCACAACTCAGCAAAGCCGATAAGAGACTATGGAAGCGCATCTGGTGGACGTTATTTACTCGTGATCGATCTGTTGCGGTTGCATTGGGACGGCCCTGCAATATTAACTTAGATGATTCAGACGTCGAAATGTTGACCGAGGACGATTTTATCGAAGACGAACCAGATAATGCGAGTGGATTTAGCCCCGATCCTATTCATGTTCAATTCTTTCTGCAATACGTCAAACTCTGCGAAATCATGGGCCTAGTTCTGTCTCAGCAGTATTCTGTGGCATCTAAGGGTCGACGCCAAAATGCCATTGACCTGACTCATAGTGATATGGCATTGGCAGATTGGCTTCAAAATTGTCCAAAATTAGTATACTGGGAAATGCCGCGACATCATTTTTGGAGCGCTTTGCTACATTCTAACTATTATACCACACTATGTCTCCTACATCGAGCGCATATGCCGCCTAACAGCAGCAATGCAGCTAGATTTCCGGACGATTCTTCATATCCTTCGCGCAACATTGCTTTTCAGGCTGCTGGTATGATCACATCCATTATCGAGAACTTATCAGCACATGACGAACTTCGCTATTGTCCGGCTTTCGTCGTGTACAGCTTATTCTCCGCTCTCATTATGCATGTCTATCAAATGCGGTCACCCGTCCCCTCCATTCAACAAGTTACACAAGTTCGAATCCGGACATGCATGGAAGCACTGAAGGAAGTGTCCAAGGTATGGCTAGTAGGCAAGATGGTGGCCACATTGTTCGAGTCGATCTTAGGCAACAAAGTTTTAGAAGAAAGATTACAGAAAGCTGCTGGAAAACGCCACAAGAAAGTCCAGCAAAGCCTAGCTCAGCTAGAGCAACACCAACAGAGACAGCAAGAAGCTGCCAATAAAAGGAAATATGATGAGATGGCTATTGACTTTAGTATAAATACGCCGGTACACCAAGAATCATACGAACGATCGCGACCGCAGACTCCTCGGAATGAACCGGTTCAAAACCAGCCTCATATGGGACCGCCCATCAACTCACCGAATGCTAGATCCGGAGACACATTCATGGGAGGAACTAACAGTAGGCCACATACACGACCGGCGACACCATTCAACCCCTCATTCTCGGTCCCGACTACGCCTCCAGATCTATACCTCGTCACCCGTAATTCACCGAACCTTTCTCAATCCCTTTGGGAGAATTTCCAACCGGACCAGTTGTTCCCTGAGAGCTCACAACTTCCATTGCCGCAGTTGTCACCGCAGCAAAATCAACAGAGCTTGGACCCAAGTCTCGTTTCTCCGATGCAGGCTGGTATGTCTCCGCAACAATCGCCTGGGCAAACCAGCCAGTTCCTACCCCGGATATCGAACAAAGCGACAGGGATAAATCCCCAGCAGGCTAACACATTTTTACAACCAGGAGCTGGAGGGTTTCAATCCCAGACGAATAACAATAATCTATGGCCAGGCGGCGACGTAAACTCGGGGATACCGGACGGCCAAAGTCCTAGTGACAGCTGGAGTACCGCATCCGCGCAAGGGCAGCCCGTGCCGGCTACGTTGAATGTTGAAGACTGGTATGTGATATTTCTACCTAGTTATGAACTATTATCTGATGTTATTGCTATAGGTTCCAATTCTTTGGCATCAATGGGAATGATATTAACCTGACTGGGCTCGATATGCCTGTAGGTTAAGTCAGTCTCTGTATGATATGACTATGATTATCAGTACACCTTCGTGGATTAATTTTGGCAGGGCATGATTTATGCGAAAGCATGAGAATGGATATGTACCATCTCGTATGCTAGGAGTTTAGGTGCCTATGTTCAAGGCGAATTATACAGAACATGTATAAGGATAATGAACCTGTTAGAGATATATAAAAGGAGATGGTTAGCTATCTCGAGCTATACCTGTTGCAAAATAACTATATACAAAATATTACACGTACGAAGTACCATGGGTATATATATACCAGCCAGCACATGTGCTTATAAAGATTATTGGCCTTTCGGAACCATCCGTATTTGGACGAAAAATACGTCTGTCTGAAGAAATAAATTACTCTCGTAATAAACACATATACACTTCGTAATAGTTGTCGTGTATGAGAATTCATTGGTGGTGGCTACGGGGATTCACAGAAGAAATGTAGCATATTGGGTTAGTAACTAAGACGCCCAGAGGTCGCCTAGAAATGCAAACCCTGTAGTGATTGGCGTTAGGGAGTTTCCAAGGGGGTCCACAGCGCCGTTCCAGCCGTCTTGGCCTATAATAGGCACTAAGTTATGGCGGTGCTTTAAAATGGTATGGGGCTCAAGAGACGGGATTACGGGTACATGTGCAGTACAACTACAGGTACAAGTATAGGTACATTGGGCATGTACATGACGTGCATACCCTTGTTTCTTGTTCAGTCCCTAAAGGGGATCCAATGGTACGTGTACAATTCGACGAACTCCTGTTTAATGTTAAACTTCTCTAACAAACATAAACTTGCCTTGAAAGATCCATAGCACCCATAACCACGCCCGATAACGAGATATTCAAATCACTCTTATTTTGATATTCCCTCTTTCCATCCCATTGCTAGACATATACTTTTCTTTTTCACTTTCACTTTGAAGAACTTAGCTTTATTATTTTCTACGAAGACTATCGTTTAACCGTGACTTGCGTACCCGACAATTCAAACATAATACCCATCACGAATGTTACCATCCGGCCGAATCCCGATTTGACCGAAATCGAGAAATTGCCAATTCCACGACGTAGATAAGAACGAAACCCTCTCACGAGATATATTCACCCCGATAAAATCAATGTTATCCCCCAATCGACATCAGCCATAGCCTCCTTAGGCTCGTATCGTCCTTAGAATATGGCCGATACGGGTTCAACATCACGCCCTTCCGCGCCTAGATCTACAACCGGTTTAGCACCCGCCGGCGTCGATGATACCAGTGCTGTGAGGTCGCGGAGCAAAAAAGCTCCAGCTAATAGAGATGCGGCAAAGACGCCGAGCTTAACGCTCGACCAAAGTAGTCGAGGGGCGAGTCCGATGCCGTCCGCGCGTCTCGGTAATAGTAATCTCCTTTCGAGCGGACGGTCAAGCCCCTCCAATGCCGCCTTTTCGCGTGGACTTCTTGAGGGTTCATGGACACCGACTTGGGCTTCTATACAGGATTTTACATCTTCGTTGTTAGAAGGTGGTTATAGTAGTGAACCTTCTCGTCCTAATAGTCGGAATGGACCTAAATCGCGACCGAAGTCGATATGGAAGGGGTTTGGAAGTAATAAGTCTTCTAGCAACTGGGGTCCAGCACCCCCAACCGGATCACGACCGGCCGCTGGAGATATAGCAGCAGGATCCCTCGCCGAGCGAGAGGCACAATTGAAGGCTAGGAAAACGGCTAGTGTATTAGAGAGTTATGACGGAGTCAATGGTGGTCTAGATGTTTCTGGAAAATATAAGAGGAGGAATTCAGACGAGGCACCGCGGAGTACAGTCGATCCTGTAGTCGAAGAACACCTAGTCTACCTACACCATGTGCAACCTACAGACACATACGCCGGTATTATTCTACGTTATAGATGCCAGGAGCACGCATTTCGAAAGGCAAATGGGTTGTGGTCCAGGGATAATATCCAGATACGGAAACACCTTATGATACCGGTTGATGCGTGCGAAACCAAGGGGCGACCATGCGATCCCCCATCGCAATACTCGCGGAAGGTTGATCTTCTAGCTACTACGCCACAACCCGCCAATTCCCCAAGTCCATTCTCACCCACATCTGCATCTACCCCACAACCACAAGCACTCCACGACAGTTACTTCGAGTCTATTAGTAGCAAATCAGCAGGCAATCCCTTACAGGAAGACGAGGAACAGCCCTGGACACACGTTCGCTGGGTAAAACTAGACTGGGTCCAGGAACCGGTAGAAATCGTCCGGGTCTCACGGAAATCCATGGGTTACTTCCCACCACGACGAAAGAAGAGTGTACACACAGTTTCCGCCTTCTCGACCCCGCGCCACTCTCTCGACCTCTCAAAAACCATAACCAATTCCTCCGAAGTCATCGACAACAGCCCCGGGCGCCTATCCTCACGTCGGCAGAGTTCGCTCGGAGCTCGCCCTACACCAGCCAGTCTGGGCACCTCATCATCAGCTAGAAGCAGAGTCACGAGTCTAGGCGAATCCGACGGCATTCCGGCATGGATGCGGCGGCCCGGTGGTGTAGGATCGATGGGGAAAAGCGTCAAGGCACCCGGACCCGCGAAGGACTCGTTCAATGCCTGGGTCAATAAACGCTTACCAGGCTTCAACATCGACTCTATGCCCTCGATGTCGGTAATGGGATCCGAGACCGCGCATTTTGGGTTCACGAACCATGGTAATACGAGCGGAGGCCTGGAGGAAGCACCGGGGATCGTGGAGAGTCCGTTTGAGGAAGGACGGAATGCTACGTCGCCGACTAGGAATGGTGGGATTGGGATTGAGCAGGCGGCGGCTTCGGTGGAGAGTTGGTTGAGGAATGCTTGGGCGAGACGGCCTAGTACGCCGAGATTGGGGTCCCAGAGGAGGGTACAGCAGGAGGATTTGGATTTGATAGAATTGACTGATACTGGGAGTGAGGATGGACGGTTGACTAGGACGCCTGAAAGAAGTGTGCCGGGCTCGAGTGCGAGGAGTGAAGGGGAGGGAGTGGTTAGAGGGAGGTCGGTTGGGACGGTGACGCCGACGGGGAGGGATAAGGGGAAGAAGAGTGATTGATTGGGGTGGGGATAAGAAGATCAAGATCAAGATCACATTTCGATAGACGGTCCGATTCGATATATGCGTGTTTGTTCAGCGTCTCGACGTCTTCTTATTCGAGATCGAGATCCCGTATGTGTGTGAGTGCGTTGTTATTGTTGTGTGGGCGATTGAGCATTGCTGGAGGCGTTTATGGATGGAAATCCCATGGCGTTTTTTATCGTCTTCCAATCTTCTTCGTCTCTGTCTACTGGCTTCGGTTGGATACATGTGTATATATACATCATGATATATACATAGCTTAGGTACTACTATCATGAGGCAACTATGTTTGGAGGATTAGACAGTTTAGGGAGGTAGAATTATCGGAATATCCTACAGATTATGTACTGCCCTGCTTAGGTATACTTAGCAGCTATTTGGCTGCTTAGAGGGACTGGGAATTGATTTGTAAAATTTGTCTTAGTTTCCATCTATAATTGTGTTTTGGTGATGGGATTATAATGGTGTTGAATCTTAGAAGCAATAGGGGAGTTTATAGCTTATCTAAGCTATTCAGGCACGATAAGATAAATAATACAGGGCCGATAATGCTGTAATTTAGTGCACTTCAAGCTCGCCGTTACATGCTTCCTTTTTGATTGAAACCCTGCAACATCATGAAGTAGGTGAGGTAGTATTCCATATCTGGGCATTTAATCATATGTAACTAATTGATCAATATGTAGGTACGATACGACGTAGTCATGTTGTCGCGACTTCTATCCGCAGAGGAAATCGATCCGTACCACGCGTTGCGAACGCCCCTCTACGCCAACGCCTGCCGTAGGTGACGAAACAGATAATACAACCATTCTTCAACTTCAAAATAAATAAGAGCTTGGAACTGGAGAGTAAAGGGAGGGAAGCGCAAGAAGAACACGCAAACCCATTATGCCGATCTGCATCGAGTGCCGGCACCCGGTCAAGACATTATGGACGCAGTATTCGGGAGCTGGCGACCCGTCGAGCGGCCATAATATACGATTGACAGTGTGCAAGAACTGCGGTCGCTTCTGCGATAAATATGTTGAGCATGACTTTGTTGTGCTCTTCATCGACCTTGTCCTTATTAAGCCACAAGTCTATCGGCACTTGCTACATAATACATTGATGCGCGAGAGGGACCAATTTGACGTATGTTTCCTCTCTTCTTTTGCGTTAGTGTGTGAGTGGAATGGAAGAATGAATGTTGATATGGAGACTACGAATAGCCATCTATTATACGTCTCGGAACACTGCTACTACTCTTTGACGTCTACTTAACCTGGGCCCGAATCGAGAAGCAAGCTGCACCAGACCCGAACTCGCCACACGGAGGAAGTAATCTAGGAAGTCTAGCACAACAACCTATCGTATTACAATATCTATTCTTCCGTATGTTCTCTTCCTCCCCCTCTACTCTCCTCACTGAACCAAGAGCCTAACACCATCAAACAAATAGTGATTCTCTGCACCTTCTCAACCCTCGCCTTCCACGTATGCATCCGCTTCCTAACCTCCTCGCCTCTCTCCCCGCTCGCCCTACTAAACCTACTCCCGACGTACCCACGGCCGAACTCCGTCTCCACGGCGCTTCTCGTCTCCTCATCTACAAAGCTGTTCCCAATCCTCATGGTCATATGGGACTATGACGTGCCCGCGGCCGCGCGATCCCTCGGCTGGGCCGTTGTTGCGAATAACGTCGAAGCGCTTGAGATATTACTAGATTGCGGGTATGGTGTAGCGCTGGCTTTGGCGGCAGCTGGGGCGGTGGCCAGATGGATCGTGGGGAGAATGGTGCTTTGGGTTGTTGGGTTGGAAGGCGTGGATTCGGCAGCGGAAAGTGGTGTTGCGGCGGATGGGAGGGCGCTTTGGGCGTTGATGGTGTATGCGAGGGAGTGGGCTGGAAGGCTGGCCGTTGGATAATGCATGTTATAATCGCCCTCAGGTCAGATCAAGCTATATATAAAGAAATGACATGTTCAAAATGCGTTTATTAGGACCTCTACAAAGCGGTGTCTCCTAATAATTCCAATATTACACTCTCCCGCGGCTCTGCTCGCGATGCCTAGCCTGCTCGACTTGCTACAAAGCATGGATTGATGCGCCCTATTCTTCCCAAAACGCCGAGACCAAAATGTAGATTGTGGTAATGATGTTTGTACAAAGAGCCACGTTCGCTCAACTCTGTGCTCTTCCCCTCCCTCTCGGGATTGCAATATAATAATCCTTCGCCCTTGAATCCGTCATTATTCGGTTGAATGTTGACTTCTCTTGTTTGTCCTTGTATTCCTAACCCTTACACGAAACCCCTAACAGTTGATCCCATCAGATCATGGCCCATGTAAGTTCGCTCGTAATCAGACTAGAGGTACAGAATCGGATTTATTCGTTTTGGAAGCCTTCGCGGATGTTGGACCGTCTCGGTTCGATTAACGGATGTAGCTGGGCCATGAAAGTGATGAACCACATTAGGTAACAGCTGATGAAAGCGAGGATGAGAGAGGATCGCCAGGTTCTATTATTTATCATTAGCTCCGTCTCAATAACTAGTATATAGGTAAGAGTATATAGAATGTTAGATTAACTTACGTTTGGTTTTCGCCCTTGGGTGAGAAGAACCACGCGGCAACGCAGAGGGCAGCCACAATGGCGAGGCCGACGAAGATGCTGTAACTATAGCGCGGTCAGGTCAGCTTGGATAGTCGCTACAGATAGAATATGGCCCCGAGTATTGTAGAAGAGACGAATATACATACCCCTTTGCCATATTGTAAGCAGAGCGGTTCTAGCCTTCAAGTTAATAAATTGGATAGCTTGTAAAATGTGAAGTATGAAATCAAGTTGGAAGCTCGGAATCGGATTGGAGCTTGCCTGGTTGACCCTGCCGTAATTCGAGGTTCCATCGACACGCTAAGGTGTGCTTAGTCATCAGTGCATGGGTGTACGTACCTCTAGGACTATTTCGTCTTGAGGTGAGACGAGACAAACTGAAATTTAAACTTAACAACTTCACCAACAATAAGAAGACACAGATATGAAAATGAGAGTTACGCTATTATTCTATTCATGAAGTACTTCGAATATTTTCAATATGTGAAAAGGAGACAACACAATGCTACCTTAACAATCTAAGCATCATTCTCATACTTCAAACCAGCATTCTTCCTCACAGCACCATATATACCCGCAATATCACCTTTATCACCACCCGCATGTGCAGCAACCTCCTTAAGATAATCATCTGCGACCTTGACTAATTTGAGCTCAGTACCAGAGCTCTTCGCTAGTTCCATGGCGTGGCCAGCGTCCTTGCGGGCGTTGTTGGCTGAGAAGAGCGGTTCTTCCATCTTCCAGTAGGTACCACTGATCATGCGCTCCGAGTACGCGCTGTAAACGCCACCCCATAAGCCATCGACGAACTGTTTTAGCGGGGCAGCGCCTATTCCAGATTTCTCCGCCAATGTATACGCTTCTCCCAACACTGAAACCATGTTCACTACCATACTGTTGCCAATCAACTTCAGTTTCAGCGAGTTCGCGTATGGCTGGTCGTCAAAAGGGATCATTGACTTGCCCATCACACCTATAGTGTAAGGACGCAGCTTTTCGATAGCCGACTTAGGACCTGCGGGACAGAAACTGTATTTATGAGGTTAGCAGTGACTACTCGGTTGTGATACATCCTACGGGAGTAGAACATGGGGTTGTCCGAGGCAAAACTCCGACTTACATGAGCTGGCCTGCATTGGCCATTGCTGGCGCGCCAAACACGGGACTCGCGACAAATTCAGCTCCTTTGTCAACCACTAACTTAGCAACCTTCTCCGTAGTCTCGGGGTAGATGGTAGAGCATTCAACAAATAGCTTGCCCGTAACATCTCCCTTGGCAACGGTGTTGAAAATGCCTTCCACTGCGGCATCATTAGAAACAATGGAGAAGATGATGTCAGCCTTCTTAACACCCTCCTCGATAGAATCGATAATCTCTGTCTTTCCTTCGGGAAGTGTGGCTGCCAATTCCTCGGAACGCTTCCTGGTTCGGTTATATATAATGACGGGCTTGTCTAAGTTACCCTTCTCCACCAGGTTCTTCACCATACCCTTGACGCGAGAATCAGTACGAATGAAGCGTTGAAGTCTAGTTATAGTCGACTTACTCGACCCATGTTTCCCAAGCCGATCCACAGTATTGAAGGAGCCATTGCTGCTGGTTTGTTACTTACTGCTAACTAGCAATTATTAAATTAGGTGGTTCCGGCAGTTGTAGCTGGTAAAACAGTGAGTATTCCAATCAACTAAATGTAACCTTTGTTGAGCGAAGTAGATATTTGAAATATTTAACTGTAGCTTAAAGAAGATCTCGACATAAATACGTACCTGAGTCTCTAAAATCGAACAACGAATACAAGCTGGAGAAGCGGAGATATATAAATCGGCAATAGACGGATGCCAAGCCGGCTTTTATATACAACTCCGCGTCATACTTAGCTCCATAATTCTACCAAAAGTTCCCCGCAACTCGCCGGCGCGAAGCGAATCTTCCTTCCATAAGATCATTCTTGTCTTATCTGATCTTAATTACATAAATCTACACTAATCACAACTACAGGGTAATAAATCAGCCGCAAAGAACTACGCAATCATGCGAACATCCCTTCACGATGTTATTAAGTAGCAGAGTGGGTGGTAGGGTACGGACCGGCTCTCGCGCATTCAATCTCATCCGAAGGCCCCGCCAAAATGTCAGATCGCTTCACCTCGCGCCTCCGTTCCTGCTCGATGACTACATCCCGCGTTATCAGCTATTGTCCGAAGTCGAGGCTTCTAAAAAGCGATCCCTCGCTTATGCCCACCTTCGGAACTGCAACTTATGCCCTCGACTTTGCGGTGTGAATCGCTATGAGATGACGGGCATGTGCCTGATAGGACAAGATGTAAAAGTCAATGTAATTGCGCCGCACTTCGGAGAGGGTGAGTAAGAGCCCAACTTCGCGAACTGGGGAATTTAACTGAGTCGTCGTAATAGAACCCTGCATACAGGGCCATAATGGAAGTGGCTCTGTATTCTTTTCCGGATGTAATCTACGGTGTACCTTCTGCCAGAACCATGATATCGCTCATCAAAGGAATGGATTCGATCTAACACCTGAGGAACTGGCCCAATGGTATATTAAGTTACAGGATGTTGGCCATGTTCACAATATTAATCTGATCACGCCCGAGCATGTGGTGCCACAGGTCGCTCTCTCGATCCTGCACGCTCGGGATTTGGGTCTGAAGCTGCCGATCGTGTATAATACGTCGGCGTTTGACTCACTCTCTTCGCTGGAGCTTATGGACGGCCTTGTCGATATATACCTCCCGGATTTTAAGGTGTGGAGTAAGGCCGCCTCTCAGCGCCTGCTTAAAGCCGATGATTATGCCTCCGTTGCCGCCAAGAGTATCAAAGCCATGCACGACCAGGTTGGTGATTTATGCTTTACTGGGGATGGGGTAGCAAAGAAGGGTGTCCTGGTTAGACACCTCGTCATGCCTGGAAAGGAAGCCGAGGCCGAACAGATTATGAAATTCCTCGCGGAAAAGGTTTCAAGGGATATTTTTGTGAATATCATGGAGCAGTATCGACCTGATGCCCATGTTGGGAAGCCGAAGAGGAGGGCTAAGGAGACGGCTGATAAGGCAGGTCAGGAAGGACAGGAGGAGGTTAGGTATGCGGAGATCAATCGTCCTGTTACCAAGGATGAAATTTCGGTGGTGAGGAAGGCTGCTGAGGCTGTTGGCTTGGTGAGCATCTCGTTTCGCATTTACTTACACCTTGCTGACTTGATTTCTTCCCTAGTGGCGTTTTTGCGACCCTCCGAGGCATGATGGCTTTGCTATATAAAGACTTCGGACAATGATGTCGAATTGCTATTGTAACTATAGTCTGGGTGTATATTATCTGGGTAGAGTCTGGAGGCATCTTTTAACAGTCCTAACTTCATGCGCCAGAATGAAAGCATTCTTCCTTCAATTACAACAGCCCTAGCGGCTTCCGTGCGTATTATGGATCATATCAGCCAAGAACAAAATTTACCAGGCCTTGAAAATCCTTCAATCTATTACGTGGATATTTTTTTCGTTGGCGTTAATGTTTATTACCAAGGTTTGACGAGCTTTCACAATATGCCTTCTTTATTCTGCCTACAGCTGGAGTATTCTAGTTACCACCCAACCTATAGCTGTCAACATAGTGAAACTAGAACAATCTGGAAAATGATTTGCTCCAACACCTGTCTAACTATCTGCCTGCACAAGTAACCTTTGTTCCATGATACTTGATAAGCATCTCTACATCACGGCTATCAGCCAGCTCGATATTTAATGCCTACCTAGGTAGACCTCCACACACGCAGTCCAGAGGTTCATATCATATACTCCGAAGGTATTAAACTTACAATGCCAAATAACTCCCAACACGAACAGCCGCGTCGGAATCAGGAGTATGGGGGTCGCTCATATAGACGACCCAAGCGCCAAAATAATCGACAGAAGCAAACAACGACTAGAGTCCGCGGCGATATTTGGCAGTCGGTTAGTGCGTTACAACTAGGACTACAGCCACGTTCATTCGAAGAGCTTCATAGGGAAAGGATGGGCCTGCTTGAAATGCTACAGCAACACGACCGACGGGCACTAGATCTTTTCGGACGGGTCCCTGTCATCGAGGAACAGATGCAACAATCGGAGACGACTGCTGATGAACGGAAACGCGCGGGGAAGAATCGTGGTTGGCTACGACATCGTATCGTAGAGACCGTCGAGGAAGAGAAGAGGATACTGGCGCGGCTAAGCGAGTTGCATGTTGAGATACAATGCCGTGAGAGATGGTATCGTGTTGAGGCGGAAAGGGAGGCTAGAAGGACTCCCGTGGGAGAAGTGGCGGAGGAGAATCTACAGCAACAACATCAATCACAACAACCGAACACTGGCTACAATGAACAACCCTTTCTTCCGCCATTACAGCCGATGCCGTTTTACAACCAAGCCAACACAATGCCTTATGACCCCTATTATCATTCTCCATACTATAAGTTTTCTTCAAATGACTGGACATATCCCGAGCATAGTTGGGGATATCAAGCCCCGGTATACCCCCAAGATGCTTATAGGGACCACTATGGGGATGAGATGCATGGTACACCTCTTAACGAAGAATCAGGTGGTTCGTCTCACAGCTACTCGGACTCGATCCAGATAATCACAGAATCAAGACCAACGAAGAGAAATAGTATGCCTACGTTAAATTTCACCTGGGATGAAGGGAATAAGGAAGAGGGTGATGATTACACATAATTTAAGCTTCACTGTAGCTTTATCTAGTAATGGGTCTGGGAAAATATTAAGGCGTTAGGACGGCGTTAGGTTAAGGAGGTACCCCTTTTTTCATCAGGTTGTTCATAGTATGAATTTGATTTATCTCAAGAGTAGCACCATTAGTGACAATGTCGTATATACCATTCCATCATAGTCTATTCCAGCAGCAGGTCGTTACTCAGAGACCATCCAGATGATCAAAGCTACTCATGCAAACTCCCCAAATTTGCCATCATCGAAACCCAGGTTTTGAGCGGACAATCGTTTTGCTCTGCTGTTGGTATTTGTAGTTGGTGGTGGTGGTGGAAGTATACCCACACCACCAGGTCCTGGTGAAGCAGAAAAAGAAGGTGGTGGAGGTAATGAGAACGACGAAAGACCCTCATTAGACTGAGGAGGGGGCTCTGGTTTTCTCCTCCCAAATCTCCCGGGTAGGTTAATCGTGATCGTCTCACCCTCCTTCAAACTAAGATCGCGCTTCTCAGCTGCGTTATCTTGTTTCTCTGCCGCCGCCTGTTTCTTTCCCGCATTCTGGCTTCCACCCCATCCCACCGACTTCTGAGCCTCTTGTAGCGCAACACCAAAATCAAACGCCTCACTCCTCTCCTCAAACCCAATCCCCAACGTCGCCTTCCGACCCGCCTCGTCCTGCACACGCAGCGCAAAGAACCGGGAGCTATCAGACACTGACTCAACGACAGCAGGTCCCGTATACGGCGCGGCGGCGAACAAACCGCCGGTGCTCGGGTCCTCGAGCACGACGTCCGCTTTCACGAGTTCCTTCTCCTCTTCTGGGCCGGTGGCGGAGATGGTGAAGGCGGTCTCGACGACGCGCAGGCGCGCGGTGAAGATCTGCCGCGAGGCGTCGGATGTCCAGCTCGCGGCCACGTGGCCCTTGCCCGGCACCATGGGCGGGATGTTGTAGACGTGCACTTGCCCCGCGACGAAGAGGACCCGCTGCAGGGCGTCGTCGGGCAGGGGGCGGCCTGTGGCCGGGTCGATTGTTTCCATTTCTCTTTTCTGGTTCTGTCTTTTGCTCTTCCTGTTTTGTAGCGATCTAAGTATTTATGTGGGAGTTGAGTTTATTATTGAAGTTTAAAATGTTCTGAGTTGCTTATTTGTATAAGTCGAAGCCGGAGGAGGAGGCAGGCAGGCAGGCAGGCGGAGACGGCCTTGCGGAGCTTTAAGACCCCTGAAAACCCGCTCGCGGCGTGCAGCTGCAGCCCCTTATTAGTGGTGGGTGGTCCCCTGTAGGCAGGCGGTGCGGGCAGTTGCAGCACCCGGAAGGAACACCCACCACCAAAGTCCTAGCGCTTAGCTTTACCTGAAGTATCCTAGGACGGTACGTACTATATGACTCCGCAGTCAAGCTCTAATCGATAAGGAAATGAAATTCCTCACTTGGAGAATTGAATTCCGATGATTTACCGGCGTCTCTTGCTTTATCGAAAAATCCTCAACGCGAAGCTGCCGAACTCCGAGGTTACTGTTCTGGTTGACTTAGGTTGATATCAACGTCCCATTGAGCCCCGTTGCGAGCTTGAAACTCTCTACCATGGCCGGCCGGAGTGTTTCGCCCGGGGCGGCACTCTTGAGATCATCTCGGATGTTCTCAATACCTGCCCCAATACCTGTTCCTCCCGGCGACCACGCTGCAGCAACTAGGTTCTACTCTCCGACTGCGACGATTGCTTATCCTACACATCTTACGGTTACGACAACCTCATCGTCGCGGGTAAACGGTGATTGGGGTTTCAAGCGACCATTCCCAGCAAAGACTACGACAAAAACTACCTATCCTCTTATAAGGGTCAGACAAGTTGACTCTGCCGAACATGTCACAGACTTCCAATCCGCATCGGACCATGCGATCACTCTGCGAAAGTACCAGGAAATGCACCTACCGATATCACTGCCATCCGGGAACTCTCGTGACAGTTTCTCTCAAAGCACAACTCCAAAATCGGTTTTCGAAGAAGCCGGCGACGTAACTGCGCTGAATGAAGAGCAGAAGATAGAATTAGCCAACAAGAGGTGGAAATTCTCGGGTCCATGGCTTGCTGGTATGACAGATGGCGATTTTAATAGATATCTTGAGAAGACGGCGCGAGGAAAGCGCTCGGAATTCCGCGCCTTTTTGAGGAAGACACTTGCGGCCGAGATAACGGCAAGCCAAGCGCAGAAAGCTATCGAAGCGGGTGAAAACGAAGAACCGTCTAAGGTCACCGCTAGTGACATCACAGATACCCAATTCACGGACTACTTGAGGGAGCTAAGGGATGACCGTATGGCCTTGTACAACCTCGTCAGCCGTTTCTTGGATCTTGCTCCGATCGACTTGGGTATCGAGTATAACTACATCAGCAGGCTCACCCCAGGGAAGGAACGGGTCCTTGAACGTGGCAGTCCGTATGGTGCTAATGGTCCCCCGATTACGCATCCCTCCGCTGGTATTTCTTATCTCCGTACGAGGAATTTCCAGGAGAACCATCCGATTTACGGGCCTCAGCAATACCATGCACCTGTTAAGGGTAGAGTAGTCAAGCCCTCGGGCGGGGGTAACTTCTGGCCTAGCATTGGTGTGGCGGGTTTCATCGCCAGTACGCCAAGCGGAGACTCAGTATTCAACGCGAAGGCGCAGAGATTGCAGGGCAAGTTCAAGAAGACCCTGCACCAGATCGACCTCGCCAACAGTGGTGGATCTAAGATTTACGTTGATCCCTATGCCGCTACGGTCGATTCCTACGGTAGAGTCTGCATCAATATCGGGGAGGCTAACCCTGTGGCTGAGGTCATTCAGAAGGAACTTGGAGGTGAGGCTACGGTGCTCGAGGATGAGCTTAGGGCTATGGAAGTCCCTGAGGTGCCGAGGAACACGAATACGCCTAGAAGCTTTAGTTCCCGGCCGGGACACCGGGTTTCGGGGAGTGCGAGTAGTTATGGTTTAGGAATTGGTAGGCATGCGCATGCAAGGAGAACCAGAGAACATTGAATAATCTCCTGAGATACATCCTTGAGGAGGGCTCACGTACCATAAGGTAGAGTCTTTGGTGGGTGCTATGTAGAATATCTGTACATATTAGATAGGAGGTATCCTTTCTCTATATATCACGAGAGTAACTCCAAGAAATTAGCACTCGCACATGCATTGATCTTTCTTTATGCTGTATGCCCGTGTTCTATCGCCCAAGTTGATGGTACATAGGTACTTGTATGCTAATGGATGCACGGACCAGTGAATAATGTCCCACTTTGGTGTGAACCAACTAAAAAGTGGATTTCTCCTGCCCTAGGATCCAGACTTTTACCGAATTCCCCACACAGATTCTCTGCCCACTCAATCAATATTCTCTTTTTTTCGTGACAAGCCCATTCTCTCAATTAAATCTACATCGACAAAAATTTCGGACTTCCTTCAACCACCGCAACCGTCCTACTAACCCTCAGTAAACACCGCTAAAATGGGTCGCGTTCGTACAAAGACTGTCAAGAAGTCCGCCAAGGTCATCATTGAGCGGTACTACCCCAAGCTCACTCTCGACTTCGAGACCAACAAGCGTGTCTGCGATGAGATCGCTATTATCGCCTCTAAGCGACTACGCAACAAGGTTAGCAATTCCGGAATACCTCTCAGTCACAGGCGAATATCGCGACACGAATTATTGGAGATACAATTGATTAGATTGGGAGAGGGAGGCTAATTTTCAAAAATATAGATTGCCGGATACACCACCCACCTGATGAAGCGTATTCAGCGAGGACCTGTCCGTGGTATCTCCTTCAAGCTGCAAGAAGAGGAGCGTGAGCGAAAGGATCAATACGTCCCCGAGGTCTCCGCCCTTGACTTCACCCAGAACACCGAGGCTGGCCAGCTTGACATCGATGTCGAGACCAAGGACCTATTGAAGCACCTTGGCGTATGTTTTCCAACTGCCCCCATATTCTTAATTTAATTACTGACAATCATGGCTTTCTAGTTCGACAACGTCCCCGTCAACGTCGTTCCCGTCACCCAGCAGCAGACAGCTGAGCGACCCCGCCGATTCGGCGACCGCGCCCCGCGATAAGCGATAGGAATTTAATAATCCAAAAAGGCGACTTCATGAATTAAGGATGAGGGTTTTACGGTAGTTGATTTGGGCAACTGGCATCGGTCTCACATGGCTTTACGGCGTCTATTCTGCTACGGATGGGCCATAGTAGGTACATTCTAGATCCGCAATTGACGAGATCTCTCCCACACAAGGTGTCCCTGATTCTTCGGTACTCGCTGCTGGAGATGACGGTTGATGGCCAATTTTTATTCTCCCCTTGATATGTGATTTGTGCTTGAACTTGAATTTAACATTATTAGGTCCATGTTGTCACTGTACACTTGGTATTAAGGTAGGTGTGGGCAGAGCGGTTATGATAATAGGAAGATGCCAAAATAACTGCCCACGACGTATATGGTTATGATTTATGCTTGATACAACTTACGACCATTAAGAATATGATGTGGATGTAGCTGTATATGAATGGTCGTTGCGATGATTTATGGATCTATTAAATTGGTTCTTTGGCTATGCTAGCCATCTTGCGTTTACGCAAGGGGTATCTTATTCTAATAATAGCGCCTTAGTATGCTAGTAGTAATTTTGACTGCTCTATACAATCATCCGAATAAATCATCAAATGCAGTCGCCGCCATCGTAGAAATCTCCTCACTCGTCATCCGTCTCGTCGTCTGTGTCTTCGGGTCAAATCTCTGCTTATAACCATCCAGCACTAAGTGCCCCTCGCCATCCTCCGCCAGAGACGGTTCCTGCACGTTCTGAGCCACTGGTTTCTCCCGGATAGTCACGGTAACCTGTCCACCACCCGACGGTTTCCCATCTTTCGCATCCCCACGCTCGAGCGCCAAGTCTTTAGCATCTTGCGCCGCCTTGCGCTGTTCCTCCATCTCCTTATCCCCCTTCCCATTCGTAGTACTCCCAGGTTCTTCATACAACTCCACAGGCGCAGCTGGTAACCCCGCGCGCACCGCCGCCGCGACTTCTGCGAGTTGGACTTTGACGTACATGGCGCGTCGCGCGCAACTGCGGTCACACCATCGCTCGAGTTCTTTCCGTGGTACGATGCCGAAGTCTTTGCGTCCGAAATTGATGAGTTTGAATTCGCCGCCTTTGCCTAGTTTGAGGCGTGGGTTGGGGCACAGGGCGTAGCCGCATTTGTTGAGGGTGTTGCGTTCTTCGATTAGGTCTTCGTAGTCACCTGGTTGGAGGAGGGAGACTAGATGTAGGAAGGAAGATGTGTCGTTGGGGTGCGGGGTGGATGCTGTGTAGGTTTTGCCTGAGGGGGGGGTTAGGGGGAAGCGCGCTAGCTCGATGATGGTATCTTGGATTCGGTCCTCGAGTTCGAATTGTTGTTGGATTATGCGCGCTTGCTGGATGGCGGCTTCGCGCGCTGTGGGTTTGGGGTCGCTGTTGGGGGTGTGTTCTTTTACGGGGAGAGGCGAGATGGGAGGTGCCGTGGCGTCTGTGGATGGGAAGTTTGTGGTTGGTTTTTTTAGGATGCTTTTTTTAGGCCTTTTTGCCTCGGAGGAGGGGGTTTTTGAGGACATTTTTACGTGATGTACAGGATAATTATTATATGTGATTTTCTCCTTTGGAAAATGTCTTCTTATAAGTGGTGTGAGTTGATTGTGAGGAAAGGGTTCTAAGTGTGTGAAATGTTGAATTATCAAAGTTCATGGGAATGCTGGACCCGCAGCACGACAATTACGTAGAGGGACCCGGGATCTCGGGAGAAATCCGGAGAAATAAGATTTGACAAGCTAATAGGTCGATACTTGGGTACTTACGAATCCGGAACAACGGTTTGCTCCGCTTTAGTTGATGAACCCCGTGTATTATGTGCTAATTAGATTATAGAGAATGTGACATCCTCTCCTTTATCTATTGTCTTTCAATGTCTCTTTCCAATGTCTTATGATACTCATAGAGTTACCAGTAGTGATATAGAGCTACCTGGGTACTGATAGATGTACTTATAGCCCCACGTTTGTAATGACATTCCCCGCAGTCACTTCACGTGATAAAAGACGTATTTAGACTCATAAAGTTATGCCTGAAGCGAGAACGGGAAGAAGCATAGTAGCGTCATTGGTCCGTGCTTCCCACCTTAGGGACGTTCGGAGCGGGACATTTCAAAGTTCAGTGTCTGAAGAAGAGCTAAGCCAGCTAAAGCCAAGGATAGGGTGCTAGGAAGAAACCCTGCACACTGCATTGCATCCTTTCCCTCATGTTTGATCCCATTAGGCGTCCACCAACCCGCACGCACCTTTCAAGCACTTTTGTTTCTGCCTACTACTCACTGTCTACCTACTGTACCCTACCTCTCTGCTGTTGGATCGAAAATTTAAAAAACTACTACTATTACTTAACAACGAGTTTGGTCGGTACAAACTAAATAAAAGAAATAATTCCTAACCTATACGATCCCGACAGCGTATGCAACTCGAACCCCCAAAACCAACCCGAAGCACGCACGTCACTCGAGTTAGCCAAGCTTTGGCTTTGCGGTGGGTTACATCTCAATCTACCTACTCATTAAAGAAAGGGTATAGGGTGCAAGTTCATGCGCTGACGTCGACCTACTCCAGCCGCGCGCTGTGACAGGCTGCTTGCGAATGCTCAGCCTCATGCTCCCCCCCCCTTCTATCCTCTACCCAATTTGACGAGTTGTGATACATCGTCTTTTGATTGTTTTGTTTTGTTTTTTACCTAACCGACTTGAAGAGAGGCTGCTCCATCTTCTGCCTCCCACACCTTAGAATCAAATAAACCACACCACTTTGGCACATCACATCGCATCCTACTGTCGCATCCAGATTTCGCTCGTCATTTAACTACCCCGCCAATCGTACTTCGACTTCTCCGAGATCGAGTTCCACCAGCCAGCCAGCTGACGACGCTGACGCACCATGGCTGCCGTGCCATTCAAGGTGAAGGCCGTCTACGAATACACATCGGGACACGAGGACGACCTACCTTTCTCCATCGGCCAAATCATAACAGTTACTGACGAGGAAGATGCTGACTGGTACGGCGGTGAATATGTTGACAGCCTGGGCATGAAGCAAGAGGGAATATTTCCTCGAAACTTCGTTGAGAAGTATGAGCCCACTGCCCCGCCTCGCCCAACAAGAGCACGCAAGAAGGAGGCGGAACCCACAGCTACTTCTTCACCTCTACCGCCGCCTCCCGCTTTTTCAGCCGTGCCCCCGCCGGTAGAGGAGCCAGAGGACGTACAAACAGAGGTCCCTTACGAAGAACCACGCGTTGCTTCGCCGCCTATTCCTGCTCCAGAGCCCCGCTCCCCAGTAGCTCCTGTGGCTCCTGTAGCCAAACCACCGGAAACAGCTCCTATCCCAGCCCCTGTTCCTGTCGAACCTAAGGTTTCTCAACCAGCGAGCCCACCAGTCCCATCTGTTGCCACTCAGTCGGCGCCAAGGGCTCCAGCTCCAGCCCCAGCTCGTGCTGGCCCCCCACCCGTATCTGAGAAACCCTCTAGTAATTCTTTCAGAGATCGTATAGCGGCATTCAACAAGCCGGCGGCTCCTCCTGTCGCGCCTTTCAAGCCTAGTGGGCTGGGCTCCGGCAGTTCCGGATTTATCAAGAAGCCATTCGTTGCTCCTCCACCCAGCAGGAATGCCTACGTCCCCCCACCTCGTGAAGCCCCTACCACTAAGGTTTATCGACGAGAAGAAGATCCCGAGATTAAAGCTAAAGAGGCGGAGTCTCTGGAAAATGCGGAGAGGGCTGGTCTGGTTCCCACAGCACAATCGGAGGAACAAGAAGAGGATCAACCTAAGCCAACCAGCTTGAAAGAACGAATTGCTCTACTCCAAAAGCAACAAGCTGAAGCAGCCCAACGACATGCCGAAGCTGCCGCGAAAAAGGAAAAACCTAAGCGTCCCCCAAAGAAACGTACCGAAAGCGAAGAAGGTGCTCCAGCAGAGGAGATAGGAGATGTGCCCCCTCCTTTAGAGAGAAAAGATACGGCCGAAGTTGCTAGCAAGAAATCTATAGACGAACCTAGACCTAGACAATCATTATCTGTCCGACGGAAGTCCTCTGCGGCCCACGCCGAAAACGATGGAAACGAGGCGGACATGTCTGGTGCGGGAGATACAACGGAGGGACAAGAAGATCTTACCGAAAGAGAAGACAGTGATGAGAAGTCTCGTCCTCATAGAGGGGCTGCTCCCGAACCAGAAATTCCAGAGGATGAAGAGGAAGGGGAAGAAGAAGAGGACGTCGACCCTGAGGTAAGACGAAAAGAGGAGCTCCGTGCTAGGATGGCAAAGATGAGTGGCGGTATGGGTATGATGGGTATGCATGGAATGTTCGGTGCACCCGCGATGATGCCCCCATCAGCCCCAGCATCAGCCAAGAAGCCTAAAGCCTCACCGCCAACAGAACGTCGTTCAAGCGAAATACAGGAAGCCCCCTCGTCACCTAGAATGGCCGTCCCTCCGGTACCCACTATGATGGCCCTACCTGGAATGGGAAAATCGAAACAGCAGGAGGAAGAGGAAACTGCTGAGTCTGAGCATGAGGAACCAGGTGGGCAAGACACTACACCGGTCGTTAGTGCTCAACCTACTGGTTCAATTGTAGAACGTAAGTTTGAATCCGGGCGTGTCCTTAGTCTTATTATGACGACGATAAGACGATTAACACGACGGGTAGCTCCATTGAAAGGTCCTGGCGCTCCACCTCCTGTCCCTGGAGGACGACCTGCACCGCCTCCGGTACCAGCAGATTGTAAGACCTATACGCGTTTGACGACGAAACAGAAGCTAATTCGTATCGCAGCTCGACCTCCCCCGCCTCCGCCTCCGCCTGGCGGCGTAACATCGCCTAGCCAAGGTTCTGAATCCGACGATGAATTGTCCGAGAATCCGCAGAGAGCTCTTGAAACCCCTCGAGGTGAAGTCCCCCCTAGTGCTCGAATGCCTCCTGTCCCTATAGCGTCCCCCACCATTCCCACCTCGCCACGACTCGCTGGTAGACGGACTTCTTACATGGGTGAAGAAGCTATTCCATCTTCACCGCCGCCGCCCCCGCAGCCAAGCAAGAGGAACAGCCGTCCGCCGCCTCCTATTCCAGGTGCTGCTCCACCTGTCCCTACTCAAGGCCGACCTCCACCCCCTCCACCTCCAGGTAACCCCCCAAGTCGTTCTTCTACGGCTGACGAACGAATCACATATCCCATGAGGCCAGGAGCATTGGATAATGGCGAAGAGGGAGAAGTGACTGAGTACGAGGGTGATTACGATACCGATATCGGATCTTCGGTTCATCATAAGGATGCTCTTAAGGCGCATGCACGAGATTCAAGTCTAGATGATAGCACTCCGGTGCGTTCACCTGTTACCGAAGCTCCGCCGTCTTTGCCTCCGCCTCTTCCTAATGCCGCTGCTCCGAGAGGTGGCCCTCCGCCGATCCCGAGTCAACCCGCACCAAACACAAGACTATCGATAGACGCACCTCGTGCCGTCCCTCCACCCCCGCCGCCTCCGAAGGAAGTGCCGTATTCCTATGAGGAGGAGGACTACGACCCATACAACTACAATAGCCCTACCTCTTCGGCTCCTCAAAGTGCAACAGTTCCGGATGAGCCGACACCTATCCCGGAGCCAGCCTCTGCGTACCATTCGCCGCCTCCCCCGCCACCAGTAAATCGAGGCCCCCCACCAACACTGCCTGCTAATAGGCTGCCGCCTCGGAAATCTTTGGATGTTCAAAGGCCAGGTGGAAGAAGATCAATCGACAACACCCGACCCTCCATGGAAACTAGTTACGTGGCGAACGATGTCGAGCTAGCTGTCCATACACAATGGTGGCTTTCGCCAAACGGAGTTCCTCCAGTTTTCCAAGGTAGAAAGGACATCTATACAGAACATGACGAGTCGACTTCCGGAACAGGGGTCATCAAAGAGGTCTTCATCCTATTCCAAGATTATTCGCAAACTGTCATCACCATCAGTTTCGATACACAAGACCTCTTAGGTGCTCAACTTGAGCAACGTCATGAACCCCCTCCTCGATCTCTTCGCCCAGACCAGCTAGAAGAGGCTTATGAGCAGTTTGGCCGATCATTAGCTAGCGCTGTAGCAGGGAAGAAAGATTCTATTGTTGGCGATGGAAGTCCACAAGCACTAGTTTTCGAGCTCCTCAAACCTCTCAAAAACGCTCTACTCCCAGTTGGCACACGTTCCTACGGTGCCTTAGTCTACGCGAATCTCGCCAATGCTTCAACACAGTTGAACGACCAAATTAGACCCGGAGACATTGTTTCCATTCGCAATGCAAAATTCCAAGGAAAACATGGGCCTATGCATGCGAAGTATTCGATGGAAGTAGGCAAACCGGACCACGTGGCCATCGTCTCGGAGTGGGATGGTGTCAAGAAGAAGATTCGGGCTTGGGAACAAGGCCGTGAGAGCAAGAAGGTAAAACAGGAAAGCTTCAAGCTAGAAGATCTCCGAAGTGGCGAGGTCAAGATCTGGCGGGTTATGCCGCGCAGTTGGATCGGGTGGAGTTCGGGTTAGCAATGCCGAAGACCATCCTACGAGTTCCTATGGCCGATACTCGTGAGGGTCGGCGCGGACGGGAGGGTTAGCGTGGACAGCCCGATGCAAATCCCGCTTTAAGCCCTATCTTCACCCGTACTTGTTAGTTAGTGAGCAGAGATGATGATGGCGATGACTCAGGAAAGTAATAGAATCATTTTATGATACGAAAGCATGAAACGGGGTTACGATCGCCAAGAGATACGCAACGATTTCCAAACCAGGTTTTTGGGGTCAAGAGAAAAGAGCAAAGCAAGGCAAAGCAACCTTGGAAGGCAAAGCATTCGTTGAGGAGTTCATGTCGTTCATGTTGATATCACAATAACTACCGATGATTGGTGTTCTACTACTACCACCAACCAACTCACTTCGCTCATACGGTATCCTACGTAGCTTATTGCAAACTTGCATTTGTACCCAGTCAAACACATAGCTTGTAACGTTATTACTACTACTATTATTATCTACAACCAGATGTGAAATATCAAGCTAAAGGTTTTGTTTATTTGTTTCTTAGCTTCTTATGCTTTTGATGTGGGATCTACCTGGGATCTACCAATAGGAATAGCAGGAGGATGGCTAGAAGTCTAGTTTAACTTAAGAGCTTATCTGTTGGATAGAGCTAGATAAATTCTCAGGCGAGTAGGTCAAATTCAATCTCACCCGAAGCTACCCATCATCTCACTGTAGGGGATATATCACGTGGCACCTTGTAAGTAAGTAAGATTCCCGAGGTCGTAAACATTATGATGGTGACACTGCCTATGTGGCCGCCGGTTGGGTACCGGATACCGGCTACTGACTACTAACTACATCATGTGGCGTTTATAAGCGTCTAGAGCGAAAAATTCGCATCAGCCCGATCTCCCAAGAAATCCCAGATACACGGATGCATGAATTAGGCACTGAATGAAGTTTATAGCGGTGACGTAAATAGTCCTATATTAGATCGCGAAGTGGCTAAGGAGGCGAAAGACGAATACATTTCAATATACGCAATTGAGAGGCACAGCGGATAGAACGGATTTGTTAAGTCTATAATGTAAAGAGTCTATGCAGAATTTCTATTTTTGAGTCAATATTTACCGACTGGCATTGGGTCTACTAGGTGGGTATGTTTACTCGAACTATTATTGCGATTGATATTAGGAAGTTTCCAAAACAATTTGGTCAGTTCTCACATTTTGCAATGGAGCCTCTTCTTAGCTATACAAGTAGAATTTGTATTATACGTATTATGCCTATAGCATCATGGCTGAGCTGGCCAAATGTCATCATAGTGGATTGTACCATATCTTCGTTCTTCAGGTATCGTGTAAGCTGTCAGCTATGAAAATTGACCCGCCTCGACTTCGTGAACTGCAATGATTGAGAAAGAGAGCCAAGAGAAAAAGGTTGGGATCCGATACGTCATTGTTTCAAATGAGTCTGTATCCTCAAATGAGATCCGAGATGGAAAGGTAGATATGCGCAAGTTGGAGCAGTTCTCGGTGTACGACGTCCCCAAAGAAAGCCGGTCAGGCAAAAGGGGACGTCATTACACCTTAATACCTAGGTGGTTAACACCCGGAGGCGAGAATGCGAAACTGCCTGACGCTTTAGTAAGCTAACATATGTAGGTGAGTAAACCCGGGTCTGCACAATGACATAGGTGGATGGCTGCACAATGCCGTGACATTACCTTTTTTCCCTTTCCAACTTCCATCTCCTATCCGGGACCCGGCAGTCTTCGGGAGGGATGAATTCGGAGAGGGCGAAGCGGACACCCGAAACATTTCACTTGACTTCTAGATCCCTCGATAGCCTATGCTGCTTTGTAACGTCGACACGTTATACAGGTGCGAGCGTGTCTAACTCTTCCCTCTGTATGTCTCATGTGCCTTACTGCTTCGCCCCAAATTGATCTAAGCTTTGTAGCGGTAACATCTGCAGTGAGAAGCCGGTCTAGAACTACATGTGATCATGTGTTCGTGCGCCGTGAACAACCAGCATGGCATTTCCTAATATTGGTCTTCCGCTGGGGTCACTTTGCTTACCACCTTGGACCCGACATCGTGGGGGCCTCTATTTGAGGCCTCGATAATGAAGCCAAGAGAAGATAGGGCTAAATGAGTAAGCGATATGGCTTACCTATTTAGATGGCCCGAATTTTGGGCGTAGACAGATTATGGTTACTTTATTTTAGGCAAAGTATTGCCAAGGTAGCAACGAAGAGCTATCGGAGAATATTACAAAGGGCCAGCGGTGGTGATCGTAGCTAATGATAGCCCGGGTGTAATATCGTCGTGCCCAGGTTGTTCAGGTTTGACCGATGAGCCCTAGGCGCAAGAAAAGCAGGGAGAGTGGTCAATGGATCTCGGGGAAGCAAGCCATATTTTCCATGATGTTTGCTACACTTACCTAGTTCAATATGGCATATGTACGCTGGATCCCAAAAAAAATGAAAATTGAGCTTTTCGCGATATGGGAAATGGGAATGCCAAACGGCGAAAATGATCCGGTGATTTGCGCTGGGAATCACCGCGAGAGGTTGAACCCCAAAACTCGTGGAGCATCAATGGCCAGTAGAATTGAGTGCGCAAATCTGATCCAAGCTTGGACAGGGTGGATGGATGGCGAGACAGCTCGGACTTTAATCGACACTCTGAAGCCAGTTACTGGATTTACCGAAGGAGCCCGATAGGATAAATCTTGCATCGTAGGGTCGCAGTCTTACCAACGGGGTACATCAATCATCCAATCTCTTCTGCCACCCAAATACCTACTTTGTCTACTATTGGCAATCGGAGAAAAAGCAACGCATGTGTTGGTCGGAACCACCGCTGGGGGTCCAAGCAGTAGGTGCTTATCTTAGGAGACTCGATTGGAGCTGGGACTTCTTGGAGCTCCTTGAGCTCTAAGCTTTAATTGACAGAAGAAAAGGACCCTGGATCTTTGACATTCAAATCCAATAGGAGAAATCTCGCGCCCAACCTGTGGTCTGATGAGAAAGACGTGGAGACAATCATGACCAAAGTCTATGAACTTGGTCCAATTGATATGCAAGCGCCCTTTCTCCTTTTAACCAGTTTGCGTATCGGGCATTATTGAAAGGGTGGGACTTATAGGAAACGAAGCCAATCTTGCCGCTCTACGCGCGATGAAACAACCGGGATATTCCAGATGGCCATGTTGCAGGTGCCCTACTTAATTATAGTAAAGTGTAGCGGACTGAGCTGTCGAAGACGAGTGACTGCTACGTTGATCAGAATCCTAGAAAGCCCGAGGAGAAGAAAAAAAAGCTCAACAGAACGAGGTCTAAAGCCGTCGTTATGAATACGGGGACCGGCGACGTCACAAGTCGTATTCAGTTGATCCTCCCAAAGCAGCGAGTTTTGTGATCCATAGAGGGTACGGGTTGCCCATATAATGATAGCCTTCAGCGAGGATCGCTCAGTAAACATTAGACCCGAGTGAGGCTATGATAGCTGATGGAGCACGTCGATTGCGTCAAAGGGAACACCATACGGTATTCCAGTAATCTGGGTGCCGACTTCGGCAATATGCATATGTGGGGTATTGGGACGGGACAAGCAGCCGCGTACGAGGCACAAAGGGTAGATCAACGCTAATCAGTAAGGAGGCTTATGATCGAGACGACGGCATCGTGAAGATCGTCGACGGCGAGGGCGAGCTACCGGCAACTTTGCTTGCCGATGGATTGTCACGCCTCCCATAAAAAAGCATCAACGTTGACGATGATGTTCCCTCGCAGGAATTTAGTGCCCTAGGGCATCAATCCGTGAGCAACAGCTTGTAAGACTAAGATTCGAAGGAATCCGGGTTTTGAACCTGCCATCGTGGCATCGTCAAGCATCGCCGTGGATAGTATCAATGCTCCTATACCTAGCTACTAGACCCATCGTATGAAAAAGAGGAGCCAAAGGACCAGCTTTCCATTCTCGGAAATCCCAAGGTTCCTAAGACGTATGCAGGGTGACCTAACTAAAGGAGATCTCTCTATGCTGCATTGACTCGGCAACGATCCAGGGCTAGCAACCAATCGTAGCGGGATCGCCTTAATAATTTAGGAATAAGTAAAGAAATTCAAGTCTGCTAGAAGCACGTGCGTGAGCCGCTCTGTGTCCATGCCCGTTTCCCATCTGACGTTTAAGTCGGGCCAAAACCTGGCCAACGAATCACGAACGAACACACAGCAGTCCCGTATTTGACGACCTGCAGCAGACCAGAAAAAAAGGCAGGAACAACAGCTGCACGAGGTGACGCCAGACCGGAAAGAGTTTGGGGCTTTCTTAGACCAGCCGATGGTGTCTTAACATCTGGTCGTACAAAAAAGACAAGCGCGTTGTTAGATATGGAGATTAATGGGGACAGATGTTTCGTAGTCATTGACGCCCATGTGAAATCTACCAAGGTGGTGCATTGTTGTACAGCTTTGGAAACATATTACTTGCTTCAAAGATGAAAAAACTTTTTTTCAATCGGCGACGAACCACGGGGCATCGAAAAATTGGTAACTTCAACCCATGCCCGAAGATTCGCGAGTTCTCGCGAGTTGGGTGGGCGGATGGCAAACATACCCAAGATCGCAATCTATTGAGGCGTTGTCCGAGGGGCCAAGTTTGGCCCAATAATTAACCCCCATATGCAAGTGAGGGGAGGTCGAAATCCAATGCCACGCCCGCCAAAACTTCGAGCGGGCGGATTGGCTGTGCGTAGAGGAGGTGCGATGGCACTCTTGGGTAGTACTTCTATTTCTCTCGCAGCGTCTAGAACCCAGGCGTGGCACTTAGAAATTGAAATTAGAAACATATTGAGTTTGAATCGACATTGTCGACAACGCAGAGAGCTTGAAGGGTGTTGTGTTGCTAGCCAATAATGAATAAGAACGCCCACAAGATGGGCATGTAGTCGATTTAGTACATGTATGAATCGATACCGCCGTCTGGTTGGGCACAAGCGCACCCCAGATTCGAGTGACTTTGTAGTGGTAAGCAATTTACCGAGTCTGCAGGTGGCATCCACAACTCCCTTACCGGGACGGAAGTTGGAAGTAATGACGGTTATGGTGGATGTGTACAATGAGTACAAAGTTGGTAATAGACAGGTGCTCGGTGCTGTTCCGTGGCATACTAGGGTGTGCTATAGTTCCTCAAGGTTGAAGGGGACCATTGCCATGGAAGTACATAGACGGCCCATCACTGGAACGTCATAACGGAGCACGATGCACTGTGCCCGTTTAAGATCTTCCTTACTTCTGCGGTTCCTCTAGCACGACGATTAGTAGCACTTGCGCTTCGCTGAACATACTCGTGGTTGTAGACCGAGTATGCAAATTTGCATTGGCTGAAGATTGCCCATGTTCTCCAAAATCCACGGGCATGTACTGCCGGGAAGTAGTAGTAAGGACGGACGAGAATGTTGCAGATATGTCTTTGAGTCTCCTTCTTGTCCCGATTGTCTTCGATGAAGATTGACCGAGAGTAGCACGGTCAGCCCATTTTATTCGGAACCGATTACTAGGAATGGCATCTTCTAAGCAGAAGTGAAGAAAGAGAAGGCTGCTATTCAGGTAAGCTGTAGTGGAACGAGATTTTAGTTGCCGAAGAATAAGTTACAATGCGTGAATTATCAGGAACAGTAACGACCAATTGGTTAAAAAATGGAAAGAAATTTTCTTTTGTATGCATGAGCGAAGAAAAAAAAAAAGGAAAAGAAAAAGAAAAACCTGCCTTTGCTCTTTCCAAAACCTTCCATTTGAGAATTGAGGACGGAAATTGCGATGTATATTATGAAGCTTAATTCTATGTACCAGTATACTCTCTTCAGGGCACTTTACAGTATTGTCTTAGAGTTAGTACTGTATTTAAAGCGTGTATTTATGTACGTAACTGCGCCTCAAGAACACCTATCAGCGCTTAAGAGAGCCAATGTATATAGTGTTACTTTAAGAACTCTACTGTGTCATTACTACCTAATCTAAACTGTAAATAACATTCCACTCGACTTGAACTTCTACTAATACAATCTAACAATTCATTACCAACCTTACTTCTCCATGTCCCTACTCGCAGCAGCTATTGACCTCGTGACAACATGATTATTTTTATAGCTACGTATAGCTATGCTATATAGGTAATATGTACGAAATCTGAAGCTCAATGGAATCTATACCGCCATTGAGCTTGCGAGCGTAGCATGATGGTGGTGCGACATTGCTCGCCACTATCCGGGGGTATACTGGGAAAAAAAGAAGCCGTGGAACGGAAAATGGAACGGAACACTCAACTCCCCAATACCGTGCGACGCCGAGATAACTCGCAGGAAGTAGAGTCTCCTTCCAATAAGCAGCGAGGTACATGACATTTCACCTCTCGGCTTGGTAAGTAAGTTGAGAAATCCCCCCACCTTGGATAACTCGAAAATTCCCGGGCACTCTAGTGACTTTGGGGCAGGGCTCTCGCCTCCTTTGGTCGTCACAGCCATTAGGAACCTCCATACGAGGCTCCGTCAATTATGTGTCGTTATATGCAGCTAGCGTCATAACCATTACCCAACTGGGGATGGATGCTATCCCGGGTTAGTCGCGGTTCCGCGGCCAGCGTTCGGTCGCCTGTTTTCTGGGCAGTTTCCCTGCCGCCTGCGGCCGATTTGTCTTTCGTCAGCTCAGCTCCCAATCAGTATCGTCAACCTTATATCTCTCTTGTTGCGCCATGTAGCTTTCGTCACCCCCTCTCTCGTTTATAACGGATCCATTCCACCGTTATTATATACACTGCATAAACTCCCCTTCATATCCACAGAGTGTCCAAAAAACATCCATACATTCCCATCTGTCAATACTCATTCCATCATAGGGATCCATACGCTCCTCTATTCGGCTCATCTACAAATCCTACCGGGTTCCGCCTTCACTCCCCGGTTTGGGCGCATGTCGAGCAGCTCTCAAAACAAACCCTTACTTCTATAAAGATCATCTCAGGCCTCAGTGGGCCGCAACGAATCATAACTGCGCGCGACTCTGGCAGCACCAACTTGCAGGTTTGCGTGCCTCAGGACCCTGAGATCGAGCAGATAGATATAAGAGGTCCTCTCGCCTACCTTCTTCCTCCCAGCCTCCGCCCTCTTACTACTCTAGCACCCAACTCTTCATCAACAATCAATAATCAACACCCATCCGACCGCCCCCATGACTTCCTATCCTCCTTCAACCATGCCTTTCTACATGCTTGGAAGACGAGACAGAGACTCTGACTCTAGTGCTAGTACTCGGGATACGAGGCAAAGCACAGATTCACAGGGCTCTGGAAGTACTGGCGCTACCTCCGTTTACGACGTCCCTAGACCATTGACACAAGATTCAAACTGCCAATATCACAAATATCAACCAACCCGCTATGAGGAGGATCTGTCGCCAATTACGAGCTTATACGCGCGATCGTCAGTCGACACATATTCGTCCCGGGCCTCAAGCATTGATTTTGAAGATGACGAGGAGTTCGAAGATCGCACAGACTATTCAGACATTCCTGAATTACCTGCCTACAGACATGAGATTGAAGAAGCCAACGTCAGAGCTTCGAACCCGGAGGATTTTGCCGATTTGTTCCCGTCTTTGAATAGGCTTACTATTCGTCACGATGATTTTACAGCAGATGGGAATATGAACCTACGGGTCGATACTATCTTTCCGGGTAGACGGAGGAAGACGATCCAACTTTTCCATCTACGGATGTACGACTTGGGCAAACGCGAATTTTCTCTAAGGCGGTATTGTCGAGACTCCGGCCGCGAAGTATGCAGCTCGAAACGCAAATACATAGAGCCGGCAAGAACAAGCCGTCCTGTCCTACAGCGCTCGGTGTCGACTGCGGTTAAGTCCCTAACAAAGCGACCACAACTCGTCCGTGTTCCCACAAACGGTTCGGTCTTGTCATCTTGGAGCCGACCATCAACTGGCTCCTCCTCAACCGCCGAAACGGATAGTGACTTGGCCGAAAGTATTAGCGATTCCATCTCTATCGATGGTAAGGAGAAGGCTCGTCCAATACCGACCAATACGATCAAGCTTGAGTTCTCTAACTATGCGCGTGTTGATGTGGAACGACGCGGCAAGAAAACGAAAAGATACGATTTTGAATGGTGGGGCCACAAGTACTCTTGGAAGAGAGTCCTCGATAAGCTCACGAATTCTGTTTCCTACCATCTTCTACGTGATGGCCAAACCAATGCGCCCGTCGCACATATAGTGCCTGAGACTCGATCACCAATTCAAATTAATATTGATGAGGAAGCCGGTGGCTGGGTACCTCCCTGCCATATGTGGATCAGTGACGAGAGCCTGATCACCGCTGCGACTGATGTTGCCGAGTAAGTCACCCATATCAATTTCCAATTATATCCGATACTTATACTAACGACTTCAGTATCGTGGTTGCAACTGGCCTAATAGCGCTCGTTGACGATTGCATCAAGGAGCGTTGGCAGACGAAGAAGCCTCGCCCCCATATCGGACTTCCACTGCTATCGAAATCTTTAGATAGCCCCAAGAATTTTGTACAACACATGCTCGCTCGTCGGAATTCGGAGCATCATCCAAGTCCATTACGCTTTCAATCAAAGCCTGTGGCTGCTTACTGAAAGGCGATTTGTCGACGGATGACTCCGACCACTGAGATGAACATGAGATCACGTTTAAACACGCGGACCCAGACCGCCAATTTTTCTATTCCGTTCAGTTTTCTTCCCCGTTAATACAACCTTCCCATCGTTACAGAGCCTTGAGCGATATTTTCTCCTAGGACATCTACCTTCTTTTGACGCGGCCACCGTATCCCCAGTTACGTGTCGTCGAATAAGAAAAATAGAAGGGCACCACCACCGTCTCGCTTGAAAAAAAGCCGAGCAATGATTGATGATTGACGACACAGCGTCTCATCCTATGTTACCACCAAAAGTTATGCTTCATCTGCTTGTTTTATTTTGTTTCAATCTTTTGCTCTGCTTTTTCTTCCCATCCACTTTTCTACGCTCCGGTCAAGACTTAGCCGACCGGACGTCGTTTCAAGTGGCATCTGGCGTCATTTACGGTATATTTATATATATTATATAGGGTGTGCATCGCATTGGGCGGCAACGGGGAAGGCACATGCATACTATTTTCACGTGGGATTGGGCTGTACATATCTTTTTGTTTGATACATCTTATTTCTTGCTTTTGATCTTGGGTTACGAATAACGGAGCATTGGAGTATCGGTCGGTGCATATGAATATGTGGCTGTACAAGTTTGTTTTACTATTTGATCTTTTTTATCATTTACCTACCATCACGAAAAACATACACCCAAACCCACACATCCGTTATATATACATTCTATACCGATAGCACCATTCGTTGCCTTTTATTATGTATCATTGCTTATATAGCGGCTTGGCTGCAGCAGAATTATTTTCTATGTTAGCTATAGGATACCATGAATTTGACGAAATTTATGTATATCGCTCATAACAATTTTTTTTTATCTATGAGGCATTTGACATACATAAAGTATTTTATGAATCGCCATCGCTTTTTGTGTTGCAATTGCATAACTCGTATTCAATTCTTTCCGATACAACGTAGGTTTTCTTCGGCTTCGGATTATATAGGAAGACGTTCTTCCAATCGTGTTATTCATACGAGAAGATGCGACAACGATTATTTCATCTATGGATCTAGGAACGGATGTGAGACGACGTCAAGACTGCATCATTGAGCGATTAATTCATCAGCCCAACTAACGCGCCTCATTCCAATCTACAACTTCGCCTCATCCATCCACCCACCTCTAATCAAAACCCATCATCCTCATCCCCGACACCCTGAAACGCCACTCCCCTCCCAGCATCAAACCACCCGCCGAAATCAAGCTTCATCAACAACCTATCGATTCCGCCAGTCCTCCGAGGGGTGTATTTTGTGCCATCCTCATCATCACCACTCATCTCCTCCGCGTCATCTTCGTCTTCAATATCCCCATCACCTCCTTTATCCCCAACTCCCGCCGTAAACGCGGAATCCAAACTCAAGCCCCGTAGCGCAGCTAATGTTTTCGCCACCGCGTTCTTAACATCCTCCCCTGCGGCCCGCACATCGCGGCGCACATCTGCTTCTTCGGTAGCTAGGTCCGCGAAGGCGTCTACTACGCCTTCGTCGGCTTCTAGGTCGGATGCGGCCCAGACGCTTTGGAGGCGGCGGATTAGGGTTGATAGACGGTCTGCGTGTACGAGAAGATCGTATAATGCGTCTGTCCAAGTAGACTGCGCGAGGAGGAGGCGGCGAGTAAGGGCGCGCAAGTATAGGCGGTGAGCTGTAGAGAGGGTTTGGGGGTCGTGTTTGGGGTTTTGTTGTTTTTGAGTTTGTGGTGTCGCATCTGCGTCAGAGGAATCTCCGACACTACCCGGTTGGTCCTCATATGAGGATTGTGACCGACTATGTTGTTTTCTGTGTTCTCCTTTATCCGTAAGCCAGTCATGAAAGTCGTCCCAGAGACCTTTCACAATATCAACTTGAAGGTAAGCTTCAGTTTCAGCTAGGAAAAATATCACGGCACTGCTCGTACTCCATGCACTTCGCATCGCCGACGAGCGAGAAGACCAACGCTCACGGAGGAGTCGTGTTCTTGCGATACCACCTTTTGTAGTGCTGTATGGAGGTCGAGGGGCTGATGGGTGGTGACGACGGAGAGGCGATATTTTCCATAGATCTGTGAGATGAAGGTGAGAGCGGCGAATGGAAAGGAGGTAAGAATTAATCGCGGTATAAGTCTGCACGTCGGATGCGGTCAAGAATAAATCCAGCGGTGGTGGAATTTGTAATGTGAGAATTACAGGAACGGAGAAAAGGAGATTTCGAAATGGGGTACTGGTAATATTGCTAGACGACTGATTGCCGGTACCAACGCTGCACTTAACAGGCGTCGATGCTTTGGTCTTCGATAAGTTCAGCCGTAACAAGTCCCTCGCAACTTCAAGCCCTTCGTCTTCGTCCGCGTGCTGGTTTTGCATCGAGCCCAATGTCGTCCATGTCTTGGTGAGAACAGCGGATACTTCGCCTTCCTTAACCATCACATTGCCGAGTCCGTGCCTTTTCTCGTAGGCAAGGTTGTCGGCACGCCGCCAGCGGTTGCTAATTATCTCATCAGCTTGCTGTGTGAGAACCATGGCGAATTCGCCACGACCAAGTAAGAAGAAATCCCGGAACACATTAAGTATCTCGAGGACTTTACTTAATGGCAAGAGCTTCTGCAACGTTGTTCGAGATAATGTTAGCCGGATTGTAGTAATAGCCCTCGATAAGGCTGCACTATTGAGAGGAGAGGTTAGACCTCCGAGGGTCTGAAGTTGGGAGGAGAATTGATTAAGCCCGTCGTTACTCGAGTTTATGCTACTCCCCGTTTTTACACGATTCAACGAGGTTCCGATAAATAAAATTGACGTGGCCGTAGATGGGGTTACAAAGGATGGTAGCAACTTATGGTTAATAGAATACCCCTAAAAACTTTAGCGATACGAATTATTGAGTAGGAGGGCGAATATTGTTACCTGTTCGTCATCCTCGTCCTTTCGAATGAAGAAGTCTTTACCCCCCATTGCAGGTATTCGGCCGTAGAGAACCCAGGCCGAAACCTGCTTCAACCAGGCAGCTTCAGAAACTTTGACGAGACTCTGCGCCGTCTCCTCAATGTCGGCGTAGCCAGTCTGAAGCCCATCACGTAATCTGTTAACGAGCTGTGCTGCCTGGCAAGGTGAGCTTCCCTTCTCTTTGAGAATAAACTGAACCAAATCCCACAACCATTCCATCCGTCGAGTCCAGCCCGAGAATTGGCCAATAACCGCAGTTAGGGGCACAATATTATAAGCGCATACAATAGAAGGGTCTTTTCGAAGAACATTGTCTTCTACTTCTAACACCTTCCTCTGAAATGCGCTGAGGTGAAGGGAATTGATAGAGGTTGATACCGCGCGACATATGACAGAAGGATGTGTCGCACTGATATGTGCAGTATAACTTATGAGTTTGCAGTGAAGATCACTTAGATTCCCGGCTGTCTTGAGTAATTCTCTCTCTGATGGTGAGAGGATGGACTGAGCTCTGGAATCGGTATGGTCGTTCCTGAGTAGAGGGGACGGGTGTCCCGAGAGGGACAGCAAGATCTCGTGGAGCATTGCTGAGTTGATGAACTATGATCGTGTTAGGAATAGAGCTGGAGGATCGCTAAGACCACCAGGGACTCATTCGACAATGGGAACCCAACCCTGGTAAGACATGTGGAGGCTTCTTAGACCGGATCTTATCGCCGATATCTTGAATCAAGAGAATTATGGAACCAAGGCATTCGTAGCGACACATCTGAGAAGATAAAATACGCGATCTGATTTGCCTATTGTGTGCATGAACCAACGTATTCTGGGTGAGGAAAATAGTGGGCGGAAAGTAGCAAATCGCCGTTCGCGAATGAAGCTATGTTTTATTCTTGGTGTGTATGTTCTTATCGAGGTCAGCCTGTAATCCTAAACATTTTCCAGTTATGATTATGGAAAATTTGAGATGTTTTTCAGGCCAGGCCTTTTGAATTTTGTTGTTTTTGGGAGAAAAAAGAGTCTTGTCACCCTTTAGAGGTAACTGCTCTTCACCTCACGTTCTTCGTCGCGACTACCTTACTTCCAATCGTCCTCTAAGCGCGTTATGCGTAAATTAGACCCATATATTTTGAGTTCCATTTTTTGTCTAATTAGATAAAACTCTTTTTAAACGCATAGACCTCTGTATATTATTGTTTAGTGAGATATGTATGCACTTAAATGTGTTGATGTATTAAAGTAGAACCGTTCCCGCCGTTCTATTAAATTGATCATTCCTCTTGAAAGTTTTCCTCGCCGCTTTCCGTATCATAAAAGTACATATTATTCGTAAAATACTCATTATTTTGAGATACCACTGTGAAACCCATTTACCGTTTCAACCCCTTACCATCTACCGGGCTATTGGTGCTTGGAGAAGCTGGAGTCGATTTGGCCTTGGAGCCGTTGGTCTCTTTCCTTGACACAATATCTGAGGTATCGTCTCCCACGATGATTTCCCCTCCACCTTTGACTTTTCCGACTACCATACCTTTCCCAACTGCTTTTATAACGGCCTTCCGAGAGACACCCGTAACATCAATATAGACGAGGCCGACGTTTTTGACGCTCCCACCTAGGTGCTTCGACAATTCTCCCGCTTCGGCGCCCCATCTGTGAGTGACCATACTTGTCGCGTTCGACGATGCCGAAGTAAGGAGATTTCGCGTTGCTTGATCGATTCCATCTGCAACTGTTGTGAAGGCCATTAAGCTCTTATTTAGCAACCCGGGCTTGAATGACTCGAGCGGCTGTCCATCCGGGCCGTAACCCTTCTTCCCTTCCTTAACACCACGGCCTGCGATTGTAGCTCCTACGTTCTGAGCCAATTTGGTGACCTGACCAACCGTCTTTGATGATAGGTCAGCTACACCACCGGAAAACTTTCCTATGCGGCGAACTCGATCGTGCGTTGCTGGTGTAAACGTCACGGCTTTGTCATTTGACTTGGTGTTTTTCACAAAGCTCTCTGACCCGCTTTGCATAGCATTGGAAACCAAATCCGACGTAGTGATGATTAACCGCGATGCATAAGCGGCTTTCGATACGATAAATGACCTTTGGTAAGCAGGATGCAATTCAAGCTCCAGAGTCTCTGGCGAAGCAGGAACAACAGCGAGTTTGTTAGTCCCTTCGTCGGGGAGAGTGATTTCGACAGGATCTATTGTCACTATTGTAAGTACAACCGAAAATCACTTTGAGAGGAACATGTTGTCCTTACCCTTGGAACCCGGCTTCACGTCCGAATCAAGAACCTGGTACCCCTCTGACAACTCTCCTATGACGCTGCCATCTTCCTCGTCTACTAGCACGATTTGGCCCCCTCGCTGAGAACTCTGGCTACCCTTCACATATCCTTCACCAGGTTTATAGGAAGCAGGGTTATATGCTGGTAGTTGTTCTGGAGATGCAGATTTCGATTTTGACATTTTCGGTGATGTTCTAGTGGAAGATGGCGATGTTGGAGAAGTTGACTTTTCCTTCTTCTTCTCCTTCTCCCTCCTTGCTGTCTTTGGTGGCGGAGCTCTTTCGAGAAAAGCGGTACATTGCGCCAAGATGGTTTCAAAAGTATCCACATCCTCTTGGAGCCCCTTGCGAGCGCCGACCGCGGGAAATTCGATGCGCGTGAACGCCCCGCTGTCAGGACCGAGGTCCCATCTGGGGATGAGATAGCTCGTGGGTGGCTGATGGTATATTTGGGTGGTCGCAGGTAAGGGAATATCTAATTCGGGTGGTAGGTGAAGATGGAGGTAGAAATCTTCGGGTGGCGCTCCATCTTGATTCTCAATGGCGGGATCGGCGTAAGGGGAGGATGTTGGGACCATCAACAAGGACAGAGTCTGTGGCCCAGCAGGAGTGAGAGATTCTTCCTTTCCATAGGCAAGATGGTAGGCCGAAACACCTGAGATGGCGTATAGTAATCTAGGGTCCTGTTGGAGGGTGCGGGCGTCAGTACTGCTCGCATAATACAGCGTCGCATCGCTCGATCAATGCGGAACGCGACCAACTTACATTGTGTCCGGATGCCATACTGTGTCGGACTGAGGCTTAGAATGAATCAAGCGATTATCAAAAAGGTCAATAGGTAGCGAGCGGCTTAGTATATAGGTATGTAGGTATGTATTATGTCGTGTGTTCCAACCTCGAAGCAAGATAAGACGAATTGGCGGCTATTTGGTCAAAGAGGACTAATAGGAATAAAGACTAAGAATAGCTATAAACGTGACTTTGTTAGAATGCAGTTGGGATTAGTACATGATCTATCAAATAACCCAATAAACCAAGGAATTAGAGGTGAAATGGAATAGTTTAAAGCGCTTAGAGACAAGCGCCGTGTGGTTACAAGGCTGGAACATGGTGTGTGTCGAGAGGCCTCACAGCGACGTCATTGGGCGATTTAGATGTGATTGCCACACGAACCCTTGCTGCCTATGACACTAACGAGGAATACTACGAATACATCGTATGTACTTAGAGTACCGGTCAAAAAATAGTAGCCTCCTAGGTACCTTCCTAGTTGATTATAAATATACGAATATTTGTGCATGTTTCAACCATTTCTGTCTGTGGTTAATAACAGCATTTAACGTTTTGTGCCTATTTAAACTTAAAATCGCCTGATATAGGTGTAGCTAATATGTGGATGTGTATAGCTTGAGATTACCTTATGTAAGCACCTGCATATAATCCAATAGAGACATGCATATCCAAAGGGAAGGAAGGAAGGTGAGGAACTCCAATATCTAGATAGATGAGGGGCAACATTCAAGGTTTTGTGCTGGACTTATGGTGGTTGGTGTGGGGGGAGCTGAGGGGCAGAAAGAAAGAGGGAAAAAAAAAAAGAAAAAGAGAGAGAAAGCGGAGATTACTCCACCCGTCTACCTCCCTAAAAGCGTCAAAGCTGACAAGGGTCGTTAGTGATACCCGTGGACCTCTTAAAAATAAAGAATTTTGTCCAACACCCGCCTGGCCGGTATGCGAATTGTTGGTGATTAGGTACTGTACATCAACTTGTAGTACTGACCACCTTACCGAGTCCCTTTTCCTTAGTACGCACATACGATCCTATATGTAGGCGTATCTGGATGCGGATATCTTACCCATACTTTGATGACTCTATCAGCCACTATTAGCTATTCCGTGCGCGCATATCACCAGAAACATAATGACGGGTCCGTGGCGATACAAGTTGTTCCAGGCAAAATACTTAGCTACTACTGATGACGACGCAGCACTCATAGCCACGGAACGGATGCTAGCAAGACCTGATTCGAGACAAATTGCTTATGATGGATTATATATTGGCTGCCTCTTGGCTTGAAAATGCTCCATCTTCAAGACCGGTCTCGAAGAAACTCGGGTCTGACATACCAACGATGTGCGAAATCTATCCTTGGCCAAGCCATTTCTGTGCAATAGTTATGCACACCGGAAGTGGAGACCGGGAAACCGGTCACAGTTCGAATTGTCAGAACATACGTCCATTAATCATAATCATAGCAGCTATCATTTGTCATCGACTATTGAAGATGGCTTTCCGTCGGCAGTTGGGAAGATGCGGGATGAGCCATCTACCAATAGGTATTTTTCGATGGTCGGACCGACTATGTCAGGTTGGCTAGAAATGCTCCGCGAAAGGACTTTTGTTGCCAACATCTTCAGCATTGCTTAGCAGTTCCAATTCCTCGGGTTGATAAAAAGGCGATGAACTTTCCGCTGCTAAACCTGCTAAACACCAACAAGCCAAGCCCCCCACGGGTTGCGGATGCAAGTACTGGCTGATTGGACTAGAATACAAGTGTGTCCCGAGGAACGTTGCAGTCAACCTTGATCGGTGACTCGAGAATTGCGAAAGGATAGACTGATATCCAAATTCCAAAACGAGAAACACACTGTTGGGACACATCGTCCCAGGTTCTATCAAATATGAATACGACTGTTAGACGCACCCTTCAAGCAGGCTATCTGCTGACTCGACCTTTTAAGACGATGATTTCAACCTTTTAAAAAAGATACTTACCAAAGAGAGATACAACCATCAATCACAGTGCCTCAACGCCCAAAAGCTTTCCCTTCCCTTCCCTTCCCTTTTTATCTGAAAATAGGGAGATGGGGCACAGTTGGCTCCTACTAAAATAGGGGACTATCTGACATACATACAATACAGGTATTGTGTGCCTACACACCCAGGTACGTACAAAAAGAACGGATGTGTAGGTTGCATCTGTGCCATCGGCCCGTGGACGTGCCAAAACGTCAATACTACCTACCTGCTTCTTACCGAGTCTTCCCTCCAACGGCCTGTCAAGGGTGGTTCATGATCCAGGGCGTCTGCATTATTTTTTAATTATTCTGCAGCATCTTATGCTGCTGTAGATGGCGTAACCTCTACCGCCGCTTCCATGCGTCCTACTACCCTCGTCTCTGTAGCATTATTATCGTCACTCCGGTCAAATCTTCAAGACTACCTCGGTGTTCCAGGGTGCTAGGTATCTAGCTAGGTACCTGCCCAGCAGCCTTGGTACTTTAGTGGGACGGTTCTTTTTCTTTTAGGGCACCCCCCTCCCCGCTGAGAGGGTGCAGATGGTGCAGGTGAGCCTGTCGGGGGCCAGCAGCCGCGGCCTGTGCGCTAGATGGGCGCTTTCGATCAGACCCAGGCCGCTTTTTTTATTGGACGTCGATTGGGCAAAAGCCGATCCTCGTCCGCCGTCCAACACTGTGTCTCTACCCGACCCGCCCTTGTCCGGGGAACTTAACCCTGGTCCCTCTCTGGGTGGCTTTCTAGGCTGGCTTTACCCGCCAACGAGGAGCTTCTTCCTTTTCCTTTAGTGCCCGCTGTAACCCATCCCATCTATCTCTGTCCACCACGATCAAATCGATAAACTGTACTCGCGAGACGTTGTACTTTGGGCTTTTTTTTTTTTTTGTTCTTCCCTACGTTATTATCTTTTTCCACATTCTAATTATTCGTACAACGGTAGCCTACTTCCCCCAACCCCATTTTCATCAATCTCATGTTGTCAATCCGTGTTACAGGCCCTATCGCCAGATTACTATTATTTTGTCCATAACCGTATCCGTGTTGTGTGTGCCAGCTAGCATTATTGTATAGTGTATTCAAAGGTTCAAGCCAGAAAGCGACGCGGCTCTGCATTAGTTAGAATTAGGAACTCTCCAGCTTCGACCGTGCTCTTCTCCACCAGCCGTTATCAACAATTTGCGCCATCAACGGATAGTCGCAGCTTCTCGACGCTGTAGCACATTGCCGGGAATCGCGTTTAACCATTCATTACGATTGAAGGGGGGTGTTGTAGATGGTGTTTCTGGAGCACAACGTCTTGCCGTTACTCAAAAGTTAGTTTTCTTGGGAATACGAACGACGCAGCTCTCCCCGCTCGATCTCGTCTCTCGCTCCGCGAAATATCGTGTTCAACAGGCGCAGCGTCATTCGCTCAACGTGCCAAATTTTGAAAGGCCTGTCAGGCCGTTTATACTTCCTCACAACTTCCCGGGTCTTCCTTGGACCCAGCCGTCACCATTTCCACCCCGATTCGCATTCAGTCGATACTTTCCCCTCCTGATCGTACAGACACAGATGAGAGCTCGAATACAACACATTATCAAGCTGTTCCGCAGAGGAAGTTCGAAGAGAGTTTCTCCCCCGCCGATACCTCCCTTAATCCTGCAAGTCCACCAGTAGCGCCTAATCGACAGCTTCTGAATACCGAAACGTCACGAATAGAGGTTATTGGAGGTGTGGCCGCCCGGGGTTTGGGGGATGACGAAGCAAAGGCGATGGTAGCAGTTAATCTAGAGGGGAAGAAGCCCCCCAAGATGCGTCCACCGATGCGGTCGAGCATCGCCTGCACACGATGCCGGAAGAGCAAAATAAAGTGTACGTCAAAGTTCTCACGCTCCTATTCGATTCCCTTAATTATACGCACTTTTAGAAAAAATGTGTCCTTATTTCGGTTATTTCTATTGATTTCTTAGGCCCATGGACCTGAAAATAGAACCACAAGCCATAATCTCAATTTAATAGCCGCTCGAGTTAATTTACTAATACGAACAACTTAGGCGAGAACACTGGTGGTACCAGTCCTTGCGATAGTTGCATTAAGACCGGAAAGGAGTGCATCTTCAAGTTACCAGATCCCGTTGCTCCCAAGAGAACCGACCCGCCTACAGGAGTTAAGCAAGAACGAGATGGTGGGTCGGACAGAAAGAAGCTAAAGAAAATAGATGACATATCCAAAGTAAATAACCAGCAAGCGAGCGTTTACGCCGAGGAAGTGCTCTCCGCACCTTTCTTGACGGAAGATTTATGGGAGCAAGTGCTAGATCTGTATAAGTTGCATTTTGCGCCAGAATTGCCTTTCTTACACTTACCGACGATGAAAGAGAAGTTAGGTCGGAAGTTCAGGGCCTCCCAGTCAGATGGTAACTCGGAATTAAATCTAGTGTTGTTGGGGGTCCTCACTCTTACCGCACGCTTTCATCCGGATCTCGTTAAATATCTCGCCCATATATGCAATAACCAACCTGGGAATGCTAGGACCCGTCCCGTTCAGACGCAGCTTGACCCCGCTGCCGCGTCTGAGTATTATGCCGATGTTCTCACCATGGCCTTAGGTCCAATACGAACCGCGATGAAAGTTGCGACGGTTGAGAGGGTGGCAGCTTTTCTCATGCTAGGGTTATATGAATGGAGCCAAATTCGGCCCAGTACTGGTGGACTTGGCGCTTGGATGTACGTTGGCAACGCTGTCAGGATGGCGCAATATCTAGGGCTCGGGTATAGCGACATCCCTGATTCCCCAGACCCTTATGGTAAAACTGGAGAGCCGCAGCAAAGGGATTCTTCCAACCAATCTCAACTCGCCCTAGAAAAAGAAATCAGGAGGCGGACTATGTTTAGCTGCTTTATCTTAGACCGCATGCTCTCTTGCGGCAAAGGGCGAGTCGCTATTATACACTCAGATGACATCCAAATTCAGCTTCCTTGCTCAGAAGATAAGTTCGATTTGGCGATGGAGGTGCACACGGGTTTCCTGAAAGATAAAGGGCGCCATGGTATGGACGACAGCGTGCTGAGCAGATTTATTCAGCTAGTAGATATATGGGGGGATATCTCGAAATTTAGCTCCACAGGTGGTCGCCTCAATAGGAAAGATAGAGAACGTCCGCCATGGACGAAGGAGAGCACTTTCTATCAACTATCACAGAGGCTTGCGGAGTTCGACGCGGAACTTCCCGACACCTTCACATTTTCGCGATCCAACTACTTTAAGCACGAGAATCATCAAGCCTCCAGCGTGTACGTCTTATTACATATGCTGAGATGTCTTTGCTTGATCATGTTGCATCGGGAGTACATACCTTTCGTGCCCGTTCGTTGCCCGCAACCCGAAGGACCACTCGATAACCCAACGTTTCCCGAGGACAAATTCGGCCCGCCTCCCGAGGGATTTTGGATAACAAGTGCAGAACAGGTATTCAAAGCAGCTCGAGGGATTGTGGATTTAATCGAAATATGTCAAAGGAAAGACAAATTGCCACAATCAACTATCGTTCTCTTCGCGATTTGGACAGCAGGGTTCGTAGGGCTGTATGGCAAACACTTTCCTCAAATGGACACTGAGAGACACATGCTGGGCTACGAATTTGAGGATACTCGGCAACCCGAGTCTGTTCCCGAGGTATTCAGGCGTGGGTCGGTAGCTTTTACGTTCGCAACACTCCACAAGATGTCTATGTGGCTTAAAATGGCCGTCACCTACGTGGGACTCCTACGGCAGATGGATAAGTACTTCGAAAATATTAAGCTGGATTATTACCGGCATATCACGAAGAACGGCGGGTTTGATGAAACAACACATCAAGTACGCAAAGGCGGTCGTGGTGCCGGGCTTGAAGAATATAAGCCTCTGGTTGGTTCTCTTAAAGACTTTGGATTCGTACAACGGGCAAACAATGAACATGATCTTCCAAATGGCCCAGACCGGGTATCACCAACTTCAGCGGATCGAACGGTGCCAGGAGGAGCTGAGACTAATAACACATCCTCGGCCACGAAGCCGCCGAAGTCTACGCAATCAGGATCTTTCACTGCGATCAACCATGCCCACACCCCTACCCCTATACTGCCAGCGCCGGAACCAGGGCATCCATTTAACAACGAAGCAAGATATCCGACTCCTCATCCCGAACAAGTGTATGCCGATCCTTGGCGGCATCATAACAACGCACATCAGCATCAGCAGCAACAACATCAACAGCCGCCACTGCCAATATCTCAGGGCTATCCTACTTCTGAAGCAATGCTCGAAACTACCGCCATCGCCGCCGAAGCTCACGATAGGGCTTTCTGGGATTCTTTCAAAAAGGAAGAGCCTCGCCGAATCGGGACGATAGGAGATCTCGGATACTTCTCGAGTGGGGACTCCCAACTTGCTGTAGCTGATATGCCATTCGCGGACTCAACCTACATCCCAGCCTTGGCAGATTCATCTTATCAATACCTGCAAGTAGCTGAATACTAAGCTTCTTATATACCACACATCTGGGGCGGAGCAAGAGTGGAACTGTCAGCGAAGCAAATCGTACCACGCACACACATACACACAAATGCCTTGAGCCAGGGCGGTCTTTTAGGAAATTAGCGAAGGGAAAAGAGAGGCACAGGAATTGGTTTCACAACTAAGGCGTTAAAACGGGTGTTGGCTCAATTGTTATCATGTTAAAGCATCATACCCACCTACCTTATTTTTGTATAAGATTATTATATCATATATCATCGAGGTTTGGGACTGGGGGGTTAGTCTCTAATGGTTATTCTGATGGATGAGTGGTTGGTTGGTTGGTTGGTTATTGTCGTCATGTTCATTTTTTGTGGTTGTTGTTTTTTCTTTTACCAACTCTTCAGATATCCCAATGGCAGTAAAGAAAGTAGGTACCAGGCAAGTAGGCAGGCGGTACTGTTGCGGAATGTAGTTGTCGGGCCAGGCTAGGCTTATGGGGTTGCGTGTGAATGTCGAAAATATACCGATATTTGTTGATATGACGAATTTCTGCTTGTTCTATGCTTTTTGATAGGGTGTGTTGGGTCGTGAAGGTGAGGCTAGGTGAATCATGGATGCAAAATATCCCTGAGCCTTGATCTAGGTGCATCCTGCGACCTGATCTATTCGTGATGCCCACTTCATGAAACCAACCGTATATAATTAATAGTCGGTGAAGATTCGGACGTACCAGCATCTCCCCATTCTCTCGGCCGAGTCTCGATTGCTATCGAGACACCCCCCTAGTGGAGACGAGAAATGTCATTTTAAGCGCCCCGTGCCGTCGAGCGACCGGAAAATAAATGCGTAATCGCGGCGCAGTTATGCGGTACTCCATTTAGGATCGACGTAGATGGATAGGCTTGAGTTGTTAAATAAATAGATGGTTGGTTGTCTTCCATTGGTAATCCTGGAAAGTCCAGATCCGGGTGCGATTTGGTTAACCGCCGTGATCTGGCCCCCCGCTTAGATATGTGAAGATATTGTTTATCGATTCTACAGGTTGTGTGAGGGTTGCTTCTATTTCTGATTTCTGAGCGTTTTCCTTAAGAAGTTAAGGTCGTTCTTGAAGTTGCCTATTGCTTGTTAGAACTTGGCTTCTTGTATGTATATAGGTGCTCAGACCAAGTACTTACCGAAGATGCAAATATTTGGTCAATAATCTTTCAATCTACACCCGGTAGTGATCATCTGTCGTGTAATTCGAAATAGACTCGGCGGATAAGTAAATAGAGATATCTAAGGTATGATCATGCCGGTACTCATTTTCTGTAGATGCAACAGTCTCAGATATAGTATTATGCTTCTGCGCCATATAATACCAAACATTATAGCAAGAGTAAGCGTTGGTGTTGTAATATGCCAATAAGAATACATGATGATTATAAGGCAGCTTTAGTTCTCCCATATTAAACAAGCCACTTCAGAATAACACCAAGCCCTAGGCTTCTTATATATTTCCCGGCTCTTGTGGCAAAACCCCGTCCACTTCGGCATCTAAATGCTACACGCAGGGCGTTACCGCCCGTACTGGCGGCCCGATGTTGCCAAGTCTCGGCATGTCTCACTCCGTTGCTCTTGACTTATATAGATGATACAAGGGACTCATATATTAGGTAACTCTATGTTGTGTCTAAGGCTGTTTCAACGTTTTTCGTTGTACTTGTGTAAAATGATGTAGATGAAGTAACCCTAAAGGTGTGTGCTATAGTATGTGACTACGTAGCCTCGTCGTCGTAGTTTAGATGCAATTCGTGGAACATTGTATAGCTGACTGTATACTCGCGTGTTTTACTTAATGTCCTGATGTTCTAAGCCTCTTGATGTGCCCTACTATTTGTTATAGATTATAACCTCAATATCATTTTTAAACCCGCTCGGATATGGGCTGGGAATAGAGCCATACCTCGTATTTACTGCAGCGAGTCAGTCGCTCGATATTAAATCTATTAAGAAGCAGAAATGAGTTTTGGTATTTTAGTGATGCATGGTCAATGACGATAAGGAGAATCTAAGTCACATAAGTTTTTAACAACGTGCACGCGAAGGAGCGGAAGATCCCGAATAAACGTGGAATGAGTATTACGTTGCGGATTACGATTGATGGCGCATTTCTGGCGCATTCTGCAAGATACCTAGATGGACCACGAATCCAGGGTTTGTCCGGAGTTCCTCACTCAAGGCCTTATCAGGGACGCGCCACACCCGGAAATATTTGCTGAATTCTTTAATCCAGCCTTCAAATATCTCTGGGTCCCTAAGCTGCTGTGCGACCAAGCAGACAGTCGGTCTTTCGGCATCGTTCTTATCTATTGACCTCAGCTTACACGCGTCAGCGCAAGTTTGCACAAGGGGTTGAATTAACGCGTCATTGTAGATGCAATCGCAAGCAATGACAAGATCGAAGCTCTTAACTTGATCACTTCCCGTGAGCGCGGGTGTCACTTCGTCTAGCTCCCAATCAAGGGGTAGAAATTGTAGATTAGCTTTAGCTTGAACATTCGATGACTTTCCTTTTCGCTTCTGAGATGTGGTCCCTGTTTGCTTTGAGTTTCGTAGAGGGCTGTTCTCATCAATATTCTTTTCTACCAATCTTGCGACGTAAGATTGGTCTGTTAGTGTGTACCTCCCAACGGATGGTGCAAGCACTAATCCTACTAGACCTGAGATCCCGCATCCCAGTTCCAGCACGGCGGAAGAGGATGATAGGATATTAGAGGTCCAGAGCGGATTCCCGGAAGCCGCCAGCCAATCGGCTACGAGCGGTGTGATTTTCCACACGACAGCGCCAGTGGTACTTCCCGGACGATGTAGGATGGTTGGGGATTGGTGAATTACGTAGTCCTTGCCAGCAATGTTTAAGTCTAACGTGACCAACTTCGGATTCACGAAGCCCAAATTCTGAGACGGAATGTCTTGAGAGAATAACAGAAAGGTTTCTATTAAATTTGTATTAGTGGGCGAGGTTGGTATGTAGGAGGATGGGATGCCAATTCAAATCTTGCCTTCTTCCGGATCTAATATCTCTGATCCGAGCTGATCAAACAGGGAGTGAAGAGCCATATTGATTTAGCCGTACCTAGGTGGTGTGTCCCTGGTGCCCCTGGTGTCCTTGACGCGCAACTTCTAAAGCCACATGTTAGGAGAGCGGGAATATGATTTGTGCTCGGTGGCTTGCATTACTTTGTGTGTATATGTCGGTAATCAGAGCGTTTTTTTGTTCTTGCTCACAAGAATTACGTGTCCGTCTTCTGAAGATCTTATAGATCATCTGAAACTTTTCTTTAAGAAGGCTGCGGCTTATTTACTATTAGGTTGGGGATAGTAGGTAGGATTTGCAATGTCTTGGCTAAATTGCCCTGGCTGCTGGACAATACGAATGCAAATTGATTCGTGCCCTTGATGCAACCCGACCCGAAGTCCGATAATCTATGCAAATGTGCTATGCGCTGGTAGTGGAATTCGTAGCTGCAACGTTGTTTGGTGACAAGTCGATAAAAAAATAAATAAGGGTATTCGTATGTGCCTGTCTGCCTAGTTGCTTTGCCTATCTAATCTGCCTTGTCTCGCTAGAAAACGCGATGGAACAGTAAGACAACAGCTTTTTCACCTTGGCCCTTGGCGTCCAGATATAAGAAATAAAAGAAGTATTCTGAAGAAGATTAAAATGAGTAAAGAGTTTGAAATTGAAATTGTTAAAGGGTTTAAAGTTAAGTGCATTGTAATAGTCGAACAATCGAAACGAACTAATAGCTTTGCATATCCATTAGTGCCGTACCAACACTTCCAACACTTACTTCTAGTGCCTGTAGATAGAACGCTAAACTTGTCCGGGGCTTAGCGGATCAAAGTCTCGGCACCTCAAATTGGCAAGGGGTATGGTTTTATTGGGAATGGAGTAACGCTAGTGTCGTCATGGGGGCAAGCTTGGAAGGTACATTACATATTACATACTAGAAAAGTGTAGCTGTATTTTGTAGGCAGGTAGCACCTTAGCCATTGGGAAGTTCCCAAAAAACCCGCTTCGAACTTACTTGAACAGTGACTGGAACCAAGACAACCTTCCAAGCCTCTTCAACATTTTTTTTATTTCCTCCAGAGCAACCTATCAGATCATACAAGGTAGCTTTGGACGAATCGACGAATGAATGACTGGATGCTGCGTTTTCTAGCCAGCTAGCTTTTGCCTCCTTCCTTATTATTGTTATTATAACATATCAACACAAGCCGTCATCTATCTCATCCATCTATCTATCCGCCTCTACCTCCCCCACTACTATTTCTAGTAATCTTCATCATCATCATCATCATCAACCCGAGAACACCCGGTGCCACTTGATTGCATCCTTCCACAAGGTTAACTAAGCAAACAAGTAACAAAAATAAACATCACTTAATCATAACCATAACCATACACATACACATACACATACACAGCCATGACGACCGAATGGCGAGAATCTAAATTAAGGGGCCTTGCCCTTCAACCCAAGGCCACCGCACGACCCCCGTACTCTATCGAGTCGCCAGGAGCCGAATCTGTCGAGGGCGAGACGAAACCGCGCCGACATCCTCTAACAGCCGACGGACTCATCACAAGACCTGCCGATGACATTACCACCGTATACGAGCTCCTACGTGTAAGCGTCGCTAAGTATGGCAACGCGAAGGCCATGGGCTCTCGTCGCCTGGTGCGAACCCACCAGGAAACCAAGAAAGTAAAGAAGATTGTGGATGGCAACGAGCAACAAGTAGACAAGGCCTGGACATTCTTCGAGCTCGGCCCCTACGAATACCTTACATACAATGACTTCGAGAAGCTGGTTCTGAACATTGGTTCTGGTCTGAGGAAGCTTGGGATGAACAAGGGAGACAGAGTTCATATCTTCGCTGCCACGAGCGCCAACTGGTTAACTACATCTCACGCCGCCTCTTCCCAATCGATGCCCATCGTCACCGCTTACGACACACTCGGCGAGGAGGGATTAAGGCATTCGATGGTTGCGACGGGTGCCAGAGCTATCTTCTTAGATCCTCATTTAATACCCACTCTAGGCAACGTCCTCAAGGATGCTACCGAAGTTCGATATGTTGTTTGGAATAACCAACACCAGGTTAGACAAGAACACATCAACAACCTGAAGAGTGCCTATCCCCACATCACAGTTGTGAGCTTCAAGGAGTTGGAAAAGCTCGGTAGGGAGAACCCTTTTGACCCGGTTCCTCCTACTCCCGAAGATCTCTGCTGTATCATGTATACCTCGGGGTCCACGGGCACACCTAAGGGTGTCCCCCTAAAACACAAGAACCTCGTTGCTGCTGGTAAGAACCCCGTGCCACCAGAAATACTATGGAAATCTAACGTGACAATTAGTCGCCGGTGTTAGTGTTGTCGTCCAACCATTCATCGGCCCTGGCGATGGTTTATTAACCTACTTACCCTTGGCTCATATCCTTGAGCTTGTCTTCGAAAACGCCTCCTTGTATTGGGGCTGCACTATGGGTTACGGCAACCCGAAAACTCTGTCTGATACCTCGGTGCGCAACTGTTTCGGCGATATTCGCGAATTCAAACCCTCCGTACTAGTCGGTGTTCCGGCAGTCTGGGAGTCGGTTAAGAAGGGAATTACATCCAAAGTACATGCAGGCGGGCCAGTTGTCCAAAACATGTTCTGGGGTGCGTTAGCATTGAAGAGCAGACTAATGGCAACCGGCCTTCCCGGATCCAGCATACTGGACACTGTTGTTTTCAAGAAAATCAAGGAAGCCACTGGTGGTCGACTCAAACTCTGTCTTAACGGTGGCGGCCCTGTTTCGAAAGATACCCAGCGATTCATCTCTATGGCGATCGCACCGATGATTATTGGTTATGGTCTTACTGAGACTAATGCTATGGGTTCTCTTATGAGCCCCCTTGAATGGTCGTCTGAGACAATTGGTGCGATGCCAGCGTGCATTGAGATCAAGCTTGTCGACTTCCCAGATGCTGGTTACTATGCGACCAACAAGCCGAACCCGCAGGGTGAGATATGGATCCGAGGTGAAAGCGTGGCGGAAGAATACTACCAAAACGAAAAGGAGACCCAGGAGAACATGGCTCCTGGTGGCTGGTTTAAGACCGGCGATATTGGCGAATGGGACCCCAATGGTCATCTGAAGATCATCGACCGCAAGAAGAACTTGGTCAAGACGTTAAACGGCGAATACATTGCGCTAGAGAAACTTGAGTCCATTTACCGATCAGCTCACGTAGTGGGCAACATCTGCGTGTACGCTGATCAATCCAAGGCTAAACCCATCGCAATCATCGTTCCGTTGGAGCCTGCCCTGAAGAAGCTAGCCGCGGAGAACGGTATAGCAGGAGCTAGTATCGAAGAGCTTGTCCACGACAAGAAGTTGAACGGCCTCGTGCTGAGGGAACTCCAAAATGTCGGACGACTTGGTGGTCTTTCCGGCATTGAAATTATCGAGGGAGTTGCTCTATCCGATGAGGAGTGGACACCGCAAAACGTGAGTTGATCCGGCCTTTACATATGATTTATTAGTTGCTAACAGTTTTGTAGGGTCTCGTAACCGCTGCCCAGAAGCTTAACCGCAAGGGCATCCTCAACAAGTACCAGAAGGAGGTGCAAGCAGCCTACGGTTCTTCGAGCTAGGCGTCTCAGAACGATGGTGACTCATCTCGACCCTGGTGGATTGACTCAATCAAAACCTGGTTAGGGATCGACATCATATAAGTCGACTTACTAGTCGACTGGAATTCGTTCGTAAGGGTTTGCGGGCGTGAAGGGGGATAACGGCGTCGCGAGTTCGAGATTGTAACTAGAATTGACGAGATGTGACGACGCCGTGTTTTCTCTATCTTCTCTTCGGGGGCGGTTTAATGGGGTTGCCTGATTACTTGTTTGGCTGAGCGTGTTCTCGTGTATACACATTTGTAGAAAATTATTAGTGAAGAACGTTTGGCTTCTTGACATCGTTTTAAGTGATGCGTGTTGTGAATGTAGACGTGGCCAGACGGCTTGGATCTTGGGTACGTGTGCTGGACAATGTACAAATATTTAAGTATGGGAAAGTCGTGATCGGCAGAGGCTGAGCTGTGGAGTCATTGCCGAGTAATATTCAGCTCCGGGCGTGATCCTCTTTATTCGAGTAGAATAGCGCTCCGCGCGTAGAATACGGCGTATCCCTACATACCTAGGTAATACCTAATTCGTTTCGAGCCAGTCCCTGGTTAATACTCTTGCTGTGTCTACCTACTTGGGTACATAATGTCGTTTCTACAATGTCGTTATTCATCGACCTATTACGTAGACATTACGAGTGGGAATGAGCTATCTTTAACTTCGACCTTCATTATCCTACTATGCTTTGTAATTTGCTAAGCAATATATCTACCACGGCTTTCCTGGTCGCCATCAACATCAGATGTTTTCTATACCTAAGTACATACCTCATATGTATTAGCTCGTATACCCACTCAGTTACTATCCATACATATGCTTAATCCGCGGTTTGGTAACACACCTTATGATGTAATGTAATGACTTGACTTCTATGTGCGTATGGAAGTCAAATGCCGGTGCTAAACTCCCTAAGTACCTGAATAAGTACTATTTATATCAATTCTATCAGGCATGTGACACTCCTCGCGTGAGAACCAAACCGCCGGGTCCATTGTAGTAGCTAAGACCATGTCCGTACAAACTTTAGCCGTGCTATATACCATAAGTCAAGTCCGTAGCATTTCCGGTTCACCCTGACTACATGTGTTGTATCTCCAGGGTGAAGGTGGCTGTGAACACCCCCGTCAAGACTACTCGTCTCCAAAGTAGATTAAATCAGATCACACCGACCAAGACGAAACGCTTGATGATAGATACGAAACATGCGACGTCAAGGTAACAATCTACACGACGCTAAAGTGCGATCGATCTCGTATCTGATATGTAGACATCGCATTCGTCTATCCGGTCCGACCCTGCTGCGCCTCACTTTCTACGGGGAAAGAACCAGCGGCGGCCGAGGGAACCGTTAGTTTATATAAATTGGGTAGGTTAGCTGGCTTGGCCACGGCTTTTGAGGTTTATAAAACACATAAAAGGGCGAAGGCGAAGCACTTGGCTGTCTTGTCTGGCTGATGCCTGATCATCTCATTAGACTAATCTCTAATACCCAGAAGAATGCCGAGGGGAAAAAAAAGCCTTGGAACTCTTGGTCGACATACAACCTCGTTTATCCTTTCTCTTCTTGATATAGCTGTTGGTGAATGCCCCTGGAAGGAAGAAGACGGAGGAAAAGGGGGAAGAAAAATAACACATTGGCAAGCAACCCTCCAAAAATAACTGGACCTTTCAAAATGCCGATGTCGCCATCTTTTCTTTCTGTTTTGTTTTTCAGTCCGGATCACCTGCCCGGCCCTGTTTCCCAATGTTTCTAAAAAGCCTTTTTGCTCTTCTGGGACGCCTCGATTCTGCTCACCCTCTTCCGAAAGGCGATAGGGAATTACACTAGTCCGTCATACAGAGACAGTGCTGAGACAATAGTCTCGTCACGTTTGCTGCCCTCCTTGAATTCCTCCATATCCAGACTGCCGTTCTCATCCTTATCCATCATGCGGAAGATCTTCCTGACGCGCTTCTCGGGGGTATCTTCGTCTTCGGGGAGCTTCACCATCGAACCGACCTATTTCGAGTCGAATTGTTAGCAGAGTTTAATGCTCGGCAGTCGGAAAGGCGTATTTGTACCATCTTGTAGATCGCTTCTACGATCTTAAGCATTTCGTCATAGCTGATCTTTCCATCGCCATCGATATCATATAATTGGAACGCCCAATCGAGCTTGTCCTCCATCTTCCCTCGGCTTGTTACACTTAGGGCGCAGATGAATTCCTTGAAGTCGATAGAACCGGATTTGTCTGAATCAAAAACATTGAAAACGTAATCGGCAAAGGACGATGGATCGCCGAATGGGAAGAATTGCCTGTAAATCTTTTGGAATTCTTCTTTCGTGAGCATGCCCGATGGGCAATCCTTTAGAAAGCCTGTGGTACGATTAGCCTGGATTGGCCTAACTAGGAACAGCTGCATAATGACGCGGCCGACGGAGAGGCAACCCACCCTTATACCATTGTTGTAACTCCTTCTTGTCGAAATGTGTGGACTTTTGGAGCTCGGCTAGTTGCTCTTGGGAAAGCTTCGATTGACTGCGAAATTTGCATTAGTCAGAAGCAATCGATATTAAATGGAATGGCATTGGTGACGAAATGTCGCCCGGCGTTCCCTGCACGGAAGAGAGGGAATTCTCGCATTCTCCGGCTAGCCGCACGTAACAAAAGGTACATAATATGGTATTTCGGAGCGACTCACCGATTTCCCATGTTGGGTTATGATGTGTAATGAGGTTAATACGAATGGTATGTTCCAACTTCTTTTGGTGGCGGGAAAGTTGGCGTCGGAGTCGTGTCAAGTTCTATCGCGTGGTGTAGAGGGGGTGCTTTGTCGTTTATGCGACAAGTTGCAAGGCCGGCCGAAGATGGTGACAAGGTGGGGTTGTCGCAACGGTCAAGATAACAATAAAATCCGACTAAGGAGGTCTCATGTGTCGCAACGGAGAGATTCTAAACACTTCCGGGATACGTAATGAAGCGACGGAGGGGTTTGAAAATGGTGGCAAGTTTGCCCGTCCAAACAAAAAAGAGCATGCAAGAAAGTTGGAATAAAAAATATTTATTTAGGTAGGTATTTTGATTTCTGCTGGGACTGCGGCAACCTAGGTAAGCAAGTAGGCAGGAGACCAGTACCGCCGCAATTGAGTGCTTCGTAAGGGCTCTAGAAGCAATATGGTAGGCTGGGTAGGCTACTTAATTTGGCGGATTGAGGCTGGGCTAGGTCACAGTAGGGCGGCCGAGGGACGGGATTGGACTGCAACAGACTGCAATGCGCGGTTGTTAGCTGGTACGGGCAAGGAAGGGGTCGCAATTTGATGAAATTCTGCAATCTACACATGCGGGAGGACTACCCAGAACCACGCCTAATGGGCATTGTTGACGAGTAGAAAAGGGGTGGGCCTTTCTTGGGATCACTTACATGATCTATGGGGTCCGCCGACGATTGCGCTGATCACCTAGGAACAACTGCGACGATGTAATGCAGGTTAAGGCTGTCTACCCTTGCAACGACCCTGAAACTCCTCCCAATGTATGCCAGGTGTTGCTGGGTGTTGCTAGGTTGCGATGGATGCGACAAATAGCATGTGGAGGTAAGCAAAGTATGGATATGTTGGCTTTCTAGAAGAACAAACGACGTGGAAGAAGATGACAATAATGACAATACAGGTACAGACAGGTTTAAGTGAGCGCGAACGTCATCCTTGTTCCTCGTTGGGTAGCGCTGGAGAGGGAGAAGACAAAAACTGGAGTATGTAAATGGCTAAGTTTTTAGAGGTCGGAGGGGCAGAGGAGTAGGCCTGCGAATTAGTAGAACAACCTGATTTTAGCACTATGATTTATGCTTTAGAGTCTATTGGGAGTCTCGGGTCAAGCGAAACCTGGCGGGGTAAGTACGGGCCATCTCCGAAGATGTCACTTATAAATCCTGGTTAGGTTTAGATCGTAATGAATAGGGAAGCTGCTTGCTGCGGTCATTATGATTTCCGCTATGTTTTTTAAGCTTCGATGCTTGCCATTTTCCTGCCGGTTTATGTACTTCATCCTGTAGGTACATGTACATAGAAATAAGTACATTTCCCGTTTGTACCTGACGTAATTGGATCAGTATACGAAGTACATCAACCCATGTTATTAAGTTCGGTCGGCGCCGTGCAGTCGGTGTCGGTGACTTTCTTGATCCTTGATAATTTCATCCTTAACTCATCCTTTTTTCTCTTCTAATCTGGCAATTCCTCCTTCTAGAATGTGATATTCGGCTTCGCTTTTCTCCATTTTCCTTGGTAATTTGGCCGAGACACCTGTGACATGCATAACGGTATCTCAACCTCGAATTATCAATCGGGAAGGGTGTTACTGGGCGCCTGTCGGCGTTGATTTCTAACAAAACTCATTGGAACTTTCTCAGTTTTTATGCATGCAAGATTACGGGTCATCCCGTTATATCCGTGAATTTCTCAGCAGCATTAAATTTCTACGCAAGCTAGTGCCACGCGGACCGGACTCCTCATGCAGATCCGGCGGGATACTATCTAAACATCTTCACCGGTTGGATCATTGGTAGCCATCCGGACACGGGACCATTCCTCGTCGTATCGTGGCCATTCACTATTTCAAGGCGTTCCGGAGGACAAAACACAATAGCTTCTTGGTGAGTATGTGAAAACCAATCGATCTGCACATTAAATTACGAAATGGTTTGGGGCTATGTGAGCTACTATATGACGTCAGGAAGATCTTCATTTAATTTATACAAGATCTGAGACTACGTCAGCAATATGATAGACTATCTTGAATAAAATAGGTATGTATATATTCATTCCCACCGTGACGGTGATATAGACAAGTGAAGTGGCCGTGCCCCAAAAATTAGCTCGGTAGAGTATCTACAACGATCAAAAAACCTAGCAACACCAGTCCATGCCTATGTGCCCATCGTCGTCCATGCGTCATAATTTAAGCCCCGCGCCAATGCAATTTGACTTCTCGTGAGGTTCTTTTTAGTAGGCCAAAGGAGACATATTTTCATAGCGTATTAGATAGAGGGAGTAGTGGATCGTGCGCAGATGCGATGAAGTATCTGAGAGATTTAATGAGTAAGACTTGGTATGAATTAACCCACGACAGTTTTTTGGCTTAAATTCTCCAGGAACCCGCCGAGGTCGTCTTTTCGAACTTCGACGACACAGTGCTCAAAACTGTCAATTCGCACCCGAGCATTGGTCTCATTGACGACGTCCTGGAAGGCACTGCCGAATTTATTCAATCCGTAACCACGGTCCTTCCGTTCTTCAATGTCATCCTCGTCGTCTGAGTCTGAGGCATCACTCTCTTCATCTTCCGTTTCTTCCTCGTCTTCCTCGTCGTCTCCTGCGGCAGCTCTTGCGGCTCGTTTTTCTTCTCTGATCTTCGCTTTATTCTGACGCTTTTGTTCCTTTGCTTTAGCTTTGGCCTCCTTGGACGCCTTTTTCTCTTTAGCTGCTTCCTTATCCAAGAAAGCCATGTCGGGCCCACCACCACCGCCAGTGCCTACTACCACGTAAACACCTCGTTTTTCATGCAAGCTTGCTACAACAAGTGGCGTACCACGTCCGCCATGTGCTAACTTGCCATTGGCATCCTTCTCCTGTTCAGCAAGAGCCTCCCCGACCCAAAGCGCAAGTTTTGTGAGCGCAGCAGGGTGGGTGAATAGGGGAACGTCTGGACCATCCTTGATGACACAGAGCCGGAAGGCATGTAAGTGTTTAATTTGTCTTTTCCCGATAAGCGAGGTTCCCGTTCGGAAAATAGCGCGATGAAGATGCTGTGCTGTGGGCAGACCGGTTTTAAGGGCATCAACACTGGAAAAGGTTAGTTTTGTACGATTAATTACAGTTGTCGCGAAACTTACTTCTCGAGCGCATCGTACGCTTCCCAGAACCGACTAACCCATTCCTGTGCTTCAGCTACTCCGTCGTAATCTTCCAATTCTTGCAATTGGCTTGCTCGGATATTGCCCTCATCATCGGTGATAGCGCTGTGTTTGCCTACCTCAAGCATAGCACCGATGATAACCCCCACATCTTGTGCGCTGAGAGTAGCTCGCCAGCCCCAGCTTCGGACGAAACCCCATCCGTCCTTGGCGCCGGCTCGATCCCTACCATCCGTTTCTACCGAAGGTACCATATCGTCAAGGTTATATAGTGACGCATATTTTAAAAGCTTCGTGCGTAACTCTTTTTTTAACATCATGTCCATGTGTGTGTAACTCTGCTTGCATTGAACCAAGCTCACACCCATTTTAGCAAGTAATTTATGCAAACGCTTTAGGCCACTTTCGCTCCAAATGCGCAGCCTTGAAAAAAGGTAAGGTGAATGGAGCATACTATCGTAGAGACTCCAATGTCGAATAAGCAAGAATTTTGGCTCGGGGGATAAACGAATACTTGTATCCTCAGGACTCCGAGCTGTAGTGGGGATAATACCAACACTGTCTGCTGCCGATATTTTCCCTATATCCGGTGGATTAAGACGTCTTACTTCATCCCTCAGGAGCTGGCGTATTCGGGCACCGCGAACTCCCATCCAGCCATTTGTTGGCCTTGCGTCGGAACCTCTAACCATGACAGCAAGACCAGCTGACGAACGACCGTATAGCTCCATAGACGTAACACCAACTATTGCTAACCAAAGCAAATCATTGTCTTCCCGACCCAACTCAGATGCGAGAGAGTAGACCATTGCACTAATGGGTTCGGAGTACGAAGACCCCATTCGGTAATATTTACGAAGAATGCCCTCGTTTTCGCTGCGCATTCTTAATAATCTTCTACGAAGAGTACGAGCCGATGGGGCTTTAGGGGGTTGGGCTGCGGATGGTGGGTCGTCTGCATCATCTGAGCGTACTATGTCAGAATCGCGTATGGATATCAGTCCTCGTTGGGGTGGGCGTTGGGGCGATTCTGGAATTGGCGTAGACTGAGTTATGGTTAGTGACATGTTTTACTTCTACCTGGAGTATCTTACCGAATTACTTCTTCTCCTCTGTCGTGGTCGGTCATCCTCATCACCACTGCTCTCATCATCTCGGTCTGACCAGGACTTCCTTTTCTGACCGGAGCGCGGCGAATCATCTTCTGGTTGACCTTCACTTTCGGAGTCGCTGTCCCCATATGGCTCGCCATCATCTTCAATATCAGGCATGTCGACCAATGCCAGATAAGCGTCCCGTTCAGCATTCAGCCCTTCGTCAATATCACCATCATCAAACACTATGATTCCACCTTTTCCAGGCTTATATGAGTGGCCGACTCGACCGGACGTTACACCCTCAGGGGCACGAGCTTTGTGGTTTGCACTAGCAGAGGCAGGCTCCAAGGGATATCCGCCGAAGATATTGCCAAGGTTCCATGGCCGGTGAGAGTCGATAACCCATACTTCGACACCACTAAAACTCGACTCTTCACCCTCGAGTTCGAGTCCTAGGATCGTTCCCATATCGACCATACCCCCTACGCCGAGACATACGACAACTCCACCCGTACCCCCACGCGTCTCCATCATCGGGCTGACGAGCTCGGTTCCTGCACGTTCGAGGTCTCCATACCCAGCGACTGGGTGGATCTTGTGTGGAATATAGTCATGTTTGAGAAGCCGTGTAAGAATGCGACAGGCACACAAGGCGTCGGGTTCGAGGGCGACAAGAATGAGGACCGGAGGCGAGAGTGGATGGCGGGTATTCTGAAGATTAATATACAGTTTAGATATGAGATCGCGTGGCAGATACATAGTTTAGAAGTATCTGAACGCGTATTCGTAGGCACTATGGTGGATTCATAGGTTCGGTGGACAGAAAAAGTATACACGGTGCTCCTAAGGGGGTGGTGGGTTGAGGGATGAGAATTGTGTTGATATAAACCGGATTGCTGTACGGTTAGAGGTATTAGAGGGTAATAATTGTATCAATGGGAATACTCGATGCAGAATTAAGAAAAAGGAACCTCGAGTATGTATGTTATCACATGGGGAAGGATGGTAGATAGAATTGTTAGTGTGGGTTTACAGGATTAAGTGTTGATGACCAGGACGCGATGGAAAGTGGGCAAGACGCGATTTGGTACTGCGCGTGTAAAGTGCCCGCTAAATTGACGTGCACTGTACGGATAGACCCACTCTATAGCGCATCTCTCATCCCTGTAATGGCTGCAGACTATGATTACATAAGTGCATTTTTTCAGCTTTAACATAAATCTCCCACCTTCCACCTAAATTACCTTCCACTATACATTGGATGGAACGATGGAAGGATCATATTGATTCGTATGGAATGGAGGTAAATCACATGAAATGGGACTAGGGAATCCACTTACAGCTCGCTATAATGCGCATTTAAAGTTTAGTTACTCACCAGCACCCATCTCTGACTCTAAACACCAATCAATCCATTGCTCTTCGCGAATTCGTCCCAAGCAGCGAAGCAGGAACGTCTTCTCCAATACAATCAATCTTCTTATAGCATGATGTCATTGTCCGCTAAAGCAGAACTCTTTGAATTTTGCGCTCAGGCAACATCTGAAATTCAAATCGAGTGCGATTCAATATCAACAGGAAAAGATCAACCCGGGGAGTCATCGCTAGTAAGATGTGGTCCTGCTTTAATCGAACTGCTGTCACGGCAAGCGAGTCAGATTTATGTTTATTACCAAGAGCTACGATCTACCAACTTTAGCACAATTAAGCTACCGCCAGAAATACGGTCACTTACATTAAAACGGTTAGATGATATAATTTCAATTGCCTACTCCAAATTTTACGCTTTTATTTTCAAAGACCTACCAATATGCTGGCGGCAGCTTTACACTGACGCAGCAATCTTAAAATTCTGCTTCAAGCTCCTTGGGTCAACATGTATTCTTGGTCATGCTCTAAACGATAGATCGGCTTCTAGTAAGCAGTTTGATGAAACCGGTAATGGGCTAACCGAGCTGGTGAAAATCCTTGACCTCACACTGATTCTTGCGGGTGCTGCCGGTGAGAAAAGAGGTAGAAAGTGGATTCATAGGGCCCTCGAGTTACTCGACGTTGCCTGGAGAGAGACACAGCCTCCCACGGATCAAATGGCCTTCGAACGGCCTTCAAAAAGGAAGAAACTAGAAGGGGCTCCCGATTCAGTTCCTGCGAGTGATGGGACTCAAATTGAGAGCCTATTCTCGAAGGCCGAGCCATTTACGCCTCCCGTAAAACATCCGATTAGGCACGTCAATCATGTGTCCATGGAAGAATTCCAAGCGCATATGGATAACCCTCAAGACTCGAATCTAGGGCCGGAACCCCTAGTTATACGTGGTGCCATTGACAACTGGCCAGCCCTAACCACGAACCCCTGGAATAAACCATCATATCTACTGTCTCGGACATTTGATGGTCGTAGGCTTGTGCCCATTGAAATTGGCCGCAGTTACGTGGATGAGGGCTGGGGTCAGAAAATCGTGGCATTTGGTGAGTTCTTGCGTGAGTATATCGACCCATCGCTCAAGGGCCAAGGTAGTTTCGGTGAAGAGACTACTGTTGCATCGGAGAACGAACCAATCGCGTATTTAGCCCAGCACCCGCTATTCACCCAGCTTCCTGCTCTGCGCAATGATATTCTCATCCCAGATTATTGTTACACAGCGCCACCCCCGCACCCAACAGATCCCGGTATCGACCAGCCAGAGCTTGATGAACCTCTGCTGAACGCCTGGTTCGGACCTCCGGGCACCATCACACCGCTACATAACGACCCGTATCATAATATTTTAACCCAGGTCGTGGGGCGCAAATACTTGCGTCTCTATTCTCCTCTGGATACAGAACGTATGCGGGCTCGAGGAAAAGAGAATGGGGTCGAGATGGGCAATACCAGCCTGATGGATGTTGGGGTGGTTGAGGGATGGGATGCAATGCCTGAGAGTGAGGAAGATCAGCCGAGCGAAGAAGATTTTGCTGCCTTTGAAAAGGTACCATTCCTAGATTGTATCCTAGAGCCCGGTGACGCTCTCTATATCCCAATCGGGTGGTGGCATTATGTCAGAGGCTTGAGTGTGAGCTTTAGCGTGAGTTTTTGGTGGAACTAATAATCCTCTCCTTCCCACGCTGCGACACCAAATAGTCGATGTTCATCTTAAGAATCTAAGGCCGTTTATTCTTCATCTTGAATGAGAATTTATCGACCATGTCACCACTTCAATTCTAGTAAAGTACTGGAATCCCCTTTAGAATCATGAACCTATCTTAAGTGAGTAGTCACATCGTTATGCGATTATGCATGTTTCCTATTTAATTGAGTAGTAACATTGGGTCGACCAATTACATCGAGCTTTCGAAAACTTGCTGCCTACAACATCGAATATAAAACCCAGATATAAGTATCTAAAGGTCCATTTCATCGTGGTGCAAGGTATCTTCGATGCAAATCGTATTCCATTCAGACATTATTCAAGCTTGGTTTGTTTTCTTGACGGATCGCTGCCAATAAATTAACAAAGCTTCCACCGCTAAATGCTCCACTAGCAATAAAGCCACTCGATGAAGCTCATAGAAGAGTACTGAGTAAACCTTCGACATAATAGCTTCGCTATAAGGGAATTTTGTAAAAATGGATGCCCCCGAACACGATAGAGACGCTCTCATTCAGAAACTCTCAGCCGATCTAATCGCTGATTTCGATCAGTCTCTCACGCCTTTCCTAAAGAAACCCAATGGCCAACTTCGGAGGCGCGTGCGGATGAGAGAAACAGCCAGGTTGATGTCTCATGTGAGTGTATCCTCACTGGTTCGAATAAAAACAAGAGCTCATATATAGTACAAAGGTCCTAGAACCATTTCAAGAATTACCACAACTACTCGATCCGTATCTTCCTAAATGGTTGCCAGTTCTTGCTGAAGCGTACTTGGGATCCTTGCAAGATCGTCGTTATTACAGATCGCTATCTATGCGTTCCCAGCTTTTGCTCCCACTCTCTAACGCGATATGTAAAGTCTTATATACGTTTTGCAAAATCCGAGGAGAGAAAGTTATCGTTAGGTTCTTGAACGTAGAGACGAGATACCTGGAACTTCTTCTCTTGGCCATTGAGGAGTCTGAGCGCCAACCTGATTCGCCTGCTTCGTGGACTTGGCATGAAAGATATATCGTCTTGTTATGGCTTTCCCAACTTTTCTTCGCGCCGTTTGACCTGTCTACTATTTCATCTGGTGATGCTGATGATCTTGACCGCTTGAGCCTTCCTGGGTTTGAATGGCCCACCCAGATTCCAGGTATCACACTACGAGTCATCCCCTTAGCTATCAAATACCTTGCATCGCCGGGGAAGGAGAGGGATGGAGCCAAGGCACTTCTTATCCGTGTTGCGATGAGAAAAGATATGCAGGAACTAGGCATCCTGAACGCCCTGGTGAAATGGGCGCTCTTCACGCTGGAACCGTCGGAAGATAACCCGGCTGAATCGACTTACTATTACATTGGGACGTTATCTTTCCTCGCTGGGATACTAGGCGCTGCAGCGGATACGTCTATCATGGATCCGTACCTGTCCGACATCTTCAACGCCGTGCAAGCGATTTCTGCCGGAGAAAACGCCGCTTTCGACGTCATCAATGGCTCGGCGCTTGCTCGAAAGATGCTGATCAAGGTCACACGCTCGGTAGTTACTTTAACCATACGGAAGCCAGAACAAACAGATACCGACACTGAAGTGATAGAGACATCGATCGGATACCTACTGGAAAGACTAGCGGATAACGATACACCGGTACGGCTCGCTGCTAGCAAGGCTCTCAGTATTGTTACACTCAAATTGGAGCCAGAAATGGCCTCTCAAGTCATTGAAGCGGTTCTTGAGTCGCTAAACCGGAATGTTCTCTGGGTGAAGAATAAGTTAAATCCCTCTGCTGCTCCAGCTCGGGATATCGCAGCAGTCGACCCGTTAGAATGGCACGGCTTAATGCTTACTCTTTCTCATTTGCTATATCGAAGGTCACCGCCACCTGAAAATTTATCCGATATCATTCACGCTCTATTGATGGGTCTTTCTTTTGAGAAACGAAGTCCATCCGGTGGCTCGATTGGCGCAAATGTTCGAGATGCATCCTGTTTTGGTATCTGGGCGCTAGCCCGTCGTTACAGCACTTCGGAGTTACTTCAAGTCCAGACAAAGTCCGTGTTAGTTGCCAGGGGACATGACCTTAATGCGTCCATACTCCAGGTGATCGCCACTGAATTAGTAGTGACCGCTTCGCTTGACCCCGCCGGAAATATCAGGCGTGGTGCATCTGCCGCTCTCCAAGAATTAATTGGCCGACACCCCGATACCGTAGAGAAAGGTATTGCTGTCGTACAGACCGTCGATTACCATGCCGTCGCTCTACGTTCTAGAGCAATACACGAAGTAGCTCTACAAGCAACTAAATTGTCACCCCATTACGGTCGCGCACTACTAGAAGCAACTCTAGGATGGCGCGGTATTGGGGATATGGATGCAGCAGCTCGGAGAGTAGCAGCTGCTTCCTTCGGTACCCTAACGGAAGAGTTAATTAACGTTGATGCTTCCGATCGATCGGGATGTTATAACGAGACTATCGAATTGCTTCTTTCTAGAATTCAAGCACTTCAAGTTAGGCAAGTAGAAGAACGCCACGGACTCGTATTGAGTCTAGCCGCGATTTTCGATTTGCTCCCGTCACTTCTTAAGGGCGGAGTCCTCGTCCCCGAAAAGGTTCCTACGACTAAAATGTGTACCGCTTTGAAAGACACACTTCAAGATTGCAAAACTACTAAATATCGAAAACCCGAACTCATCACAGAAGCTGCTTGTGTACTTGTGTTATCTACGACTCCAGCTCTCTTGTTAAACGTTACACAAGGCGACCTACCGGAGTCGGTTTCTGACTCTTTACTACCTGGGCCTGCCCTCGTCGACGAAGCCAACTCCTCTACTCTGGCCTCTATTGCGAGTTTGCTAGACGACCAGCAGAATAATCGACCGGCGCAGGTCCTGGAAATAGTAGCTGTTCTACAAGACGTACTCAACGAATGGCTTGACAGCAGCGAGAGTGAAGTAGTCAAAACATCCTCCAAAGCCGCCCTAATCCTCCTCCTGTTCGCGAGACAGGAACAGCAAACGCAAATTATCAAAGAGTGGTCCGACAGAGTCTGCCGCCCACAGCAACGTACTAAGATTGGCGACGGTTTCTTCCACGCACTAGCGCGTACGTACCAAATCCAACAGAAACAGCTAGAAGGCAGCGTCCCGGTAAGTAAAGTGTTCTCGGAACGATGGGCGCAGGATAGATATATCGATACCCGAGCCGGCATTATCGAAACTCGGGTCGCGATTCTCCAGAGTCTGGTCGGTAGAGCGATCCTTCGAGATAGGGCATTAGAATTCCTGGGTATCGTCTCGGAGGGTCTAGATGATTACACAACGAATGCGCGTGGTGATATCGGTTCGCATGTTCGCTTGGAGGCAATCAGGGCATCTAAAACTTTATGGGATGCGAAAAACGACAACGAACAAATTGTCTCGGCTCTGTTCCCCCGTATCCTTCGATTAGCAGCTGAAAAGCTGGATCGAGTTCGTACTGAGGCACATGCTGCTTTGGCTATGCTTCTGCAGCCGACGTATGTATATACCGATTTTTACGACTACGAAAACACGTTACTGATTACTTCATAGCTACGCCTCAACATTCCGCAAGCAAACGTTCTCCTCAAAGGAATACTTCACCTTCCTCCTGCACCTCATCAATACACAACGTCTCGAGCCAGCCATCACCAAATCCTGGATTCTTAACACAGAAGACTGCCTATCCATCCTCCTCGCTGGCCTCGTAACCTCCGCCGATACGGGCAATGAAGACCTAGTCATTGTCAGTCGGGCCGCTCTCGCCGACTTCTGCGAAGCATCCTCCGATAATCTGGCGTTAGTCCATACCGCGCTGGTCCGAAACCTCAAGTTATACCAGGCCCAGGCTCAGGACCGCGTTGTGGTTCCCACGCTTGAGGTTATTGCGTATTTATTCCATATCGGCGTCCTTCAACGCGCCCCTGAGATAAATCTAAGGCAGCTATGTGTGCTAGTGCAGAAGGCCGGGTACAAAACGGGGAATGTGAGGAAGTTGGAGGCTTGTGTTAAGGTGTATGGTGCTATTGCCGCAGTGGATGGGGCTAGGGATGATGAGGAGATACGAGGGCCGGAGATATCGGCGGAGATGCTAGTGAAAAGGCGCGAGGGTGTAGTTGAGGCGAGGAAGAGGTTAGGTGCATTATTGATGCATCCTTGGCCTAGGACTAGGGGGTTGGTTGTTGATGAGCTGTGGGGGTTGATGGATGACGGCGTGGGGGGTGAAAGTGAGAAGGGGCAGGAGAAGCAGGAGAAGCTTCTGGGTGTGGATTGGGGCAAGGCAGAAAAGGCGCATATCAAGAAGATTGTAGGGGAGCTTGGGATCGAATAGGGGTATAGACGTATCCTTGATTTGTGTGACGAAACGGTATATCTAGACTATGAACTATAGTATAGTCTACAACGAGGTTTGAGTCAATCTAGATTGTGTTGTTTGACAGGCGCAAGTATTAAGGTGATACAAAGCACAACTGCATAGAGAATTGACGAGACTAGTAACTTACATCCCTTACCTGAGCGAAAAAACCACCCATGAAACGGCCCGAGAAGGAATGAAGTGGTAGCAATCAAGATTTCATCTCCATGTTATCGAGTCACCAAGCGTCGCGTATTGATTAATGTCTAACGCAGATAACCGTATTGGCATTTTCGTAATGCAGGGAGTTTTCGCAAACCACCTATTCATACGAGGACCAGGAGGAACCAGAGTTGATATATATTCGTATCTCCGTCCCATGTGAAACGAATATGCACGTCATCACGCATCGCCGTAATTACACCTTGTTACAGGGAGTTGAGTTGAGTTGTATAGAAAATCAATAGTTTCTTGTAACGTGGGATCTGTCTCAAGAGGTCACAACTCGTGAAAAGTCGTTGAAATAGGAACGGAGGTTCACATTAGCCATTGTGAAGAGAGGACGCGTCGAGTATAATATAGCCGGACTGTCTTGAAGTTTCAGGTATTTTCGTCACTCGGATGGTTTCCCAAGTAGGCAACTCGTCGCCAGTGTCGTATCTTGGGTGTAAGCATTGGCATTTGGCGTACAGAGTAAGGCTCCAAGTAAAACATGTGACATCCCTCCTCTTTTCTCCGAGTAATAGCGATGAAATTAGTTGTCGCATATGCTACTCTATATATATCTCCCTTGAATGGAAGGGAATATGAAGATAAAATTATAATAGATTATATGAACTGATGATATATTGATATAATAATGAAGAAGAAGTTTGTAAGTTGATTGTCACGAGTTATTTTTGACTTACCTAGGTATACCCCTACCCCTGGCCATGTAAAAAAGTGAAATACCCCGCTCCCCAACTAGGGTTGTACAAAATATATGCATTTATCAATTGGAAAAAAGGTACTTGGGGGGTACTTTGACAAGGCGGATTGCCGGAAATGTACATCACAGGAGCAAGGCATTTTTGGATTTTCTTATCGCACACTTGATAGGTAAGAGCTGTTCGTGCGTATCACGGGTTTAAGTCTGCAGGCGCGAGACATACAGGCGGCAGGCATACCGCGAAATCTTACCTAAGGTGTAAAAGTTAAATGTTCTAGACAGACCTTTTATTGACCTGAATAATTAGCCTAGGCACCTAAACTTATTAAACAATGCACCTTAGCTCTACTTTTTCATAGTTTGTGCGGCCCGACAAACTTTCGCCGGTGCAACACCGTAGGCTTGGGTCCAGGCCATATAAGCAAGAATCGCGTGTTCTCTGTGCGGCTCAAGGTACCCCGTCAGCAACATGATGACATAAGAGTCAAGATTTCCATATTACTCTGGGGAAACCCGGTTCCCCTACTATATACGGAACAACTTGGACAAGGGAAATTGGAACAATCCAAAACCCCCTCGTTTGCGGATATGTTAGCCACTGTTCCCTTTTTACCGTGATTTGACCCTTTGACCCTTTTGAAGCATCGCCGCTATAAGCCCGAGCAAGAATAATTGTTTTCCTATATGTTGATGGATTATTAAAGTCGGGAGAGGAGATCAGTGAAGACTAGCCGAGAAAGACAAAGTCTCACGTGCTTGCAGCTTTATAGGTTTGTAGGCGACGGGGACAAAATCCTAATTCGAATTCGGTGGGCTTTTCAGACGATATTAAAGGTGAGGCCAGTCCCGAATAAGAATAGTCTGGTGATACGATCGGTGGACGCTGAACTGAGAACAGTAATAAATCGTTAGTAATTGACTTAGGCTAGACATGGACATGGTAGGTATTTTGGCCACTTGGCCTGAGCTTCGGTAATCCCTGTCAGTTTCTGCCCCGCTGAAGACCCTTGTCTCGAGATGTGCGCATCGATCTGCAAGGATCCCTGTTTTCCAACCACTCTTATTCTCTGCAATGGGAAGCTCTTTAAGAGATATCGTGTGGACCCCCATTTTCTGCTGGGGTTTTTATCGCTGCTGGCTGCACTAACTACTGCACTTACACTAGTCGCATCTCCAACTTTTCACTATATGGCATCACTTGTCCTTTATCAATATTGGTCTTGATTGTTAGGAACCAGGTGCTTACACTTTTAAAACTACTCGCGTCGCAGAGGTCTCTCCAAGGAAGTTGTTAATCACAGCATCTAAGGATTCTTACTACATACATATGGGACGATAAAATTCGAAATTTGCGCGTCGCCGCGGCGGATGGCGAGATCGGCGACGTCTTTTTCGTTATTGGCGATCCCGCGCGAGACAAGCAACCGCCCTGCCACCCTGTCAAATTCCTGCCACTGCCCGCTCGTGATGACTCGCTCCAAACGGTCGGGTACTTGGTTGGGTGCATCCCGTCGCTATTAATGCATGGTGTTATGGTGCTATGGTGTTGAGTACTACGTAGTACTTGTCCTCTCCCTCGCGGTGTAGGGGGCGCAAGGATAAGCATGCGGGATGAAGAGTTAGTACGGCTGCTGAATAGCGCGATGCCAAAATGGCCAAAATGACTCCTAGGCAAAGGCCTAGAACCCGAGGCTAGACACTACGGATAGAGAAAGATAACCTGGAGATATTCGGTCAGGTTGTTATCGCCTCTCGTCTCGTTTCGTCCAAATCATATCTTTCGCTAACTCTCGCTACCAAAATATTGCTTTTTGATAGGCGTGTATGCGTAAGCCTGTCAATTTCTAATATCTTAGGTGGTGTAAACGCCTAAGACACAACATACTCAATATCATTGGCAAGGCTTCGGATTCGGGCCAACCTACATCTATAGTAGGTTGTCCGAAGGACTAGATGATGTTACACTACAATACGAAAGTCCCTATACGAACGAATTAAACCTTTTTAAATACTGAAGACTGTATTATTTATGTGACTGCCTACGACCAAAAACAGCTCTGCAGTAACATGTTACCAGTACTAGTAAGTGCTTCTTAGCTTGTTACCCTCGTGTCGTAGCTATCGGCGACCATACCATTGATCTGCATGCATTGTCCCTCGTACTCAAATGATCATTGATCAGGCTTTCAAGGTTTCCTCGAGATCATTTCAATGGCGCATGTAACGTCGATAAGGTAAGTTAGTACTAAGCTACCTAGGTAGCACCTAGGCACTCCGGAGAGACTACGAGCCGATAGGTAGACAATTTGCGCCACCCATGATTGGTCCAGGTCATGATACAACTCGATATCGATATCTTGCCGAAAATAACATCCGTTTGAAAGTGAATGAATGTAAGCACCGGTGAGGTCCGGAGGTTTTATGATAGTAATTGGGATTGAAGAATATTACCCAGGTAGGATCACATGGATATTCCTTCGGAGCCACGCCGTGGCTTTGTCCGCCTTAAGGATGGACGTAAAATTAAAATCCCGAGCCGCTGGTCTTTGAATACGGTAGAACATACTCTATTATGCGACTCTAGTACGCGTATGTCTAATATATTTTGTTCTTCGCCAACACCATGGGTATAGAAGATACGGCGCAGGTCTGAGACTTCAAACGGACATACAAAGTGTATGTTATGTTGTTATGTATCATCATTCGATTCTTGTATCCCCTCTGAGCCTAACCCCGGGGGTTCGCCGTGCGCCAATTGTTGTAGGTCCTGGTTGACGATTCTTCAGCCACGCTGATGCGTCTCGCTTAACAAATTCGTTTGAGGCCAATCACGCCAATTTGGAGTGTGTATTGGTGACGGTGGAGGCGCTAACTTGGGCGTGGGGACGGCACAGACAGAAGAGACAGAAGAGACAAGACAGGGCAGGCAAGACAGGCTTACTGGCGAGCCCCACGCTACAGTTCTCCATATTTATGCAGGGGTCTATGTTCATATCAACTCAGGGCTCCGTCAAAATGCGATGCCGTAGTCCGAACTCCGTTACTTTAGTATACAAAAGTACCGAATATCAATTCTCGCGTAAATCTGTACCTGAGCGCAGATACTTGGATAATGCGATAGGAAAAGCGTCAAGCTATCTTCAACGCTAGTGATGGGAAAGATAAGTTGTAATCTCGAAGAAGCGACATTTTAATCTTTAGCACGACGCCGTACGGCTGCGCTAAAAAGAAAAAACTTTCGAACTTTTCTGCACTTGAGCTGCGACTTGCCCATCTTCAAGGCTCTAAGATAATGGGATGGTGTGCTCGCACAACATATGGACGTGCATGTAGTACCTACCTAAGACGTGGGATTCCCTACACCTCCTCGCCCGGCCGAGGTCATCGTGCATATTTGAAAGGTAATAAGTACTTAGATATCTATAATTCACGATAGCAAACAGTACGTCACAATTTTAATAGATCCTATCTGACGAGGATCTAGCCAAGGTATTGAGCGATGTAGTACGCACCCATCTACATGTATCCCTTATAATCAATTCCACCGGGTTGGTTTCCATCTTCCGTGGGACCATGGGCTGCCACGGTGGTACAAAGTACGTAGGCGTATGCTACGTTTTTACAGGGTACATCCTACCCAGGCTGCCTGGCTGCCAGGTAGGTACAATGTGTACATGAGTAGTACTGCATCAAACTAGATTAAGCATCGTACTTTCGTTGGGTTATCAGGAGATGTCCTCGTTAGCTGCATGTACATTAAGGTACAAGGCGAGCTAAGGTACATGCTAGTATGTGATAACCGTTTAGCCCTCTTCACCTAACTTCTTTTCCCCAAGTTCCTTCTCTTCCCATCCGTGCTACCATAATTATACAACTTATTCTGGTCTTTCCCATAGGTCCGTTTTCCTTCGTTTTCCACCTGCTCTACCCAAAATCCGACAAACGCGACATTTTTACTACGATGCGCAGCCCGGGGCTCTTGATGTCATACAACTTTCACCGTCCATATCCTCATAATTGCGTGGTCCATGCATTATCGGGTAGACCATACGCCTGTGTCGCTAATAGAGGAACGCAAATTATTTTTCCAACGTCATAAGTGGAATACAATAATAATATCTTGGCTCCAATCAGGCTGGTCTTTCGTAAATTGGGGCGAGGCTCGAAATACGACAAACAACCCTCACACGGCTGTTTTATTGTGGTTTTTAACGAAGAGAAGGAAAAGAGAAGAGAAACCCAAGCTGCTGGTAGCAGTTTTCGACGAACATATGCTACGGTGGAGAAATCGATTTTATATCAAAGCTGATTCCCGCCGACTTTGCTGAAGCCGGCGTCTTCTGAAGAAGACTTTACCCTCCCCGCTCGTCCCCTCTACGGAGGTTGACGGGCGTGGTCAAATTCGAGCAGGGCCAAAATGACCCTGTACTCGTCGCCGCCGCCGCATCATTCTTCCGATCGGGACAAACCAACACTCTTGGTTTGCTGGTGGATCACCTTGTTCTGCACCACGATTATCCTCTTGCGAATCGCTGGTCGCTTTATTCGTTCCGAGAAGCTTTTCAGGGAAGACAAGACAGCAGCGCTGGCTATCATCCCGCTTTATTTGCGTATGGGATGTGTTCATGTCATACTCATTTATGGAACCAATAATGCACAATATAACGAGCTGACGCCCGAGCAATTGCATAGAAAGTCCGTTGCTAGTGGACTGGTCCTTGCTAGCCGAATATTCTACGCCGCGACGTATGTATTCTCTCTTGCAGCTTATCCAGCCGACTGTACCCCTGGGTTTTGTCAACTTTAGGTCGACCTCTTATATGCTAACTCATATTTGACCTTAGACTCTGGATCTTAAAAACCGCCATTCTCGAATTCTTCAAACGTCTGACGATTATCACCTGGAATCGTTCGCACGAAATTACGCTACTTTTCATCCGAGCTACTCTAATTGTAACCTTCGTGGCCGTACTAATAGCGGATTTGACGGAATGTCAACCGTTCACCCACTATTGGCAAGTAATGCCCGATCCTGGAGGCCAGTGTCGTCAAGGATACGTTCAACTCATCACCATGGCTACCTGCAATATCATGACCGACCTTCTCCTCGTCTTTTATCCGGTCCCTATCATCCTCACAAGCCACATGAACACCAAGAGAAAAGTCCAACTAACTCTCTTGTTTTCGTTGAGCCTTGGTGTTGTGGGAGTCACCGGATACCGCATTCCTCGAATAATACAACTGCACGGAGACCAGCAAATTCGATCTCTACTCGCTTCGGTCGAACTACTCTTTGCCACAGCCGCTGCCAATACGCTGGTACTTGGATCCTTCGTACGAGACCGGGGTGTGAAGAAATCTAAATATAGGCATAATTCTTCTACGGCTGCCGAATCCATCGACAGGGGCTCTGACCGTAGACCTACGCTTAATAGGCACTGGGGTAGTGACGAGGATCTTGTGAGAGACTTGGGGCTTGGTGTGGATCGCGAAATTCGCGATGCGGCACGACAGCACAATCAAAGAGCCAAGCCTGCGATATCTGTTTCGACGATGGACACTTGGCAATTCCCTCAACGACAACCAAACAGTGCTACGCCTAGCGACATCACCCTCTTTACCCCTGATCAAATCACTGCATCCCGAAGCGACTCTACTATGACCCCTCGGAGGGTTTCATTTTTCGATGTTGGTGGGCTACTTGATGGTGAGCCGTCTCGAAGCATACGGGATAGTTATAATTCTACTATCGAACCACCTTCTCCGCTTTCGCCGGCTTCGCCTGCACCCTCCATACAAGCGCCTACTAGCGGCTTTCGACGCGGTTCTTCAGTTATCCTGAAAGATTTGGGCCTTCTCACCCCTTTCAATAGGAGACAATCCCGATCGAGCTCCAGGACCGGGACTGAATTGGAACCAATTCCGCAACATTCAAGGGAACCATCAACCGATCGTATTCCCCAGATTAAGCCCAAATCGAAAGAAACGGACAACGAACTAAAAGACTTGGAGAGCCGCTCTCGAAAGATTTCATTACGATGACGCTAATGTTCGTTTGAATTTTGGCGGTACCCCCCGATCAAAGGCATCTATTTGCGCTCTAGCGATAGCTCAATCGCTAGTCGCTTTGATATTGCATTGCTTGCTTCAGCTTGAAGCTTTTAAACAGGATTGATGTGGCCGCGCGATGGTCAAAATCCTCATAACCCGCCTCGAAACAGAAGCTACAAGGGGGATGGATTGAGGCGAACAGTTTCGATATACACCTTGACCCCCGAATGTCCCTCCCACAATCTTTGAAGACAAGGATACCACATTGCCGCCTCACAAAACAGGCGACACATTGGCTTCACTAATCTATCAACTATTCAACTAATATTACTATACTTATTTCTCCTTACCTTATCACGATATTCACGACATCGATGCCGATATCCTTTCATACGCTGTACCATTATATCTATATACGAAATTTTAATCGAAACGAAACCGGATAAATACCCAATAGGCGTCTTTTATATCGGCGGTGGGCACTTGGCCACAAAGGCTGGGCAACATGGCGTTTTGGAATACCTTGGGAATCTTATTACAGCACCACGAGTTAAATGGAAGGGGGTTATGGTCATTGTTTACGGAGTCCGGGATGGTTGTATACCAAAATCTAGGATCCAGAAATATCCTTAAGAAGGATAGGAGCCTATTAGGGCTTATAAGGACGTGACCATGATCGAACCTTCCTGTCATTACCATTTTCGTTTGGCTTTGTTTTTTGTTGATCTGTACTATCTTCACTATATACCCCGGGCGGTGAGCCCCTTTTGCTTCATGCTTTGATACAAACTAGATCTAATAGAGATCGCTAAATATAAGATATTACTGTCTACTTGTTGTGTTCATGTGCTTCTGTGATGATTAATTGTGGATGTGCGTTTGAATAGGCAAACTGAATTGTGACGCTGTACTTGGTATTTGTGAAGTGGTAGGAGCAATGAGCGTGGTATAGTCGACTTAGTGAACTACTCACCTATCTACGCTTTACGCACTTGAGAATGAAAACCGATGAATTTTAGAAGTAGGCGAATAGACAAGCCACGCTCTCAAAGCTGATTGTAGGAAAAACAATGCTTGCCGATGGAAATCAACTGTTTGAGGGGAAACTTACAATGACGATGATAATCAAGAATGACAAAGTAGGTCAGCTACATTTCTTATGTTCACCTACCTGGATAGTTTGCAGCATAACAATTCACATCCTGGGTAGGACACACTGCTCGCATTAAGATAAGAGCAAAATACCTCTCAATTACCAGTAGTAGTAGACCTCTTGGTAGCTACCGACGGGAAGAGAATCTGGGAATCTCCCTGAATTACAAAATCCATAAAACGCCACCCCTTGCCAAATCAAAGTCATGCTCGCAGACGCCGGTTTTTTTGTGCAAAGCTTCGTTCCCCTCTCCTCTCTTCTCCTCCTTTCCTTTAGCTTAGAGTACCTTTTCTTTGATTTCTCCAAGGCTCAAAATTATACGCATAGTCTGTAACTCGCGTAACGACCCGCTGTTTCACTGGTACGAATAATCTTGACGACCTGACCACGTTTCATGCCGAAGTACTTGGCGACAGGGTCCTTCTGGAGGATACGCGGGAGCTGGGTCTCCTTGAGGCGGTAGCGCTTGAGGAGAGCGACTTTTTCGTCGCGGGATAGGATGACGTGGCGCGGTACGAGTTCGTGGTGCGTGATGTTGATAAGCAAGTCCTCTTCGAGGAACCACTCGATAGACGTCCACTGGGCGAATTTGGCGATTTCCTTCTTCGCGGACGAGGATACGGCGACGTGCGATACGAGGATTCCGGTGTGGTGGTTTTCGGTCGCGCAGAATCGGCCGAATTTACGCATTTGCTCGGCACCTAGGGAGTCTTCGTCGAGGAACTCGACCCATACGGTGCCGACGTCGGATTTTGGCTCCGGGTTGGCGGCTGTGACGGGTTGCGCGAACTTCTTGATCATCTCGGGGCTTGGGCGTGCGGAGAATTTGAGTTTCGCGCGTCTATTATAGTGATTCCTAGGTTAGCTATCTAGCTATTTTCACCTCTTTCGAGATTTAAGGAATGGTGTAATTTGGGGTGCGTACAGAATAGAGCCGTCGGCATTGCAGTAGATGTTCTTGAAGGATTCCAGCGGGATGTTCACTTCAGACTCGGACAGCTCGTAACCCTACTCGCGCATTAGTGTATGTAATTATACATCGTATAGTTAGTGGCGTAGGAAGCAATTCGAGGGTAAATATGACATAAGAGATAGGATTAGTCGCATACTCGGTCTTGAACCATCTCGTGGATTGTTCGCCATGCTCGCCACGTCTTGACCGCGATCTTGTCGTTCGCTTCATTGTTGCTCATGCCCTCGTTGTCCGACATGATGGAAGGTTTGCGCTCGTATTGGGGTTGATATTGAATGGATTCGGAGGTTGCGCTGGTGTAGATCGATCGTCGCGACTCGAGCGTAGTGCAAAGGCGAAAGGTGATAGGTGATGGGTGGAAAGACAATGCAAGTTTCTAAGTTCAGCCTTGCGTTAAGAAAGAGATAAAAAATTCCCAGGTATACGGTACAAGGGTACTAAGCTTCGCTTTATCTGCAAGGATGAATGCAGATAAGGTACGTACTTTTCTTAGTCCGACAGTACATTGTATCAATTCGCCTACCCCTGCAATTACAGTAAGGTTTGGTTGGTTGGCTTACTGTCGGCAGAAGTTCGGTACGCAAGGGGCACCCCACCAAATCCATTCAAAGTTCACGCACGGACCAGTGAGGAAGAATGCTGGGCATTGTTGAATCAAATCACTTCTTTTTTTTTTATTCTAATTTATTTTTAACCAGTGGACCTCGACTCCGAATTTTTTTTTTTCTGCTTGTACCTGGCACTTGGCGGGCTTCAGGACCCTGAGATCTGGCCTCCTACCCCATTCAATTTTTTATATACAATCCTCCCTAACATAGCACTCTTTTTTCTATCTACGGTAGATATTTTTGAGGCTTTCCTTATTCAATCGCTATCTTCCTTACCTGTTTCGGTTCACTCATTCCGATTTCCGGACCATCCTCTAAGAAGCCTCGGTATCGAAGATATTAAAGCGGTCTACGTCGCATTTAACCACCATGGCTGATGTAGCTGCAACACCCGCTGCCGCCCCTGCGGCCGACAAGAAGAAGCCCGAGAAGCCTAATGTCGATCTCTTCAATGAGCAATTGTCCAAGGCCGAAAAGGAATACCAGGATTCTTTTGCTAGATACGTGAGTTGCGCGCTTACTTACGAGACACATTTCATATATTGACCGCAAATTCAGAACGCTGTAAAGCAAAAGGTCGAACTCGCTTTCCCCAACAAGAACAAGGAGACCCAATCGCCGACTCAAAAGCGCCGCCAGGAACTTATTGCCCAAGCCAATGAGATCCGAAATAAGCAAGGTGCCGGCAAGAACGCTCGCAACACCAAGCTTGACCAGATCAAGCGCCTCGACGAACAACTCCGCTCCCGAATCGCCGAACAGAAGAATGCGCGCGGGAAGGTTAACTTCAAGAGCGTCGAGGATGTCGATCGTGAGATTGAGCACCTCGAAAAGCAGGTTAACGGCGGCATGATGAAGTTGGTCGAAGAGAAGAAGGCCCTTGCTGAGATTTCCAACCTCCGAAAGCAACGCAAGAACTTCGCTCAATTCGACACTTCGCAAAAGGGAATCGACGAGTTGAAGGCGAAGATCAAGGAGATCAAGGACAGCATGGATGACCCTGAGGCTCGTGCATTGAGCGACCAGTACACAAAGATCCAAGCCGAACTCGACAGCATCAAGGCGGAACAAGACGAGGCTTTCAAGAATCTCAATTCTTTGCGTGACGAGCGAACCAGACTCCAGGCCGAGCAACAGGAGAAATTTCAGGCTGTGCGCAAGATCAAAGATGACTACTACGGCGCCAAGAAAGCATATGCCGAGTTTGAGCGCGAGGCTCGCCAGAAAGCCCGTGACCGACAGAAGGCCGAGCGCGACCGTATCGAGAAGGAGAGAAAGAAGGAGCGTGCGCAAAATTTGCTCCAGGAGGCTAGCGACCCAGCCTATCTTGAAGAAATCCAAAGAGCCAACAGCCTGCTCCACTACTTGGACCCATCCTCCACCACTACTGAGAAGGCACCTCTTGTCGCCGATAGCGGTCTAAGTGCCCAAGCTTCTCGTACTGTCGACGATTCCGGTCTGAAGGGTACTCGATTGGTCAAGAAGGAAGATCGTGATGACGATTACCTGCCAGCCGTCAAAAAGGGCAAGAAGGGTAAGAAGGGCGGTGTCTCCGAGAAGGGGTTCAACTGCCCGCCCTCTGTCATTGCCGACTGTGGGTTCCTAGGAATTGATCCTCCCATGAGTGCCGCCGAGAAACCTAGCGTCGCTGAAAAGGTTAAGGCCAAGTTGGAGCACTGGAAGTCAGATCAACAAGCCCAGACTCAACGAGTAAGTTCTAATAAAATATAATTTGCTTTGCTTAGTGGAGTTTTACTAACGAAACCTAGAACGTTGAGAAAGCCAAGAAAGAGATCGAGAAGATCGAGGCTGAAGAGGCAGCTGAGGCGTCTGGTACTGCCACCCCTAACGGCGTGAACGGAGATAAGAAGTCCGATGACAAGGTGGCTGAAGTAACATCGGATCTCAAGGAGGCTTCCTTAGAGGAGAAGTCCGCTTAAAAACCCCGGGCCTTCGCTCAAGCCACGCCCTAAAATTTTATCATTGGCTAGGGCGAAATAGACGATTCTAGGATTGGAATCACGAGAGCTTCAACCACCATTATATATAACCCGGTTCCCTATTAGAAGAGAAAGAGTAGAACTTCTTATGGGAAGAAGAAAAAAGAGGCTAAAAGGGCAGGAAATCACGGAATAGATTTCCACATTATCACGTGTATGTATGTACTTAGCATTGAAAGCGCCTAAACCCACCTATGTATTCTCGCATCTTTTTGCATATGCCTCTTCCCGTAACTCCCCACACGTCTTATGTCTTATGTAGGGCTCTACCGTATCTCGACAGTGTTCGGGCCCGACCTCTAATATAATTAATTAGATTATATATAGCATACGATATCATGATACATACCCTACGTAATCCAAGAACGAGCAAATCGAACACAATAAAGTGGCAGAGTGGTAAGCAGCAGCGTGGCCAAGCTTTTCGATGATATTCCCGATTCGGCGGTACGCTTTACCTTCTGCATAAGTATTATTGCGCTCGTCCTGCTTGCTGCCCTTGTGCCGTATCCATCCCCCTTCATTACGTGATCCATCAACTATTTTTCGGTATGAGTCGATATATTGATTCGCTGCTTTTTTTGCTGAGCTGCCCTCCTGCCCACCCGTTCCCCCAACTCCACGGCACGGGTGGACTTGGGTGTTTTATGTATGGACCCAACATAGCCGCGCATTTGGGGGATGTCTCATGAGTGTTCAATATCGGGCTTGGATTGGGTTCTGTTTTCTTACACTCTCTCCCCTCTTTTTAGAAATGGGAGTGGGAGAGCGAGAAGAGGGGAGCTATCGTCTGTTCGTGTCCTGTCTGTGTGTCTTGCTTTTCCCGGCAGATGCAGATCGTATTTCGACATCCGTGGAAAGGGATGGACCCTTTTTTTCTTGATGCCTCCAATTGAATCCATTCATACGGGAGAGGCAGAAATTGACTGGTGGATTTGCTGGATACATATATACGTGCTCGTGCGTATAAACATGTACAGATACACAGATAGTTGCCTAGTCCGTGCTGGCACATGTGCGCCTACATATAGATAGGCAGGTAGGAAGGGGATAAACAGATTATCATAGGTTGGTCACGGGCACTTAATATATCTAGGGAACCAAGCATATGAAGATGCTACTTGGAGGGACTTGTTTATCAACCTATGAAACCGCGTTTTAGCTCTTTGACATATCAATCTACTTGTTTACTTTCGAAGCTGGCTATCCTACCTTGCTAACTTGCAGAGGTAATCATTTGCGGTTTTCTTGCTACCTTACAGTCTTTTACTCTCCCTACCCATTTACTCATCTACTTCACATGTAGATTTACTTAATTGCAAGCTGGCTATCTACGTACCACCCACCCGTCCGCCCGGCATTCTATCAAACCCCTCGCATCTTAAAACCCCGAGCTATCGAGCCGCATATTATAAGCCGGGACCCAGTTCCTGTGGCCTACGTGTCAGCCGCGGCGCCATAGGGCAGCGGATCGGCCGCGTGACTGAACGGCATCATACATTACATAGATACATAGCTCATATACCATTATCTGATTGTCCATGTCTATTTCGTGCTTGCGTGCTCGGCACGATGGCAGACACGTTTTATCTGTTCAATCTATTCCATCTTGTCTGTACCTACCTAACTCTGGACCCGTCCAATTGCTGTAATATAATGTAAATTGATGAACTTGCTCATCGATGCCCATCTAATTACCATAGGCCATAACAGTAAAGTGCTTACTTTTCTATTTAAAACCCAACCCGAATTTCACCAATGTTTCAAGATTTGTATCTGGTATCTGATTTGATTGCATTTCATTTCAACTATGTTAATTCGCTCTTCTGCTTCGGGATAAAGAATAATACCACAGGTATAATGTAACGAACTCCCATCCTCTCAGAATAAACCGTCCTGTCCCTATTGTCTCCGCGAAGAGTAGGTTAGGTGGCCATGGACAACACACACATAGAGAAGAGGAGAAAAAACAACACAGTTGATAGTGTCCAAAAAAATCGAGCAACACAAAAAAAGCCAAAGCCAACAAAAAGATCAGCTCGCCAGACCAATGCCCTTATTCATCCAACCGTAATAATTCCCGAGCCACTCCATACGCCCAAAAATAGTAAAAAAAGTGAAGAAAAAAAAAAGCCTCCCCCGGGAGTGAAAATTTGCCACCGGTCTTAGAAATGACTCCAAGCTCGAAGTAATTCCTCGAAAAGGGAAAAAGGTAAAAATTTCGAAACAAAGTAAATCGGTTTGAGCTGAACAAGTTGTGTGTCGAAAACAGCAATATTGGGGGGATTGTCTCGCCGCTATGCAGAAAACAAGATCAAACAAAAACTTTGGTATCTGGGACGTTTTCCCGCCAATTCCATGCAACAGATACGGTTTGGTAATCTCGTAATGCGCTTTCGTGGTCTCGTGAATAGATAAAAATAAAATATTTCGTTCTTTTTTCGAATTAATGTTAGAAAGGGTGAAAGTCGGAGGGAGGCAATGAAGGAGTCGTATGTGCTGTGGATCCAATTTTACAAGTTATGACGGATAGGAGGGAGGATTAACCCGTTCGGACGTCAAGCTGTCGTAGCCGTATTTTTTGGCTAGTGCGGGTACAGAGGGAGACAAGCTTCAAGCCGTCTCTCCTTATAGGTGACTTAGATTAATAGTGGAAGTAGGCCGTTGGCGGCGCAGTAGGAGGTCGGTAGCTATGTCTCCGTTGACTCGGCGGTGGGGCAAGTGGATTCACAACCGGACCCGGTGTTCTCCGGTCCATAGGAGGTGGGGGTGTCCTTCTCGCAAGAGGATTGCGTTCCCGTTCTCTTTCAGGGAAGCTATCTCCTGCCACCGTAGCCGTCGACGTTCCTCGTCTGTTCGCCTTCCGTGATCCTTGCAAGGCACTTAAGGGAGGGTCTTTGACTGCAGGTTCGTCATCGGGTGGGAGTGTTAACTCCACCAAGCTGAAGAAGTATTCTAACACTTCTGGATACCGCTGAACACTGGATTGCCAATCCTCGTCGATTCCTCGTTTCAGAGTCGCTTGAGCGGCGGCAATCTCGTTCGGATGCGGTGGGGCGTGATAGTAATGGTAGGCGTGAGCTGATAGTCGTTCGAGGTGGGATGTGTGTGCGGCCTTGCGTCTCTCGGTGAGCAGCCGGAAATATTCAAGTATGTAGTCTTGAGCATGTGCTCGAACCCATGAACTGGCCGAGGTTTAGTAGATTGTCATACAAGTCAAACGAAGCAAGCGAGGATGGTACAAAAGGTCTTACCGTATGTCGTTATACACTGACTGCATCATACGGGCCTCTGCTTGCTCGACGGCAATCTCGAGGCCCTTAGCCTCGCAGTCGCAGGCGAGGCTAGCAGGAGCATGGCAAATAGCACAATCCGGATCCATTCTGATGATGGACTTGCGGGGTTTATGTTCCCTGGTATACATCTTAGCGGCGTGAAGCCGGAGGAGGAGGGCAGGAGAGCCGGGATGTGGGAAATAGTGAACATGGGCGGAGGTAAGGAGTTAAGGGGGTATAGATGGCGTAGATGGGCAATATTGTACAACGCTTATTCACTTGATGACCCGGGTAGGGTCCATGGCAAAGGGGCGGAAGGGTAGAAGAGAGGAAGAAGGAAAGAAAAAGGACAGGACCAGGGCGAAGCACGGAAGAGTGACTGACCTGTATTATGAACAATAGCGAGGAAACAACACAGCAAAGCAGGCTCGACAACGGGCAGAGTCGCAGCAGACAACTGACAACGTGGGAGCAGGAGGGGGAATTGGTGTAAAGCAAAGAAGCAGCAAGTTCAATGGCTGCTTAGCAAGTTGGCTTGCAGGGAAGCTCGTGGCTGACCGCCCTGTCGAATGCCGTGATAGTCAATTGAGGGCAGCAAATAAGGAGTTAGGTTCTGGTTAGTCTAGTTTTGCGATGCCGATGCCACCGATGACCCCGATATCTGGGTTTGCACGATAGTAACCGGCTTGTAGGCTTGTCTATGCTTGCCTATGCTGGTCTGTATGTAGGTATGTATGGAGCGTGGGGAACGCGGAGAGTGCGAGAGAAATTGTGAGAAACGCGCGATGGGAGAGGACAGGAGGAACAGATTCAAGTGGATCAGCATACAACGCCTCTCGCCCTAACGCGGAAAAGTACACTAGGTAGTAAGTAGGAGGTAGGTAGGCAGGTTAAAAAGGTATAGTATGTATGAAGTTAAGAGGCTGGCAAGGTGCATCAAAGGTGCAGCAAGATAGCAGAAGTGGCGCGGCGGCAGTAGCAGCAAGCAGCGGGCGAGCCCACAAAAAGACCAATTGCTGACGGGAGAGGAAGATAGACGGACGCAGACTTGCAGAACTTGAGAAGGTTACAAAGTGCCAATGCCCAGCGGAGCCCAAAGGGTTTGAGCTTAGCGAGCGAGGAAGCTTGTGAGAACGAGAGAGGGGAAAAGAATTATGTCCACGTTTGGCCACAACGAGGAAATTCGGCTGTCGTGGCTCGAATGGGCGGCAGGATTACTAGTAGCATGCAGTGTGCATTGGGAGTAACCCAATCGAGCGTTTGCATAATCCGGCCGGGTCTGGTGTTGCAACAATTTCAACCAGTAATCGTAAACGAGACGGGACGTTGGGGAGGAATATATGTACCGTAATGTACGTAGGTATATATATGTGTATGCGGGCGTTATGTATGTTGTTGATTTATTGTATGAATTGATAAGTACCCTAGGTATCTAGGTATGAATGAATATGTGGATGAGATAATATGCTATGCGTATGTTCTTCTTCACACATGAAGGGAAGAGAGAGAAAAAAAAGAAGACGCTAGGGATTAGGCGTGGACGATCATGAGATGATAAAGGAATCAACACTGAGACACACCTACATCTAACAACACATATATGTAAGCTCGGAGATAAAAAAAAAAATTCACTAGAAAATAAACATTGAACAATAAATAATATGGATCCGAGAGGAGACAGAGGAGTAGCAGATGAGGCGGCTGCTTCAAATGCTAGCTTGTTGCCATCGCTTGTTTGGATCGTACTTCTTGATCGGCTCTAACGTGGCCAGCGTTCGTCGAAGCCAATCCTGTACGAAAAAGGGAGAGGGGTGGGATCCGCTCTAAACCTCGAATACTTCTTGAGGCTCCGAGACGTTGAAATCAATGCCAAGCCCGCATCTCGCAAGGGCCTAGGATGTCTTGGTAGTGCAACAGATGTAGTGTAGAAATTGTATGTACTTCTGTATTCCATCTGTGCAGGCGTCCTTGTTGGTGACCCCTCCCCTCGTACGAGCAGATGTGAATGTACGTACATACGCTCGGTACGGTATATAGAATTTGTATGTATGGGTTGCTCACCGCCTTCTCGTTTCTTCGCGAGACCGCCTTTCGGTCGCGTCCTGCGGCTCCTGAGACTTCGTAAAAAAAGCGGTGCATTGGCGGCTACAAACCCAGTAGAGAGACCTTGTCTAATACCTCACCGGCGGTTGATCAGACAATAAAAGGAACTCATCGGCGTGGCTACATGTGTTCGAGCCAACTTATATATATATATATATACATCGATTGGATGCGTTTTTATTTTGACAGATAGATGGATCGTGTAAAATAAATTTTTTTTTTTTCCTCCACTTATGTTGTGTGCGGTTGTTGTGTCGTGTGAGATTTGGGTCCGTCCTCCCGCCCCCCTGCCTATTACGGAAAAGATGTCCCGATACTCATGTGACTTTCCATCCTCTTCTTTCCCCCCCTTTAGCCGAAGCCGGCATCCGGCATGTGAAGCTAAAGAAGGAACCTTGTACTTGTTACTGACAGGGGTAGCTTTGACCTGAGCTTATCTTATCGACATCCCTGGCCATTTTCTATCTTATCGGATCGAAAATTCCCTCCAACTCCATCATCCAACCGATTGAAGGCGCAATTGATGAGAAAATGAGTCCAGTATAGGCCAATTGATATTCAAAATGCCTCCTAGGTGTTCTCCAGGCTCGGGACTGTTCCTTCCGTTCCTATACCCCTCATTTTTCCGATCTACCCCACGTGCAATCGGCCGGGCTGGAATCACGGTGACCCGACACTCGTCCACCTCTTCGGCCCCAGACCCAACCACGAGGACCAACCCCTCCACATCCAGCTCCTCACTCCCCCATTCGCGTCTCAACCCCGCCCCCGATGACTACGCAATCTCCACATTCGCCGATAAGGCACGGATGACCGTGCATGCGGGCGGCGGTGGCCATGGCTGCATTTCTTTCCTACGGGAAGCGTACCTAGCCGACGGACCAGCGAACGGAGGTGATGGTGGGCATGGTGGCAACGTATACGTACAAGCTGTACGAGGCGAAACCTCTCTGCACAAACTAGCCCGCCGACGAATATTAAGAGCCGGTCGCGGCAAGGCCGGGCAAGGTAGTAGCCGTGGTGGTGCACGTGGCGACGACGTTGTGATACAAGTACCCGTCGGTACGGTGGTACGCGAGTTAGGCCGAATGGATCCAGTAATAGGGGAAAGAGCAAGATTTCTCGAGGCGAGAGCAAAAGAGAGGGAGTATGAGAGATTAGTTAAAGAAAGAGAGCTTGAAGCCGAGGCCAGTGTTGAAGACGTAGAAGAAGAAAGGGAAAGAGGAGAAGCTATGATCCAATCGGACCTTCCCGAGCCCCCTCCCCATCCAAACCAGCACAAATTCTTGCTGTACCCAGGTATAACGAATAATGACCGACGAACCTTAACCTTCCCGCGCCTTCCCCTACGCGAACGTTTATATGTGCAACCGGAAGCTCCGATCCACCTAGACCTCTCCGAACCTACTTTGCGCCCAATACTCATAGCAGCCGGTGGTATAGGCGGTCTCGGAAACCCACACTTCGTATCCAAAGATCGACCACGTCCCCTCTTCGCCACGAAAGGCGAAGCCGCAGTGAGTCTGCAACTCGAACTCGAGCTCAAACTCCTCGCAGACGTCGGGCTAGTCGGACTCCCAAACGCAGGAAAAAGCACACTTCTCCGCGCATTAACCAACAGTCGCGCCCGCGTCGGCAACTGGGCCTTCACAACTCTCCAACCCAACATCGGAACCGTGGTGCTGGATAACCACAAAGGCCGTCCAATCCCTGTCCCCAAACCTTCTCGTTCTGCTCCGCAACACGCGGTGATCCATGATGCGACGTACGGCTCTGTAGTTTTATCCCGGAATACGGATATGAATACGGGTGTAGGAGGCACTGACTACGAAGCTAGACAACGCTTCACAGTCGCCGACATCCCGGGACTTATCGAAGGCGCGCACCTCGACCGGGGATTAGGGATTGAGTTCCTGCGACACGTCGAGCGCGCCGGCGTACTCGCTTTCGTCGTCGATTTAGGCGCTGGTGATGCTGTAGCTGCGTTAAAGGCGTTGTGGGCTGAAGTCGGATTATATGCGCGCATGCGCGAAGAAGAGGAGCAGGAGCGTGAAGTCGGAAGTCGGATCGATTGGGAAGGCGACGGGAGCAATACCGGTGGGTTTGGGGGGCAGCAAATGATAGTCGCCCATTTAGTTGGTCAACCCGTTGACAAAAACGAAGGAGGTTTGTATATCGCAGCGAAGCCGTGGTTTGTGATTGCGACGAAAGGCGATTTGCCCGGAACTGAGGATAATTACGCTCAATTGAAGGAGTATCTAGATGCTGTTACACAAGGGCGGGAACCGCATCCAAGCGGGGTTGAAAACGCGTGGGTCGAGGACTGCGCTGCGATACCCGTAAGCGCTATTAATGGACATGGCGTGGAAAGGATTATACATTGGACTGTAGGACTTTTAGACGGGGGGCTATAGGACCCAAAGTGTCCTCAAAGGGAGCTTTGTTCTTGTATACTACCTATATACCTAGGTGCCTATATTGTACATAATGCACTGACCTCTAAAAGCAATCGACGATGCAAACCCCTTCCTCTTTTTTCGAAGTTATCTATTTTTATAACCTTTTTCATAACGCATTCGTCATCTCACGACTCTACCAAAAGAAGCCGGAGTTCGGACATAATATAGAATATGTCTGCTTGGCTAAGGAGTTTCGGAGTTTCGTCGACAGGTAGCGAGCTATCCTAATTAGCGGTCGTTTCTGGTTCGACTTCCGCACCACCCATATTTACATCTCCATTACCAGCATGTTCAGATGTTCGATTCTCCCCATTAGTTTCATCAATGGTGGCAGCATCATCTAATACCTCATCCTTGGTCTCAGCATCCGCAGCGGCGGCCTCGGCTTCCTGTTTCGCTGACTCCTTTAACGTCCTGTTAATGACTGGCGAGGTGTCATTGAAGACACGAAGAAGCATCGCAGCACGATCCTCCTTTGGTAGCATAAGGTTTAGTGAATGGAAGCTCTTCCACAACGGGAGCACCATGCGTTCGGAGAAATCCGGGTCGCTTCCATCCGGCTCAACGACAAGGAGACAACAACCCATGCCAATCTCCCTAGCTCGCTCACCGATTTCGTTGAGCTTCTTCCAGTCATCGTCGATGAACTTGGGGAACATCTCCTTTAGGAGTTTGTGGAAGGTCTCCTTATTAGTCAATCGGACGACTCGTTCCGGACCGACGTATCCCTCAATGATAGGCATGCCTTCTGATTGTATTCGCCACCTGCAAACCTCGGCCGACGGTGCATCCTGCTTCATAAACATCTTAACGCCTCCGTGCACGAACTTGACACCACGGCCCTCATTCTCGACAAGAATGTCTCTAAGGAGAGCACTTGTATAGTAGATAGCTTTGGCCGGTTCGCCTGTAGCGTTTCGTACCATGAAACGGTCTGCAGGAAAGCGAGATGAGATTTTGTAGAATTTTTGTATGTCTTGGATAACAGGGTGATCGGGTGATAGATATTTGAAGGGTTCTTCATAGTTGCCGTCCGATTGCTTAACTCGTCGATCAGGCTGAGCATTATTCTTAGGTTTAGGTTCGGCTTCCGGATTGACTTCCACTACCTCAGGCTCTTGTGGTGCTTGCTCGGTTTCAGTGGTAACTTCGGGTTGGGTCTCGGGCCTTTGGCTGGGTGGGGTTGCGGTCCTCTGCTTCTTGACGTCTGATTTACTCTCTGCCTCCTCGTCATCTAAGGTCCTCTTGGCTCCTACGGTCGGAAGGACATCAGTTGGCTCACCCAACGCGGCTTTCTCCTCCTCAATCTCTATTTTAGCCTCTACCTCCGCCTTGTCGGCACCGTTTGAGTTAACAACAGTAGTAGTAGAAGCTTGAGTTTTCGCCTCTGGCTTGGCCTTAAACTCGTCCTTTTTCTCAAGTACGGTAATGAAAAATCCGCCCGTATCTTGCTGGTGAGCGTAGACTCGCATGCATCGATCCAAGGGTAGCGCGGAACAATCGTTAGTATCCGGTCTGGCAAACATTGTTTCTGAGACCTTCCCGGGCATTTGTCCTTCGTTCGTCAGAGCAAATTGCTGGACTTCTCCCCAACTACTCCAAATACGGCCAGATTTGTCCATAATCTGCCATTGATGCATTCCGGGGCTTCGCTTCAATGACGAAAGTCGATCCTTGCAGTCGATAATTCCAATCTTGTTAGGTCCGCCACATCGTTCAATTGCGGATACGACGACTGCTTCGTTTTCAACGGGGTTCATACTGCAAGTCGAGTAGACAACCCTGCCACCGACCTTCAGCATTTGAAGGGCACGAACCAAAATACGCACTTGAGTAATGTGTAGTCCTAGCGCATTTCCAGCTTGCCAGTCTCTCCACAGGTTAACGTTCTTCCTCAGAGTTCCATCTCCCGAACAAGGTACGTCTGCAAGTATCCTGTCAAATCTCAGGTATTGACCCTTATCGGGGTTGTCCGGGTGTCGTGGTAGTTTGATAGCAGGGTAAAGAGTCGCATCGTGGTTTGTGACAAGCATATTCGGAGAAGAAAGTCGCTTGAGCTGGTGAACAAGCATGTGGCTTCTCTTGTAATCCGCATCGTTCGCAATAAGTAGACCAGTTGCGCGGCCGTCATCACCGGCATCTACCGAAAGGTCTACACCCTCTTCACCAGTCTCCTGCGACTTGGTCTCACCGAATGACTCCTTGAACTTGCGAATTCTAGCCTCTTCGCCAGTGTGAACCATCTCAAGCAATTGAGCGGCTTTGCTACCAGGAGCTGCGCACAAGTCCAGAACCTTCATTCCGGGCTCAAGGTCCATTAGCAGAGGCGGAATCATGCTAACGACCTCTTGTCTGCTAATGTTGCCGACGCTCGTCTCGGAAACTAAAAACTTCTGAAAGGCAGCGAATGGTGGGAACTTGCGAATGACGTGTTTCGGAGTGTTCATTGAGTATGCGAGTTGGTCAGGGTACCAAGGGACGGGCTCGGGAGGCTGTACAGGTTCGCCATCGTATCGCTCGATTTTAGTGATCTCGGGAACATATCTCGTTTCTAGAAGTCGCTTGACGGCGAGCGCATGGCCTTTTGAACCGCAGAAACGGAATGAATTAGGAAGTTCTCTCTTGAGCGCATCCCAGAATTGATCCCTCTCCGCCTCGTCAAAGGGCAGCGCAGTGTTGTAGAAATTTTCCAGGTTCTTGTTTTGCTTCACAATTTCGCCATACGCTCGATACGGCGCGGGACCATCCCCGCGATTGGATCCGCCTTTGCGGCCTCCCTGTTGCGAAAAAAATTAGAATTGATTATTTCATACATATACGTGTCGAATAATATCAATACTTACTCGAAACTTCTTTCGTCCCATTATCGGTATTCGGCGAAAACTGTCTAATTTGAGAACAGTCAAGCTGGGGCGCATCGAATGTTGAAAAGTTTAGAAAAAAAAAGTTCAAGCATCAGCAAGAAGTCGCAGAAGCTTTCTAGAGCGGAAACCCCACTAACTTTGCGTTGCCCCACCAAAGCTTTTAGCCCCTCGATTGCCGCATCACACTAAGGAGTACACGGTTACAAAGTTGTAACATACTGTAGGTACCTAGGTACATATTTATCACCTAGAGTCTTACACGCTTAGTGCTTAATTCTAACAATATTCCACAGCGCATCTCATATTATGATTATCGCAGAGGAAGATGTTGCTTTTTATCTACGTAGTGTAAAGAGTGTTGCAAGTACATGTACTTTAAGAAGGCTGTAGTGGCGTCCGGTCTTATCGAAGCCACGCCTTAATAAGGGAAATGATTGACTATGGTGTGTTCACACATAATGATTGGCTCGGCCAGAATAAGCTCGCATATGGTCCGTGCCCTAAAGTGAACGGACTCCGCCGAACCGTGTCGGCCTCCCTATCGAAATCGCCCGTGTATAGGACCCTTCCCTCCTTACTCTTCGATAATCTTCCCTGGCAAAAGTTAACAATTTCACAGTAATACGCGAAACCCATCAAGTTCACCTTCTACGTCAAGTCCCAGGAGATGGGACGATAACGAAGCAAACAGAATTTTTGGGAACTAAAAAGCCTGTGTTACCGATAACAATTGTGTTATTGGCGGTAGCCGGCGCAGGTACGGCAGCCGAAGGTTCAGCCGCAGTGGGAGCAGCTACGGCGGCACTATGTGAAGCTCTTGGGATAGTCGCAGCGGGTACAGTGGTAGCAGTCGCAGCGGCGGTAGTGGCAGGTACCGAGGGTGCAGGAGCAGGAACAGGTAGGGCGATGGTGGCAGGAGCAGCAGCAAGACTATTAGTGGAGGCGGTTCTGCCATCAAGCCCGGTAGTAGGCATTTGGACCGTCTTGACTGTTCTGTGCTGCGCAACGGGCAGCCCAAATAGGGTCAGTGTGCTTGTATAGACCTGCTTCCCGTGCGTCGTTGATGTCGACGAGGCTGTATGCGCCGACGGTTGATGTCCATTGCGACGAGTGCTAGAGCGACTAGGCCCAATACCATGTCGACTTCCGTCAGAACGTTTTGAAGGCATTGGTTTCTTTTCAAGTGACGAGGGCTCGGTATAATATTACGGCGGTTTCTTTTTATAATATTGCGACTTTTTCACGTGCGCAGAAAAAGGAAGGCAAGATCGAGAGGGAAACAAAGGAAGGAAGCAGCAATGTCCCAAGGTCATCTATATAAATATATACAAGCAAATCAGTGACCAACCCGACTCGAAGGCGTACAATAATGAATCCAACCAATAATTCTACGTAGGCGGTGTTGTCTTCATACATGGATGTCAAGTCATGTATGAGCTGATGCCTCTGACAAGTATCTAGTACCTAAGCGTATCTCTGTTTTGTTGTATAGTTGATAGTTCTCTACTCCATTCTTACACCCTTTAGGTATTACCAGTTATTAGGACCTCAGCGAGAAGTTCCTGAGCATGGTGATTTTTCTGGTATATTATTCATGTAGCAGCTAGTAATGGACAGCATAGCGATCAATTCAATTCCGATTAGTTTCTAAAGAATGTTTATTATTGGCGAAGTGGAGGGGAGAAACATGGAAGGGAAGAACACAGAGGGGAAAAACCTTATGCAGGAAGAACGTCAGAAATTTTCTCCCCCCCTCAAGGCCCGGCAGGAAGTTGGGCTGGACGTTCATGCAGCTTCGTGATTGGTCAAAAAGTACAGTATCTGTACTATATTTTATGTGACCTCGCACAGTGACATTTTTTGGCCACCCCTTTCGCACTCTCTCCGCCATTTCACCACTTCTAACTCGTTCTTCTTCGTAATCTTCCTAATGAGCCAGTGATTGATCCTCCTAACTTTACCGTACAACTAATACGGCTTTGCACTGTGCTTCACAGAGACATAATATTATATCACTAATATATCTCGCGAGTATTAGTAGTAGGCAGTCAACCTAATGTCTTTCTGCGCGCTTACGTTGACTAATAAGTAATGTCCTACTAGACGGATTGACAATTACCCAGGTACTCGGAGCAGCGTTACCGGTATCAATTATATCGATACAGCCGGTCAGTTAATTCTGTTCCTCGCAGGCCTAGGCGTACTAGAAAGGGTATCATTGTTAGCTCTTCCCAGCGCCTATAGCAAGCAAAGATATGAGATCGTTCCATTGGAATGCGGCAGATTTCGAAATGGTAATAATCAATTCATGTGCCGCTTGAGCAGACCTACTTGGATTAGAACACTGTGGGAGGAGAGATGATCTAGTTAATGATAACTGCATGGGCACGATTGCTTTAAAGTCAGGTTAGAGCTATTGTATGGTATAGTTCATATATTACCCCTTATCACGCGCCATTCCATCTGAAACGGGTCATGGAGGACGCAGATCTCATTATCGTCCTTAGCATTTCCCTAACGATCTATATCTTTACGGTATGTACCGTAGCTCTCAGTTTATCGTCCTCTTGCGGTGGCCTAAGATCCGTTTCAGAACCCACCTGAAGGCAAACACTAATACAATCTCAACCACCCAACCAAAAGCATCCCTTCCCCAGATCGACTAAATCAAGCTGAGCCCTTCAGCACCTTCAAAGCCTTCTCGAAATTTTTCTTGTCGTTGCCTAACCTCTCTCTCTGCGCCTTGACCGGGGCATCTTCGGCAGCAATCATTTCGAGTTGGTCCTCGTTAAGATTTAGTACCATTTGCGTGCTGAAGATTTTGAGTGGGCTGTGTTCTCCTTGCAGGAGGAAATAATTGACGGCCTGTTGACAAACGACGTCGACGAAACGTTTACGAGAGACTTTGTAGTAGCTCTTAAGCACGCTGTTTTAATACGGGTTAGTGATGATATATTGGGGCTTGATGCATTAGGCGTATGCTGAGACACCTGATTGGAATTCCCAATTCGTAGCAGAAGCCAAAAAGGAGGGGAGGGATTGTCAACAGTACTTACTCATGCATGTACTCTCGAACGTGGTCCGAATTCGCCATGTTAAACGAAAGATTGTTGAGCTTAGCCCGGCTCAAGAAAATACCCGACTCCTGCTTCAAGACGTTACCCTCACCATCCGTTGAGGCCAATTCCCTCTCTTCCCCAAGTTTTGTCATGGTTTCTACCAAGCGGCTACTCTGAGACTTCTGGAGATTGTCGCTGAAGTAGTGGTTCAGTGTAAGCGGGATACCTTCACGTTCGATGTCGAGCAATAGCCGTACGTGGTCCATAGCCTTGCGATATGAGGCCTGAAGCTCTTCGAGCAGGTACCCATTCCAGAGCTCATCGCGTACGCGAGTGTCAGGGCAAATTTCAACTACGATCTCGGAAATGAAATGGTGGATTGCGAGAATTACGTCCTTCATATAAGACAAGGTTATAGGCTCCCATTTCTTTGACTGCTCCTTGAACATGGTCGACAGGAGAGCTCCGCCAAACTAAACCAGCAAAAGTTAGTCAATAGGAGCCTCACAGAGACAATAAGTTGCGACGTACCGTTCCGAGCTCCTGACCACGACTAGCTCTGTAGACCTTCTCGATGTACTCCATGATGCCTTCTTTACGAGACTCCGGTGCTGTTATCTCTGGGATGTCAAAAAGTCCTTCCAACTCATCATCATTATCAGAATCGAATTCGGATATGTTCAGGTCCTCTGGCTCTGCCGCGACATCCCTATCTTCAGTGTCACCCTCCAGGTTAGATAGAAAAGGCCTAGTGTGGCCACACTTGAACATGTCATTCGAGTACTTCTCGTTGGCCTCAACGACGCGGGTGATGAGTCTGAGGTCGTGTCGCTCGTCGAATATCCTATTTCCGGTGTAGTAGGCATTGAGCGCATCTCGAGCGATTGTCTGGAAGGCTTCGCTGATCTTGTTGAGATAAGCCCTCTGCGTGTGCTCGTTGTTTCTCGCTGCGCCCATCCCATCGAGCCTGTTTCTCAGCCACACAACTTCCTTCGCAACCTCCGCCTTCAGTTTAGGGAATTCCCTTTTAATTAGATCTACAAGGAGATCACGAACGCGTTTACTAAGATTGTCTATGCCAGCCCTGCCGGTACTCTTGAGAATAGACCAGGGGGCCTGCGCGAAGAATCTGCGCTCCGCTTCTTTTCCCTGCTCTAGGGTCATGTCTCCGTCGTCCGGTCCGCGGTTCTTCACAATGTAGTAACCTAGATCTAAGTCGCTTCTCGTACCGGTGACATGATCGATGGCAATCTGTTGCGTTGTACGCTCGATAGCTAAGTCAGGCTTCGTGAGAACCGCCATTGTTCTCTGCATTGAGGCATCTGCCTCTTTCGCGAGATTCAAAATCTCTTGTGTAGCGGGATCGACGTTACTGGGCATGATTGCCAGAATTCTACAGAGAGGATTTACGTCAGACTGCATATCTGTCGTTATACCAGCTTTCACTTACATGGTTCTGGTGTCCTTCACTGTGACTTCATGTTAGCCAACCATAACATATCAAAACTATGTAAGGAGCGAGGGGAACGTACTGTATTTCTTCACCATGGCTCTGACGAGCTCAATGTCAGCGTCTGTCGTAACACCTGGAGGGTTCAATGTTAATAAACTATTCCTAGCTGCCATATAGATTTATAGTTGGATCCTACCCTCTGTCTTCTTTCGAAAGATGCCTGGCACATCGATAACAGTGAAGTGTTGCTCCTAGAGTATACAGTCAGCGACTCATATCCTGTCGTGCACTTTGGATTATAAAAAGGACCTACATTCGGGCCAAGCTTTTCAATCTTGAGAATATGTTCGCTGAAGGTGGGAAGTGTCGACAACTCGGGTGACTTAGACTTAGCTGAGGTTCTAATTCCCATCGCCTCGTTCGCCTGTTGAAATTTGTTAGCGGAGGGACTCGCACATGCAATGTCGATCTTTCGAGGCAACTAACCTCCTTGAACACCTGGGCGAGGCTTTCCGGTGCCATCTCTTTCAGGGTGCGGTGGAACTTCCTAACACGTTCCTGCTCGATAGGCGCCGCGTCTGGATAGGGAATGATAGAAACGTCGATGGATTCTTCATTTTCGCGACGACATGTAATCTGGGTTGCGTAACGCGTGCAAAGCTCGGCATCGCGAGGGAAGGCGAAACCTGTCAGACCTTCGAGTACTGAACTCTTACCAGAAGACTGGTCTCCGACGACAACGAGCTGGTATCCGTCAGCGATCCACAACAAGAGGAAAACATGGGAATATAAATTACATACCTGAGGTAAGGCAACCTTGGTGCCAATGAGCTCACGTAATTTGTCAACTTTGGTCAAGATTGAAAGATTACCAGAGTTTGAATGTTCCGTAGATGCGGAACTGCGCGCTAAGCTACCCATCTTGCCGATTTTTGTCATCAAGTTAATAGGGTAGGGTAAAGTATTTTATGGTGTTGATGGTTGCTGGATTTTTAAAGAGAAGGGTTGAAGTGGTAGGCAGAAGGTGCGCGGCTGGTGAATGAACGTCTAAACAAATAGAATAAACGAATGGAATCTTATGGATTATTTAAATACCTAACAGGTATGTATTGAGCAAACCAATACTTAAAATACGCGGGTCTCTAAACGCGGTTACCTAGGATTGGCCATCGTAATGCGTGCTGTTAACCTGCAAACGCAGTGGTTCGGCCACCTTGACATCGACAACCTAATGGCGGGTAGTTGCCGTACTAACACGGGACAGGCCCGGTTAACCGCCGCACTGCAGGCCTGAAAGTCCTTGTCTCATTGCATAGCCTGTCTTTTGCGATGTGATAGGCAAGGCATTTTCTTGAATGAGGCCTATCTCGCCTAGAGATCCAGAGGACTCCGATGAACATCGTGGAAATACATCGAGGCTCTGCCAATGTATGCATGAATTTGCGACCGGACTCACGACCAGGAGGTGTTCGTTGCCGCCGGACAGGTGCCAAGCCACGTACCAAACAGAACCAACGGAAAGTGACATGTCATTATATGAAATCCTTCTAGTTTTTCAACTTCGGCATTTTTATTTGGGTATGTAAGCTCTAGGTATGGAAATGCAAGTTGCTTTTTACGGCTGAGAACCTTAGGTGTTTCAGACCCCCTCGGCCCCTCCTACCTCACTGTGAGGATCGTAGATGCCACTGCATAACTTAGTTGTTCCTTCTGTTGAATATTAACTTCGTATGAAGGTAACAGTTTCATTAATGGAATTAGATTACAATTCGCTTGAATATACAGAGCATTAGGCAGCATAATTTATTATGAAAACAATGTAGGCTGGACGCACGGCAAGAACAATACAAGATCAAGTGCTTTGATCCACGTCGCGGTGTATTTTAACTCCGGGGCTGGCTTGTGTCACTCTCGGATATTGCACTTGAGGGGCCACGTGATACAAGACACAAAACGAATTCGCAATTGCGAATGAATGGCATAAGTGGCTTCGGTCGAACAGGCAGCACTCGAGATGGCGTACTTAAATGGCGGCGGGGATGCTGTAGCTTGGAGAAGGAAAAATGCCACCCTTTTCTAATAGGCCGCTTCACGATAGATAAACTTATAACAAAGACTGGTTTTAGATGCTTAAGTTGAACCATCATATGCACACATGATGTATCATTATCCGTTGATTCGAGAGCTTAGATACCTAGCTAGTTAGTTCCAATTCCTCGATGACCAAAACCGTGAGCTCCTCCATATCCGTACAATATACCTAGGTACATTTTATCCGTACCTATATTCCGACTTTAGAGCGAAAATGGTTTATCCACCCACGCATTGAGAAAAATTAGAGACCCTTTTCTCGTGGTCCAGTAACCCTCTCGAAAGTATCCAGCTCCATAGTCAAGGTATGTCTACCCTGAGTCTTACTCCGGAGCTGGGTATCGTAATGAAGCATCTCCACGAACGGCACGCGAGCTACAATCTCGAGCATCCGTAGACGACCCTTCCGCGTCTCGTGAAGTGTTGTCGTCTGGAACTCGTAAGGGTCGGGCGGAGCGTAGATTTCGGCGATGTCGACGCCTCCGCTATCTTGGGCTTCGTTCTCCTGCGTGTCCTTTATTTCAAGGACGTGGCCCCCGCGGGCGGCGTGCAAGTCATGTCGAACTTCACCTGCCGATGCTTCGGGACAGACAATAGTTACTCTCATGACGGGCTCGAGAATACCGATTATTCCTTGCTGGTGAGCACCTTTGAGAGCGGCTCTTGCCGCTTTATTTGCAGCGCCGATTAAATGTGCGCTAGAGGCTGGGCCGAAAAAGTCGCTTGTAGTATCATAAGTAATAGTGACAAGACACTGGTTTAGCGGGGAATTACGACGAGGACCTCTCGCGAGTGCTGATATAACGCCGTTCGTAAGGTGTCGTCTCGTACCTTCTATATCAATTGCGTCGCCCCCTCCTTGAAACACAACTCGAATGATATTTCCGTCCCGCTCGAGGTAGGATCCTGATAAAGTATCGCGATTATAATCTTTAAGGGGTTCGATAACCACGGAACAAGCCGCTTTCCCGCCTTTGCCTGCTACCACCCCATCAAAAACTGCACGATGGGGGTCTGTCGCTGTAGTCAAGCATTCCTTGTAGTCAACTGATATTGCACCCCAATATGCTTCGGCCTTGTAATGGTTTTCAAGGCGATCGCGGGCGACTTCTAAATGGAGTGTACCCATACCGGATAATGTATATTGCTCTGTTTTCGCGTCTTGAGACCACCGTAAACTAGGATCCTCCCTACATAGGTTCTCCAGCGATGCTTCAAGAAGTTTTGCACCAGTTGGAGAGTACGCATCCAGAACAATAAAGGCTACAGCAGGTGGTATTTCTGGTGGTCTTGCTTGTATAGTCGCAAGTTCTGATTGTGGTGCCTTGTTGGAGCCAAAAGTTAGCAAAGTGTCCCCAGTCCTTGCACCCTTAAGGCCTGTCATTGCCCCTATTTGTCCTGGAGATAGATGTGGTATCTCAATGGTTTGGGCAGCCGATATTTGCATCATGTTAAGAGGCCTTTCGAAATCTTGTGAATTGGCGTTCCACATGGGAGTATTTTTCTTGAGGAGCCCATAATAAACCCGGACGAACGCGAGCATCCCTCGACGGGGGTCATTGACTACCTTGAAGACGGAAGCCAACGACTCAATTTTTGATTTTTTAGTTGCTGGTGCTTCGAGGACCTTGCTAAGAGGCTGTCGCTCTTTTCCAACTCTAACTTCGAGTTCGGGACGATCTGCGGGGCTAGGCAAATAATCCTTGACTGCGTCAAGTAAAGCAGCAACACCAATATCTCTCAAGCTAGACCCAGCGAACACAGGTATTAACGATCCATCGCCCTCATTAATGACGCGGCGAATGCTTTTTTTTAAAACCTCGTCGGGGAGATCTTTCCCATGCGCCGTCCACAATTCCAAAAGCTCATCGTCTTTTTCGCAGAGAAGCTCGATCGACTTTTCTCGTGCACGCTCAATCTCCTCTTTGATGGTTCCCTCGGGTATCTTTTTCAAGAGTTCCTCGGGAGCATCTTTCGTTCCTACCCAACTCACAACAGAGCGACTGACAACATCGACTACGCCCTTTATTGTTTCCCCACTCCACCAAGGTATTTGGCAAACTAAAGGCATTCCGTTTAATTTCAAGCCAATATCCTGTACGGACTTTTTGAAGGAAGCGCCATCGCGATCAAGTTTGTTAACAAAAATGATTCGTGGTACTTTAAATTCCTGAGCAGAAGCCCAAACTCTCTCAGTATGGGCCTCGACACCTTCGACGCCATCAATCACACAGACAGCTCCATCGAGCACGGGCATGCAACGCTCAACTTCAAATCTGAAGTCTACATGACCAGGTGTATCAATCAAATTAATGATATGTTGTTGAGCACCGGATTGTAAACGTTCCTTTAAGGGCCAATGAAAGGTAATTGCAGCCGATTGGATTGTAATTCCCCTTTGCCTCTCCATAGGCAAGAAATCGGTAACAGTATCTCCATGATCAACGTCTACGAGCGCATCAGTCTATTCGTCTATTTCTCTCTTCGCTGCGTAGAAAGGGCATAATAACTCACTTCCTGCATGCTTCAATGCACCGCAGTTATAGAGCATCTGCTCCGTAGTAGTTGTTTTCCCCTGAACATATGTAAGTATAGTGATCTATAAAACCACGACTGCATTTTTAGTGTAAGAAACGTACTGCATCGACATGGGCAATAATACCTATGTTCCGGACATATTTAATCCCAGCATCTTGACTGGTAGGAGCATGGCTCGAAATCCGCCTAGTACTAAGCGGTGTGGTCCCACAACATCTCAGATATAAGGATGGAGATGGGAATCTGACCAACCGAGGATACCTCAGGGGAGCTCGACACGTGAGTGAAAATAAGCTCATACCCGCGGACTACGAACGAGTATAGCTAGAACAAAAGAATGACCGTTTCATTACTAATCTCCCCTCAACTAAGTCTAAAGTCGGAATTTTTAGTTGTTCAAGTTTAGCTTGAGTAATTGACTTTTCGGTTGGAGAATTTAAAAGCTTTTGCAATAGTCTCGCGCTGTGTAACCTGAAGATAGACCCCTCCATGTGAATATGCACAGGCCACCAACATGCATAAAAGCAGATTTATGTACTTTGTACACGGCATAAGCTGGAGGATAGTGCACGGACCAACCATGTACTTGTAGGTAACCGAATAATTGTAACTGCAGGATTCAATTGTTCCCCACTGATGATGATGCTGAATTTCAGTGCAGCTTGCGAAGGTTGCCTATCAATCTCCGACCTCACCTTCCTTAGTTGATTGCTGGTTCTCAACTAACTCTTTAGCATTCCTCTAAAATTGTTAGGGATCGCAATCGTTCCCTAAATTTCCAACGTTTACAACCGAGCATTGGTTACTAGCGGGTGTGCTTTCATGGAACGCAACAACCCCTAATGGTCTATCCCCATCCTACCGCTCAACCACCAACACTTACCCAAACACAAACATATTCCCCGGACAACCAACTACCACATCTGAAACACAATGGACTACCGCTCCTCAATAGCCGACGACGAGCACCCAGCGGGCGCTTCGCCCTGGGGCTCCTCGCCATCAGCCTCGCCGCGCCGCAACGAATCCACCTTCAGCAGCGCTCCAGGCAACGACCAAGCACCCACATCGTACCAATACAGCGTGCAAGACCCAAGCAACGGTTTCGCGAACGAGGATCCAGGCGTCAATGCCTTCCGCCGGCCCGGCACAGCCAGCAGCACGGCCTCGACATCCGCCTACGATCCATCGGAGCAATCCGTCGCTCCCTCGCAGGAACAATCCGACGCCGGCGCCGAGCCGCAGCAACCGGGTACGCCGACACGACAAGGGAGACCCGCGGGCGAGGGACCGTCGCCGGGGCAAGAACAGCAGCAGCCGCAGCGACTGAGGGGTCCTCAGTATAAATTGCAGGCAAAGATCACGGGGCTAGAGCGGACGGGTCGTAAAGATCCTATATTGAGATTTGATGTACACGTGAGTTATGATCCTGTCTCTAAACAACACATGCGCTATGTGGTTTTCATTGTGATTGCTAAAGAATATGTCTAGACAAATATACCCAAATTCCGAACTACCCAGTTCCGCGACGTTCGCCGTTTACATTCCGAGTTCGTCAAGCTAGCCGAACACCTGATATCCGCCAACCCCGAAGCCTTGGTTCCCGCTGTACCGTCTTCAGTAACATCCGCTGGTGCTGGAACCGATGAGGACGAGACGAGAGTCAAAGCGCTTTTGCAGAGATGGTTTAACTACGTTTGCAGCAATGAGGTTCTCATGAGAGACGACGAAATGGTTCTATTCGTTGAGAGCGACTTTGGATATAGTCCTATGGTTAAGAAGAAGCAACCGGCTACGGGTGTACGAAGGAAGTTGTTGAAGCAATTCGCACCGCCGCCTGACGATACACCCGAGCTGGCAGACGCACGACCTATAGTGAAACTATTTTACCTAGGTTCAATGGACGCAGGGCACAAAGTCGACCGGCTCGTCAAGTCACGCAGAGGTATATTGCCTCTAATCTACTCTTACAAAGATTACCAATAGCTAACAAAGCAAATAGGTTTGGGATTAGCAGAGTCCGATTTCGGGGTCAAACTAGGCGCAATGAACATTCAAGAGCCGCATCAAGGCCTAGCAAGCGCATACCGGAAGCTCGGCAAGGTTGTACAAACCGTGGGTGATTATCATGCAGCTCAGGCTACAGCCGAGGCGACGACTCTTGGCGATCCGTTCCAATATCACTCGCAGGATGCATTCATTGTCAAGGAAACTCTAACGAATCGGCAACTTCTGATCCGCGAGTTCTTACAAGCTCAAGAGAGTACACGGACCAAGCTCAACGCGGCGGATAGACTACGAGCAAATTCTACCGTACGACGCGAAAAGGTCGACGAGGCGATCGCTGCTCTAGATGAAGCGCGAAACTCCGAGTTGGAATTGATGCAGAAGACCTCCAGAGTAACACAAAACTTGGTACAGGAGCGTCGCAAATGGTTCGCACGAACTGCCGCGGATCTACGTCTAAGCATCCGAGAGTTCGTCACTCGCGAGATAGAAGCTGAGCGACGTACCCTCGCATTGCTGGAGAGTGTTCGGCCCGATATTAGAGCCATTGATGCCTCCGGCGGTCTAAGCAGATTAGGACGTGAAGCTCATCCGGCAACCAGGCGCGCAAGCCTAGCAGCAAGCCAGGGACCCAAGGGCGACGCCTGGAGCGGCGTCCCGCGGCGCACGGACAGGAGCATGTCAGGTAGTTTCATGTCTAACGTTGCCGAGGACGAGGAAAGTGAGAATGCGCAGCGCCCGGGATCCAGATCGCTCAGCGGCATTGGGATCAGTACGGGATTGCCCGGTCTTACCGAGGAAGATGACGAGGACCGCGTGGATGCTAGAAACGCTGCGAGTCGATTGGCGACGAGCACGTTTTGAAAAAAGAAAAAGGTGGACGGTGGGCGGTTGAACCAACCTATTGGGGGAATGGGTCTAATAAGAGCCTGAATTCCTCACCGCAACGAAAGGAAGCAAGCTTGTCGTATACCTAGCATTGTTGTTGTACGTACGTGGGTCATTTTCTTCTTCCACAAACCTTGATCCCAGTTCCCGGTATTTTTGTCGGCGTCAATTCAAAGCATAGCTTGTTCTGTTTCTTCCCGATGCTCCCTTGCCCGTTGATACCTCGGCCGTGATTTTTTTGGTGATTCTCCTAGATCAGAACACGTAGGAAGGTAGCTATGCAGCGAAGGGATGCAAAACCTTGCGAACTACATATGTAGCTAGCTTGCTTTTGCTGTGGTATCCCCGAAAACGGGATTATCCTCTGAACACGACTGCATGTAAATCTTGCTCGGCTACATACGTATATGTACTGTTGTCAATACAACGGTAGTTATACCTACGTAGCGCCCAGTCGCACTACTGTAGTGTAGCAATGCAAGATATGGGCGTACAGTAGCCTACTACGACTACCACTGCTCCTTAGGGTCCTACTACACCCTACCTAGATACGCATGCATGTGTCTATGCATGAAGGTAGGTTCATCAAACCTCGTCAGAGCCCGTTCGATGCTAGGCGCCGTTGTTTCCTCTATAGTGGTTGCGCATCTCGCATTTTGGGGTGGTAGCAGATAATTTGAACTGTTATGGTGGCAAATGTTCCCCCAAGGCTTCACCACCGATCACAATCGGTACATAGGTGAATGGGGTTATATATCGGCGCAGTAGACACTTCTTTTCGGTTCTCCTCCTAGTATAAAATAAATCTATGGCGTCATGAGGTAACTCCCTCAGGAAAGTAATATATGCGTGCCGTCGGATCCCCGCTACATTCGATAGCTTAGATCGTCATTCGCTGCTTTGATAACCATGCCGCTCCGACCCGTGTAGGCCGAACATACATACATGGCACATAATGCCATGCAGGTTGACCCTTGAATCCCAGAGAATTCTGCTAGATGCGTTAGACTCTATGATTGACAACCATAGATACCCATTAAACTTGGCTTGTTTCGTCTCCCAACTTGAAGTGGACGAAGTTGCATGGAACTAGTATCGAGGGTAATAATGAAGCTTGGTCGATCATGATCTTTGGACCTACCGGCTGTCCTGGCGAGACGTCCGTGGGGTAATTTTGACTTGGGGGTAGTTCGTCGACTATCAAAAAAAAAAGGATGGAAGCGCAACAGTAACAATTTAAAAGTTCCGAAGCATGTTACTGGATAGACGCCATACCAAGTGGCGATGATAAATATGCGTAAGGATATACAGCTATGTATATCGATATCCAACAAGGTGCATTGGCGCTTTACATGCCTGCATATGTCCACCTTCGTGCAGGTTAGGGATCTTTAGGTGCAGAGTACGAAGTCGTATGCAGCGTGTGATCGGGTAGTTGATGCGTACATATACCGATGCATGTCCAGGCCACTCGGTAGTGTTGAATATGTCGCTTGTCTTATCTTTGCTTCACCATACCAAGATTCCCTAGGAATCTTGAAATCGTGGCGCTTTGGCACCGTCCTTGTAGAATTGCGATTCAGGCATTGCCATGCAGTCGAAAATGCGATCCATCCACTTTACAAACGGGTTTAGCCGGAAGCGACCCAGTTTGACATATGTCGACCGCAGCACAGGGTGAACGTGGAATTGCAGCTTACCAAGTGTCATAGCGAGCACCTACACCACTCATGTAATACAACACGAGTATGGTGTGAAGTCAGAGGGAGGATAACAAATAATAGGTAGGTTAAAAATAACCCCGCATGTGTCAGGATTAGCAATGAGACCAACGAACTGTAGGTATAGTGGCTCATAGTAACCCGTCAATACTAGGCGACTACCTGCCTACCTGGTAGTCAGAGGCTTCGACCTCGGTAGTTCAACATCATCGTAACTCGGGATTCGAAGAGGCCAGAGCCGGGGAGCTATGTAGTGCTAACCCGGTCTGGTGGGTAGCATGTTAATCTGTGTAGGCAGGTGTATATATAAGTCTCTCTAAGAGCGTATTTTTCTGGCCGAGAGATTTCCGGGGTTATCAATCCCAACCGTTTCATTATCAATAGTTGGCTAGAAAAGCTCCGGAGCTAGATACCTCCTAGCTTACCATTTTTGGAAGAACTGGGGTGATAATTTTCATCGTGAAAGAGCTAATTTGGGTGACAAGTTGATGACCTATCATAAATATCTGCGAGATCGGTTCAACGAGGTAGTATGTGCGCGCGTTCCACAGCATTTCCATTACTGGAGAATGGCGTATGGGAGGTGTCATGCCTGTGGATTTAAGTCTGTCGGAGTTACAACTTGATGTCGTCAAGCTTGTCTAAGTCGATCGCCGAAATTGCTCCCGAGAGCCCCGTTGCGTTGCATGTGTGAAGCTTCATAGTCGTTTTTGAGGATCCATTTACGGAGTAATATGACGGATTATAAGGCGCCTAGCTTATTCGGAAAGCAGGGTAAACAGAAGTGATAAAAGACGGTGAGTTTCCAGGCCTAGACCAATCTCAGAACATGCTTTACCCACAAACACACACACACGCTGTGTGTCAGGGAGCTTAAGGGTTCCCAAGTAGGTACCTAGGTAGGTACCTGTGATCTCCAATTTCTCCAATTCCTCACCAGCGGGGCGGAACCTTCAATTGGGGCATAGGGGACATTTCAAGGTACCTACCTACATGGTACCCATCTGCAGAAGATTGGCGAAATACGATAAGGGTACCGGCTGCATACGACTGTACGTGGTAAAGGGAGAAACATTCCGGCTTCCGTAGTGATTGTCGACAGTGCTCAATTGGCCACGTTCCGAGACACGGCAACGTTCCGTCAATGGATATGGGGATCTACGTTGACCGATTCGCGGTGACACGACATCGTCTTAATAGTTGATCATTGCTTGAATATAGGAAGAGCGGCTGCAGCTCCGAGCCAGTTTTAAACTCGATGTAATATGGCGTTTGCTCGCCAGAGCTGACTTCCAAGGTTCCCCCCAACGGGGTGTGAAAGCACCGCAGGAAGAACGCCGGAGTTAATGAAGTCCTTTGGCGTGTTTTGATTCTGTTAGACAAGGCATGTGAAATATGATGTAGGGGAACCTGTCGTACGACGGTATTGCAATGCGTGGCTAAGAAGCCGTGCCGGGAAACAAGTTGATGATACTCAGGCGTACGGCATTTTCTTGTAAATTCCGATAGGTAGAACATGGATATCGGTCAATCTGGATGAGAGCATTGAGCGAGGCCAAACTATGATTGCGCAATAGCCAAAGCCCAGCTATATCGTTATTGACAGGCCTGTCGATAGTCCATCCTGGAAACGCATCAAGCACCTAAATATGTATAAGGTAAGTTTTGCCCTGTCCTTGTTAAAATATCGACGATCTGTTACGTAGTACTAGACTATTAGACAGGGAAGGCCCGTTCGTCGTGCTCGTTCGTTGCCGTCCCTGTCGCCATGTGCAAGAGTCTCGCCACAGACCAGGGGTATCGGCAAAATTGATCCCTGAAGAGACAGTGCATAGACGAGCTCGGGGCAAGACGGCGTTCTTCTAGGCTAATAGTTCGTAACAGTGCTAACGCGATATGCCTAGGCTTATAAAGGTCGATCTTTTAAGTTGAACGGATAATGCAAGTGTTATTAAGGGCGGTCATGATGTTGTTGGAAAGAAGTTTGTTCTTGGGTTGTAGTGGAGGACGAGTTGGGAACGGACGAGAAATCCAGGGTTGGTAATAACCTTCTAAACACGTTCCACAGTCGTACCTACCTGGTATTTTTGCTTTTTATGGATGCCCATACTGCTATTCAATGGGCAGTTTTTAAGTTTTGTGACCCCTGTTTTTGGGACGACGTTCCTTCCCAGCTTCATCTATGGATGTCATTATAAAATTATGTACTTCGGTACGAACCGTCGTCGTACACTACATCCAGATATTACAAGTGACTCTTCCCCGATATCACCCACATGTAGCACTTATAGTAGGTGGGGGTACGTGGTGGATGGGTACCTCAGCTTGCCCCGGTACACAATACACAAGCATGCCTCTCAAAAAGATTCGAGAAGGTCCCAATCGGGCAATCCATGCTCCGCTTTTGAATTCCATTTGCTTCTCGTTTCTCTCGAAACTCTCTCTTCTTACTCACACACTGATACTCTGACATTCTGACATGCTGCGAAACGAATCTCTTTCCGGCTGACTGCATGAGTCGAGAAGCCGTCCCGTATGCTTGGGAACCAAATAATCCTTGTACTGAATCAACTTAATATCAAAGAATCTCAGGGTCTTCCCCCAACTTTCTAATCTAATAATCTTCTCATGGGCTTTTTTTTTTTTTTTTTAATATCAGGATGACGGCGAAATACCTCCCGTCGCTTTCGGCCAGCCCCATCAGCTACTAGTCTAGCCTCCTGGCGTACTGTTAGTGGAGCTATAGTCAATCCCGCTAAGCCCTATTTGAGTCTCGTCCAGGAAATCTTCTGTCTCTGATCCGAAGTCTTTACTGCTTCGATTTCAACCTAATGCCGTGCCTAGCAGGCGCTTCCGGATGCGCCGCAGTTTGAGCCGCCTTTTATCACCTAGGTGCTAGAGCAAGCGACTGGCCGACGGCATATGTAGCGATATCAATGCCACCTATCATCATCTAACACGGACAATTTGCAGAATATTCCAGTTCTCCACAGAGCCATCATGGCACCATCATGATAACAGGATCTGTTCAATTGCTACTTCGTACAGTTCGAGAAGCATTAGGAGGAATATTATATTAGGATATAGGGAAGTATATCATATCCCCGGACCGTATAGTGCCCTTCTATATGTACGTCACGCCAGGTTCCGACTCGCCAGCCTTGTCTGGAAGTACCGCTGGGACTAGATGTATCGGTACAGGACTGCAAGGACCAATGTCCACAACTACACTACACACACCCATCCACCGTCAAGGCGCCATCAGGGGTCTCGTTACCGAACTTGATATGGTCGCATCATGGCTAGCCTCTTGCATATGATTTCCCGAGATTATGAAGTACCTCTTACATTCTCAAGATAACTTGTTGACCTTTGACTGGGTCTGGAAAAATCCACAGAATTCTCTCTGCAAGTCCGTGTGGACCCTTGTTTCTGCTCCGATCTCAGGATCTACCTTGACGATGATTAACTTCGATTTACACAAGTAGCTCATGATGGCGTTTCCCCCATACCCCAAATACATAAGGAAGTGGGGGGTCCACGAATTCCGGTCACTATACTCCTTCATGCTTACATCTTTGGTCACGACCTCTTACCTCCAGTGCTCCTTTTTCCTTGGTCGGAAGAATCGAGGAAAGTAAGCTTGGCTTGATTCGTCCCCTTTGATTTTTTTTGATATCATCTCACGAGTCACCCGGCTTTTACGTTAGAGTCCAAAGCTCCCCTGGCTAGTTACCCCCAAACTTCACTCCTCTCCTCCACGCTTCAACTCCATATTTTACAGGCCTAAACTAGAGGACCCCTATTAGCTCCAACTTCAGTTTATATCCCACTTCATCCCGCACTACTAGCATTCACTTAGCAATGGCGCCCTCCGCAATGGCTGATATCGAGCCAATGCAGCTACCCGTTTATTCAAAACAGTCGAACAAGGTCAATGCCTCCGTCTTGCATGGCCCCCGAGATCTTCGATTGGTGAGTTATATCATCTGTCGTCATAGTTACGTGAATGAATTTGCTAACTCAATTTGAATAGGAAGTTAGGAATATCGAAGAGCCTGGCCTTGGTGAGCTGCAAATTGCTATCAAATCCACAGGAATCTGTGGTTCAGATGTCTCTTACTACAAAAAATTTGCCAATGGGGACTTGTGTGCTTGTGCTCCGTTGTCCCTCGGCCACGAATCGTCCGGCACTGTCGTGGCTGTTGGACCTCAAGTTAGTGGGTTTAGGATCGGGGATCGCGTCGCCCTAGAAGTTGGTGTGCCTTGCGGTCAATGTGGCATCTGCAGAAAAGGCAGGTATAATTTGTGCAAGAAAATGCGATTTAGGAGTAGTGCCAAGAGCGTTCCTCACTTCCAAGGAACTCTTCAGGAGAGGATAAATCACCCCGCAATCTGGTGTCACAAGTATGTATCAAAATTGCTTAAAGATTTTTCGTACTTATTGCTGACGTTTTCTATCTTAGGCTTCCCGAACATGTTTCTTTCGATGCTGCCGCGCTACTTGAACCGCTTTCTGTCGCCATCCATGCTGTAAATCGCGCCAACCCGGCCCCGGGTTCTACCGCCTTAGTAATGGGAGCCGGTACAGTTGGGCTTTTGACTGCTGCGATGGCGCGCCAATCCGGATGCACATCAGTCACTATCACCGATGTAGATGCAGGTCGGGTCAACTATGCGGTGAAAAAGGGCTTTGCCACTCATGGCTTTGTTGTGCCTCGCCCATTGCATACGTCGTCTAGCAACTCGTCAATTTTCACGAACTCTGGAAGTTCTACCCCTTTGGAACCTGGCGCGATGACACCAGCAAGCATATATTCTAATTCCATCCACGATCAACTTGAAGGTGCCAAAGCTCTTGCGGCCGAGATCCTCTCCCTGACGAAACCACCGCTAAGTCTGCAGGGTGACGACGAAGATGATGGTGTTGATGTGGCATTTGAATGTACCGGCAAGGAGTCTTGTATGCATACAAGTCTTTACGCTACTCGCCCAGGCGGCAAGCTCATCATGGTTGGTATGGGCACGCCAATCCAAACCCTTCCCATGTCCGCTGCACACTTAAGAGAGGTGGATATCTTGGGAATTTTCCGATATGCAAATACGTACGGGACTGGCATCAGAATACTTGCTGCTCAGGGGTGCGGTGGAGCCGGTTTCACTCTACCGAGTCTTGACGACATGGTAACCCATCGGTTTAAAGGTCTCGGCGCTGCAAAACATGCCTTTGAACTCGCCGGTAAAACTGTGGATGATGACGGCAATCTTGTGTTGAAAGTTGTCATCGAGGCTTAATATTGCACTACTTTCTCGACTACCAAACTATACACACCAGCATCGGGATCTTAGGCATCTTTCCCCATTCTCTTACCTCTCGCAATATAATGATTTCACCAGCGGCATAGAACATTGACGAAGCAAAAAAAGTCGTTTAGATACCTGGGCGGTATTGTACTGATGGTTTGGGAAGCAAAACTCTTGCGATCAGCTTTAAAAAGCTTGGTAATGAAAAGTGCTACGGCAAATCGGAACTGAGAAGCATACCTAACATCAGTTTCACCGGCCGGGGCCTAGATGTTATTTTCTTTAATTTTTTTCTTGATATGTTTTTTTCTATTATGTTATATCCCTCTATATCTTACGACAAAGCATGAGATGGGTAGACTGGTGCCCTTGAGGCCGGTTGGTGTCGCGCCGATTTTCACGATTTTACGGCATTCGTATTGGGTGCACATTTTCTATCGTTTATATCCTCAGGAGATACCGGTTATGTATGACCGGATGGTTATCTTAATAATCTTTCCTGTTACTACGACTGAGGAGTGTCGTTATGGTACGGCCTAAAGAGAAGCAAAGTAATAATTGTCACATAGTCTTAATAAACTCTGACGTTTCATGAATCAATCCATTATCATGTATCTCGTGCCTTTTTTGGTCTATCGTGAACTCCACTAAGGAGGCGTGGCATTAAGATGCCCTATTGATATCAAACACCTAGTCGTGATTAACACAACTTGCTAATATTGGCCTCTAAAACGCCTCTTTCGCCTTGCAAATGCAAACAAGTATGCTGCGAAGTACCTAGAATTTTGGATAACGATCTATTTCCCTCCTCTTTCTTGCTCCCTTCTAGGCAGCAAGATCACCGGAACTAGAGAAATTAAATCCTGAGCTGTGACTTAAATCGTCACGCAGCTTCTTGCTGTGGCTCTTGGCGTTTTCCACGATTCCGTACTTCTTGCCGATGTCGCGGGCTTCGTTGAGACTCTGCATTACGTCGTCTAGGAGCTCGACTAGGTGGACATCGTTGGATTCTCGCAACATCTCTAGCTCGTAAGCTTCGGTGTCAGACGGTACTAGTAGTGATAGTCTGCTGACAAGAGCTTGTATGGATCGGAGAATTGTGTGCGACGGGGTTGTGTACTGGGCTTCGGAGAGGTTTGTGGCGTTGTTCGGGGAGAGATAAGAGGGTGGTAATCGTTCAAGATATGTTATCAGAAGGTTGACTCTGGACTGCAACATCTTGATCGCATTTGCCTTGGCAGTGAGAGCGGCAATCATCTCTTCATCCTCGGCCGATAGTGCATGTTCATCGATGCTCGGGCCAATATCCGGGGCTTCTGGGGCTGTTGCGGGTTGTTTGCCCTTGGAATTCGTGTCGTTGATAACTGCCTTCTTCCGTTCTGTGGATTCGACCACTGTTGCATTGCCAGCTCCACGGGCGATAAAGTTCATGCTTATCATTTCCGCCTCGCCCGTCTCAACCGAATACGGTAGCTCCCTGAACTTCAGCTTTAGAGGCGGGTCTCCATCTCGCATCTCCTTGTCTTCACCCTGATCTGCTTTCGGTTCGTCCACCTCATAGTTGGATTCGTAGATTGTCAAAGGCAACTTGCTCCCTGCCGAATGTTGAACTGCTTCTTCGGGGTGAAATGCAAGTAGGATAGACGACTCGTTGTGCTCCGAAAGGATCCATTGGTGAATGGGGAGTTGGGCAGGAGTTGGGCCGCTCTTAGGTAATACTGTATACCAGCCGACGAGATCGAGAGGGGGGGATTTGTGTATCGTTTTCACTGTAGGTCTGTTATCAGTAATTATGGCCTGAGGTAGTAGATAAGAGGAACAACCCACTTTGATCTAGACGTTGTGCGAACCAAACAGGATCAAGAATAATGTAACCGTCCTTCGGTGTAGTTGCACACTCAAAGGCGTGCTCGATGGTAATCTCGCGTCCATTCTGCTGTCCTATCAAGGCACCTACTATAGGGCCTTGTTGGGCTCTGAGAGTGTGTCGTGTGATGTAATCGGAAATTGTGAGAAGAACGAGGGGATGGAGGACAGCTTGTAGTCCAGAGTCGGAAGGCTTCTGGGACGAAACCAGAGGGTTTCGGTCCGCTGAAGCCATTTTGCGGGTGTTGAAGGACGCAAGATTAAAAGGAGAAAGAGAAGTGAAGCTTGTCAAGTTGTTAAGTGGAAGAACCGTTTGTCATAAAATGGAAGGTAATCGCAAGGCTGCAGGCTGCAGCTGTAGCTTCCCAAGTTGTTAGGAGTGCCTTCCCTGCCCCGCGGTGGCGGTGTTCCTTGTGGCTTACTCCGTCATACTAAAGTTCCTTATCAACGATAAGCATTGTAAATCCAAATGGTCCAAGCGTCCAAAACCAATACCCTTCTCCCCCCTCCATTTTTATCTTAAAGGCAACCTTGGATCCATGCATGTTCATTACAACATCTTCAATTTCCACGAATATTCCACCTTTGATAATAACATTTCTCAATTGTGTGAACCAAATTCACCTATAATACTTGCTTATGGTTTCCCAACATGCTGGCATAATAAATCCAAGCACTACCTATTCAGCAATTTGAACTTACTACTGCTGCAGCAAGAGAATCAAAAACCAGGCAGTCTACTATTTGGACCGATCCCATACTAATTTTTGAACATGTTTTCATTTTCTTCTCACAACATGACGTGTGAAAGTTCACACGGATGTAGTAGCTATGTCTCCAGGAATAGTATCTCCTGTCATCATTTTTCAGATTCGATTTGGCTCTTCTCGTCGCCTGTCCCTTGAAAGAGACAGCATTAAGCTCTATGCAGTCTAGGGTTCTTTCATCTTTGAGGCTGATGGGCTTTTCGTGTCTTAGTTATTCTCATTTGTCTTGTTTATTTGTATATATTTCATATAGATGTTTTGCTTTCCTTACTACTCTTCCTGGTTTGAATTCTCCAAACTATCACGACTACCCCCCCCCCCCCCCCCCCGGCGTATCAATCGAGTTTAGACTTACACGCAGATTCCGATAACAGCGATGTCGACGAATCCTCAGGTCCAGAATCAAACGAACGTAAAGGTTCTCAACGCTAGGACGCCTATTGCTGAACGTCCCTCGCCCCTGTCAATGCCTAGGCCGATTATACCCTCGAAAAGATCGGATGACGATATTCAGTTTATATCATCTAAACCCGTCAAAAGGCAGAGAACTGGCGAGCAGAGGCAGATGCCTGCACTTCAGGAACATGAAGTCCCAGCAATTCCTATTATAGCACCTCCTATTGCTGTACCACCTTTTGAGCTTAGGGGCTCGGACCGGCGAGTCAGTACCGGCATGGTTGGGCTACCTTCAGACTTTAGTGTAATGGAACTCACCTCCGCCTTACGGGGCGTGTCACTTCCGGTGTTAGAGAAGTTCGCTCTCGACCAACCTCCTCGAAAGCCAAGACCTTTAAGCCCACCGGAACTTTCACCTAAGCAACTACCACAGGCAATCATGCCAGCAATACCAAATATCAACACTGGCGAGAATAGTTCTAAGGACCCCGGATTGCGCGCAGCACCCATGGCATGCATGATAGCCACCAGTGAAAGTTCGGCCAAGCCGGATGCATCTTCAAGGATATCCAATCTCAATTCGGCACCTGGTCAATTTCATGTTCTCAACACATCAACCATCAATGTAGACTCTTTGCCTCCAAATTCAGCTCGATCCCCTAAGGAGGCAATGCCGCCGCCTCCATTGCCAAGAGCTGAAGTATCGGCAGTCTCTAATGCTACTTCGACCAAGCATGCTACTGAAAATGTTGCCCAATTAGATGCCATTGAGCAGCCTTGCCAAATTTGCGCTAGAATGAGACAGCAGGTAAATCTTGCTAAGCCCCAGGTACATCCATTGTTGCAACACAATTTACCACCTCACGTCGTCTCGCAAATGGTACCATACGGCCAACACCTTCACCCTCATATGATGGCTATGAACCTAAATGGCATGCACGCTTTTAATCCAGGATTCGGACCAATGATGATGCCAATCCATGGCAGCAATTTTACCGCTCCCCCATCTCACATCTCTAGTCCAACAAGTCCAACACAGATGAGCCAGTTGAGCGAGGGAGAAGTTTCCCAACTAGAGCCCCCGAATTCCGGAAGCCAGCCTCAAGCTTCGCCGACTTCAGCAGCAGGACCCGTCGAGCCCCCCACAGCTTTGAATCCAGTCAAGCCACCGGCATCTCTTATCCAACCTACTTACCGCAAGCCCTCGCCAAATCTAATTGTAGACGTTGCCGAAACATGTCAGGAGAAGTTTCCTTTCGCGGAGGTCGCCAAGAGGCATGATGTGCCCGTTGAGAAAGTTTTCGATATATTTGCGGCGATTATCCAAGTCCCACTTCTTCGATGCCCCACTGATAGACGAAGAGCAGGAAAACTTGCCACCGCTCGTGTTAAGGAGTACGCAAAAGCCAAGAAATTTATCCAAGAGATCGGTGTCCATGATAATTCCGATCCTAAAGAGGATATTGTTGCAAGCCCATCGGACATCGCGAATCACTTAGGTCAAGTTGACTTGCCAGAAGGTTTCAATCTTAGAGACCCCTAATCAATAGTTGAAAATAAGATGCTACATATTCCAAGGAGAAAGAGCATAGTAATGAGGGCAAGTCATGTATTATGTGAGTATTCTACCAAGTGTACAATTTTACGGGGTTCTATCCTTAAATCTACGACCGGGAGCCTCACCTGGCGTATAAGTATCGGCTAATTGCAACCATATGTCTTCGCTCTCATCATCATTTACTGATGTAATAGAGGCGGGCTTCCCGGCACCGTCGGGGCTTTTAACACTCACTTCACTGCCGAGTCGACTAATTTGCGTCTTTGTCCGTCGGAGACGATGCTGCGGCTCTAGGACTGGTATTTCACCGAATATTGGTCTCTCGTCTTCCTCCCTATCACTAACCATCGCTATTACATGGTCCCGAGGTCCAGAATATGGCTTAACGGTCTTCAAACGGGGCGCATTTGGAACCTGAGGCGGTTTTTGTTGCTCGTTTGATTTTTCAAATGGATCGACGTATCCCTTCTTTGTTCTGCGCACCCGTGGCGGTCCAGTGATTGAGGGATGGAGTTTCTCTAACTCCGCAATTTCATCCGCCCTCTTCTTTATATCCACCGGAGTGTTGACTCGCTTGATCGAACCGCTCCGCGAGATAGGGCGCCCTGGCTCCCAACAACACTTGCCGTTGACCCATTTAAACGTGCCCTGGGTCAGGTTTCCATTATAACCATCGCTACCATCGATTCCAACACCAGGAAACTCTACGTCGATGCTCGGGGAGGACATCAGTGTCCGCGCTTCGCTGATGGCGGTGTTAGCAGAACGATTCAACTCTTGTACACGCGTGAGAACGCGGCCAACCTCCCCCGGAGTTTGTGAGCGGAGTAAGTGCGAAGTGAGCTCGCTGTGACGCTGGCGCTGGAGTTGTCGGACCCGGCTCACCTTAAACTCCGGGTCGCAGCGTGCGCATGAATCCTGGAGGTAGGATGTCGGAGAGTCGAGTTCGGGGTTTGTACATGCTTGTCGGAGACCTTTAGGGCAGAGTTCCGTGAAATGCGTTAGAGTATGTCCGCAGGACATTTGGGTTTGCTTTGCTTTACACATTTTTTAACGTTGCCTTACTCTACTTCTCCCTTTAATGGTCTCAACTATTGACGAATTGTAAAAATGAAACTTCGATATGACTTCTAATTATGCTGTGGAGTTAACGTAGGTATTTCACAATTCTTGAAATCCGTTTTTTGGCCTACGTTTATCTATAAGGAAGGTGAGTTGCTCATATCTAAAGAATGCACAATCAAAGTACCAAGAACAATTCTACTTAAATCTTTGGTCTTTATTGTTTAATTCAGTTTTTTATCTAAGTTAATAAATGCATTACAAAAAGCGGCTTCTGGTATAACCTACACAAAGACATTGATTATCAATAACATTGTTAAACACAGTCTACCACATATTGAATGGCTTCCACTGTGCCTCGTCCTTTGCTTAGACCTACCAGGAAACCACCCCTGCATGGGCTCTTTCCAAAGCTATGGTATAGGCTTACCCAAGCAGTGCCTATCGAACGGTTATCGGTGTAGAGACATGATGCTGATTGTGAATAGCCGTTCTCACCGAGTGAGTCATACTTGCAATTGCCGCTTGTGAGGCTTTTTGATCGGTTTGTTTCCGTGCCTGACATATGATTATGACCCCCATGGATACAGCGGGCATATGCTTCCGGACTATAGATAAACACTCGAAATCGCGCTATAGTCCGTCGAAGGGATCACAAAAATTGCTGTCAGATCTGACACGTTAACTTATTCCCGAAACCCAATATCCACCCTTTGTCTGTCTTCATAGCGTCATTCCATCTTTAGAAGTACGTCAGTATGCGCCGGGTATGATAAGACTTAAAACCGGTGGAACAGGAGTGAGTAATGCTGTTCGGAAGAGGTCCTATCAAGGAATAGTAGCAAAAATTCTAGAAGGCAGACCGGGCTGAAAATGCTTGTTAAAACGGGAAATAATCGCGATAGGGTGACTGTGCGGTTTTAAGCGAACGAAACTGCGCATCCACCGGCCGAAATGTTTCAGAATGCGTGGAACGGCGTGGAACAAGCCTCGATGGTCGAATTAAGGCTACAGGTGTGACACGGTACGACGGGACGGAAAGCCCGCTGAAAAGTCCGGTCTAAAGGATGTTGAGAGGGTAACATAGAAAATTGTTAGTTACGAGTGTAAGTGCTAGAATAGGCGTGTTGGTTACGTGGCGGTTGTCTAATACAGTTAAAAATATGACGTGGAAGAGGGAAAAGGGGGGGGAAGTGAGGGTAACACCTTTCCGGCAAATTCAGTCGAGCCGTTTTTACTGGAGAGCAACCAGTATCCCGACTTCGGCATCAAATCTTACATGAAAAACGCCATGGTCACACGGGATTTTGGCTTGGCGGCCTATATGTTCGCGGGATATAAGCAGCCTTCGCAGAATTACATGGTCTTGGACTCCAGCCGTAATCGGAGACCATGATCAAAGAGCCCCTAGCCACAGCTCCATGAGGCATTATAGAGCAGGCTGTAAGAACCTGTTCGGCATCAGAGCCCGGCGGTCCGTCAGGGTACTTCGTTGATCCGGGGAGGCGGAGATCTATCTCTTGTTACACACATGGAAGTGGCTGCAGCAGGGAATATGACCCCCACGTCAGAAGAGATAATACGCCTGGTTGGGTAAGTGGTGGTCGTCATCTGGTTTAGAAATTATTCCATATTTGTTCCATGAACCTTCTTGCCCCGGTTGCGAGTCTGACAAGGGCCGAATATGCATGATATAGGTATCAGATTGGTGCCGAAACTGGGTGCAATGTCCCAGACGAGGCCCGTCAACCTGTCCTGCATATTAACATGTATTGTCTCGACGGGAGTCCGGCTACGAGGGAGTATATACAGCCTCGTCTCATTGGTACGTTTCCGATCCCAAGGCGGCCGGTGTAAAGTGTATCCACAGATTGGCGAACACGCCGACGTGCCAAGGACACAAAATGCCTGGTCTATGATCCCTTCATGATAGCTTTGTACCTCGACGATGGCTTTGTACAGTGACTTAGACGATGATCAAGGAACATGTAGAAGTAACCCAGTTTTTGATGTAGGTAGGGCAAACTGCTACGACTATCGACCAGGGTAGCGGGTGGCGAGATACGTAGGTAGCTAGCATGGCAGTATGGCAGCATGGCTGGCATAGGACGACATATCGCGGATGCGACCGGTTGCATGATGTGTGACTTAGACCCCTGTAGGATTAGCGCAGCGAAAATGAAAGACGAAAAGGGAAGGAAATTAGCAGAATCAAGAGACACATTTTCGTTTTTTAATTGTGTTGAAGTTGAGATCGTCAGAATTTGGGGCTTGTTTTCTTTTTGGGAGGGGGGAAAAGGGACAGGAGCTTGGGGCTCATCCCGCTGTGGCGCTAGCTAGGACCCTGTTAAACCTTGTAAACCCCTGCTCCACCCACCCAGGCGGGGCCCCGGACCCCTAGCTCCAGCGGGTTATCCTTACTAATTTAGTGGGTAACAAGATAAGAAATCGCGTTCCCTGTAGATGTTATCGGTTCTCGGCTGTCTCAGCCTCAAAATTGAATTTTCTCCAGCCTCGCAATGACGTCTCCAAGTAAACATTAACAGCCACCCCAATTACAGTGACAGATGGGATGTAAGGATATCAATTAGCATCCCATCATCACCTAAACACACATGGCGCATTTAACAAACCCCCTCGCAACAGTCGATCAACTCTACCAGCGCACATCCTTCAGCGCGCTCCCCTCTGACCTACAGGACATAATATTCTTTACAATACAATGCCTAACTCAAGCAGCCGGAGTCCTCCTCCGCCTCCCTCAATCCGTCACAGCGCAAGCCTGCGTGATCCTCGCGCGACACTGGCTCATCGACTCCCCTCTATCCCATGGGTTTAGCGACACCTCCGCCGCAGCCTTATACCTCGTCGCAAAACTAAGCTCCCATCCCTGCCCACCACGGGACCTCTGCAATGTCTACGCATACCTCCTATCGCGCAGCTCGCCCCTTCTCCGCGACCCTTCCCTCGACGAAACCAAAGATAAAGATAAGGAGAGGGAGAGGGAAGAATACTACCTATCCGAAACCGCATACACAACCCTCCGCTCCCGAATCCTGACCCTCGAAGCGCGCATCTTATACACGATCTCCTTCAACACACATGTCGCCTTACCACATCCTCTCGCAATAACCTACCTCCAAGCGCTGGACTTCCTCTCGTTCCCGCGCGCTGAAATCTCCGGGCGCGCGATTGCGTATTTGAATACCGCGCTCCTGTCCCCGCAGCTCTTATACCTAACACAACAACCCTCAGCTCTAGCCGTGGCCGCGATATACGCGGCAGCCCGCGATCTAGGCGCACATCTGCCGGATTGTGCGTGGTGGGAGGTATTCGATGTCGACCGGGAGGATTTAGGGTTTTTGGTTGTTGCGATGAGGAGTTTGGAGGGGTGGGCTAGGAAGTTGGAGGGTGATGGAAAGAGGTGGTTAAAAAAGGGTATGATTACACGGAAAGATGTCGAGGCGGAAATGAGGAATAGAGGATTAATGATTGGTAATGGGAGTGGAAGTGCGAGTGGTGAGGCGCAAGATGAAGAGGACGATTTGATGAGGCAGATGGATGAGAAGGCTGCGGAATTGGAGGAAGATGAGTTTGCAATAAATCACTAAAGTATCAAAATGAAATATAATTATACCATATCAGTTTTATTTTGTCATTCTAATTTGTGAAGCTTTCTAAGCTTATGAATCAATCGTTCTTGTCCCAACTAAGCCACCGATTGTCCTGCGGCTGAGGATAAGATATGGGAATTTTGCCTCTCCTACTGCCAGGCTACTGGCAAACGTATTGGAAACCCGGAACTGTGGGCTGCGAAAAGGCGACGCAAGAGCAAGTTACATAGAGGCCTATCTGGATCTACCAGTGTCTCTGGCCATCTTTCGTCCAGGAGACCCGGGCAGGAAATCTTCTGCTTCAGTATGCGCCATTCTCAACCCCGAGCCATCATCTCTGCTTTTCGCCAAGATATTTTTCACTCCCCATGAGTATCCATCTACAGAACGACGAAATCTGAAAACAATGCGAATTAGATAGATTCGTCGAAAACTCGTCGCACTGTCGATAATCATTAGCTGAGGTTCTTATTCGAAGGCATATTACATACATTTGTGTCTTGTGCCCTATTATCATCGCAAGGCCTCGTATGGTACTATCAAAAATAGATTTGTTAGGTGATAGAAGCTCTGATCGAGCCATGTTCATAGGTTGATAGTGGATATACCACTACTCGGAATCAGATATCACGATGACCTCCCGCTCCTTGATAGATAGAAAAGAGGAAGCCGAGAGGGCCTGTTGGACATTTGATCTTGCCTCTAGCTCGGCTTCTCGCTTAACTTCCGGTTTAGTTGCTGGTTTCGCCTCTAATTCCTTCGATAAGTTCTCTGTGGACTTTCTGAAACCGCCCCGTCTAGTCATGTTCTGCATCTCCTTCACACACTGAAGCAACTGGCATTTATAGATTTGGCGGTGGATCTCGAAGCCTAATGTGGCTTCTTCGAGTATCTTGAGTTCTAGCTTCTCGCGGAGGCGTGTACTACGCGGAAGATTGGCACGGGAGATTCTATCGGATGCTTCTTTCTTCATCTTGTGCAATCTGCAGTCAAGACTAATGGGGAGATATTGGACTGTGTCTTTGATGCCTTTAAAGAGAGTCGCGGTGTCTAAGTCCTTGAGTACTTGACAGAGGATGATACAGTGTTGGATGACTTCCGCAACGCCAGCTACGGTAGGAATAAGATGGTTCATACGAGCCTTCTGGCAGTTAGAGTATAGTTTTGCTAATGTAGTGCCGGTAGCTTTCGTATTCAGGGCCTCTGCCGGGACGATGATTGGGTTGCTAATAGGTTCTATTTTTGCGTCTCCCGCCGCTCGGATTCGGCCCATGACCACTGAATAACTTCGAAAAGGGCACCATTTGACCATCCATCGCATCATCACCTCGTGCGTAACTGTTAGAACCATCTCAACAGTTTGGTTGAGTGATTCCTCGGGAAGGCCTGGGAACTTCACATCAGGATGATCCGCAAGCACATCTTCTAAGTTTCTCGTAGTAGGAGTTTCGAAGATAGGTTCAACCTCTGCCTAAAGTATTGTAGTAGTAAGCAATACGCTCCTATTATCTCCAGGAATTATTCAAATCAGTAGGTATAAAGGGATAATATACTTACAACAATCTTCTTGAATCGAGCGTTGCGAGAACTAGAATAACCGAACTGACTTGCAGGATCGGCGCTCATAGTGCACGATGATGAAGTTTCGCCTGATTCTGTGCTTTTGGTGGTACTGTTGGATAGAAAGCGAGGTCGAACCGTCTTGGCTGAACCCTGTGAGTCTAAATGTTCGTTCTTGCGAGAGAATATGGTCAAATTACCGAAGCGTGAGAGACTAGAATCGTTGGCGTAATCCTCCCAAAAATGCCTGAGAGGTGCACGAGGTCCTTGGGGAGGAAGGGAAGCCTTGGGTTGTAGTTCAGGGTATTCTTTTCGAGGTGTCTTAGGTTTGGGCTTCGGATCAGGGTGTTTGTTCTTTTTATTCTTACGTCGACCTTCACGCTGAGGTCGGTAATCGCCACGACCACGACGGTTAAGCCTCTCGCTTTTAGACTTGCCCATGGTGGAAGGATTTGTGGGCTGTTGAAAGGGTTGGATGTATGGGAGTGGGTTAAAGGAGAGAAGGACTTGATAAAATTTTGGTGAAAAGTGGTGTATGAACAATACTGATGATAAAGGAATGAATAGATCCCGCGAACCCAATGCGAGTTGATGGGGGTTAAAACGGGGTTGGTCGCCGGGTCGATGTGTTCAAGTCAATACATGAGATGCCCGCCAGATGAATGATAAACGGGGATATTCTTGTCCGTCGTAAGTGATAATAACAACGAAATGGACCTTCCTATTCCTATTTTTCTTCCTGAGATCCTCTTTCTCGTTGGGGATGCATCTTCGGGGAAAGGGCATTCATTATAGCCTCATAGCTGTTTCATATCAAAGTTCCAGCTGAACACTCATAACCCACTGCACCTACTCGTACTTGTGAATGACAATAAGGTCAGGTACGAACTGACGAAAGATGCGCCCATTATAATTGGCTGCCAGCTCAAGGTGGGAGCAGGACGGTAGTAGAGAGGAAATAGGGGTCGACGATACCTATAATATCCACCTCGGCTTCAGTGGTGGGAATCTCGAATTTAAACGTCCACGGCTAGGTAGTTCATTGCTGGCAAGGCGACTGTAGTAAATATATCATCATTTAGTTCTTATATAACCCCTTTATGTGAGAGATATAAAACAGATAGGTATATCATTCTCAAATATAGACCTTCCCTAGGTATTCCAATCCGAGCGCCATGCATATGCCCACCAGCCAGCCCACCAACCGCCAAACCCATAACCTTGAGTTGATATTGCCTTATACCATATATGTAATCCTATAACCCGGGTATCCTTCCTTATTTCAATAAACTCCCTACATCCTGTAACCGTATATTATCCATAGCGAGCGGGTTTCCTCCTCTATCTATCCGACCCCAGCCAGCTCCCCAGCCGGGAAGCACACCCGCATTTGCGACCACCGTTTCGCCAGATGCCGTAAACCCCGCCGTCGAGCTCGAACTAGCGGCACAATCGGTCGCCCCATCTGCGACACCTTCGGCATCGCTCTCCTCGGTTTGTGTTTTATCACGTTTCCAAAACTTCCACCATTTAGTTTTCGCCGCATCCCGAGCCGCCGACTCAGGAGTTGACATAATCCCCGCGCGGCCTCCAGGCGCCATGCGAGGGTAATAGAAACCTGCAGGTTGTCCTCCCGAAAACGGGTTCCACCAGCGGGGTTTCGGCGGCGTCTCCATAAAGCTACCGTTACGTCCCGCGTTATACGAAGTCGGGGGTTCGCCGGATAATTCCTCTAAAGTGTACCCCTTAGTTTCAGGAATTAGCAGTGATGATAGTGTGCCACAGAGCATAAACAGAGCAAATATCTGCATCAGCCGATCTAACCATGGCGTACATTCCCTGCCAGAGCAGGGTGTTGGTGCGCCCTTCGTGAGGAGTGGAAGGGAAATGACTTGAGCGACGATGGCGCCGACTTTTCCCATTGCCGCAGATAAGCCATGACCTAGCGAGCGGTATCGGGTGGGAAAACACTCGCCGGGTACAATAAATGTTGTTGTGTTCGGACCGAAATTGAAGAAGAAATTCGCTATGACGTAGAGAGCGAATAGAGCGCCCTTGCTGAGGTTATTGTAAAGAAATCCTAATACGGCAAATATGATGGTAAGAATAATAAATCCAATAATTTGAAGTGGTTTGCGACCGATGCTATCAACCGTGAATATAGCGGTCCAATATCCAGGTAAAGAGCCTGCCACGACAAGTATAGCCGTGCCGACCGCGCTGTTAAATAAAATGTAGTAAAGCGAATCCCCGTCAGCATAGCCGATCGCTTGTAATACTGGTGTGTTATTTAAGCCTAGACCATAGAAGGCCAGGTCCTGGACTTCTGTTAGATCGGGTTTGTTGGTCGAGAATAAGGGATACTTACTAGGAAAAACCATGATAAAGTCGTCCCCATTAATACTTTAGCATTTTTCCATTTTGTGAAGTAGGAGTAGAGATCTTGCCAAGATGCTGCCGGTATGTTGAGCGCTGGGGCCGCGAGCTTCTTCATCTTCGCTTGCATAACCTCATCGACCTCTCCCTCTGATTGGCTGGCCATATACGCTTTAATATCGGCGGCTGCTTTCTCGATGTCCTTGGCGATCTCGAAAGTGTATCGGGGCGTTTCAGGTATCGTGATGCGATAGTAGAGAGCGAAACAGGCAGGAAAAGCTCCAACTCCTACGATAATACGCCAACAGCGGTCTGCTGCTACTTGGCATACGTAGTCGCAGTTTTCGGCAGCGGTAACGTGTTCGAAGGCACCCTTAAAAGACGCTGTGACAACTATGGCCACGATTGCTGCCAGCAGCTGACCTATCCCTTGCATGGAGAACACGGCCGCCATCATAGCACCGCGCCATCGCGTAGGTGCAAACTCTGCGGTGATGATAGCGCTTAAGGGATAGTCGCCCCCAATCCCGATACTACATAACCGCAACATTAGTACGATTCTAGAGGGGTTTCTGTTGGTAATCTTACCCCATCATGACTCTCCAGAATGTCATCGCCCCCGTGAAGCTGACGGAATGAGAGGCAGCAACTATAAACCTGTTAGACTTTGCGACATCACCCCGAGAATTGGGCCGATCTGCTTTCTTAAGGGGTAGAATAATACAAAAGAGGCGCAGAACGACTTTCTAGGTGTTTTGAAGGATGTTGAATCTTGATTTAGGGTCATTTGAAGCTTACCTAAACTACAACATAGAGTCGAGAAGACAATTATACCAAGCTCAACTCCATACATCCTCCTCCTTCCATATTTATCCGCTAGCCATCCAAATAGGACCTGTCCTATAACAATGCCCGCGCTCGTCGATGCTTTAAGGGTTTGGCTGACCGGTGTCGGTAGAAACCCATAATTCCCTCCATAGCCATATTTTTCAGTTCCAGGAGGTCCGTGGTAGAATACGACGCCGAGTAGGGTGGTTACGAGGTTTATCGCGAAAATATCGTACGAATCTAGGAAGAAACCTATACCAGCGACCAACACAGCCCTCACATGGTACATGCCAAAGGGAACTTTATCGATTTCAGATAGCGCGAGTCGTCGCCGTAGGTTCGGGTCTTGGATATGGCTGAAGTCGTTAAAGAAATTGTGAAATGCCCGGTTGCCGCCATACGTTCGTTCGTAGGTCGCCGGTGTCATAGGCTCCGCCCGTGGCGAGGTCATCGTTGAGAGCTCAGTGACGTCCGCCTGTTTTGGTATTTTCGTGCTCTCAGCTGCGAAATAAAAGTATGCATAACTTTCCCGAAAATAGTGTGAGCGCTAGGCTGGACTTAGTTACGAGGAATTCATCGCGCTTCGTCGGTAAAACTAATCCACGACGCGGGAGTATGCGAGGGAGGCTGCACAATGGCGATGCCGAAAATGACGTTCTGCGAATGAGGGCTTTTTGCGCGCGAGGTTCAACCCCAAACTGAAAAGCGATGAATGTCGCTTGTCTAATGATGCAGAATACAAAATAGGGGGTAGAAGAAAACAAAGGAAAAGTGTGACAGGCAAAAAGTCGTGTAATGTCCCTTGAATATGATACAGCAGAGCCTCGTTGTGCTCGGATGGTGGGGGAGGATTCTTGATCTGACGCACTTGGACGATCGTTACGGTAATTAAACTCCTTCTATGTAAGTGTTACACGGTGCCCGTCGGTGCCATCGATCCAATAGTGTGGTAGGGACGGGTTCCTCGGTACGCTTCAATGCGGGCCTGGATGACAGCGGTTGGACTGATTGCTGATAGGCTGAATGAGACCAATTTGACAAGGCGTCCAGGTCCAATGCGGTATGGGAAAAGTAGGTGAATGCTGAAGAGCGAAGATGTAAGAGGCGCAAACGGTCTTGGTCATCCGAAGTAGTATTGGTAAGACAAGCCTCGAGTTCGACGACCTACCTATTTGCGCATTGGTGCAACACCCGATCGGGAGACCGTCGAAAGCAGAAAGAAGGATGTTCAGATGTAATGCGACAATGATATGATAGGTTATGTAGGATTCCTTATAGCTGAAGTATCGTGTTTCTTTAATAGCTTCGTCGTCATGGCCATGTATTCGGACCGGGGAAAGGTTATGATTGGTTCTGCCTCTGATCGTGGGGGGTTTCAGGGGTGGTTACCTAGAAGTTACATAGGGCAGGTAATAGTTTAGACATGTAGCTATTTGATCTAACTCATTACATGGTAGGAAGATATCCAGGGGAGAAAACGTGGTCGTGGAACTATGTATAGCTGGCTGATTATCGTAATCATCATCTCGGCAAGATTCACGTGGGGACTCATCCTCGTTCAGATCAAGGGGAAGTCCGTCGTTTTGACTCTCGAGTTGGAAAGACGCTATATTAAGTGAAGAGGATACTAAGATGTTCGAGATATCCCTAACTTGGAGTAGATAAGTTGGAGATCTAAGGGATTCCTTCGGAGAGGCTTAGGCTAGACATGGTGCAAACAGGGTGAAGGTAGGGTGTAAGTACTATGTAGAGTTGTAGGCAAGGGTTCTTGAGAGTGGATACTCGCTAGTAGTCGTGATGAGCCGCCAGGCCGCTCACGGGCGGAGTGGAGCTCGCGGGGCGATCATTGAGCACGAGCCACTGTAAACCACATTTTAGAGTTTAGTTGTTGCTTAAGCATGCTGAAATATCTAGAATCTTTTGACCTGATTGGCTTTAAATTTTATGCTTTTTCGATATCGAATGAATGATTCGAGATGAAGGGTATTTGACTTCCCAATCATATTTTAAAAGTTCTCAGTATAAAGTCTATCGTCTGCCGGAGTTGAAAATTGCAGGACGAGGTTGCACAAGTGACCTATCAATAAACCATTAGCTTGGCGGCAGATACCAAAAAGGAGGCAGTGACTCCATCTGAGTGGTTGACCAATCAGACCCCGGTATCCCACAACGTGGTCTAAACTATTCGATAGCAATAACATTGCCGTGTGCTACAACGTGACACTAACGATTTTTACATTTTCTCAATTCGCTGGTAACAGAAAAACTAACGCCATCGCCCTTAAACCATAACGGTAACCGGTAGCGAAGACGGAAATCATTTCGATATCTCAAAAACTCAAGCATTGTGAAGAACTTGCAAGGTCATGGGATATAACCTACCTCTTCGTGGAGACTATCGGTCACGAATACAGTAGTGAGAAGACACACCTAGAAGTCGACTAACGGCCATTGGGAACACAGAAACACCCAAATGTATATTGGATCCTATTCATTCCTCCACGTTCCTGCAGCAAATTCTTCATGCTATTACCTACAACAATATTACATCCCGCGACGGCGACTGTCACCGCGACATCGAGTAGGAAGGGAAACCGGTGTCCTATTACTAACGAACAATTACCTAAGCGACAATACTGGAACAGGAACATTTCATGATCGTCTCATCACAACCCGATTTTCGCTTTATATCCGTGCTCACCGAGACTACGTAAACTAGTCAAGTCGGCCCAGCGGCACCCTACACTCTTCGCTGCAGATGCTAACGCAGGTTCTTGCTTCGGTTGGGTGACTTAGGTGAACATGTCATGTATGGAATGCCTGATTTGACCATATAGCTCTCTTCCAGAAGCTCAACGCAAGTAGGGTTGTATGTACATTTTCATGTATGTCTCTTGATCCCAGATGCTAGCGTAACCCGGGCGACGCCAAGCATCGGTTCTAGGCCGAGCCATATATGTTCTAATTATTATGCGGAAAACCCTCCGGCACAAGGCATTGATTTCTTGTCACTTTTTGTGGTAAATTTTTTCTCAATTCATTTGTCATATTCTTCGCGCATTGACATTCGTCTACCATGCGGTGATGTCTTCTACTTCTGCTTCGCCGAACGTGCTGGATTTAGTTAAGTGACCGACGCTAGCTGCTTCCACGTGCTCCCCTTCTCTGGCCATAATGTCCGGCAGCGTTTCGTTTAAGAACTCCAGAATGTACTTATTGACTTGCTCAAACTGTAACAAGAAAGCGTCGTGACCTTCTTGGCTGTCTATCTTCTCAAGTCTAGCATTTTTTATATGCTCCGCTAACTCCTGTTGTTCGGCGAACGTGAACAGCCCATCGCTTTCGATGCCTAGAACTAGGGTAGGCTGTTCAATTAAAGCGAGAGCCTCGGCAATGCTCTCGGTGCGGTATCGCGAAACATCATGCGTGTCCAATTTTCTCGTGATGGCGATGTAACAATTGCTGTCAAAGCGCTTAACGAATTTCTCGCCTTGGTAACGAAGGTAAGATTGGGCTGAAAAATAAGTCGTCGTTCCCAACGACCCTTCTTTGGTGTCTTTAGTAGGACTGTCTATCTTCGGACCGGAGAATTGAGGATCAAGCGATTGACCATTGGCACTATTAGGGTTACTCGCACCGTTCTCGCTAGCGGCGCTCGGTTGGTTATCCGTGTAGCTATTGTTCCTTGATAGACGTTTTGTCTTATGTCCATCATTGTGAATGTTGAAATGAGCCTCGGACGGCGTGCTGGGACGAGGCCTCTCTCGTATTGTCTGGCGTCTAGATGGATCTGGAATATTACGTCCAAATCGTGCCTCGAATGAGTTTCGACTACGATAAGTCAAGAGCGCTGACATACGAGCCGCCCCAAGACCGGTTGTGGGCGGGTCAGAAAAGGAGTAATACCCATCGTCATACTTCGGGTCCGCATATATGCTTTGTCGTTGCGCTTCGCCCCAACTAATACCCCAAGCGCTATGACGACTCGACGTCGCGATCGGTACGATGCTTCGCACATAATCTTTGCCAAAATATGCCCACTCGAGTACGAGCATACCTCCCATAGAACCGCCAATAACGGCAGCTACTTGGCGGACGCCTAAATCGTCCAGAAGCAACTTATGCAAGCTGTCTCACGTCAGAAGGTAATTCTTAGTTCGGTTAGGTCGTCGTAACATACTTGACATCATCCCTAATTGTAGTAAGGGGAAATTCAGGCCCATATCTCTCATTGTTCGGGTCACCGTCTTTAGCGGTCACTGGGCTGGCTGTACCATAAGGACTTCCTAAGCTGTTCATACAGATAATGAAGAACCTTGAAGTATCAAATGCCTGGCCAGAGCCACCGAGGAGTGGCCCCCACCAATCAGCAACGTCAGCAGAACCGGTTAATGCATGACATATGATCATAGCATTGTCTGCATTTGGTGATAGCTTTCCTCGCGTTGTATATGCCAACGGCACATTATGTAAGGTAACTCCGGACTCGAGAGTGAAACTGGGAATAATGGCGATTTCTTGATCTGGGATCAGGTTTGCAAACGGATTCTCAGGTTGCTGCTGAGTTCTTTCTTGGAAGTATTCAGCCACTATTCTTTCCCAGGAAGCAAGTTTATGAGGTAATTTTGAAATAACATTTAAGAATATATAAATATAATTGTCAAATTTGAAATATAATGAAAAGTTTAAACTGACCATATTTTGGTTGCGCAATGGCATTGTTATCGGAAGCCATCTTCTCGTGCACCAACTAAACCCGAAATGCCTAAATAATAGGAAATCGACAGCTAAGATGATTATTTTTCGTAAATATTTATAAAGGTGTAGATGAAAATATAAATTCTTCTCTTGGGTACGTATTGTATAACTGCGTATAATCCTTAATGTTGTTTTCTATTGGATCTGATTTGGTTGTACGTCATCTTTTAAATGGAAAAGATGTCCAATAGTGAATGACTCCCGTTTGACATCGGCGTGTAAATCGGGGGTACGTGCCTAGAATTTTTCGCTTACGTAAATGCGATGTCAGTGGATGCCGATATGGTGGCCATAACATTTAGCGGATCCAGTCGCTAAATGTACTTAAAACTCTAAATCGCGCGGTAGGTGCACCTAACTACAAGGTACACTGTACATAACTACGCTTGCCTGCATGCAGCCTTACCCTTTTGCAAGCTTTGAGGCTGCATCGTCCAAAATCTACCACGCGATAGCTTCTTCAACCAACGCGCGACCATTGTTCTATCCGAACCACCATCATTCTCTCCCACCCAACTCAACGTTTCCCCTTCTCTCTAATCATCGCCCACATTTCGCATCGATAGTTGGCCGGTTTTCTTTGAGGGAAGGGTGATCGCTGTACAACACTCACACAGTCACTTTCTTTGTTCATCTTCTCTAATTCTTTCTATCATCACAACTTTACCACTTATTTTTTTGACTTGTCACCTTACTGAATATTCCCTCTGGCAATGGTGCACGGTTGCCTCAAAGATTTTTCCAGAGACCCTAATCAACAAACGCTTTCAAGCACCGTACATCGCCATACTACTGGGTCTACCCTAAGTATGCTTCCTTGAGAGTTTTTCCCGTAATTTTCTCTATTTCATCATCCCCACCCGCATTTTGGTCTCCAGCCTCATCTTCGATGACCTTTGTTTTCACTTAACCTTTGTCGCACATAACCAAAATGCCTCCGAAACGAAAGAGAAATGAGAGGCCATCCGATGCTGGAGCAAACCGGCCTGCTCCTCATCGTCCTTCCGACACAACCCTCGGCCAACACGACCGAGATTTCCAAGATAGCCCTTCACAGAACCGTCGCGCATCTAGCGGCCGAAATACAAGAAGAAATAATGACCGTCGCGATTCCTCGGGCGGCCAGCTAGGCTCGAATCCTAGCCATCGAGGTCCTGTCTCCCCGTCGACTGCTCGACCGCCTAGTTCATCCTCCCAGATTGCTCCGTCAGCGATCCCTTCTACGCCTTCCGCCCCTCAACCCACCCAATCTCGCCCTCCGACTCCTTCCAACTATAACTACGCTATCTTAACAAAATCACGAATTTCCGCTTGGCAACAAAAAGGTCGCCAGGAGGTTGTTGAACATGGAATCAAGTCTCGTAACGACGAAGACGTTGAAGAAATCTCGACCATCTCCCAAGAATTCACGCGTGCTGTACTCGAAGGTCGCCTTAATCCAACTGATGCAGGAAATTGCATGAAACAAATCCTTGGACCACCGGTCGAAGATACATACGGTTCTGGATTCGGGTTTGATGCGCAAACACTATTCCTCGATACCCTTTCCATCTTCATCGATTCTGAAGATGGAGGATCCCGATCACAGCTGCGAGATTTTGTTGATGCCACAGAGGTATCCCCGAAACTTCTGCGCGAAGTTCTAGATGCACCGGCTTTACAACAACTTGGCTTGATCCGCGAAACTTTCGTGAAGTTGGGTATTCGCTACGCCACAAATCAATTGTACCGACAAGCCAACTACAACTTACTGCGTGAGGAGTCCGAGGGGTACTCTAAGCTTGCCGCGGAACTCTATCGCACGCCTTATTACGCCCGAGACCACAATGATTTTGCCCTTGTGCAAGCCTGCTGGGAGCGCGTGAAGGGCTTGATTGGAACCTTTGATCTTGATGTTGGTAGAGTTTTGGATGTTGTTATAGATGTTTTCTCTGCAACTATGTTGCGGAACATCGTATTCTTCTCACGATTTTTACGAATCAGTTCTTGGTGGCCTCGTAATCAGATCGATCACTCTGAGAGAGTCTTTGCGGGCGGCTTACCAAAATGGGCACTACCTCAGAACGAAGATTTTTCCGGCGACGAACTCAGAGCCCAGCTTGCCGAAGAATCTCACCAACGAGACTTGACGTTTTGGGATCGAGCCCGAGAAGTCCACTTGGATGCATTCTTCGAGCTGGGTGGAAGACGGATCCAAGATCCAGATCAGTACGACTCTCTAGAGGCTACATCTGGTTCCAAGGCGAATGACCCTACTCTGGATTGGATAAGAACTACGAAGACCCTCCCACCTTGCGGTAATAAGGTTGCTGCACAGCTATTGGGTTTCAAGTTTCGGTTTTATGCCTCCGATGCCAGAGATAAGGGAGAAACACTTCCAGCAAATCTGTATTACCTTGCGGCTTTCTTCATGAAGGCTGGATTCATCTCCCTAGCTGATCTTTACCCTCATCTATGGCCAGAAGATAGCCAAATGGAGTCTTTGAGAGATCGACGAATGCAAGAACTTGACGAGAAAGAACGATCTAAAAGACAAGGCAATGAACCGAACGCCCTTCTCACGGCTGGCGCTCTTACCGATGACACCCTCCCGACTTCCTCGAAGCCACGAGAATCCGCAACTGCGAATGATGGAAATCAACAAGATGCAAATGCTGCCAAGGAGGGGGATGGGACAAGTCTCCCAGAGCCAAAAGAGGCTCATAAGGCAGACCTGGTTTCTCATCTGTTAGTCGTGGGTGCGATTCCTGAGGCTCTATTTATCTTAGGACGCTTTCCTTGGTTACCCGAGGCGTACCCCGATGAGATCTATCCGGCTATTAATCGTATTTTATTGCATTCCATTAGCAAGGTTTTCGGAGACACACAACCTGCCGCGGCTCGACCTCTAACTGTCCAGCCTCTCAAGCAGGAGATAGCCCTAGATCAAACTGGTGCGTCTAAGGGTACCTTGAAACTAACTGATGGTTCTCCCGTCAAGATCTTGAAATGGCCGCATGCCGATGGTATCAACAAAGGCACACTCTACCGATTTTATTTTGATGAATGGGCAGATAACGTTCCGATTTGCCAAACTGTCGACGATGTCTTCACACTTTGCAGCACATTCCTTAACATATCTGGTGTCAACATCGGAAGAGAACCTTCTCTAGTTAAGAAAATAGCCACTATCGGAGTGAAAAGCTTCGCACAAGACCCCTCGCCAGAAAATGCTGCACGTTGGCAAGATCTCCTTCGAAGGACCCTTGTCCCCGCATTATGCCTTTGTGATTCTAATGTTGATGTTGCCGCTGCGGTTTGGGATCTTCTGAAGCATTATCCGACACAAGTTCGTTACAATATCTATTCAGAATGCTACGAAGGACAAATATCTCGACTTCCTGCCATGGCAAAGGCTTTCAAGAATACCAGACTGGACACGTTGGCAACTCTAAAACGACTTTCCCTGCAGAATCTTTCAAGCTCTGCGAAAAAGCTTGCCAAAGTAGCAATGTCATCACCTGGTATTGTGTGCAAGGTTGCTCTCGACCAAATCGAAGCATACACCAACCTTATCGAAGCCTTTGTGGAGTGCACAAAGTACTTTACAGAGATGGGTCATGATGTTCTTGTATGGTCTCTACTGAGTTCGCTTGGTGGTAAGCAAAGGAGCAGGACTCAGGAAACATCCGTGCTCTTGACTAGTCGATGGTTACAAGCCCTCTCCAAATTTTCTGGAAGAGTATTTCGACGATATGGTAACATGGATCCTACTCCCGTCATCTACTATGTGAATAATCAAGTCGCGAACGGTAATTCCACCGACTTGATAATTCTACGGGAGCTTATCACTTCTATGGGAGGTATCGTCTCAGATATCGATTTCACGGATGCCCAGCTATTTGCTCTAAGTGGTGGTGAGCTTTTACGGCGCCAAACGTTGGTCAGTTTAGGCGACAAGCGCTATGAGTCGGCTAAAAGCGCCACTCGCCTCATGAAGGCTTTAATGCAGACGGATCTAGCTTGCCAACTTCTGACAAATATGGCCCAATATCGACAATCCGCCATTTACCACTTACCAGAGAACGAAACACACATCAAGTACCTCGCCAGCGTTATTGATGATTCTCAACAAGCCTTGGTCCAATACGTGGAGCTTTTGCGAAATAATCTCCCACCCGAGCAGTTCGACGCGCTTATCCCGAGTATCCCTCGGTTAATGACGGAGTTCGGCCTCGATGCCAATCTGGCCTTCATGATTGGTCGTGCTAGCCTTCAATATTTTATGATGGGTCCGGGAGAAAAGCTTACGATAACCGCTTCTGACTCGCCAGGAGACGCAGATGGCGATGTGGCTATGGATGCGAAGAATAGCGAGGGCGCGACTACGTCCGCCGCTGCACCAGATTCCGAGGATCAAATGGCAGTAGATGTACCAGAAACGGATGCGGAAAGCCCCCCACAATTACCGAATACGGTAAACGGCCAGAAATCCGACCGTTTCTTGGATGTGCTCGGACCTATCACGAACGCTGTACGGACTTTGTTGCCTTCAGAAGTATGGGACAAAATCAACCCAGAGTTCTTCGTCCTTTTCTGGTCTCTCCAGACAGGAGATCTCGTGGTTCCCATGAACAGCTACGAGGCAGAAACTGCGCGAGTAGAAAAGCAATATGCTGAATTGAAACGGGAGCGAGGCGACATGAGTAATAAAAAGAAATCGCTTGATGCTCTCGTTCAGACTAACAAGGATCTCGCTGCTGAGGCAAGTGCCTGTCGCGAGCGGGTGAGCAAGACCAAAATTATGCTCATCAAGCAAAGTCCGCGATGGTTCTATTCATCAGCAAAGGCAGATTCAATTGCTGATACCTTCATCGAAGAATGCCTTATGCCCCGCATTCTGCTTTCGCCTGGCGATGCTGACTTCTGCCACCGAATGATCAAATTCATGCATTCTAGTCGAGTGGCAAATTTTAAGCTCGTCGACTTATACGATCGATTTTTCGGCGTGAATAGATTACGAATGATGATATTTGGCTGTACCGTCCGGGAAGCCGAATTCCTTGGTCGATTCATTAAATTGACATTGGGAGACCTCGCGAGATGGCATAAAGATAAGGATACATACGCCAGGGAAGCGATTCAAAATGGAAAACTTGGATTCGCCACAGCGTTTGACGACAACGGCAAGCCAATGTCATTCATGGAGCACGACCAATTCCGTGACTTACTGTGGACTTGGCATCGAAACCTATCAGCGGCTCTACGAGCCTGTCTTGGAGGCATAGAATGGATGCATATAAGAAATGCTATCACAGTGTTGAAGGCAGGCCTAGAACATTTCCCTGCTGTAGACTTCATGGGTCGGCAGTTCCTACAGGTTCTCGGGAAGATTGCAGAACGAGAAGCTGCCTCTAAGAATGAGGGCGAAGATGGACAAAGTCATAGGGTCGATCTTTCAGTCACCGCCAATACCGCGACATCTGCTCTCAAGAAATACTCGACTAAATGGGTCATGGTTCAAGCTTTCAGATCTAATACCGTAAGTCCTCCATTTTATACTATAATTTAATTTCATGCTAATTCTTCTGCAGAGTGGCGATGCGGCCGAGGATAAAAAGTCAGCGGAGCCTACAAAGCCTACACAGCCAGCAAGTCTTCGGCCGAGCGCGCCAGAGTTCAAGCCAACATCAACAAGGTAAGAGCATCTCCTCTTAAGAATGCTTGAATGGAAAACTCATACTTCTAAAGCGCGACCATCCGGCCTAAGACAAACGAGGAAGAAGATGGTGAGGTGAAGGATGTGAAAACGTCATCTAGTTCCGAAATCGCCAAGAAGGGCACAGATTCCCCACGACCTGCGCAATCTAATAGGGATACTCCTCAGAAGCCTGCAGGCCCTCCTCAAAAGCCCGATTCAAAGTCAATCCCAAGCCGATCGTCAACTCCAAGATCCGTGCCGACCGCTCCAGCGCCGGTTTCCGGTCAAAGAGGGGAGTCGTCCCGCCCGTCAACTTTGGCCCCCGCACCTGGGCTACCTAGCCGACCTGAGGTTCCGTTCCCCGCGCATTTTACACACGACAAATTCGGACAGATAACAACTTCAACACATAACCGCGATCATGGCACTCCAAGGGAAACCAGAGATTCTAGAGAAGTACGAGGGACGGTGAGGGATCCGAGAGATCGTGATTCGAGGGAAATAAAGGATGCAGCGGGACCGAGACCTTTCAGGCCTCCAGAAGATCCGCGCTCGACTCGACCACGGGAGCAACCAGTTGCAGATCGTCGGGTTCCTGAAGGCATACCTAGAGACGCACCAAGAGCCGAGAGAGATCGACTGCCACACAGACCAGAGCTTCCCCGACGTAACGAATCGAGTTCATCTGAGCGCGAACCCCGTGGTCCACGGGACCGGTCCACCGCCCCAAGCGGCCCGAACCGAGGGCCCGAAACGGCCCGTCCGCGTGGTGAGAGCGCCGCTACGACAAAACCCATGGCACCTCCTCTGCAACCAGAATCCCAAGGCCCGACAGTGAACCCGGAACGTGCGCGACTAATTGGTGCGGATCGACCCGACGAGCGCCCAAATGCGTTAAATCCACAACGCGCCGCTCTTATTCATTCAACAAATTCGAGACCGAATAGCCGCCAAGGTAGAGAGGGCAGCCGAGATCGTAATGGTTCCCGGCCTATGTCTCCGCGAGGTAATCGTTCGGATTCTAGATCTGGCGATCTGGGTCGCGATGATCGGAATAACCGATCTCATCGTGCGGATCATCCATCTCGCGATCACTGGAATGAACAACTACCATCTTCTGGACCTAAAGCTGGGAGAGCCATGGACCATGAAGGCGATCGTAGCACGATAGACAGGCCACGTGAGCCCGCCGCATTTCAAGGACCATCGCACGCACCCCGAGGTGAATCTGATCATGGTAGGTTAAGCAACCAAGATCCAGAATACGGTCGCCTAAGCTCAATTCCATCGATTGGCAATGATCCGACTAATCCCCCTGAGGGTCCCCGTGGTCGTGGCCGTAATTCAGCTCGTGGACCACCCAACCCACCAGGACGACCAGATCCTAGGTTCGCAGGCAATGATCCTCTTCGGCCCACATCGCCTGACAGACACCATCCTCCTACTGGCCCTGCATCGTCTAGACCACGTCGGGGCCAGACTGGAGGACAGTATAGTCATGGAAATGGGCCGGCTAGTTCTCCAGCAGCCAACAACTCAACAGCAGGGATACATCCAGAGAGATTGAGACAGTTAAACCCAGGCAGTTCCACCGCATCAGGGCCGAATCCTCAACCTTCATACCCGGTCCCTTCAGCCGGCGTGCATCCCGATAGAATGGGTCATATTGTACCATCGCCTTCCGGGCCTTCTGGGCCTCATCATGGGGGCCGTTCCAACTTGCCGCCTTTGCAGACCCCCGAGCGGCCATCGGTTCCCGGAGCATCGAGCCACCGACAACCATCTGGAGGTCGCCCCATAGCATCTGGTCCTGATTCTCCTAATCTCATGTCTGCACCCACAGGACCGTCATCGGCTAATGAACGTGCCCGAACTGGTGGAAAAAGACAACTGTCTGGAATCAACACAATTCTCCAACAACCAAATCCCATGCGTCAGAGTCGCTCTCGATCTAACCTAGCTGGCTCTGATGCCCAAGTGCTCACGGGCGCATCACCTGTTTCGACGCCGGTGCACGAACGACCTAACCCTAACGTATTGACAGGCGATCGTAGCATGAATGGGCCCGAATACGCTGGACGAAACGACCATGAGCGAGGTCGAAGGGATCATAATAATACCGATCGATCTTCACGTTCGTCGCGACGAAACAGCAGGGACCGTAGCCCTGATCAGAGAAAAGATCACCGTAATGAACACCGCGACCGAAAGTCTAATGCTGGCCCGCCCAGTCATGGAAAAGAGGGCGAGATGGACCCGCCGCGCCGAACTGGCCGGGAGCCTTCGGGCGCGGGCCGAGAACTAATTCCTGGCGGTGGAAGAGGCGATATAATGGGAGGTGGCCGTGACGGCCCACGGGAGTCACGCCACCGCGGAGATGGTAGTGGTAGACACGAAGATTATGGACGTGGACGAGGCGGAGGTGGAACAGGTGGTAGGCCACGTGGCGATGACCGGCGAGAATCAAGAGACAACGATCGAGGCGGCCGGAAGCGCCAGAGCGATGATTTTGGAGGACCGAATGAGAAGAGGCAGAGACGCTAGGTGCGTGGTTATGGGGTAAACCATACTCCGCCGATTCATGTTAAAAGACCTCCATATTGAACTTTTTTTCTTTTCGACTACATTGTATTATGGAAATCGGCTCAGGAAGGGAACAACAAGAGCGAATAATCTTAGATCGCTAGCAAGGACAACAGAGGCAGTCGTTGATCACTACACAGTCTTCATAGCATATTCACATCGGTGTCCAAGGCGATGGACCAGGACGAAGGACAAGGATACGAGAACTCCACTAGCATTTGTGCTTTTACAATCGACCATACTGGCATCTGTTTTTATTATTATTGCTTTATTTTGACTTCAAATTTTTGTTACGCGCAAAGGGAATAAATGGAAGTTCGATCGTCACGGCACACAGATCAATCAAGTCAGTCAGTCAAGCAATAAGCGAGAGAGGCCGGAAAAGGGAGGAAATACCAAAACATTGTTTTAATTCAGAGAAAGTCTTCAATTGTCCTCCCAACTACTACTACTTCTACCAAAAAGTATTGCATCGCTTCCGGCGTTATGAGAGATACCAAAGCAAAAAATAAACAGGCAGAATCCGCGTTTTCTGTCTGTTTATTCTGTACAACAATCGACATAACTAATTACGCATTATGATACCCCCCTTCTTTTTTGTCTCCTCGTTCCCCCTTACCGCGACCTACGTATGTTGTCGAGTTTTAAGGGGCGTCCGGTTTTATGCGAAAAGTACAAGCAAGTAGTGATGAATAAGGTTCCTTGGCGTGCGGCGTTTTTTAAAAAAGGAGAGGATTATTGAACTGTAGAACATAATTAAAAAGGGGGTTAAGGGAACAAAGGATTAGGAACAAGGCTTCTAGGTAGACCGCATTTACCAAGCGGTGAGAATGTCTAGTTGTAGGCGTAGCTGTGTAAGGTTACACAGGGAAATAGTGGAATATACCTCTCCGTAAGACGAAGGATTCAGAGTCGATCATATGTCCCTGCTGATGCGCCAGTGTGGCACGTACACGCGTGTATATGTGTTCCCCATGTCTAGGCCAAATTAATTGTCTAAGCCAATAATTCCTACCAAAATCAAGATACTTAAGGATCACAGCCCGGGAGGCCTAATCTTACGTAGCCAAGCCACAACCTCGGAATATACACGGCCAAGTTAGAAAGAACAACAATAGTATGCAGAAATTCCACGTATCGTTTCATTATATAGACATAAAACACTAAGGTATCGATCGATCTATATCTAAGTATGCCACCCTTTCCTGGTTTTTATTTGCTGCCTTGCTTTACTTTTGCCCTTTGCCAGCAAATAATGTAGTCCAGTTACTATCATGGGGAGTCGTAGCCAATAATGCTCAACATATAAACACGCATGCATAATCCAGCCACTCCAATCCAGTGCAGTTCACTTCGGTAGGTAGAAGTAGTGGGAATAAGACCAAACACATCAAGTCTTCGCCTGGTATAGATGGACCACTCGTAACGCCTCGCCTCAAATAAAAGCATCGTTCAAAAAACATTCCCTAACGCCGAACCTCAAGGCTGACCCCGCGGACCCCGAATATGCATTGTAGTGAAAACATAACCAGATCCCATGCGTCTCAAATGCTATGCTTCACTTTCATCTCGCGCCGCCTTGTGGGGTTCGGTCGCCCCATAACGCGTTGCCGACACGGACTTGCGTTGAACTCCTTTGACCTGCTCTGGGTCCGCCTTGCGGCTCGCTCCAGCCCGCTGTACTTCCACCCTGGCTGCTGTACATTTCACGAGGATCATATTCGTATCGTGCGCCCGGAGCTCCCAGGTCACCCCTCGCATCATCGTAAGGGGCGTAGGACACCGGAGACTCATGAATGTGGTTAGGGTCGTCATAAAGCTGCGTTGGCCGCGAGTCCAAGTATGGGCCAGGTTGGCGTCTCGGGGGACTGCCGGGATTCGGCTGGGCGTTAACTATCAACCCAGCACTCTCTTCAGGGACCGGATCGCCAGGGTTATGTGGAAGTCCGAAGGCGCTTCGTCGGAACTCGTTTGCAATCGGTAGGCCGTCCGCACCTTTCCCGCCGGCATGAGCTGCAGTGTACGGTTTCATAGGGTAACTAGTATCGATATCTTCAGGCTTGGCCTGGTAGCTGGGATCTTGGTGGCGGCGCTTAACCCCCACAAACAACCATCTCATACCACGACCAAAGGCCTTAATAACATCCCATAAGTTGAGAGCGTCTCCGAAAGCTTTCAGACCCATGAAACCACCCATCTTAGGGTGATGCTCATTTTCGCGAGGCGGTATCTCCATAGACGGATCGGGAACGGGGTAGAAACTCGTCTTGGCGTTTTCTTTATAGGGAGCATAAGGGAATGCCCACAAGTGAAGTATGCCGAATAGGGCCATCTCGACGCAGAGCATCAAACTAGGAATTCCAACTTTCAAATCGGGATAGGCGAGAACGGCGTTCGGGTTGACGATATGAAGGGTCGAGGTTCCGAGTGAGATGGCAATAGTTTGCCAGAAAGACAAAAAGATGACCAATTTGATAGCCAGAACTTTGAGGAATGGCTTGTGTTCCGCAAGTGGCTCCCGTAACTGTACATAGAACTGAATGACACAGTACATAGCAATGGTGACTGCTATACATTCGATTGCAATAACCTATGGCAAGGTAAGTAATAGGCCCCTCTCCGTTTACGATGCAATATAACCTACCCAGATATGAGCGAAAACGGGGCTATTAGAACTCTCGCAATACCGTTCAAAGTATTGCGTTACGACGGCCGTAATAGTCATAGCAACTCGGATGAAGCAATAATGATAGATACCGATCCAAATAATGTTGAACCAAGTTAGACCGCTCTTCGGAGTTCTCCAAGGTCCTCGGTCTCCTCCGCAACACTTGGCAAACCAATTTATCGGCCAAACCCATTCTTTTATAGGGCGCATATGTCGAAAGAATTCTTTTTGCTCGTGGAGATCGGGTGCGACATAATGGCATAAAAGCGCGAAGAAAGAGGCGATGGCAAACGCTTCATAACAGTCGCTGATAACCTGGAAGTAGACGGCGTGCCAATAATACCATATACACAAGAAAGCCGAGGTAGCGTAAACGGGGACCATAAATAAAATACGAATAATACTAGTAGAAGTTAGCGGTTTTGTCGATAGGTTGTTGGCGCATTTGAATAGACATACTGTCTCTGTTCTTGAGGTTTTGTGTAGTTGATGGCATGTCGCCACATCAAGTAAAAGCTAGCGATGTAGGCGACTATGGTAGAGGCGCCAGAGATTATGAGGGCGAGCTGGTGGAAGGTCAAGGATCCTGCGATCTTCTCCTCCGACCCGACTATAAGATCTTGTCAGCATGACATCTTGGCGCCACGACTCTGGGCATGCAGGGACGATAGATAGCAAGATGACTTTTTTGTTGATATACATACTCCTCATATCCTCTAACGTGGAATTACATGTTAAATTCATCGCGCCGGCTTCGATTCAATCATCCGTGAAACGTTGTAGGAATCGAACGTTATAGGTTTAATCCTCGAATATGCACTCGTTTCTTCCTCCAAATAACGCTATGTTTATTAGAATTCGCTCGATACGAATAATTGTATTATGTTCGAAATAATTTGTGATTGACGTGGCTAGTCGATGTCGTGGGAAAAGGATTTGGTGGCTATGCTAATGCTTGCGACGCAAACGGAAACACGAGTCGATCGGAACTCGATAATTGGACGGGTCTCTACGTCGAATGTATTTTATACTGGGAGAACGATGCGCGACCGACCGGCGGGTGAGGTTTTATTCGTGGCGTATTATAAAATAGCGAAAGGGGGGGTATCGTAATGAATGAAAAGATGTAAATGAGAAGAAAGGGTTGACTTGGCGGGATGATGGAATAAGTTGAGTTGAGTTGAGCCGAGTTGGGCAGGTTTGGAACAAAGAAACTACTGCTCAGCCCCGTTGGCAGTTGGAAACTACGCCGGGGTCTACCACATAATTCGTGAAGGTTTTGAAATTACAGGGCAGCACATAATCCCGAAGTACGTACTCTCAGAACCACTTTAACTCTACCCGTCCACTCACGTTCGTTTTGGGGGGGCAAACGGGAATTACGGCAGATACGGGTCAGAACCTTGGAAAGGCTTGGCAAGGGGTACGTGCTATGCAGCTGCACAATGTCGCGTACGTGCATGTACCTAAGTATTTTAGGGGATCAGGGGATCAAACGACAATTTTAAGTGGCTGATAAAAACCAGCGGGACGGCCATAAGTGGGCTTATATGGCGCTAAATCTGACCAGGTTCTACATACGCAGATACGAAAAAAATAGAGCTGAGCCACGGCTGTATGAACCTGTATAAAAACTCATTAGCCACAACATGTTACGCAATTGTATCCTTACTCATCCTATATCACTATCACGGAACTCAATAACGAATGAACACATCGTCGTACCCAGGAGGTAAGAATTTAATGCGATTGGTTGAAAAATGTACTTCCTCCAGTCAACACGAATGCGTTGTGGGCGAATTAACTAGAAGAGAAATATACTTACGCGTTTTGCATCGCGCATCATCGTAGGGGTACTAGGCTGTTCGCTGTGCGGCATTCTAAAGAGAGTTGGCATTATGTCACAAAGATCAATTGTATATTAATAGAATATTTCCATTGTTTCTTTGGGCCTAGAGCCAACTTATACTCTACCTATTTTCAATTCTTTAGAGTTTAATAATAATCCCTGGCCCAAATACTTAGGTACTTAGGTACATACTCTCTTTGGAAGGACCCTCTCGAATCCAGCCAATCAGGGCTTAGTAGACTTTATACTATGGCCTTCCCATACTGGAGGTCAGCCAAAACTCCGATTGCACCAGTTCAACTAGTGCCGAGCGCTGTTTATTTAAATGGGATTTAATTTTGGTGGCTTCGAACGACAAGTCAGTATACGGCAATGCTCAACAGACATATACACCACCCAAAATGCCTAAAAAAACTACCGCTGGTGTGAGCTGCCCTGAGACCCCCTAAGTTGTTGCTGCTGTACCCTGAGCTAAGGGTGATCTTGTTGGTTGCCCTTTACGACAAAACGGAAAGGTTAGATCCAGATATCGATATGATTAAGGGGATCACTCCCACAAGAGGATGTAGACCCAAGAAGAAAGATACCCGAATAGCATTGGAGAGGTCATTCTACAAAGTAACCACAATCCAGTTGTAGATATTCCCATATGTCAGCTTAAAAATATCTCACTTACTAGGTATTAATTAAGGCAGCGTTTACCTACGGCCTGTAATATATCTTATTTGCGCTGTTTGAGTGATAATTCCCTACTGCTTGTAACCCCCTATTCGGCCAATTTAACACCCTTCCTGCTGCTATCTTAACCTCTCCTATATCTCCAGTCTTAACATGCCAACCGAATTTAACGAACAAAGTGCTGCATAAGGGTTATGATTGGGTTTAAGTCTCAAAGCGAGATTGGTTACACAAAATGAGACATATATAAAGAATCAAACAAAGATGTCATCCAAGTAAGGGGCAGTACGTTGGACAAACTAGATATGATTTACACTATTATTACTCGTATGTACTAGAGGTATAGTGATTACGAAATAATGGGGCACATCCCCTTTTGGCATGTATGTTGGACGATTCATCAGTAAAATATTATTTATAGTTAGCCCCGAGGAGTATCACCTGATAGGTTATGCGTTATCAGTGGCTTTACTACCCCAACACCTTCACGTCCATAAGTTGCTCCGAGTTGTTTCCAACTAGTCGCAACAGAACCATCTTCTTCACCGTTTCTTGGCAGCGATCGATTTCAATAAGCCTGGCCGTTATCTCATCTCCAGAAGCAGAGAATGGATAGCAAGCGGATTCGCATCGCTATAATTGGTGGTGGCCTAGCCGGTGCTTCCGTAGCTAACGGCCTTTTCCACCTCCCCCATATAGAAGTCCATGTTTTCGAGTCCGCTCCCGAATTTTACGAGCGCGGTGCTGCTGCTGGGATTTCCCTCAATGCTCAGCGAGCTTTAAATGCAATTATTCCCCTTGATAGAGGTGTGCTTCAAAAGGCCGGTGCTGTTCCCATGAACAGTTCCCGGATCATCTTGGTAAGCGGGGAAATAGTCGTCAATCAAATGTATAACGCTGATTAACGGTTAATAGGGGTCGGGGAAAGATGCTGGGACGGTTATCTTCGACTTGAGGACGGGGGTGTGTGTCCACCGGGCATCACTCCTTCGCGAGTTACTCAGCCCTTTGCCCAAGGAGATTCTGCACCCCAATAAACAGCTTGTCGCCATCAATCCCAAATCCTCTGGTGTTGAGCTCGTCTTCAAAGATGGCTCTAAGTACGAATTTGATGCTGTCATCGGTGTCGATGGTATCTTCAGTTTTGTTCGGCAACATGTCTTTCGAGATACTGCCCCTGGAGAGGACTACGGGCCTTCTCCAGCGGGATTCTGGGATTGCCGAAATTTAGTCCCATTGGATAAAGCTAAATCGACGTTAGGCAAGGATCTTTTTGAGGATGATCGACGGTACTCCTGGGTTAGTGATGGAGCGTTTATCATACACGACATATTAGAGGACAGAACGATGGTACAGTGCATAGTGTCTGCTATCGACAAGAAACAGTCCTTTACTAAGTCTAGGAAGTCTCTCCTGGTACAGCAAGATCTGAAGGAAACTCTGAATACGTGGCTTGGTGGTCCAATTGCCAGTGGGATGATAGACGTCAGTTTCCTCTCTCCCAATGTCTCGCCCCCATCATCAGAAGGGTGCTAAACTATTCTAGCTCACACTCAATCAACCTGATACTTACAAGTACTCTCAATGGGAGCACAAGGCGACACCTACTTATTTTGAAGATCGCGTCTGTCTTGTGGGAGATGCAGCTCACGCATCTTCATCCTGGATGGGTGCCGGCGCTGGAATAGCCATCGAGGATGCTATTAGCAAGCTCTTCGCCAATATCTCATCTCCAAAAGAAATCACAGCGGCTTTCAAAGCATACGACACGGTACGCCGGCTACGATGCCAAAGGGTCGTTGATTCGAGCCGAGAGACAGGACTTCTTTTCTGCGGCAAGTATGGGCTGGATGTTGCTGAGTTGAGAGCCGAGATTTCAACAAGGTGGAACTTCATCCTCGATTTGGACATGGAGGCGCATCAACAGGAGGCCATGGAGTGTTTCACACAATATAAGGACAACCAATAGGTATCATCTTAGTCGCTTACTCCGCTGCATTTGGCTTAAAGCAGCGAGTCTTTCGATTGGTTCCTCGATGCCATGCGTGAATGGTCTCGGGTGCAGCAAGCTGTGTTGCCACTTTAACGAAAGACACTAGTCCGCCAAATGCGTTCTTGGTGCCTAGGTCACTTTTCCAAGCCCGATTCCCAAAAGTCTACTGCCTCGCGAGAAGTTGACATTCTATCTTCACCTTTCTTTATTTTGGAATAAATTACTTCGCTAATTCCATTTTGATGCCCCTTCTGGTCTGGCCTGAATAAAGCGGCAAAGGGAGAGGGTTTAGTAAAAATATCCAACTTTGTACATACAATCAAAACGCCACCGTCTCATTGATACTCCGGGGGTTATGAGCGAATTTGATTCCAGTTTAATTTGAACGCACCGAGGGCATACCCTGCACCCCTATGGCCGCGGCCTAATTAGGATGATTACATCTAGGTACTTGGTAGGTACCGATACGATTATACGGACATGGTTATGTTGAGTAGCTTACCAGGTGGCGTCCACTAAAAGCAATAGTAACCCAGTGTGGCTGCAGATGTGTATATTAAAGGGTTATACCTCCTCAAGCTCCTTTGTCTCTGAAAAGAAAAGGTGCTCATAGAGTAAGTGCCACCATCCACACTTTATAGCGAGCTTTCACCTATCATCTTCAAAAACACCATGGCCCAGTTTCAGCGCCCCCAATATACTTCTTTATCTCTTACTTGTATTGCAGTAAAGCGACCCAACTATCAGACAGCTCCAGGACTCTACGGAGTTACGGAGTTGCTACTGCAGATCTAATGCACATAACTCGGTAAGAGGATGTGGACGGGATGTGACGAACCAATAAACAACTCCCACCGTTTACTTTTTTTATTTTTGGTCATCCTTCTTCCGAGAGCCTGCTTAATTCCTGTTTAGATAGGTGATACAGTATCCTCTAGAGCAAGCCATGTCAATCTAGGCATATATATTGTGATCAAGATAGAGTAAAAATAGTAACATGAGCATGGCGTTACCATCGTAGGCTAAAGAACACGAGTATTTAGGAGTGTTGAAGAAGGGCTTCCTATATAGTCTAATTGTAAAATCATTATTATTGCGGTCATTTCCTATTACTTAACAGATACTACTGTATTGATACGTGCTGTTAAAATGGCGATTTCGTACAGTCGATTCTAGGAATGGCCCGACTGGCTAATCCTGTTAAAGAGTGGAACATCACGCCCAGGCCAAATCTTTTATAATTGCCTTCTTCTCGTCTTGGCATTGCTATTTTTCGTCTTCGCAGGTTTTGTTGGTCGTAGTGATGGGCTCCCAAAAAGTGCTGTCATGATTCAAAATTTAGACCGAGCATCACGTTATGTATGAAATCAATTCTCCTTCTCCTCAGTAACGTACACTAACCGAATTTAACAACCAAGGGTCCAACGATATTCCCAGTCCTCTACGCACTCGTCGTAGGTGGTGCTGTACGTTCTTTTGCCCTATGGAGACTTCAAATAGGAGAGACCATCGGCCTATTAGACCCGCTCCTAGGTAGTACTTTGGTTGGCGGTACGATTTCAACGCAGTTTGAGCGTAGTATAAAACAAATCGACTTTGTTACTGCTTTTATTTTGATCATATGGACCCTATCGCCTCTGGGGGCCAGGCATCGTTCAGAGTCATCCATTATCAAGACATCCCAACGGTCCAGAGTCAGACGCTTCGGTTTTTAGACTATTCTAACGTAACCTACCCGCAGGGTTTGACGACAGCAAGCTTCGGAAACTCTCTTGATACCATCGGCCCTGCCTTCCTGTCAACCATTATTTCTCCTTTGTCGATTAAAGAATCGTCGTCAGATTCGTGGGGAAACGTAAAAGTGCAATGATCGAAAGTTTACCGGGGTACACTCCAGTAAGGGAAGGCGGATGTATTTCTTACCCAGGATATTCGGAAAATAAACCTTATGCCTCTCTTATAGGGATTCCAATATCGAATCTTCCAAGCACCGGTATGACCAGTTTCAATCTCGAGACCTCTTATTGGACTCTCCAATGTCCCGACTATGGCCAACCCGACCAATATGACGACAATTATTGGATGGAGAACATGGCAAAAAACGTATCCGAAAACTGCGGTTATATGTCATGTACCGTAACCGACTGGCCATTCGCCGATGGTTCTAAAGGGAACGGGATCTTAGCCAATTGGGGATGGGCTGTGTCCAATACAAATGAAAATGACATGGCAAAGCGTCGTGAGGCAAACACCACAGAAAAGGTTCCTAAGATGCAGGTTTTCTATCGAAGCTCGAATTTTGGGACAACAGGGAATCTATTTACGGCAGCCAACTGTACTATAGCTACGACCTACGTTGAAGCTGGGTTAAATTGCAATGGCTGGGACTGTAAAGTTGATCGACTAAGGAGATCGAAAAAACGCGAAACATACCCGTCTACAGCCTATACCATCTTTGATTCGGGTTGGAGAGCAAGCATGAGTTCATTCTTAACAAATTTGGTAGACACAGCCGATAATCAGCTCAAGGAATCTGGAACGCCTGGACTTTTACAAGAATACATAGCCGACCCGACCAAACCCTTCAGCGGAGGCCAGTTCAAAGACCTCAGGGATGTCGGAAATGAGACGTTTGCCATGCGGTTTTCGCAGCTACTCAATACTTACTGGTCGACAGCTTATAATTTCAACCTAACTTACGGGGATCTGAAATTCACAAAACCTTTCTCATGACACTGAATATTATGATTCGGGTACAAACCCATTTACCGAGACAGTCGGAATTAACACGCGTCTCGAGACCCGTTTTGTCTACGATAGGGGTTGGATGACAGTACTTGTTCTTTCAACTTCTGTAATGTTTGTCAGTTGTGTGGTCAAACTGGTTCTCGATCTTAACATTTGAATACCCGATTTACTCATGAACGTGTCAACCATGTTACGAGGCACTACTACACGCCGCGACAGCCTACCACTCGGAGGATCAGCACTGGACGATAGTAAAAGGTCGAAATATTTACAAAACCGGGTAGTTAGATTTGGAGATATTAGGGCTGAAGACGAGTACGCCGGTGAGCTAGGAATTGGTGAGATAACAGGAGAGGAAGAGAGTGTAGGCAAGGCAAGATGTGACAGGAAATATTGGTAATTCTGGAATTTTTTGTTTCTCGGAGTATACACCTACAAAGAGTCGGAGCGACAACTACGTGAATGGGGCGTCTTGCACTTGCCGTATTTATCATTGGTTGTTATAAATTTACCGGGTTAGCAGGTGCAATGCTCCTGCCTGCCATATCACTTGCCCCGGAAACGCAGGTGCTGGTTTGGCACTTGCCGTTGAAGATTGGGCCGGGTGCCGGGCAACCCTCCACACGGCGACCAAATCTTCACGCGGAACACCTGCGCGTATTGATTTTCCATCGTTCCTCAACTCGCCGTCTGTGTTCTCGACGCCGTCAAGTATTTATCCTGAATTCATTCGCGCCGATTGCGCGCCTTTTCCATATGTCTTTTCTTCCTTTATGCGGCGGCATGGACACTCGCTTTACCAACCTGCCACCATGCGAAGCCTCGATTGAGCAGCTATTCAAAGATTTACCAGATCCCGAATCCGAAGATAATAACGACAAGCCGTGGCGTCAATACTCGAAGTACAAAAATGCGCTTTCTAAGTTTCTGAAGACAGAGATGACCAGCAGACGGGAGCATATCGACGAATGCATACTTTTCAGGGCCGTTGCTTACCATATGCTATCCAACTGGGCTCCAAAAATACGTCCTCCGCGTTATCAGTTCATCGAGACCATGGCTAATTTTTTCCTGGACTTACCGCTCATCGGCGATCAAGACTCAGCCAAATTACGATACTTTCGTTATTGCAAGTGGATTTTCCAAGGTAGAAAGGACAGCTACAATCACCGCCACCAAGCGACAGCGGCAGGAGGTGAACATAATGGACCAACTCAACGTCGCCGTGATTTCAGCCATCTAACCAAGTCGCTAACCGTTCCTTCACATTGTAACTATTGTCAAAAGCCAGAGGTCAAGTTCACATGCTCTGGCTGCGCACGAAAGAATTCCGGCTCCTTGACGATTGCTACTGGTTATTGTGGAAAGGATTGCCAGACTCTCGACTGGAATAACCACAAAGGGATTTGCTTCGATCGTAAGCGTCTTGGCCGAGCTGTAAATCTCACAAGAAAACTTATGGGCGTCGTGGAATATAGACTTAGCAATCTGACTTTGGAGGGTACCTTTGAAATTGACGGCATATTGTGCCTGACTGAAGAATCCCGAGCCCAAAGAGCATTGAGAGGTGATTGTTTTCTCAAAGAAATCAATTCTAAAAATTACCTGGAAAATGTTGATGTGGGGCACATTCAGCAGGCAGTAGAAGACCAATACTTCACGGATATACCTCTCGTGTTGTCCAGCTCCAGCCAGATATACACTTGGCTCTATAGTGGTATGTCTTTACCCCCACCTTGCAATTGCATTTCATACCTAGCTAACTAGTATTCAGGTCTCTGCCATCGCATTGAAGAATTCCTTGTATACGTCAAGAACGCGAACCGTCCTATCGTCCGCTTTACCGTAGACGACGGTATCAAGTCCAATATGTTACAACCTCACCGCGTATTGCGCGTAACCATGAAGTCAGGAGAGCAATTCGCTGTGGATCTGGCGTGCGGTCGATTCGGGTGGGAAGAATACGTGACACTCTGGGACCACTACATGAAGGAACGAATATTTCGGGTTATCAGGTCGGATGACCTAGGAGAGTTTGCGCTCAAGTACAATATGAAGATCCCTCCGTACTACCCCGTGACGGCTAAAGCTAAGGTTCATCTTCAATGGTTAGACGAGATCGTCGAGTATGCGACAAAACTCCTAGAACAACAGGGATTATCGATACATTTCGGCTACCACTTCGTAGGAATGGCAGACCACCATGCGTATACGGCAATCGAAGCTGCGATCATTGAAAAGGTATTGAGTTTCGATACTGAGAAAATTGTCGGACCCAATAGCCTCAGCGGTTGTCAGTATAGGATGTATCTCAATAACCACGCTGAAGAATGGGTTGAGTGGAATTGGACTGATAAATTGTACCTGGAAATGGTGTGGTTGCAAGGCGTGGCTATGGGAATCTTCGAGAATGACCACGATTTTTGCAAGGAGTTCTGGGTAGTTCATATTAGTGCAATGGGGCTCGGATTCAAAGAGAAGCCCCCTTCTGCACAAGAGGTACTGTATGGTGCCACTGTCTTCTCCACCTTTCCCGACCAGGACGCCGAAGGTTACACAGCGGCGATGCAGATAGCCAGCGACGTACAAAATTAGATCTCATCCGTTCCCCAATAAACAAAGATTGAAACAAAGATTGACTTTTACTACCTTATACTAGATTTCTCAAATACGAAACAGTAACTAGACCGGTAGCTACGATGTAGTCGATGCCTAGAAGCCTTGGTTGTATTAGGGGTGATTAGACGATATTTCATATTTCATTTTCTCTATCCTTCTAGACCTAGCGCCATAAACTTGCTCGTAATAAACCTACTGACTGTGAATCAATTACCCCATATTGTGAGGTGTGTTGGCATATCTAGATGCACTATTGATATGTCAACAAAGACTTCAACTCATACGGACACAAGGGTCCGCTGTAATATACAAGCAAGGAAAACCATTGTAATATCCATAGCTACCTAGGTACCTATATAGGCACTGCTAGAGAGAAACAGCCCTTGGCGGGGGCTGATGTGAGGATGCAGCTTCCCCTTAAAGCTCTATGCGGTCGGACCTGAAGCCACATGGATTGGCCTGTGACACCGTATGTTTGAGTAGGGAGCTACCGGGAGCGACATGATTGGCTGCGGATCTATCTAGCCTTAGTTTGAGATAGGAATTCTCTAGCCCTGGTTGACTGGTAATACGGCGTCGTTACTTCAGTCGCAAAATCCTTTTGTTCAGTCTTCAACGGTCGAGTAGAACCATAAACGTTGATAGACAACGGGCGGGAACTTTTACAGCGGCGATAATGGCGACCTGCCGTTCGTATAAGGCCTAGCCGGACTACTATCTCCTGAAACAATGGATAATTCCGAGAGATCGTATAAGGGGCTATTGAGGGGGAAAAGCGGTGGCTTGGTACGTTCCCTCAATGACTCCATAGATTGGTTGAATGACTTGGACTTTCGCAATAGGCTTGAAACCGGTCGTTCGGGCTCGACGGGGTCTTTTTCGAAGAGAACGTCGACATATTGCGATGCGATTCGTTGTCCCTCGAAGTTGACGGAGAACTCCACCGACGCTCCGTGAGAGATCATCTCAATTGTGTAGTTGAAGAATCGTAACTTCTCACCGGAAAGATTATCCTTAACCGGGAGTTGTGATGAAGGTATTGGAGAGCGAACTTGTATCGTGCATAGCTGCTTGATCGTAGTACTCTTCGGATCTTTTCGCCCTGGTGGTATTAAATCCTCGCAGGAGAAAATTGGTATGCCTACTTTAAAATGCGAGTTCAAGTCCATATTCCTTTCCAATGACGCATTGTAATATTCCACCTTCGTCTGCTCCTTTTCGAGTACTTTATCTCCCTGAACACCGTGTTAGTATCTTCATCCACACTTCCGCCGATCTACTCGTCGAACTTACGCGAACCAAGAACCAATTCATCTGTCTACGCGCAAAATAGGCCGTTTCTATATTGCAGTATTCTCTATCTTCCAGCAGATGTATTGACTCGTTGAAGTGATGTCGAGATTCTGTACCAAAGCTGGCTCGCGATATCCTAGAAGAGACCTGGACAAGAGAATGGGACAGTAATCCTCTAGATGTTAGGGCGCTAAGTACTGCACCGCGGCAAACTGCAGTCCATCTATAATATAAATGTGTTAGTAGAAGTTCTCACTCATTTTACGGCACCTCCTTGGTTTACATACGGCGCTGGTCCGGAGCCTTGGAGCACGTCGCTTTGATCTCCCACTAAGATAGAAAGCCTCTCGTATAAAAATCTGCAACGGCCGAAACCTCCGACTAAAATGACGTACTGAATAACTGTTAGTCATATTGTCATCTTAATCAGATGCGGGTTGATTGTCTCACTTTCGGTGGCTGCTTCAGCTTTTCGTTGACCTTTTTGAATTGTTGGCCGACAAGACCTTCAATTTGGCTTATGACATTTTCGAATACTTCTTCAATATGGCCACTAAAACCGATTAATACTCATTCAGCCCAGTTTGAATTAATATTTGGGAACTTGTACCTCTTCAACTCAATACGAGGAAATCGTCCCCCTTTGGCGCATTGGGGTGGTAGATCGACGGGCCAATTCCTCGGACGTCCGTCGAATTGCTGTTTTATTCCATGTTCCCAGGCCGTGTCCATGGTCTTCTGGATTTCATGTCGGGGAATCTTATCCCAAGTTTCTTTACCGATCCGCATTCTTAATAACGCCTCGAAGTCTTGGTCGAGAAATACTCCGCCGCATAGCGCGCCTTGATAATTGTCTTAGTACTTCGGGATCGTTTCCACCATCTAGGTCTTACATACCTGTCCCTTCTACACACTCCTTGACTTCTAAGGGATTGGCATTGACAACTTCGTAACTGATTATATCCTATATCCGTTATTAGATAGTTTCAATCAATTAATTAAAGTCTCACTTACGACGGTACCGCCACCACAGTCCGTGACGACAAAAGCATCCCCTACCTTATCGCGTATTTAGCATCCTATTCTCCACAAGTGCAATTCAATCCACTAACCTCGATATCTGGCCTACGCCTCATATCGGAAAAGGTAGCTAGAGCAGCTGCTTCAGGCTCAGTGATAAATGTTAAGATCGTGGGACCACAAGGGCGATCTGCGAGAATTCCAGCTTGCCTAGCAGCCTGACGCATCCTAGCAAGCGCGTATGTCTTCCATATCGCTGGAATAGTAATTACCACATGAAATGGCGTTTTATCCAAGGGTCTTTTCCCCATCGACCGACGGACGTTTCCGAGCGCGTGGCTCCATAGGTGTCTCAGGTAATCCGCAATAACTTCAACGGGATCTTTACCCGATTCCTTCAACATCTGCCGCGCGCGGGCGAGTTGTGGGCTGTCTCTGAGGTGGTCGGCCAAGTCATTCTCGTTTAGGAGTAAGAGCTTGAACCATTGGAAAGGTTGTTCCGTTAGAGGTATCGCGTAGCCCCATGTACTTCCCTCTGGTTTGTAGTTGATGGCGGTTGGGCACTTTTCGCGTTCTTCGTTTCCGTAAAGCTGCGATTCCCAGTTCGTAATGGTGAATACGTCTTCGGGCTGCCCCGTCCAAGCCCAAGCAACTCCAGTGTAGCTAAGACGAGTTGAAAGGTCAGTATCCAGGTCTCCCGGTTCCATGGGGTTGGGTTCTACTCACGTTGTTCCGAAATCTATGCCGAATATTATACATTTCTTGGCAGGCGGCGACTTCGCTTCATTACCAGAGCCTGGAGAGGGTTCAGCCATTGTATTAAATCTGTTACTGGTTATCGTGAAATGGTCTTGGGGTAACAGCTTTGGTAAAACGACGTCTCTAAAGAATGTTGTGTTGGGTGTTAACGAAGATTCCGTCACCAGCGCCGACGGATTTGAGATGAACTCGATTGGTAGAGGCCGCCGCGGCACTTTACTGATATCTATGTAGCACTCGGCGATTCGCGCAGCTGATCCATTCCCTCCCGCCTCTACCTGGGTAGCTATTGACGCCTCACTAATAGACTATTGGTTAGGGGGCGATGCAGCCTAGATCCTGCTGCGACTTCTCCGTGCGGGCCGCATAGTCGAGCTAGGGTGCTTGAAAGTGCAACAATTGTACCTATACTTCCCCCAACGTGGCGGCGCAACTCCGAAAGCCCGGGCTTGACACTGATACTTGTAGATTTAATCAGAGATGGTTCAATTGACGAGAAGTATCCCATTATTATCTCAAGTTTCGCGTTCTTCTCTTGAATACTCAATTCACTCATGCAGGAAACCATGGTTCGAGTAACAGGAAATGAAGCCAGCATGGTGCTGGTAATGGGAGTAACGGGCTCGGGGAAGTCTCGGTTTGTGAATCTACTGAGAGGCGGTTCAGTCGAAGAAGGGGACGGTCTTATGTCCGGTAAGCTCTTTCAAAGCCAAGCCCCCATCAATTTCAATATACTGAACGGCATCTAGTTACTCAAGAATGCCAAATCGTGCGCGTCAAGATCGGTTCAGAGCTGGCCTACGTTGTAGACACTCCTGGATTCGACGATACTACAAGAAGCGATGCCGATATTTTTGAAGAGATTACGACTTTCCTGGCGACGCAGTATGCGTCGGGGTTGGCACTCAAGGGTATCACATTCCTCCACCGCATTACCGATGTGCGCATGCAGGGGAGCACCCTCAGCACTATGACCATGTTTAAGGAATTATGTGGTGATCACGCTCTCAAAAGCGTCGTGCTTCTTACTACCTTCTGGGACAAATTATCCGATAAGTCAATTGGTGCCCGAAGACAACAAGAATTACGACAGGAATTTTGGCTTGACATGACTGCGAAAGGTTCCCAAGTTCGCAGATTCGACGGTAGCCGAGACATGGCTGAGGCCTTGGTTATGCGGCTAGTGGACAGGCCACCGGTGGTGCTACAAATCCAGCGCGATATCATGCAACAAGGGAAGCGCTTAGAAGACACAGGCGTCGGCAGGAAGATTGCCACTAGGCTAGATCGAAGCCTAGAAGAGAAGGACAAGGAACTCGAGGATCTCGAAAAACAAATTTCCAAAGCCTCAAAACGACGGTCATCACGAGACCTAAAGCAGCTCGAAGAACGCCTTGGGAGAAAATTAACAGAGCGAGAGCGTATTTACGCTAGTCGACAAAAGCTGAAAGCCAGTTTGGGTCCAGAAATCAATGCGAAAGTCGAGAAACAGCAAAAATCGTCGCCAATTATGGATAAGATTCAATTCTTCGCTTCGATTTTGGGCATGACGGTGTCAGTGACGACAAACATTGTCCTGCCACTGCTCGGCGTGGCATTTTGAAGCGGGGTCGATTGTGTTCATGTATGTACCGGTACTTGTCATTTCGATGTGTTGTTATCGTAGCCTGCCTCGGAGCTGAGGGTGGCAGTGCGGGCGGCGTCTGTACCTTGTCGGCGCCAACATGGAATGGGACCAATTGAATGCGAAGGCTGTGCAACCCTTGAAACTACACTTTCCGAATGATGATATGTTAGGCTTTTTTTCATCCGTTGACATTATTGTAATCTCGCACTCCTTCCTGTGTTATCGCTTGCCGCCCAGACGGCTTCGAGTTCGGCCTCACCCCTAGGTCCGATCAGCCCTCTTGGCTTGATTATTGATGATTTTTAGGGCGAAATTATTAGCTGCCTAATTGGAGTTGAGAGGCGCAGAGTTCAGTCGGGATAGTTTCCGCCTTACTTGACTGCGTGAAATATTGGTTCGCAATTACTCACATGCCTATTATACTAGAAACTGATCGTCTAGTCACTAGGACATGAATCTTTTGAAATCAGGCTTGCGAGAGATGGGAATAAACACGGACGAGAAGAGTGAGACTCGCGGGCGGGGGAGGCCATCCGAAAGGAAGACGGGCTCTCATTCATCGCTCAGCTCCAAACCCGATAAGTTTGGGTATGTAGCTCTCACATCCCCGATGGTCAATCAAAATTCATTCTTTGTAGTAGGGAATCCCCCAATAGCATGATACCTAGGTCGAATGGCGAACCAAGGCCTCTCAATCAGAAGAGAGCGCTTAGCCGGCAGAGACAAAATTTGGGCGAAGATGGCGGATTGAAATCTCGGCCAAGCACGTCTTCTTCTACCCATAATAAGACGGCATCGATAGAAAAAGCGAGAGCGGATAAGGCCCAGCTAATGTCGAAGGCTTCGCTGGAGAAAGCACGAACAGAAACCCCGGATGTGAAGCATGAACCAGATAACGCCAAAGCATCCAACACGCCGGGGCGAAGGGCGGAAGAAGGCAGCAATGCCAGGAAACAATCCTTCATGCAGAATGTTACGACTAGGGAGAGAGAAACGACGCGACTAAAATCACGAAGGTACTATAGGTCGCTGTCTGCTTCTCCTCCTAAAGTTCGTATGAATCCAGGATACTCCGAACCCACTGAATCTGACGACGGGCGTGGGTGGAAAGAGACTCAAGCGCAAGCTGAAACCATCGCAAGACTACAGGCGGAACTACTCCAGAAAGAGGAGGAAATCGGTAACCTGCAACAACAATTGAAAGAAGCCGACGAGGATCTGCAAAGTCTCAAAATCGACAAGAAATATCATATCAGTGATGATCAGCTCCGAAGAGAATGGAACGCCTTGAAGTATAAGATCCAGACACATACAAATCAACGCTTCATATCAAAACCAGCCACATGGCCATCGAATTTAGTCGAAGGCCTAACAGATAAAGCAGCTGAGTTTATGACAAATTCGGTGACCAGAAGAAAGCTGTTTGAAGCCGTGATTTGGAGATTCCTCGTCGAGAATGTCTTCTCGCTCGATGGCCTTGTTTGGGCAGGATCCTCACATGAGCATTTGAAAGCATTGTCGCACATGTTTGTCGGTATGTCTCAATTGGCGTCCCTCGACCGAGAAAATCTAACTATAAATCAGAGCACGTTAATGAGAATGCATTGTCGCGGGAAGAGTACAATTCTTGGAGAGCGAAGTCTGCAGTGATGCTTTCTCATACATTCCGCCACTCGTCTCTTCCAACAGTAGAATACGCACGATGTCGTATGGATGACCTAACGTTGGAGTTGGAAAATATGTTGCGGCCGTACCAAAATTCTGGGTACGATATGGATGCACGTCCGCACACAGGGGAGATCATCGGGGGCGCCATCGAAATCGATATCTGCCTAAGACAATCGCGGGCAGAATATTTAGTGTTCATGTATCATCCCATCGAAGCTCATGACTTTAGTAGGGTATCTGAAGTCGACACGTATGGCTTCGAATTCAACGACCTTCACATGGAACGTGAAGATGGGGGAAGGAGTACAGGGGCGAATAGCCCTCGAGTTCATCTCGTGGTATCCCCTGTAGTATTGAAAAGAGGAAACGCGGAGGGTGACCGATATGACCAACAAACTGTCATCTCAAAAAGGGGAGTGCTTTGTAAATAATATCTAGGTTACTAAGGGAGCTTTGATACCGTCAGTGACTTCGGTTTATCCCTCTGTCTTGAAGCTCGCCTCGCTTATGGGAGTCGATTGGAAAACCACGGCAACGAAGCTGTGATCGATGCGTCAGGCTTCCGGCCCTAAGTAAAGACGGTGGACCCAACTCGTCAAGAATGGATCCCAACAGAGTGATTACCACGCGGACATATCATCGTGGAAAGAGTTCTAGACTCCAAAGGCCCTCGGCCTCCGGAGACAAGGGAGAAGAGTTAACTCGAAACGACATATTCTCTCGCGACCGAAAGGCATGTGATTCGATCGGAAGACGAGAGGAGCCGACCAAAGGCCCCGAATATAAGGGTTCCGGGGTGTGTTTTCGTGGTAGAGAGAGGCTGTGATCTAGACCGACCAATTGTGCTCGTATACCTGTGTGGAGTTATACTGGGTCTGTTACGAAAGCGTCAACGAGCCCCAGCAAGACCCGGGGAGCTTTTTTGTGCTACCGCCAGTGAAGAGCCCATGCGAGTGAACGCATCGAATCATCAGACCTCACCTCCCCGCGTTCCAGAGAACCAAGATAGGTGATATGAATATAATGCCAATTGAATTGATGAAAATGTGGAAATGTGGGAACTGTGCACTCCACGATACGTGTTTCAACACATAGCCTGTATGAGAATAGGTGTTGATATCATCAACAAGGCCATAAATCCACAGCAACTTCCTAAACAAGTTCTGAGTATGAACTGTAAGGTGAACTGTACCCGTACGATCCACTAACAGGACTGAGCGAGGCGTCAATCGTGTTTCACGAATGCTCAGCCGGCGGATGAGGAGGTACAAGCAAGCCCGTAAACGCCGTTTGTTCAACTGCCGAACCCCCCCGTCCAGCCGGTTCGGTTCCGGGAGAACCATGTAACTGCTTATGGCCGCGTCAACACCGATCTTATGCTCATGTATCATGTAAGAAGTACCTTACGATGCTAATATACGCCACACGCAACATCTAAAAATCCTCACCGTCTAAGCCGACTCGAGTCCAGATGGGGGCGGCCCGCTGCCAATTTCCGAAGAAGCCCGCCGCCACGTGGATAACGAGTCGTGGTCCATCCTACACCTTTTCCCTTTTTCTGCTTGCGAAAAACGGCATCCCAGACATCGAAGGAACATACACATACACACGAAGTGAAATCCCACCAGCAACACTAGCTGCACGTCGAATTCCAACGGTCGCCCACGCTATACCGTTTCCAGTAGCATTAAGCTACGGCAGGGAGCAAAGCTGAGCTGACAGAAGCTACCAAGCCACGCCGTCGCAGCAAAAACTCGCCGGTGTCAGGATCTTAAACCATTTAGTCAGAACACACATAAAAAAAAATTGTAAAATGAATCCCCCGTTTGGGAACAGTAATCAAAAATCCAGGAACAAAAAGAACGGGATTTTCAGCTAAGGCAGCTAATGTAAGGTGCTATTCGTTCTTGGCCATCCGGTCGATTTCGATCGACATACGGTGGCGCGCGCTAATTAACCATTACGCCGTGCCGCTCCAAAATTGAATTGAAAAAAAAAGTAATGAACGGAATAACCTAAATCTAGGTATGAGGAGCCTAGAACGGCACAGCAAAGAGATCCGTATGGAAATAAGCTATCAATTGGATCTGGTAACATCCTTTTCTTTATCTATTATATCTCATTAGCATATATCGTGTTGCAATAAAGATATAGATGTCTCTTACCGGCACATGGAAGTTTTCCCTCATAACGTTATGAATAAAGCAGCGAGCCTACCATCTAAGCAACTCGCATAGATTGAGACAGCGCCATTATTTGTATTGGTCCGTTGGACGGAAGCGCGTCTTGGAATGATGTAAGTGGCTTGTGACCAGACCGAGCATCTTCATTTTACGGCGGGATGTCCTTGTACAACATAACCACGCTAAGAAAAGTTAATGAAGAAATCTACCTCCCCCCTGAACTAGTGCGGAATTGAGTTGTGATGTGGCTTACACAGGTACCTAGATAGATTGTACCTAGCAGCCCACCAGTACCAACCAAGGCTTACGAGTAACAATGATAATTGCACAATATTGATAATGTCAGGTCATTAGTAACGCGCGGGCTTCGGAACACAATTTCCATATTATTACCGTCAGGTACTATTCGTAACGGACCTAAACTCAACTCCTAATTAGGTAACTGTGCCTGACGATGACTATTGACCAAGCGCCGCAGCGCTTATCGCATCAATATAGACAATAAGCAAGAGATTGCGCTAGATATCAACAACTACACCTGTTTTTATTGATTCCCAAATATGCCCCGGCTACTCATTCTTAGGTAGCTCTTTCAACCCATCCCATCCTATCCTATCATTAACCATCAGTATTTGCTTGTTGACCATGTTTCGTCCTGTATGTACTTTGGCGATGCCGCGCCATGCGTGTCGTTCCTGTTTCCAATGATTGTGATCCATCGCCCTAGCCACATCTCCTACCAAAGTTGAGAAATATTCAAAAAAAAAAAAAAATCCATCTAGACGCACTTGCTTTTCGTACATTCCCTTCTAACATTCCTCAACTGCTGTGGTCGCTCTCCCCTTGCGGTGGATAATTCATATACCGAGCCAGAGAATAGAATCCGTGTAAAGAATCGAATGTGACAACACTCCATCTTGTGTGTCACGTTGTATGTGTGCGTAAAAAAAAAAACCCTGACTTTGTCCTGGATTCTTGTTCTCCTGAAAACGCCAGCCTGGTATCTCGAAAATGCAATGCAATGATGAACCAACAATAAACCCGACCTAAAAGAAAAACTCGTGTACGTCATTAACCGTCTCCAAAACGGTCCGCGACAATTCAGAGATATGAACATATCCATTCTCATTAAGCATCGGGTGGGTCTGGGTTCGTGGTTCGAAGTACTTTTCGCGAATAATCGTGGTTATCTTGTAGAGTGTTGATACTCTCGTGGCTCTTGTTCTCGAAACGGCTGTAGATGTTAGCCGCATACGGATCCATACGGGGATCATGAGGCATGAATCGACTGTTTCTTCGACCTGTCGACGTATTGTCGCCGTCCCATACCGAGGCCATTGCTGTTGTGGGGGTGCTCATCATACCCGCCGAGCTTCCCCGATGGCTTCCCGGCGAGTCAGCGATAGCATCTCCTTGCCCTTGCCTCCTGCGACGAAGCCAGAAGAAGAGACCAGCACCCAGAGCCACCGCTACGGCAGCGAATACCCCGATCGCAACACCAACTGCCGCACCGGTTGAAAGTCCGTGTTGACTGGACGATACTCCGGCATTAGCGCCCGAAGATTCACCTGAGCCGGCCGTAGGGACCACAGTAACGGTTTGGAGGCTGACAGTCCCCCCGGCTGTGACTGTATGAACGGATACGGTCGGAGTGGCCGTTGACGAGTCCGTATTATCCTAGCACACAAATATGAGCATATATCCTCATAAAGGCGTGACAATGTAATCATAAGGAAACAAGAAAAGTCTGGGATTAGTATGGCATACAGGAACAGCCGTAGTCGAAGAGGAAGAAACGGTTTGACTTGGAGTAACAGTAACCGTGTTATGTACAGTCTGTGTAATCGGGTCCTGATGCCGGACATGGTTAAAATGAAATACTTCCCCAAATGCGACGGCAGAAAGCCAAGTCAAAAACGCCGCAAGAAAGAGAACCCAGACGACATGATTCGAAAAGGCACCAATCCCTGAGATAAAACAAAAACTGGGACACTTACTGGACTCGATGTTTCGGTAGAACTGCTGCTACCGCTGCCCTTTGTGCCCGAAGGCTCTCTATCCAGGGCTATATATCCCCATAATCCATCACCTCCGCAGGTATCGGACGTGTAACCAGGGCACTCTTCACTACACTTGCTAGTGTCTACCTGAGCCGACTTATCGGGTGTGTAATCGGTACACCAACATTCATTATCCTTGAGGACAGAGAAGGCGAAGTTGGCAGAGCAAAAATCGTGGCAGAGTCCATCGGACTGATATATACTTGAGTCTTAAAAGAAACATTAGCCTAAAATATGAATGATGTAACAGATCGCGAGGACACATACTGCCACTCGTCGAAGCCGTATTGATACTTGCACAATAAGCCATATCGAGAGACTGAACGAGGTCAATATGATTGAAAAGGGCTATTAGGCCCATAAGAGCCGTAAGCCGATCGGTGAAAACCATGGTTTTAGATGTTCGAAGTTTGAGGATCTAGTAGACAAGGAACAATATTAGTTAATGCGAATAGAGAGGATAAGTCGAATCATAGGAACCCAATATTCTAATAAAGCCCAACTAGAACCGATAATGAGTAAAATATAGAATGGAGGTGACTCACCAAGGTCTAACAAACGAATGTTTGAACACCGGCCAAAAGAATTCCAAAGCAGAAGATTTTACTGCATCAAGGTCACAGGCAACGAATAGTGTTGCTCCCGAGTATTGCCATGACAAGCCAAACAGCTACTTCTACACAATCGGGACGGGAGGTTTCTCCGAAGGGTGGACCAGTTGCAAAAGCAAGTCTCGCAACAAAGTACCTATGAGGATATCGTGACACTACCAATGCCTTAAGAAGAGATGGTAGATGAAGGCACGGTTCACGATGAAGTGGGAGCCAAGACTTTCAAAAGAGAGGAAAAATACGAGTGAACGGACGGGGAAGAGAGAGGGAAGGGATAGACAGGCCTTAAAGGTGGTACGGTTGGTATGGGTGGCAGGCTAGCTGACAGGGTACGAAGCAGGGCAGGTAAAACAGGGATTATGAGTGGAGGATACGGGATTGGACAGTGCAGTGGACAGGCAAGATACAGGAATACTAGGTACTTTTTTTTTTTTTTTTTCGCTTTTCGCAGGTGCGGTAGGTAGCGGTCGGGAAAGCTGGATAGGCAGGATGGGGGATGTGGTGAGGAGCAACCGAAAGACTGCAGTAGCGTACTTGCAGATGCCAAGTCCACGGCCGATCAGTGGGTGGATTTCTCTCTTTTTTCTCTGTTCTTGTCTTTTTTGGGATTGGTCTTATTTTTTTTCAACAACGCCTTTAGGCCGAGAAGAAACCTTTCAAAATACAAGATATTCTCGATAACCTTGATATCTACTTGTGTTTCTTTCTTGTCCAGTCCCGCCCTATCACTTACACATAAGGTAAGGAGGACAAAAGAAATTACGAAAAAAAGACCGAATGGTACACACAGGAGCGGCGGTGCACTGTACCAAATTCCGAATGCAATCAGTTTTGTTTTGTAACTCGCGAGGGCATTTCCTACGGGAAGTACGTACACAGTTAGACAGGGGTAAGGTTATCTGAACCACCACAGCGAAGAATGGAAATGGGCGGCACGGGTGAAACGAGTGAAGGGAATGACCGGAAGCTGCCGTCTTGGGGCTGAAGTAACAGAAGAAAAAGAGTCGACGATGATGAAAATGGTGAGAGCACAGCGGCAATATGGAACAAGGAATTATCTACTATAGACGAGGGGAACAAAAAGGGAAGAGAAAACACAAAAGTTGCAACGTATGAACCTGGAATGAAGAAACTAATACGCGGTGGCCCTGTAAGAAGAATTCTAGGAATAAACGAATAAGAATCGAGAAAATGTAGAAGTTCAAGATACGGCGATACGACAATACATCACAAAGAAACTTCATCTGCATACAAGTACGAAGTAGTGCCCTTTCGGGTTTAGACGGTTTAGACGATGATGTCGGCCAATCTATCAATATCGAATCCAGTGTTTTAAGTTAGGTACCTGCCTACCTAGCCGGGATTAGCTCGAGTTTGCTCTTTAAGCTCTCTCCCCTTCCTGCCCTGTTCTGTTGACCCAGTTTTATTTAGGCCCGTTGGCAGTTTCAAACGACACCACATTCATTGGATTTAATGGATTTAATAGCCACATAAGGAAGGTAGACTGGGTCCGAAACATAAACTTGTCGTCACTCACTTGCTTTTCTACCATTTACAAACGCTGAACTTGCAAAACTCGCATATATAGTGTATGTACATTAGGTAAAGTATAGTAGTATTTTGAGTTTCGTGAAGTTGGCCGTATTGCGGTTGCCGATAGAATACGGTTCTATGGTTCAAACCTTTTCGACCTGTTAGATGTTAGATCTCGTGTGATCTTGTTTATCCCCCCAGACCCCCTTGTTTCATTTCCATTTCGTCTACTTTTCCGGCGCGTCTCGAGTTGCGACACTTACTATATTTTATATATATTCATCTCGCTATCATACAACTCTTTCTCACCGTGGAGCCCAAGGAATCAGGATGCAGAGACACGAGACGCTCATAGTCAGCACTACACATCATAGTCATGGTCACAATTATGGTCGTGATCATGGTTGTGGTTGTGGTCTACACTAGACACCTCTAATTATTTATTATTTCTTATTTATTTTCATCACGTATAATATGTATGTATATGCATGCATATGCGTGATGATTGCCTCTGACTGGACTACTGAACTTCAATTACTGCTCAATGGCAGCGCCATGCATTAGCTACCTAGGTACCACTCTACCTAAATGACACCTATCAAAAGATACATAGTAGGTGTATCATGAAATTCAACAATTTCATATGCGACCCCTTTTCCCTCATTAACGAGAAACATAAAAAAGGAAGACAAATTCGCACGGCTTTCGATACTATGCGATTCGTCACGCAACAACCGAATTCCGTTGCTTCCTACTGCTTCACGATCTGTTCCACATTGAAATGTGCTCGGATTCAAGGTCACCCCATGTCAAGCGAAGCGGCTGTACGACGTGGGCGAGACTACGTAAGCCTAGTGGCATACAGTGCCAGTACGGAGACAAGGGGCCGAGCCAGATCATAACCCTTCATGAAAGCGGGTTGACTAACCAAATGTCTACCTACATATCATCCACGACCCGGGGACGAATTACGTGCTCAGTCAGCGCTGTTGACGAGTTCAGGAGCCACAGACAGAACCACAAGGAAATCATTCCAGACTCAAAACCATCCATCTCGTGAGACTTGGGCTTGTGTCCATCACCCCACACACTCGGACTCCCGAACTTCTAGTCGGATGGGCTCCAGCGCGCAGCCTCGTACTTTATTTACATCGGAAATCCCTGTGATTGCCCAATTGCTCGTATCACTCGACCTTAGCGCTGCACACTACATCTGCAACCTTCATAAGTGTGTGTGAGTGGGCAAATACGGGTGGCTGTAAATAACCGATCATGAAATATGAAATCTACATCTCGCGTTGGGCTTGCCGAACCTCCTTCAGCGTTTTTAGTTATGCCGCAGTACGGACAATGTACACCTTCCAGCTCAACAGTACATACACCAATCGGTAAGAGACGGTGAGGAGGCTTATAATTATTTCTCAATTCCTTATTTTTTTTTTCTTTTACATTATTATCTTGCCATTAACTCCGTTCCATCCGCCCTCCCAATATCGGCGGCTATCCGGCTTCTTAAAAATTATAGATCGTTTTTTTTTTATCGAAGCATCCAGCATCCAAAAGGAAACGATGCCTGCACATGGTGCATGATTATGTAGGGATACAAAAAAAAAAAAAAAGAGGTTGGAGTTTTTAGACTGATACATATCGCCCCTCCCGACGACACCATAGATGGGAATGAATGAGGTGATCACAGATACATATGTATATGCCCACCTAGCAGCAACATTACCTTAGTACCATGCAGCGCAATGCACAATCATCGCTAGTTTCGAATTGTCCTCAGCCTTCGCACAACCGACTCCGGAACACGTGCAATAAGTATTCGGGATCTTCGATATTCTCCGGACTTCGTCGCGAACCCTCGGTTTGTGGATCTCTTTTTACCTTGCGTGGTCGGCGTCGAAGGAAAGGCTGATATCAGCAAATTGTGGCACCAGAGTTGCAGGTCCTTACCAGACGGGGCACGCCGCACGAGAACAGATATAGGTAGCAGATCTACATAAAGCATCATAATACTACATAGCTGGTTGCCTTATGGCGCTTAACTTTGTGGGGGCGATGGCCGAAGTCACGAACCCAATGGCGATCGCTTCGTTAGAAGCAATCATACCGGACGTAACCAGGACGTAACCAAGGTGAGCATCCAGCAATTATTAAAAGACTTTAAAGGACCCTTGATTCATTCGCCTTTAGATATTTGACATGGATGGTAAGTAAAGATGGGATGGGATTTATCCCGTTTTATTTTTCCCTGGCCAGAACTACCAATCGAAATATCTATGACGCCTTGAAGCTATTTCGATTTCAGTGGCCTTCCTCTTCTAGCCGCATGCAATACCTCCATTATTCCGATTCTAGGCCAAGGAAACAGATAACGAAAACAACATGCATGTGCCGCCATATTATGCGATGGCAGTATACACACGTGAAGAACCACCAAACATGGATATCACCCGATATACTACATTATTAGGTATTGTAAGCCCATGCAAATACTTACTATACACACCTGAGTATATGCAAGGCCACCCATCGCAGATAAGGAATCTACTAGGCTGGTTGACTTACCGCTTCCCGAGAACATTGCCTAGAGGGGCAGTCGTCAAGCCCCTCACTGTTACTCTTCTCGATTCCACGATCGCCACAATGGAGATAACCCTTCATAAAAGTTAAGTAGCTCTAGAAGCGTCTCTTCATTTCTCTACCATACACTAGAAAAATTTACCATGTGGATTGCCCCCACGTCTTGGCGACTTAGAAATATCTCCTCATCAATTACAAGACGGCTGCCTCAATGGCAATTCAATTTTCTGTTCGAATGAAAGCCGAGGCCTGTAGCTTTTTCAGCGACAAAGAACTATTATTACCTACCTATTACCTCCTTATTCGGCAACCCCACATACCGAAGTCGAAGCGGGCCGATATTGAATCCTCAGAATCACAAGCCGTTCGACACATCCCTATGCTCTATGATAGTTGAAAGAATGCGACTTTAACTATTCCAAGGTTGCTTTCTTTGTTAGATCTCTCGAGCTTTCGCAGCTACCTGTATATCCTTCCAAATCGAGTAACAATTCTATGTCATATCAGATCTTATGCAAAACATAACCATACAAACATTCTCGGCAGATTCGGATTCACTATGCTAAGATTGAGTCTGTAGGGATTATGCCTTTTCTAGATCAGGGAATATTTTTATCTATCGACGTCACCAGCAGGATGCGCCCCTGAAAGTATTCAGATTAGGTAGAAGAAGCGAAAAAAAATTCATCTCCTCAGGCTGAAAGCCGATTCGAGCTTGATCCATCCGTGTAATTTTAAAATTAAGAACTTCGATCCGTCTAGCTATTTATTGGCCCCTCCTCAGACCAAGCTCAATGCCCAAGTTCAAGCTTGGACGGGCTGAACGAAACCCGGACCAGTTTAGAAAATTGAACTTGCTTAGTTGGCGTCTGTTAGCGGAATGACTGCGACAGGTACGCACAACATATTATTGGTCGATTCCTTCGATCCAATTCTCCGGGACCTCCGCAGATTATACGTGGTGAAGGCGATGAGATTCGATAGGATGCCCCCCTGAGATGATGATCGACGACGCCATATGGATCCCACATAGTCCACAACAGCTTCATCGAGAGACCCGTTGCGCTGGGCTGTGCTGATCTCGACCTCTCTGTGTTATTGTTTATATGAGTTCGATTTCCACTTAAACCAAGTCGCGGCCGTCTCGAGGCCGGCGGGACACGTCGACACGCATAACACCGCGCATACGCAACCCGTCGTCACAAGTCGTCATGCACATCCATTAAGTCAGCCCGTTGGGTGGCTATTAAACTAACGGCTAGCTGCTTATGAACTTATATTAATCGCCACGCCGGCGTAGGTTTTTTATGATTCGAGAAGGAACTCGTGACACGAGCCTTTTTTTGGCCATGTAGAAATGAAGATCGATGATCTTGATCAATATAGTCTGTGAGGGTATGTACACGTCGACTCAATCCACTAAACCAGTGGTTCTTATGACTCGTGGAAAAACTATCTACCCGTTCGTAGCTGGCCGTCGACGGAGTGACATTCTAATGATATACACCTTCACACGCACATTTGCTTCACCTTGTTCCTCTTCTGTTCAGTGCCTAATAGCGGCAATATCATCCAAGGCGATACGAAAATCCCATAGCTAAGTAAACGTTTTCGTCTCCGTTTTTATATTTCCCCTGCGGACCGTATACGGGTTTTATGACATCTTTTATGTTGCGAAATCCCTTTGCTGCTAACCTCGAGAAACTTCGATTCTTCCGAGATGTGGTTTTACGAGCTGGCTTCCCTTTCAGCTCATCCATGTCATAGTCGTTTATGAGCTTATATCGGTTCGACATAGCTGGGAATAGTTGTGTGGCGCGAAAAGACTTTATTTGCGTCGATGCGTATCGGAAGATAGAGACTCTAAGTGTCGACATTATACGTGAGTGTATGAAGTGTTTCGGGTGTATGGAGGAAGATTGTTGAAGTTGTGTGACTGAGCAACACGTGGGCGATGATAGTTTTGATGATTGATATAATGATTTTGAAGTTATTTTTAAGGTATCGTAAATCGTTAATAGTCGTTATGTCGTATGTCGTATGAATAGACGCTGATGCTAGGCGAATGGAAAGGTCGTGATATATAATGTTGAAGTGCTCGCGACTGGTCTCGTTACTGTGATGGATGGTTGTGGGGTGCGTGCCTCTTGTTCTATGAAGAGAACCCGTCGATATGGTTCCGAGACTTATTCATATAGGTTTCAACGACTTAATATCGCTGCTTGGCCCTGAAAGGTAACGGCCAGCCGTCTATTGCGATCTATCGAACGGTAGACAACACGTAGATTAACAGATGCATTTATAGAAGCATATCGGAACCGAAAACCTGTTTCAGATAGCGGTGTACCGAGCTCTATAAACAACCCGAGGGACGAACCGCCGATGTGGCTGCGGACGACCGAACTTAATCGTGGAATTATGGTGATTCTCAAGTTCCGCCAGCCACAAGAAGCGATAGTGTCAAAGCAAGCAAGCCGATCCACTGTGTGCTGCAAGTTTCAACCCGTCGAGCGGGGTGTCGATAATGCACAGACGATCATGTTGACTTCCGGGAAGCACATGAGCATAATTCTGCTACTGATGCTGCACGCCATATCCGCCCTGCCGCCTTGCCCCGTCTCCAGCGACGCGGCCAGATGGTCTGTCCAACCGTGATAGGCTTTGTGACCCGTAGAACCATATGATCTGTGTTGTATTCCAAAGATGTGGCGCTATGCGTATGAAATCTGACCAACGGCGTGCAAGACCCCATCAACTTGAAGCAAGCTTATGTTCGCTGCATAATATTCTGAGACATTCATTTGTTGAGCTTCCAGCAACCTGCGTGAGAATATTGAACACAGACATATTGTCATGTAGGGCATTCCTTGGAAAAGTTGTACAGCCGTATTATCTTCGATATAGGCACGGCGCACCGGGCGTAAGACATTTATTCGACTAGGAACACAGGAACATATAAACGATATGATAATAGAGTAAATCACCTGATAATTCTATTCAGCAAATTCGTAGGTTTTCGTTAGTATAGTAGATCGTTCCATAAGCGGTGAGAATTTCAATATAGAATGCCCAAGAAAACACTAGCGAGGTGAGGGAGTATGTAGTGTAGACCGAGACATCGACTTGCTTTTCAGCTGCAGCTTAATTTCTGCTCAGCCAGCCTCATCTGCCTGAATAGCAAGGATGATCCTTCACGATATGCATGATAAACACAGAAGAGTTCCTAATGAATTATGAGCAATGAGCTTCGGGTTCTTTTACTACTACACGCATCTACTATATACACGAAAATATCATGGACAACCGCATAGTCAGTATATACATGGTTAAGAACAGGTCGGAATGGGATGTATTCGCTTTACTCCGTTCCAATTCACGACGCATCGTTTAAACGTAGGTCGTAGAGATACTCTTCTTCCGCCCAAAACCCAAAGAGTAACGAGGGAAGCCCTATAAAAATAACAATACAATGTAATTCCAACCCTTGGAGCCCAATTGTTCAAACCAGACGCCTAACGAACGGTATCCGCCATGCCACATAATGACGCCGTTTGACCCCTATCCCATAATAGTAAACACACCGCACTGCGCTAGACACCCGATAAAAGAGAAGTTATGGTCGTGTAGGCGACGAAGCAGAACTCCCATCGCGGCTCTTACTCTCGAGACTCTCGAAGCTCTCGACCATAGCAAGAACTCGTGTTCGCGGCCTCTCGAGCGTCACCGCTTGCGCCGAGAACACATCACCATCCGTATCCACTACTGGAGACCGCGACGGTTTTCTCTTCCGGGACTCGCTGCCTGACTCGGCGCTTAGAAGGCGCGTGCCTTCGCTCACTGGAGGCGGCAAGCGTGGCGGTGGTGTTCGGGGCTGTCTTCCCCTACTATCCCTACCCCACTCCCATTCTGCTTCTAACTCTTCGCGCACTCCGCGCAAAATATCCTTTTCTGCCTCTTCTGCTAGGCTCCTCTCTTCGCTTACGGGACTTGGATCCCCAAGATCTTGTTCCGCAACAGGATCTTCTCTTCTTGCATCTCCTTCTTGTCCACTCTTTTCTTTCTCCATGCTTTCTAGACTTTCTTCCTCAGGATCTACAAGCACGACGTCCTCCCCACTCTCGATATCCGGCTCGGCATTCACTACACGCAAGGGCTCCCTAGGCACCGTGAACATGACCTGCACTAACCGTTTTTCGACCGCCTTCTCGATATCCCACTCTTCATCGTCCTCTTCCTGTCTCCTTTCACCTTCTCTCCTGAAATTGTCCTCAGTTAATCTCGTCCCCACTGCCTTTCCCTTCCTCCTTTGTCTTGAACCCTGTTCCATGGCTTCCCAATCGCCACGCCCACTCTTCCGTCTTAAAAGCCCACTTCCCGCCGCGATCCCGCTCAAGCTATTTAGCCGTGCATCATAATCACTTGCCTCCGCCATCCCATCATCATACCCATACCCAAACCCATCTTTCTCCGGACTACTAGGCGTCGTCGGACTTGGTGTCGACCCACTAAACACGCGGCGCAAGCTACCCAGCAGCCAACTCCTCCTAGGCTTGCTTTTACTCGGGCTCCCAGGCGGTTGCGGGTCCTCATCATCATTCCCATTCTCATTACTGTAATCCTCGTTACTATTGTTATTGCTCCCATTATTGCCATCCTTATTTTTACCCAACAGCAAAGACGGCCCCTCCGCCTGCAACGCGGCAAAACTACTCCGTGCGGTATTATAACTTGGCGCCGAACTCGAACTACTGCCACCCCGTCCCTCATCCGCCGCAGCCGCTAGCGCTGCGGCTGCTACGCCGAAACCGGGTGTGTTCTTATGCGAGCGGGAGGAACTCGAGCGGCCGAGGTTAATACTGCCGAGGCCGAGACTGAGGATGTTGCGGCTGGACTCGGATACGCTGCTTGCGGTCCGCGCGTCGTCTTCCGCGGTTTGACGGCTTGGTTTCGCGGTGGCAGGGGCAGAGTGACGCTTTGTGGGTGAGTTTTGGCCGGACCGTTGTGCGGCGCTGCTTAGTAGCGCGTCCATGGCTTCTACGTCTGTCATCCAGTCTTGTACTTCGGGGTCGGTGGTTAGGGTGGTGCCTGTTGTAGTCGCTGTCGCCGCGGCGACTAGAATGCGCCGCCGTTCGTCTGGACTAGGGGTTGTGGATGCACGACTAGGTGGTGGGAGTGAGATTTGGGGTTGTAGTTCTTGCGTTGGGGTTAGGAAGGGATCGGAATCGTTCCGGCCGTCTGTGTTTGGGTCGTGGAGGGGGGAGGCTTGGTCGCTGGGCGTGATGGCCCCGTCGTCTTCGTCGGCTTCGATGATAGGGTGAATAGCCCCGGCACCGCGCGATGAAGGGGGGTCATAGGTGTTCCGGCGAGGGAGGGGTTTGCGTAGGACTTGTGCTGGAGGTGCACCGAACCAGGAGTGTCGGCTGTTGTCCATGCCAGGGTTCCCGGTTTGGAGGCTTTGATACCCTAAGGAGCGCGAGCCGCGCATGTATGGATCGGGTCCGCCTGTGTACCATGCTCCGTTGTTGTGGTCATGTTCCATCATTTCATCGTCGTGAGGTAGGAAACGGGATGTATCTTGAGCCAACGCACGGATGGCAGATTCACGGATTGTGCGCTTGTGGCGTAGACGACGGCGATAAAGGAAGTAAATTATAAAAGCTGCAACAATAGCAGCGATTCCAAGGCCCAATCCCAATCCTAGACCTAGGCGCTTTTTCGTATCGTCGTCGGTACTGCTGGAGTTACCGCTGTCGCTTGTCTTAGTATATGTGGGGTTTGTGTAGCTATCAGTCCAGCTCATGGAGGTGAGGTTCAGGAACATGGGTGTGCCATTTTCTTGCCTCTTGGAACTGGCTCCAGATGATGAAATACTATAGCCTCCGTAGACCATCATAACATTGCCCGGGAGCAGCGCAGCACCATGGCCATAGATGCCCGATCCCGATGGTTGCTTATTGGGGACCGCCCATTGCCAATCTCCATTCCCACCATAACTAGCTCCAATCTGGAGAACAGCAAGTTGTGGTGAAGCGGCTTGGGTTAAATCGCCAACCCAACCGCCAAAAATAACCAAGGAAGTTCCGTCCTCGCTAAGTACGGCCGTATGACCGGACCGACTATCTATAGAGTCGATAGTGCTTTTGACCGCAAGTTCAGTGTTACCAGAACCTGAACTTGCCATCTTAATGCTGGATATAAAACTCCAGCTCTCTTCCGGTAAGCTCCAAATTGCGACAGTACTCATGTTGACGAAAGCATATTGCGTGTGGCCACCCAGAAGTACATAATTAATTTGCTGGGTCACTGTTCCAGAATGATTGGAGATGGATGGAGATAGGCCGGTAAAGGTGAATCCAGCCTCTGCTATAGGCGGACCTTTAATGGAAACAGGATCAACTGCGAATTGTCCTGAATCAGTCTCCGAGGGTGTGATCCTGATCATCTGGTTTGAATAGGTGGCCTTGGATTGTGAAGTGGTTGCGCTAGAAGTTGAGTTGGGGCACATTCCCCCATAAACATAGGTTGTCGCCTGCGATAATTGAGGTTCCAGGATGTTTGAGAAACTAAAACTGCTTCCCAAAAAGCCTGGCCCTACTTGAATAGCATCTTCTTCGGTAGTTAGTGTGGTGCTCGCTTTGATCCATGATGATGAGGCATCGTCGTTTGGTGAGGGGTTGAATGTCCATATTTCGGAACTTGCTGGAGAAGAACAATCGCCTGCATAAACGATAAGTGATCCATTATCTGCGAGCGACGGGGTAAATGCTGTATTATTTGAGTCCAAAAAGGGTGCACTCGACGTCAAAGTTTGAAGTGATAGCGACGATGTGCGCAGGTTGCTCGAGAAGTTGAGCGCTAGTAAGTCGACGCCATCGTCTTTCGGTGAAAAGATGTATGCGACAGCTGATGTCGTATTATCTTGAGCCGGCGCAGGTTTCGATTCTGGAATGAATATGCTAGTCGGGATATATGGCAACGATTGCGCCGCGCCAATTGTTATGAAAAGCGCAAAGGCCGTAATGAATGTTAGACATCGGATGCCTGCCGCAATCCGCGACACCTTTAATATGCCAGTAGCAAACAACGACAGCATCCCGATAGGAGGATTCATCGCTCTAACTAGCTCAACCCTATGAGAAGAAGCATCGTCTATCTCTCTATCCCTTTTTCCCCTTAGCCGAGTTGCGCGTGCGAGCAGCGAATTGGAAAATTGCGATGTCGCGATGTCGTAATGTCGTCGTGTATAACGCCAACCCCGCAGAACCCGTGGGTTAGCGAGCCTAGGTTTTGCGATGAGACAGGCCTGGCTTGGATCTAAAGATGAATGATGAGTTGTCTCAAGCGGCAGGGTATCTTAAAGAGCACGGAGCAACGTAGGGTCTCGTTATCTGGCCTCACTATTCGTGTAATTAAGACAAGATGTTGGAGATTATAGGTGGGGGGATCTTCTCCAGAACCACTTCGTCAGTTTTTGTGATACAAACAAATTGCTGACGTTTTGTTTTGGGGGCCGAGGCGTAAGTAAACGGGTAAATCTGAACAAAGTGATATCACAATGATAAAATACACGGGGAATTTAAGAAGTTATTTCGAACATGAACGGCCTTATTCTAGGATTTCTTCTTCTTCTTTTTTTCTAATTTCTTTTTATTCTTCTTTCGTCCTTCTCGACCAAAGTTCTAGAGCGAGGTAGCGCTAAGAAGGGTGTATTTAGAGGGGTATAAGTCCCGTTGCTACGGTAACCGTTTCAATAGTCTTCAATATAGCGGCAAATCCCGTCACATTGGGAGTCCAACACCACGAGGCACTCCACCCTTAAAGAAAGATTGTCTCTTAAAGGTCTCATTTAGTAGAATAAATTGCGAATCGCAACACCAAGTATTGCCTTAATGGAATTATTAATACTCAAAGCGCATGTAGTGAGAGGATACCTTATGGGGTCAACTCCATATTCTTTTCACTACCTAGATGCGAACAACAAAAAAATTATCTCCAAATACACGACGTCTTTACTCTAACAAACAATCAACTCTACACCATTCCCATCACGTCCCTACCGAGTTCTAAAGTACATTAGGGGAGACCCGCAATTGCCTGCATCCAGGAGAAATCATCTAAGTCTATATGGTTTTCCCTAGCAAGCCTTTCGAGCGTAGACCAGGCAAATGGTATATTAGACTTCGCAATATCTACGGCCTGCCCTTGTTGTTGTATGGCGTCGTAAGTGGCCTTGTTTATAATCTGCTCTTCTCCCTCCTTGACCTCGGGTAACTTCGCAGGCTCCCTGTCTTGGTCCGCTGCGGCAGCCGCCTTGTACCTCGCGAGCTCCTTCGCCAAATCGTTGCGTATCCCAGCGTCTGCATCGTACTTCTTGCGGATATCATCCCTCTCCTTCGCAATATCCGCTATCATCTGCGCGACATCTTGCTCCGATTGGCCATAGCTAGATTCGTAAACCTTGTTGAGATGTCGCAATCGGGTTAATTCCTCACCCTGCGCCTCGTTCGACGTCTTAAGCTCCCGGTTCTCCTTGCTGAGCTCGGTGACCTGGAAGCCCCGATCCTGCCACTCCCTCTCCTTAGCCTTGACCCGTCTGTCCCAGGCAGACGTCCCGTATAGACCCGGATCGGACGGCTGCGTCAGCGTGACTACAGTAGGTTTGTTCTCCATTTCCTTGGTATGCTGCGTGCTAGGGCGGTCCGCGAAGCCCGGAAGGACGAAAACGGGACCGTGGCCACTGCCTTTGAGACGGTAGAACCGAGTCGACAGGTCCACGGAAACAATTCCTCGCACGCTGGCTCCCCCGTCGACTAGCGAATCTCCCGTCAAGCCAAGCCCGGCCCATGCCGCATCCCGTTTGTTCGCATCCGACTCCTGGCGATCGAGTAGTTGGTGGACGAACTCAAAAACGTCTTCTCCGGCATTGGCTAAGATCCAGCGATCCTGCGGGAACACGATTTCGCGACCAGACCGTCCGTCAGGTCCGTGGAAGCTGGTGTGCTGCGCTGGGACGATGGCCTCGCCCGCTAGGAGATCCAAGGAGTTGGCGTAGGAAATTTCGAGCTCATGCATACGAGCTACGAGGCGCTGCGTGTACAGGAGCCACTGCCCGACCAACGTCTCTTTGGCCTTGTCCAGTTCCGGGTGCTTGGAAACTGGCTCCTTGTCAGTGGGGAGAATGGCAAGGAGACCGCCCATGGCCGAGTACTCGTGGTCGAGTCGCTCAAGACACTCGTTCGCGTGCATGAGCAATGTTAGGTGAGTCTGAAAGGGGCGGTATATGTTTTCAGGGTGCGCCTCGATCAAACTCTCCGGGGAAGTTTCCAGTGGGCAATGCCATAGTACGCCATTTTCATCACTGTTGGATTTGACCAAGTTCACTAGACTGTTAAGTGGTCTATGATGCGCCGGGTCAATGTTCTGGTAGGGGGCTTGTAAGTTATCCAACCAGTCGTAGGCCTCGTTCTTTCTGAAAAAGTCAAGTGTTTCTCTCTCTTCTTTATTTGCGTTGTCGATCTCGCCTCCAAATGTACTTGGCGCAATTGTGGATATAAGATAAGTTAGAGATTGGGCATGCTGCTTTAGGGCTTCCAACGTTGGTGGCTTGAAGGGGGTAGACAAGTAGCCACAGTTCACATGCCCGAGCATTTCAAGGTGTGACGGCGGAGTTTCGTGGAGATGGTTAGAGAAATAGGGCTTCGAATAGTGGGTAGGTCCAACGTAGCCCTCCATCTCCTCGTAAGGATCTTTCAGTCCTTCGTTTGCCTTCGACATCTTGACGATAGTATCACTCAATTAGCTGTTAGGGAATAGAGGTAAGGTAACAATGCTTCCTTGGATAAGATATGCGCCTTTTCTTGGAAATACAGTAGATGGGGGTAGTTGAAGAATGATAAACCGTTACGGGAGTCATGCTTCATGAGGCTCGATAAGGAAGAAAGGAGCCTCTCGTTAGCATCAGAACGTTAAGACAATTCATTGGAGTATGCAACATTCCAGTGAAGAATAGCAACTTGGAATTTTTTTGTTGAACAATGAAAACGGCATATAAAATTCTATCATAAGTCTTTGTTGGACAAATTCTACAATGTTCTGTGGACGAAAACTGTCTCCTCGATAACTAAACTCGGTCTTCGAGGGAAAATAGCGAAAAACAACTCCTGCCAATATATCGATATATTTGTTTAAGTCAGTTATATTACTCGAATTAGATGTATTCAAAGATGAAGCCTAAGTCAACTAAAATCTATCAATTCGATGAACATTATCGTAGACGTAAATCGTCGTGAATATTTTGCGGGAGAACTCGTTTCCCCGGATTCGGCTGCCTCCAAGTTAGAATAGATACGGTGTAAGACAGAATATGTGGCTTGCTGGTTTCACAAAGGATGTTTTCGTCTCGATTCATCACGATTCTAGAAGCTAAGGTTTCTTTGGAATGAGACGACTTCACTGCAGAATTTCAGCATTGACCACAGAACCTATTTATACTGACGCGACATGCCCATATCAATCAACATTTTATTAAACCATGTGGTATAGCTTCACAGATAAATTGCATAGTCTTTTGGAGTTCACACTTAGTTCCCAGCATTCCTTTTCAGGCATGCGTTGGACCTAAGCCAAATTATGATTGGCCAGACCCTTGTAATACAGGTACTTGGCTAGAAGTACATGTCGGTAACCTCATGTGTGTAGCAAACACGTACTTAGTGGAATACATCGTTGGCCATGCTAGTGTTACCGACGCGATATAATCGATGCTAGAGGCAACCAATTTTGAGGAAGGAAATTGATTCAATGAATCTTATCCGAAACTCGCGGGAGGATACTGAGACTAATTGAGTAATATGTGCACATGTACATATTTATGTGACTTGATGTGCGAGGCTTGACTACGTGTGCTGCATTGCGTCGATTCTTTGCTCTATGTCCGCAAGCTAAGTAACGCCATGTCGCAGAAATCTGACCGATTGGGGTTATCCGACATGACGGCACGGAAGACGGGAAAAGAAATGCGATACCTGACCTGTGGCGAGTCGACACAATAACACTGGACACAAATCTTGCCATCGTTCATACTATGAACTACCTAGGTAGAGATATAGTTATGAACCCGTGGCATATTTCGTCATGAGACAAGAAACAACGACAACAACGACGATGATGGTCGGAGGTTTGGCGCGAAATTTGGTATTTAGCTAATATTCCTAAGGCCAAGTGCGGGAAGGCATACGCAAGCGGGAAGATGCAGTCCCATCAAATTTATCGTAAGGAATGGCTCGTGAGCCGTGGAGACTGTTATTAGTGCATGTAGTTGGATGAACTTGGTAGGGATTCCCACGTTACTTGTAAGCCCAGGCGCAAACGGACCTCTGATAGTTCAGTATTAACGACCCGATAGTCTGATGTCATTAGCCGATAGAGTAAACTAAATACCTGGTACCACCTAATATATGATGCATTGCAGCACTGGCGTACCTTTTTCTTCTTCTTGTAGTGTAGTAAGAAGAATCGTAGATAGAGCGTTACATTCGGGTACGTACTGTTTTCGTATTCCCTCTCATCCCTCCCGTCCCCGGTTACGCTAGGTACTTGAACCGGTACATTTCGAGCTTCATATAGCAAAGAACATTGTGTATACTTGTACCTCTCACATGAAAAAGGGTGAGCTCATCTAATTTCACAAAGAGAACGTTGTCGTCATACCTTATCTCATTAGAGCTGCGGAGATCGTGAGCGAGTGAGCTAGGTATCTGCATCATAGCTATGGATCTTAGTGATGTTTATGTAGAAAGATAGTCCCCCTTCAGCTAGAACGTTTTCTTTCTAAACCCAATTTAACTTATAAACTCGCCAAAATCAGCCGACTTTTCTAAGTTTATTGTTTTTCAGCAGGGAAATCGTTACTGTCGAAGGAAAAGAAACTAAAGTTAGTAAAGTCTAAAAGGAAATTGGAAAGTTCCAAGGTTGAATGAGACGTGGATCAGCTTAACAGGGGTACCTAGATATGTACGTGCAAATCACCGTCATTGCCCTCCCTCCCCACCTTATGCAACCAGGCAACCCGCGTCCTGGGCCAACCCTGGCCACCCCTGGCGCTTCTTCTTTTCTCCCCGCCCAAGCCAGCCAAGCAGCCAAGCCCAAGAAGAAGCTTGTGAAGATCTAAAGTGGGCAGGGGTCGTCCCCGAATCCTGAAATTTCTTGGAAATCTCAGACAAGAATCTGGCAGGAGATTCTTAGGATTCTTAAGATACGGGGTGGTTTATGAGGCTCAGATCAAATAATACCAATTCGTCGCACAAGTCATACCGAACCCTTATTCTTTGTTTTGACTCTAATCAACACGCAATTGGTTTCCTCTGGGCGTTGGCGCTCACGATATATGTATCCCAGGTTTAAGGAACGGCGATCGCTGACGATCTTTCTTGGGGTCGATAGTTTCCTCTTTGGTTCGACTTACACGTAGCCGCCTACGTCGTGGGAAATTTGTGTTTTGGTTATATTTTTTTTTCTTTTTTCTTTTCCTCCGAAATCATACGCATCACCCGCGGGTGTGAAATTTATACTCAGCGGTGTCAATTGGAATACTCCCAAACTGGGCTTTCCTCCAATTCTAACCAAGGCCCAGTTGGTGCCATATTCTTGATCTGATACCACGGTCGCTGCCAAAAGCCAGGATGAGCAATCAAGGACAGGCGACGGATACAGCGCCAGTTTCGGCATCCTGTATGATTCTAAACCCAATCCTGATTGGAAGTTCTGTTACTGATAAACTCGAATAGCCCTATATCTTACATTGGGACCCGTCGCTCTGGTTGCCGCGGCGTATGTTGGTATATTCTTGGTCCTTCGAAAGAGCCACAGGCGTTACTATGCTCCCCGAACGTATCTGGGAAGCCTCCGTACGAGGTGAGTTGGAAGCTTTATCGAAAGAATCCTCCGTCTTTGAATGGTCTACTCATTGCAAATAATTTATAGCGAGCGGTCGCCTGCCCTCCCTAATGGCTTATTTAATTGGATAGGTCCGTTTTGGAAGTTACCAGATATTTATACCTTGCAGCACCAATCATTAGATGCATACCTCTTCCTGCGTTTCTTGCGCATGATAGTTGTCATATGCTTCGTCGGGTGTTGTGTACTATGGCCGGTGCTCTTCCCTGTTAATGCTACGGCACATGGCAAAGCCACTCAGGTCGACATACTTTCGTACGCTCACATTGATAAGGACACGGAATCGAACCGTTACTATGTCCATGTCTTCATGGCCTGGATTTTCTACGGTTTCGTCATGTATATGATCTTACGGGAGTCCATCTTCTACATAAATCTTCGACAGGCATTCTTGCTCTCGCCTTTCTACGCCAACCGAATTTCATCCCGGACCGTATTATTTATTGCCGTTCCCGATGAATACCTGGACGAAGCTAGATTACGCAAAGTATTTGGCGACTCAGTGAAGCATGTTTGGATCGCTGGTGATACAGAAAAATTGGACGATCTCGTTAAAGAACGTGATAAGGTCGCCATGAAACTGGAGAAGGCCGAAGTGAAATTGTTGAAACTCGCGAACGCCAATCGTGTCAAGGCAGCGAAGAAGAATAAGGGTGCTTCCAGCGAAGCAGCTGAGGCCCCAGCGGATGCAGAGTCGGGCAGTTTAGCTGCGCGCTGGGTTCCTCAGAAGAAGCGACCTACTCACCGACTTGGTCCTCTAGGTCTTTGGGGTAAGAAGGTCGATACTATCAACTGGTGCCGAACGGAATTGGAACGCCTTATCCCCGAGGTTGAAAAGTCGCAAAATCAATATCGCTCAGGAAATTATAAGAAAGTTCCCAGTGTCTTCATCGAATTTTACCATCAGGCTGATGCCGAATCCGCTTTCCAAATTTTGGCGCATCATCAGGCCCTGCGAATGACACCTAAGTATATCGGAGTTACACCCGGGGAGGTTGTCTGGAGCGCCTTGAAAGTTTCATGGTGGCAAAGAATCGTCCGTAGATTCGCAGTGCTTGGCTTTATTGCCGTACTTATCATCTTCTGGGCGATCCCTGTAGCTGTTGTTGGTGCGATATCAAATATCAGTTACCTCGAAAAGATATCCTTCCTCACGTGGCTCACATCTATTCCCTCGATCATTCTAGGCTTCATTCAAGGATTATTACCTGGAGTTGCTCTATCGATTCTCATGTCGCTTGTACCCGTTATTATGAGACGTAAGTCCTATGCACTAGATTTTCGGCGGGTTTGAGACAACTAACGTGGAATTTAGTATGCGCCAAGCTCTCAGGGGAGCCTTCTCTATCGCGAGTAGAGCTGTTTACACAGAATGCGTACTTCGCCTTCCAGCTAATTCAAGTATTCTTAGTATCAACAGTTACCTCATCAGCGGCAAGTGTCGGACAGCAAATCGCTCAAAATCCTGGATCTGTTACCAGCATATTGGCAGAAAACCTGCCGAAGGCCTCCAACTTCTACATTTCATACTTCATCGTACAAGGTCTCGGCGTCGCATCTAGCGTTCTCTCTCAGGTCGTTGGTTTCGTCATTTTTACGATTATGTACAAGTTCTTGTCGGGCACACCACGAGCCCTCTACACGAAATGGGCTAATCTGAGTGCCATTTCTTGGGGTAGCGTATTGCCAGTCTACACGAACATTGCCGTGATTAGTAAGTTTATATTTAAAAACCCGATTCTACGTGTTTTGTACTAACCGCCTCATAGGTATCACGTATGGTGCAATTGCTCCGCTAGTACTTGGTTTCGCTACCGTCGGTCTTGCGATATTTTATATGGCGTGGCGGTATAACATTTTCTTCGTCACGGATACCAATATTGATACCCGAGGCCTGATCTATCCTCGAGCCCTGAAGCAGCTATTTTCCGGGGTGTATATCGCGGAATTGTGCATGATTGGAATCTTTGCTACTTCTGTAGCCATCGGTCCCTTGGTTCTCATGATCGCATTCCTTATTTTCACTATCCTATTCCACATCACTATAAACAGTGCTATCGATCCTCTCCTTTACAACCTACCTAGGACGCTTGGAACTGGGGCAGAGTCGAAGTCCATGCACGTGGAAAGCTCCAGCACTCGGAACGGCAGCGGGTCTACCGCTCACAATGACCACCAAGACGGCATCCAGGATGCTGAGAAGGTTACTTCTGCCGATACTGCCGTGAATAAGAAGAAGCCTGGATTCTTTTCCAAATTCCTCAAGCCCTGGGAATATTGTGATTACGAAACGATGCGCAAACTTGTGCCGCATGACGCTATCGACACACAAAACCTGTACACGGATGAGGTGGAACGTAACGCGTATTTCCCGCCTTCAGTCAGCAGCGGAACACCACTACTCTGGATCCCTGAAGATCAAATGGGTATTTCAAAGCAGGAGGTCCGCGATACTGGCAAAGTGATCCCTATTACCGATGAGGGATGCACGTTGAGCGATAAAAATAAATTGGAATGGGACACCGAGGCCGTTCGCCCTCCAGTTTGGGAGGAGAAAGTCTACTATTAAGCCTAATTCTCGGGGTATCAGCCACACGAATTTTCATGTCGAATGGGATTACCAGGGAAGGTGTATTTTTGGGGCGTGAAATTCCCAAGTAAAACTTCTCTTGGCTACGAACGACACGTTTGGGGTTTCACTTATGATACCAAACTTGGATCCATGATATTAGGATGGGGGTTGTCTTTTATGTCTTTATATTGTTCGGACGATCGAGGTTGATGAGCGACTGAGGATATCGCCGGGAGGAGTGTTGATGTCTATTATACCCGTCTGACGAAGAGGATATTGCGAGTATGATAAAAATGCTGTTAAATTAATAATCAATTCTAATAATAACGAAGCAAACTATAAAATATAGATCATTAATTTTTTTTTTCTCTGTTAGCTCTTACGTATACATAGGCAAATGCGTGACGATATAGCTATTTCGTAAGATGGGTTGTATTCTTTGGCCTACTGAATGCTGAAAGGAGGGAAGCTTGTGTGAGATTTAAGCCGATTCATTGGCCGATATGCACGGTTACCTAAGCGGATATTCAGGTGGCTGCTGAAAAAGACCAAGGCTGGGGCAATTGGACCAATCAAAATGGCGACCAGTCGTCTCATGACGTCCCACCCCCCAACCTTGCCCATAGCTGCGTAGTAACCTTCTGTTAGCTCTATCGCTTTAGTGTTTGTTCCCGTCTTCCCCCATAACTTCACCCACTTTCTGTTGAGCAGTTCAATCACCACAAGTGTAACACCGAGCGACGCCATCATCTACTCCCTCCCTTCTTAATAATCCAAGTTGATCTTGGATTATCATTTCATTTTCGGATTAAGGATAACCTATCGCCCCCCCAATTCGAAATGAGAGTCTCTACCGTTTGCGCGGCTGCTCTGTCCGTCGGCTTTGCTTCGGCTGGTAGCTGGTTCGGTGGCTCCCAAGAAATTGTCACTAAGGACGTGGAGAAGGTTCCTGGTGACTCTCCACTCGAGTTCTGCGATACCGATCATAGCAACGATATTATTAAGATCGAGAGCGTTGATCTATCGCCTAACCCCCCTGAGACGTACGTTTCATTCATTTGATTTTGGGGGATGAAGGTGATGTTGGATTATGACTAACAAGTGTTGTATAGTGGTGCTGAGCTAGTCATTAAAGCCACGGGAACTGTTTACGAAACGATCCAAGACGGCGCCAAGGTCAACCTCGTCGTCAAGTATGGTTTGATTCGCCTCATTAGCACCACCGCCGACCTATGTGAGCAAGTCGAGAACGTCGATCTTAAGTGCCCCATCGAGAAGGGTGTTCTATCTCTCACCAAGGCCGTCGAGATTCCCAAGGAGGTTCCTCCTGTACGTTTTATAATTCCAGAATATTGATGGTTGAGGGTTGGTATTAACAAGTTGCACAGGGAACCTACAACGTCTACGCCGAAGTCATTAACTACGATGGAAAGCCAGTTACCTGCCTCCAGGCTACGGTGAAGTTCGGTGGAAGCAAGGCGGATATGGGCGATCTATAGATGGATGGACCTTAGTCGAGCGAATTTGGATTACCACAATCATCATCATTATCATCACTACCATCACATTAAAGGGCAGGACCGAATGGTTACCTCGGTTGACGATTACTACGAATGGTATGGCAGTCTTTTGACGGACGGGAGAGCACCTCTTCGCCTACGTCTGTATTTGTACGGATTTTTTGAGAGCATCGCAGTTTGATTTATGTCCTGTTATCGCGAATCTTTGTTCATTGGGCGTTGTTTCCTTTTCTTTGATACCGCATGGTGACGAAGAAGGCACGTAATCACATTGGCTTAGCATTTAGTTGTTGTGCATATACAATGATACCCCGTAAGGGCAATTCTTTTCGAGTCTCTTGAATCCTGACTCGACATATTTGTTGCTGTTTGTTTGAACACTTGTGAAAACCCCTGATGCTTGGATATGATACAGTCCTGCTCTTATCATAATCGTTGACCGAGAATACTCTATGCTGCTGTAAAACCGATGGAATAATGCATTTACTCTCCAAATAGTCGTCGCACCCTCCTCAATACGCTGTCCTTCTCTGGGTCGTACGGGTGCTCTTTGCTAGGGATCTCGAGTATAGTAGGGAAAGCAGCTGTGTAGGTATCGATTCTGTATCGGATCTTGTCGGCAACGTGTTGGTTGATTAATACGATGCCGATGTCCTTGCGTTGCGTCGTGAAGGATTCGAATGCGGCCTCGATGGCTGCGGTTTCGGTCTTGTTATCGACGACTAGGAAGTTCTTCTGCGAGTCCGGTGGGTTTGTGACATGCTATTGATATCGTATGTGTTAATAGATAGTTCCTAGCTTTGAGTTCGACCGATCGCGAGATAGGGAGACGCTTACGCCTATTCCTGCTAGTAGCAGACCTGTTACTGAGTCCTGATTATGGCTATATGTTAGTTTATGGGAGGATTAGAGGTTATGGTTGGATGGCGGTGGCGCGCACCTCGTCGCCAATGACGGCTAGGAATTGCCTGTCCTTGTAGTCTGCCTGGGACGCCATGATTATGAGTCAAATTCGGAACAGGCAGCACAGGCGATGGTCCCGACTAAATCCCTTGACGTCGTGGTGATAGGTTGGATAAAAGAGAATTGATAAGATTATGAATAGGCAGGTAGGTATAATAGGTAGGTACTGGGTAGCTCTATATTACTGGCACAATGCAATTCGAGGTTGGGAAGGCAGAAGTGACGACCGCTAAAAGGAAGCTCTGACCGCCCGACATTACAGGTGAAAGCAGCTCTGTGACTGGCGCCTACCCCGCCATTCTTCGGGGTACAGTACCCGCCTAATTCAGCTAGGTAGCAGCCGCTATCGCGTGCGGCCTAGCAGGCAAAATTGGGACCAGTCACAGAAACCTTAGCTGGGCTAGCAGCTGCTAATAGCGAGTAAGCGCGAAAGTTACGGGTACCTAAATCGCCTAATTTTATCCACTATCAAATCTTTGTGACGTGCCATTGCCTGTGTTTTCTTTCGAGTCAACAATAAAATAAAAAAAAATTCAGGACAACCAACCCATTTCCGGCTGGACAGGACGAGCAAGCCAAAACGCCAAATCAATTACGACCCCTTCGCGCGGGTTATCGTTTCGCTGCTGCTCGTCCTGACTTTTTAATTTGGCTCTGCTTTAGGTACATTATCTCATCCATGTGCTGAGCTGGGTAGATAATTTATTTTGTTGTTCCTCGTCTCCCGCATCCGGTAGCAACCAAAATAGCGAAAAGATGCCGCCAAGGTTAGTGCGTCGGCGACCGCTCCTCGAGCGCGTCAAGGCCATGCTGAATCCTATGGACTTCCTACTATGGCTATCCGAGGAGATCGAAACGCGGGAATGGAACTCCAAGCTCGTTGGCACGCAGATGGGTGTCGCTATGAACTTCATCTTTCTGCTCGCCCGGGCTAATTGTACTGGTACCCGCGCGGAAGATCCTGTGTTCGACGAGGGGTACATGTCGGGATGGTTTACTTTTCTCGTAAGTACTTATAATCGAATTATTTATGTGTTGATTAAATTTGAAGATACAAAGCTAACTGGTTGCATTGTAGGTCGGTTCCTTGGTCTGGTCTCTCGTCACCTTCTCAGCCGTTAATGCAACTTACACGATGTACCGATCCCGACATTATCGACTATTCGAGGCAGACGTAGAGAGGGAACCTCAAACACCTTCGGCGCATCGCGTTCGTGTCCAATCGTCCCCTGTATCGTCGTCACCCCTACGATTTTTGACGGGTATGATGAATTCCGACAGCGCGGAATCGAGGGCGCATCCTGATCGAAGTCGAGACGTGTGGGAAATATCAATATGGGATCCGTTACCGATTTGCCTGCAAATATTTTGCTTGTTCAGCCCTGGCCACGTCCTCGTCTACATGTTGTTCTTACCGCTGGCACCTCTGGATGTGAGACCGAGCGTCACTGTCTTTAATTGTATTGTGCTCCAGTGCATCCTCTCGGGCCAGCTCCTTCTACTCCAGTCAAGGTTCACGCAGCAGAATAAGGACACGGCTATTATCCAGAAGGAAGTCATGCACGAATACGATACCAAATTCGTCCATCCCAGGCTATACCCTACCGTGAGAGATGCGTCAACACAAATATCGCAAAACGAAGACGGCGATGATCTCGATGAAGATATACAAGTTGGCATGCCCGCCGTCCAACTTAAACGCGGCTTCAAAACGCGACCTAATCCCAACTATATCAAACACATCGATCCCGACCGCGGCCGATCGACCTATACTAACTCCGGTCACAGCTCTGGACTATTTACCCCGCCCGTATCTAATAGGCATACCGATCCCTACGGCAGCGAGCTAAGGGGTCGCACCTCTATGGTCGCCTCTACCAAACCAGCTCATCGCCGAGGTGCATCAGGCCTTCCCACATCTTTTAATCCAAATGCGTCCCGACTTGGGACATCCACAGCTACGGCTTCTACACCCAATTTTTCTGCTTCTACTTCTTCCAACGCCAATATCACCACTGCTGGCGCCGCCCAGGCAGGAGGCGATGGTGGTTACATGGGCGTATTTACTCACCCTAATTCTCCCCTGAAGAAAGCCCCTAGTTTAGGCGAACTTCAGTTCCGATCACCCCGTAATAATAGTGAGATGGCTCAACTTGAGCAATACCAATCAGCCAGAGACCGCAGCAGCAGTCCTATGAAGAGTACTAGAAAGAGTACTGGTACTATGGGAACGCAACCGCCGGTACCCTGGGGACGACCCCAACCGTCTTCTTATGAGAGATATCCCTCCATGTGGCGGTAGAGATGGTTTAGCGAATGGGCGGAGGGTAACATATGGCTTATGCATTAATGTTTGGGGTGCGGCATCGGGGTGTGTTGGGTTGGGTTGAGCTTGGCTTTCTATTCTTGAGCCGTGCCAGAAGAACTTTTTCTTTGCATTTGCCCGGCGTTTGCTTTTTTTATGTTGTGTGTATGAATACGAGCTACATCTACTTGAGAGCCAAATAGAAGTAGAAATGGTATTAAGGAGCAGCAGTTGACTTAACCCTTCTCCTCTTGTCCTGTCTTGATATGTGACGATTCTATTTTACTAATCTACATATTGATAAGCTTTACTTGCCCCTATTAAGTTGGTCTCAGAACCTAAATGTTTACGGTTATATGTCTATCAACCTCGGACGAGAACCTAAGCCGCACATTCCCCAACGTCGTAGTCCGATCCTACCCATCTCTGATCTCACCCACCTCTGCCTACCTCCCCAGTATTAGCTGTCAGGTAGGACATATTCAGGTGCATACATTGTCTGATGTTCTAGAATGGAAAGAGGAAGGGGGACATGGACGAGTCTTCCTAGCCCCGTTTCACTTCCGTTTCCCTCATCTCCCCCTCCCCTCTAGGAGGGCAACTACGATCCCCTTTCTGTCGTGAGCTGGGTCCATCCAAACAACCATAGACCTTGAATAGTAGTAGTAGAATGGCACTACAAGGCCGTCGGCGATCTTCATCATTATCATCGTCATCGCCTTTACGCAATACTAATTCAGACTGGCTCGTATCTTCAACTCCTCCCGTGAGCCTGAATCACAGCCAAAGCCAACCCCCACCCATCCGACAGCGATCGTCGAGGAAGATGAGTCCGGCAGGGAGGGCCTCGACGGAGCGACAGCAACAACATCAACCTTCTCAAAAACGGACATCCTCCTTAACCGGCTTCTTTAGAAATATCTTACCAAGCAATCGCCCCGAGCAAGGTGGTACACGTCGAACGAAAGACCAAACAAACGAGATCAACGGCAACGATGTCGAACTCGATGTCGGTGAATTGACTGATTGGAACCTTGCTAAAGAAAAGAACCCTGCATATCCTACTACATCAGCAATTTTTTCAGAACAACCTCATCCTCATCACCACCGAGGTTGGAGTTGGAGTCCTCAGAAAGGAGATTCGAGATTCGTTGAAAACTTGCCGCGAGATAGGTCCCATGGACGTGAACAGGAACCGGATATACAGGATCTTGAACTGCCACCACCTCGGAAATCGGATACGTTAGCAAGGGCCGAGGTACATGAGCTATTCAAAACCAAAGAAGAGAGCAGACGAAATCGAAAAAGCTTGAAGGAGAGTGGAGATTGGCTGGGCGTGCAAGGTGCTGATCCATATTCAGGGCAATTCTCAGTCCTCACACCTACGGACACGCCTAGCTCCGAGACTACCAGTGCTTCAACGCGTAGCAAGCTTGCTGGGCTGGCACGCAGGAAAAAGGCCGCAAAACTAGAATATGAGCAAATACGGCTTTTAGAAGAGCAAGAAAAAGATAAGGCCAGATTAGACAGGGAACAGGCTAAGCTCAACAAAATCGAACGGGTAAAAGAAGAACTAAGACGCCAGCACCAATTTGCACGATGGAGTCAACACAGACGTCACTGGTCGTCCGCCGCGGAGCCGAACCTGAGTCCTATCGCTCAGTCGATAGACAGTGTGGCACTAGGAAGCAGTGAGACCTCTAGTTTACTGTTTTCGGACATGCCCACTGACTCCTTTTCCTCAGGTGTCGAGGATCCCACATCAAATATACGGAATTTTTCTCGTCCCACTCGCCCACCGGTTTCATCGAAGATCAGCATGTTAGGTCAGGCTGAACGACTTAGTTGTGACAGTACGCGGTCTCGGGGGCATAAACGTTTTGATTTATCAACTGATACGATTATCCATAATGCACCAGACGCTAATTCCGAGCCGGTGCCCCTCACAAGGCCAGCTTCTCAACCGTCAGGGGTATATCTCAATTCTGTGCAGCCAGATATTGGCCGAGCTAAGAGCGAAAGGCATTTTTTATGGAGGCGCAGAAGGGAGACAGATCCGGGGAAATCAGCGGCGGCTCCCCACGCGGGGGTCGTGATGTCCATGGCGGCCCAAAATCGGACGACCAACTCGATCGAGCAGATTCAAAAAGACCATTTTGCCGACCTGGCGATCCCGGATTACCGTCTCCACCTTCTGTCACCGGAACCGGCAGATGTCGCCGGCAGCCGGTCGACTCTTTCGGAAGAGTCTCCGCTAACGACACCCTATCACAGGCCACTAGGGAGCTTGGGAGGGAACAGGATGGCGCTGTCGTCAACCACGAATCTAAACCGACTCCAGGGGAACAGCGTGCCCAGTCAAGGTGTAAACGTAGTTACAGCAGCCCCATCACAGTCGAAACTAAAGGGAATCATAAAACGACAATCGATTCGCCGAAGACTAGTCCCGAGCCTGTTGACTACGAATCACGCCAAAGGCACGGAGAGACGTCAAATATCACCCCCAACATTCGACGAGCTTCAGGACCAGACAGTCAACCATTTTCCAGGAGATACCCCGGGGTACCCGAGCCAACATCTACAGCCGGATCTGCAAGGGAGAATCAGTTTGGAGCGGGCGGGGAGGAAGTCACCCCACATAGACAGTCACGTCAGGCCGAGCCGGAGAGGATCTGTGTCCATACCCATCACCATCACTACTGGCTGCGGTCCCGGTCAGCAGGACCAACTAGGTTCCCCACAACCCAAGTGGGATACCGAGCCCAACCAGATGGACGGCGCTACAGACATCAGGGATGCTCCAATGACTCCGGCGTCAATACATCAACACGAACCTTGCATCGCGCTAGAACCGTATCCAATCCAAGAGGAGCATAGGACGCCTTCCCCTCCCATCACACTACAGAACGGCTCGCCGAATCACGATCTCGGTCAAGAGATACCCGAGACCGATATTATATCAACTTACCCTACGACACCAGAGAAGAAACCACCAACCAGGGTTTCCACACCGACGACCCCCCGGCTGTCTCGTATCGTCCAACAGAATGCCGAGTCGAGGGACGCGGACGCGTCGAAGGACAGCGCCGATATAGCCGAGAAGACCGAGGCGGACAAAACACCAAAAGCCGAGCACAAAGAGCTGAGGAGGACAAGCGGACAGGAGGGACGAGTCCGGAAGTTGGACCAAGAACGTCACAACATAGGCGCGGTTCGAACCCCATCAACGGCTTCGTCGCAGGAAGCTCAGCCGCACCTATCATACGAGGACCAAAGGGAGACTATAGTGGAAGAAGCAGCCCGAATCGCCGTGTTGCGTTCGAAGGCCAAGGAAATAGTGAGGAGCAAGTCAGTGGACCGCAGAAGAAGCCGCAGCAGCGACAACCGGACTCTCAGCCCGCCAAGAAAACAGATCTCCCACAGCAATGTGAACGGCAACAGCAGCATCAACGGCAACAAGACCTTAGAATTAAAGCACTCGCTTCAGCAGAGGCGGCCGAAGAAGAAACGCCAAAGCGAAGAAGGCGTAGGCATCGGGCTTCCTTCCGAGCTTGAATCGATCGGGAAGAGTACCAACACGATCGCCCAAGTGCAACAGCATGAGAAAGGTGCCACAGAAGATGCGGGTGCTGATAGGTCAGATGTAAATTTCACGGTGGTACAGTTCTGCAAGACGGTTTACATCGTCTTCCTCGGCGTGGCATGCACGTGGTGGATCATGGTGCGTCCGGCCTTCGACCAGCGTAGCGAGCTCTGGAGAAGGAAACATAGGAAGGAGAGCACGTGGCAGGACGTGGCCGTGTTCGCGTCGGCGGGAGGATTCTGCATCGCCGGGGCTGCGGGGATTTGGTATCTTTTGAGGTTGCTCTGGTGGGTTGTCAAGCAGTGACGCTCCTTGTTTCGGTTGTGGGACCCGTTTCACATACAGTGATATCCTCTTGTGTGGTTATGGTTACGGGTCCATCTGGAGTTGAAGAGGACAGAATTAGATGAGTATTGACTAAGAGTTGACTACTGCTTAGGAAGTTCTTAGACAACTATTACCACTTCATACTTAGGTAGCAATGAAGTTTCTCAAACATCAATGCCGGAAGCTGGCTGCGGTCTTCGGAAAGGGGATTATGGGTTGCGTACCGCCCCATTACCCGTAGGCGTTCTAGACGATTGGGAAGTTGGGGAGAGGGAAGCTCCGACTAGAGCCGATGACCTCGACGGAAGCGAAAATTGGAGCTGGGAACGGTAAAGCATGGATCGGAGAGGTACCGGCCCGCGTAACGGGGGGTACCTTACCCTTGTAATGTTAGAGTTCATTGCAATCATAGGTCAATCATAGGCTAGGCTAAGTACCTAAGATGTAGATATGTACTTTTAGTTAGATTGACCAAGCCAACCATTGATGCGTACCACGGTAGTATACTAGTAGGGTACCTAATATAATTAAGGTGCGGTGTATGCATAGCAAGACGTGTGTGGTAGTTTTAAGAGAAAATCACTAATAAGTCGGTCTAGTCGGTGTTTCTAAGGCTGCATATGTTCATGTGGTTTTTCTTTTTTTTCTGTTTTTCTTCCCCAATCTCCTCATTTTTAAAGGGGGCTGAAGTATACATACATGTATATGAAGTGTGTCGAATAGAAGGTGTGTGTAGATACTTAGGAGGTACTTAATATGATAGGAGCGTGCTTTCTGCGGTGTAGGGAGATAAAAAAATGCTCATGGGGCGCAGAGACGGGGGCAGGCAATGGCAATCCAGCCCCTTACACCGAAAAAGCGGGGTGGGTCGATCTGTGTGCTACATTAGATACGTGCTCTGTTTGGACAGAGAGGGCAAGAGCAATTGGGAGGTTAGAAGCTAATGCGGTGACATCATCAACGACGCCTCTCTTACTTTCCGGGTGGAGGTCATTGGGTGACCCTATATAAATTTGCTGTAGGCTCCGGGTAGTGTGACCCGAGCTCGCTCGCAATTACGAGCTTTTTTGCCGCCCTTGCCTTGGAAATTGATATTATCTATCTTTTCTGTTCCCTATCCCTCTGATTGATTACGTGCGTATGTACGCATAATTACCTAGGTATATATGTAACGTGTAATATGTATATGTATTCCTACATGGATGTATATGTAGGGAGTAGAGAATATAGAAATATAGCCGTCCGCCAACATGTCGTTCCTGGCTCCGATGGAATATCTCTTGTCTGCATGCAATCATCAGCATACTTCTGCAGTTGACTCGCACCGAGAGCCCCTCACGTGGGGTAGCGGGGGTGTTCCTAGGCATTGAATGCTGGCGTATGGTATTTTGGCGATTGCCCCAACTGCCCTAACTATATATATGTACCTAGGTACTACTAGCTGCGCCGCACTTTCCGGTACTGTCCGGCCAATCAGGATCTGCAAGATTCAAATCTGGACCCCTACCATGGATGCTGTATGTACCCCGCTACCGGAGGGCAGGCACCGCTGTCCGATCTTCGGCGAGCTTGTACATAGCAACAAAGAAAAAAAATATTGTATAGCGTATAGTACCTACCCTAGGTACCCGGTAAGAGGCGTTAGAGCTTCCTGTGCCGGCCACGCTGTTGCCTCGCTTTCTTTGACCTCAAAGCTTGTACATATATACATTCGTACTTTCTCTCTCTGTCTCCTCTTCTCCCTCTTTTCCTAAGACATATAAGTATTTAAACTCTCTCCCCGCATTTAAATTATAGAATTTTCCTCTAGTCGGCCAGCCGCTTTATTCCTGTTCTCCCGTCGTGATTTCTTCCTCTTCCTCACGTCGCCGTTATCTTCTTTTTAGACATACATCTTTCCTTATTCCCTCCCCCTACCCTCATTCGAAATTGAGCGGCGTGCGCACATATAAGATCGACCTTGCTTCAAAGGCGGTCACGAGATAGGAGAAAGATACTCGTAGTAGTTCCATATCCGAAAGGAAGTACCCCCAAGATGCCCGCTGCCGACGTTGCCCCACAGACCTTGTACGACAAGATTCTAGCTGCGCATATCGTGGATGAGAAGCTTGACGGCACGGTCCTGCTATATATCGGTATGTTACACAACCAATTGGGGATTGCCGGTGGTTGTAGTTAAGCGTTAAACTGACAATTCACTTCGGATGATAGACCGACATCTTGTCCATGAAGTCACTTCACCGGTAAGTGATACTCCGATATACCGGAAATAATATAGAAATGCGCCGAAGCTGACAAGAACCATAGCAAGCATTTGAAGGTTTAAAGAACGCAGGTCGTCAAGTACGAAGGCCCGATTGCACCCTTGCCACGACAGATCACGTAAGTTATCCTTATCTTCAATTGTCAATATTATTACCGACTTGATAATGCTGACAATTTTCTTAGAATGTCCCCACCAAGTCCCGAAAAGGCATTAAGGACATTGCCACCTTTATCGAACAAGACGATTCCCGCTTACAATGTACAACGCTGGAAGAGAATGTAAAGGACTTTGGCATTACCTACTTCGGCTTGGGTGACAAGCGTCAGGGTATTGTCCATGTTATTGGTCCTGAGCAGGGTTTTACCCTCCCCGGCACCACTCTGGTCTGTGGTGACAGTCACACCTCCACGCATGGCGCTTTCGGCTGCTTCGCCATTGGTATTGGTACCAGTGAAGTCGAGCACGTTTTAGCTACCCAATGTCTTATCACAAAGCGAAGCAAGAACATGAGGATACAAGTCAATGGTGAACTGGCCCCTGGTGTTAGTTCCAAGGATGTTGTTCTTCACGCCATTGGCTTGGTCGGAACCGCCGGTGGTACCGGATGTGTCATTGAGTTCTGCGGTTCCGTCATCCGCAGTCTAAGTATGGAGGCTCGTATGTCTATCTGCAACATGTCTATTGAGGCTGGTGCCCGAGCCGGTATGGTCGCTCCTGATGATATCACCTTTGAGTACCTCAAGGGCAAGCCTCTCGCTCCTCGTTATGGAACGCCACAATGGGACCGCGCCGTCAAATATTGGAGGAGTCTCCAGTCCGACGCCGATGCCAAGTATGACATTGACGTTCAAATTGACGCCAAGGATATCATCCCAACTGTTACCTGGGGTACTAGTCCCGAAGACGTTGTTCCCATTACTGGAGTTGTTCCGGACCCCGAGACATTCAAAACCGAGTCGAAAAAAAAGGCCGGCCGAAGGATGCTTGAGTACATGGGTCTCACAGCTGGCACCCCCATGCAAGAAATTGTCGTCGACAAGGTCTTTATTGGTTCCTGCACAAACTCACGAATTGAGGATCTCCGAGCTGCCGCTCAGGTTGTCAAGGGAAGGAAAAAGGCTGAAAATATCAAGCGCGCTATGATTGTGCCTGGCTCCGGAGTAATCAAAGACCAGGCCGAAGCTGAAGGGCTCGACAAAGTTTTCCTAGACGCTGGATTTGAGTGGAGAGAAGCGGGATGCAGTATGTGTCTTGGCATGAACCCGGATATCCTATCACCCAAAGAGCGATGCGCTAGCACGAGTAACCGAAACTTCGAGGGCAGACAAGGTGCCCAAGGTCGAACACATCTGATGTCCCCGGTCATGGCTGCGGCTGCTGCTATTGTCGGCAAGCTCGCTGATGTCCGACAGTTGACAGAGTACAAGGCCAGCCCTCATATTGAAGCTTTCAGAGCCAATGGTTCGTCAGGAAAGGCACACGTCGATGAGAGTGTCGAAGAAGACGATGTTGCCAAGGAGAAAATTACCGACCAACCCGAGGACAGCTCACCGTCTGTTAACTCTCTTGTCACGGAAGCGTCCGGTTCTCAAGGTCTCCCGAAATTCCTTGTCCACAGGGGAATTGCTGCCCCACTGGACCGAGCGAACGTCGACACTGACGCCATTATCCCCAAACAATTTCTTAAGACTATTAAGCGAACGGGTCTCGGCTCTGCTCTCTTCTATGACTCGAGACGCAATGATGACGGCTCGCCAAACCTCGACTTCGTCCTCAACCAAGAACCTTGGACAAACGCCAAGATCCTAGTCTGCACGGGCGCTAACTTTGGTTGCGGTAGCTCCCGAGAGCACGCCCCATGGGCCTTGAATGACTTCGGTATTCGATGTGTAATCGCTCCTTCTTTTGCCGATATATTCTTCAACAATACCTTCAAGAACGGTATGCTGCCTATTGCCATCAAGAATCAAGCCGAGATCGAGAAGATTGCCGCCGAGGCACGCCAAGGCAAGGAAATCGAGGTCGACCTACCGAACCAGGTCATCCGAGACACTGATGGTAATGAGCTCTGCAAGTTCGACGTTGAGGAATTCCGCAAGCACTGTTTGACCAACGGTCTTGACGACATCGGTTTAACTCTCCAGCTCGAAGACAAGATTGTCGACTATGAGCGCAAAGCTTCAATCAAGACCCCTTGGGTCGATGGTACGGGATACCTGAAGCGCAAGGGCCAGGGCGGTCGCTTAGCTGCCAAGCCTGTACCCGTTCCATCAACGAATCGTGGACAGGAGCTAAAGGACCCTATTGATTGGTGAAGGAACATTAAATGAAATGGAACACGAAAAGGTGGGAGAGGAGTTCTGTGGATTCAAGTGCTCATTTGCACGGGTTTGGCGTTTGCTGCTAGGAAAATTATCGGTTTTCCACTTCGGATTTCTCATGCTAGGCTATGACATATGTCGCCTGTACCATGCTGCGATATGCTTTAATGTGCTCGACGATGAATTTATGATAGTGGTGGCTGCAGTTATGGTTTTATAAAGCATTCACAATCAGACTCAGTCTGCAATGGAACGAATATAAGACATTTCGATTCCAAAATTTTTAAGTGTTTTATCATTTCGAGTGATTGGAATAGTTATCCCTATCACTACTTTTTTTTCTAACCTGCGCTAACTGAGAACACAACGCTAATACCGAACAATGGACTATCAAGCTACATGAGCGACTTGTCCCTTAGAAAAACATCGCAAATCAAATCAAGGCAATTCAGTACGCCTCGGTAACACTTCGTTCCCCCGACATTACCGGCCTACTCGCTTCCTTCTCCCACCCTCCCATCCATCCACTACCTTGTCTAGGTAGGTAGGCATCACGCCTCGTAGACAACACACCCAAACTCCTCCAACATCCATCGAGGCGGGACCTGTCGGAGCATCATGCAAATCTCCGACAAGTCCTTCCAGCCCTCCATACAATTCAGCGTATGCGGGAGACAAGCCACGCGCATCAAACCCCGCGTTCGTGGACCGCGGACTAAACGGCGGAATTGCTCTACTTCGTCCGCGTTTTGATACGTCTCGATAATTAAAATCTCCTTTAACGACTCGGGGATGTTGGACTCGAGGTCCGAGATTTCATCGAAGTCGCGACGGGAGATGATTAGGGAGGCTAGAGATTGCATCTCGGAGATGACGGAGAGGAGGTGGTGGGAGGTTTCGTGGGTGGTGTCGTTGGGGTCTTGGGATAGGCCGGAGGGGAAGGAGGTCGTGTCTAGGTGCAGGAAGTGTAGGGTTTGCCCGTTGTAGAGGATGGGTTGTGCGAAGGTGGGCGCTTGCTGCGTGTTGTTGCGTGTGCGGAGTTTGATGTAGAGGGTTTGCAGGTGTGCGCACGCGTTCAGGATTGTCATTAGACCGGCGGGGCTTAGGTGGCAGGACGGGAAAGAGAGGTCGATGGGGTTGGTTGAGTAGTGGCCTAGGGCTGGTTTGGGGAGGGGGGTTATGGCTGGGAGCGCATTTTCCTCGGCTTCGTCTGTGATGATTGGCTCATCGCCCAAGTTACCGAGAGTAAGGTGTTCGAGCTTGGGCAGCGTGAGCATGTCGAGGGCGTTTGCAACGGAGAAGCCATGGGTGTAGGACTCAAGGTGGAGTGTCCTTAGATGACAAAGGAGTGTAGGAGGGGTGATTAGAGGATAGGGACGACTTGCTTGAAGCAAGAGTTGTTCGCGAGCACAGCGGATGACTCGACGAATTCGCGAGGTGCAGTCCCCCGACATGTAGGGGATGCGGATGTGCTCGAGCTTGGGGCACATCGCAAGGATAAATGCGAGGTGCGCCTCATCCGCGTCAGTAGGCAACAATCTCGAAACGATGTTTTCTTGAAGTTCCTTAGGGATAGTTGATGCTTGATTAAGTGCGGAGAGGGAATTGTGAAGGAAATGCTGATCCGGGGAGTTGGTTGCTAGAGGGACGTGGCCCCACAGGATATACTGCTTCTTAAGGACTACTTCCCTGATGAATCCAGCGAGTTCGGGTCTCTCTCCGAGTCCCAAGGTCAGTTTGGTCAGTGGGTTAAAAAGACCAGGGAGAGGATCATCGTATCTAGGGACGCAGATACCGACGCATGGAGTAGCGACACGACACCACTTCCTGTTGACTAGGCGAAGATCGAGGACGGCTTGCGGGTCCTCGTAGCTTAAGTGCTGGGCGATTTCAAGGCATATCTCCTCAGCGAGTGAATCCATGATGAGAGTATGATGATTTCTCAGACTTGATAAGTTATGGGTATTGGAAGTATAAGTGAATATCTATCAGACTTGATAACTTAGGAGTATTGAGAGTAGTGAGTGCAATGTTCTTGTGCCTCATTACAAAAATATTCTAAGTGATCGAGGATTTCTGAACACTTTTATAATGCGCGAGAGGGAGCTCGACCCTTCTCAATCTACGTCCCAAGATTCAGCATGCCATGACTCCTTGAATGAGCTGGAGGAACACAATAATTATTGCGTGCTCGCAGCTGGTTATATTTTCTCATATGGTTGGAATTTCTTGTTTTACCGGCTCTTATCAGGGTCATCCGAAGCTGCGAAATACTTCTCATATTTAGTCCTGTATCTCCCTCCACGCTATCTAGACGATAGCGAATCCATAACCTAAAAGCAATCAGTACGGGACGTTTAAGTCGGCAGAACGGAAGCTCAACAGTGAGTTATTTGAAATCTAGGCTTGATCCGAAGTTTACCTACGTACAGAAGACCAAGTTGATCGAGGACTTAGGTAACCCCAACGCAGAAGAGTCATTACAACAATCAAGGTGTCATTTCTCTATTACGCGAAATTTTGACATCTCGAGATGAAAATAATTAAGCTGCCCACCATGTGTAGGAGTGTCAATAGCACTGTCTGGAAGCATTCGCTGCTGTTAACATATCATTTGACGCCATCGTAATGAGTAGTGAGCCATGTAGTAGACATACTTCTATTGTTGGCAGGTATCTGTTTTTGACACAGCGTTACAGATTTAAGGCAATCTGTGTAAATGACTGGCCTGTTTTGCATTGTAGTACTTCATCTTTGCTTGGTGGAGAATAGGCTTGGTACGAGCTTAAATTGAAGCTATTTCGAACCATAACATCGCTATTGTAGATGATTATAATACGCATTTGGCGCCTTTACATAGCTTATTTCATAACTTAATCAACTCATTAACGTTCTATCGTCAATCGAGCCAGTGCAGGAAGTCGAGGAAGTTGCGTCGCAACGCCACAGCATATCAAGGCGTCAAATGTCACGATGCAACCCCTATACGAAGTAAACAAGTGCAAGTCGGACGTTATAATCGTTTGGTCAAAAGATTCGACGAAAATTACATCAACTATATGAACTATCAAGTCTATCAAGCAGGGCTTTCCTATGTTTATAGGCGTCCCGGACCCTTCGACCCTTCGAACCCAGGCCTTCAGCCGTTTTTGCATATGAATATAGGCACGCCTAGTGTAGAAAAACGTCCCGAAACTGTCGATATATAGGGGGAAGCCCTTAAATCCGAAATAGGGGTCTATTTAGGCGTTAAATTCGGATTTTATAGCATGAATGATCCACCTCGATGGCGCTATACGTCATATGTTTGTGTTAATATTATCTTAGGTGCCTAGTCGGACTAATACTAGGCTAACTGATGCTATAGACCTGTTAGCAAAGTGAAAGTATTGGTGGTGTGTAGTATCAGCACGCCGACAGCACCATCGCCGACAACCACAAAGCCACTACAAGAACAATAATCGACCCATCAACATTAAAATCAGATAAAAAGCATTCGCATTAAGTATAATAACAGGTAATAAGGGGTATAATAACTAGCTCGCCGACACTGTATGATGCGAAGGCAGTGATGTAAATATTAACCTAAGTTATAGGTGTATCAACTCACGGCACGACATCAAGGGCACAATATCCATATTGAAGATTTCGCTTCAAATATTGGTTATGTGGCCGGTGTCATCTATAAGCTGGCTTAATTTGATTAGGTATTCTCCGTCTAATCAATCCTTTCATATCACCTTATGCTCCCTTGCCCGCCCCTTTCCACTAAACACCTTAGAAAAAACCCCCTTCCTTCTCCCGGGATTGACGATGTCGCGCTAAACTCGCCAATGAATGGAAGAATAAAAATAGCGACAAGTATTTAAAGCCCGTCTCCTTGGCATGCAAGTAATATCACCGGTCAACTATATAGACCGGAATGATGTGAATTGTCTTTTCAACTTGGTTGATGATAAGACAAACGATGATGAATGAACCATGCCTTCCATTCTTCCTCTTTTCTTTTCTGGTTTTCTGTTTTGCCGCCTTTATAAGTGCGTCTGAATTGATTCCCGCCAATGAGGCGGTCGGGAACCTGTATAATAATCACCCCGGGCATCTGCCATGTGATACTCCGAGGCGCCACAACTCTAGTGTGTACAAAATTCTGGCTCATGGATTGGCCAATTAACCCGATGAAAAATGCTCAATCAGAGCGCCAAATGTAGTAGGTAGCGGCGATACAACATGTCATGGTTAGGCAAAGACTAACAGCGGCATGGGTAATTGGTATGAATCCAATAGCCCAAGGTGCTATTCATGACATTCTCGTAGCTAGGCCAGATCATGAATGTCGGGCCAAATTTTGCATGATCCAAAACGGTTTCAGCGAAGCGACACTCCACCGGAATGCGCATTTGATCGTTTAGAGCTCTTGTGGGGTTTGGCAAAGCTAGTATAATGTTCATCGAGTAGTCCGTACTATTTGACTTGATCTTTGAACTTGACAAATTCGCCAATCTTCGCCTGGTGTTCTGCGTAGGCACTGGCCCACTGCTTTTGGACAATCTGGTCTTGCTCCAACTCTCTAAGATAGTCCAGGACAGGATCGTCACCTCCTACAGATGTGTCAAGCCATGCTGCTCCTCGTTGCTGACGGCGAGCCTTAAAATTCTCCTGTCGATTGGCAAAATGCTCTAGGATTCTGTTGTTGAAAGTTTCCCATTTATCCATGTACTGGTAGAAGTCCTGAGCATATTTGCGGAACTGGATTTGATTCGGTCGAACTCCAGCCGCAACCACAGTGGGGGGGAGACGCGGGGCAACCGGTGGAGAAGGGAACTGAAGGGGGGTGAACTTAGGAGCTTGTTCCCTTTCCAACGGGATTTGCTCCGATGGCTTGCTTTCAAAAGGTAATGTCGACTTCAAATCGTTGAAGTCTTTGAGGCCCGTTGGAGTCGGATTTAAAAATGGCTCTACTCCTTTGAAATCCAAAAAGCTAGTGCGCAGATCGTCAGTATCTTCCGATCCACCATGTTGGGTCGGGAAGGAATTCGGCTTCGGGACAGACGATGACTGTGGAGCGGCTTGTCCCTTGGTAGGATTCTCTTCCCGCATCGGACTGGCGGACTTTGTGCGCACGCCATTCACATCTCCCGCTCTCCATTCTGCTCGGTGAGGCTCGACTGGGACTCCACGAGCACCGTTCGTCTGAGACGCCTTGGGAGTTTCGTCAACTTTCTCCTGCGGAGGCGAATCAATGTCCATGGCTGTTGTGTCGTCGTCTACGCTTGGCTGAGCCCAGCCGGAGGGAGCAGGAGGCACCTCTGAAAATCCCTCACTTTCTTCGTCCACCAAGCCAGCTGTGCCCGCCGTCATCTTAACAGGCTTGGCCTTCTTAGGGTTCGTACGACGGGTCGGGGAGTTGGAGGTGCTTCGTGAGGGTTGCGGTTCGAAGTGTTGAGATCCGATCTTATCGTTCCAGACACCAGCAAAGAATCCTTGCCCAGAAGCATTTCCCGTATCCTCCTGCATTGACGGCATGTGATCTGTTTCCGTCGGTCTAGGTTTCGGGACCTGTCGACGGCTTCGGCTACGAGATTGTGGACGTCCCTTTGTGGGAGTTTGAGGCTCCTTCGTCCAACCAGGACCTGCGCAGAATGTCCATTGCTCAGGAGCTTCGTCTTCAACAAACCTAGTGTTAATACTATCCGTACTGTTCCTTGCGAGTCCCTCTGCGCTAGCGTTTCGACTGGGTGTATCGTTTCCGGCCGAGAAACTGAAGCTATTACACCAACTATAATTAGTACCCGTTTCGAATTTCTTTGTTGAAGTGGGAGTTGCATGGTGGTGACCTCTTGTCTTAGAGGAATCGGTATTGTTCTTTTGACGGCGCTCCGGATAAATACCAAGGAGCTGAAATATCTCATCCATCTGCTGCTCTTCAAGGGGAAAGAGGCGAGGGCCCTCACGTTGGACGTCTTCACTCGAAGGCTTTTGAGTGGTTGTGTGGGACTGGGAATCAGTTTGACCGTTTGATTGGAAGACGGGTGGATTCTTGCAATCGGGTTGACCAGCTTTGGTATCTTTAAAGCCATTTGCACTAGTATTATGGTGTTGCTTTTGTGTAGGTATGTTGGAGGGTTTGTGGGTAGAGGGTGTACCATACACTGAAGGGCCGTTCGTCGTCTGGGCCGGATTTCCACCTGCTGTAGGACACGAGGTTAGACTTTTGACAAAAACATATTGCGGGGTTGGGTAACAAAAACATACATTTGCTAGCGTTTGTGGACGTAGTCGGTGTGTTCCTGTTGGTCTCGGGTCGAGGTTGTGGAACAGTCTTCGGTTCGGCGCTTGGTTTGTATCGGTCGCTAGGTCGAGGGTGGGATGTGTTCGCACCGTTCGTAGTCTGGCGAGTACTTGCCCCACCAGCACCTCTACCATAGTTGGTAGAATCTTCGGACCCTCCGTCGTTATCGGAGCTCTTCGAGGTAGAGCTTCGCGGTCGTGTTTGTGGGAAGGTTCCGGGCATTTCGGGTCGGAGGGGCGATCGTGTACTTGCGCTACGGCCGATACCTGGACCATCATTAAACAGACTTGTTTTCTCACCACCAGGTGTGTGGTAAGGTGTGCTTTGGCGTTTATCCCAAACTTTCTCCCTGAATTGAGAGAGGGGGTCTACTGGAATAGAAGTAGAAGCACTCTCATTAGATGGCCTTTTGTTGTCCTCCGCATCACTGAATATATTTGAATGTGATCGAGTCGTAAAATAGTTCTTCCCCGTGACGGGGGGTTCGTCGGCCATCCCTGGAGAACGAGGAGTGAAGCCATTTCTTCTAGCACCAAATGCAGCTTGAGCTTTCTGTTGTTGGTAAGCCGATCGTGGAGCTGCAGATTCCGAATCCGATGCTTTGGTATCCCGTGCAGCTGATGTCGGTGCTCGGCCGGGCGTCGAGGGTCCACCTCGTCGACTCGAATTCGATCTCATATTTTCCCAAGCATCCGCGTATGCTCTTCGTGCCTGAGGATCATCTCTCGGGTTCGGTTTAGGTGTGCGGGGCATGTTATTCGTAAACGATTCGTAACGATGCGCGCCAGAGTGGGTTTTGCTCGAGGATTTTTGTGTGGTATTTCGCGTGGGGGGAGGCTGATATTGCTTGCCAATATCTTGCCACGGGTTTCCTCGAACACCGGACGCTTTGGGGTAGCGGGAGTTATAGGCTTTACGAGCCTCATCGTATTCTCGTTTTTGAGTCGGATCGCTTAGAATTTCGTGAGCAGACTGTATGGTTTGGAACTTCGAGTTAACCTCGGACTCTCTTCCGGGGTTGCGGTCGGGATGCCATCTTAAAGCTGAAGGAAAAATGCCAATTAGCTAAGACCACGCGACGAAGCTGTCGCGAATGGAGGTCTTGATTGGAATTACTTACCTAGCTTTCTGAACTGCTTTTTAGCATCTTCAACAGACGCGGTGGAGGGTAACTCCAAATCCGCGTAATAGTCGCGGGTTTTATCCCACCTCGGCATGATGACAACCTTGAAAGGAAAGTCAACAGCTGGTGGGAAGAAGCAACGTGCGCGACCAGAAGCGAGGTTATAATCGCTTCTGTCTTATCATCACAAGTGGGTAGGGTGCTTGGATGGAAGAGTTAAATGTGGGTGGAAGCAGATTGGAGAGTGTGGTTGAAGTAATAGAAGGAATGAAAAAAATGATCTTCTTCCTATTCGTGGATGTAATAGGAATGGGAGAAGGATGGAAATGTGGTAGGTGAGTAAGATCACAAGTGAAGGGAAGGCAGCCGGCCCAGCTGATTTGTTTTCTACCGCGGGGGGTAAAAAATAAAGTGGGACAGGCTCAGAATCACAACCAATCGATAAGAGTGGCTGCCTGGTCGATTTTTTATTTTCTGTTGGGCAAAATGTTAGTGGAAAGGTAGATCGAAAAGTTAATCGAAAGGATAGTTTTTATGAAGTGATAATAATGAATTGAAGAAAGTTGATCGCGTCTGCTAACCTAAATGTTGTAGCGGCTGACGGGGTGACAGTGTGGGGTGGGGGAGAGCAAATACCTACATAATAAAGTTAAAGAAAGACAAGGGTACCTAATGGCCTGCAGACAGTGGGTTAGTGGGGGTGTGTGTACTTTGGACTGTGCCTTCCCTACACAGTGTAGGCAGGTACCTAGGAGGGCGAGGCTGTGGAGCAGATCCGTCGAGATGATTCTCCAGGAGCTAGGTACCATACCCAGGTACCTACTTCACAGACAATGAGAAATTCAACCAAACATTAATAAATGTTTGGGTGCCGGATTATTTAAAGTTCTCTGCACTGATATATCTAATACAGGTGCTAGGACACTTATTGGAGAATAGATTGTCAGGTCGAAGTAGCATTTTTACAGCTTATGATGAAATCTGTGCATGCGGAAACCCTACCGATACAAATTGGTAGAGCGGACCGTGTGATGCAGCACACATGCATGTCATATCCGGTGAGCCTCTGACACGTTCTGTTCTTTCTAGTTACCCTAGTACCTTTCATTGGCTAGAATTCAATGGAAGTTTATGTACCTTTGTAAATCTAGAAACCTTCACTTCTGCCAAGTACGTACATAAACGATCTACCCAGGCACCCATGCTGGTACCAGGCAGCTATCCTGCTATCCCAAGAAGTTGGGCGAATCTGAAATGACGTCAAGGTTTTACAGCAGGACTTCAAGTAACTCGCTTGCTTGGAATTATCTAGTTACTTCAAGCATAAGCAATTAATTACATTTCATTATCCAATGGCTCTACAGTGAAATAATTGCGCTTCGGTTGCACCTATTTATCGATTAGAAAGAGGTATCGGTGGATATTAGTTGTCGGGCTGGGAGCCGGGACGAATCTATGACAAGTAGAGGTTAGGCTGATTATTAGGACCCCATTGATGCACGACGGAAACTAGCATGAGGCATGAGGCATTAGAGAACTTCAATATTCCGACTTACACTGCTCCTGCTGTCATTACCATCAGTACCCCACGAAGACTTGACGCACATCCTGTACTCGGTTGCATACATAAATCCCCGAAATAGGAAACTTCCAGATGCCACCTCAATCGTCATGGTGCATGGAAACTAAGCACCCCCGCAAAAGAGCGGATACACCTAGATGCACGTAGATATTCCAACATGTAGGTAGTCAGATCGTGAAAGGCCTCTAGTGGAGGCTTGGTGGTTGTATTTGCTTACTATCCCTTCTTAGCATAAGCCAACCATATCTGCAATTTTGAAATTCCATATGTTCATGACTAATAATGATGGCATGCCATATACCATAAACGCCGACACCCTCGTAACCTAAACATACAATGTCATGATCCAGGTAAGCCGACAAACACCTGTCTTATGCAATAACGAGAATTATAATGGGCTCCTTCAAAACTCCACCTCAGAGGATGCTTCCGCAGCTAGCCTCATTATCCTAAACCATGTCTCGACTCATCTCATAAGTCCAACCGCCTTCTCGTCTTATCTTGTCTCTCGCCGCAAGATCCTTTCGAATATCTTCGTCGGTCAACCTATCAGGACCACTCCAGTTAGCGCTGGAAGTCCTGGCCCGGAACTTGTGGAACCGATCCTTGCTCTTGGCGAACACTTCCTCCATGTTAAGGGGTCCTGGTGCACCGAAAACCTGGAAAGGATCTTGGGCTTCCTGTTCAACGAGAGCCTGGCGAAGGTTGGGTGAGTCGGCCCAAGATGCAATAGTGTCTTTCCCACCATCATCGTACTCATCGTCTTCGTCATCTGTATTGATCTCTGGTAGCTCGATAGACTCGCCGTTCTGGAACCGCGGTGAAGATCTTGTGGCAGACTTGGCGGTGGATTTAGTAGCAGCGACTCCCTGAGGGCGTGCAGGCGTCTTGTAAGATGGCCCGGCCGGGTTCGGGTTGGGCGCAAAGGGAATATGAGCTTTGGACACTTGGGCCATGTCCAACGGGTGTGCGGCCTTCATTTGACTGTTATGTTGGTTTGTAACAGTGGTCTTGAACAAATCCCTGTTAGCATTTGATGCATTCGTGTACCCGGCTTGGTACATCGACTTGGTCGGCATATCCTAGTAGCTCGTTAGTATTATATCTATGCACGCACTTAAATAAGATGTTACCTTTTTGTAGCCACCCGACGGGCGTACGGGCGCGCCCTTCAGGCTCGGCTGCTTCTCTCTCTCGCCATCATCATCGAATTCATCCGTCATACGCATTCGCTTCGGGTCCTTTGGCTGATAACCAGTACCACCACGGGCGGGAGGTTGACGGACATTATCATCGTTATGCTCCTGCTGCAGAGGTCGTTTCGTAGACGCTTTGGATGCATTAGATAGTAACGCATTGACCGGGCGTCCAGTATCCTCTTGAGATCGCTGAGCATTTGTCGCCAAGCGAGAAGGCGGCCTAGGTGCTGCGGGTTCAGCCCGGCTATAATCGGGAGGACCATTCGGTTGACTTCGCGCTGCTGGAGGGGGCGCTCTAGTCTGCTTCGCCTTCTCGAGCATTGCCTGTCGCTGTGCGTTCTTTTTCGCTTCTGCTTGCTTTCGTTCCTCTTCCTTTCTTTGTTGCTCTTGACGCTTCTCTTCTTCTTGTATAGCGGCTCTCTTCCTCTCTAGTTCTGCCTTAGCATCACGCTTACGTTGTGCTTCACGTTCTTCTTGCTCCTTCCTCCGAGCTGCCGCTTCAAGTGCCTTGGGTCTTCCTGAGGATGATGTTGAACTCTTGAGACTTTGTAATGAGGGTTTGCTCTGGAGCTGATTAGGTTTATTCTTAGGCTGGGGTTGAGAAAGCGTTTCTTGAAGGTTTGATGACAAAGCGTTGTTAGAAGGATGATATTGAGGATGTTGCGAACCCATATTGACACGAATGACTGTTGGAGCTTGTTTAGTCTTGCTTGCTGGCTCCTTTGCGGGTCTCATAGGTCGCTTAATCTCTCTTCCTTTAGTAGCCGAAGGAGGCGCGGCAGATCGAGGGGCCGAAGGTGGTGGCATCGGGTTAGGTGCATCGACCATGTCAATATCATCATCTATCTGTTTATCATCGAAGACGGTCGCAACAGTTGCTTCTTCTTCGGCAGCTGGCTGGGGTTTAGCTTTACGAGGACTCGATCGGGTTGATTTAGATGGGTTTCCTGGAGTTTGTACTGCGGCTCTCTTTTCCTGCTCCTTTTGCGCAGCAAGTTGCTTCTCCATTGCAGCAACCCTTTCTTGTTCTTTGCTGAACACACGAGCCTTTTCGCGCTCCTTTTCGCGGGCTTTCTCGAGCTTTTCCATTTGCTCCGCCATCCGACGCGCTTCCTTTGCCTCCTTCTCCTTGCGTTTCTCCTCAGCCTTCTCTCGCTCGATCGAGGCTCGTGTCCTTCGGCCCTCTGCGCGGGTTGGGCTAGTTACACTTGCAAGGGTTTGGTTGTCTGCAGCATGACGAGATAAATCTGGATAGAGAGGCTGGGCCTGGGGGGCCACGAGAGAGGCACTGGAGGGGAATGGATGCAAGCCGAGTCTGGTGGTCGAGGGCGATAGCAGCGAGGTCTTACCTTCAGCGCTGATAGCAGCACTACTCGCTAATAGACCTTTCGAACTCTTCAGAATAGATGACAGCTTGCTCTTAACCTGCCTCAGCGGGCTGTCTTTGAAACCACGTGAAGGTGACTTTATTGGAGTAGTAGGCCTTTCGTTTTCAGAAACAGTCGCAAGCGGTGGATTGGAAACCGAAATAGTCTTCTTAAGGCCATCTCCTTCACCATCTACGCCTGCCTGTGTGGGCAGCATAGGGACGGATACGGACTTGTGGTGGCCCAAATTATTAGGTGCTCGTTCTGACATTGGTGGCCGTTCGGGAGATTTGGATCGACTCTGACGCTGACGGGTCTTGGGCACTGCGAAATCGTTTCCGCCGGCTGTTTCCTTACCAGACACACCTTCCATCACGTCGGCTGTGTAACTCTTGGCTAATCCAGGCCGTGGGCTACGGGCGTCCGAGGCATTCTCAGGCGAACCAAGAGGTTGGATCCAATCATCTTCGTCGTCTTCAGGGAAAGCACCTGGAGTTGTTGTCTTCTTTGGCGAAGGCAGGGGCTTATCTTGAGATGGAGCTAGAACTGCGGCTGGCTGAGCGACAAATGGGTCTGGAATTGACTTGGAAGATCGGGGAGCAGGCGCTTGAGACTGACCCAACTTGCTGATCTGGTCTTGAAGTCGCTGCGTGTAGGTCTTATTTTGCGTGGCCGCGCGGTCTTGTTGAGATTGTGATTTTTGTGTGAGGGGATCTTCGTCCTCATCTTCATCAACATCCATGTCATCATCATCGTTCTCCTCGTCGCTGAGATCGTGCTTTGCGTGTCCCAAGCTTTTCCCTCCAGTATGACGGTTATAGTAACTAGTTCGGTTTTGTTCTAGGTGGCTAGTTCTTGATACTCGATTGCCTATGCTCTTATGCGTAATAGGTTCTCTTGCGGGTAAGGAAGCAAAATTAAGACTGCTCTTCCGAACGATAGGTCGAATAGGGCTAGAAGTGTCCGAAGAGGATCTTGATGGCTCTTCCATCACAGTCTCCATTCCATCCACTCCAACGACATTGTCTTCAGGCTGTGTATGTATGACAGCGGATTTTGCTGGAGAGTCCTTCGGCGAAGCGGGTTCAGGCGACCGCAAAGGTGAACCTGCAGGAGTAGTGCTTTCGTGGGTTCCATCATTTTTAGTCGGCAAATTCCCTGCCGCCGCAACATGAGCGGTAAAGTACTGGGTATCGACATCACCCACGTTTGTCTCGAGCGTAGGATTCAGCGAGTTATGAACCGAATCATTGAGTGCATGACGATTGGGAGATTCGTAGAAACCTACGTAATCGCCCTGTGTGTTGGCTTGTAGACTCAAATGCTCTGTGATCTCATCAGCCACGTTATCGATGTCCATGGCATCTTGAGACTGGCTACCATGATACCCAGAGTCGATTACGGAAGGTGGTTGCTGTTTTGAAACTGTGGGTTTAGGAGCCGTGATTTTGGAGGGACTAGCCGGGGCAATTTGTTTGGGAGGGGAAGGTTGAGGGTCCGCAGCTATCTCGAATCTAGGTGTGTTGCTTCGGTTCATGTTAGGTATAACGAAGGGATTGTGTGCGCCCTTAGGCGTAGCAGAGAATATATCAGAAAGTGGCTGGGAATTGTTAGTGATAGTCATGTCACGTCATATAAAAATAGCAACTCACGACGCGGTTCTCTGTTGCATTCGCTCTCCGAACTGTTCGAGGAGTCTTGCCACGTAATTTCCCTGGGGTTTTAAATATCTCTGCAACGTTTCTATTGTTGTTATTAGCTTTGGAGGCACCAAGCGAGGGTATTTGGGGATTTACACACATTTGATTCTCACTAAAGATCTCGGCCATATGTTCATTCAACCAATCGAAGTCATTTCGCGCAGAGAACGAGAACTCTTCAACTTCTTGCTGTGCAATCTGCAGAGCAGATGACCTTTCCTCGGCAACCCATGGCGCGGAGCCAACTGGCAGACGCGCCCCTCGTGGCCCGGCCATCGTAACCGCGATGGAATAACGCGTCGAATGTGCGCCGTATCGCGTGTAATCGTCGACAAAATATAAAACAAAGGTTCTAATTAATTGGCGATTCAGGTAAGCATGGTTTTTTAATTAGGACAGAAAAGCGAGGTTTGGGGGGGATTGGAAGCGCGAATGTTGGCGCCAGTATTGTGAATTCGGCGTGAAGTTGGTCAAGGTAAAAGAGGTTCAACAGATTGATAGGTTAGCAGGTTAGCAAGGTAGAGGGAAGAATACGTCGAGTTCTGGTAGGGATTGTGGGCGGCGGTAGCAATTGCCGAAAAATCATTGGCTAGAACCCAGCTGGGTGTAAACAGAGAAGCTTGGACCATCACTAAACCTTTAGTGGGTAGCTGCATACGGTACGCCGGAATTTCAATCCCGATAATAGAATGCACAGCTTGTAACGTTCATAACTTAATTCGTTCCTTTCACAAGATTCACTATTAAATGCTGCTAATCTGCAAGACCGATCGAATTTAAGTGCAGATGTCAGTAATGTATTATTGCACTTCATCGATTATAGGTACTCATGAATCAATATCAATTGGGTATCTCGACTATAACTCCTTTAAAGCGTGAGAAGATCCAGGCCTAAATCGCCATCCTCTTCCCAAACATTCTCATTATCATCATCCCCTTTACCATCCTCCTCCCTAGGATCACGAAGTTCATCCCACTCTGGTATCAAACCCCCTCCCATAACCTCAGGGCCATTCCAGTGGCGCTGCCTGGCATACTCATTGGCGGAGTCACCACCCACGGCGGCCATATCCATCTCCACACCAACTTTAACCCAGCTCCAGAAATCATAGTTTGTCAATTCCTTGATCTCTTCACCTCGGAGTGCTTGGTAATCACCGTACTCCTCTTCATCTTCATCCACCTCGCCCACCTCCTCAACAACGAATTTCGAGCCGGTCGAGGGGCCATAACCGTAAGGGAACCACTTAGCAGCGCTGGCAAATGCGGCCGCTTTCTGGGCCTGGATTTGATAGGGCCAGCGAACGTCTTTCAACAGTTTCGGATGTGTCTTCGTCTGCGAGGGGATAAAGTGACCTGGATCCTTGGGCAGGTCTAGAAAGTGCTGAGCATTTTCTTGGCCCCAGTCAATGTGTATCACATAAACTGGAAGGATCTGAGCGGTGTCGAAGACGATGTACTCAAGATCACGATTAGCGACGTGCGAATCAGCTCCGGGGTAGGGTTCAGACTGTTCCCGCCAATTATCATTCCGCGTCATATTGGCCGAAACCCCCATGAGCGTCGCACATACAATTAGCTTGATGCCGAAGAACTCATTGGGCTTGGTGGCGTGGCAATAGTCGCCTGTGTAACTGAGCGAGAAGTCCGGATTCGGAGAGCTGTAGATGCCCCGGCCATATGTCGCGCCACAGCGAATCGTGTGAGTCTCATTCGTGCCAGGATTTTTTCCACCGGGCTTGAGGAAGCCATAGCGCACAATGGACGGCACAACCTGCCGGGAAGTGCCATGAAAAGTAAGACGTGGCTTTACAGCGTAATCTACCATTACTTCTTTTCGCTTGGTCTGGTGCAGATAAGGCGGGACATACTTGCGAAGTACATCGGTAGGTTGTGACCTCAACTTCTTCCTCATCTCTTTTTGCTTTTCATGAAATTTCTGCGCTAGATCAGCCCTTACAACTTCCTCTATATGCAGGATTCTGTAATAGGGAGGGATCCGAGAGCAAATTTGCTGTGGCGTTTCTTGAAGGTATTGGTACACCACGTCACTAATCGTAGTAATAGGCCTCTCCATCTTCGTCTCAAATGGAAGATACGACGATTGCTCTTCCGATTTCTTCTTCTTTTTCTTTGGAGCTGTCGTCTTTTCTGCCTTCCGATGTCTCCATGTCTCCAAATGAGATGCTGTCTTTTTAGCAAGCTCCAAAACCACCATGGCCGGTTCGAAGACACCGAATGAGCACTCCTCTCCCCGCCTTCTCCATTTCTCCGGGTTGTTCGTGGCTGCAGATTCCTCTACAATTTGCTTTAATTGTGCTCGCAGATCATCCACCACCTCTCTCGATGTTGCATGATTGTCGATCTTCCAGGTAACTGTTGTAGCTGGATAAGAAGGACCAGCAGTTACATGCAGGTCCAATTCGTCATATTGGATAATCAATTCATTGTCCAATGGCGTTGTCAGCTTTTCGTCTTCGCTTAGAAAGCCAGCTTGGATCAGTTCGTCAATTTCGAAGTCGCGCAACAGTGATAATTCGACAAGGTCGTCTTCACCTAACTCAGAGGTATCAGACATTGCGACTTGAATAATAACAATAATGCGATTGAATATTCAAGTGAATAAAAAAGAGATGCATGCATTAACTTTGTTTTTCAGCTTAAGCTTTAAGATTGAGATATTTCCAGGGACCCGTCGGGTTTAATAGCGTTCCTTGAGAAACCTACGGGAAGTTGTCGTGCTACATTTATTTGAAGTGAACCCACCAAAAAAGAAGCTTGGGACAAGTTTTGACTCATTTCGGCGAGTGGCTCATACCCCTAAAAACCAGCAAGCAAGCACGACTTCGCCTTGCAGGTTAAGGAATACATGTAAGTAAGGGCCCGAGCTGCAAATGAATTATTATTCGATATTAGATACGAATAGGCCAATACCAAAACTGAGTTTTCGAGTTACATCATACGAAATATCGTCAGCAAGAAAACCAAACAACTTGACAACTACAAAATAGGGTCTTATTCTGAGTCAATCCATAATAAACATCTACTCCTTTATTCTTACAGCAAGATCACATGCTTATTCGTATCTAACAAAGCCACCCACACAATCGAATCGTATTCTTATTCCGAGAGGAGATCTGAACTACCCCAGTTTCGCGCGGAGAAAATGCAACCCTACACGAGATGTGGAGGAGATATATCACATAACCTAGGAGGTAGGTAGTATTGGGGAAATGATGCCGTCTTATGATGCACAAGTCGCATGGTTCCTGGCTCTAGCAGGCATTTGGATCATACCATATAAACGAGATATAAATTAGGTCTCTATGCATGCGTGCGCGTGTAAATAAAAAACCAATGTAAATATCCAACGACTTCCCACGATAACTTCATTTTACCCTGACACCAAAACATTATAATCCACAATGCGCCCCCTAACCCCCCTGCTCCTAACCCTCGCCGCCACCAGCGCGCGCGCAATCGACTACTCCTCCCTCCACTGCCCCACGGACCCAACCAGCACCCTCGAAACACCCACCTACGGCACCTCCGGCGCAATCTTCACCATCTGTTCCGAACTCCTAATCAACGCCCCCCCGATATCCGCCTACAGCGCCATTCTAGACTTCAACTCCTACCCCCTCTGGAACACCTTCATAATCTCCGTCGGCCTGCCCTCCAACGTAACCACCACACCGGGCGATATATACATCTCCATGCCCATGAGCTTCATCTCCAACGGCCTAATCTCCGGTATCAACACCACAAGCACGGAAGTAATAAGCCTATTCGACGCCACGGGAACAGATGGGTATTTAGTCAATGCATGGCACTACGACGACGGTTTCGGCGGGATCGGAGCGCGTGCCGAGCATCCGAATGTATTCGTTGATTTAGGGAACGGGTCCACGCGGTACTTGTCGTATGAAACTTATTATGCGGGTTTGACGACGGGTACGATAGGCTTGTTGAGGGAGCAGTTGCAGCATGAGTGGGATGTGCAGGCGCAGGATTTGAAGGCTTATGTTGAGGGGAAGTATTAACTGTATTCATTATCTACTGCCTATAGTTCCCGCAAATAATGATACTACGACTTCTAATCCAAACTTGTTTGCGTATATGTTACTTTATGATCCAGACACCGCGTATTGGTTTTACTTGGCTGGGCTTTTAGAATCCCACGTATTGCAACTTGTCTTAGATTTTAAGGATTGGACACTCCTGTGTCAAATCTCAGATTGAAAAAGACATTACAATGCAAGTTAAAGTCGATCTCCTCGGTTATAGAAAATGGCAAGAGAAGGAGCTTCATCTTAGTCGCTAAGTCTACACATAACGATTACGTCTACGAATTAGCACAGGTCGCAATCACGTCAGTCATAGGAGCTTAAAGCTAGGTATGCGTCGAAAAATCAATACTGGCATCGCAAGGTCTTGAATAAAGCCTATCTGCCGATATTGGGCAATTGTTAACGCCCCTCCTAGCATGCATGCAAATCTCGAAGCCATCAGCTCTCACGATGATCCTTGTCTCCTAGACTGTGCATTCCGCAAAACCAACGCCTATCAGTACGCGGGCTCGCCGGGCCTTGCGTACAGTTCAGTTCCATAACAATCACCTCTTCACGGGAGGACAGCGTTACTGGTCTCCAAATCGGCGTAGTGTAAAGTGAGGGTTCGCTGTAGAATATGTTAGTAGAAATATAATAAAGATGGAGGTAGTTGTAATGTTATAACGTACGCGTTGTTTACGCCAATCCGTGGTATCCCAGATGATGTAGTAGCCTTCCTCATGTTGAGTGCTGAGGATTCGGGGTTGCATCAACTCATCCTTAGTCAACCAGATCTTTAACTTCTTATGCCATCGCCAAGCACGGTTGTAGCTAGTGAGTATTGGCATAAGTAATTCGACAATATCGAAAGAGGAGGGAAAAGAGCAGACATACAGTTCGTGAGCTGCCAAATGTTGCTTGATGTCGCCGGGGCAGCTATAGAAGATCCACATCAACGTCTCTTCGTTGAAGTTGCTAATCTTGTTCTCCAGGGGCTGGACATTATTCACGTTGTAGCAGTCTGGTAGACGGAACTCGGGAATAGCGGGTCGCGGAGGGGTGTCGTTAAAGAGGGAGAATATTTGTGTCGACAAAGGTCTAACATTGAGTTAATACCGAGCGTTGTGTATAGGGATGTACGAAATAAACTTACTGGGGTGATGTGAAGTCAAGACCTAGCGTCGTCGGATCCAAACCTGTTACAGCGGCATTGTAGTCGGGATAATTGTTCATCAGTGTTCGGAGGCCCTTGATTCCCCACTTGTCAATAGGCGCCATACCCGCTAGAGGGTCGTGTACAGAAGGCGATTGATCCTCCTCCTGGTCGGTCTTGCCCGAGGGACCGTCACTGCTACCAATTGCACCGAGGGGGTTGCGTCCTTCAACTGACGTCGCCGGATCTTGAGCAGAAGCTTGAGAAGCTAAACTATCTTCTCGAAAACCGGGTGGTTTTTGTCGGCCTTCGTCACCACCTCCAGTTCCAGTACTTCGGATATCTTGCTGTCGAGAAGCGCCTAAATATTCGTTAATAAGTATCAACGTAGACGGGACAGAATTGGCATACCTGTTGTTGTAGATCCCTCTGGGGAACGAACGTCCGATGTTCGGGTGTTCGCAGATAACGCGTTAAGTAGGCCATTTCCTGATCGGGGGCCTTGCATGGAACCGGGAGCTGCACCTCCCTGGGTGCTGAAACCCAGTGTTGACATTAGGTTTGAGCTACGTTCCTGACCTATCTCACCATTGCCGTTCCTAAGGTTGTTATTGTTTAAGGGAGGGAAGTCGTCGATGCTGTTAGGTTGGGGTTGTGATGATTGCGTCACATTACTCTGGCTACCAAAGCGATACTGACCTTGGCCGGAATTCATCCTCGAAGGCGCAAAAAAATCGTCTTGTTGCGTATGCTGAGATAAGGGAGTAGGTTGTTGATTCCTCTGTATCGTGCCGCCCATTCCTCTTGATCCTGCTGTCGACCATAAGGAGGATGCATTCGCACTAGGAAGTTGAGAGTTATTCGACAGTGATGGAAATTCGCTGCTAGAGAAGTCAGCCTATTACCTTCATGAATTTTGCAAGGAAGAATGGCAAGAAAGGCCAAGGGTAAGCTTAGGCCTAATATAGATAGACCAGCGTAGCATTAAACACGACGTGTTAGTTTAGGTATTTACCGATCTGTAATGTTCAATTGCTTGGGTTTGTTAGACTTAGATGGGCCCGCCTCGGAGTCCTGATGTAGCACCTTGGCATACGATAGGCTATCGTGAGTTGTAGGGGCTTTCGGGGCTGGAGGCCGGGTGGTGACAGCTCGCGCATTGTGCTTAAAGACGAGCGACGGTTTCTTAGCCTTAGGTTTAGGCGGCGTACTGACATTATCCGCACTCGAATTTGCCATGTCGCATGTTTGTTTAGAGCAAAGGTGTATTGTAGGCAAAAGCGACAGGAAGGGCGTGAGTGAAATCGGCGGTTGAAAGAAATAGGATGATTGAGGTGAAAGTTGACACAAGGCTTAACATGCCAAAAACCAGCGGCAAAAAAACAGCCAGTTAAAAGGGAACGGCGGGTCAAATATGAGAAATGGAAACACCTACGAGAGGTCAAGAGGTGTTGCTGGTTGAGAGCCACTCAAGCTCTGTGCAAAGCTCAGATTTCCGCCTAGTTGCCTTGACGACGTTTGAAGACCAGCACCACCCATTGGAACACCACCAAATGCCCATCCAGCACCGTTGTTTGCTTTACCACAATAAAAATATTAGCACCTGCTTAAATAACCACCAACACCTAAATCGCACAACCACATAGGCGTACCTATTTTTCCATTTGGTAACCGACCAGACACCGATCTACCTGGCTGTTGAGGCTGTTGCTGGCCACCGAATCCAGTTGGCATCCCTCGAAGGGTTTGAGGCACGGCTCCTGAACATGTCCAGCATTAGCCAAGTCCATGAAATCTCCCCGGGAATATGACGAGCAATATTTTTGGATATTTAAAAGATTTATAGGGATGATATCCGCCCGCGTATCTGCCATATATCCAACATGCAACAACTGTATGCGACTTCTTCGCTCCATCAAACGAGGCTGGCATTTCGGGGAAGGCTGAGACCAGAGTAATAGTCAACGGTCCTTCAGCATCCTATCCGCGACCTTAACGCAACCAATTGCCTACATATTATATTGAACGGCTCGAAGTATGACACGTGCAGTCGGCTGAGGGAGTTCGGAAGGCGGATGAAGAGACGCGACAACGATATAATCGACATTCATCACGACGACAAGCAAACAGGCGGGGCAGACGAGGCACAGGGAGAGGGTCAGCACTACCTGGTCGATTCATGACTACTATGGTCTAAATGGAGATATATGGTTTTAGCTCTTTATGAGCTCTCGTTCGTTCGGGGGTCTATTCGTAATCGAAGGAGGGGTATGTGCGTGTAGATGCGATCTTATTAGTGAGGTTCTCGTTGCGAAATGATCATGTACATTTGACAGTTGAAGCTTTGCGATCGCAGCACGGGAAGTTTTACTAGGGTTGACTCTTCCTCAGGCTGAACTAAACTATAATAAGTTAGTGGCTCCATAATTATAGATGCGTTTACCGAATAAGCACGTACTACCGGACAGCTATATCTTGGCCCGTGCGTTTCCCCAGCTTATCTGGCAGCTTGCCCAGCCAATGCGGCGCCAGCCTCGTGTTGTTCCTATTTGCAAGCCCCACTGCAACTACCCGAAAGTCTTTACCATTTCAGCTTAATTCTCCATAAAGGTGCATGACGATACCTTCAATGTTCAATGCTCGTATTCTCGGGATTACACCTTAGGTAATTTTATGGAGGGTTATTCGAAGTTCTGTTATTATTGCTCTTTTTATATAAATCAGAGGTATCTAAGAGTCTTTGTAACATTTAAAGGGTTCTTGTTTAGTTAGTACCTTCCAGGTTGTATGCTTAATTTTTCTTTTTAATTCAGGTAGACGTCCTAAACGGTTTGGCTCTTAAAACGGTTGTCTGTTCCAATTTGGCGTAATATAACGTTCAGTATTTCAGTTGGACTTACAGAATCGTTTTCACATGTATTTAGAACTACTTTTTATGAGTATCAGAATCAATCGGTTCAATAGCACATATACTCTAGAGGGTTTGAATTAGGATAAATGAGTCTATGTGCTCTTCTAACTTACCTCTACGTATTAGACATAAAGGTGAAGCATACAAATCTACTTGGCGGTATCACTATTAGCAATTCTGGTCTGATCCTAGTTATCTGGACAGCGTAATCATACGTGTATCTTGACCTAGTTGATTATTGTGTGTTATCAAGATATCTGGTGGTTCTATCTATCTTGGAGTGCATTTAATAAACTCCGTTCGAAGTCGATTCCTTTCACCCCTCTTCCGATGAGGACGATTTTTCCCGTCTGCGGGGTTTCGTTATGTGGCGTTCGCTCTGCATCGAAGATCTCAAATACCTCTCTCACACCTTGTACCATCTTCACATCGCCATTCTGAAATACGAGGCGAGATTTCAAGCGATGTATTTCAATAGATCCTGTCTCGCTGATCGTTTCTCCCGGTACCTCGCTTTCCCATAGCAGCGATCGAAGCCAACTATCGACTTGCTTAAGTTGCTCAGGGGCTAAGAGTGGTACGTTGATAGATACTGTGGAAATAGTCTATAGAATATTAGTACAGTTGTTCGTCAATAAGAGTAGGGTGGGCGACAAACAGGGTCGAGATGGCTATGTCCTTTTCCTGTGGTATCCAATGCCTCAACTTGATCGTATGCGTGTAAATCCAGCAGGAAACCCTCCAATTGAGGCACAACACTGTGATTTGTTACGTGGATTTTCGCAAGACCATTAATTGCTTGTATTCGCTCCTTGACATTCTCGAGCTCGGCCAGTTCAACTAAATCAGATTTGTTAATGACAATGACATCTGCATGGGATATCTGAACATGGGCAGTCGTCATAACGGGGCCATGACCATGGTGATCATCGTGGCCTTCAACTTTTCCGGATGGGTCACCTAGGCTGCGTACGATATTCTTCGCATCCACTAGTGTGACTATGCCGTCAAGATATATGGTGCTTCCGAGCCCATCATCTACCCAGAATAAGGGCGCTAGGTTGCCTGGGTCGGCCAGACCAGTGGTTTCTAGTAGGATGTAATCGAATGCGCCTTTTTTCTCCATTAGTGATTCGATAGCATTTACTCCGGTGTCCCTGCGTTGAGATTAGAACATTTCTGTATTGACCAAAATAAAGGCGACATACTTCACAGAGCAACAAATGCAGCCGTTGCCAACATCCAACCATTCCTCAACTTGTTCGCCTTCTTTATTTATTGTTAATGACTTTTCGATATCAAGTGCTGGTAGTAGAGTCAGTACATCAATTTTCAGCCACTTCTAGGCATCTACCACCAACAGTCACCAAACTCATTCATTATGACCGCGATTCTCTTCCCATGACGGGCAGTTAGGATGTAGTTGAGTAATGTAGTCTTTCCGGCTCCAAGATATCCTAAATTCTGCATTAATATCTACGCATTTTTTTTTACGTATGCTGCCAACCTACCTGTGACGATGGTGATAGGTACCTTGACGACTTTCTCCTCATCTGGGTCGCCCTTGGTCTGGGCCTCGGCCTCGGTTTCGACAAGCTCCGGAGGAACATCTTCGTCAAAGTTCATGGTCCCAATGGTATTCGTGGAGTATGGGAGAAGACCTTTACAGTTATTTCCGTAGTCCTCGGAGCTAAGTGCAAATTGATAGAATTAAAAGAAGAATGAATAAATGGCTGATAATTATCATCATGAACCTTCTTAGGTGATGAGGTACAAATGCATATATGCATAATGTTTCTCTTAAATGAATGAAGTAGGTTAGTATGATAACCCTTTAGTTTGTTACTTGCTTAATTATATTTGAAGAAGGTACATATGTACGTACCGAAAGTACTGGGGAGCTTCTAAGCGCGGCGCTTCCTACAAGTTCAGATCAATTCAAACAACAACAATTAATTTTGGCACCTTCCCTCCCCACGACAGCACCCCAGAGCACCAACGCGAGCTAATAACTCAGAAAATAAAATAAATCGCACGTGAGGCTGTCGCCTCAAAGACATTTATTTCACTATGTCTCTAGCGCAGGGTTCTCCCAGACTACCCAGTCCACCACCTCCCGCTGAGATTCAGATCGGACCTAAATCCCCAGGACTGGGCAGCACTGCGAGCCGTCAAGTACAAGAAATGGAGCAATCAATCGCCCACGCGAATGCAAAGCGGCGCATACATCCAGGAACCAAGTCTGAGGACATGGCCGCCGGTCCTCCTCTTGTTCCATTAGGCGAGGTGCGTAACTTACACAATTACTTTTTTGCGACAGAAATATTCGAATATTTACTAATTCGAAATAATAACACAGCTTGATTCAGCCTTCCAACTCCAAGAACACCTCGCAGCGCTCCACTACTTCCACAGCGCCTCAAACACAACAGCTATAACCCGAGCGACCGCCGCCCAACTAACTCAACCGCCGCCTGGCATCGACCGCACACTATGGCTCTACGAACTGTGCCGCTTCCTAATAGCGCAATGCAACAACCTAATAGTCGGTTTCCTCTTCGACACACCACCCTGCTCCTCCGCGACGTGTCCCGAGATGCGCGCCTCCGAATGGCAATTCCTATGCGCTGTCCACGACCAACCTAAAAGTTGTTGCGCCATCGACTATTGCTGCCACACGCTCGACTGGGCCGCGAACGTCGTCACCAACCCCAAGATCTTCCCGAGCCGTTTTGTAGTGCTATCCGAAGGACATGATAAGAGCGCCGTGCTCAAGAATCTTGTCAACGTATTCCGTCGTCTGCACCGAATATTCGCACATGCGTGGTTCCAGCATCGAGGTGTGTTTTGGTCGGTCGAGGCCCAGACGGGTCTTTACGCATTCTTTAAGACGGTCTGTGATATGTACGATCTCCTGCCTGCTGAGAACTACAAGCTGCCGCCCGAAGCGGAGGGTCTGGAACCGGTGCCAATCGAGAAGGAAGAGAAGAAGCCGATAGCAACGGCTATTGCGAAACCCCCGTCGCAGCAACATGAAAATGCCGAGCATGACGATGATCGACACAGTCTGCATGCGCGTAGAAGCAATACGGCTAGACATTCGAGCAGACCGTCTACTGGTAGTGCCGTGACGACTGTCATCGAGGAGCGAGAGGACGAGCAGGATGTTACGAGTAAGCTGAAGAACATGCATATTTCAGCCCCCGAGACTGTGGAGGAAGAGTCTGAAGTTGAGGTTCCTGTTATTGTTGAAGGAGAATTGATAGATACTTCTCCAGTTGAAGTGCGACAGCCTACTGAGTCGCAAGAGCATCAGGATGATCTCCTGGCTCATGGTGTCAAGATTGATGTACAAGAGGATGTACCTGTGGAACCTGAGACTTCTACCACTGAAGAGAGTACGGAAAAGAAGGCCGAGGAGGAGCCCAAGGAGATACCCCTCCTAGACCACGAGCAGCTCATCGAGGAGACGAATGAAGAATCTGCCCCAAGTGAAGAGAAGCAACCAGAAGCAACTGAGGGTGGACCCGAAGAAGTTGATCCGGCCGCCCCCGAAGAGCCTGCACCTTCCGTGGCCGAAACTGTCATCGAAGTAACAGAAGAAGAGGGTGCGAAAGAAGAGAGACCGGGTTCAAAGGGCACGGAATAGAATTTCGTAGCCACACTAGAACAATTCGAGGAATCCGATTCAGCCTCCGTCGAAGGCGTTATCGAGCGCGCTGTGCAGACCATGGAACGGCTCCGACACCGATTGTCGCTGGCTGGCGATGACGCTGCAGACGAGGATGACCTGGACTACGAGACCGAGATGATTGTTAGGCGAACCAGGGAGATTGCTGAGAGGCTGAGGAGCTATCAAGGATCCCCTGATAGCTCTGAGTCTGATAGTCCTCAGGAATCCATTGTTGGTGAGCATAACGGTGATGTCTCGGGGCTTGATGGTGCTCGTGAGTCTGAGGAGTAGGATGACATTTATGACTGAGAGCAAGAGTATGTTCCGAATCGATGTCACGCAAATGGCAGAGACAGGCGGGGTGTAATGTTTCTATGTTTTCCCTTACGGATACGAAGAAAAGACCTTGACGGTTGTGTACGATCAGTGTTAAGCCTATAAGTTATGTTAGGAGGGGAAATTAAGGAAGGTCTCAAGGTACATAGTTAGGGTATGAGGGGCGATAGGTGGATGGATGAGCTCTGCTCTGCTCTGCTGTGCAATAGGTTTGATGCTGGGCTCGTGGAAGGGCTCGATAATAATATGAACGTCTTATGTATAAGGTCTTGCTCCTTGTGTCCTTCCTGAAATTTCCCCCTCCCTAAATACATGTTTCATATAGACTCATGTCCGCAGCTTAGAATGCGTAAAGAGTTTTGAGTATAATATGATGATAAGACGTGTGAATCAGAGAAGTCAACGCGGTTGTAGTGGGATGTATGGCTCTATTCTAAATTACGGCGTATTTATCGAAGTCTGGATATCAATGTGAACTCAAGGATATTATTCATTTTTAATCTCCCATACGTCTATACCCAAATTCCTATAACCAAAAACAACAATCAAAGAAATCTAAGCATTACATTAAAATACAAATGTATGAGTGGATATATCGATAGACAGGCAGTGTTGCAAATAAACACAGCAGTCCTTTGTATGCGTCGGCCTCTCCCCCTTTTTTAAAAACCGGGCCTCTGGTTATTTGATATCTGGTATCATCCTCCTCCCCCCTTTAAACCGCCCCTTTTTGGTTCTGTTATTGCCCCTCCCGAATAAGCCCAGTATTGCTTTTATGACGTTGCCTATTCCTATACGTTATGTAGAAACACCAGAAAACTATACATTTGTGTACGCCGAGAGTTGGGGAATGCGTGTACGTCCCAACGTCTCCATATATGTATATTAGCGCATGTCGTGTTAATGTGCGCGTGTGTACGTTGTATGCATGTCAGTAATATTTTCCGAGGTGTGCCTCCTCTGAGCGTCGGTATCGTATTGGCGATATTTTGCATGAAACGCCGCGGAGTAGCCTCCTAGGATGGTGGTCTCCAACGGTGTGGCTCCAAGAGATGCAATGGAGATGGCCTGATATTGGATGTTTAATCAATTTTCTTTCCCACTTGTGACCCATACTTCGGACACGAGATGGAATCCAAGACGAGATATTGGTATGCAGATATGCGGGGAGGTGGTCCCGTTGCACCACTGGGCTGCATATGAGTGTTGCCACCACGGCGGTGACGCCAAGGAGGAATTTTGGGGTTCCCCAGTTGAACATATGTTGAATAGAACTTGGGAAGTACTGTTTTCAAAGTTGAATTTTTAGTACGGCGTGATGCGATGAGGCTCGATCTAGCGATAAAATGGTCTTTAGGGGGGAGCGAGGCTTAACACCGGTGAATGGTGGCCTAGACTAAAATCAAGTCTATAAGCCGCATCTCGTACGATTCTCCAACTCGTTCTAATAGCCGGGGTCTCTATATCTTGGCAAATTCCGAGATCTTCCCATAGTCCCACCCGACCCGTTCCCGCATCGTCTGATCTTGTAGCTCAGATCTTAAATATGTGGGTTGACATGTAGTTCATCCAGTGTATAGGTGCTGTAGGCCGGGTAGACGGGTAGGGGAGGGGGGAAGAGCGGAAGGGTCTGTGGGATAGCTGGGCCATGATGGGCGGTAGGGATTCGAGAACATTCATGCCGTGGTATTGGTAAGCTTCCTTATGCTTGTATGCTTGCTTGCTTGTTTGCCCACATGCATGAACAGCTCACTTTGCGAGATCCCCAATTCCCACAAAGGTCTGACGTCGTAATGCCAGGCCGCATATTCGGTCCCCTCCCTTTCTTTCACCGTGGCCCCCCTGGTCCCGCAGCGCAGAGTTGCATCTCGGCTCGGTTGCTATTCCGGGTCCATTTTCGCCGCATCGAGACTTCGTGGTTTCACACCCTAGTCGGTCCGCAACGTCACGGCAACGTCGATGATGCATGCTATGTGACTTGTAATAAATCGGCTCGTCTCGATCTAAAGAGCCTTATCAACCCCGCCTCTTAAGAGATTGTTCTTCCTGATCAGCTGAACTAGAATTCCAAATGGGCATGAAGTAGCCGCGAGAATGATTGGCTTAATTCTCCAGATATTGCTTATTGTTGTCTCCACAATGCCCCTTATTTGGCCATCACCTGGTTCAGGCATAAAATCTCACTCCCTGGCACACGTATTTCTACCTCAAAATGACGAGGCGCCACTGTTTGATTCACCGGGTGATGGCTCTGCCTCATGCTCGTGATCGAGGCGCATTTTTGCAAATATGGCGCTGATTTCTCGGAGGGATTCGGTTTGTTGAGAAACAGGATTCGCATTGCGTTCGTCTGCAAAGGCACGGATGCTCCGTAAGATGGAGCTGAGTCCTTCGTCGTTCGGAAGCCACCATTGTATGCATGAAGGGTCGCGGAATATTTCTGCCATCCGAGCTCGTATAGTGAGTGGGAAGACATATCTAATAATCAAAACACAAAGTATTAGCAAATATTCTCAAGGTTGTGGATTATTGACTCAGTAAAAATGGGCTTTGATGCACCCTTCGCACGTATCTAATACATGTAGAATCTTGATAGAGCTTGAAACAGGGTAGAATGGTAGCCGAATGAAAATAATGAAAATAATGTGCTCACCCTAATGACTCCAACATTGCATATTTCCGTCTCAACCACATGTGGTGCGCCTGGTCTCGGGGGAGGAACAATGCCGCTATGGCAAGGCAGGCTTGGATCGGAACGAGGGCGCCGCTGGGTGCTGATGGCCATAGTTCCACAGCCTCGAATATTTCACAAATCGCAAATGCCAAGCCTCGTAATTCGTCTGAGGGTTTTTGTTGTAATGCAAACGCCTCCTGACTCTTATGCATAACTAGGATGGAATGCCATTCCGCCATGAGCTCAGTCGTTGTAAATAATGGATTTTCGTAGAGGTATCCCGGTTTGTAAGGATCGATAATATCGTCTTCGGTTAACGGAACTTTGTGCTTGAAATCGGTTACGAGAAAGTTCGGGTCGGTAAGGGCAGGGTCTAATTTGGATCGCCATTCGTATAGACGGGTCGTAATCTGGCTGTGTTCCGCAGCGAATTCTTCACCCGAAAGCTCGCCTCGGCCACCTTTTGCATAGAGGATTGACATGTCCCTAGATATCAGTCGCAAAGCAGAAGCATGAAGTTCTGTTTTCATGCCCAGGTTTTGCGGGTCTTGCTCGACTTGTTCCTTACAGAATCGGACCACGGTGGAAAACCATTGTCGCGGCAGATTCGTCTCGAAGCCTCCCATCATACCCACGAAAACATCGAACCGGATGTACCAAGTTAGCAAAATTCGAGATGTAGGAGAGGCCAATATTGTGTGGGGTGTAAACAACCGAGTCAAAATCTCGTGAGCGGCTTTTTGGTGTCCCATCAGATTCACCCAATCACCCAGGTATTCCTTGTTATTATTAGCGAAAGCTCTTCGTATAGATGCGGAATTAATTTAATTTGGGGTTACCTCGATGGTTGCAAGCTGCAAGATGGTCAGCAGCGTGGCGGTGCTCTGCTTCTCTCGTCTTTTAAGGCAGCTTAGAAGGAATGTAACACTTTTGTTATAGTATCGTAAGAAGTCCTGGATTTTTCCGTTTGGATCTTTGACTGTTCGGTGATACGCTGAAAATCCTACCACCGCATTCAGAAGAGCTTCGTTGCCGGGCTGCACGGCTAAGCTAGGTAATATCGAACGAAAGAAATTATCGGAATCATTAACCATCCCATAGTTATAGTGAGTGATGTTATCGACGAAGTATCTTAGGTGAGATTGTAGTTCGGTTGGTAGGTGGGACCAATCCAGTCCGGGTACTGCTGACTGCAATGCAGGATCAGGAACTTGGAAGGATATCGTAAAACTTGCGGAGGTGCCAGTTGATACTGCTGGTGAGGCACTTTTAGTACCTTCTTGGGAGGGTGTCTCGGAGCTTTGTCTCGTCATAGTTCTTTGGGTGTGCTGGGTCGAGGTTGTGCTTGTCCTTCGCAAGTCTGTCACGGAATATGAGGATGGCGACAACGCCTCAGCAGACTCATCTTCGTCGAGTATTGGTTCTAACTTTAAGTTTCTCTCTATTTCTTCGTCCGCTTCGTCTTGCGAAGAATTTGGGCTAGGTTCTTGTGTCAAACCCGCTGCGTCTTTCGATGATCCTGACCCAGAAGCTTGCCCCTTTCCGGAAGAGGGTTCGGGGTAAACGCAATCCCTCTTGCCTTTGCGGCAACCTGCAACCGTTAGCCGAGCCCTCCAATGTCAGGTAACACGATACTTACGTTCACAGATAGGATGGGTTTCATCGCACTGATGTCATCTTAGCGTTAGAGAGTTATTTACCCAAAAGAATCGAAACTTACCTTAACTCGTCGACTTCGACATGTATAACATCCCGACCGTGTTCGGCGATGCTTAACATGATCCGTTCCAGATGTGGATTTCTTGCGATTTCGGTTGTTCTGGGCTTTAGGGGCCTGGAACATAATCGGGTCAGGAAAACCAGTGAAGTATCCTAGATTTTGGTACGGAGTTGCTAAAGGTGGACTTATGTTGCCCATGTGTGCAGAATGTTGTTGAGGCTGGTATTGGGCATCCTGAGGATTTTGGTTTGGTGATTCCCCTGTCCCCGCTACCGAGGACAGGTATTGCTGATAGTAATCACTCATTGGGAGGGATTCGCCGAGCGGAGTATTCGATGGGCTTTTTGGCCGACTAAGGATCAAACCCCCTCCGTGAAAAGACGTGCGGTACTGTTCTAACGCAGATCCAGCCCGATAAATGTAGGCCGTAGTAAATAAACCGTGATGTTAAATCCTTTTCCTTTAGGATGGTAGAAACAGGTTGAGAAGTCTCAAAATTAATTACCTAGTTAAAGTGAAGAGATAGTCGCTTGTCGACTTGGTGCCTAGTTCTATGTAGTCTTCCGTATGTTCAGCTCGGTGGGTAACTTCGTAAAAAGAGGCGTTACAGGCGGAGGGGTCCCGATCTTAATGATTCGAGGAGGAAAAGAAAACTTCGACCCAATACACTCATCGAGTAGAGAATTTTTCCTCTGGCCAATGGGTTAGTTCAGTGTGACCTCGAGAAGACTTTACACCTATAGCGCCCCCCCTTTGCCTTTAGAGATTTGGCTCGCCCTTCTTGAACCCTCTCAACACGAGAAGTTTTCAAAAGTAGGGAGGGAATACTTTCCACATTGTCCGTAGATGTAGGTAGAGATGATAGTTTACTTTTGGGGATTTCTCGGAACAGCTGTCGTGCTTGGCTCGGCTGGTCAGGCTGCGGTTTGCCCACGGTAGTTACGGCCAATCCACAAGCTTGACGAATATGGTTACCAGTGACGAGGAAGCATCGAAGACGAAATAGTTGTGGGGCTCTAGTTGTACACCTTGCAGGAGTCTCTTAGTGTTGTTGAGCCTGTACCTATAATGAGCAGGGTCTTGAGGATCTGCTGACAGGATGATAGCTATAGCGGGGCTTCTTTATGCAGCGGGTAACCAAAGAGGCGAGGACAGGGTGCTATAGAATAGAAGCCGATCTTGGGCTTCGGCAGGCTACTTCTTGGGATGCTAGAATCCACCCACAAATTAGAAATCTCCTTAAGATGGAGCTCAAGGGTGGAACTGATGTTGAAATAGGCACCCAGGGTAATTAACTACTTGTCGAGGCAGACAAAATCGAATACTGTCAGCCCCCGTATGCGTTGATTCGACTTTCTCCTTCTAATGAGACTAGTAACGAGATGGTGTGAAGGTTGGACCAGAGCATTGGATTCTGAGATTGAAGTCAAGCCTTGCTATCCTTGGTAATATCCTCTGAAGATGAATGAGAATTTGGCATGAAATCGATATCAAATGGATGAGATGAGGTTATGTCGAAGAGCAACAAAGATGCTAGACTAGAAATTTTTTAGCTCGAGTTTTGAAAGTAGCAATGGCTGAAGGGATATCCGTGTATATTCTGCCAAAAGAGGGCAAAAATGGTGCGTCAAGGATAAGTAGGGGAGGGACTGTCCAGTTTGACCTTGTAGAATATGGAGTCTAGATAGAGATAGACCACCCCCTTGGATGATGGGTTGAGGTACTATCCTAGAACCGCTTGAACTAAGGTCGACTAGGTTGAAGGAGTTTGCCGTCTGCACAAGGCAACGGTCTGTCGAATTTGTCTTTTGCAAGAAGTGCATGGGTAAAATCGAAGCAGCCTTAGCCCACTCACTGATCTAGTACTTACCTACTTAGGAGGTACATAACCTACCTAGGGATTCAGCATACATGTAGTACGCAATAAGAATTATTCCGCCTGACGATATCCGGTTGTCGCTATAGCAGGGGGCCACCCCTGGACTAAACAGATGCAAGCTACTGGGCGAGTGGGAGTCGGGACGTCAGGGAGAGGAACCGATGACACGCAGCCATCTGATATTTGCCCATACCTCATGCCAAGCCATTCGGTGTTGAGCTCCCACGGAGATGGTGGATAACACCTCGACTTACTGTCCACCTACGTGCTGCGACTTACAAAAGTACTACCGAAATGTACCACTAAGTACACTAAGGGTGGGCAGCTAGAGATACTTACTGTCTCCAGCCGTATTTTTTTTACTATGTACCCTAACAGAAGGAGATGAGATAAGACCACGGCAGGTAAGACAAGGGTCCTTCGTCCGCAGCCATGGGGCTACCCAGCGAGCCAGGCAGCGGGGAACTGGGGGCGCACGCACCGGGATGGGAAGACTGCTCAAGATCCTGCCACGCGGGTTTGATCAACGGCGGCTAGTGGGAGGTATTCGATCTGTTGATCTCCCAAATGCATGAGAGAACGAATAAGGGAGTGTCCGAAGCGTTGGTGTGTTCTAAGCCGCCAACAACGTTGTCCGTTACTTTTGACACACCACCACACTTTTTTTTCTTGCATATTCGCAAAATTTGTCGGGGAACTGACTAGTAGCGTCGTCGTCCAACGCTAGATCTACCGTGAAATTCACTTATACTACCTATACTGTGCGGGCGGAACTTATTCGCAGAGGTGTCCAGGTTCCTGTTTGGAAAATCTGGGGCTAGCTGGCAGCCAAGTGCGGCGGAATAGTCTTAAAATGTCCACTATCGATCGACGAAGCCCTTCAAGCTTTTTTAGGAAACTCTAGCGGAATTTCGTAGCCTGTATTGTAATGAGAATGGACTGGTCGAAATCCGAGGTCGTAGGCCCGATCCTTTTAGCCCGGCAAAAGCCCTTATTCTAAACCTGGGTTGTCGATACTACGTTGGCTGCAAGACAGAGTGATGCTGGATGAGCCCTTTGGGACCGCACCAGTGTTGCTGCTGTAAAATTCAGGTTCTCGCTGATTGGATCTAGTGTGACAGGGACCCCTAGAGCTCAGGGATCACCGGGGACTGATCAAGGAGGGTATGCCGGGGAGTAGGGCACAGACCAAAGTGTTGGAGCAATCCAATACAAAGATATGTCACTCGGAGGTAGAAACTTGAGAAGGGTGAGGCTCATAAACCATGCCTTGGCCAAATTAATTTAGTTGATTAAGTTGATTAAATTGATCGATCATGCTCAAGGGGGGAGGTAGGGTTATCCCGTGTTTGCTCTGGAATAGAAAGATTGCGCGACGAGGGAAATCCTGATACAGGGTGTCTGAGCGATCGAGCATTTTTTTCTGCTGTCTTATCTGAAAGTGGCTGGGAAGGGGGAGTTCCAAACAGGACACAAGACATTGGAAGCTTCAGTGACAGAAGATGACGATGACGGGATGGGTTGTGGTGAGTTTGGACCGGCCTGCAGGGGCCGAAATGCCAGAGCTAGGTATCCCACGAAAGAAAAATGTCATGGCGCATGGATGATACTTGGTAGCTACCCTTCTACCCGTCCTGCCAGGTAGTTGATCATGATCGACAGGGACCGGATTGTGACCAGGGAAGCTGACTGCGGTTGGATCGATGGCGTGTGAGTTGAAGGCGTAATGATTTGCTTCACTGACTGGCATCAATTTTTCAAATTTTATGGTAGAAAACGGGGACGGACCCTGAACCTTGGAAAGGGGCATAATTGACAAGGAATGTAGCTGTTCGGAACGTTCCTTTTGACGATGTGAAGAATAATGGACGGTGGAGCGTCCCATCGTTGCATCCGTCATCCGCCCTCCGCCATCTGAACTTGGACCCCCCCTCCTCTGTCCCGGATTTCCGGCATAGTAGTACGACGGAAAATCTTCTGTGTTACAAGGATCAAGTAGAACCACCATTTAATAATTCCCGTCGTCAAGGATTAGAGGTGTACGGTCTCGGTATCCTTGGCGTTGGCTTCTCTGACCTGTTCTTTGACCTACCAAGCAGCCTGGCAGCCTAGGTACCTACATACATACCCAGTAGTTGGTTCGCATTTTCGAGGATTATAATACGCTGTATTATAGTTCGTTCCTTAGGAGAGAAAAAGAAGGATAGGCCATCATGGGTTTAAAACTAATCCGTCCTACCACCGCGTAATCAAGTCACCTTCTAAACCACCCCCTGGCTGACCACGCCGTAAATTGAATTGGCGCTCCCTCCCCCTACCACCTCCCCTACCTGAAAGCAGCACACTAGCACACCTACCTACCTAAGATGTACCCAGCTGCTACAACGGCTACCACACCTACGCTATAGTACATCGTACATATGTGTATGTACGTAGGTGTATAGTGACGTACTTATAAGCTGCTACCCTTGCCCCTTGTCCCTTGCTCTGCATTAACATGGATTACAGAACGCCAGCTTTGCCCATGACGAATTAAAATCAACATTCTAAGTCGACAATTCTAATGAAATGGCTAGGTACATACAGCCATATAATTAGGTTGAAAGGTGCAAATCGGGTTTTATAACCTTAATCAGTATCTAAGTAATATATCTGTAATTATATTAATGCTCTTATTATTTATGCTACTTGCCGATTGCTATGTAGCTGTACGTAGATATACCTACCTACATTACGTAGATGGCTTTGGGAACATTTGGGAACATTGTCTTACATGTACACTGTAGGTAGTCACAGCATCTCCGAATAAAAATCGTATGTGCTAATTAGTTTGTGAATCGTTCACCTTGCTGCAGGGCTTGCTTGTCTGTTTGCTCAATAATTCGCTTCTTATAGCCAGGAAGTATAATAAGTCTCATCTTAATAGTTCCCAGCCTCTTTTTACCTCTCTACTCTTTACGGGTTGAGGCTCCCGATCATTCCCCACTCCCAGGGGCTAACAATCACTGTTTTGTCAAATATCACATCGATGTGGCATCAATGTAATAGTGGGTTAAGATAGCTAGCTGTAGCTAGTCCTCCCGCTTACATTTAGCTGCTGATATAGCGGTTCATTATGACTTGCGCTTCCCGTTGGGTTAAATTATTGTCGTACGAGTCTCTATTCATGCTTAATACCAAGGACCCCTTCTCGTGCATACTATGTAGTATTGAGTGATTTGATCGTATCTCAGAGCTGGCGCACGGGCGCAGGAAGAATCTCGAAAGTGGATTCGTAGAATGATTGTAAGGAGGCCGAAGGCCCGCTGGGGAAGGGTTGCCAAGTTGCCCGCACAGACGGTTTACAGGTGATTGTTGCATTCTAGAAAGGTGCCGGAGAACAGATTACAGTTCTTCACAATGCCAGCGCTTATCAAAGGGTACTAATGGTGGTAAGGCTAGACATTACGCGCGGTAACTCTAGGCTGTCTCTTGTTCTAGGACGGGCGCTACATTACCGTACCGGCCGAACTACCTAGGTCTATACCTAGGTACGTGCGGAAGCACAATCCCTGTTTCGAATCAATAGGTGGTTGTAGCTACCTATATGTATGGGACCGTACGGTGCCCGAATGACGATCAGATACATCATACTTAGGACATAGGTACCTCTCACCTGGGGCGGCGGGGCGGTTCTAGTGTGAAAGAAGGAGTTGAATTTCCCGAGGCTATGGGACCAACTGATTATTAACGATTATACATTGCTGTAATCTTATGGTTATTCATGCAGTTGAAGCATCTGAACTTTTTGGGAAATTGACATTCTCACGACTGAATAACTTCTTAAATTTCTTAAATTTGACCTGAGGGTCTGATCACCAGGAGCCGCTCCCTACTCGTCGGCGCTACTAGCGTATCTTAACTTACACAGTACGTATAGTACCTTTGTATGTATGCGAACTGACTCATGTAACCATGAAAATTTACGTGAGGTATATGTTTCTACGTCCGGGTTAAAGAAGCGATGTGATTCTAGTAAGTCAATCGTATATGCAACGATGTAATGCGGAGCACCTCAAGAACGCCTTAGGGATGCCCTAGGGATGCTCCGTAAGGCTTCTAAATTAGTTAAAAGGACTAACTAATGTAGCTTCTATTCCCAAATCTTTTCAGATCTACATGTAGCTTGAGTTGGCTTGTCTCTAGCGCTGGAGTTTTTTTTTTTCACCTATCCATAATATGTACAGCTAACCTCTCAGCCGGCGCCCGGTGCTATTTGTGACGATGAGATACTAAATCGGTGTTATTGGCTTGAAGCCACAATATTTCCCCCCTCTTTAGTTTCAGTGGGATATGTACTGCAGGCACATTTAGGTAGGTGATAGATGACTGATGGTCCACTGAAAGTGAACTTGAACTCCGGGAGATACGCCGCTTCGTGCATGATGACGAGAAAGTCCCAGCTCCGCGCACTTCAAGTTTTTATCTCTATTCTTTTTCCAGCGATCAAACAGCCAAAAGTACCTCACTTGTGTGACCGTCATCACTAGCCATGGAGTAGTAAAATTGCGGAGAATTCCGGACGACACATCGGAATCATAACCCCGAGATCGCCTTCATCATAGGCAACTCAACATCATAAATGTAAAATGTACACGCAGAACCTGCCCAGAATGGATTGCGACGTCCGTCACAAAGGTGAGTGTCGACGCGGATCTTCATTGCTCTACAGTAAGCTTATGCAGAGACATCCGCATAACGCCAGGCCATTGGCGACGAAGGACAACGATACCCCTTCCATCATTCAGGGGCTCTACGCGGACTGGCATGACTATGAGACTAGCTGTGCATACATGCACTAATTAGTTACCAAACTGGAGCAAAAAGCGAGTCAAAAGGAATCTAACCTCGAAATTGACACGTCCATATTCAGCTCCTCAATAGTGTTCCCGAGCGGTGAGACACCTCCGGCCTCAAGGTCAATTAGGACTCTTACTTTGACAACTAATCTTACTCACACGTGCCTAATGTGTATTATCTAGTCGGAGTGCCTGGTACCTTGCATTAGCTGATCATTTTCTTCCATTCCGATATCTCCGGATCAGGGGCGGCGGGTGACAAGCCATGTTGCATCTGACTACGGCAGTTCAACTCCGGGATACCTATCTCTCGGGCTTCGCTGCATCCGGAGTAACATACCGAATTGCTTTCTTGTTTGGTTTCTTCCCCAACATATGGGTTATTGAATATGCTACTACATATAGGGTCGAATTCAACCATAACTTACCTAACAAGATCCTGAAAAAAGATTCATTTTTAGAATCCTACACGATCTAGCATGTTTAACCGTTAGGATCAGAATAGAGTCTTACCGGTGGCTATTCGGGTTTATGACGATCTCTAGAAGTCGATTTCGGCGTTCATAATTTCCACCAACCCTGCTTGATCAAGTACGTCAGTTGGAGGATGGTTGGGGTGTCATCAGTGCTACCTTCACACCATTGCATACGCAACATGGTCGTCCTGCACATACTAGATATACTAGATACTAGAGATACGATGAAGCGTAAAATTTTTTGTTGACCTTGTCTTTGGTAGGTTAGAAAGGATTCTCGATCTAGCTAGTACCGAGCTCACCGTCAGTTGTCTTTGGGTTAATATAACTTCGGTGTAAGACTATCGCGGACACTACCTATAATAGAAATAATATAAAGAATCGCTGCACGATCCTTCTATTCACTGGGATCTATGAATCTTTCATTTATTTGATTCTAGAAATAGAAAAGTATTCTAAATGATTGCGATCTCGCTGAAGGATATGCAAGCCAAGAGGGCTGAATTAATTGTTAGTGGACTTTAGTGACTTCTTTAGTGACTTACGGAATACTTGGCACAAGCCTTACATCATCTAACTCAAGCACGTGACTTATATCATAGCGCTATGAGACCTAAAAACCACGTGACAAGCTCTCGATGAGTCCATTTACCCCTTCGACGTCTCAGATGTTTCGTTTTGAATTATTGACGATGCAACCATTTTTGAAACACTCTTTTCTTCTTTTCAACTTCAACTCTTAAGACTTGATAACGATTTTCATTTTATTATTCTTGCATGATATTATACCTTTTTACCTTAGACTCTTCGGAAGTTTAAGAGGCTCCTTGCTGGTCAAGTAGCATCATAATATTCTCAAGCCAAGACCCGTCACTTACTAGTAATCCCACGTGTCGCCATGGATCAAGATCTATCCTTGCTGTCGACATTCAATGTCGATGCCGGCGGCATGTTTCTCTTAATGGTTACTATATGTGCCTTCTTAATACCGGTAGTTGTGATTTTGCCCCCAGTCGGGCTACAAAAGAGCGATGCGCTAGTTCAGACACACACAAAGGCCGGAGTTGAAGGAGCAAGGAGCAACTTAAAGAAACAATTCTCAGCCGAACATGGGCCGGTAGCTGGCGAGCCAGCGAAGGTCCGGAGCTTGGTCATCTACCCAGTCAAATCATGCAAGGGTATCGAATTGACGAGGAGCAAAGTATTCCCGACGGGGCTCCAGTTCGACCGCCTGTTCACGTTCGCTCAGCTCAAGAGCCCTTTTCCTGTGGCTGTGGATTCGACGGATGAGGAGAAATCAAAGCACAAATGGGAATTCATCACGCAACGACAGTTCGCTAGGCTGGCTAATGTCACCGTCGATCTTTGGTTACCGGATGAGATGAAACTACGCAAGCAGTCAATGAAATCCACCGAGGCGTTCCTAATCCTCCGGTTCCCCTGGAAAGAGGACGGATGGCGCGGAATCTGGTCGACTATCACAGCCAAGCTCAATAGAGGCCGTGCTGCTGAGCCAGAGGTAGAAATACTGTTACCGGTAGACTTTCCATCGGAAGCCGAGATTAAGGAGAACGGCTTCACGTTCGAGGATGTCAAGATCTGGAAAGACACGATCAACGCCCTGAACATGGAGAAGGAATTGCCTAAAGAATTGCAACGTTACTTAGGCGTCAGCAACAAGCTCGGCCTATTTCGGCTTGACCCGGCTTCCTTACGTGAAGTTTATCGGTGTGCTCCGACCAAGGAAGATGCGGGCTACCAACCCGTTACGGGCTTCCAGGATGCTGTATGTCTACTATCAACCCCGCATTGAGCCTTGTCTATAACGGAAGCTTATCCTTGCAATACTAACGCCGCGTCTAGTATCCCCTCCATTTAGTGAATCTGAGCAGCGTTCAACAGTTCAGCTCAGAAGTACCTAAAGATGAGAACCTCAAGGAGCTCGACGTTATCAGATTCCGACCGAACATCATTGGTGAGTCCCAACTAACTACATCGGGATACCACCCTGGTGGAGACCCCCCTCTCAGTTCCTACATTACCTGTCATCTAACACGTGCTTTTAGTCTCCGGCGCCCCGGTTTATGATGAGGAGACGTGGAAGCAGGTTCGGTTCAAGCCGGGAAACTCAGGCCTGTATAATGACGCCGTGTTCCACGTTTCGTGCAGGACGGTTAGGTTAGTGGACCCTTATACTTACAGCTCGACTTCTTTTTCCCATAATATCTCGAAAAATGTGAATTTGCCGCGTATAGACTAACATTCCTTCAGATGCAAAATGCCCAATGTCGACCCAGCCACCGGTTTCCGCCATCCGAGCGAACCTGACAAATCGCTCAGAGGAAAGCGAGCCGTGGACGAAGGGGCGCCGCTGAACGGCTGTCTGGGCATGCAGCTTACCCCTCTATTCGACGCCAGCCTAGGTGAAGATCGCGAAGCTTGGATCGCAGTTGGCATGACCCTCGAAGTCGAAGAAAGGGGAGAGCATGTGTATATCAAACAGTAGTGGGAACCACTCGTGTCTCTTTTACCATCTTAATGTATAAATACCTACCTTGTAACAAATAGAAAAACTGGGAGTGGCTAGTGTAAGAAAGATAGCAACACTTAGAAGCTAGAAGTGTATCAATCCGTTCAATACCCCCATGTAAAAACAAACGCAATCAACGAATGAAGATCATGAATGCGGATCATAATACACCTCCGAGTGCATAGAAAATAGTAAAGTGGAAAATGCGTGCGATACCCGGATTTGTTCATTTACCTTAACCCCAAGGAAGCATGTGATCGCCAGTCATGATCAACCTGAATATACACAAACCGGGCGACTAGAAAACAGAAAAAAACCCGCTCGAAAAAGGAACAAAAAAAACACATGGACCTGCCCTGCCAATCCATCACTCCATCCATCCATCCTCAATCGGAGAATATAGACAGGCACACACATCCATCCCTCCATCTATCCATACTTCATAGGCGCCCGTAACCCATACGAACCACGGTGTATACCATCCCGTTCATTTCGATTCAATTCCATTCCTCCCGCCATCCCTCCGGATTGGAAATTTCCCTCCCTCACCACCACCAAACGACGTAACGAGTAATGCTCTACGGTCGGTCATGCAATCGTCATTGGAAGAAAAAAATAAAAATGAAAAAGAATAGCTAGCAGACCAATATTTCCCTCATTTTTCTCATCACGCACGCATTTTCTGTCTGCCCGCACATTACGCACGCGGCAAACGCGCATTAACCAACAAAGGCAACCCGAAGACATCCCTTCCCCCACGCCTGCGCCCATCTCCACCTCCCTCAGCTATTTCCAGGAGGATTTTTGGGGTATTGAGAATTCAATTACGTTAGGTTAGGTATCTAATTACTTGAAGTCCGCAGCTGTAAGTGCTTGCACCATACTCGTATTTTCGCTGAAGCGGGTGCGGAAGATACGGTTAGCGTTCTGGAACATGCCGTCTTTTAGAGAGACGACGATGAACTGAGAGCCCTTGAAGCGTGTCTTGATGAGACGACCGATATTTTGCGTATGCGACAGATCCAGCGCGGCGTCCACTTCGTCTAGAATGTACATGGGTGCTGGCTTGAATTGTAGCAAAGCCATAATGAGAGACAAAGCCACCAGTGATCTATTAATCGCCGTAGTTAGCATCGAATAAGACGGAACAAATGAAAGGAAAAGAATCAAGACTTACCGTTGACCACCACTTAATTCCGTCAAGCTCTGCTTCCACACCTTACCAAGACACACCTTGACCTCTAGACCCTCATTGATCGTCTTGCCCTCAGGCGGATCCAGCTTCGCGAAACTGCCACCAGGCAAAAGCTCTGAGAAAATCTGACCAAAGTCACCGTTGACCTTCTCCCAGGTCTGCAAGAGAGCTTTCTTCTTGTAATCGTCGAGACTAATAATAGTCTCTTCGATCTTGCGCTTGTCGCGGATAACAGTCTTCATCATGTGCTTAAGCGACCCCTCCTTTTTCTCGACGCTATCGATCATGTTCATGACCTTAGGATTGATCTTTTTCTTCATGCCTTGGAAGCGGTCCGTGAGTGTCTTTAGCGTAGCCTTGCACTCTGCGATGTTTTGGCCTTTGAAGTCGTACGGCGTTCCTGTGCGACCGAAGTTGTCTTTCTCTTCGGCGATCCAATCGAATTCCTTCTCCATGTTCGCCACAGATTGTACTGCGTGCTGTTGCTCCTTGTGGAATTTGTCGACTGTGTGACCAAGCTTTTGCTTTTCTAGACCTTCTTCGGCAATTCGTCCGTTCTTTGATCTAATTGCCTCTTCAAGTGCATGCAACTCATCGTCAAAACCTGTTAATTTGGCCCTTTCATCATCAAGTTCTGCTTGGGCAAGATCGTGGGTATCTTGTAGCTTTGACTGTTTCTTGACAAGGTCCTCAATTTCCTCTTGCTGTGACTTAATGGCCAGCTCGACCTCCTGTAACTGTTCTCTTGCGGCGGCAAGATCACCCGAGACTTGCTCTGAGTCAAGCTGAGCACTTTGTAGTTCTTTCTGTAGGGATTTGACTGCGGTGGAGTTCTTAGCCAATGTTGCTCTCAGCTTGTCGAGTGAAGATTGGAGCTCAACGAGCTTCGAGTCCTTGTTATTCTCGAAGTCCTTCATATCCTTCTCTATCCTCTTGACGTCTGCACTAGCTTCAGCTTGCCTCTTCTTAGCTTCGGCACTTTCGTTTTTGAGTTGTACGATAGTCTCCTTCATATTCTCTACCTCTTGGATAATTGAGGATGATGAGTTGCCGCTAATTTGCTCCTCAGCAAGCTTAGTTTCGTGTGCCTTGAGATCGAGGTCCTGCTTAATCTTGCGAGCCTGGTCAAGCTTAGACTTTTCCCGCGAAATCTTGACTTGAAGATCACGTAGAGAACCCTCCGCTTCCCTGAGCTGGCGGTTGATTTCGTTCAATTTTTGCAATGTGACTAGCACGCCGCTAGAAGTGGGCGCGCTTCCACCTGAAAGTGTACCCGAAGGATCGTATGCATCACCTTCGAGGGTAATACTTCTCATTTGAACGTTAGAATCAAAAGTCACCCTCTTCGCAGTTTCGGCATCCTCGCAAATTAAGGTATTGGCAAAGACATGCTCCATCGCTGCGGACACTTCATCGTCGTAGCCTATGAGCGACAAAGCCAAATTGACCTTGCCAGGCGCGATATTTTGGGCTGTAGCAATCGTTTGTGCCGAGGCTTTGATTGTAGCGATCTTGTTTAGCGGAATGATGGTGACCCTCTTACGCAATTTGCCGCCCTGTAATAGTTGTGTACCTGTCACTTCGCTGTCCACCACAACGTTGTACAAACGACCACCAGCGCAGATCTCTAAAGCAGTACCAGCTTTAGTGTGCTCTTTGTCGAGAGTGAAAAGCTGGGCGACTAATCCCTTAACCTTGGAGCGGTCGAAGTTGGGGGTTGGGTCAGCGTAGTTGAAGTCAATGTTTGCAACTCTGCGCTTTAAAGAATCTGCTTCTTGGCGCAAGCCTCTGATCGTCTGCTGTAGCGATGATTCTTGCTTATACATCTCTTCTTCCTGGCCTGGTTCGAAACCGAGTTTCGCGAGTTGAGCCTCAAGTTTCTGTGATTGAGTCTTAAGGCCCTCCAATTCTTTTAGTAGGCCTGCGTTTTGCTCTTTGGCTTTCTTCGCTCGGGGTTCTTCCTCTTTGATTCGCTTTTCAAGATGGGCGATTTTAATCTTGGCTTGCTCCTGTTCAGTAGCAGCCGCCGCCACTCGATTTCTGGCATCTTGTAGTTGGCCTTGATAACCGCTTTCTTGTCCTTCCTTGGATGCGACACCAGTTTGTAACGTCTGGAGTAATTCTTCTTTCGACTCGGCTTCCTGGCTTTGCTTCTCGTTTTCTTCTTTCGCTGCATCGTATTTGGCCTTATTCTTCTCATAGGCTATCGTTTTCTCCTTCAGCGTCGCCTCTAGCTCAGCAACACTCTTCTGTACAGCGGTTTTCTTTTCTTCTTCCTCGGCTTTACTAGACTTCTTCAAGTCTACCACCGTAGCAAGTCGGACCAGCTCATTGGAATGCTTTTTCACATCGTCCTCTAATGCTTGGGCTTTCCCTCCTTTTCTTAATTCCTTGTCTCTTTGCGCCTTCACTCTCTTAACATCCTCCTCAAGATGGGATATTTCGCTCTTGAGCCTCGTCGCCGACTCTTCGAGATCCTTTTGCCGTTGCTTTTTGTTCTCGAGGTCTGTCGCAGATTGCTGTAGCCTCTCTTGATATTTTATATAATCATGCGCGACTACCACTCTTGTTAAGCGCTCTAGGTCGTTTTGTGTCTGTTGGAAATCTAAGAAAGCTCGTTTCTCCGTCCGCAACTTCTCAAGCTTGGGTTCGATCTCGTCGCGGAGTAACTCGGTGATCTCTTGCAATTTCATCTCCTTCTTAGCCATGGTTTTGAGAGCTTTGTCTCTTCGGTCCTCGAACATCCTTGTGCCGGCAGCTTCTTCGATCATGGCCAGGATCTCAACCGCCTTCATGTTTAACACCTTGGTGATTCGACCTTGCATGATAAGAAAGTTGGGATTATTTATGTTGAGTTGTACCGATTGGAAGAGGTTTTGAACGGTCTGTTGCTGCGCTCGGTGGCCATTTATTAGATATTTCGAGGTTCCACCTAGGACGATTTGTCTGGTGACGCTAATTGTCGCATATTCTTCGAAACCGATGGGAGATTTATGCTTGTCTCTATTGTCGAATACGATCGTAACGCTCGCTTTCGTAACGCCGGCTTGACCTCGTTTGTATATAAGATCCTATGCGCGATTGTTAGGTACTATTTATATCGTATGGTAGGTTGGTCTCTGTACCTGGAGATTTTGTGCTCGAACGGTGGTCATATTCGTGATACCTAAGACGAAGCAAATGGCATCTAGAATATTGGATTTACCACTACCGTTCAAGCCGGTAATGGAGTTGAAGCTCTCATCCCTATGCGACATCAGTTTTTGCTATGCGACGTAGCGGTGTATCATTGTTTACTTACCATCCTGAGATGACCGTTCTCACGGCGTAGGATTTGAAGCCCTTTCAAATAAGTCAGTGGCAATTACTATATTGGATTAGACTATACATACGTCTATAATCACCTCCGTAACCCTCATATTGGCATATGCGACCGCATCCGTGTGTAAATATTAGGTGCTGTTGGGTATCTACGGTTGTTTGTTCGCATTAGAAGTCGCTGCGGTGAGTCGCTACCTTAATTGATTGATTGTATACAATTAAAAATCCGTTGCCGACGCGATTAGGGTCAACAAAAACAAACGGAGGGATTCTTATTTTCTTATTGGCTCTTGCGTTCATAATAGTGGAACCCTCCCATGGAAGTAATGAGGGTGCCGCAACGTGGGGTAGGTATGTACTACTTGCAATGACCACCCTGAAAGGCGGCAGAAAATGGCAGAATGTATCTGCCCCACTCACCGCTTTCTAGTGTCTACATCTAAATCGTAGCGCAGCTTAGAGCTTCGAATTTCTTTTTCTTTTCCTTCTTCAGCTCTCTTTGGTATGTCACCGCAACCCCGAAATATCCCGATCGTAGATGGATTTGCTAACCTCTTTTAATAGCCTTTTGGCTTAGATCAAGTGTAGTATCTGTTCTTTTCAGTTTAATCTCTGAAAGAGTCCTACTTGGGCTCAATCGTGATTATTCTTATTTTTGCATCGAGGGGGCTCATCCTCTGTGCTTGCGCATGATAGCCTCCACCGTGTCCCTGGTATTACACTGCTTCCAGGTGGTGCGAACTTTTTCACTACTCTCCCTGGCTTGCTCAAGGTTGTAGAGAAAACAATGGTGTAATATTCAGGTAAGATCAATTCTGCGATCAGTCAAGCCAAGCCATTGTATCTGTCTGTGTACATATGTACGTATCCGCGATTCTGCGACATGTTTGTACTACTGAGTCAATTATCTTCCTACGTATGTAGATGTATAAGACCTGAGACATCGAGCAATGGAAAAGCACTTTTGCTAGCATCATTTTCCCAACAGATCTTCAAATTTCGAAGGATAAGTTCTCTAATAGGAGGACGCATATGATTCTACACCAAGTACCAAAGTACATGTAGACAAGTACTTCGGTAATTATCAGGGAGGCGTTAAGGCTCCAAATTCAGCTAGGTGTGGAACCTTATTGCCCAGGTTATGCTCCGGTAGCATTCCATATTACTCTGCTACTCTCTTTAGATCCGCACGCGACTTCTAGAGTCCCAGTTAATTGAACAGCCACTGTAAAACCGAATCGAGTTGACCTCCAAACGTCATTCCTCATCTCAATCCGACAGCCACACCCTATAAACTTCCTATTATCCACATGTCAAAATATTCTAATAATATAAAATTTTGAGACAGCGAGCCAACATTATACGTGTGACCAGTTACATGAATAGCTCCGGCTAAGACCACAGAAACAAAAATGGCGGACGAACAAGTGTCTCTTACTTCCCTAATCCTAATAGTTGTCCTCGGCGGCCTCATCATTCGATACCTATTCTTCTCATCGACAACCCAAGCACCACGACCGCAACGAGATCCCCAATCGGCGTCGCGCGCCAGGGAGGCCGCTGTAGAGAGGATACAACAGATGTTTCCACAGGTTGATCGGAGGACTATATTGTGGGATTTGCATCGCAATGGAGGGAATATAGCGGCAACTACGGAAAGGATATTATCAGGGCGAATAGAGACGGTAAGCTCTCTCAGCTACTTCACCAATGCGATATCTCCGGTCATACTAACTCTTTGACTCTTCAGCCCCCTGTTACTTTCCAACCTCCGCCTCTCCCAACATCTCCGTCCCCATCTTCGGCCCAAACGCAACCCTTCAAAACGCCGTCAAAGCCCTCCGAGCCGGACTTGATTACTAGATACAATCTGAAAGAGAAGATCAATGCTAGTGAGGAGGCCGAGGCCGCGAAGAAGACGAAAGCATGGAGTTCCAATCGCGATGAGAGGCAAGCGTCCTTACAACGAAGACGAGACGAAATGATTCTGGCAGCAAGGAAGAAAATGGAGGCCAGGATTGCAGCTGAGAAAGCAACAGCGGAAAAGGCACAATGATGTAAAAAATGCGCGAGACTGCAGGATCGGTTTAATGACGCGGAATCCGAGTCGCATGTGAACTGTATATTTGGAGTTTTTGTACTCAAGTCGGCCTACTCGAACCAGCGGTGTTTTGGAATATCTTGCAATATCATTCAATGAACAATAGTATCGTCGACATATTCGCCATCTATGTGTATAGCCAAGTCCCTGCTCCTCTATATCTAATACGTTTCTATATCGATTCCATGATGCTTGTCATTCCCAGTTATGCTTCTATCCTTACGCCGTGCCAACCGGGCAGAAAATGCAGAGACCAATCATTTCTCATATCATATCATTTTCGCCTCTGTTCGATCAAAATCAGACCTTGCCCAATGCCATCTTGAACGCCAGCGGCAACATTCTCCAGAGCCCAAGCCGTAAGATCGGTCAAAACCTTGCCGATTTTTCCTTCGCTGAATGCGGAGACTAGAACATATGCCGTTAGTACTCATAATTACCAAAAATTTCGCAAGAAATGCGGGCGTAGCCTCTATTTTGCGGGCTGGAACGAGACTAGAATAACCTCGAAAAGAAGGGCAAGGATAAGGTATGCGAACAACTTCAAAAGTTCACTCACATTTCTCACTCAGAGCACCGCTCTGCTTCCCTATAGCAGTAGCGAAACCAAAGCCACTGGTAACGATGTGTTGCGAGATATTGTATTGACGTTCATAGTGGGCTCCAACGCGAATGACGGCCGCCAAGAACGACAGGATAATATAGCCTAAGAGGACGAGGACCGTAACAAATCCCTGGACGCTGGAGTGCAAAATCGACCTCGCTCTATCAGATGGCTGCCACCCAGATTTATTCAGGCCTCCTTCAATCTGATTATGCATCTCTACTTGCGCGCACGACTCCGGTAGAGCTTGTCGGATAATGTTGGTTTCGTAGTCATCCAAATCATCTGGAAGTGCCCGCAGCATATACGCTACGCCGTCAATATACGACTTCCTCGCAAAAGCCGAATCCACTGTTTCTTGAGAAGCGGAATGTTGCAAGTAGGTTCCTACGTAGTGCAGGTGGATTAATAACCTATCCGACTTGCTGGGGAAAAGAAGTTGGGGAGGCCCATACCTTGCGCGGCGTACCTCCATTTCACGCCCGAGCTCACGCCCGAGCTACAAATGTCGGGCCCGGAAGACTTTTGCTTGTCTTCATACCTGGTAGCAGCAGTGCTTGCTACTGTGCATGCCTGTAACTCGACGACGGAACTCTCATCCTCACTTGCGATCATAACAGGATCTACCTCCTTTCGGGGAGGAATGGGAGGTCGCCGAGAGGATAAGATAGAAAAGCTTGTAGATCTGCGAAGTGACTGGAGGGCTGGTAGTCGAGATTGAACTGATGTCGGTAACATGTTGAATACGACAATAGACATATCTTGCTCCATTATGATTTCTCTAATCATTTTAGGAGTTGTTCCCCCTCTACTCTTCCCGTCTGTCTGTATTCGTTCTATTTCTCGTTCATTCTTTTTCCCTTTAGTTTACTATAAGGGAGTTGAGTTGTATTTGTTGAAAGATGCAAACTCCAGAGTTGTCACCCTGTACATATGTAGGAGCTTGGGATCGTCATAGCGAGGAAATCAGAATTAATGTATTTATCCAATGGTGGAAGAAGTTGAAATTCAGCCAAGGTGAGAAGAAAGTTCACTTTAGAGCCGCCACCCATGTTAATTCTAGACTTTACGTTTATCTATGCCCGCGCGTGTGAAAATGTCCAAGGGTCCCTTCCCTTTGTCAGATTCATGGTGCTTACTGGTAGTTGCTGCCGTAGAGCCCACTCTGTCCACCCTGCCCACCGGATTCAAGCACGAGGTCCACTCACTAAGTCCACTTATACATAAGAGGCGTTTCGTGTGATGTGGAGATAGCCGACTTTCACATGCAACCCAACCCAACCACCTGAAGAAAATAAAAAAAGTAAAACGAAAAGGAAGAAGAAAAAAGAAGATAGATGGACATAGACATGCATCATACGATGGAATATAGCAATTGTCTGATGCAAGACTAATAGGAACAATATATTTAATGAGCCTCAGAAAAATAAAATTTCAGTCTGTAACAGTTCGCCGTTTTGAACCTACGCCTTGATTAGGTGGAAGTGGTGAGGATCTAGGTCCCTGGAAGACATACGTAGGTAGGCACCGATGTATCGAAATGCAAAAATCGGATTGAGGCGAAGAAAACACGGGTGCTACTATCAATCTACTTAGGTACGTACCTAAGTACCGTGTGATTTCAATCCCCGTCGGTTTAGGTCTATTAGCTCAAAACTTACACCTTCTAGACTTCGCTACAACAGGTACCTAGGTACTTCAAGATGCGTAACAATTTCTATTCGGGCATCTTGAGCCAAAGATGAGATCGAGATAATATATTCACATTCTACCAAATCAATCAGGAGAACCATTATTATACGTCCTAGATGCGTCGTAAGTTTGGTTCTCGCTTGAATCGCAATGGATGTAAAGATATGCCGGGTTAAAAAGGAGGAAGAGTAAAACCAATTGAGCAACATTTCAGCAACCTCTCATCTCATGAGATATTAAATGGATGAGGAAAGATATCGGAGCATTAAAGTATCGGAGTGGATAACGTCAATTGGTGGAGGGGTAACAGTTATAGATTAATCCGTTCCGGTATAGATAGACTAGACCCACTTGATAAGAACCCATACCCTTGCTTTTGGACCCAGTTCCAAAAAAAATTTCGAGGACGAAAAAGATTCAAATCGCCTCCAGCACGCGCCCTCAATTTTCTCTTATAAGGTCGTGTGCGCATGAGACGGCTTCTTCATACACAATTTTCAATTCTTATGAAGTAGTATTTACCTTACAGCCGTCATGTTCAAGTCTACCGTACAGCGGCATGCCCGCCTGGGTAATTTGGCCCGTCGTCAACTCTCCACCTTAACATCGCGACAAATTCGTCCTCGACAACTCATAGCATCGTACCAAAGATGGACACAGCCGGAATTACATTCAATTCCCCTTAAACATATTACAAGTCGGCTCTACTCGCATGAATCCGCCGCACCGATACAGAGTGAAGACACTCCGGCTGCGCTATACGATATCACTGAATTCGAAGATTTATCTAAATTGGGTGTCGACGAACGGATAGTACGGGCTATTACAGTGGATATGGGGTATAAAACGATGACCGAGGTTCAGTCATTGACTATCAATCCCGCACTAAAGGGAACCGATCTGTAAGTTTTGAGACTCCATAACCTCTATCTCATCAGTTATTAACTGTTATAGCGTTGCCCAAGCAAAGACTGGAACAGGTAAGACCTTAGGTTTTCTCATACCAGTCTTCCAGCGCATTATAACAGCCGATCCTACACTTGTGTCGAGACCGGCCAGGACCATCCAGAGGTCTAGACCAGACGATATTCGTGCCATTATTTTATCTCCGACTCGCGAGCTTGCCGAACAAATTGCTGTCGAGGCAAAGAAACTAGCTCGTCACACTGGAGTTATCGTCCAGACGGCCGTTGGCGGGACCCAGAAGAGAGAAGCTCTTTGGAGGATGCAGCGTGAGGGTTGCCACGTTCTTGTTGCGACTCCAGGTAGACTTCAGGATATTATGACAGATCCTAACACTGGAGTTGCGGCGCCAAAGATCCAGGCCTTTGTACTAGATGAGGCCGACCGTATGTTGGATGTTGGTTTCTCGGACGATATTCGCAACATCATAGGTCTTCTCCCGCCGATCAATCAGGTTGATCGACAGACTCTTTTATTCTCTGCTACGATTCCCCGGGACGTTGTTCATCTAGCTAAAAGCCTGGTGAAGACTCATGATTTCGAGTTTGTGCAAACCATCAATCCCGATGAAACCCCAACCCATGAGAAGGTCCCCCAACACCTCATCCCCGTGCAGAGTTATGAGAACTGGTTCCCCACCATCCTTGAACTCATCGACAAGGCTAGGGCAAAGCCTGGGGCGCGTCCGTTCAAGGCAATCATCTTCTTCTCCAATACCGCCACTGTCCAGTTCGCCAACCTCGTTTTCAAGGCCACATCTCTAGGACGCGGGTACGACGGCATTCCAATATTTGATATCCATTCGAAACTCACCCAAGGCCAGCGTACAAGGAGTGCAGATAGTTTCCGCCGTGCCCAGAGCGGTATCCTTATTTCTTCAGATGTCACCGCAAGAGGAATGGATTTCCCTAACGTGACACACGTCATTCAAGTCGGCCTCCCCCCAGACAGGGATCAGTATATCCACCGTGTCGGCCGAACAGGTCGTGCTGGCAACGATGGAGAAGGGTGGTTGATTTTGGCCGAGGTTGAAGTCGACGAAGCGCGAAAGCGTCTACCTGGTTTACCCATCAAGCCAGTTCGTACCTTCGAAGCCGCATCACACACATTAGGGGGGGGCGAAGAGGCCTCCCCACAAGTGGCCAAATATTTCGACGAAATATCGAACGCGTATAATAGAGCTCCGCGACATGTTTTCGAAGCCGTTTACTCCTCTCTACTGGGCCAAAAATTCGGAAGGTCGTTACAGGCCGAAGATGTTGTTCAGCTGCTAAACAATTGGTGTCTTAAAGGTCTTGGCTGGGAGCAGCAGCCAGGCCTCCCGCCTCGCGCAGTCCAGACGCGCGGTCTCTCAGGTGTACCAGGTGTAAGGATTTTGCACAACCAAGGCAATCGTGGATTTGGTTCCAATGAAGAAGATGAAGGTTTTGGGGGATTCCGATCGTCCGGCTACCAAAGCAGGGGGTCAAATCAATTCGGATCCTCCCGCGGTAGTGGATTCGGCTCCAGATCCTCTTTCGGGGGAGGTAATAACAACTTCCGTGGCCGATCTCAAAACTTCGGTAATGACCGCCGGGGTGGTAACGATCGTCGGGGTGGTCGAGACCGCCCGAGGGAGAGTTTTAGCACATCATTCTAATGATACAATGACGCCAGTTTACGATTATTGAAGTAGCCGTCTTGCTACTTCATCCTGTACTATTTCACCCTGGAAGTTGGTTCTTCCAAATTGTACATGTGTCAAAAGGTGCTGAGCTGTGTGACATAGCACTGCTAGCACACGGCTTAGAATAGGCGGCGCCATACGGATATACAAGCTGACTTGCGTGTCACCGGACAGATCTGCATTTGCGAGGGGTTGTTAATCGGAGTCAAAGGTCCTCTTGCTTGGTTCTACGTTTTATGTATGGAATGATACAAGGCGTCGGTGGTCTCTCGAAAAGGGGACCGAATGGTACGGAAATCTCGACTTTTTTGTACTATAGTAAAAGAGGAATCGTAATGAAGAATGAAAAGTACTTGAACCACAATACGATCTAATTCGATGAATTATTTCTCCACTTATAACTTAAAGTGAATTGAGCGAGTGCTTATAAGATCTTATTACCTTGATGACTTATGTGCCTGACTCTTCATGATACGGTCCTGAAAGGCACATGAGCGACAGGGGAAATTAATATGAAGCCGAGAAATAGTCCTATATTCCATCTAAGTCAATATATATGCCATCTCAAGTATAGTTGGTATCAGTAACGATTCCCCACTACCTCCCCGAACGCCTCCCAATGCAAGACTCCCATATACAGAGCGCCATCCTACGTTCTCTTGATATCCCCAATTCACCATTTTCTACTATTTTCAAACAATGAGGTTGGACAGCTATGCTTGCCCTTGCAACATCCTATTCGCATCCCACAATAATACCCTCTCATCCCATCCCACCGTAGCTACCCACCCGCCTACACCAAATAAACACCAATCAACACCCGTCACGAACTCAGTATGTCGGTTCATAACACCGAGTTGGATTCCCGCTTTTACGGGGGATTCCTGCTGTGCTGGCATGGTGGATCCATCGGTCCATAACCGGACCGTCATATCGTAACTCCCACTTATCAAAATATCACTAGCATGCGGACTCCAAGCCAGTCTTCGAATCGCGTATTCATGCCCCATCATCACAGACGCGGGCCCCGCAGCCGGGTTCCGTATATCAAAGGTGCGGATCACTTTATCGACACCACCTGTTGCTATTACGGTGTGGTTGTACTTGTTCCAATCATGTGTTAATATCTCGCCGGGCGCGGCGGGAGGGGCGGGGCCTTGTATAGGCGGAGGGACCGGGGAGGGGATGTGCACGGGGATTTTGGTTATTAGGTGGTATTGCGCGCCAGCTGGTGTGCGTAGGTCGAAGATGCGAAGGTGTGAGTCGGAGGATACGGCGGAGATTAGGTATGGGTTTGAGGGGCAGTAGGATGTGCTGTAGGTGCAGGTCCCGACGGGTAGGGTTTGGAGGGAGTCTTTGCTGGCTGGCGACCACTGCGCAGGCTTATTAGCTGTTTACTAGGTAGGGTCTTGCGATGGGGGTATTACATACGATTTTAATGGTTCCGTCCCAGGAACTAGATGCGAAGGTGTCTTTGGTAACGGGACTCCATGCTACTGAAAATGTTTCTCGCTTGTGTTCGTGGAAGTTCATCACTGGGAATTCGTTTACATTCAAATCGTAGAGCTTTATCGAGCCATCGCCGCATGCGACCAGTAGCTGGTTCTCGTTAATTTCGGACCAGGCGAGGTCATATTGGGCATCGTTCGTATCAAATCTATATGAGGACTATCTTAGTTCACAATTCACGAAATAATTATACCGTACATATTTAATGCTCACGTCTTCTCGATCTGCACACCCTGCGGCCCCAGCCCGAGGCAGAACACGCGCCCGTTCCCCACGATACCATAATTAGCAGCGGATGCGACAGCGATGCGCGAGTCGTAGTACGGCGAGTACTTTACGGCGTAAGGGTTCCAGCCCGGCGTGCGGAACTCAAGCATCGACGCCATGCTTTTGGGTCAGTGGTGAATTTGGATTGATGGCTCGTAGACCACGGTTTTAGAGAAGCACATGTATTAGTAGCTTACAGATAAGAGATACAAAGCTCCGGGGCTATGACGAACGGATTGAGTGCCAAGACGTGGGGCCTCGGCTACGGTATTGGTGGGGGTATTTTGTGTAACCAAGAGAGAGCCGAGTTATCGATAAGAACTTATAGCCCGTTATGTTTCCGCCAGCCTCTTTATTTAACTTGGAATAGTAAGTTCATATCGCGCCCAGATGACGGCCAAAATCGAGCAGGATGGTATTTAGAATTGGTTACAGATACGGATAAGTTCTCTTCATTCGTCTATCGATGAAGTAGACTAATCCTCAACTCATCATCGGCCTAGTCGGTTAAGTCTAGCTCGTCCACAGTGTCGGCATAAGCTGATGACTATGTTTTGCAACCCTCGGGAACACAACCCCGAACACCTATTGTGATCACTTTCCTTCTCGATTGCGAATCGCGATAAAATGTTCATCTTTTTGTTTACTGGTTACGAGGACAGCAAACTGTACTGGTTAATTTGTCTATTTCTGATTGCCTTGTCCTTCTCTCGCAGCGATTTCAGCATGACAATATTCTAGTACTTCAAGGGTGAGTACAAACTGAGGACGAGCGCAAAGACAAGCAACAGGACAGAAAAGATTATGTCAGGCGGTTTCTTTTCGGTTATCTCGACCCCCATCGAGGCAAAGGTACTATTATCAAAGATTTAAAGGTGAATTTCATGGTCGGAGACACTGGAAGAGAACACATCATCATTTGCAAGGCCCTTACTAGTACTTATGCTAATTATATTCGCTTAGGATCTACACCGAAAATAACACCCCTTTTAACCATCGATACTACAGCTCGGTGTGTTCGCCAGTGGTACCTAGGCATTCACGGATCCTCTCGCTAGAGCAAGCCCCTGGGTGACTCGGGGCGCCAATGCTGAGCCGTCCTATTCCCGGTATTAAATGCTCCGATGATGAGGACAACCTCAGGACATCGGACTTAAGAGTGGGGAATATGGGGTCTATCTCAATCCCTTGGGGGCTTGATTTATCATGACATGACTGCTCAGGTTTACCCATGGATATGGCGATCGTGAAATATGGTTGATTTTCAAAGGAGAAGCGGTCAGCAGTCAGCAAGAGCCGAGTCCAACAAATATAGATTGTGTCGTTGCCTGCTTGATTGTGGGCACTTGGGTCTAACAGATAAAAAAAATGGAAGAATAATGAAAAAACAAATCTGTTTCCTTTCATTTGCGGTATAAGGTACGTATTTTCATACGATGCTAACCTGGCTTCTCCCAGCAAAGAGCTTGTTCCGCGCTAGGTCTAGCAAGCCATGCCGGTCAAACGACCTCCCAGAAATACCAGTATGGAGGATTCACCGCGAAGTAATAACTTGAATTCTTGCTTACTTGTCCTAAGAAAGATACTCTAGGGTTGCGAATCCTCACACCACAAACTTTTGAGGCAGACGTTGAGTATGCGTATGTTCACTTCTCACTTTAGGCGCTACTGACTCGAGAAGTATTGTTGCAGTCCATGGATTAGGAGGAGATGCATTCAAGACATGGTCTTCCGAGAATGGTCAGATGTGGCTACGGGACTTTCTTCCAAAACAGCTCAAAGGCCCTCCTGTGGATTTCGCCAACGGACCTAACGACTCTAAGACCGCTCGAGTCATGACCTTTGAATATAATGCCAATATCTTCACAAGCGCGCCCTCGGCGCGATCCTTCGAATTTGCGGAAGAGTTTCTATCGGCACTCAAGGATAAAAGACGGAATGAAAACGCAGTGCGTGTTTGCAAGACCCATATCCCCGAGAACGGGCATGAGTTAACATAATTGATAGAGACACAGGCCATTGATATTGATAGGCCACAGTCTAGGTGGTATCGTAATCAAGAAGGTATTGGCCGTTGTCCGCCGTTAAAGTGGTAGTGTCTCATATGCTTATAGGCTCTACATATCGCCCATGCAAGGCAGAAGCAGTGGGGCGACCTACTATATAGTGTCATACATTTGTGTTTCTTTGGAACACCCCACCAAGGCGCACGCTCACTGCCGGGGTTCCTTCTTAGATTCGGTGAAGCGATCACCACGACTGAAAATGGCGACATCTTAAAAGAGTTGAAACTTTGGTCATCACCTCTAATCGAGATAGATGCTTTATTCGTAGAGATTTCTGAAGGGTTCACGATTACTACGTTCTATGAGGGGAGGAATTATAATGGTATAAAGGTATGTTGAGCTTTACGACCCGTCTGTACCTTAGTTCTAAATTAATAGAGGAAGGTTGTCGAGGAGGGTTCTACGCGACTAAATAAATCCAAGGAGACGGTAATTCGTCTAGATGGGGACCATAAAACGATGTGCCAATTCCCCAGCTCCGAAGATCCTTCGTATTTGAAAGTGTTTTCTCGATTACATGCAGAAATATCTGCAATTGGGACAGCAGAACAAGTCCAGGACCATGAGCAACGGCTGAAGCTGCTTCTCGAGTCAGCCCCCCAACCGCCGTCTTCACTTATTAAAACATACATCTAATCTAGTAAATCATACAGGGTGGATAAGATACAACCGGACGATAGAGAGCGCGATAAGATTCTGGCTTGGTTAGATTATCCTAAGATATCGAGCCGACCACCGAGAGACGTCCACGGTGAGCCCGGAACCAATCTCTGGTTCCTAGAAGGTAAGCTCCTGCGATCGTGGAACAATGGAAAGAACAAGTTCATTCTATTGCATGGTATGGTTGGTTGTGGAAAGACTACTCTGCTAAGAGCGATTGAGGATCAATGTCGTGATGATCCGTCCAGCAGTAATCTCGTTATCGCGTTCTTCTTTTCATCCACCACAAATACAGGACTTAATCTCAACGCATTTCTTCGTGCTGTCGCCACTCAGCTTTCTATCGCCGACCCAATATCAGATCATTTGCGGAAGCTCTTTCAGAAGAACAATGAGGGGATTATCCCCCCAACAAACGGCCAGTTGGCGGGAGTAATTGAGAAGATCATCTCAGAACGCCCCTTACAACACGTGAAAATTCTGATAGACGGGATTGATGAGGCCCAGCGTGGCCCGTCGCGCCTAGATCTATTACAACACCTAAGCGATATCAGCACATGGGGCCTGGAGAATTTGCATGTGCTTGCGACTTCACGCAGTGAGGATGATATCTTACTCGCCCTTGATCTCCATTGGAAAGTATTGCCAATTCCGTCGGACAGAGTGAGGGGTGACATAGAAATATACATCAAAAATGAGTTAAGAAGACGTACTAGGCTGAAGGAACTTGACGAAAATGTACAAAAACAGGTTATTTCCGCCTTAGCGGGACCCGACCAGTCGATGTAAGGGGGAACTTCGTTCAATTTGCACCAGCTTCAATCTCGTATCGCTAATTATTCATATAGGTTCCGATGGACTGCTCTGCAGCTTGAGAGATTGTTGAAATCGGGTGCATTGTTCCAGAAAAATATCACTCACATTCTTCGTACCTTGCCGTCAACGCTCAACGAAACATACGATGTTATTCTTAATGGAATTGGAGAAGAGCCGGAGAAGAAGGTCGCAGCTATAGCTCTACGTTGGCTTACTTCAGCTCATCACCCGCTGTTGATTGAAGAGCTTATCGAAGCCTGTAAGATCTCTTTCGACCAAAACTATTGTATCGACATTGAGCAGGCTCTAGATGCTCGCGACATACTCGGTCTACTGCCAGGCCTTATTATACTAGAGCCGGACGTACGTCCCAAACATCCAAACGATTTTCGGCGAGGCAAGCACCATGCTCTGCTGGCACACTTTTCTGTGAGAGAATATTTGCTCCGTAATGAAAATGCATGGGAAATTTTAGGTAAATCCCGACTTAGTCCAGTGGAGTTACACCGATGGCTCTCAAGGAGTTGTATCGCCTACTTATGCGAAACTAACACCTTAACAAAGCGGGCTCTATACTACCTACTTAGATCGTATGCTTGGGACTCGTGGGCTCTACATGCAGTCGCCGAGAATGATGTGCCAAATAGTAAAGATGAATTGCGTGCGTCGGAGCTTTTTGAAAGAGTCATACGCCATCATAATGATCCGGGAAGGATTTTTAGTATTCGGGACTTATCGTCACTAGAGTTGCGTCTTCCCATTCCATTGGAGACTTTATTGAGCGGTTTGGCAGTCTCATGGACAATCCACGATATTATGAGCTCATTGCAAAACCCCTACTTCTCTGAGGAGTATCCCGAGTCGCGGGCTAAGGAAGACCTTGAGCCAATATGGCATACCCCGTTATCTCCTGGAAAGAAAGAAATTCGTCTACTTCGATTATATCCTAGCCGGTACGATTTTGCCATGATCAGATGCGCCCTAGAGACGGTCTCATTAGGCTCGCGCTCGCCACCGAAATATGAAGCAATGTCGTACAGTTGGGGAATGTCATATACTTGGGGGGAGCGGAATATGTTGCAATCCCATATTTGGTTATCTGGTAGGCCCTACCAGATACAACCAACTCTGGCCAGCAATCTACGCGCTATCAGGAGAGGAAAGATTGAATGTTGCATATTGTGGGTGGATAGTACCTGTATCAACCACAATGATCCACAAGAGGTAGAATATCAGGTTAAATTCGTGCCCTCGATATTTTCCCGAGCATCTCGAGCCACGATCTGTTTTGATAGAGCCGATAAGGAGGATTATTGGGCCTTAGACGTTTTGTTGAGCGTTGGCGCGGTGCTAGCAAATGACTCGGAAGCGAATATCAGCGCGCTTCGGAACGTCCTAGATATCAGTGACGACCATGATCCATTCAGGAGCATCAGCATGCTGTTCGATCCGTCCAAGCATGAATGGTGGTTGGACATGTGGGTGGTGAAGGAATACGTTTCGGCTCGAGCCATTGCACTCCAGTACGGAAGTCGCACTTTACCGTATGAAATCATGGATAAATTATCTACAAGTCTCGAAGCCATCGCCAATTGCATCGAGAACGCCATGCCCCTTTCTACTGGATCGAAATGCAACCGATCGCATCTGCTCCACTCGTATGGATTGACCTTGGCCAAGAACCTATTCCATCTGCGCACCCTGCATTTTGACAATAATGCCAGGGCCGCCACAGCTCTTTTTCTAGCTCGATTTTTTAAGATGTATTTCCCGACGCATCGATTTTGCTCGCTACAAGGTATCATGTCCCCGTCACATTTTTCTCTAAATGACGACGAAAGTGATTACCCATGTAGGTATAGTGAAGTTGACCGCCCCCGGAGGTACAATGAATCCATTCAAGAGCTTTGCGCTAGATTCTGCGTTGGCGTCATCAATTCAGAAAGGAACCTTGGTATTTTTTCTATTTTGAGACGGAAGGGGGACAATGATGCCTGTCCGTCCTGGGCGAGCCAGTTTTCCCAAGATCCTGACAATGTGTATCCGCTACCGCTCCTGATTGACGAATTGATGGGCGATATAAAACACACGTTCAATGCAGGATGCGCTGATTGGGCACCTCCTCAATTCGAACGGCCGGACAAGCTGCATTTGCAAGGCTTCATCGTAGATACATTGACCGAACCTCGAGACTTGCCTGTCGGATATGCGCAGAAATATAACCTTCAACGTTTTGCAGAGCTTCGCCGATGGTGTAAGACGAAAGAAAGAGGCTTCGAGGGATTAGTACCGCTTGAAGCAGAGAAGGGGGATCGCGTAGTAGTGCTCTTCGGAGGGAAGACACCGTATATTCTACGACCGCGTCAAAACCGGAATAATTACCACCTCATTGATGAATGGTAGGCTCTTTTAAGACCATCGAACTACTCATTGCGAAGCTAACTAAGTTTCATAGTTTCGTACCCGGAATGATGCAAGGAGAACTTATGGTGGAGCTTGGTCACATATATCAGCAAGAGGAAATCACGTTGATTTAATTGGTTAGGTTGGAGGTTGTCTGAGTTTAACGGTCAATTCCATAGCAAGTGCCACTTAAAACGGTGAGTCACGGAGCGGAGCATAACCGTATTTAAGATCCAACTAAATAAAAAGGCCTATTGGTTTTTGACTTTTTACAACAATGTAACACTTATATATTCAATGTTGCTTCCTACATGTAAGTTATGCCCTGTTCTAGTTACCTATAGCAACCTAGCAGCCTAGCTTTTCCTTCCATTATGATGTACCTTTTTATATAGTGCCCATTGGAGTTGCTAGACTGTCCCATATTTATCTAGAGCTCTGGCCAATCAAAACAAACACACAGTTCATGCACGATCCCATATATTACCGGGGTCTATTTGGAGATTTCCGGGCCACCCCATGATCTATCATGGATACATTCTTAAAAAGAACCAAGCGAAAGTCATCCGGCGAGGAAGACATACTTCTAGTTGATGACAACGAGTCAACGGATGTAAAGTTAATGATTCTTTCGTCGCTACACTCTAACATCAGCCAGGAAGCCTTGCTGGAAGCGCTCTTAGCACATGATGGATCCGTTCAGGCAGCTTCCGCTTCTCTAGCCGATGATCGACCTGGTGCTTCTAAAAAGCAACGAAACGCCACCACTGTCGGATACCAAACTTCGCTGAAGCTCTTTACCCCCAAGTCTTCATCCGAAGAACGACCCTTGTCACCTAAGAAAGCAAAGCTGCTTTCTAAGAAAGGGGCAACTCTTCATTTATACGATCCCGAGGATATAGCTGAAAACACACCTTGCAGCATCGTTCATAATTTTCTACCGCCCGATTTAGCAAATGATCTTCTCAAGGAATTGCTGGATGAAGCAGCTTCATTCGAGAAGGCTTCCTTTAAGTTATTCGACAATGTTGTCCAAAGTCCTCACACTTCCGGCTTCTACGTGGGATCAGCAGCCGAGGTCAATACCCAGAAACACGATTATTATTACAATGGCGCTGCATTAACAGATATCCGATGCCTTACCCCTCAACTCCTACGCGCCAGACCAATAGTTCAAGAAGCGGTAAACAAGGAAATTCAAACCCGCATGAAAACTCGATATCCCGGAGGACGAAAGCTGAAGTATCAGTCGCCAGATCAATGGTTACCAAACTGCGCTTTCGTCAATTGTTACAATGGCCCCCAAGAGAACCTAGGGTATCACAGTGATCAGCCTACATATATAGGCCCTAGGGCTGTGATAGGTTCTTTATCTCTTGGGGTGGCGCGGGAATTCCGTGTCAGGCGGATTGTACCAAAGGATTCCGACAATAATCCCACCGATGATTCAGACGCAGAAGGGCAGATTTCCATCCACCTACCTCATAATTCTCTCTTAGTCATGCATGCTGAGATGCAGGAGGAGTGGAAGCACAGCATTGCTGCTGCTCAAGCGATTGACCCCCACCCAATCGCGGGTAACCGGAGGATCAACATCACATATCGCGATTACAAATCGAGTTTTCACCCCAAGTTTACGCCAAGGTGTAAATGTCGTATTCCTGCAATATTGAGGGTTGTGCAGAGGAAAAAAGAAAACCATGGAAAGTATTTCTGGATGTGTCATCATGGAAACGCGCCTGGCAAGGAAAATTGTTCCTTTTTCCAATGGGCAGATTTTGATGATAATGGGAATCCTAGTTGGGATAAAACTCGGCACAAGGTCACGTAGAGTGGCGACGTTGTCAATAATGACAAGAACGATGGTTATCACTACTTCTCATTGCGATTGATATAACCTAGTGAAGACTTTTTTTTCGACTCTACAGGAGTACAACATCCTCGTTACTCACCAACGTTCGGACTCACGCTCCCCTCATTTACTACCCAGATGCACTCAAAATCTAGGGCTCGACGTAGCGTGGCGGGTTCTTATTGTACCCATCATAGTGTACTACATTTAGATCGTCAACATCCAAACCGTCGATAGTTCTCAAGTTAATGGGCATCAGGTCCTGTCCACTCTTAAGCCACTTGCGGTGGCCCTCTGGCAAGTTATTGAACTGCTCTTCCGTGATGGGCTGCGGTTGGTTGTGTATCGGAATACCGCATATCTTGCAGAACGTTTTTCCGAATAGTTTGGTGTTGAATAGGTAAACCCCGAGGTTGTCTTCGCCCTCGATTACTACTTGATCTTTCTTGGGGTACATCCATGTGGATCCGTGCTGCGACTGAGTTAGCACAATGGGTTTCGCTATTTGGGTAGTGTGGACGCTTACCCTGTTGCAGATGCTGCAGTTGCAGTCCATGATTCGCTCGTCGGACGTCTTGTCGAGAGGCTTCATTTTCAATGCCAATCTAATGGCACCGCAGTGGCAGCTACCAGTGTATATCTTTGCTCCCTCAGTGGCAGCCTCTGGTTCAGGCCCTGTGAATTTGGCTGGCTCATATGGTTTTCTGTAGCTTTTGCCATCGAGACTAGATGTCTTTGGTCAATTCCCAGATACTTCTAGGGATTAGAGTAGTTATGAGCAACTCACGTCTTTGTCTCCAGAGTCCATACGTCGCCAACTTGGCCATACTGGAAACTTCGAACCTGGGAGCATGTCAGTTATTCGCTTATGTCTTCAATATCTAGGAAAGTTGAATACATACATTGAAAACGGTCGTAGGATTATACGGTTCACCTGGCTTCGGAACTTCCATGGTCCCCACAATGCAGAGCTGAGCTCCGCAGCCGGGGCAGAACTATTTCCACTCTCATGTTAGCACAGCCGAGTTATACAATCTAGTCTTGTTAATTATTCTAACCTTGTGGTGGAATGTCTTCTCTCCGAATGTGTAGCTTGTCAAGGTATCGACGCCACCTTCCACCCAATGAATCTCATCCTGCTTGGGTATAACCCACAAACCGCCCTTCTTGTAGCATGAGCTACAATTGCACTTAGTCGCCTTGAAGTCCAGTCCTAATTTGATTTCATAAATGTAATCACCACAATGGCAGCTGCCACGGTACGTCTTGAATTCTTCAGCCATTTTGATTCAGAATTGAGAAAAAAAGGTCAACAGTTTGAGGGGTTGATTGTTAATGAAACCAAGAGTCTCAGCTTACAGGAAGGATTCTTATAGAAGGGGTTCACTGGATTAATAAACACTACGTATATCAAAAAGCTGCCTGAAGTATTCGGCATCTCTAAAAGGCCGAGGGCCGCAGGCTTACATTGGAGAAGCTGAAAATCCTTGGAGGGAGCTGCATCGCGGTTAGACCGCCTCCCGAGATAGTCTCTCCAAGTTTATGCGACGATGTTCGGACGGTGACGTTTATAAAGTGGTTACTACATAAAGACGTCTTACCCTCCGTTTTTTTCGGGCGGCGCGGTTGCTATCAGTAATGCGTCCCGTAATAAGTGATGTACGTCGGGTTACATCGAGTATGTGTGATTGAAACGATATCGTCGAAAATGTATACTCTCGCGATTTGCTTGAACGCGATGCGAGGATGTTTCGCGCGTCATCAGGTGACTGCCTGACCTGGCCGGATGAGTCATTCAGTATGGAAAATCACGCAATGAAGTTCTCATTGCATTGATATATACCTAGGTACATCCCCATCCGTAGCTCGCAAACATGTCCCTATTTCGAAAGGAGATACCAACACCTAATGTAATTTGTATACATATCTTCCGAGGTAATTAACGAATGTCGAAGAAACGCGTCGCAAGAATCATCGATTTTATTCGGATCTGAATTGTCATTTGCCCCTCAGTTGGTGGGGAATTCGTGACAACGAAAGAATTGCCCGTCAATAAAATGATACTAAGGGACTGGGGGAGGAGATCGTCAGTAACCAAACAAAACGGGTTTTGGTGAAAGGCCTGACACATGCGACCGTTGGCTGCCAATCGATAATCCACTGTTGAGCCTAAACTGATAAGTACAACGAACCATTGTCCTATATTATGAACCGAGGTACTATATGTGATATCGATTTGTCTTTAAAGCATCTAAAGAGTTAAAAAGGTTGAAAGTTTATACGCACGAAATGCTCGAAGATTATACATCTTGTGCATCTCGTACATTTTCTACCCCTGGTAGGTATTGAGGTCATTGGGCAAGGGTTCGATAGAAAATGTACAGGGGAGGTGGGGAAGTCAAATACGGGCTTAACAGGCGATCGATGTTGCGGTAGCAACAGTAACCTTAAAAACCAGCCACCCTGTAAGTTACCTAGGAGTACCTGCTAAATAACCTGATTAGGCCTATACAGGTTACGTGGGTAGCGACGGATACAATGCGATACAACATTTGGCGCCTTAATTACTTCCAACTCAACTCTCTACCCAGGTACTCTCTCCAGTCTATCTATCAATTCTCCGATTCACCCAAACATTCGTGCTAGCCTTATGAGTTGTACACATTTGACCCCTTAATTCCATTTTTCGTAAGCCAGCGAACATTTGTTTTGGTTTTGCATTTGAATCTAAGTCACGATGATTCCTTAACCCGGTAGTGCGACATCAACTTTCGACTGCGAATTCTTTGCGCGCGATTAGGTAGTCTTTTCAGTTTGCCTCGTACGATCGTGTTTCCACAACGACGGAGTTGGCGGAACGGCGGTCTTTTGAAATCTAAACTAAAACCTCTATACTTGAATCTTGGGTGGATTAATTAATACGATACCTTCGAAACCCCCAATGCCGCCATCAACACCCTTGCGCGGCCTCGCGTTCGCGCGCGACGTCCTCTCAGATCTAACATCTCGATCACCACCCTCTCCAACACCAACATCGACAACACCAACGAATAACACAATACCAATACCAACAACCCTCATTCAAAAACTCCACGCCTTCGCCACCCGCACACAACAGCACCTCCTCCCGCGCCTAGCAACAGACGTAAGCACCGTCCCCGAAGGCTACGGACGAACCCCCAACGGTCCCGAGCCCGGCGCCGTCGTCGGCATAGTCCTCGGATCCATCGCCGGGTTTATTCTCCTCCTATGGCTTATATACTGGTGCGTGAACCTAGGCTCCCCCGCCCCAGATATCGAGGAAGGATCCGTCGGCGCGGGCGGTTCGTCAAGTGTAGTATCATACCACTCGCGGCCACGTATCCATCGCAGTAGTCATCACCGATCGTACCGAAACGGTGGATCCGAATACTCGCCCGGCCCCTCGAGACGGAGGAAGGAGACTATTGAAATTACTAGACGGGAGGGGGTTAGGTCGAGATCGCCTGGGCCCGAGCAGATTGTTGTGGAGGAGGAACATACGGATAGGACGAGGTCGCGGAGTAGAAGTGTGAGTCGGCCGAGACCGCCGCCGCCAAGGTCGGAGGATGATGAGATTGTGGTTATGGAGGAACATACCCCGCCGAGGAGGAGGGATAGTAGGGGGTATAGGCGTAGGAGTAGTGAGAGGAGGAGTACGGATCCGTATCGACGGAGAAGTGGGTCGCGAAGATGAGAAGATGTGAGGAATGTAGTGATGGATAGAATTCAGGTTGGGACGGGGTAATGGTTTGGTTAGGTCCGGTGGTTTTGGGGGGCGGGAAGGGGATAGGATAGGATGAGGTTATGTAGCGGCATTGAGATATAACATGAACATTTGGGGCGTATTGTGGGAGTATCATACGCATTCTTCACTCGGTCACGTAGCATGGCGTATATGTGGAGGTACACGATGGGGATGATATCCAGTAGTTTACACTATTAACTCACAATGCACATAGTATATAAATTTAAACTCGAGTATATGTCGCTACCCGCCCGGTACCCGGAAGCAATCCAATGCAGGTAGCATCAATCCGACCCGAAATCGAAGATAACCCCCAATGTCAACTACTATCAATGAGTGCTTCCATACAAATAATTATTTATGCCTTATTCATAAAATAGGAATATACAGTTTTATTAAATTTGAGTATTAGTTTTCATCTATCGCACTTCCCTGAACCTTGATGAGCTGATTTCACATGCCAAGCCGATGCCATTGACTGAGACCGATGACATCATCATAACGTTCCGGTACTTGAACTAAAACTCAAGACAACCCAGCTACATCTTTAAACTTCAACTTCTTCTCTAATACCAATTCAGTTAATTCATTTGCCCTCCTTTTCTGTGCATTGGCTCCTTATATACACGCTTGAAGAAAGACAGAAAATAGCATACAAAATGGACAACCCTGAAGATCAGATACAGTATGTCATCCAGTCCCTAACACTACATGCATACCGAGATCAGAAAAGAACTCTTGAAGATTACTTCCTACCGAATGCCTACTTCGTACATCCTTTCTGCCGTGTGCCATCCTTCAACGATTACAAAATCCCCTATACGAACTGGACGATCAACTCCCGCATGTTCGTCTTCTATATCTACCAATGGTATCGTATCTTGAGTCCGGAGATCAAGCTTGAGGTTAATTCGACCAGTAAGTCAAGATTTTGAATAAATATTCCCAAATTAATTCCTAACTTACTTGACTAGGCTTCGATCAAAAGAACAACCTACTATACGTAACGCTCCACCAGGCATTTACCTTGTGGTTCATTCCATTCTCTCTATGGCAAGCCAACGTGAAGCTCGTAACCGTTCTAGAGCTCGAACATCTACCTATCGACGAGCGAAATAAACCATTACTTGGCAACAGAGATGCTCAGGGCTCTGTTAACGGCGATTCAGCCATCAACGACGAGCCATGGAAGCTATACTTTATCAAGGGTCAGCAAGATCATTACCACGTAGAGGATTTCCTCAAGTTCATTGCACCCTGGGGCGCTTCACTACTATGGAACTTTTGGCAACTTTGGGCCACCCTTGTCTGCGCTCTAGGTGTCATCTTCCTACGAACTCCCATCGCCTTCCTCAGAGGACGGGTTCTCGGACTGGATAGCTCGGCTATTAAGAAGAAGCAATAGTATGCTCCAGGCCTAGTTATCAAAGCCGTGATCGAACTCATCGCATCCAAGACCAGTCCAAAGACCCTGCGGCACATATGTCCTCAGATTGCGAAAAAGTGCGGTCTTAAGGTTGGAGATTTGCTTCTTGGGTTGATGTTACTAGCACTTCAGCAACAAAACGATCACATCGACGATGATGAGGAGGAGGATGACGACGTATCGGCCTTGCTCAATAGGAGTAATTGGGCACCCCCCGAGAACTCACCGAAACTGAAACCTATGGGAAGCGGTCATATTTTCCTCAATGGGAATGGTCTTGCAAAACCCACCTTTGGTGTTGGTCCAGTAGATCGATTCAGCTTGTCGGTAGGGCCAAGTCAAGTCCAGGTCAACGGCTCCCCTAACTACCCTTCACCTTCAAGTTCAAGCGCAACCACAAGTTCTGGCTCAAGCCCTGGATCGCCGTCTCGAGGTAGGAGACCAAGCATGCGGATGGTCCCTCGAACAGTTCGATTCTTGGATACGGTAATGGAGAAGTCGTCCCAGGATCCAAGTCCTCCGGGGAGTGTACATCACATAGAAGATTTGCCTGAGGAAGCTTCGCCTCGGAACGATGAGCTTGATTGGGAGAAACCTGAGAAGTTGGATACGCCTAATCAACCGGAGTATGATGGGGATAACGAAGGGGATGAGGTGATGCAGGCAGCGATACAGGACGCAATACAGGAGGTTGAAGAAGCAACTGTGCTAGAGACAATACAGGAATTAACTCAAGAAACGCCAAACGGTACAGCTCAAGAGACCACTATAGAGGTAATAGAAGAGACGACAGAAGAGCTATGGTCAGATGAGGTGCAGAAAGCTGCGGAAGAGACACCAGTATCTGTCACTAAAAACAAAGGCAAGGGGAAGGCATATAACAAACCACTCGAAAACGTCAATAGTGGGAAATTACCGAACGCCAAGAAGTAAACCGTTCAAACCAACCGTCCGGAGCCGGCCGGATTTCTTTCTCGGAGCCGTGCTCGGCGATTGGCGTTTGGGCTTGGTGGGGGCTGGGATAGCCACTTACATCACCGGAAGAGGGGAATAGGCAGGTCCCCACGCCGGAGATTAAGGCTGTGAGGGATGGGTATAGTTTATGGGTTATTGCCGGTTTGTTGGTAGGTTGGGATAAGACTTATTTTGCTTTACGAAATTGTTTTATTCGAAATTGGTGTGGAAGAGGCGACGGGATGGATACGCCACGGCCTGTTTGGTGTGGATGGTTGTCTTACATACTTGCTTCTTGCCTGGGTACTCGTTCCGTTGATGTAGACTTTCTGCCTGATGCTTATTTTATCATAGCCTTACCTATCAATTCCTCTTGCAAGAGAGTAGATAGATGTTCTTGCGTTAATAGTTGGTCATCATGCGACAATGAATTGGGTTGTCCAGCACTCATTTAGTACCTGAGTACCCCGATACCCAATTGGGTCTTGACGTAAACCTTTCATTGGTATTCAATTTGCAGTTTATACTCGTCAGGCTTCAGTATAGGTCCGTGCCCATAGCAAATGGTGTAAATCTCCGGGAATGCATCATCGACCTCACGGTAAATTCAGACAAAATAGTAGCAACACTTAACACGACCAAGAGCCATTCACATCGTAGGGTCCATGGGAAAAGGAGTGTATTCGGAAGCTACTCAAAGCCATCGACGCTCGATCATAAATCGAATCCAAGAAAACAAGTCGATCATTCCTTCTCGACTCGGCCGCCGTGGCCCTATCTCTTCACTCGTCCTCTCTTTTGAGAGATCCATTACCTCTTCTCTTGGCCTCTGCTATACGCGGCGGCAGCGCAAAACACATTGAATAAGGCGGGTATTAGATAGAATCGTATGGTATAAAAGCAAGCCGTAAGCTCAACGCGCTAGATTGAAAGTAAAAGTGTCTTCAGCACCCCGTAAGGGAAAAGAACTCTCACCTAGTAAATCGGTAGGTAGTCAATAATAAATGCTTGTCCATTCCTCATACCTCATTTAAAAACCTAGAGTCTGGGTCTCGGGGAATAGCACGTCAAGATTCGTCCTAGATAACAACACCATAAACTCCAACATCGAGCGATATGAATCAAAGCCATATCGGGACTGTCGTGGTGGTGTTTGCAAATTTTTGCAGATTTTTTCCTCCTTTATTTGATTTTAGCCACCTCCTTGCTGTCCTCCAAAGAAAAAGCCATCGAAAAGGTCGACTTGTTGACCGTCACTAAAGTCGTGATGCATCCCCTCCCAGCCCAGTCCGAAACCCATATCCATTTGTATATCCGTATTCACTGTGCCGTCTGCGTTCGGTTGATCTTGGATACCTTGCAAGAAATCCATACCTTGTAGATCAGAGTAGTTAATTCCGGCTCCGGGTGTGTAGCTAGAACCGGGTGACCTAAGCAAATTAAAATTCGAGTTTCCGGTATTCTGAGAATACTGTCCCTGATTGGACTGCGGTGTCATGCTGTTGACGGATACTGGAGAATTGGTATGTGCACCGCCAGGAGAAGGGAGAAGAACGGGATCGATAGCTGAGTTATCGGGAACTGACGCCGCGTCAGAGATGCTTGCGGTACTCAGAGTTGATTGTGGCAAAGTTCGTAACATCGAATATCCATCCTGTTCTGATTTAACGTTAGGCATAGAAAGACGGAAACCGCTGTTTTGTCCTTGTATAGAACCCATTTGGGATGTCGTATCGAGCGAGTTGTAACTCTCCTGTCCAGGTGTAGTATAAGATGAAGCAGTTCGGGAACCAGAGTGGTCCAAAGACGAGCGTTGGTGAGCCTTATGTCGGTTGGCGCCCCCGTCTCTAGAATTGAGATAGTCGGCTCTTTCATTGCCCGTTCTTGGCCCGCGCTTGCTCCGATGTAATACCTGCCCAAAACCGCCTGTCGAATTTGCCATTTTGATCGTGGCTTTTGCTGTTCGGTCGAATGCGTCTCGACAAGCTTCTGCTGGTGGACATTTCTCAATAAGGTCAGTAAAAACGGAAGTAGCTGCTAATATCGTGAAATCGACTTCATCCATTGTCTACAGCCATGTTAGCCATACAAACTGAATTGTCTGACCTTATCACTTACCAGTCGGCTGCGGACGACATGGGAATGCCAAATTGCATAGAGATAAGAAATTCCAGCCATAAAAAGGTGGTGTGTTGCCAGATACGTGTAGTTGACGAGTCCCATTAGGTGTAATTGTCTGTATAAACGCAAGATTTTCTGGCCTGCTTCGGCAACCTTGACGTATACTCTTTCTTCGTCCTCCCGTGTCTCGGCAGCATAGATGGATGGACTGTTGACTTCTTTTGAGGTATTATATTCACCCTCAAACATAGCTGGTACGCTCAAGCTCTGTCGGTAGAGCATAATGATGGCCTGCCAGTAATTAAGCTCTAAGAATTCTGGTGAAAACGCAACTCCCGAATCCTGTTTTGTTGGCGCCGAATTCTTCCACTCATATAGTCGTTCATCGATATTTCTCCGCCAATTCCTAAAAGAATCAAATTTTGATAAGAAAGGTGAAGGGAGTTGAGTATGCATATACTCGTTTCTTGTGTTCTGGCCATTGAACCTTGCCATTTGTGTTTGTTGGTATTGCAAGACCTGCAAAATCTCGGATTGCAATAACCGGAGTCGAAAGTAATGCTTGGCTACAATCTTATAGGTAGGTTCTCCTTCAGCCGGACGCCCACTAAAGCCTGCATGAGTAATATAGCGGTCGTCGAGCAATGATGGAAATTCAGTCGTAATCACTTGATCCGACACACCAAATGGTCGTCCGACGCAAGTACTAACAAGCCTGTCGAATGAATATGTGCACCACCATAATCGTCTTCTCAAGTCGCGGATATACTCTCGTCGACCTCTTTCACGTGCATAGGCCTCTCGCGGTTTGTCGTTCGCTTCATCGGCCTTAGCTTTTGTCAGACCACCTAGGTCAAATTCGACGTCTTTTCCATCTTCGTAATGGAGACCTAAGTCAACTGCTAATCTCACAGCGACGCCCACGATGTACCTAGTATCGACGTCAATATCCGGCTTCACCAGAAAATGTAGGAAATATAAGAATATAGTCATGCGCACCATAATCCAGGTGGAACTGGACGAAGCAAAGCGAAATTCGCTAGCAGTAACACTGCTTGAAGTTCTTCCAGTCCTCCTCCACTATTACTCAAACAGGCTTCCAGATGAACAACAGCACTTGCGTGATATTCCTCCGGCTGGGCCTGTTTCTTCTCTTCGCCGGCCACTTTAGTAGAGGTGGTCTGCGCATCCATAATAATGCCACCGCCAATAGCGTACACCATATTTAGTACGTAGAGCTCCTTTGGTCCTCGAACTTTACCTTCTTCAGCATATGCACGCTCGAACATTTGCATGAAGTCTTCTCGGTGGAGAACGGGTATCTGGGGATTTGCGTGTTCGAAATATAGCTCTACCAACTTGATCGCTAGATCCTTTGGTGGGAATTCGGCAGGTCTGATGGTTGGTCGGGTATGGAGGCCAAAAAACGAATCACGCATTGATGTGCTCGACGCGGTCATTCCATTTCCAGCAATCGGCCTATACGGCCGCACTCCAGTTTTGTCGGAACTGGACTTCTGATCCCCGACAGATGACTGAACCGCAGCAAATACCACACGCGCAAATGATATTCCATTAGCGGACCCCAGATGCCTCTGTCCGCCACTTCCACTATGCCTCACTGTCTTGATCGGCTTCTCTATTCCGTCGCTAGTCTTATTATTTTTTGCACTGCTCGATGTTTCCGTAATCCCGCCGGCGGCGGAGGGCGCGCCGTCTGTAGGCGACCGTCCAACACCGCCGTCGGTTCCCGGTCGCGAACAGTATTCAAGGTTATCAGCGGGAGGGAATGAGATGTTATTGCGACGAAGCAGAGCTTCCAATTGATCGACCCGAGTTTCTAGGTAATAAACGTAACTAAGGAGTATATTAGCCCCAGGGCTAGATAGGTGAACTAGACTTGATATGTTCGATAGGAAACTGACCTGCGCGGTATCTCCCTTTTGGTTATTGGATCGTATCCGACGCAGGCGACCCTAGCTTTCTCGCAACTGGCACAACTAGGTAGTTTCTGGTCACATCTATTCTTGCGCAACCGACACCGGTTACATGCGCTGACGTTGCGAAAACTACTAGACTGTCCAATCTTAGAGCTCTGGGCGGCGCCATCATGTGACGAATGTTCGGTGGTGGGGGAGATAGGACCTCCATTTCCCGAGGAGGGCGAGTCTTTATCCGGCGACGAAGCGCGTTGGCGTTTCGAAGGGTGCGGGTCCGGCGACGGCGGTGAGCGCGGTGGCATGGCGTCTGAGTCCAATTCCATTTGCAACCAAAACTTGTCGGATCGGGTCGCAAAGCTCGTCGGAGTACCCGTCCGACTTGCCCTCAAGAGGCGCGAACCGTTTACGGTGAAGCGCGCCGACTAGAAGGCAATCGGATCGCAGTGATCTCGGCTGAGCTAAGCTTGGTTGGGCGACTACTGGAAGGAATCAAATATCCCCCGCTCCATCTCCGAGCTCCAAAATCTGCGTGAAATAGGCAATCAATCAATCAAATGCAACCGAAAGCTCGACGTTTAGCGAGGTACGGGAATGCGCCAAGCACGAGGAAACCGGAGCCGACCGATATTGAAATTTGGGAATTACAATGTTTAGAAACCCAGTGACAATTCCCCGGCGCTCATTCCGGTGAATTGTTGGTTGCGTCAAGGGTTCGCGAGGCTTTGAAGAGGCTGAAAAAAAAAAAGTTGTAAGAGCAATACTTTTTTTTCCCTTCTAAAGCGGGAGTCGGCGGGAGGGATGAAGGCACCGGCGGAGTTAGACAGGGTCCCTTCTCCTTCCTTCCTGCAATGCTGCAATGCAACTTACAACTTTGGGTAAGCCGTAACTTTCCCGGATCTTTTGCTCCTGCCTACATCTAGGTACATACAGATTGCTTCAGCTGACGGACCCTTCGGCGTTTTCAGTTTTCACTTATCTACCCACGACGTCACTGCCTACCTACATATAGAAAACTACAGCAAATACTTTCGAGCAATTTGACAGCTATCATTTGGGGGGTTTATCTGTTATCTTCCCACCTAACACGTTTTAGGGAATTTTCTACTTTATTTTCAGACGCTAAAACATTTTAGTACGGTTTGAACTGATAAGCAAATACGGGCTTATTTTGAGAGAAACGCTAGGTTAGGTACATAATGTACCTCTTTCTGTAAAGTATTAGAGCTTGCCAAACATGATGAACTAAAGAAGCAAAGAGCCGACGCAATTAGCTCACTTTTTTAGGGGATTTCTATAACCCCCACAGTGAACCCCACCTCTTAGTTCCACATGCCCGCCTCGTTTCAACTTCCAGAAGCGAGCTAGAGCGAGCTGCCGGTCAATAGCCAATCATTTTACAGGATTTAAATTATTCTGGACCGAGGCAGTCGAATTTATCGAATGGCATTCATTTATTAGGAAATGGACATTTCAAACTTCTAGATATCCCCGCATCCCAACAACTACCACTACTACTTCGTACTCTCGTACATGTATATATCTGAGATGTATGCATGTTGGCACCATTCGACGTTACTTTTGCTACCTATATCGCCAATTTTAAAATCCTATCAATCGAAAGTCCGGAAAGGTCGGGTCAAATCGACGATTTCCCAAATCTCCCATTTCTTTTTCCACGTCAGAAATAGAAATTGATGACGGAGTTTGATGGCATTCTAAAACTCCGTTATTATTGATAGCAAACTACTTTCATTTACGTCGACACCCATATATCCCTGTAAATATTTCATCAGTATATCAAGTACCATATTTGTAATATGTTTCACAACATGAGGGTTTTCGAAATCTCAACCCTGTCAAGGTAATTCTATGGAATGACCATCAGCCCATGTCCCGGCATTCCCTACATAAATACGGTAGTATGGTAGTATAAACGGGAGGGTTCATCGCGGATGTCTTCCGTCGTAGTAGCCCAGCATAATCGCGAATCTCACCCGGAATGCGGTTGTTTCCTCCAATCGAGAAAGTCCGATATATTACATGCGGTTACATACTTATGTGCAAGTCGCCCTTTCTTATATATATCGCTATACTCGGCCAATTAGAATTGGTCTTTCCTCGTGTTGTTGTCTAAGTTCAGTCGTAATGTCTCTCAAGAAAGAGTTGGGCGTTTAAGGAAAGGAGGGAGGGAATGACATTTCTCTCTCATTTCTACATCCATCTAATTCTGATCATCTTTCAATATTGAATTGGACTGCTAAGACCCGTTCAGTCCATACAGCCGATACCTTATACCTCTATCCTACCTAACATAGAAAATTATTATACAATACCACATACACTACATGTTTCTTTCTACTTCTACCTCGGGGCAATATTTCACCACGCCGGCGGCAGCAGCACCGCTAATGTTCGGTGCTCCTGTTACTCGCCAAAGGTCTCGTTCTGTCCCAGATCGGAATCGTAATAAATCATGTGGGCATTCTACCCACCAAAAACGTCTAGCCCGACGAGCCTTATCCGATGACCAGAAGCGGTATCTCGTTGAGTCCTAGAAGGATATTGTCAACAACGTCCCGGGCAAGGATGGTACTTTCGAGGACGTCGAGGCCTGGTTGTCAATGGTACTTCATCGTCGGTCCCATCCAGATCCTCAACGAATCTTGGAAAAGCTGCATTGGACGGGTCGAGACCTGCATCGTGCATCGTACATCGCAACAAGACACCGTCTGAGGACTGAGGCGAACGGCATAGTGATTGCCCATGATATCCACGATGCCGCTAAGGTTAGGCCAGGCCCTCCCGTCACGCTTGCGATCCTGAAACAAGTTGGGCCGTTATGCTCATGGAGCCCGCGCTAATCTTGACCATTAGCAATCACGTCGAAAATCGAAGTTACAACAAAAGGACTCTAAGTACAAGGAAGAACGCTAAGAGGAGAAATACGGCGTACGATCGAAGTCGTTGGAAACAGTTTGGGCAAGCAAGGTTTGGTGGTTGAGGATACGATATGATCCTAGTTGACTTGAAGGCCAAGCATGGTAACTTATGAGCCAGATCTTAACATAGAATCCACATCCTAAGATTAACCTGAATAGTCCATTGCCCCTATTCAGACTCACAGAAACATTGATAGGTGAGTTGAAGTTGAAAGATCGACCCCTACGGTATTCACGGCCCGGAGATCTTGGAACAAGTGAATATGATCCGATTATTACGTAGTGTACGTCTTTGGGTTGGGTTTCTAGGAGATCAGGCATCTAGCACGATGTACGATGGCAAATAGATGACTCCACACACTAGATGCCTCTCTAGGTATCCCCAGATAACTTAGACGGCTCGCCTATCTTCACATACCTATCCCAGCTAGCTACCTAGCGAACTGAAGTGACCCCCAAAGGCCTCTTCCCCATCACTACATCATTAAGGAGTTTTAAGGAGCTGTTAGAGACAGGCAGTGCACTAGGATCTCACTTCACCGCAATTTATTCTCCGCAGTGGCCAGTTATTTGACCACTAAACAACTGTCGCCTTCTTTATACTTAAGTATACCCACTTAGTCTTTATATGTAGGGGGCTGGTAGAGAGAAGTATACGTAAGGGGTCCAGCCTATACGTAGTATTCCAAATCCTTGAATGTAATCTCCTAAAGTGCTACCTCGCATCTATACCCAAGACCCAACATAGATCAAATGACGAAATTTAGCTTCAAGTAGATATGATATGCCGGCATGAAAAAGGCTTAATTAATATGAACGACCGGCTTCGTCTATTGAGACGCCTCTCCCCTAATTCCTATCTAACCCATATGCGCCTTCGTGTTTTTTGTTGACTCCCTAATTAGAACAGAACCCAAAACTGTGAAATGCCCAAGTAATAACGTTGATGACAATAATAATAATCAAGAATAATAATAATACTTTCCCAAAACATGACATGTTGAAATTCTTGTTTTCAACGCCTTGAAACCCCTTTCGAACACAATGATATGCAGACGGGGTATAGCAGATGGCTTCATCGGTGATTTTTTCCGATCCCTCCCTCCCTTTTCCCGTGCCCAAAATGACTGTCTTTCCTAGTACACAATTTTGCTTCGTTTTGCAGATGGTGACTCCCTTTTTGCCCAGTGTAATTCCCCAAAACCAGGTGAATTTTTTTTTCGGTCGTTGTACAGAGGTATCGTAGTAATTTCCCTTTCCTAGGAACAGATATTCTAGTTGCCCAACCCAGTCTATGTAGTAAAGTAGTAGAATAACTTTTTTTTTCCCAACCAGATGTAAGTGACAAAGGTTAAGACGATTCGATAGAGGCGAAAAAAGATCCGGCGCCGAAGAAAGGAACAAGTCATTAAACGTCGTAACCCAAATGTTCCAAGCCCCCCGTGTTTCGCACCTGGAATCCCGCCGAGAATGAAAGCATGGCCTTGAAATTAGCCAGGAATAAACTCCAGTCCAATCTACAATCCCGAACCAGATGACGTCGCTCGATCGGCGTCCTGAGTCGTATCAGGTTGATTAGTTTCCGCATCGTTAGTAGGGGTGACCTTGCCCTCAGTACGGCTCTGTGGTTCTTGAATCTGAAGCCCAACGATCGCGCCGCCAATGGCAACCACAGCACTGCACCACCACGCTAAACCCGAGTAACCAGTCTGCAGGCCAACAGCGTAGAGAATACCAGATATGGTTGGGCCGAAAGCACGGCATAAACTTGCTGTCGAAGCTGCCACGCCGTTGATCGTGCCAAGAGCTAAGTGACTTGGCGCAGAATCCGCAGTCAAGATAGCGTTGCTCGGATATGCCATGCTCGCGAACGTACACTTCCAAACCAATACCATTCCAACCCCGACCATGCGATATTTCTCGGGTAATAACACTAGGTAAGGCGTAACGAGGTAGAGCGAGAAGTAGGCGATAACCAAGAAACGGAATAGGCGGCGTGGTCCGAAATACCTCAAAACTGGCGGGATTAGGAACATGTTGATAAGTAGCTGGTAGGCGCCCTGGGCGCTCAAGACGATACCAACTGTTTTGCTGTCAAGTCCAAAGCCGTCGACAAATTTGAAAGGTAGCGAAATCGGCGCTGGATGCTCTGGCGGGGCTGTGCTCAAGAAAACAGGAAATAGCTGATCGAAAGTCATCGTGTGGCTACAAGTAATGTTAGTTAAACGTAGTTCCCTCCCCACGGTCTCAAGAATACTTACAAGGCCAAGATGCCGAACGAAATGATGTTTAGTATTACAGGTCTGGTGAAAATCCTAGAAATCCCAAGGTTCAAGTCTTCACGATTTCCTTCGAGGTCGAGTGAATCCCATGGAATCGAAGCAACCGAAGCGGTTCTAAGGCGGGGTGAGTTCTCGGGAGTGTTCTCGTTCGTCTGATATCCAGGCAATTGCTCGCCGTGATCAATAAGTGGTTGACTTTCCATCTCCGCCATTTTCGACTTCTCATCTCGTGGCTCGGTGCATTTTCCAACGATCGGTAACTTTGAAAGAATCCAATTTCCAAGCTCTAGTCCTCGATCCGTCTTCATTCTCTTTTCGGCGTGGGTCTCCTCGAGGAACAAGATTCCGTTGACAACTCCGATGAATACAATAAATGCACTGAAAAGATTAGGTAGTAGATACGGATATTTATCCCAAATGGTGCCAGCTGGGAATAGGCTTGGGTAGCTGATACATGGTCGAGCAAGCGCACCACCAATCATTGGCCCAATGATCGATCCTAAACACCATACGACGGGCATTATGGTATAAGCTCGGGCTGTTACAATTAGCTATCCAGTCTGAAACCTCAAAAAAATGAATGTCGACTTACGTTGATGTTCTTTGGCAGTCACTAATTCGGCTACCGTCGTTTGAAGAACTCCCATATTCCTAGATTGCCGTTAGTACACAGCTTGAGGTAAGTTCAAAGTTCCAACATACCCATTCAGAAGTCCTCCCACAGCTCGAGCGATGAGTGCAACTGTCAAATTAGGAGCAAAGCCGAATATCAATACACTGATAGCGGTGCCGATAAGTCCTGTAAGTAATACCGGCTTCCTTCCGATCCGGTCACTTAATCGTCCCCACATGAGACCCGTCGAAAATTCGGCGAAGGTGAAGGCTGATGTCACCATACCGGCATAAAATGATATTTTGCTCTTATCCTCCGTGATGTGGAAGTCCTCAATCATGAAGTAGATATATGGGAATATGCCCATAAACGCAATTGGCTCGCATATTCGACAAATCGCTAGTTCACATGTTAGCGTCAGGTCCACAATCTAGTATTCTTACCATGATATGAAAATGGCTGTTGCTCTTGTCATACCTAGAACTAGCATCTGTCGTGCCGGGAAGGGAGGTACTGGGGTACTTCGATCACTCGTCGAAGGACGAGTGCCCCTCGGGAACATATTACTTCTCATGATTGTTGTATTCAGTTCTACCGGGAACTGTCGACTACATGAAAGGCCCAAAAGAGCGTGAAAGGCGGGATGATGGTGAAGCTTTAAGTAGCAATGTCGATCACGAATATGAGACCGAATAGGGTAGTTGATGTTGGAAAGGCGTTGTGTATTTAAACTTGACGATGTATAGGATTCTTGATGACTTCTATGAACAGATCATAAGTAGTCAAGGATGAGAAAGAGGTTAAGCAAGAATGACTTGTCAACCCGGATCGGTTGAGTTGTTATGGTCGACCAAGGCTATGTGAGATGAAGAGATGTGTGAATGATCAGCTTGGCATGACGGGAGAAGAAGGAAAAGAAAGCTGATAGAAGTAGGCTAGAAGCAACCCAACTAGTTGACAGATCCATGGCGGGAAGACGGATATTAAGTCATTTAATATTAGAACCAGCGGTGACAGATGTTAGGGCGAAAAGCAAAGGGCGAGTGTGCAAGTGCAATAGATGATCCTTCCAGGCGTGCCAGGTGTAACGCGGCGATGGTCTCACAAGGTATGGAGTCCCAACTCGTGGGTAACAGCTCTCTTGTCATGGACGGACGCCAGAAGTGGACTTGCCCATGGTGGAACCCTCGTCCCATGTTCAAGGCGGTACGGGGTATGGGTATACGATGACATGTACCTGCAAATGAGAAAAAGTCGGGACTTGGCCATCCTAGAGCGAGCCTTACGGGTTTGCATACATAGTAGGGGGAGCAAGTGCAGCCCGACTCGAATACTGAGCACGCGGGTCGCGGGAAGCACTTTCTGACTAGGATGGGAAGCACATTGACGGTCGACGAGAAGTACTTGGTACAGCAATGGGTCCCTGCTGGTCCCTGCTAGCTTCTACTACCCTCCTCCCGGCATTGGATGCATCCATGGATGGCTTGCTCTGACAGCAGACAAGGGGGGGTGGGAAGCCACTCAGGGCCGCCACCCAGCTCAGAGAAGTTAAAGAATAAAAAGGGTTGTGAACCTTTCCCTCTTGGGTTTAACCTCATCAATAATAAGCCGGCCAGTGATGGGCGTCGAGCTCATTGGCAATTTCACCACACACCAAAAAAGCTGTAGTGGGGACGCCGAGGATCTGAGCGAATGGGCCTTGACACGACACTTGAGGAAGACGGCCAGCAGGTAAACAGTTAAGCGGTGAAGGATTATCCACAGCCTCTCGTGCGCTGCGCTGCTCAAGTCAAGGGCGAGCGAAGCTTAAGAAAGGGCAATCGGAGAGAAACCCCAATGGAAGCGTGACCGGTACCTTATGTGTGGGATTGGACAACGGAAATAGCACAACAACTGGGGTATTTTGAGATGGAACCGAATAGTCGGTACGAGGAGGGGGGGCGCTTCTCAGGGAAAATCGTCTACCTAGGTACCATTGGTACCGTTGACGTAAGTATGCAGAGAGCTTCAGCCCAGCTTCCCGCCAAGCCTCGCTTTTTATTTTATTTTATACGCATGTCCATAGCCGACAACAACCCGCTCGTTCCACAACCCACGAGAGATTAGATTTGGATTTTCTCCTACATACAATTTAGGTACGTGTGGACGTGTGACGTGCGGACGCAACGAGCTTGCACCCACGAAGTCGGGATATGATCCCCGTCCTTCATCTTATGCGTAATGTTGTGTGACGACCGGTAGTCAGGGAATTGATTACCGCGCCTAGCATGTTTTGTCGGTGCTGCTGCCCGTTTCGAAACTTCGAATTTCAACCTGGCATTACGTCGGTTTTGCATATTAGTCATCATCTTATGTGTACGTGATCTCCCCCCATCACCTTATTTTTTTTTTTTTTTCACACTCAATGCGGAGTATGAAATTGGGTTGGGTTGAAAAAAAATTTGTGTACGTTGAGTCAAGTCAAGCAAGTCAGATTGGATTTTCGTTCGTAATCACCTCCACAACTCGTGGAAGCAAACCCGTCTCATCCGTGCTGGAGCCCTTGACGATGCGGGACGCTCTTTATCTAGGGTGAGAATGAGGCGAGTTAGTCGAGACTGGTTTAGGGTAACGATGTCGTTATCTGACGATGGACAACTCCTCAGTCGATGCAACACAATTCCCCACAGTAGCTAGGTATACGACGCCTTATCCTTATGCGACATTTCGTAGGTACGCTGGTACGCTAGTACGTGCAGGAATCGCTTTTTGGAAATCCAAAATATCGACGATCAACAACCCTTGATGCCCGGAAAGTTGACGATCGAATTGATGTACAGATATGCGCTTCTTCACCTTGGGGCGGTGGCTTAGTCCATCTTGGCTGCTTTTCTCTTTTCCCAATGGTTGGAGTACCGTCCGGTGCGATATCACATCTTTCGCGCGACTGAAGCCAGCCGCGGAACAAATCACATGTATATTTCCGATAGCTATAGAGTGCCGTGCGACGCAACGGTGGAGATTTTGCTGGCTTGTCAGCTGAGCGCATCGTACACGTAGCTTGACGATCAAAGGGGAAATAAAGCGTTTGTGAATTCCGTGCAATCCCACCGTTAGGACTCCACAGCTAGTATGATTACATTATTATTATTATTTTTCTTCGGCCAAGTTTTTGGCTTTTTTTTCTCTTTTCTCCTTAGCCTAGAGCAGGCTATGGAACAAATCCGTAACATTCTAGAAAAGGTGTTGGTAGGCTAGTCCCTGTCTAACCATGTGGCAAATAAAATTTCATAATAATGAAAAAAATGAAATAAAAAATGAAATAAATGCTGAGTAGCGTATACGAAGTAGTGTAGGGAAAGCCCAGGTATTCCGACTGGATTATGAAGCAGTAGCACCGCAAAGCGAGATGAGATTTATTTTTTTCTTCATCCCTTTTCAGCCTAGGGATCTTGTCTAAAGTTTCGCGGCGTGCCGGATGAGATCCGGTGAGCCACCTCGAAACATGCGCGGTTGCGGAGAAGCCGAGAAAAGTCGTCGAGTCGCCAATTTGTTTTGATTTTTTTTTAGTGTGAGGCACCTACTCACTATAAGATGAGAAGGGTCGCCTATTTCGAGAAATTGGTCTGAAATTGGTAGTTAGAATACGTCTTTGTTATGCACTAAGACAGAAGCACACGTGGTTATGGGTTGTTATGGGTTGTATCGTTGTATCATTGTATCATTGTATTGTTGTATTGTTGTATTTTCCCCCATAGCTCTGCGCAGGGATGTTCATCGCTCACAAACAGTAACAAGAGAGATTCGGTTTTGACCCTGCGGTTGACCCTGTGGCCTGTAAGTTTAGGTACGTAGCTAAGTAGCCAGAGAAGCGCACGGCTATCATGATCGTCCAATATCAGGGATAGCATATCGCGTAGTTTCAAGTAACAAGGATGAACCCTGGTTGGCGAGCCTAACCCAACCATTTGGCGCCTTGATGTTGACTACCAGAAACTTGCCGTTTAGGAAAGGTGTTTCCTGTCCGCCCTGAACGCCAAGACTTAAGTACTCTGCTAGTCAACTTTTTTTTTCTCTCCTTTTTCTATCAGAAGTCCAGGTAGATCTGATTTTATCGTTCCAAGAATTGTTCCCTTCTGGAAGAACATAGAAATGGACGCGCATGCAGATGTGATCATATGATCTATGCCTATGCCCTGAAACAAGATCGATATATTGATGTATTGTTAGGATCGGCGACCCAGCATATAACTTTATTCAGGCTAAAGTAAAGGAGGCTCAAGAGCTGCCGGCTTCGAGCTAGCTCATCGTGAGTAGCGAAACAAAAAGGTATGCGCGAATCAGTGGACACCCGCCACCAGCTTGATTGAAGGCTAGATTCAGATATTCTGCATACAGACATGTGGGACATGCGATGTCGTGCAGCGGAGGTCCACGTTGGATGAGGCACGTCAAACATCGTGCACCGCCTACTGTTCCGGTCACCTGGGTGCGTTGCGAGACGATGGGATTTTTTTTTTCTTGCATTCCCATGAGAGCCGACTCGTGGCAGGAGGTGCTGCGTTGTCTCCAGTGATTAGAGGATTTCCCGGTTATGGGGGATCCCCATTACGTCAATGGCTCACCGCCCCTTTTTTTGGTCGATATTAGACTTTTAGGATGGGAATTCTGCGGCGATGCCCGACCAGACCAAAAAAAACTGTACGTATCAATTGGTTGGGTTTAAAAAGGTATCGAATTACTGTGAAACTTGTTGATCCCCATGAAATAATTGCCTAGGTAACTTTAGTTGTTATATTATTTGTCAGCTTCCCCGGTCTGAATTGTTTGTTCTCATTAGCGGCGCTTAACGTGGTTGAGATTGGGCACATGAATTTAGTTGATCGTAGGGCGAAAAAAAAAAAAACTTAATAATAAGGAGAAGGAGTATAGGTAACGCCGGTCAATAGGTACATCATGTGTACTTTTACAGATCGGTCGAAGCCGGCAAGCGTCGCTAGCGGTAACTTTCTTAAACTTGCACACGCGGAAGCTGGCGCGGTAGACTAATGACTCAATTTCTTCGGAGTCTGGCAGAGTCCCGAATGGACAATGGACGCAGTGTTCCCCACTCTTGCCCACCCCTCACCCCCTTCTTTAGCGCCTTGCAGCAGCAGCCTCGCGGGACTAGGGGCTGCTGCCACCTATATCCCCCTTATGTAAGGAAAGGGGTAGAGGGGTAATTAGCTAGGTACCTAGCCTAGCTGTTTAGTATGGGGACTAGCTGCCGAACCGTTTCGTGCCATAATAATAATATTCCGTAGTGGTATATGTGGCCGGCTGCATAATATTAGCCACTCTCCCAAGGGGTTTTTCTCAGGGTCTATAATTGGAAAAATCAAGGACATCGACAAGTTGGCGTGGGGAATTACGGCCGGCGGTGAGACATATCGGCACACTTAACGACAACCGGGACTAAAGTCAGCTCCACAAGTCCGCTTCACTACGAAGTACATACTCAAAACTGATAGATGAGTGTATGCGATGCGGCCTGCGACCACTGGGAATAAACCCCGAGGTAGACAACAAGAAGTAAGAAAAAAAGGAGAGGGAAAAAAAAGGCCGGAGTACGACATGTGGCGGGTAACCGGAAATTCTAGATCATGAGACTTATAAGCGCTTGAAAGTAAATGTGAAATACTAACTGGTCGACATGGGCGTCGGATAATGAGCCTCCATCCTAGCGAGATATAGCTCGCACCGGTCGTGAAACCGATTGGAGCCCACTTGGGGGGATAAGGCGGAGGAGTAGTACGACAACGGAGCATATACTACACGCCTTTTTTCTCTGATGATGTG